GAAAAAGAGCGTCAACAGAGGGAGCGCAACACCAAAAAACCTATACAATTGTCCCAAAGAGGCAAGCGCAAGGCCTCAGAGGTTGCAGCACCCAGGAAGAAGCAGAATCGTGGTAGTGCAGCTGCCTGTAGTCATGCTGCTGCCGCGCCTTGCTCCCCATCCCCTCCGGCAAAATACAACAGCCGCGGCCGCCCAATCAGAGCGCCACAAAAGTTTGAGTGAGAAACTTGTTCATATAGGTCTATAGACTACTCCGCCAGAAAATCTCATGATAATAACCATTGTGTGTGGCTCTACAGCCTCAATTTTGGATTGACGATTTTGGTGTTTCGGCGCATTGCGCGAATCCGCGCATTGCGCGCACAGACACGGTAGCGCAGCAGCAACCTCAAGCCTGGTTTTAGTATCGCGTAAACATAATGTTTGTTAAGGCTTACGTAACGAACGTCAAAAAAAATGGCGGATAGACTAAGAAAACTTGTTCTCAAGATCCTATAGTCGTATGTGAAAGATTTGGGTTAATTGTAATATATGTAGCGCTAAAGCGGAGAAAGGTGTGCAATAATCAAGCCCTTGGACACTCTCAATTGCGCTCAAATCATAATGCAACACACGATTTACAACAGATTGCTGAGCAAGTGTGCGATTGCAAGCTGCTAAGAACTTGGTGATTTGTTGCATGCAAATCCCACAAGTTCCACCCGTCCAGCACCAGCACCGCCGCTGCATACCCGACGCGACACACTCCTCTGCACACCATGCTGCCTACTCTACATGTCCTCCTTGTATGCGAGCACGCTGTACCGCAAGACGAGCGCCACGGAAAGATTGGCGCTAGTAGATGGTAGGCTCATACCACAGCCTTTACAACGCGGGACGAAGCGGCGCAATGTGCGACATAGCAGGCGTGGGCCCAGCGGGCTGTGTAAGGGGCTGCGCAAAGGCATCTAGCCTATCACAGGCTGCGGACTGCGGCTGCGCGTTGCGAGTTGCAGGTTGCGCGTGTGTTGATACAGTCGTATTATCTGCCTGCTGCAAAATACAATACAAGCTAGAATACAATGCAGTGCTTGATGTAGCTCAAGCGTGCCTAATACACCTTCTTTGCCAGAGATCCTGCATTGCTAGCCTCACCAAGCGGGCGTTTTCGAGCTCCTAGGTAGGTACGAAGCCCAAGGAAGCTGTGCCACTCCCGACTGACTGCTCGATACTCTGAGCTCCGTGCCTTGACATGGCCAGGCGCCTCCTGCAGGCCTCGCGCGTATACAGTTCCTGCAATCCAGCTCCCATGCGTCGCTTGCTCGTCAGCGATTTTCTTGTCTACCCCGTAGTCTCGCTTGAAACCACCGCATGACAGATGTTGCCGAGAGATCGCGATAGCAAGGTGGCGGTAGGTCTGGATGCCGAGTATGGTGTCGAGGTACAGGCGCGTCTCTCGTGAAAGGACTTTGGTGAGCCGGCTTGGATCCCAGGTACTGTTTCCCTTTGGCCACAGGAACGTCGAATGCGGATCTTTGCGCTTGTAGACAAGGATATCCAGCTGCTGCCAGAAGGGCAGAACAAGCCAGAGATAGTACACCAGCAGCTCACTTACTTCTTTAGGTAGATATCGGTGGATGATCTTTGTAGATCCAGAAATGTTGTAGCCTTTGTGATAGGAGGTGACTGTGCTAATCAAGCCTTCTTCAAAGAAGATACCGCGGTGCTGTCCCCGGGCGCTATTGCTGTGCTGCAGGCCTATGAGCTCTGTACCGCGCGGTGGCTGGCCACCCGTCATGTGGATCAGGAGGAGCAGCCGCTCAAGGAACGCGTCCACCTTGTCGAAGTACGCCTGCACTGCCTTGTTCTTCCACTGAAGCTGCGATTCCGGGCTCATTGCAAGCATCTCGTCCCTTAGCCATTCGTTTTCCAGTACCCTGTCAAGCAGCCATCTGTTGCCGCCCTACTCAAGCTGGTCCACGTTGCGCTTATCTTGAAAGAAGTTCCAGCCCTTCATCTTGTTGCTGTGGTTGTCTTGGAGACGGTGGAGGAGGACTTGCGGCACTACATCGTCGCGGGCTTCGGGATGGAGGAGGAGCAGGCCTTCTAGCTCTTGCTGGGCCTTGCGAACTTGGCCAGCGACAAACTTTCGCAGGGCGTCCATGCTGAAGCCTATGTCCTTATACCTAACCGGGCTTCCATCCTCTGACCAGGTGATGGAGCCGAGCGAGGTCGTATTGCTCACCACCTTCTTCGCGTACGCCCGCAAGCGGCATGCCCAGTCGAAGGCCGTGCGAGATCCCCGCACCATGAATCGCTCCCTCATCTCGTCCAGCATGTCCGATGGGTGATTGACTTCGCCCTCCTCTGCAGCCACTACCGATCGCTGCACAACTAGCATCTGCCCCATCTTGATAAACTTGGAGAGGTCGGGCGAGTATTCTGCAGGCGGCGTGTCGCTTCCACGTTGGCACCGGAGGGAATAGAGTTCCTCTGCAAGGTGAAGGGCCCGATTGAGATGAAATAGCTGGGCAGTAGTGAGCCTGTGTAGCAAGGGGATGCTCTGCGTAGGCTGGCTTGTTCGATACACGAAGTAGAGGAGGCGCTTCCAGATGCCCTTGTAGGCGCGAAACGTGCTCTTAGCTAGTTTAACCATGAGCATACGGTCGTGCTTGCCCGAACGGCCGGCGATGAAGCTGTTGATCTGTGCCTGATCGAAGACGCTGACCTTGTCCTCGCGAATAGATTGGTGCGCGCGCTCGATAAGTCGGTCGAAACTCTCTCCAAGGAGGACAAGGGCGGGCTCGGTGATAGGGTTGTCTGCGTGCGCTAGTGGGGCGACGTCGGCCATGTTCAGGCCATGGAAGTAGCGCGGCCAGCGCGTCATCTCAAGCCATGGCGATACCTCCGTCTTCGAGGCCTGGCTGTTGTAGATCTGCGCTCAAGCGTCCTGCTCGTCGTTCCCGGCCTTGAGCTGCTCGTCGATGAGGGCTCGGAAGATGTCGGCGTGCCCTCTTGGTCTACTCTTCACCAGCTCCTGCACTGGATCTGGGACGTTGACTGTGAAGAAGGAGCTCTGCGCGCCAGAGGCAAAGAAGCGCTGACAGTAGACCTTAGTGAACATAGGCTCACTGTCCGTAGCTGATATGCCCGCAATCTTGGCTTGCCGGCCGGGCTTGCGTGGTACAAGGCGGTGTATGTTGAAGTGCTTTCCCATGGAGGCTTTGGCTTCTTTTCCTTCTGAGCGTAGCACAAAACTGCAGCGCGTACACTGGTAGCCGCGATAGAGTCGAAGCTCAGGAATAGGCGGGTTTGTTGCAGGTGGCGTTGGGAGCTTTGTTGTAGATAGATTGGCGGGTTGGTATCGCTCGCAGAGATATTTCGCAAGCAAATTTGTAGCAGCATCGCGCGCATCGTGGAGATGATGGACTCTAATGTGGGTATACAGCGAAATAGGCCGGACAGCGTAGCCGCATGGCTTACAGATGAGCACGCTTGAGGGAGGATAGAATACGAACAGGTCCATAGCCGCGGTAGTGGTAGCTGAAGCGGGCGTGATAGCAAGAGAGAAAGAAAGAGCGAGGCAAGAAGAACACTTTGCAAAGTTGCGTGTTTGGTACGAGTAAACAAAACGCTCGCGTTGCGCGTTTGTGTGATGCGCGTGACGCGCTGCTGCAAAGCAGCGCGTTTGATATTGTTTTCATTCAAGCTTAAGGTGAAGGTGGAAAACAGGCGATGTGGAATAGACACAAGGCGTAGCAGTGGATAATTCTATCGTGCAGGAAGCTAGAGGCGGGAGCAGCCGGGAATTTTGATGAGGCGAGGCGCTAGACAGGGAGTTAGTGCGCCAAATTGATCTGTGGTTTGTGATTGGCTGTAAACTGGAGTGAACCCTCGATCTGCATGAGCATATATCTTAGCGGCCCACCACCCACCCCGCGCTCTCTCTCTCTCTCCCTCTCTCTTTTTCTTTTACCAATTCTCTTACCCTCGTGATACCTCATCACGGCCCCACCCACCTCCCCTTTTACTTCTCTCCACTTTTTCCTTTCTTCTGTTGTGCTCTTACTTAAATCTCAATCCTGTCAAATTCCTGTAACCCTAACCCTATTAGTTCCCTCTAACCCTATAACCCTAACCCTGTCCACTCTCTGTAAACCCTAACCCTGTTTAACTCCTGTAAAACTAACACTCTTACTTTCCTATCTCCCCACCTTACTACTTTTCCCTTCCTTTTTCTCTGTTTTTGTTTCTTTCGTCAATCCTCCCCTTAAATTCCCTCTCACCTCCTCTCTAAAACGCCCTACACTATCCCTAAAATCCTCCCTACATTTTACTCTAAAAATCTCCCTAGAATTCTCTTTAATGATTTTTTTCCTCCAGAACCTATTGCTCTTGTTATCTTTGCTCTTCTAATCTCTTTTCCTCTTACATTCTCTATTTCATAGTATATATCCTCTTCTGTCTACTTTCAATACTCCTTATAGACTATAACTTTGCTTCCTAACTTTCTATGCCTTTTTTCTCTCTATCTTTCTCTATAACTTCTCTTTACCTTACCCTTAGCACTTCTCCTTACTTTACCCTAAACACTTCTTCTTCCGCTTCTTAATCCTTCTTCCTTCTCTGCTCGTGATACCTTATCACGGCCCCACCCACCTCCCCTTCTTTCTTCTTCACCCTCTACCGTCTCGCTCTCTTGTGATACCTTATCACGGCCCCACCCACCTCCCCCTTTTCCTTCTTTTCCTCCTACAGTTAGTCCACTTTTCTATTCTCTTCATGCTCTTTAACTCTTGCTAGAACAGTCCCTTGTCTTATCTAGTTCTCTTTCTTACTCTCTCTTCTCTAATGTTATTCTTCCAATCTATCCTCCTGCTCTTGAAATCGAGTATAATCTGCACTGCAGTTACCATTGCGTTACTGAAAAACTCTCCCCACACCCTCTCCCTCTGCCTTGTCCCAAGCCACTTCGCATACTCCTCCTGCTTTGACCCTTCAAATCCTAGTCTCCAAACAAGCTGCTGCCCGTCTTCTACTGCCATCGCCGCGTATGCTAACGGTATCACAACATTCGGCCACTGACACCCATTATCCCACTTCTCCCCCGTTGCACAGTACTTCTGACTTACCCAGCATCGCCTACAGCTATGCCCTCTGCCTCCATCGCGAATCTTCCGCCTAAAGTCATCTACAACTCTCACGTTCACTTCTGCATCCCGCTCGCACCCTATCATCCGATGCCCTTTCCAAGTCTCCCTGTCTTCCACCTCTTCACATTGCCCAAATAGCCAGCAATTCGCACAGCCCTGCCGCAGCTCGTCTAGCATATTTCGCACCTTCTCCCACTCCCTACCTGCGCTTTTGATGAGGGAGTATTTTGTGATAAGGGCATTGTTGTATTGAAGCTATCAGAGCGGGGCGATATCTACAGTGCGCTAGTGTGGGAGCTAATCAAACGAGCTGACTAATGAGAGCACTGCCTGTGCGGACACACCCCCACAGCGAGTGAATTGAAGCTCCGGGATGCTATTATGCCTGTGCGCCTGTTGTCGCCCATACCCCTCCATTGTATTTAGTTCTTGTTGTTGTTGTTGTTGCCAGTCAGCCCGTTGGTGACAATCGTTGGTTTGCCGAGGCCGAGGTGGTGTAGGAAGCGCTCGTGAGCTACGCGATCGAGAGGCTTGGTGAGACCGTCGGCGGCCATTGCTGTTGTGCGGACGTGTTCAACCTTGAGGTGACCATCGCGGACTCGCTCCTTGATGTAATGGTAATAGATGTTGACATGCTTAGTGCGCTCGTGGTGGCCGTTGCTGTGGAGGAGCTTGATGGAAGGCTCATTGTCGCCGTACAGCAAGATTGGGTGAGTGTCATCAGACTTATAGTCCAACTGGTGGAGTAGCCGATGGAGCCATGTAGCTTCTTTGGCTGCAAAGGTCATAGCCACGTACTCTGCCTCAGTTGTAGAGGTCGTGACGAGCTTCTGCTTGGTGGACCTGTGACACACTGTACCACCTGCGAGCTTGAACAGGTAGCCAGACGTGGACTTCCGGTCTTCTCTGTCGGCGAAGGAGGCATCGCTGTAGCCGTGGAGACCAAGGTCAATGGGAGCAGACTTGACGTACATGTCGATGGATAGCTTCTTGCCTCCAGGCGGAGCCTTGTACGTCATGACGAGGTCCTTGTAAGTCTTGAGATAGTCGATGACCTGGAGAGCGTAGTCATAGTGGAGCAGCGTGGGGTTACTCATCGCGCGCGCGAGAAAGCCGATGTGGAAGGAGATGTCCGCCCGTAGCTGTGTTGCTGGATAGAGCAACTTACCAATGATAGTCTGGTAGTTGCGGAGCTGTTGCAGAGGCGCACGATCATCTGCGGGACGCGTCTTGAGTTTGAGTACTGCGACGTCAAGGGGAGTATGGCGTGCTGCAGAGTTTTCGCGCTTGTAGTCGCTGATGAGCTTGTCGATGTACGACTCCATGGAGAGCTCAATGGAGCGCTGCTTTCTATCGCGACGAATGCGGATGCCCAGGTAATGGGAGATGGGGCCAAGGTCTCGACACTTGTACTTGTCGAAGACTTGCTTCTTGACCTCCTCCATGCGATGGCGAGTCTTGGTGATGAAGACGATGTCGTCGACGTACGCAAGGATGATGCTGCCGTCGTTGTGCTTGAAGACACATGGGTCAGCTTCTAGTGGCGTGAAGCCAATCGTGTTGAGAAAGCGAGAGAGCTCCTCATACCAGAGTCGTGGTGAGCGGCGGAGACCGTACAAGGCCTTCTGGAGTTGTGCTTTGCGACCGTCTGGCAGTCTAATGTACACAACTTCGTCCTTGTCGAGTTTGCCGTTGAGGAAAGCCGTGATAACGTCAGCTTGGTCGCACTCCAGGTCCAGGGCAGCAACCATGGCTAGGAGCACTTTCAGTGTAGTGGCTCGCGCGACAGCGGCATAGGTCTCTTGCCAGAGGTTGACGTCCTGACGATTGCCGCAGACCACAAGGCGTGCCTTTAGTCGCTCAAGCTTGCCGCTGTCGGACAGCTTGTACTTGTACACCCACTTGGTTGGCAATGCCCAGTGACCGCTCGGCAGAGTTACGACAATGACCCAAGTACCATTGTCGTCATGAGACTGGTACTCCGCGCTTTCAGCTTCAATCCATCCGTCCTTGTAGAGGTGTTGGCGAGCCTGCTTCAGTGAGGTTGGCTCTGGCGGCAGCTCGACTCTTGTAGTGGTCGGCGCGTTGACTATGGCGGAGGCGAAACAACGAGCAAGTTGTGGCGTGATGTGTGGGTTGTGAAGGGCAATGGCCACGTAGAGGTGGTGTGCGGGCTTACGGGTTCGCCTTGTGTGGAGGATGTTGCAATTATTGATGTCGCCATCAATCTCTGCGCGGCGAGCTGCCTGGTTACCGCCACGTGTGGCATTGGCGATGGCTTCAACTGGGACGTACTCATAGCTAGGGTGTGGAGGAGAAGCGCGTGCGTTGGCAACCGCTTCAAGGCTATTGTCGTCTGGTTCGTGGACTGTGAGGTTGTCAATATTTGCGTCAAAATCGAAGCTAGAGGCCTCGGTGAGACCACCAAAGTTGAAGCCGCTGCCTTGTTCAATGCCATCGACACCCACATCGTCTTCTTGACGGTGGGGTTGCGGCTGCGGAAGCGTTTGTAGTGGACGAAACGGGATGTGGACTGAGACTTCTTGCTTCTCATTGTCGTCTGTTGAAGGTCGCTCAATAGTGGCGAGCCTGTGACATGCCCACTGTACGCTGCTGGTACGGTGCACTTTCTTGCTGACAGGGTCCCACATGAGGAAGATGCGTGAGCCTTCACGGCCCACGTAGTACATCTTGGTGGCGCGTGGATCGAATTTTGCGCTCTGTATACGGGTTTGTGCGGGCTTGTGTACGTAGCCTGTCTCACCATAGGTGCGGAATGAGTGTAGGTTGGGTACCGGATTTGGCACGCCCATATGCTCAAAGCGTAGTTGTGCTGGAGTCTTGCCGCCCGGCAGAGCCGCGTTGGGAGTGTGGTTGACGAGTTCGACAGCGTAACGTGCCGCCATCGGCCACATGTTCTTGGGTAGGTGAGGAGCAGCGACGCCCATAGCACGAGTGCGCGACTCAATGATGCGGTTGCTGGACTCGGCTACACCATTCTGGTGAGGTGTCCTTGGTGTGGATAGCTCCAGGACTGTACCGCGACGCTCAAAGTCGGCGTAGGCACGCTGATTGACTAGCACTGTGTCGTTGTCAACGTGTAGGATGGCTACAGTAACGTCGTACTGGGTTTTGGCTCGGTCAAGGAAGGAGAAGAGCCTGCCTGTGATGCTCTGCTTGTCGTCAGTAATGTCAATCCACCTGTAACGAGTACAGTCGTCGGTGTAAATGATCCAATACTTCTCACCCCCAGGTCCTGTTGGTGTCATCGGACCAACAATGTCGATGTGTACGCGGTGCAGGAACTTGGTGGAGTGGTTGGGCTTGACGCGAGAGATTTGCTGTTGTGAGTTACCGAGTAAGCAGGCTTCGCATGAGAAGGGCTTGACATCCGTAAGGCGCAGGCCAGTGGTGCTGTCAACCAAATGGCGAAGCGTACGGACGCCAGCGTGACCAAACAGGTCATGGAGGTCACGAAGTGAGATATCTCGAGTTGGTGTTAGCATGCTGTTACGTGTCTTAGTGTTGACTGCTGCAAAAGCAAGTGACTGAGCGGTCTGGAGCTCGTCGCCAGCAAGGAGAAAGGTAGGGATCTTGTCGACTTCTGGTGTGTAAGCGACTTCGGTGTCATAATTGTCACGGCGGAGGTATAGCTTGTGATCGTAACCGTGATAGTAAAGGTTCTTCTCACGCAGCACTGAGTGTGACAGTACAGAAACAAACATCTGTGGCGCGTACAGCACGTTGGAGAAAGAGACTTGTTCGCTTGTACCGTCGGAGCGGAGGACTGTTACCTTGATAGTGCCCTTCTGTGTGATTGTAATTGGACCAGCGCCGGTGTTGATAACAGCGTAATAGCTGCCTCGATCGAAGCTGGTGAACTTACTGTGGTCGTTGCAAAGGTGATCGGTGGCTCCAGTGTCGAGAATGAGACGGTTCTGGTACTCACCGCGTCCAGCAAGCTCGCGAACCGTGTTGCTGATGTCGACTACGGGGGTTGTACGAGCTGTAAAGAACATGAGACCGTTGTGAGGCTGAAAATATGAGTTGTCCTTCACAGCGGCAGCGTTGGCGCCGCCTTTCTTGGTCTTGATGTAGTCGGCGTTCTTGTCACGCCATTCCTGTGTGGCCTTCTCAGGGAAGGTGTACCAGCAGTTATCGCCGCCGCCATAGTGCGTACGGTCACAGTGCTTGCAGTGAGCTCGCGCGATGGTTGACTTACTATCGCCTGTCTGTTGGCGATCACCAATACTGGCGCCGCCTCGACCTCCACGTCCCCGTCCACGGCTACCGCGGTGGCCGCCCTGACCCCTCGTAGGACCACTGTTGGTTGGGTTGTTGTTGTAGTCACCCCCAGCTTGCTGTTTTGTTGCGGCGTAAGCTGACTTGATGGGATCATCGCGGCGGGCTTCATCCAGGAGCTCCGCACACATCTTGTGGATGTCGGGCATGGTATCATTACGGAGGTCAGCGCGGCGTTGGCGTGCGTAGTCTGGGTATGCGGTGTCAATTGCGAGGATGAATTGGTATACTGCTTGCTTGTCAGTGAGCTTGCAGTCTTGAATGTGAGTGAGCCTGGCTAAGCCAGCTTTGAACTTGTCGACGAATGTAGTCGTAGTATTGCACTCATGGGCGCGCAGTTTGAAGAAGTCAGCCCAGATGGAGCACTCCTCTGTCACGCCTTGATCCCTATATCGGGCAATGATAGTATTGAACTGGTCCGCGACATCTGTGAGGTCATTGACGCTCTCATAGATGGGTTGCGGTACCGTGGACAACAGCACGAGTTCAAGCGCAGCGCAGGCGGATTGCCAGCGTCGGTATTGTGCCCAGTCACGGCTGTACTGCTCTTTGATGAGTCGGTTGTGTTCGCGGACGCTGATCTGAGCAGCCCTGAGTTGCACTTCGTCTGTGTATACGCTGTTGATCGTGGATGGCTCCATTTGAGTTAGGCCTTTGATGACGGTGGGTTCTTCCCACGTGCCGTTGAGGAGGCCACTGTAGCCCTGTGACTTGGCATACAGTTGAAAGGCACGCTCCCAATGGAAATGATTAGTACCATCCTGTCGCAGCTTTGGTACGATGCTGTCAGACAGTGACATGGTGTTGGTTGTATGGGGGGGAGGTGGAATGGATGGCGGGGTAGCTCCGTCTTTTGGTGGGGTAGTTGCTGAGTGCGGAAACGCCTCTCTCAACACCAGGAAGGCGCTGCGATAGTACCTGCGCTATTGACAAGGTGTACTACTGCACGGTCGCGATCGCGGTCGTTAAGAGAGGGCTCATAACCTGATGAGGGAGTATTTTGTGATAAGGGCGTTGTTGTATTGAAGCTATCAGAGCGGGGCGATATCTACAGTGCGCTAGTGCGGGAGCTAATCAAACGAGCTGACTAATGAGAGCACTGCCTGTGCGGACAATTACATAGCTTCTGCCCTACCCAGACCACGTTCCTGCTCATCTACTTCTACCGCATCGACCTTACTGGAGATCTTATCCATTCACTCAAGTGAGACACCCTTCGTTTCAGGCAGGATGAAACATACCGAGATCTGAACATCACAAGTTAGCAGTTGGTCTGATGGGACAATACAAAGCGGCTGCAGATTCCTCAACTACCAACAGCATAGTGTTGAGGCCGCAAAGGAGCCAGTAGCCATTTCTCCTAACCTGCGAACTGAAGTGTGACCAGGGCTGCGTCAGAGCGAGCAAACATACAGTCTGGCCAAGAAGGGAAGATCCAAATGCCTTGTCCCGAACTTCTGTGGGAAAAATTTATTTTCAGGGTAAGCTACTGGATAGCTATCATCAGGATAGAGAAGTATTGCCTCTGTAGTAATGGCCGGTGGGATTGGACCATTTGACCAGCAGTAGGTGAAGTCTACGACGAACAACATCGCTACTTCAACAACAGCGGCGACCCTATTGTTGTTTTCCGGAAAAGCATTTGTAAGGGACGACAGGATGAGCAGTGTGGTGGCTTGAATGGCGAATCCAGCTAAGAGGAGTGCCCTTCGCCCAAACTTATGGACAGTGAAAGTGTTGACGAGAAACGATTACCAGCTGGAGCGCAGCTTGGATCCCGTTGATGGATAAGGCCTGACTTCTTTAGTCCCCTACCGAACGTCAGCATCTGGAACTGTCAAGTCGAAAAAGATAGAGAGACTGCACTTGCATCCCAGGCTCTGGTATATAAGCGCTGCGTACATATTCAAAGCCGCGATACCACCAGCCTGATGGAGCGACCTCGCGTAAAGGCTATACAATAGCGTTTTCGCATCCCTTTCGACTTGAAGATACCTTTGTATCCGGTATCGAAGCGAGCACAAGCTTGCTGAGCGGCGATGAGCTCATGGTACTCAGCAAGTACGTCATCTGAGTTTTCGTCGCCCATTCTCAGCTTGCATAGTACTCGCAGTACTCGGCCTGGGTTGTCGGGCTGCTTCTCGAGAAGTGTCGGAGGGAGTGAAAATATCCACCGATCACCATCTGTTTGCTAGCGGTCCGTTGCAGCGTTTGCTGACGGTCCACTGCACTGATTGTCCAGCTCATTCGGTTAGCTCGGTTTGCTTCCCCAACCCTTCACTGCTATCCCATTCTACTATATGGACTCGATCGATTCTAGCCAATAGCTCTTAAGATCAATCAACACAATCCACTCACTTCAACAAGAAGCCACTGTTGGTCGTCAGCACCGATGTATGGCCTCCAACCAGCGAGCTTTTAACTTACTCCAGGACTTTCAGGATACCAAAGATTGAGAATGATGAATGCAAGGCCAATGGGAAGCTGTATGAGGTTCGACACACACAAGGCGATGTTGAATGGCTATTTGTCATAGCTCATGCCATAGCCACTCCAGAACGCGATCAGTGTCCCCAACTGATATCCGAACCGAGTGACGGTACCAACAAAGCTGCCGCGGAGCATGAGCGGCGCAGGCTCAGCCACGTACAGCGTCGTAACAATGTACACACAGCCAAAGCCGAGGCCAGTAAGCAAATGACCAAAAATGAGGATGTCATACGTGGTTGGGACACTCTGGACAATAACGCCAATTCCCATAACCACTATGGAGATGCGGAGCGCCCAAAGCCTCCCAACGAGGCTGGTGAGTGTGCCGCCAATGAACAGCTGAGCCAGATTTGTGGTAGCCCAAAGGCACAACAGCTACAGTGCCCGTCCAGTCCGCATCGACGTTGTAGTACTCGACGAACTGTTGATCCGTCAGGATGACTGTCATGATGCCTTCGCATTGTCAGCATCAAAATTGTAGCCAGGATGAGGACTACATACTTGCATCGTAGCCGTTGAAGCAAGTCGCAAGGACCATGTCACAGAGCAGCAGAGCCGCATAGCGGTCGTTCTTTGGCAAGAATTTCTCCAACGGCCCCATGATGGGCAACTGCTCTGGTTGCAGTATTTGTAGAAGCTGTCAATATGTAGCTCGAAGCCGGTTGGGCAGGTTATGTCATGAGGCTTTCAAGGGTCCCAATAAGGTTAATGTACTACATGAAGGATGATGCATCGCGGAGGAGATGCGGAGAGTACGAATCGGGGTGAATAAAATCCGACTGGACAAAGCGTGCGGAGAAGAACCATGCCAACACGCCTACGTTGTGGCTCTCAAGCCACCGGGTCATTAAGCACAGCTACTGAGTGCACAAAACCTCAAGTTGAGAGCGTCGGCAGATGAATGAAAGAGAGCTTGGGGCTCCGGTGGACAGAGCATCACTATCGTCTATCTGGGCGTCATGGCATTGCATGGCGGAATAATTTAGTAAGTTATATAGTCTGGCGACGCCCATTCTGAAAACACATTGGCTATCTCTCCCTTATCTACGCCCTCGTCCATTGTGGCGCACCCACAGGGTGCATTCCGCAACACAACGTTCACTGGAAACTCAATACTAATGTCCAGGCGCAACACAGTTGCAAGCACGACACTCAAGACACAACTTGACCAGTTCAAGACAACAGGTCGTTACAACTGCTTTGAGTTGAAATGGCATCCAACGTAGGATGGAAAATCTATGTGGCCAGTGTCAAAACACCTTTTCTGGGACAGCGACCTTGCCGAGTGGATAGAAGGTGCTTGTTACTTTCTGGAAAATCACTATGACGAGGAGATCGATGCCGCCATCCAGTACATTGTCAGGACCATACGATCTGCTCAGCAAGATGATGGCTACCTGAACCTGCACTATACAGTCGTCGACCCGAAAGGCAGGTGGTCAAACTTCAGAGACATGCACGAGTTGTACAGTTGTGGTCATTTGATCGAGGCGGCACTTGTCCATCGCAACTATTACAAGAATGACCGAGCCACTCCGTGAAGTACGTCCGCTTGGTCAACAACACTTTCAGACCGGAAGAAGGCAAGTTTCACGGTTACCCTAGACACTCCGAGATCGAGATGGCATTGCTTCAGTTATACACAGAAACCGGCAATGGAGATACATACAAGCTTGCACAATACTTCATTGAAGAGCGCGGAAACCCTGCCGGGCAAGAAGGCAAGCTTTACTTTGACTAGAAAGCTGGGCAAAGACAAGAGAGCCCGTGGAAACGTCCCAACCCTTACAACAAGGCAGGCGCACTTTAGTACAGCCAATCACACGCACCCATTCTTAAGCAGCAGACCATCGAAGGTCACTCAGTGCGTGCGTTATATCTCCTCACTGCCGTTGCGGATCTGCTCTGCATCGAGAAGAAAGGCTTGAACTTGATGACCAAGTCCTCAGAATGGCTTGGTGCTCTGCACCTCCTATGGGACAACATGGTCGACAAGAAGATGTCGGTCACTGGTGGCGTAGGCGCGGTTGAACAATGGTAAGGCTTCGGTGTTGACTATTTCCTGCCGCAATCGACTGACGAAGGCGGCTGCTACAACAAGACGTGTGCATCCATCGCGATCCTGTTCCTCGCGGAGCGGTTGTTGGGCATCGGACTCGACGGCCGATACGGCGATATCATAGATCTCTGTCTGTACAACAACGTCATGACAGCCATGAGCCTAAATGGCAAAGCGTTCACCTACGTCAACCAGCTCGGTAGCTCAGAAGCGGACAAGAGCGGACGCGAAGACTGGTTCTGGTGCGCCTGCTTCCCACCGAACTACAGCCGTTTATTTGGCAGTCTTGGAGGATACCTCTGGCACTTCGGTCAGCAAGATAAGGGAGCATACATCAACGTGCATCTCTACACGTCAGCGAAAGTAGCATGTGCAGCAGACGAGGGCCCAATCGAGCTTGAGCAGTCATCAAACTGGCCTTGGGACGGCACCGTCTCTTTCACACTCCAAAATAAGAATCAAGTTCCTATCATCGTCAGACTGCGAATTCCAGCTTGGGCGAACAACTTCACCCCTCGACCCACCATTCCCAGCGAACACCAAGTTGTCTCCAGTTGAGAAAAGCTACCTCAGGCTTCCGCCAGGCTACCCCATCACAAACCCCAGATTCACCCTCAAGATCTCAGGCTTCAAATCGCGCTGGAAACAACCCTAGCCCTACACTAACCAAAACACACTCTTTCTGCGCGCGGCCCCGTGATATACTGCGCCGAAGACACACACGACTCCTGGGAAACGAACAACTTCAAGGACGTCGTGGTTAAACTCGGGTCGCCAGTCAAAGAGGAGGTCAGGACGTGGGAACCGACTGGAGAGACGTACGTGGCACTTCACACAAAGGCGTGGACGAGGTCATTGGGTGCTTGGGAGGGGCAGGCGGGCGCTGATCCGACGAGGAAGATGGGGGAGGTGGGGTTGAAATGATCAAGGGGTAAACGTAGATACTTTCTGCATCTTGGGGAGATTCATAAATTCTCTATCAGCCTCAGGAGATGAGATAGACTACTTTGGGTATATACATGAATTGGACGTCGATCTTTCCAAATCATCTTTCCAAGATCTGTCTAGGAAAGTCACGAGCTCCTTTGTGATATAACATGATACACCAGCTTCCCAACTCTTCAAAGAGAGCTGGAGGCACACAAAGATTACAAACTCGTCCCCCACCCCTGTCTAAACATCCACGCCGTCTTCGCAGCCGCCACACCTCCCCAAACTCCCACTCCCAAGTCTTCCCAACCCAGTGCCCAAACGCACCCCGCAACGCCCCAACTGAAACTCAGTGTCTCGAGAATCAGCACAACCCTCTCGCTGCCCCTAATAGAATCGTTGAATTTCTCTACGAACGGGATTTTGGTCTGTGTAGACTCGTTCCAGAAGTTCGCCATATGTGTGCGTGCGGTGTAGAGCCCGGCGCCGAGCGCCAAGCTGGTGACGCCGAGGGTTGTGGGGGTGTGTTTGGAGGTGAAGAAGGGGAGGACGGATGCAGCTAGGAAGGAGAGCGCCAGCTATAAATCCGTTAGCCACTGAATGCTATCAATGCGAGAGATGTCTACACGCGTGACGTCTATGAGGACAATTTAGGGAAGACGTACGGATAATGTCCCGCTGGTCTGCGTTGTGCGCGTCTTGTGCAGGCGCTGGGCTGCAGTGTTACTCCATTCTGCTGCCTTCTTGGATTGCTCTTCGTATTGCTGCAGCCGCGTGATGTTTTCCTTGCACAGGTAAAGACCGTATGCTGAGAGGGCGGAGGCGAAGAGCAGGGGCGGAAGGGTGCTAATGGTGGATATGGAGTCGCTCATAGTGGATTAGATGCTCTAGATGCTGTCCGGGTTGATGTTGGACGAATACCGGCGGTATGCAGAAAGTGTCGTGCTCTGGAGGAGAAGTGTAATGTTCAAATGATGCAGCTTGATCGCCCTCCTACGTCATGTTCCTGGGCCAGATCTCGCGTATCGATTGACTATGGACAGGGGCCCAACGACCCCTCCATGATTCCCAATAATTTTGACGATAGATGCCGAGGTGAACAAAAACAACAACGTCCAATACCAAGCACCCACGATGTCGAACCCCGAACACCTCAATACCTCCGAACTAGGCACAAAATCCTACTGGGATGCCGCCTACACCACCGAGCGCCAGAACTTCTCCTCGAACCCCGACGACGAAGGCACAATATGGTTCAGCGATGCGGGCGCTGAGGAGCGCATGCTCTCTTTTCTCGATACCCTGTCAGACGAAGGACAACTACACAAAGACAATACAAGCGACGAGACTCCAACGCGGTTTCTGGATCTTGGGACAGGAAACGGACACTTGCTGTTTGCGCTGAGAGAGGACGAGTGGGAGGGGGAGATGGTGGGTGCGGATTATGCGCCGCAGAGTGTCAAACTTGCGAATGAGATCCGCGAATCAAAGGGCGAGGAATATACGGACATTCAGTTCCACGAATGGGATCTTCTTGGCGAAGAGGCGGGAGCTTGGTTGGGTGATGGGTTCGATGTGGTGCTGGACAAAGGGACGTTTGATGCGATCTGCCTTGCGCAGGAGACCGATGCACAGGGGCGCAGGATATGTGAGGGTTACAGAGAGAAGGTGGAGAAGCTGATCAAGAAGGGTGGCAGGTTTTTGATCACGAGTTGCAACTGGACGGAAGAGGAAGTCAAGGGGTGGTTTGACGTGGAAGGAGGCGAGCTTGTGTATGAGAGCAAGGCGAAGTATCCAAGCTTCACATTTGGTGGGAAGACAGGGACAAGTGTTTGCACGCTTTGCTTCAAGCGCAAGGCCTGAGCTCCCGAAACTGTTCGGCTGTTCAGCTCTTCGGCCGCTGTCTGCGTTGACTAGACGGCCCGCCGCCGTATCCTTGACACCACCAGCCACTTCTTCCGCTCGCCGATGTTCTCTCTCCCTCCGTCTCGCTCCTTCGCCCAGGGCCGCCGCACGCCGTCTGCGTCCATCTCGTACATCTCTTCCACCTCGAGCCCCTGCTGAGGAACCACCTCCTCAAAAAATGGTACAAGCTTCGCCCGGCCCGTATGGAACCCGGCTATACACAGAACCCTGGCATCTGGGACATCTGCGAGGAAGTGGAGCATCGACTTTGCCAGATTCTCGTGCTCTCCGAGCATCCATAGACAATCTGCTGCCAGGACGCGTGTATATTTGTGTGCATTCGTACGAGCGAAGTCGGAGGAGACGTCTCCCCAAAGGTGGCCTTCGACGGTAACTCGAGACTGGAAGGGTTCATTGAGGTTCTTCGTGACGTTGGTCTTGGCGGCCTCGAGGATCGGTGGAGCTGGGTAGTCGGTAATAGTAACCTTAGAGAATGGTCAGTAAAAGATATACCTAAACAAAACAGAGCTTGCCATACTTCTCTGGCGCCAGCGAGTGCACTCATAACACCGCCCAGCCCTACCCCTGCATCGATGTTCCATCAGCCTTCTCTTCTCTTTCTGCGCTCAGCCCAACGCACCTGCACCAAGCTCAATCACACTCTCGCCCTCCACGTTCCATAATATCTCTTCCTCCTTACTCATCCACCACTCGCCGTTCTTCCGTCCCTCGTTTCCAAAAACAGCTATCGGCGTAGCCGGCCCCTCCTCTGGCCTCCCGCCTACCAGCTCAGCCATCAGCACACCAGCATTCCACAGGTAGTGCGCCATCTTCCGTCTCTCCTCCTCGCCATTTATTTCCGCAGTTCTGAACTCGAGATTGCCGTGTCGCGCGTTCTTGTATACGATGACAGTGTCTGGGTCATCGCCGTGTTGGTTCTGCAGGTCGTCGGTGAAGACGCCGCCAAGTGAGGAACCGAAGATGTCTTCTGGGTCGAGGTCTTTGCCTTCCGGTCGCCGGAGGTCAATCAACGTGGGGAGCAGCATTGCGCGTGTATGCTAGTGGTGGTATTTTGATCGACTTTGAGGACGACGGAGAGGCCGCGGATATGAGGTGGGGCAGCTTGTGTAGCGGCGACAGGGATATCGCGTTGGAGCATGTCAATGAGCTCATCATCGACCGAGCGCGATTGCGGACCACCGAGGTTACACGCATATAGATCTTGCGCCACTACCACCACTCAAAGATACACTTTTTGTATACATCTACTTCTCCTGTAGACGTCAATACTGCTATAAACTCTTGCGACCAATAATACAACCACACTACGCCTGATATACCTACACACTCTTGATAAGCATCAGCTGTTCCCACTGCCAAGCATGGCTTCATATTCATTCAAGAACCCGGCCACATACCACTTACTGAGGTTCGCGTTTTTTTTTTACAATCATTCCGTCCACAATCTGACACATGCTAGTTATGGCACCCTCCTCGGCTCCACGCTCTTCCAGTCCTTTATCGCCGGCGTCGTAGCCTTCAAAGTCCTCCCGCGGCCCCAATTCTCCACACTCCAAAAACACACATTCCCTGTGTACTTCACGCTCCAAACGGTTACACCGCTCGCCATGCTGCTCACCTACCCGTCCGGCGCATCTCGTTTGGTGCCTTACCTATCGTCCACGCCCGTTCTGCAATCGCCGACAGATAGGCTGAATGTCTGGCTCGTTGGCACGATGCTGTTCACTGCTGTTGCGAACTTGGTGTATGTTGGACCCAAAACAACGGAGATTATGAGCGTGAGGAAACATCAGGAGACGCGGGATGGAAAGGCGGCGTATGACAAGGGGCCGCATAGCAAGGAGATGCAGGCGTTGAACAGGCAGTTTAGTATCTTGCATAGTATTAGCAGTGTTACAAACCTTGTGGGTCTAGGCGCGATGGTTTGGTATGGGGCGGTTTTGGGCGCGGGGTTGAGCTTTCAACATGTTGCGTTGTAAATGTGTAGGCGCGGTGGAGAAGACGACTTGGAAGCATGTCTGCGGTAGTGCTGATTGATTGGTTTAACGTCCTATCTGAGTCTAAAACTATGGAAGACGAACCTGCGGTAGTGTATATATAGAGAAATGTCTATAAGAGGATGCGTAAGTGGTCGCTTGAAGTCTGTGTCTGTTCGATAGCTGCAATGACAAATGCACCTCAATGAACACCATGGGTCTAAGCCATATGGGTGGGATATTTGCGTCTTCGACGATCACTCCATCCCACTCATCTCCCGTACCAATCGAACACTATCGGCCTCCCTAACCCACTCCTCAATCCTCGCCCCCACATCCCCTACAAGACGCTCGTACGTCTCGTTCACAAAGAACAGACTCGTGTGTGCAGCTACTTCATCCATGCCCTCCATGTACACGCGGACCCACGTGGGATCTTTGTGCCCAGAGCTATCCTTAGGAGGCAGCATGCAGAACTTGCCGAGCTTCTTCTCCTTTTGTTTCTTCTTCTCTAACTTGGTTTCGCTCGATTCGGCAGTTTCAGTGGTATTGGAGGTGAAGTTTGAGTCGGTTATGGATGCTTGGTCGTCGGGCGAGGCTTGGCTGAGGATTGCGCTGCGGGAGAAATCGTAGCTCGAGTACGGGCTGCGAGAGGGTGAGTCACCGAGTTGCATGATGTGGAGACCAGATTCCAGACCCGGTGTCTCTACATTCAATGGTTCCTGGGCGCTGGCCGTGGTGTCTTCGCTTGGTGGATGGTACTCCCTCCCTTCGAGTCGCGCTTGTTCTCTTGCCATCCTCTCCTTCTCTTTCTCCAGCCTTAGCTGCTCTCCTGTCAACTCGGATTTCGATTTCGGTTGCTGGAGCGGCACTGTGGCTTTCTGCTGGCGTTGCTTCTCCCATTCTTCTTCGATGTCTTCTCGCTCGTTGATGATTCTGTTGCGCGCTCTTACTGCTTTATGGTATTCTTCGAGTGCTTCGTCATGCTCCCTTTCAGCAGTTCGTCGTTGAGTTCTGTCCGTGATCTGCGCGAGGTCTACAAAGGGTGGCTCTTGTGGTATGGGTGGGATGTCCGGTAGAGCTGGACCTTCTGTGTCCTGTTCTGGGAAGCTTTTCTGCGGGCTGGTCGCAGAGAGAATGTCTTGCGGCGTAACGGGAACGATTTCTGATCCACGGTGCTCCTTGACATCGATTGATAATCGTGGAGGAGTGCTTGAACCTGAGTTCACCTTTTTTAGATCTTGTTGTGTTTCTGTGATAAGCCCGCTCGCATCACTGTCACCATGCTGCAGTGCTACGCTGCCCGGGCGAGAAGGCGATGGACTCTTTGGCGATTTAGGCTTCTTCGGCCTGCCTGTACTCGCAGTATAGTAGTTGACAAACCGTATCCGTGGCGGTGATTGCACATCCGGGTTGCCCATTCTCCGTTTTGTCTCGTCGTCCTCTTCAAGAGCCCGCACCCTTGCATATCTGTCTTTCAGCTCCTTATAGTCGGCCATGGCACTGCCAAACTCAAAATGTGACTTGACTAGCCCCTTTCCAGCCTCCTTGATGTTATTTGAGTGCTTGTTGAACCAATGTAACGCATTGTCCAAACCTTTGCGCACTGGTAAGTGAACATCGTTGGTGAATGATGGGTTGTAGTTGGGGTCTGCAGGTTTTGGGTTGAAGATTGTACTCATCCGGCTAGGCTTGGTTCCTGTCGAGGGCGATGTAAGTATGTGATCTTGAGGTGGTGGCACTTTTGTGAAGATGCTGCCTAGTCCTGCTTTGATAATGCCAGGATGCATGCCAACAAAAGGGACATCAAAGTTGATGATGCCGATAATGCGGTGACGGAACAGCAAAGCAACATCTGCAGCAAGTAGTCCCCCCATGGAGTGACCAAGAAGAATAACGTCCGTCCATTGGTCTTCGTGTGGTGCAAGCCTACCATAGATCAGTCATACATCTAGTAAACGCTAGTGTATTGGAAGCTCACCATGCAGAGAACTGATCTCTGGCCTGCTCAAGACTATATCGCGCTCGATATCTGGGGTAGATCTTGGTATGAACCACGTGCGTATCCGCGAGTGTTACGGTGACGAGATTGTGCACGTGCGCCGGGAAGCTCCTAAAACTTGTCTCATTACCCATGAAGCCATGGATGTACACCAGCAGTATACGGCGGCGGCCCGTATTCTCCAAGGTAGGGTCTGGGATCAGCGATTGTGTCGATGAAGATCGAGGATCCTGTGACGACATAGCCATGACCGATGTGTAGCTGGGAGGTGAGCTCATCTCGTTTGATTGTGAGGCTCGTGGTGGAAGAGGCGGCGGTGCTCTTCTGTTGTTGCTGTTGGCTTCATCCTGGTTTGCGAGATTCGACAGCGACGTCATTTTCATTTTGGGCGAGCGGTGAGTGGCTGCGCATAGCGCTGAGCTGGCACACAATCAGGAAGGATGCATGGTTTGTCAATTCAGGTGGCTACAGAGAAAACGTGTTTGGTGTCGACCTGAGAGTCGCAATAGTGGCGGTGCAGAACGCGCGGGGTTGAACGTTGAGAATCCGACAGCAGCTGGGCTAACTTCAATGTTTACGAAGTACGACAGCAATACGACCGCAAATCAGCGTGCAAACCACAACAACGACGAGAAGCCTCCGAGATTCGATTCTGAGATGCAGAGCCTCACTTTCACGTGAGCAACAATTGATCTCTTCACGTGAGCAGCGACGCGTGGATGGGGACGAATTGCGACAGATCACACGAACAAAGGGAAATTTGGCCGTGCAGTCCCGCAGACATCCCTTCCCCGTACGATAGCGCTAGACTACTGAAGCAATTCGAACGGATCCCCAGCCAATCGTCGAACCCTGAAGGGGGATGGATAGCCAGACAGCCGCTCACGCTTGGCAATACATTTCCGAAGCCACGCAAGGCTGGAAGCGGCATGGTGTTGTAAGGAACAGAAACAGCAGGCTGACTCTTGTTGGTAGTGTCCGTCGCGCAGAAGGTCGGGTGCAACGACGGAGGGTAGCTATTATAGGATGGTGGCGCGTAAAGAAATGATCAGACTTCTGCGCGTGGGTCTTGCGGGAGCTTCAAAAAGGCGCGTTCCTGAATCTGCCATGGATGTCCGTTGACGGTTCAGGTGGTGCGAGGGCCTCCTTCTGCTGCAGGGTCGGAACGGCAGGTGCAGCCTGGCTAGCACTAACGAGGGGTTTGGACGGCAAACATGACCTGCAGACTCAATGCACTCTCCACTTCACTGACTGAGAGTTCTGAACGGCAACAGAATGCTGCTGTGCCTAAGCGCAGAAGCGTGAATGAAGATCAACACTCCCCCCTTCAAGCGTTTCAAGCTTCCTTTAACACGCCCCTCGTGGTCAGAGTGTCTCTGCGCATCATTGTACTGGAAATAGAAGAGCCCACGGACGGGGGCCCACCAGTATACGAAAGCAGGCCAATCTCGCTTCACCCAATCCCAGCAATCAGCGCGCCCGTCCTACAGCAAACAGCCCAGGCTCTCGCTGCTCACTCGCCGCTGCTTGCATCTCTTTTCACCTGCACGGCGTGCTTGTCTCCAGAGCCCTCGTGCCTCTCCACCTCACCCAAACTTCCACTGCGACGTCGACAAACCGCCCTCCCCAGTGCGCCAGGCAACGGGAGGAGAACAGAGATAGACAGTATTGCGTACCTTTGTTTATAGTGCAGGACTTTGCGCGCAGGCCCCCTTAGGTTCAGACTGCAACCTTTAGTCCGCCCCGTCGCACACCACGCCTTAGGCCCCCGCCCCGTCCGCCTGTTGCACCATCCACACAGCGCACCGACTGTAGCAAACCACTCGCCATAGCGAGCCTTGCTGTCTCATAGTCCCGGCCCCCGCCCACCTGCTCGCGTAGGTAAACACCATCGCGCAGCTCATGCTGGTCCATTGACCGCGTCCAGGTGTGTACAGTGTGTGCTGCATCGTGATGCGCCGCGCATTCTAATCGTTGCTCTCACCAGTCACTCCTTCACCAGCCAGAGCTTCCAGAGCTTGGCAGCCGTTCGCTTCTCGACATTCACTCGCAAACCACGCGCACCATCCATTGCATCCATTGATTGGACTCCTGCATCGGCCAACGCCTATACGTCCCCTCATTAGCACCGCCTAGCATCGCTTGCGACTAACACCAACTGGATTCAATCATTCGATGCCCATGTTCCGCGAACACATCCAATCCATCATCACTACCACTCTGGAAGCATCGTTTGCGCGCAAGTAGCGTTCATCCATGGACCACATCATCGCACCTTTTAGATCTAGAGTCGACTCACGCAACCACCGCCACGCGCAATATACACTAACAGAGAAAGAGTTGGACAGGAGAACGAAGCCGTACGAGGAAGAGGAGGATTACGCAGACGAGCCATTGTTGATTAGGGAGCACAAGAGACGGACTGTCATGAGTAACTCGCACCGGAGGTTCCATCGAAGGGCGCCTCAGGCTGGCACCAATGTCAAGACTGTGAACGTCGAAGTTGTTGCTACACTGGACACCGCTGGAAATGTGGTTGCGCAGACTACTGTAACCCAACCAGACTCAACCGTTCCGACCGAGGCCAGTCAAGTGCTACCAGTCACAAACGCTACGGATGTCTCAGCGCCGTCCGCGACACCTGAGCCATCTGCGCCGACGGCAGCAGCGGCAACGACAGTAGCATCCACACTAGAAGTACCATCAATAGCATCTCTGCCGTCAGAGACTCAACCAACAGTACCCTCAACACCATCCGAGCCATCACAAGCCTCTGTGCCATCGGTATCCGCTGAGCCAACCGTGGCTACTGTCGTCGCTCTGCCCTCCGTGGCATCTGTCCCAGCCGTGTCCAGCGTGTCTCTTCCATCGGTTCCGTCCGTACCAGCATTTCCAAGCACCCTGACAGTGCCCGCCTATCCGTTTGCTTCTTCAAGCGTTGGGGCAGTTGTCGCCGATGCAGTCGCTGCATCGTCTTCAGCATCAAGTGCTGCGGCTAGCATTGAACCATCTATTGTTGCCGCACTGACCGCAGCAAGCACTACGAACTCCACGGTATCCAGCATCTCCAGCACTACTTCGTCGATTGCCTCGTCAATACTTGCCTCTTCGCCCACACTACTCTCCACCATGAGTGGGTTCACCTATTCGTCTTCCTCTGGAGTGGCCGCATCACGAACTGCCATCTCATCCGGTACCTCGCCCTCAGTATCTTCGCAATCAGGTTCCTCACCGTCAACTGCTGGCTCCTCGAACCGCGCCACACCGACAGAGTCCCTAGATGCTGCTGGCTCTTCCTCTTTCTATGGCAGCGGTGGTCCCGGCTGGGCTGGGGGCAGTGGAGCTGCGACAGCAGGCTCACCCGCAAGTACAAACGCCGCCGCCGCCGCTGGCGACTCCGTCACAGGTGGCACTACGCCTCTTGACACTCCACGGGTTGTGGGTAGTGTAGTGGGCAGTTTGGCTGGTGCTGCGCTCATCCTTGCGATCATCTTGGTGCTGCTTCGTCGCCACAAGCGCAGGCAAGGTGGGGCACTTCAGCTCACAGATAGCCATCCCGCAGACAATGAGCAGGCAATGCGACAGGTACAGGCACCTGCCCCAGCAAGAGCCAGTCTTGTACCTTCCGCATTTCTCAATCGCTTTTCCGGACTCTCCAGGTCGACGGCCGACACCAGCTCGCCTACAGAGCGCAGCTTCCAAAGGGTCTCAGGACGCAAGCTGCCGTCTGCTTTCAGTGAAGGCATGACCTCAGATCAGTTTGCACGAGGCGGTCATACGTCCGACCCCTTCTACCAAGACGACCATGGCACATGCGGCGGACCTGGAATGAACAAGGAGTACGGCGGAGGCTTTGGCAAAGAGATTGGCGAGACGTCTTTTACTGGCGGCGCGGGCACATTGAATCTTCGGCCCAGTCCGGCGAGGACACCAGTCATTCGTCACCCCAACGAAAACCCCTTTGACGACACGAATCGATCCACCCTCAGCCCACCCATGTCACCAAACCCCTTCTCGTCGCCAAACCACGATCTACCACCTCGAGCCGCTCTCGGTAGAAGTCTCCACTCCGCCGATGGCTCACGAAGCTCGCGCTTCACCGAAAACGTCTGATGAATTTCCTCTTGTTCTTCAGTTCTTACTGTCGCTACCCGTACTCTACATTACGACGCATGCATGTGCAAACAACTTCTTCTGTACCTGCTTCGCGCATCAGCATTGATCGATGGTCTCCCTCTGTGCATACAGCATGGAGCCACTCGATCATCACACCCTCATTGCACAAGTACTGTCATTAATCAGGCCGCAATACGGCTCTACGCGTAATGTCTTTGTCCGCATGTCCACATCTCGCCTTGTCAATATTCTATTCTTCATAACAGGCCATGTTGTTGGTGGCTGTGTGTGTTTCATACCCCGCTTGTTGCCCGACGTGTTTGTTTGTTGCGTTTGGCCGCGTGTAGATACTCCCTGCCGTGCTGTCTTTGGTTGAGACCAGGTACGCTAGCCTGTGTATATGGCTGTTCATGTTTGTCACGCATAGGGAAAGGGGAAAAGAATGATCATCTAGAAACCGATTTGGGTTGGTCCATGTAGATAATCAAAGCGCGCTTGCAGGAGTGGCGGAGTGGGGGAGTTTTGAGCGAATGTCAAAAGCTCTATCTGTCAGCATTGTATACGTTGTTCTCCCAAGTGACGTGATCTATGGACTTGACCTGCTTTGCTGTTTTCAAGACCGATGGCCTTTGCAGCAGAGCTCTAATTACAGGCGATATTCTGGCCCACTGTCCATCTATAAATAATCATCATTCGTTGCACACTACAACGCTTCCTGCTGGACATCGAGAACTCAATAGTGAGGCGGAAAACTCTCGACGGACATGCAGAACATCATGTGAGAAGACCAGAACTTGAGCCCAATACTTGAAGCCTTGTTCCAGATCGAATCTGTATGCAGCTCCACGTCAGCCTTCACATTTGTATTATTGTTACTATAGCTGCTCGTAAGAAAGACAAAGGAAGACTGGTCTGATGTTTCGGGCATACTTGGAGCTTTTCCTTTGCGATAAAATTGCAGTGCATTTTCGCATGAATCCAAACATCGTCTACCGTGATCCGCACGCTTATTTCATACGTCTACTAAGCATGGTTTAGCGCATACAGGACCGCCATACTTTCCATGTTGCAAACTCCAATGAGCTCATCTAACATCTCCAACATCGTCCGCCCATCTTTGCTCGTATCTAGAGTAACCTTCCGACGCTCTTTATCGCGCTGCCGGAACTGCACCGGGCTGCCCGCTCCCTCGACGGAAGACAGCCGAAGCGTCTGCAGATTCTGGACCGCTTTGAACGTAGTGAGTAGAACAAGCCAGTTCCCCGTCAACAGACACGCGTTGGTAAGGTTTATCCGTTGCAGTGTTCCAGCATGCGTCTTGATGAATTTCGCTAGATCGGATTCGTGGACCGTGAGGTTGCATACGTGCAGGCTCTCGAGTGTCTCGAGCTGGATAGAGTCAGATAAAGAGCGCATAATTCGTGCTCCGTACTGAGAGATCTGGGTCTTGCGATCCAGCGACAATGTCAGGTGCGTCAGATTTGGAGCGCTGCTGATGAAGCGACTCAAGCCGTTCTCCCATCCTGGGAGTCTGTGGTGGCCGTTGTGCGCCGCAACGACCGACAGCGTCAGAGTCCTCAAGCCCGCGAAAGGTGATCTCAACCTCTGGAGGTACTCAAGTGGCAATTGCAATGCCGGATACGGCACGTTCGCGCACTTGCTGAAGACGAAACCCTTCTCTTTCCCCATAATGAAAGATTCAAGCTCGATGCCGCTTTTTAGTATGGCGTCAAGCACGGCTCGCAGACATCTGGAGCGGAAGACTTCGTCTCCCTCCGGGACTGCGATGGTCTTCCAGCCAAGCGGCTCATTCTGATGCGCACGAAAGCGTACAGTCTTCAAGTTCTCAAGGCCTATTATTCCACGAGCAAGTCTCTCTGTGATACACTTCGCCTGCCTATTTGCAAGCACATCATCATACAGCGTCGATTCTAGCACAATGTCCTGATCCCTAACGGAAGACACCTTATCGAAGCGTTTCGGCGGTGGGAAGATTCCGATTCTGGCAATCTTCGTCAGGTCCTTGTAGTTGCGATGGTTGAGCAGTCTGATCTCAAGTGTTGTGACTTGGTTAGACAAGTGGGTTTGACTTGCCACATGTCCAAGGCGATCCAGCGACGGCGAACCAAGTGTGGTGATGAGTTTCGTGAAGTACTTCTTTGTGAAGGTTGACAGACTCAGCAGGTGAAGTCGTTGTGAGGTCAAACGGAGTGTTTGATATTCAGGTAAATCCAAGCAGGCTGCAATGATATCGAAGACCTCGGCGGGGAGGCGCTCGAAGGGTGAGGTCATGTCCGAGAGTCATCCATCGCTTCTACTTGCACCGTTTTCAGAGTAGATAGCAGGAGAGTGTTCTGCTGTCTATGTCCACGTCATGTGGGTGAATGTTGCCAAGGATGTATGTCGGTGGAATGTTCGTGGTGTTTCCTAGCGCTGGACGTCAGTGTCACTGACCAGGGTTCGATGAGGTGTGGGCCACGAGGCGCAGGTGCACAGACGTGCAAGGAAAGAGCAGCGTCTCCACTATGAAGAGTCCCCCACCATCCTTACCTCACACCCCCTCACTACACACTACTGCCCCTCCGTAGAGACACAGGCTCTGCATTCACCCTTTGCACTCACGTATTCACTGCCTCGTCAGGCACACAACACTCATTTGACCACCTCCACGCCTTCCGCAGGTACGGATCGCTCTTTTCCGAAGCACCGACAAAGACTGACGTGTATCTAGGCACTCACCTGCAACCACACAACACCATGGACTCAATGCGGAGCCTGAACAAGTCGCTGCCAAAGACAAAGCGGCAGCCAGACGTCCACCAGTCGTTCAAGAACGCCGCCCTGCAGCTGACCAACCTCTACAAGTCAGCTCTGGCAGACGTCGACCGAGCCCGCAGCGACGGCTACCAAGAGGCCCTCGACGACCTCCTCACTTTCTTAGATAAGGAAAACGTGGGAGTAGGGGATGGAGAAGGCTGGCGGATACGGCAGTGGGCAACAGAGCGGCTAGATGGACCCCGACACGCAAACAGCGACGAGGATGACGAGAACGATATGGACGATAAGCGCGCCCGTAGTTCCTCGCCCATCATGGAACGCAACATCAGCCCCGAAGCAACCCGCACCCCTGATCTCCACGCCGACGCCGCGCAGCGGTCTGACTCTGCTCCGCCCGTGCAGTTGGAGGCGTCCGTCACCGAGCCAGAGATGTCGCCGCTGCACCAGGTCTTCCAGTTCTCTGCCCCGCAACCGTATCCTTCGAGCATCAATACCGAGAATGCGTTTGGCGACTTTTCTGCTGCTGCGAGGAGAGCACTCCCCACGTCGAGGCGCGAACGACATTCGAACCGATCTTCGTCACGGAACCTGCAACGGACTGCTACACAGAACCTCTTCCAGCTGGGTCAAGGCGCGGGTCAGAAGCGGCGAATGATGGACTCGTTCCACCCCGATGGGTCCAACGACCGACGAGATGGCCCTGGAGGTGGTCCTAAGCGGGGGCGCATGACATGAGGACAATCACCAACAGGCGGACGGGTGTTGACAACCCGAATACCTCCTGAGTCAGGCACGATGAGTTGAGAGCACGACAGAAGACAGGAGGACAGCATAGCGATGTGCTCAATGGTTACGGGCATGAGCACATACAATAGGCGCATTGGTTGGCGGATTTCATTATGCATCGGGTGGAGTTGCTGATCTGGCATTGTGCGGAGTTTACTATATATATACCATGGGAACATCCCTGTTAGTGTCGATTTCGGAGCAGCAGAGATACCATACAGTTTTTACTTGCGTTTGGGGGCTGGGTCAATCCTGGGCCATGAAGAAAGAGGTGAAGAAAGAGGTGAAGAAAGACATGAAGTCAGTAGTTGTTAATACTATAACGTATCGCTTCCGTGTTGTTTCGAATGTATCGCCGAGGTGGCAGAAGTCTGACTACCCTCCCGGGCTGCGGCTTTAGCTTGACTTTTGCAACGCAACTCTAAGGGCAGAAATCCTGAAAGATGTCTTGTCGGGCCCATTTCAGGTACATCAAACCTGATGGATCTGCATGATGCCCTTTGTGTTTTTGGACATTTGAGAAGACTGCAGTATGTCTGTCTGTCGTTTCGGGCGTGTCCGGCTCGCTCGCATGTAGGTATTGATTGACCGTGGTATCTGCCAAACGCCGTGATAGTGCTGGAGGCCCCCCACCGACACCGTAGTCCTACAACCCTCTTGCTCTCGTCCCCCACCTGGGTATAGCACTTCACGCAAACCACCTATATACGCCCAATCCTACAAACACCGCGCTTGTTGTTGTAATCGCCGCCCTCCTGCTCCCCAGTCCAAACACGCTCTTGCTTTGTCTTATAACGGCTTCTTGCGCTTTCAGCTGAGAATGACCGGATACATATGTGAATGCGCCGAGGCCGACGAACGTTGCGCTGCCTGTGTCAAACGTCAGCCACTGTTGCTGTCACGCACATTGCCAGTGCTAAACAAGTGCCAAGCGTTGAGCTCACCAACAACACGGCAAGGCGTGCAGTCGTCGAACTGCGCCCTGTCTTGCTTCAGAGCCTCTTTGAGGGTAGGTGTTGCGACCTCGTTTGCCATGGTTGCCGTGATCTTTGGTCACTTGGAGAAAGTCGAGATGCACGTCGGACCGGCGCAGGGGGTCCACTTGCATTGTGGCTTGAGACCCCCGCGGCCAAATGCAAGCCGACGCGATCAACCCAGGGCCAACCCCACCCCACGTCTTCTCGAACTTCACGTCTTGCTCTTCGCATCTTGCTCTTCGCATGGCGATCACGTGACAGATCCAGAAGCATGAGCACAATTGAAGCTCTGTTCATCTTTGATGAGCATAAGTGAGCCCCATTACCACCTTACCACTCATCGTCTGTTGCACCGACTGACTCAGCACCACCAGCACACCTCTCCTCGAACACACCTACAACGGCCGCCCCGCCTCAGGCAGCACCCTCCTGCCCCTCTACCTCTCGCACCCCACGCCGCGACCGTCGCTCATATACCTCCCCTCCACTAACCCCGCCACGCTCCTCTACTCTATCGTCCAAGACCAACTGCTCTTCCTGGCCCCATGCTCCTCGGACACTCAACCACTGCAAGTCCTCGAGTTCCTGCACCGCGTCGCCGATGTGCTGGAAGACTACCTCGGCGCGCCGCTGCTCGCGAGTAAAATCGAGAGCAACTATGACGTCGTCGCGCAGCTGCTGAACGAGATGGTGGATGGCGGCATCATCAGCTGCACGGAGCCGAATGCGCTGCGCGATCTGGTCGATGCGCCGTCTTTGATGAAGAGTCTGCTGGGGAACGTAGGGTTGCCGAGCACAACACCGAGCTCTTTGGCGCCTTCCGCTACGCCGTTCTCGCTCGGGAGAGGGGGAGGCCCGAGTCCGCGGCTGGGTCCGTCGAATGCGGCGCAGAGTACGTCGCCGGTGCCGTGGCGGAGGGCGAATGTCAGGCATACGAGTAACGAGATGTACGTTGATATTGTCGAAACGCTGTCTGTCACGCTCTCGCCCTCTGGCCGCCCTCTCTCAGCCATCGCAAACGGGACTATAGCATTCACCGCAAAAGTCTCCGGCATCCCGGACTTGATTCTCCACCTGGGATGTCCAGGCGGCATATCAAATGCCATTTCACTCCCTGTCTTCCACCCCTGCGTGCGGCTCAACCGTTGGAAGGAAAGGCCTGGCCAACTATCCTTCGTGCCACCAGATGGCCGCTTCGTCCTCGCTGGGTATGAGGTCGACCTCCTCGGCCCCTCCGCTCTAGACGCCTTCACCACATCCACCACCAAGCAAAGCCTACCAAGCCTCAACATCCCCGCCACAGTCTCCGTACATACCTCCCTTGGCCCCAGCGGGAGCGATTTCCAAGTCCGCCTCCAGCTCAACCCCCGCTTCACCGGCAAATCGTCCGCGCCTCCCCCCTCTTCAGCATCTGGGCGAGGCGGTCTCGGGTCCAGAATCGCTGCAGGCGGCGGAGCAGGGACATCGACCGCCCCCGCGATCGAGGAAATGACCATCCACATCCCACTCCCTTCCTCAGTGCACAACATCCTCGACCTGCGCGTGGCGCGGGGCATGGGCGATGCGAGCTACGCCCCCGGATCCGCGTCCATCGAATGGCGCATCTCATCACGCGAAATCAGCATGCTGATGTCTCAAGACCGCGGCGGCGGCGTGGGATGCCATGCTACGTTGAGCGGGACAGTCGTGGGAGCACAGGATGACGACGAAAACGGCGCTGGATTCGACGACACCGCTGTCTCGCTATCCACAGCGACATACAACTACGACGACGATCAAGCGTCCTCGTATCAGTCCGCGCCGACCAGCACACCACAGCCCTCCAACTCGGCACAGGTGGACGAAAAGAGGAGGAAGGCGAATAAGATCCTCATGCCGAGTGCGGCGACGGTGAGCTTCAGTGTAAAGGGCTGGCTGCCGAGTGGGATCAAAGTGGAGAGTTTGAATGTGGACCAGAAGAAGAGTAAGGGGTTGGGAGGGGGCGTGACGCCGTACAAGGGGGTAAAGTATTTGTGTGTGAGTCGGAGGAGTGTGGAGTGTAGATGTTAAGAGTTGGAGCGAGATGGGTGCAAGGGACTGTGAAGTCGAAATGATGGATAAGAACAAGGATATGAGCTCGATGATCGTGGAGAAGGTTTGTCTTTGCAGGGTGGTGGTTGAGATGTGAGAAGTAGGATGAGGTTACCGCTTGGTAATCCTCGCACGCTCCAGCCGTGGGCTGGTATCAGCACAGTTCTGGCTGCGTTGGCGGCCGAAACATCCATATGCCAGAACACCAAGCACATCTATAAGCTCGAGCCGAGATCTATGCCGTCACTCATCGCTAGGAGAGGTAGTTTAGTGAATGCTTGGGTTGGGGGCCGCAGGCTGCTTCTGCCCAGAGAAGACAGGATGAGAAGCCTTCAACGGTGCTCGTGAAGGAGTCCACATCTTGCCTGGAGCAGAAGGCCGGCCAGCTACATAACTATCTTAAACCAATCCCAAAGAACCCAACGCCCAGAACGTCAAATAGAAGAGAGTCACGCGGGAGTTGTACAACGACGTGATTGATAGATGATGGATCTCCTCCGCGAGGAAGCTTGTTGCGGTATCGGTTGGTCCGTACAGTGTCTGATTATACCCCTGACCACTACCCTGGACTAGTGTGTGACAGGTCAGGTATATAGTGGTCTCCTCCTAGCTAGAGAGCAATCGAGCGCAGTATTCCATCGAGCCGACAGTCCTACGTTATCGTTTACCGTAGCTATCAGTATTCCACAGCGGTCCACACCGCTACAAAGCTCATAGTATAGCGAGGGCTTGTTTGCAGCCAAGCCCCACTCCTTTCGTGCAGGACGGATAGCAGCAGCTCTTCGCCGGCCTTGGAACATCATCACAGGCGCCCCTGCGAAAACACCACCCAGGACTCGGAGAGCCTTCTTTTTCCAGCCTTGCCAAAATCTCAGCGATGGCCTGTCGCTCGTGCTGTCGCCGTCTTGAGTGTTGATGTACGATTCGACGCGCCAGTGGCACAGTGCTGGATACTGTTTCCCCGCTCATCTTCATATCGAATTCCGTCGACTGTGCGACGGAACTGTTGGTGCTGCTTGAAGCAACAAGACGTGTAGCAGGGCATAGGATGAGAGGATGCGGTAATACTGTGACGGTGAATATCTCCATGTTATAGCTTACAATGATGAAGGACGTGCTGATATAAAGAGTGCGTGTTTGCAGAGGTGCAATGTCTCCTATTAGATACTAGATACACCCAATGATTTAAAACTCCGCATTAGTCGGCCTTCATCATGCACTCACTACCTGTTCCTCCCTCATTGATGCTTGTGAAATCCCAAAACGCCAGTGATGCAGTGCTAGATACTGTCCGTCCAGCCCGTTTTGAACCAAAAATGTTGACGCCGTGATGCATATCGTAACCCCCTGCCATTATTCCTCCATCTTGTCGTTGCTGCTCTCAGCCTTCTTGGGCCCCTTGTTGAGGATCATGTTGCGGAACTCGTTATTACTCTTCGCCTCTCCGTTTGTGGGCGCCATAGCCCTAGGCACAGCGGGTCTCGCACCGAAGCCTGTCCTGCCCCTTGCCCTTCCACCGCCTCGTGCGGTCGGTCTCTGTACGCGATTGGGTTGGACAAAGCTGTTTGCCGCCTTCCACTCGCCTTTCTGTTGTCTCAGGTCCTTGACGGTGCCAACGCGCAATTTCCTGCCTTCGAAATCCAGCCCTTGTAACGCGATCTCAGCTTTGCCTGTGCCTTCCACGCTTGTGAACTCGATGACTGCGCCGCCGTGTTGCGGTTCGAGGGTAATCTTCTTGAAGCCGTAGGATTCGACCAGGGGCTTGATGCGCACGTCTGGCACGGTGTCGGGGAGGTTCAGGATCGCGAGGGAGCGCTCATTGAAGGGAGCGGCCTTGAACGCTGCGGCGGAAGCTGCAGCAACCGCCGTACCTGGAGCTGCATCAGGAGCCGCCTGTGCAGTCCTAGGTGTTGCGTCGCGGGGTGCCGGGCTTGCGTCGTTCTCGAGAATCGATTTGATCTTCGGTTTCGTTTCGTTCCTGTCGTTGGCAATTTCTACGTGCAGCTCGAGACCCCAGAAGTCCTTCTTATCCATCCCGGCGACTGCAGCATCGGCACTTTCTTTTGTGTAGTAGACTACGAAGCAGAATCCTTTGTTGTTGCCGTTCTTGAGAGTTGGAAAGTTGATGCGGTCGATGTGACCGAATTGCGCAAAGGTCTCCTGGACTTCTTGTTTCTTTATCTTGAAGTTAAGGTGCCATACGTAGACTTCGCGACCTTCCGCAGTTGCGCCATCCCGCTTCTTCTTGGCCAGGGGATTCGAGATCTTGACGTTGAGCTTCTGTCCTTCTACGTCTGTGCCGTCAAGCTGGGTCGCGGCAACCGCTTGTGCAGCATTGGCGAACTGCACGTAGCAAAAGCGACGATGTGTGTCGAACTTGAGGGACGGAAATCTAAATCCAATGATTTCTCCAAATGGTTCGAAGTGCTTCCGTAGGTATGCTTCACCTGCATGTGCTGGGTAGTTGGTGACGTAAAGGGTTGTGCTTTCGCCACGTTCTATCGAGATGTTTTGACCCTTGAACCCCTTTGCTTCTTTGCTCAAGGCATAATCGGCCTCTTCAGAAGTCTCGAATTCGACAATGGCTGTCATGCTGTCCTGTTCTGGCTTGAGCACAAGATTCCGGACTGTGCCAGCATCTGTAAAGAACTGCCTGATCTGAGTTTGTGTGGTATCTGCTGGCAATTTCTTGACAATGACAGAAGTATGCTCCCGGTCGCGCTTCGGTGCACTAGTCTGGGCGTCAGACGGGGCCTCACTGGCGCGGACTGGCTCTCCATTGAAAGGCACGGCAGCAGGAGATACGTCCTCTGAGTCGGCTTGCCTGCTCTTCTTCGCTGCAGCATCGTGATTGGTACCAGTATCATCCCTCTTCCTCTTTGCAGAGCCCTCAGTGAAGTAGTCAGGCTGAGGCTGAGGCGCTGCTGCTGCTGCCGCTTCAGCGGCTGCCTTCTCTTTCTCACGTCGAATCGAGACCATACGTTCAGTTCGCCTCTTCTCGATTGCAGCGCTTCTGACCTTCAAGACATTTTCGTGTTGCTCGCAGTGATTCACGTACATCTCCACGATCGGTTCTGGGAAGTCGATCGTTTGCAGACGTTCCATGGCGCGTTCTAGAACAGCTGTCGCTCGAGTGGGCGTGAGCAGTTGCTGTCCAGCGTTCTGTTCGGTCCGCATAGCGTGCTGTGACCAGAAGATCATCTCGAAGATGTACCAGCGGTACCAAAAGTCGTGCGAATCAGCTTGACGCTTGACAAGAGACTCCCAAATGTTTCGAGCTTCGTCAACGTTTCCGCGTTGAAGCCAGTACTTCATATGGATGCGCTCGAGGCGATACTTTGAGTCGCCTGCCCAGTCTCGTCCATGCTTCTTCATGCCGACCTCTCGTACGAACTCCAACGCGGAACGGATACCGACTTCGGCAATATCGGCATCGTCGTCTGTGGCCTTGGGGTCGTCGAAAGCTCTTCGTCGCAAGTATCCGCACCACGCAATTTGAACCTTGATGATCTCTTCCAAGTCAGAATGCTCCAGCAGTCCGGTCCCAGTAGCAGTGTGCTTAACATGCTCGATCTCCTCAAAAGCCTTGTTCTCAACTTCGAGCGTTAGTATCCGATGAGACCAGAGAGACCCTGACCAGGGGCAATGTCGTGTAGCGCGTTCCAGCACATTCAGCACATCGACTGATCGGTCTTTTTGCCAGATGAGGAACTCAACATGGTCCTCCCATATCGAGGGATCAACTGGGAAGCGTAGTGTGGCGCGTTCATACAGCGCATTGACCAACGGGAAACTGTAGACGCCCATGGTCCTCTTCTCCCACTTGAGGTAGCGGGTGATAGCATGATATTCTGCATTCTGGTCGCCCTGTTGGATAGCCTGAAGGACTTTGAATTCGTAATCCTCGCGATTGGCACACTGTTGTATGATGTGCGTGTTCTTTTGGGTGACTTGCTCGTTGACCTGTTCGGGATCACCAAGGTTGTAGCGCTGGATGAAGGAGATGTATCTCGATCGAGTATGGGACCACGTGGCGTGTGGCAGGCCCAACCGCTCGTTGTATATCGATGCAATCCTCGTCACCTTCTCCTGACTGAGGCCAGTGCGTTCAAGGTCCTCCTCCAGAACCTGCAGATAGCGATCCCATACCAGATTGCTTTCTTGTAGATTGTACTTCACTCTCTCAGCGCCTTGCTGTAGTGCTTCCACTAGCAACTGCGGTTGAAAGAGTTCGCGGCCAATGAGTCTGTCCTCCTCGGACCACTCCTCTGGCGGCATCTGTTCCCACGAGCAGGCGACGAGATAACTGACGTACTCACCGTACGCAGCCCAGAGTTTCGCACTGTAGGGCTCCTCGTGTGTTGCATGTTTGTGCAACTCGAGTACCCCCATGCGCTCCTCTGAATTTCTTGCTAGTATCTTTTCGTCATTGAGACGGTAGTGCCATAGTGTCTCCCCAAGTGGATACTTTTCTGACATTACGCGGTACGCATCGCGCAGGATGTGGATGAGCTCGTAGTCGTGCGGTTCCGATACAAAGGATTCAAGATGATTCTGGAACCCCTGGTGAAGTGTTGTGACCAGGGCAAGATGACTGTAGTAATTGAAAGGGTTCTCTGTCAGATCACGGTCCAATTGTTCCAGGTAGTCGATGTGTTGCTGGTCTAGAGATTTTGTCGCAAAGCTGCGCGGTCTTGGCGAATGTTCCGACATTGCTGCGCTGGTCACAGAATCGCCTGAAAGATGTTGTCCGAGGTGTTGTAATCTGCAATCTCATCAGCGACTGTTGACCGGTGTTTTTAGCGCCAAGACTTTAAGCAGGTAGCGCAGCCCCCGTGACAGCAACGTGACAGCAACGAGACAGCAAACAACACGCTTCACCGCACGATTACTTTGTCCAATTGCTTAATAGAGAACACGCGACAAGACAGAAATGCTCGGCATGGTCCCCGTGGAAAACACAGCTATGATGGAGAGATTGTGGTGATTGGCTTACGTTACTGGGCGTTGGTGACCGAGAGAGTTCTGTCGCGCAGCTTGCTGCTGTTGTTGCATGCTCGCAAGATCTGCCAATGCATCCATGCTTGGCGTCGACGCCTGGCGATACAGATGAGATGGAGGTGTCATGCGCGCATCGTGTGGCGACCCCAGCGGCTGCGGAGTGCATGTGGCACTGTGGACTGCTCTTGCACCATTCGCGAGATGGCCATACCCGGGCGAAGGGTGGTTCTGATGTGCGAGGTGAAGTTGCGGTGACGATGTGATCTGCTGGCTCAGTCCTGAGGGTGTTCTCGAGGGCATCTGCTGGCGGACAGCGCGCTTGCCGGGCGAATGCGCCGCCAGCATCGACGGCGATGCACGGGAAGGCTGTGGAGGAGGAGTTTCGGCGGGCGAGTCTGACGGCGACAATAGCGAGTTGATATCCATTGCGCCTGTGTTTACCGCCTTTCGAGCTCTTGTGTTTACAATTACAAATGTTTTGAAAAAAGAACAAAGTTGTTCCTGCGATTGTCGACTCTTGAAACACGCCGATCCTGTCTGTGGTTGACAGTCGATCAATTACGGGCGCAACTACTGCAGGGACTATGGGGTCTCGAGGTCCTAGTAACGAGCGGCATGGAACGGCGAAGGGACGTCCTGCTGCAGCAAAGGGCTCGAGGTCGCAGGTCGAGGGTTGAATGAGCGTGTGACTGATCGCAGTCCGTTGCGCCGGCGTCGTCGCGAGTGGTCGAAGGGAGATCTAAAGATATACCAACGGTCTAGAAGAAAAGGTTCAACAACGAAAGCTTGGGTGCAGAGCTAAACAGCTAATGACGGCAGAGCGCGCCAGCCGAACCGATGTCCTGCGGGCTGCGGGAGATGTGGCTGCCGAAGGGTGAGGGCTTTGCGATGCTGCAGGTGTCAACGGGGAGGGCACAACACCGGAATATGAATCAAAAGCGCGCGGCAGACACCACTCAGCTGTTCCTTGTCGCGACGAGATGATCATTGCCTCACTTTTGTGATAAAGATCTGCAATACGGGCAGTACGGTCACGTGAGCTTGAGGAGTGCAGGGGCAGTTGTGTTGCGGCAAGTTCCGCTGAATTTCTCGGAGTGCTTGCAGGTGAACTGCACGTCGTCCACCGCCATCAACGCCGCGCAATTGGGGGGTCGAGCATCACAATGAGTGCACGAATACCCTCACGGCGGCTTGGGCAGTCTGGTCAGTATTCGCACGTTCTTTTGATGGTCCATTGTCTCGTCTGCGCGTTCTGAATGCCCTACATATCGCCATCCATCGACGCCCATGTCCAGCAGCTAATCATGAACAGCCCTCGCCTTCCGCCCTCGATCAACACACTGGACGGCCCTCCCCACAATTGCACAGCGCAATGCTTCCACCAAGCCTAACACCGAGACCGACCTGTCGAATCCGCTGCTTGAGAAGTACCTGCAGCAGCAGGAGGCCGAACAAGCAGCAGCGGAGACCGCCCAGCCCGAGCAAGAAGGAAAGCCGCAGAAGAGGCCAACGACCACACTCCGCGATGGCGGCTCGTACACCGTCCCCTCACCCCTGTTCAACCCCGAGCGCTTGATTCCCGGATACCGCAAAGACGCTCCCCCAGCGCAGAAGGCAGCCTTGAAGGCACAGGCCGAGCAGAGGAGATTGGCAGTGCAGAAGGAGGAAGAGAAGAGATTACTCGGTGTGAACATCGACCCTGCGCCCGCCGCACGCCGCAGCCTCGAGCGCAAGCTTGTAATCAAGGGCGTCAGCAAGCACGGCCGCATGAGCAAGGCCGCGAAAATAGCCCGCACCGAGCGCTCGTCACTGTACAAGTCGCAGTTCCTTCCAACCTCGGTCAAGAAGGTGACCAAGATCCTGAGACAGATCCAGGGCAAGACCGTCTCGGAAGCACTCGTGCAACTGCGCTTCTCACCCAAGAAAATCGCACGGGATATCTACAAGGGTCTGATCATCGCGCAAGATGAGGCGATCGCGGGGCGTGGTATGGGACTGGGCGACAAGAATGCGCTGAAGAAGTGGATCGAGCAGAGGAACGAGGTTGCCTCCACATTGGCAAACTTGGATGAGAAAACACCAAAGACGAAGGGCGTAAATCAGGTCGTCGAGCTCAAGGACGGGAAAAAGAAGCTGGTCAAGGATGCGACGGAGATCTACATCGACCAGGCGTGGTGTGGGAGGGGCGAGAGCTGGAAGACCCCCGAGTTTAGGGCGAGAGGAAGGGTGAACATGTTGACACATAGGACGACCAGTACGTTGCCTCTATTTCAAGCTATGAGTGTTTACTGACCATCGCAGGTTTCTCGTTCCTCCTCAAGGAAGAGAAGACACGGATGCGCATCTCAGACGAGATCAAGAAGAAGCGCAACAACCGCAAGCTCTGGGTCGCCCTGCCCGATCGACCAGTCACAGCGCAGCGACAATACTGCCTGTGGTAGATGTATGATTGCAATGTACAACATAGGGAGAGATGTGTGGATAAGCATAGAACAGCATGAGCTCACGAGCTTGTATAACATATTGAACATTTGAATCATCTCAGAAAAATTAGGATCGGGCGGTTCGGAAGGACCGAAGTTCAAAGTCCAGCACGTAACACACAGCCCACCATTGACGATCAACCTCGCAGCGTAAAGCTCGAGGCGTACCACATCTTACATCACGTGTCGCCACAGCCGTATCAGTCTCTCACTCACTTATATATACGTTCCACTGACCGCGAATGCAGCAACACTGACCGCGAATGCAGCAACACTGACCGCGAATGCAGCAACACTGACCACGAATTTACTTCAGGCCGACTTTTTTATTTTTATTCTTTACATTTAATGCACGCCTTCACTTCGACTTTCCTCCGCCATGTCCCGCATCTCTCAAATCGCCCGCTTCCTCCTCCTCATTCACGGCCTGCTCAACATAGCACAAGGCCTCTACTGCATAGCGCAACCACTCGCCTGGTCAGAACTTGCAGGCTCCGCCTTCAGAGGAACGCCAAACCCGGCGGTGCAGTCAATCGGTATGCCTCCAAATTCGTGCTACTACTACGGAATTTGAACATCTACTGATACGAATTCAGGCCTCGGAGCACTAGGTGTAGGATGGTACCAATGCGTCTTTGCATGTCAGAACAACAAGGCTTTGTTCATTGCTACTATACCGTTGCGCATCATTTACGCCGCTATCATAGCGAGATGGGGGGGTTGGAAACCTGTTCTGTATGAGCTCGCTGTTTGGGGGTTGGCGAATTGTGCTGCGTACCTTTAGATTCTCATCCAGGCTTAGCCTGTGAGTCATGTCAAAAGGATGGTGATTGGATGGTTGCTGGACCCGAAGACATGAGAGACGGCATGATATTCGTTGATCGTTCGGCAACTGCTGGAGCACATAGAGTTATCCACAGTTGCGGGTGGGCACTTCCTTGGGGGTTGAACGAGGTCAATATTCTATGACCTACAAAGCAGCCTTTTACCTGGTACATCTTGCAACGGCTAAAGAAGCCGAAGTCTCTACTCGACAACACTGTCTGTCGACACTGTCCGGCTTCGTACCCTGATAACCTTTCTCAACCCCCCTATGCTCTTCACCTCCGCCTCCAAGGTCTCCAATACGCCAGCCAACGATGGTTGCGAAATTACCGCGCATTAAATCAAATGATCACTGAGAAGACTTACACCGCACCCAGCAATGAGGAAACTATCTTGTGGCCGCTGTACACCATTACTGAGGAGACAGATTGAGGACGTTGAGGCTGTCGCGCTCGAGACGGGCAAGGTGGAAGAGGCGCGCGTTGTGAGCAATGGGACGTATTGGGGAAGGTTGCTGGATGGAGTTTGCGTCGGATTTGAAGTGGGTTGGGTTCTGGATTGAGATGGGGCTGTTAAGCTTTGTCATGGGCAGAGTGTGATGAGGTGTTGTCGAAGAAATGAGAGAGCCATCGAAAAATGGGTATGATGAGAGACATTCAAATAGTGAAATGTGAGATCTCCCACTTACTTGCACTTAGCAGCAAGCAAAACGTTTCCGGCCTTTGTTCACTTACCCTGCAGCCTTTTCACTCGTTGCAAAATTTCAGCTCCATGCACCAGCACTGTTTGTCCACTTCTCGCTACTACTCCAACAACCTCCCTCTCCCTATATCACCTCAAAGTCATTTCCACAACACCTACCAACACCCAAGTTCCTTCAAGTTCAATCACACAGCAACTGACTTCCTCATTACATCATATACTCTCACCCAAGATGCTTTTCAGTATCATCACCAAGAACTTGGTATTCAGCTTCACCCCAAACATCAAGAAGACCTCGAACAATGGCGTCAAGGGTGGTGCGCAGCAGCAGAGCAAGGCGGGAGCGGATACTAGTGGCAGCAATAATGGTGAAGCGGTGGGGAATGGGGAGAAGCCGTGGATGAGCGCTAAGTAGGACGGCATGGGTTGGGAGGGTAGATTATCTCGGGTATGAATTGGCGAGGAATTAAAGAACTCAAGGGTCTAGAGGCTCTGAGAAGCGATTTTGTGTATTGTGGGAGTTTCTGAGTTTGTTTTTGTGAGACCACGGGTTACACGCTTCTCAGAGTGGTGCATGAAGCGACCATCTCTAGCACAAATACACTTCAAGCGGCAAAGCCCACATTCACCATCTCCAAATGTGCACTCGCCCTCGAAATCTATCCAAATCGCGACGGCACTACTATCCGAATAGACTCAACACTCAACAGCACCCTTGAACCCCAGACCTTATGGTGATTCAACTCCACTTCACACCACCCCTCTCCACGCCATCAAGCCCCCAGTTCCTATATGAGTCCACAAATCCCTCTCTCTTCAAGCGCTCCGCATCCTTTTCACCTCTCCACACTGGTTGCGCACCAAGACGTCACGAGGTATCCATTTTTGGTACTACCAGCTCGATAAATTGCAGATTCTCCGGTTTCCGCATTCCAAGTTTAGCGCTCGAAGTCTCCAGGTACGCCAAAGATTGTGTGAACGCCAACTTAGTGAAGACGTTGCCACATGTACTGATCGAGTGTGACCTTTTCAAATGTCAAATCCCCATGGTTGATTCCTGACTTTGGTTAGGCGATTGTGTCGAGATCAAATACCTTTGGAGAAGTCGATGTGTTATAGTCGTTGTTCAAGGTTTCAAGCGCCTGGATATAGTCAGTGCAGGCCAATCGATAACTTGATGCTAGAATGTTACTTTGGTACAAATGACAGTACGACTCAAGTTCAAGCGCAGAACCGTGAAAGTCAACACAGTCTCCAGATAGAAAGACGCAGTGTACTCGAACATGGCTTGCGCTACCAGAGCCTACAGAAGCAGTGTCATATCCCAGCGGTATGACTGCAGGGCGTGTGCATGGTGTTGCAGGACGTCGTACCGCGTACCCCAGCCTCGGCTCAAGGCGGTATGTGGGGCAGACGCAGGGCGATGCGGGGGATCTGGCCTTCATCGAAACAAAAGCCGCTTCTCGGAATGAGCTCACATTTGGTCGATGCGGTGAAGAGCCATTGTAGAATTTGGGACCTTGCTGGTGCGGGAAGAAATGTTGTGGTTGTTTGAAATGGTAGTATATCTACATCTAGACAGAAGCACTCTCTTCTGTGGACCCATCGAGCTTGCCCTCCTTCGCATCCTCGAATGTCGCCATCTTGAAGTCATATGGCAGCTCAAACTCAGCATTTGGATCGTCCTTGAAGGGTTTGAAGTCCACCAGAAGCGAGTCCTTGACAGCAAACACAGCATCGTCTTCAACGTACTTGCTGCTGCGGTCAAAGATCTGCGTGACGATTGGCTTGTGGCCGGGAGCTGTGAGCTACATGAGAGTCAGTCACAAAGGCCCAGGGGCAGAACGAGCATTGCAGAGACTTACGAGGAAATGAATATGCGCCGGCCTGTATGGATGTCTATCCAGCGCCTTCAACACCTTACCCGCTGGCCCGTCGAATGGAATAGGATAAGGCACAGGTCTGAGGCAGTAGAAGTTGTACTTCCCATCCTTCCCCGTGGTGAATCTTCCTCTCAAGTTCATATCGGGCTGATTCGGATCCTGCTGCTCATACAGTCCATTGGGCGCTGTATGCCACACATCGATTACTGCGCCCTCAATAGGCTTACCAGTCTTGAAGTCTGTGACGATGCCATGCATCCATGTACGGTCCCCGTTCTCCTCAACACCGTGTACGATGCAGCTCCCCATCTCCATCTTGGGGGCGTCGTGTCGGTAGAATGGGCCGAGGATGGCGGTTGCGGTGGGCTCGTCGGCTGCGTCGGTAGCGAGCTTGTATGTGATTTCGTCGACGAGTGATTCGAGGCCGAGGACGTCACAAATGAGTTGGCCTTCGTTGCGCTTAGAGTCGGACATGCGGCCGGCTTCGTTCATCTGTCACCATCAGCATTGTGTGTGTATATGGTACTTCGACACGTACCAGCTCAACGCCCATCATCCACTCATCGACTGTGAGTTCATTTTCCCGCGCAAAGTCGTGCAGGTGCTGGATCAAGCTGTGTGTGAGCTGCTTGATGCGGGGGCTTGCATTGGGCCCTGTTGCGGCAATGACTTGCTGTGTGAAATTGGGGTTGAACTTGTGCGCTTTACTGTCTTGCACTGCTGCTTCCGGCATTGTGTCTACTATAACAATCAACTGAAGTGCTAAGAGGTGTGGGGAGCTACGCAGCAATGAGTGGTGTACGAAGTTAGCAGGAGATCAAGAAGGCTATGTGCGGCCATGCAGGGCAGCTTTAAAGGGTCTGCTCCGTACGAACTGGCCGAGCTGATCATGCCAGGCGCGACAGAAGTGTGGGGCAGAGCATGTGGGTGTGGGAGTATTCAGCAGCCGTGGTGCACCATCCGAACGTCAAAACATCCGCACGTACATCCGCCATCCGAACGTTGTCCTGGCCAATTAGGAGCATCACGATCGGCAAAGGGCAGTAATCCGCTATAAACGGTCGTGCACATGGAGGACGAAGGTGAGGCTGAAAGCTCAAGCGATGCAGTGTAACTATAGACTGGGCATGCAGAGTGTTTCTTGTCGAGTCTATGTAGGTATCATTGCTTACTCGAAGTTTGTGACAGTAATCTTGAATGCCAGAGCACCACGTTTCAGACTTTAAGTATCGACTGGGCTCGCATCCGATGATAATCGTGTCTGCATGTGCTCCACCAGGTACGCAATGGTATCCTCCTATAGCCAAGACCTTCGGATAGTGATGCTGCCCAAATATAAATTACCAGTCTCAGCTGTGCGCGCGGAATAACTCCAAAGCTCATGCCTGTACAATGTAAAATACGAAGTTCAACTCCCATGCCCTCAGTCGCTGTCGTCGTCCACTCGTGCGCGCTTCGTCGATCGTCCTTCCGAGGGGTCTGTAATGCCATAGCGCTTCTCGCCGCTTTTCGGTTCGCCCTTGACCTCGTTGATCATTGCATTGATGTTGAATGGATCATCGGTGTCCTTCTCGAACTGAACCGGACCATCTCTTTGCTCTTGCAGATCAGCGCCCTTGAAGCCCTTACCCGCCTTGCCCAGCACATCAAATTTGCTTGACTTGGTAATACGGTCATATGTTTGACCCTCATCTTCCCCATCATCCTGCTGCACGGTCGGCCGGTAGATACTGCTGATAGCGTCCTGGGCGGCGAATAGAGGCTTGTCGTAGTGGTTGTCTTCGTTGATACCGGCATTGAAACCGCTAGACTGATTGAACAACCGTGCATCGTACATGGACTCTCCACCTCGTGTGGGCTTTGCAAGACCAAGTGCGACCTTTTCTGATATGTCTCGATTCTGTTCGCGAGCAAGCATCTGGGTCTTGCGTTCCGTGCCCATCTTCGCCTGTCGTAGCTCCCGCTGGAAGTCCTCGCGGCGTTCCTTTCTTGCTTCTTGTCGTTTACGGACCTCCTCTTGCTCAGAGTCGGATTCTGAGTCGCTGTACGAGCGGCGGCGTCCAGCGTTTGCGCGCTCCTCGCGGGCTTGTTTGGCTAGGTTGCGCAGATGTTCTTCCTTTTGCAGCTTCTCCTTTTCCGCCAATCTTTGTTGCATGATCGCACGTTGCTTGACTTCCTCTCGAGCGTGCCTATCTGCGGCTTGCAGCGCCTCACCAAACTGTGCGAACTTGTCGTTGATTGTAATGTCCTGAAGACCTCGCCCATCTGCTGCCAGGCGCTTGTCCAGCGGCACTGTGTAACCCTTGGGGTTCTTCCAGTTACTGATCGGCGGTGGGATCTTCCACATTTCTTGGTCCTCGGCGGTCAACTTGCGCGGCGGCGAGTGGAGGACTGGGGGCGGTGGAGAAGGAGGACCACGAGGGATACGCTTGTGCTTGAACTTCGGTGGCTCCATGGGATCGATCTGTCGCTGCTGAATCTTGAAGATACGGGTCTTGCCCTGTGCTTCGCCCATCTGCGCAGTTGGTGTGTATCGCACAAATGTAGGTTCATCGTCCTTACGGCCCTGGACGTTCTTCGGCTTCTGCGCAGCGGTCTGCCCTTGTACAAGCGCCATGAGCGCCGCCTCCGTCTTCGCCTTTGTAGCCTGCACGACCTCCTGACTTGGGCGATCCAAATCAAGCTCGCCAGCATTTGCCTGTTGTCGCAGCGGAATCAGGTCCTTAAAACTGGCCTGTACTATCCTGTTTTCGCCATGCCCTCTTCTCGCGATTTCGTCGTACTTTGTCTTTCCTTCAGCATCCACCCGCCTTGTCAGCGCATTCGATGTGGATGGCTGGCCCTTCTTTCCCATGTCGAGAGGGTATTGTGCAACGTGAACCTCAGGAAATGCGCCGCCATCACCGAAGTCCTCAGCCGTGCGCGGTCGCCAGCTTTGCCTGCTGCCATATGGAGGTGGTCCATTTTGCCGTCTTACAACCTGAGTCTCGTACTGCTCAGAGCTCAGTACGCGTGTGCTTCGCGTCAGTTCTTCCTCTTCGCCTGTGTATTTCGGCTTTGGCAACGACTTCGAAAGAGCGGCAACGGACATGGTGGCGGGTGAAGATTGAGGTGTGTGGGAGGTGGTCGATCCTAAGGATCTCGTGGATGATGGTTCCCAGGCAAAAGTTCACCCATGTCGAATGCCAAGAAAGGCGGAGTAAATGCGCCGAATCTCCGCTCCAGACAAATGATCAATGCTCGACGAACACCATGATATCTAGTTGTTGACCGTTTTCATGCACGACTTGGTACGACAAATTTCTCAATTTAAAGTTAACCTTCTATCTTTGGCTTGATGTTACTTTCAGACTCGACATTCACTTGATTCCTCACCCGAGTGGTTCTTTATCTCTGATCTTAGTCAAATGCACAGCACTGCTCGACAGCCGTGAAGCTCGACAGATAATTGCTGCTGTGCGTCTATCACAACAGGCGCACAATCACGCATTCGTCTTCTTCTCAGCTTGTACATTTCATCAGATATTAAGTTTGATTGTTTCGAATCCTGCCATCCATGTCAAATTGTGGGGAAAGTCGAATCCTCGAAATTGTGAGGCTGGGTCAGTAGCGTGTTGCCCCTGATGGCAATGGATGAGGCTGGTTGCAAAGAAGGGTATCATGGCATTCGCAAAATCGATGTTGTGCAACTATCAAGCTCGTATCCCACTGCACGTCACTTATTCACCTCTTCGGCGGCCGCTCAACGCCTGCCATTTTGCTAGCTCACGGCTAGAGTTGTGTTCTTTTGTGCACCAGGTGGTCTGGCCGTGCCTCTAACGAAGGATTCGGCCCTCCTTGACGAACGGTCCACTTGCCAGTGTCGCAAAGTCGCGAAGCAGGAAACACCATTTCGCTCACTGTAGAACTTCCAGAAAGATACCATTTCGGTCGCGAGCATGTCACAAGCATGACGCGCGCTGTATCGGTTTTGTAATTGTACAGCGCTGAACCCTGCAGCTGCCAGCGAATTCACCGGCGCACCTTGCAGCTATGCCGGCCGTCTCTCAACCGCACCCGTCGAATGCGCGACAACCTGACATGCAAACACAAACACCGCCCGCCAAACACAAACGCTTCGCGTCGCTGTTGCGCCTGCCCTCGTCGTCATCTAAAAAGGAGAAAGACAAAGAAACTCCCCCAGCTTCCTCTCCACGCTCGCGACGCGCAACAACAAACCCCACCACACCCACAGCACCCGTTCAGAAAGCGCCCTCGGCTTCACCTTCTTACTTTTCCCCACAGCCCGGGTCATCCGGCTCAGGTACCGATTTGCGCTCACCAGGAAGCAAGAGACCGCCTGCCTCGTACAGTGGTCATGGGTAAATACACTTTGCGCTATTGTGTACAATGTTTGGTACTAACAACAGCATAGTAAGCAACTATCTCGTAGTCGACAATTAGTAGCTCAGCAACCCCTCAGCCCTTGTACACTACCGGAATGAAGCTGTAATGCACTACTTGAAAGTCGAGCTCAGCTCTCTCTAATTGCTGTTCCCAGTGCTCTGGGACACGGCTGACCGAATTCACTTCTAGGCATAGACAATTCGCGTGGACCGCCAGTCACATTGATCACACGTGGGAACTCCGACTACGCACGCAAGAAGGTCCCTGCCACGACCCCTACTCAGCCTCAGCGACAGCACTCAGGATTACCGACGCCAATTGCTGGGCTGCAACGGATGGGCCAGCCAGCAGACGACGACGACTCAGACAGCTCGAGTGCAAGCGAAGCCACCGCGTCAATACCACCCACGAGCAAGCCAGTGCTCTCGCGACAGAGCACAGTGACGAGCATACGATCCTCGCGACACATGGCGAGCTCGAGGGACGAGTCCTCTGACTTCGACGACACCCGCAGTGGACACACTGGGCGCGCAAAGAGGAACATTTCAGGCGCTGAGAGCGAGGACCTCTTCATGAACATCGCCGAAGACAATGCGCCCAGGCAGCGCGCAATTGATGCTGCAGTACGGCAGGACCGGCTGCGCTCGCGCATTGCCAGAGTGAACAATCGACATTCAACACCTTCCGGTCTGCAACCGTCCTCACCCGTACACGCCATATCCACTTATACCACGCCGACTACAAGCCGTATACCCTTCTCCTCCTCTACAGACCCAAAGGCGAGCGTATTGCCCCGCCGAGCAACAGCGCTTCCCACACCATCTAGAACGACGTATCAGTCACCACTATCACCGAACAACCCAAACGAGACCCACCGCACACGCTTGCCTGAGCTCAACGCCAAAGCTTCTTTTTCTTCCAGGAGAGATGCAGAACTCTCACCAAGCGAGTTTCTTGCCTCGATGCGACGGCCATCTGTTCCAGATGCGCTACAAACCCCTCCAAAGCGCACGCCCACACACGCCTACCGTTCTTCGAACTTGAACTACACGTCCACGCGCAACGAGCCGAAAACGCCGCAAACTGATCCGAGACATGAGGGATCTTCGCATCATGATGGTACTGAATCACATGGCTCAACAGGCCCTGCAGCTTCAGTATGGGACGAACTAGATGAGTTAAAGACAAGGATCAAAAAGATAGAACAGGGTGGCGGCAAGACTCCTGCAACTTCAAACGCTGCCGTTGCTCAAGCTTCCGCCGAACGTCCACGAACCGCCAATACATCAGCCACCACAGTCTCCTCCTCCCCACATCAGCAGCGCAAGCCGAATGCGTCTCCATCTGAATCCACAGTCGATGCGCCATCCACAAAAGTTCACCCTCTGCTAAGAGACGCCTTGGCAAAGGCTAAGCAACACACTACGCATTCGGTATACCGTGTACTCGAGTCTACAGCAACAGAAGCAATTGCGCTGGCAGAGATGGCAGGAAGCACGGGAATGCTGGGCTCAGCAGCCTCGGTCTACAGTGGTGCTGCGACAGCTGACCGACAAGTCCGCCGAAAAGCAGACAATATCTGTCGTAGCCTAACAGAGCTTTGTATAGCATTGTGCGATACAAAACCGAGTCTAGCGAGTTCCGCTATGCGCTCGTCGGCGGCCGCAGTGACACGTAGGCCGAGTGTGCAGGTCAATGGCGAATCACCGAAACCATTAAGAGACAGCGAGGAGACTGGAAGTGTCGTTTCATTCTCGGGTGTTAGTCCCAGCCGAGCTCTTGAGCGCATTGAAGCCCGCAGGACCAGCATGCTTGCGGCCTCTACCAGTAAACGCGACTCCAGTCAAGAGACTAATAGTACTTCTGATGCTCTCGCTGCATCTCGCATACAACGAGCAGGCACTAGTCTCAATCGTACTCGACGCCAATCAGACGCGGAAGAAGACGAGGACGATACGCTGCGTGCACCATCTCGCGCAATGACAGATTTCAGGCAATTACGGAGTATCAATGCCAATACCACCACCCACACCAACACCAACAGTAGCAACTTCGAGAAGAACCGGCACAGCAGCAGAACGTATACGTCACAAGAACCAATGCCGGAGTTGCAACCATCACCTAAGTTTCGACCTGCCCCTAGCCTACGGCGACCGACCGTAACAGGTGTACCGAACGAGAACAGCCTTCTCTTCAGAGACAGCCCTCGACGCTACAACTTTGATCGACAGAGTTCACCGGCGGTCGAGAAGCAAACAGTCAATGGTCTCCGGGAACGACTACAGCTCAGCACAAACCGCACCAACCTGAATCGCAACTCGATTGGTACCACAGCCGACTTGACCCGTAGCATGAGCCTAGGTAGAACGAGGATGAGAGGTGCAAGTACTGGAGAGTGAGCAGATGAAGAACTGCATGCATTTTGATTGAGCGTTTCTGACGATCGTAACGATATATACCCAGTTTGCTGTCCGGACGATGCGTTACAATGCGGCATTCTAAATGCACTTCACCGGCGCCGGAACGATGCGTCACGGCATTGCGAATCCAGCGGCGTCGACTGTAGCCACGACAAGGACAACGATATAAGATCTAGCATCTATTGAGGTTTTGGGGAAATGAGATTTCTTCGAAGCGGTGGGAGCACGCGTTGTTTCTCGAACTTATCTTCACGACGCGACATGCAACATTCCAGCAGGCGTTACGATTGTACATATACTCCACAACGCAGTGCCGACGAAGCACACATGCTTCTTGTATCAGTATGTGGATTCATGAACAGCAGACCAACTTTCAATTCTATCCAAAACTACGCATGTTCGTCGCGTATGTTCGATTACTCATACAAGTTATCTCCCAACTCTCTGTTCCTTGCATGTGACAAACTTTCGATCCGTCGCGATCGACCTTAGCCAACACAACAAGATTCCGAAAGACTAATCACATGCGGCACACTCAACAAGGCGGCTTTCAAGATTATTAGTGGACGATTTGAACGTTGACGCGAAGTTGGCCCCGTGGAAACTTGATCTGGCTTGCTTGATCTTGCGTGCACGCGGAACGATCACTGGGTCTAGCCCGGATGACGTATGACGTGCGACGTTCACACACCAGGCACGATCCCTGTCACCACATCGCCAACCGCTTGCGTGGGCCATGATCCTGAGCTGGTGATCGCAGATGAGATCACTGGGGGATGACGAGCTGGAATGAGGGTCCTGTTGGGGTGGAGGTATATATTGCTGCGGCCTGCGAATTCACATGGCTTGATTTCTATTGACACTACTAAATTCTCCTCATCTTATGACCGTTTTCGCACCAGTACAGATTAGATCTCTGCAGAAGTAAAAGACGTCAGGATGGCAAACAACAACCAGAACAGCGAGAGCAAGACCTACAAGCAGCAAGCCGGCGAATTCTACAATCGCCAGTATGACAACTGGGTCCCCTGGATCGAGGACAAATACCTGCAGTGGTTCACCAAGGACAACAAGGCTTCATATACCACAAAGCGTACGTCTTCCCCGCCGACCTCCACCCAGAACCTCCTCTCATCCCCTCTCTCCACCCTTCTCACATCCTCACCAAACACGCACTAACCCCATCTCAGAGAACCTTGACAAAACCAAAGTAACAGGCGTATCCCAAGTCGACAACTTGCAAGACGGCGTCAACGGCCTCGTCTCGGGCCAAGTAGGCCAAGGCGGCCTCGCGCAACCCATTGGCGACGCGCTGTCCAAGGAGGGCATCAACCGCGCTGAGCGCAGTGGCAAGGACGAGAATGGGAATCCCATTGAGAGCCAAGGACCGCTGGGTGGATATGGTCAGGGTGCGGTAGATGGTGTGAAGGGTGGCGCTGGGGCGGTGGGAAGCGGTGCACAGAGCGTGGGGAGCGGTGTTGCGGGGGGCGCGAAGAGTGCTGGGGGATACATTGGTGGGCTTTGGGGTGGGAAGAAGGGGGATGAGCCGAAGAAGTAGATTGATGGGAGCGGGGAAGGGGTTGGAGGGAGGTGCTGGGTGAGGATATATGATACCACAATACGATTCTGTTAGTTCTTTCTAGGAGCAAATTGCAACTATTCCTATCTTGAGGTATTGTTCCGTTCGTCTTCGATTGTCAGCAAACACATGAGTCTACATATAAGCGGTGAAAAGCTACGTCCTTAAAATTTTTGCCCGTCGAGACCGCCGCCACTTGAGGTGGTTCAACTTCACCTCCGTGAGCAGAGTTTTCACCGTGAGCGTCTCTGTCAAGCTTTTTGAGACGCTTTCACCTCGATTGTGCTTGGACTTGTTCGGGCATTCTACATACTAGCTTCTTAGCTTTTCGCACAGTGCTTTTCCCACTGTCCAGTCTCTCCTTCTTCCCTCGCTTCAATCTCCACTGTCATTCTCTGTCACGATTCAGGGCGCTCTTGCCTGTCGAACCTCACCTGCCATGAGAGTGACTGCCACGTCACACTAGCGTTGTTTACAGCTACTCAACTATACATACTGTTCGTAGCTTCACCCAATATAACCTCAGTTCAATCCGTCAATTCTTCCCATATGCGCACTGTCCACGCTTCCCGACATTCTCTCTACCTGCTAGCAGGTCTAGCCACACCACTCCTTCCATCATTGTATCCATCATGGCTCGCGAAATGTTGATGGATACTCTCAAGAAGCAGTATGGAGTCAAGAAGCAGTATGGAGTCAAGAAGCAGTATGGAGTCAAGAAGCAGCATGGAGTCAAGAAGCAGCATGGAGTCAAGAAGCAGCATGGAGTCAAGAAGCAGCATGGAGTCAGGAAGCATCTTCAAGTCGCTGTAGATGCTCCGGTCTTCGTGCCCGCTGGCGTCTACACACCACCAACATCGAAGGCACCTTCTTCCTCTTCGACAAATCCTAAGCACAACGAAAGTTCGCATACATACACACCACCAGACCGTGGTGTCGAAAGCGATGATGAAGAATCTGTCTGCACAGAGCAACCAGCACCTGAGGTGAGAGATGCTTCGGAAGAGAACAATAAGTCTACAATGTGAAGCCAGTTCGCCAATCTTGACTACTCTACCGCCATGTATGATTCGGACATTCGCAAATGGCTGGCAGATGATCGCACGAATCTGGCACCATCGAGTTAGATCACACATTACGCATTCACTCTTGAAATCGGCCACAAAACATAGCAGTCCCGAAACCGCCCTTGAACGCCGCTTCTCCGCACTACCGGGTACCGTTCGCCAACATCCCAAAGTTGGGTCATCTCACGTTGAAGTCGCCAAACCTAAAGACGTGGGCCGCACATTTTGCAAACCACCTATAACGAAACAGTCACCACTTCCAACAGTATTATGACTGCTCCGCAGCCCACCATTCCCATCAAGGGTTATAGTTCGCGCGTACCTGGTGCAAATATTGTCTACGTCGAGAATCGCCCCGTCCGAGTGCCAGCGCCAGCGATCAATGGACCTTCGTTGTCGGCCGACATGGAACAGCGCATTCTATCCATCAAGGACATTCGCAACCTAGACCAGCAGGAGCGAGCAGTGCTTCTGAAAGGACCAATCATAGAAATCATCGTCACCGGTCAGATCATCGACGACATCCAATTTAGGCTTGAGGTAGATGGAAATGTGGCTTCGATGTGCTTCCGGAAACGCAGGAGGAAGGCTTTATGCAGAGTCGATCCTTCGATAGGGCAATTTTATAAACAGCGTTGTGCATTCGAGGTTTCAACCGTCTATTTGATGGCGCAGCATGCAAAGTGGGAGGTGCTTTATTTATGTAGGAACATTGACCACGTCCACCCTTGATGAGTCAACAACATACAAAGAAGATATAATGTGTGTGTATGTATTGTTTCAGTTGTCTCGGACTGCTAGGTCCCCAAACTCTGAAAACGCTGTCTAAGTACTTATATATGCTCGAGAATATCTCGTCTCTATGCTGCCCAGCGCTTCTTCAGCCTATCAATCACCATTCCCATGTACTGACTATCGGTTACGCTGGGTATCTGACCAAACGACTCACTGTCCTTTCCAGTCTCCTCTGTTATGTACTCCAACGGTCCCTTCGGCTTTGTAGAAGCAGCGCTACCGTACTTGCTCTCGAACCAGTCAAGCAGCTTGATCGGAGGGTTGTTCTTCGGGTCGCGGTCGGAGTTGCGTAGCCTCTCCATCCACTGGTCTGTTGGCAACGACTCAAACTCAAGACCAGCCGCAGACAGAGCAGGCAGCATATCTTTTGTCCAGTGGAAGCGGGTGGGGTTGAGAACATGATAGACGAGGCCCGGGTCGGAGGCTCGTGACGTAGCACGGTCGGGTCTGCATACGTCGAGGATAATGCGCGCTGCGTAGTCGACTGGCAACCAGGTCATCTCCTAAATAATGGTTAGTAAGGGGGCGAAGAGCGGGTATGGAAGACTTACCTCGTCCAGCTGGGGCAATGCACCAAGTGTGATTGCCGTTTGAATCATGAGGGGTATGCCCTCCGTTGTATTCCACTCGCCGACCTTGCTGTCACCGACGAGCTGACCGATTCTTAATACCCTAGCCTGGGCACCTGCATCTTTCATCGCGTTACGAACGACCTGTTCTGCAACGTATTTCGACCTGGCGTAGCCTGTGCCTTGGACGTGCGCGATATCTCTGACATGCGTCTCAGGGACTGTGCCAGGCCGCGGTGTACCTCCGGTCGAGGAGACCGACGAACAGAAATAGAAACGTGCTGGCGAGCCATGTGTCGTTGACTGACAGAGGTTGATGAAGTTCGGTACCGCTTTGATGTGCTGATCTTCGAAGCTCTCTACGGAAATGTTGAAGTTGACTGCCCAGGCACTGTGGATGACCAGAGTGAGACTCGAACGCAGTTGCACAAACCTTGATGCACCGAGACCAAAGTCTGGCTTGCTGAGGTCGGAGGGTACAGCAATAACTTTGCGGATCTCCTCAACCGAAAGATAGATGCCGCGAGATGAGAGACTCTGTAACGTCCTCTCGAAGGCGGTATGTTCTGATGATGCTCGAACAAGTGCCCATATGGCCGACACGTTGGGATCGCGGACGAGCTGAGCAAGGAGATGAGCACCCAGACCTCCAGTGACACCTGTCAAGACCACGGTCTCAGTAGCTGGTGTAGTTCGATACTCTTCATCGTATGTCTTGAACGAGGAGTGCTTTGCGACAAGATCACGCATGACTTGGTACGTGTCCTTCGCTTGCTCTGCATTACCAGTGCGTAACCCATTGATGTGGCGAGCGAGAGCTTGGACGTTGCCAGTCTCATACAGGACATTCTGACCAAGTTGAGACTGGCGCCCACCAAGGTCGAGCTCCTTCTTCATTAGGCTCCACATCTTCATGCACTGCAGACTGTCGATACCCAAAGCGAAGAAGTCGTCTGTTGCCGAGAGCTTAACACCGAGATTCTCTTGGAACCTTTGTAGCAGATAGGTCTCGAGCTCCGGTAAGGGCAGCGCCACTGTGCCGACCTCGTCATCACCACTTTCGAAGTTGGCGTATGCGGTCTCGATCTGGTCCTTGAACTGTGCGTAGACTTGCGCACGGATGAAGGTGCCCTTGTCAGTCTTCGCATATGTGGTGTCGGCAGGCAGAACTACGATCAACTCCTTTGGTATCCGTGAGAAGCTCTCGGCACGAGAGTTTGCGTCTTCGACGGCGGGCCATATTTGTTCAACGAAGTCGGCATCCGACAGATGCGAAGCAATATCGGCTTTCACGATTAGAATACCAGGAAGGCTCTTGCCGTCACCGAACACGACTGCCTCCTTGACTAGACCCTCTTGACGTATCCTGCCTTCAATAGGGATCGGCAGAACCTTCTCACCATTGACCAAGGTAAGTCTGTCGTCAAGTCTTGACACAAACCTCCAGAAGTCCGGGTTTGTTGGGTGACGCATGAAGAGATCTCTTGTGCGGAAGGACCGAGGTGGATCGTCTGAGTTGATGGTGTTCTTGGAGCGCAGACCATCAAGTGCGACACATTCGAAGATGCCTGGGGCGATCTCATCCATCAGGACATACTTTTTTACCTCGGGCAGAATTCTAAGGTAGTTCCAAGCATGATCTCCAGTTGGACGAACAGAAGTCGATAATCTGCCTGTCTCGGTGGCGCCATAATTGGCTACCAAATTGACACCGTTCTTGACCAGCATGTCTCCAAGGTCGTCAGGACATGCACTGCCACCATACATGACGAGGTCAATCTTTGCAAGTGACCTGATTCCTTCTTCTGATTCGCCTAGAAGCTTGAGAACATACGGTACGCAGAACAGTAGGTCAGGCTTGACGGCTGCGAGTGTTGCTGTGAGGTTCTGCTTCGTTAAGGGGAATGCATAGTTGAAGTAGTACATCGGCTTCCCTGAGTATATCGATCGGAAGGTCTCGTAGAAGCCAAAGCTATGGAATAGAGGTTGTGTCATTAAGGCCTTTCTATCCAAGTTTGTCGAGAACGCTGCAATACAGCTGCGGTTGGTGAGATAGATCGGCTTAGGTAGGCCTGTAGAGCCCGAAGAGTGAATGATGACAACGTTCTTCGTCGTCTCCTTATATGGGTCGTAAGCGCGATGGAAGCTGGGTGCGTCCACGCCATAGTACTCTTCATGCTTTAGCAGCTCGAGAACGGTAGTGCCACGTTCGGTCTTGACTTCTTCCAGTACTGGGTGGAAGTGTGAGGTAGTCAGAAGAGTGTTGCACTCGGCCAGCTCAAGCAAGCGAATCAAGGCCGGGGCTGCTAGTCGGGTTGACAATAGAAGGCTGGCATAGCCAAGTCTGCTCAGACCCAACAATGTGATGACGAAGGGTAGTCCAGAGTGGGCGATAATGCCAACGACAGGGGCCTTGTCAAGGGAGGCATCCTATGACTTGGTGTCAGCGTAAGCTCCGTCTGGGCATTTCTTGTACTTACCACTTTCTTGAGTCCCCTCCGTTGCAAGGCCTCTGCGGCTGCATCGGCATATTTGTTCACCGCGAAAGCTGAATGGTCTTCGTAATCTGTTACACCTTCCTTGGGGTATCCAATGAGCGGTGAATCTCGTAATTCTGATGCACGTCGCTTGATCAGCTCATCGATGGTGTAGATTTCGGCATCATGTGTTGGAAGAAGCGTTCTTGTTGGCCTTTTCTCGGTCGCTGTGTATGTGCGTGACATTGTGCCTTCACACCTTTCCAAGGGCTGCTCAGTAGATTGAGGATATGTAGAGCCCAGCATTGTGAACCGTGGCGTGCTTTATGCGGAAGTGACTTGCCCAGAACGTGGGGTGGTAACGGAGAAGGTATCCTTAAGGTGGCGCTAAGAACAACCGAAGGCCCCGGACTCGTTTTCCACAGCCGCATGGCGTTATCCGAGGGTTTGCAGATTTACCACCAATCCTGAGCTACAATATAATCTGGATAACACATCCGACAGACATTTCCCTGATGCAGTCAAGTTCAACACTGAGCTCATCTGTGCACCGAGTGTGCCGGCGACTTTAGCGCAACATTGCATGCGAGATTCGTCTTTCCTTCCTTCCCCACTGACGCGAAGGAAGATCATCATGACCATCCTGCATACTGCTAGCACGCCCGCAGATGCCACCAAACCCCACGGGGTCGCAATACCCCGCATGTGAAACCCCACAAACCACCGTGAATAATAAGCTTGGCAAGGCTGGTATAAAGACAGATCAGATGTCGAGACCTCCATAGAACCCAGCGCCTTGAGCACTATCTTTCTCTTCCTTCAAGCCATCATGACCGATCAGACCAAGACCAAGACCAAGACCAAGAACTCTAGTGAGCACATCGACACGATCAGTGTCAATGACCAGCCTATCAAGCCACAGTATGAAGAGCTTGACAAGTTCGGAGCATCTCTGGTGAAGAGCCCTGCTGAGGTTGCTCTCGTGAAGAAGCTTGATCGCTGGATGATGGTAAGTACCCCGATGTGCAGGACGTTCACAAGCTAACGCAGGCAGCCCATTCTTTGGCTCATGTACTTCCTTAACTTCCTCGACCGCAATGCCATTGTCAACGGCAAGATCGATAACATGGATAAGGACCTCAAACTCACAGGCGTTCAATACAATACTTGTGTCTCTATCTTCTTCGTTGGGTAAGTCGCCCGTCCTGATAGTACGGTCTCGTCTGACGTCCTGCAGATACTTGGTCGGCCAGGTTCCCTCCAACATGCTGCTCAACCGAATCAGGCCCTCATGGTACATGTCCGGCTGGATGATGGCCTGGGCTATCGTGTCTACGCTTATGGCAGTCGTGAAGGACTACAAGGGCATGCTTGCGTGTCGATTCATCCTTGGTATCACCGAAGCGCCGTTCTATCCTGGAGGAGTCTACTTGATCTCCATGTTCTACACCCGAAAAGAGAGTGCCACCAGGATGTCGGTCTTCTACACTGGCAACCTGCTTGCTAGTGCATTCTCTGGCTTGATCGCAGCGCCCGTTTTCTCCGGTATGGAAGGCAAACACGGCCTTGAAGGATGGAGGTGGCTTTTCATCATCCAAGGTGCGATCACTGGTAAGTTTTTCAGGATGTCGCAAGTGGGCATGACTGACATGGCTTCAAGTTGGCGTTGCTGTCCTCGCCTTTTTCATGCTCCCCAACGCACCCCTCCAAACACGATGGCTCACACAAGAGGAGCGCGAACTGGCCCACAGCAGGATTGCCTTCGACACTACCGAAAAGAAGGATAAGGTGAGCGTTTGGAAAGGTCTTCGTGAAGCTTGCACCGACTACCGCATGTGGGTGTTCGCACTTATGCAGAACCTCCACTTGTCCGCCAACGGCTTCAAGAACTTCCTGCCTACTGTTGTCCAGGTATGTCACATCGTCTCGCTCTCTTCCTTGAACGGATACTGACTGCTACTCAGACTCTTGGTTTCAACCGTACGATCACTCTCGTGCTTACGTGCCCGCCATACTTGCTGTCTGCCTTTGTCTCTGTCGCTGTCTCATGGTCATCCGGACGATTCAATGAGCGCACCTGGCACATCACTCTCTCAAAGACTGTTGCGATCGTCGGCTTCATGATCGGAACACTCACGTTGAACATTGGCGCTCGATACTTCGCCATGGTGCTCTTTGTCGGTGCCACTTATGGAGTCAACAACATCAACCTGTCCTGGACCGCTTCTGTACTCGGACAGACCGATGAGAAGAAGGCTGTTGCCATTGCTATCGCGAACACATTGGGAAATCTGTCTTTCGTATACACGCCATATCTCTGGCCAGATAGCAGCAAACCCCGCTTCTCGATGGCTATGTGGGCCAGTGTTGGCTTCTCTGCCGGTGTCATTGCCTGCGCTTGGGCACTGAGGTTCATCTTGATGAGGGACAACAGGAAGATCCGTGCTCAGAACAACGAGGCTATCAACTTCTACGTCTACTAAGGATGATTTCGATCGAGGGAGGAGGTCTGCTGAAACTTATTATGGACTACTGTCTGCGAGCAAACCGAAGATTTCTGACGTTAAGCGTCACGTCAAGCGAGGGCGCTCTTACTATTTTATTGAACCCAATGGTTGACATGTTGGCTCGCAACTTCCACCTCAGAAGTGATCGGGTGATAAGTACCGCCAGGAAGCGACGGTGATGAAAGTGAAAGCGCCACCTCGCTTGCGCCTAACATCGCGAACCCACACAAACATCATCGATTCCTAGTACAAACCCGACGCATCTTCAGTCCAACTGTATCACTAACGAGCTCACCAATATTAACACAACGTTGCAGACAATCAAACAGCACACATCCAGAAAAGCATCAGCCTTGTTTGCCACGATGGGCTTTGTGGCAAACAATGAAGAGCTACAGCTTCGACAACCGAGGTCTGATGAATTACAGTTCTTGACGATACCCGCAACACCAGAAAACACACCAGTAGTTACGATGAGCGATCCAGCGGGCGATCATATGGCTGCTCGGGGCACGGAGATACAAGACGTCGCAACCAGCAATAACTGCAATGATACCCCTACTCTGGAGAAAGAATCTTCTCCCCCTGAGCACTATGAGCCAGCCGCTCGCCGTATATCCACTGACGAAAACTACACAGACGGAGAAGAAGACTCAGATGAATACCTATACGCCTCTCTCGACCCCAACACCACACTGGCAATCCCCATCACAAACCCCTCTGCCTTCCCCATCCAACGCCTCCAGGAAGTCCAAGCGCAGTACTACCCCAGCACCCACGTAACCAACATGCTGGTTCACAAAACGCCCTCAGGTCCGATCACCAAAGTAGCCGCCGACATTCAAGACGGCTCGGTCAACCACCTCTTTATCCGCGACACACGCCTGATCAACGCCCTCGGCCTCGCGCTCCCAGCTTTCGATACCATCAATCTCGACACCACGCAACTCCGGCTCGATGAGACATTCACGATCGATATCTTTCCCGGTCAGCGGCCGAATGAAGTCGATGAGTGGATAATGGGCGACTTGGTAAGCGCGAGGCATGCGTATTTGTACTGGTTGGATGAGCGTAGGTCGGCGGATCCGAGGTCACCGCCGTATGCGGCGGAGGCGAAGGCGATTGCGAGAAAGACAGGGAGGCGGTACCCAGATGTCATGAGGGAGATTGAAGGGGTGTGGAAGTTGGAGCAGGGGAGTAACGGGAGGGAGTATAGAGAGAATCGGGTGAGGTATTTGGGTGAGAATCCGACGTATCCGGAAGGGGCGGAGGAGAAGAGGGTTGTGAGGAGTATGTTTGGGTAGGTGGTGAGAGCATTTGAGGACTGCCGTACGTTCGGATTATGGGCTAATGTTGTGTGTTGAAGCCTATGGCATCAAGGAGAGAGCGCAACCCTTTGTGGTAAAATCTCGTCATTAGATGAACGAAGGCATGTAGCTACCTTTTTCAACTAAGTCCCGCCAATCAACATTCCTCTTCGCTTTCTCGTCGCTGACGAGATCTTGTCTCTTCCACACAGCCTTGACCAATTTGATGATGATGCTGTAGTTTCCGATGCGCCTCCTTGCCCCACTCGTCTCCATCAGGTCCAGTATTCGAATGCGATCCTCGTCTTCGGTGACGCTGCAGGCTAAGATGAAGAGGGGCCAAGGGCTGCTACAGATCTTCATCTCCCATAGGATATTCAAACCGTTGCGTAGAGAGTGCTGGGGATTGCTTGCAGGGACGAAGGTCGTGGGGGCAGTCTGGTAAAAGTAGAGTACTGCAGCAATTCTGTACAATTCTGCGGTGAAAGTGATGCGCGTGTCGTTGATGATACCAGATGTTGAGCCAGGCTGGATGAGAAGCTTTTGCTCCAAGTTCAGCAGACGGTTCTCAATTCGAGAAAGTATCCCGAAATGCTCGCAGGGGACAGTTAATGAGGGATTTCCAGCAGTGCCAGCAGGACTCACGGCAGGCTTTGCTGCTTGTAGCTGATTTGTACATCCTATCAGATGGAGCACTTCGGTCGAGCACCCCAGTACTCCAATGATCTATTCGAAGTCAGATTGGGATACTTGATCTCCGTTTCATGAACATCATGTCGGATATTCGACGTACCTTTCGATTCTCGGACGTGTTAGATGGCAGCGAGATCTCAGGGTTCGCCACTTGCGCTGGGTAGGTGTACTGGCTGAAGATGTAATGATACTGGAACCACGGCTTGAGGAACTCAAAGCCAGCAGTAGATTTCACAGTCTCGGGGATCGTATTGTAGACGGATTTTGCCCCTTCAAGATGCATGTACCACGCGGTGTCGGACTCGTCGAAGACCTTTGATTTCCATTAGCGACCTCGAGTGATACGTGGAAGTCCAAAAGCATACTCCGTAGACACACAGCATCATACAGGCTGCAAAGTGTCTGGTCTTGGATGCACAGTCCACAGTCTCAATTGACAGGTTGGCGAAGCTGTCGCTCAGGTCTTTGATCGCTCGGAACTTATACTTCAGTGCCTGCTGCGGGCGACCGAGATGGTAGCAAGCAATGGCGAGAGTGGAGTGGAGAATGCTTCGAGCGGACAGATCTGGTGAAGAAAGTGCCATTGGGATCAGTGCTAAGCGGAAGCCGTTCGAGTCATCGTCAATAGTGGTTGTTATCCGAGCTATCTCCAAATCATCTAGACGTGGTCAGTGGTTATTTGGACGATGAGAAGGATTTGAGAAGCACACAGTGATTGAGCAACATGCCGTTCTGCTCACTGACTGAGATTGGGTTGATTGATATCGGGATCGCATTCGACATGATGCTGACCAACTCGCCGTTGATGAGATCTGTAACACACAGTCTGCTGCCATCAAGATCTTCGACCACAGTGTTAAGAAAGGTAAAACATCCATCTCTTTGAGGAAGGTAATTGGTGACGACATCTTGATCGTTCACCTCATATCGCTTTTGCTTGCGGCGTCCGTCTTGCTTATCAGGCCAGGCAAGGCGAAGCCCATAACCCTGACAGGTTCGTTGACCCTTTTTGCAGTTGATGCAGGTTGGCAGAGCCCGGTCACAGCCGACTTTGCGCTCTAGAATGGAGTCAGTAAGTAAGATTGCGACGTCAAATGAGGCAACCTACGCTTGCAAGTCCAGCAATTGGTCGACGCATTCGGCATCTTGTCTGCGCCATGGTACTGCAGACTCAGGTAGGTCGATCAGACATGTGCGAGCTTCGACTGCAAGATGACTGTTCGAATGGGAAGCTTGTGTAGATCTGGTATGGGTTGGATCGCATGTACATGAATTTACGTGACTATGCTAGCTTCGGTGGAATCATGACTCAGCGAAGCCACGAGAGTCCTCCGCCGGATATTGCAGGCTCTGCTTGGTGACGAAGACAAGCTTCAGCTATTTTCGAGAGCGCAGGAGTGTGACTATGGAATTTAATGGAGATTCTGATCGACCCTTCGATCGATGAAGGACGTGCTTGTGGCTAATGGCTTGACGCTTGAAGGCCTTCGAATGTGTTCACATCTGGAATACAACGGCGATGCTATATCGGAGTGTGAAAGCAGGTATAAAAGCAACATAGGCGACTCCTAATCAAATGCGCATAGTATATATGGGTTGGGTTTAAAAGCTGGAGGTGAGCGTCGAGCTGTGCATTTGTTCTTGACGTCCTGATTGATGTTCGAGGCAGGCGCTGACAGGGGTCCACCGCACCAGCCAACGAAAAGCCCCACTCTGCTAAGCGACCCTTGGCGCCCACACGCTGGTCGTTGCTTCCCAATCTCTCGAACTTTTTCGCATCGCGATACTAACCACAGGCAATCCACGACAGCCACCATGTCCAGGCCGACCGTCACCGTCATCTCCCCCAAGGGCGAGTCCTCCAAGGACACCATTGCCGTCCCCAATGTCTTCAAGGTCAGTCGCTGCGAGACGCTGGCCGCTCGAACACACAACGACACCGCACGCGCTGCAAATACGTGGGACTGGGAGTGAGGGGGCGAGGGTGCAAATTTTGCAATTAGCAACATGACCTCGAGACTCACAAGCTCAGTATTCGCAATGCACAGCGGGCTGCAAGAGCAAGGCTTTTTCGATGCCAGAACTGGTGGCTAACAAATTTGCAGGCGCCCATCCGCCCTGACATTGTCCACTCGGTCCACACTGGCATGAACAAGAACCGCCGCCAGCCCTACGCCGTCTCCGAGAAGGCTGGTCACCAGACCTCTGCTGAGTCCTGGGGTACCGGTCGCGCTGTTGCCCGTATCCCCCGTGTCTCCGGTGGTGGTACTCACCGCGCTGGTCAGGCCGCCTTCGGTAACATGTGCCGTTCCGGTCGCATGTTCGCTCCCACCAAGGTCTGGCGCAAGTGGCACCAGAAGATCAACCTCAACCAGAAGCGCTTCGCGACCGCCTCCGCGCTCGCCGCCTCTGGCAGCCCTGCTCTTCTCCTTGCCCGCGGTCACGCCATCTCCACCGTCCCTGAGGTTCCCCTCGTCGTCTCCTCGACCGCCTTCGCTGATGGCGCCATCAAGAAGACCTCCGCCGCTGTTGCCCTTCTCAAGGCTGTCGGTGCCGGTGCTGACATCGAGAAGGCCAAGAACTCTCGCAAGGTCCGCGCTGGTAAGGGTAAGATGAGGGGTCGCCGCCACAAGCAGCGCCGTGGTCCTCTCGTCATCTACAACCCTGAGGAGGATGGCAAGGACCTCGTGCTTGCTTTCCGCAACATCCCCGGCGTCGAGACCAGCTCCGTCTACTCGCTCAACCTCCTCCAGCTCGCCCCTGGTGGTCACCTTGGCCGCTTCGTCGTCTGGTCGTCGTCTGCTTTCTCTGCTCTCGACAAGATCTACGGCTCCACCAGCGAGCCCTCTGCTCTCAAGAAGGACTTCCTCCTGCCTACCACCATCATGAAGCAGCCTGACCTGTCCAAGATCATCAACTCCAGCGACATCCAGAAGGTCCTCCGCCCTGTCCGTGGCGGTGCTGTCTCCAAGCGCGGTGTTGTACAGAAGAAGAACCCTCTCAAGAACTTCCAGGTGCAGCTCCGTCTCAACCCTTACGCTGCTGCTTTCTCGAAGGAGAAGCTCGGCCAGAAGAAGGTTGAGCACACCAAGGAGAGGTCTGGCGAGTCTTTCGCCAACCTGTTGGCTGAGAACTAAGCATGCAGTTTAGCGGGAACGGTTTCTTTAAGGTCAATCACGGAAATGAATCATGGGACAGGCGGCTAGTGTAGCTGTCTGAAAACACCTCACGAGGTTTACTCTTCCAATATCTTCTTCCGCTGTGTTATGTCGTGTCGTGATGCATATTATACCCAATCTATCATTATACAATGCACACATCAAGTCCTTCTAGTACGGTCTTCACACACGTATCCACGTCGACTAAGTCCCCTCACGCCTGCTCATCAATTCTCACCTCCACCCCCTTTCCCCTCTCTGTCCCAAACAACTCTAACAACCCATCCCTCCTGAACATCCTCGCACAATCCACCGCATTCGGCTGTCCACCCATGATGTTCGCACCCGCCTCGAACAGTACTTTCACAACGTCCTCATAACCCTTGAACACCGCACCTGCGATGGGACTCTGCCCACGGCCGTTCAGCGCATTCGGATCAGCACCCGCGTCTAGCAGCATTTGGGCTGTTTCTGCGTGCCCGTGATAAGATGTCAACATCAGAAGGGTGTCTCCGGTTGAGTTGGTAAGGTTTTTGGGCACGCCGGCATCGATGTATTGCTTCAATGTCGTGGTGTTGCCTTCGCGTGCTAGATCGAACAATCTGGCAGCGAGGTCGAGAGCTGCCGGAGGGAGATCAGCAACGGATTGAGGAGGTTGTAATGTTCCGTTTGTTGGAGCTGTGCCATTGGTCGCTGGAGTGCCGTTCATTCCCTCTGCTGTTGGTGGGACACCGTTGGATGTGTGTTCGGAAGCCATGGTATAGTGTATGATATGTGCTGCTCAAGGTACTTCAGAATGTGAAGTAATAATATATGTGAGGGGTGAGGTGATTGAATTAAAGTATCTAATCAAGCGGCCGTCTATGTTTCAAGTCTAGTACACAAATGCTTAGCAGTTGTGTAGAATGCCATGGATTGTTGATGACATAACCACCGTTGGAAGCGGGATGACGCACGATCGAGCGTGGTGAAAGCGCGCACTAGCGCCATTTGTGGTACGCGACTCCCGCAAGTCGTTGACCAGCTCCAGGACGTACGATCAACACAGCTTCGACCCCACGACCCGACCTCACCAAGTCTTCCTCGGCTGCGCAGCCCCCCGCCACCATGGCTTCTCCGCCGCACATGCCGTCGTTCACGATGCCAAAAAAGCGCGGCAGCATCTCCTCGCTATCATCGGCACAAACCAAGAAGCGCAAACCCTCACAGCTCCGCAATGCCTTCTCACCGGAGACCGAAGGCGTTGGATCGCCAGCACGCTACTCGCGCTCACCGTCAGTAGACAGTGTAGCCACAACATCAGTCATCAACGGCGCAGGTGGGAAGAAGAGGCGGAAGAAGAACGCAGACGATGCCAGCACCGCAGGCTCCAGCATGCGCGGCGGAAAAGGCGATACACGCAGCGCGTTAAACGGCGACGGCAACGCTGATGGCAATGCACAAGACGACGAGGAAGATGACGACGACATGATGGACGACGAAATGGACACCGCTCTCGAAGGCGGCCAGTCCATGGCAGACCGCAAAAATCTCGAGAAGGAACACGAGCGCGTCCTCATGGAATACATGACACCCTCCCAAGCCGACCGCTACGCTACATACCGCCGCATTCGCCTCAAGCGCGAAACCGTCCGCAAACTCGTGAATCAGACGCTTTCCCAGTCCGTCCCACAGCCCGTCATCATCGCAGTGACATCCTACACAAAATCCTTCATGGGCGAGATCATCGACCGCGCGCTCACCGTCCGCGACGAGTGGGCAGTATCTCGTACACACTTGCCCAACCCGAACCTGCCACCCCCAGTTCTGGCGCAGTCCCTGGGTCGCCCGTCCGCGCATATAAAAGATCCGCGGAACAAGCCGACGAATGCGGATATCCAGAGCGCAGGCCTGTATTTTAATCAGGTCGACAGGGGTGAGCCGCTGTGGGTCGAGATCGCGAAGGACGCGGGGTTACAGGAGAGGCTGAAGCAGTGCGATAAGGGGCCATTGACACCGGCGCACTTGAGAGAGGCGCTAAGGCGGTACAAGAGGGATAGAGATGGTGGGGGTGCTGGATTTGTGGGAATGAGTTTGGAGGGCGTGGAGAGGACGGCTGCGAGGACGGGTGGGAAAAGGCTGTTTCGTTAGCGTGGTGGTAACGAGTGGATGAACGGTGTGAAGAGAACTCAGGTCGAGGTACTCTGAAGAGAACCAGGAAGAACAGCATCAAAGGGTTCATGCATAGCGAGGGCGTTAGGGACCGGCGTTTAGGTTTCAGGCATCTTTATCACAGTGCCAGTCGAAAGTCTTAAAGCTCGACAATCGGAGACGATTTTGAACAGATGCATTGCATAAAGCTATCTAGTCACTACGAAACCATTCAACATCATCTCGAGTGAAGAACCGCGTATACTGAACGGCTGCTAAGACCCATCGATATCCCCCTCATACTCATAGACGCTCCGCAAGGCTTGAACAGTGCAAATCCATCGCCCCTTGACTTACTCCAGCCTCATCTACATTCTCCCAACGGCGACGATCACACATGTTCATGCGATGACTTCGACCGTGATTCACATGTCGGCAATCTGTATAATCTCGGCTTGCAAGTCAGTGCTGTCAGATCACCACCAGGATAGGATTGCCCAAGCTTCACCGCTTGACCATAGAAGGTAACTGTCCACGCAGACGGGAGATATGAAACAGCTCTGCCTTGACGAACTGCCAGATCAAGGAGGATGCGCTGATTCAGGGCGGGCTGCATAGGGGTATGAGCATTTTCCGAGGCGAACGTGTTGCTGTATGCAGGAGGAGCACACCAACCCCGCCGAGAAGACATTGTGTACTCCAAGTCGCTTGGTGGCAGCCGACATGAACGTGTGTGCAACATCAGGGTGAAGAAAATATTCACCGAGATTGCGAAACGAACCAGTCCTTGGTGTATCCTGATGAAACCCTCAGGCATCATCCTCTCACATGACCAAGGGCGCTGACGCGGTTCCTGCGACAGTACGCAGTGTCTAACAGCGGGATTCGTACCCCCTTCACCTGCTTCACGATGCTCACCCCGCCAACGAGTGGGTCGTCCATATTTACACACCACATCTGGGCGCCTTGACATGTAGTCACAAGTGATTGTTTTGCAGTCTTCAAGGTTGTTTGTGGGCGCGGCTGAGTGTGTGAGAAAGAGTTGAGCCTTGCCGTGGGCAGGTCAATGAAACACCAGGTCAGTTTGGCGTGGGCCGAGCCAGGTGAGGCGTGCGAGCCTCAGGTTGTAACATCACTGGTGACACCGAACAGTTGAACAGTTGAACAGCTGAACAGCTGTTTGGGAGAGCGAATACGAACGCCAGCTGTTCGTAATGCAGGTTCATTGTCGACGAGGCTCATGTTGACTGTTCTGACCCACTGTTGTTCGCTAGGCTCATGGTGTTCGCTATGCTCACTGGTGGTTGCCTCTCGTGTGGAGTAGCGCAATATCAGTGCCGTGCATGTTCGCAGCAGTTGTGTGCGTGCTTCAGGGGCCTAATTGGGGCCACGGCAGATCAAGCTTCTCGAAGACACAGCCGTCCAGCGTCGAAGATTTCACTGAACAGACGGCCGGCGTCGGCGAAGGGCACCAGGCTTGCTGAATCATGAAGGCAAACACTGGGACGACGGACATGCTGGACTCGCTCTGGGTTTTGATTGCTGGTGCTGTTTCCAGCGCTGTCCCAAGTGTCGCGCTCTCAGTGGCTGCGCGATGCAGGGTGTCGACGGCTCAGCTATTCTTAGACACAGCCTAAGCGCCCGGCCACACCATACGAAGCGGCGCTCTTGACTCTCCATCGTAATCCGTAGCGCTGGCTTCAGTTAGCCTCACAGCACCCACGCACCCACCAGTGCACACTCCACCGCGGCTGCCCACGATCCCCTTCCTCATGCTCCCCGGCGGTAGTAGCTCTGGTCACCCTGCGCCTGCCTGACGACCGTCCGGCCTTCTCTCTCTTGTGCACCGCCAGCGCTGCCAGCCAATTCGACCTCCGAGCCTGCCGCGACGCATGCAGACCCTCGACCTCACCACCACCGCGACACGACCGGCCTGACTGAGCGCGTCTCCCAGCTGCGCGGCACGACACTGCATCGCCTGCACCGCACTGCTATTGCCATTGCCTTCTCCGCTACGCGTTCCGCGCCGCACCCACCGCCAGGCGCATCAGCCTGCTGTAGTCACTCCCTCAGGCGCTTCGAGGATCCGGCATCCTCGCGTACTCGCCCAGCGACGCCCAGCGACGCCTTTGCCGCCGCTGCTCTGGGCAATCTGGTGCGTAGCATGCCTCTTTCCCTCGGTGCCTCGTCGTCCCTTCCTCTGCTGCTCTGAGCCATGTCACAATGCGGTGGCCTCTCCCACGAGACTGCACACTACCAGACAGCGCTCTACCAGACTGCACTCTACCAGACTGCACACTGCCAGACTGCACTCGCTGCCGTTTCTGCCTCGTCTATCTGCACCTCCTCCTCGACTGTAGTGCACCACGCTGACATGACTGCCCTCAAAAGAACCTCGCCCACCCTCAGTCCCTCCTTCCCTTCCAAGAAGTCTGAAGATAGATTCGCGCACTACAGCCGCTGGCCCAGCACCACTCGCGCCCACCCTCTCCGCACCGCCTCGTCCCCACAGCTCCCAAGCATGCCGACAACGACATCGAGAACATACATGCCCATGCCCTCGTTCGGCGCCGTCTTTGGAGGAGAGCCCCACAGTATTGGACACGCCCACCCATCAGACCGCGACGCAAGTACCGTACATGGCAGCCATGTAGCACAACGCACCTCGAGCGGGAACACAATACACGGCGCTCCCTTCTCCTCCTTCCACAACCACCACGACTCTCGCGACTCCAACTCGACCGCATCCTCGGATAATTCGCCCACCACCACAATATCCACCATGGACTCCTCCTCCGTGACCGATCCTTCGCCAGGGCCCTCGCCAGAGTCACCAATGCCCAAGATCACGAACCACTCCTTCGCAGCCGACTTCCGAGCACGAAGACCTGAGACATCTGATGGTGTGTCGTCAGGGAGCAACTTCTTCGAACTACAACGGCCGACGACGCCAGCAAAGAAGGCACGAAACCTCAAGAACCTCGGGATCAACACCACCCCCTCGCTCACCAACCTCCGTGCCCAGGCGCCAGCCGCCCCAGCAGCTCTAGCCGACAAGGAGAAGAACAGCTCTGCGCCCCCGTCGCCCCTCTTCATCAAGCCACCAACACCACCGCGGAGACGGCCATCGAACTTGAGCTTGACAATAGCAACTCCAGGAATCAACGACAACAAGCCCACGAGACTCGTCATTCCTTCTACACCGTCCCTCAGCCGGCCAGCGTTACGCCACTTCCAGTCATCGCCCTCCCTGGCGTTATGTTCGCCGAGCGTCGCCCCAGCTGGTGGAATGAAGTTTCCTGCTTTGCGCCCAATCGCGACTAAGAGCAGTGGGTTGTCAGAAGTGCCGTTCGAGATGGAAGAAGAAGAGGAGGAGCCTAATTTCGACATCCCGCAATCAAAAGAAGAGAAGCCTGCCGCATACCCCAACGGACCCATCTGTATATACCCCGCTGGAGTCTACCTCTACTTCGAACCGACCGCCGAGCAAGCTGCTTCGTTCGATGTGATCGTCAACGTTGCTAGCGAGGTGCAGAATCCGTTTACATGTCAGCCCTCGGAGTCGCAAAAGGATCTCAACGCAAGGAGAGTGGATGGGCCGGCCGCAGAGAATGTCGATTTCGCTGCACTATCGCAACAACCAAAATCCACCTTTGGTTTTGGCAGTGACTCGCCAACCACACCCAAGGCTACAGCGCCGGTTCTGCAAACAATACAGCCTGGTGAGACTGTAATCAATGGCAAGACCTACCGCACGCCGGAGTACATCCACATGCCCTGGGAGCACAACACCGATATCGTTTTGGACTTGTACAAGCTCGTCAAGATCATGGACGACCGAGTCAAGCAGGGCAAGCGTGTTCTTGTACATTGCCAGTGTGGTGTCAGTCGTTCTGCCAGCTTGGTAGTTGCCTACGGCTTGTACAAAGAGCCTGAGGTCAGCGTACAGGAAGCATACGACAAGGCCAAGAAGCGAAGCAAGTGGATTGGGCCTAATATGAACCTCATCATGCAGCTTCAGGAATTCCGCAATGGCCTTCTCAGACAGAACCAGAACAGCCGCACGCAGAACCAGGGTTTTGGGAGAAGAGTGGGGTTTTCTTCCGCATCGGCTACGAACAACAGATTCTCTTGCCCCAACCCCGAGAGGGAGGATGCCTCCGGATCGCGTACGCCTCAGACAGCCCCGTTGCCCCCAGATTCCGATATCACCATGCAGCGAGCCAGTACGGGCAACATGATGGCCATTTCTCCCGGGCCATTGTCCGCTCCCAGTGACGCATTTGCTGCACGATTCCGTAACTCTTGGGACTCGACTCAAGTGAACCTTGACCTATCCTCCAACTCTACACCAACCACCGCTCCTTTTGTCGATCCTAAGGGACATGTCGTACCTGTCGTCGAAGTCAAGGTCAATGGTTCTTCTCTGGCACCAACGGCTATCCCCGCCGTTCCTGAAGTTGTGCAGCCTGCCCCAGAGCCGGTCTCGCAAGCACCATCGGTTCCGAACTTTTCGCGTCAACTCTCGTTGCGGTCGTACTCAGACACCCCTGTGGAGCGGTCGATTGAGACGAAGAGCACCCACTTGGCACCAATGAAGCCGATGGGCTTCGCACCACTCAAGTCGCCTTCTGCGCTGACATTCAACGTTCCTCTGTACAGCACGCAACAGGACCAGGATGATGACTATGAGATCAGGTCCCCAGTGAAAACGTCGTTCGATCTTCCATGGCCTTCAGAGTACGATGAGCCAGCGCCTTCGTTATCGGTTCCGAAAGCTCAGGATCGTTTCCAGCTTGGCGCCCCGCCTAAGTCACCGATGATCCCTCCACTACGGATGACATTGCCGAAGACAAGAAGCGATCGTAGTGAAAAGCCTCGCAACCTGCTACCATTCCGTGCTACTCAGGAATCAAGTCAACCGGCGCAGTTGGAGACGCTCGTCAGTACCGACAACACATCTGCTCAGGAGCGGTCCTCCGATTTCGCCTCTCCAACATTCGGCTCGTTTCCCAAGGCTGCATTTGGTCCCAGCAGTGTACCAGAGTCAGAGTTGAAGTCTCCCAGAGCTGCAGAGTTCCACATGGCCCCGCTCAGGCCTAGGACTACTGATGAGGATCCATACGGTCTGACATCACCTACGAGGAGAGACTTTTCTTCTGGCAACCCATTTGCAAGTTCTCAAAACTCTCAAAACTCTCAAAACTCAGGGAGCGACGACCGACGTCCGGCATTCCAAGCCATTCTTCCACCTGCGCATCAAACTTTCAACGGCTTTGCTTCGCTCGATAGTCATGCACGCACTCCATCAACGCACACGTTGGAGCAAGTCCCAGCATCGATACAAGCACCTCCGTCGAGATGCAAGCTTACCATCGAATCCCGCATCGACAGCTTGAGCACATCACCAGAGACTAATGTTATCGCCTCGACACCGACGCAGGCAACTAGCCAGGTCTTACTGCCATCAAGGCCGGAGACGCCGCGAACCAAAGAGTTCCTTGCGACGCCTGCAAAAGCGATCCGCACACGATTCTCGTCGCCAAACATTAAAGAGCAGAGACAGTTGTCAAAGCTTCAGTCCGAGATGGAGTCCAAGCTGGACCCTCAGCAAGCCATGGATGACCTGGATGCACTGATGTCGCCGCGTGCAGAAGAATTCACAAGGAATCCTTTCCACCTCGACTTAAGCCCTTCGGCCGAGGACGTTAGTCCAGCCTCATCAGACGAGACGATCAAAGACGGACAAAACGGTCACACCTGGAGCGAGCCACCAAGGCAATGGACGCCTGAGAAACTCACAGTTGATCCTCGAAGTCCAGCGCAACTAGGCAGCAGTCCCATCGTACGAAACATCTGGGACGTGCTATGATCGACGATGCAACACATATCTTCGAGTTCGATTCTCCACAAATACGACTCGCCAGCAGATACGGTCTTCATCAGCGCTGACCAAGCCGCGATGACACAAGGGTCTGTGCGCCCAGCAGCAGCCGAGAACTCCGGACCAATTTCCGCTCCACTCACCAACCAAACGCCTTCAGAGAAAGACTTCGGAGAAAAGAAAGACCAAGGCGTTAGACTTTGGCCGTTGCGACGGCAAATCTCCGAGGTTCGCGCTAGGCAAAGTCAACGATGCGTGCTGTGATGCGTCTTTCACAAGCTGTATGGCCGGGTCGTGCACAAAGCCTTGCGTAAAGCCTCCTAGCCGACCGGCACAACCTTACCACCATGTTTCCTTGCATCTCATCTCCTTTGTTCAAGCCACTATACCCACGGCTTCCAGCGTGGAGGAACGCGTTGAGTTACTACCGTAATGTTCTAGTCTCTACTCACCTAGTCCCGCATCCTCCACATATCTACATTCGCTCTACCATAACATCATTACATACTCACTCGCTTGTACATCTATCTCACCATCACCATCAAGTTATGAGCAACGCTTTTGGCGTAGTTGAAGGGTGCCTTCATGCACCTTGGGTTTTTGAGTGTTTTGGATCAAAGCCTACGGGCTGATCTTATGGAGTATCTAGGGGTTTTGGAATAGTTGACATCAGTGAAAGGTGGAAACAGTACCCTCGCTTTGCAATACCCGAGAGGGGGAAGTATGTAAATGAATGGAGACCTACCATCAGTCTTGGTTCCCACCTTCGCCATCCAACACTGTACTGTACAATATTTGCAGAGTCCAAACTGATGCCGAGAAAGCCAACAAGCGACTGTGGAATGTACGGGAGCCCTGCGCACGCACACACAACAAGGTGTCAAGGCGTAATTGAGTCTCATCAAATCACTACGAATCTCGTCGACGGTAGATATCCATGTCATCATTGGAAAAAGAGGAGATCGAGTTTAAACAGATTTTTGATTGCGATTGGAGATGAGAGATAAAGCTCTTGAAGACCGCTTGCCATGACGCTAAAAGAAAGGAATTCCAAGTCACTCCCTGCACATGTGGAGGTTGTGGTGCGCTCCAGCACCCAGACAAGGAACCGAAGTGTCAACGCCGAAAGATTCAAAGCGTAAGAAAGCCCCCGGTCCGACGCAAGTAGAGTCGACTCAGCACGTAACACCCACACTCAGCAACCGCGGGGTGGCTGCTTCCCAAACCCCCTGACGTAACCAATTGTTTAGACAAGCAAAATAATCTATGTCAGGTGCACGGGGCTGCCATCTCTTTTCGTGTCTCACACAGTTTTCTGATTGTTTATTTAGCGGTAAGATCAAGGTATTATGTTTCTGGGACATGCTCGCTCGTTAAGTCGCAACACTTCGAGGTCTTAAGGTCCTGAACAACGGGAAGTCGAAGGTCGTAGATCTATGGTGATTGCCAGGTTGAGTGAAGTGATCGTTTCGTTCGTTATTTCGAACCCGAACTTTGTGTCACGCATAAAAGACAGTGCCTAGTAGCAAACTGTCAGTCCGACTCGATGACAAGATTTGAGGAGGTGATGGATGAAAAGTCGTCGAAGTTGCTCGAGTACACTTGCTCACTCAAGTTAAACGTGTCAAAGAACTTACAATAACTTTCCGACAAAGCCACAAGCTACTAATTCAACCCTCTAATGCAAAAGGGTTAATCCATGAAGCATTTAGCATATCATCAAAAATGGAAATCACCAACTCCTCCAAACAAACACAACAAGACACAGCAAATAACGTACACACAGCTCGTACATGGGACTCGAAATGTACTGCTTAGTACTTGGTGCAGTAGTGTTTCATATTCTCAAAGTCGTTGGTTGGCCATAGCTACTCTAGGTGTACCTGCCATCATCCTCGTCGAATATGACTTCCAAGAGACCGAAAAAAATCCAACACTTTGTCCTTACTGTTTGACCAACGATGCTGGCTTTCCCTAAACTCGTTGCAACGAGTGAAAGGGTTGTTAAGGCTGATCACTAACACTGTCAACCCGTTGCTTCTCCCTCCTATGTATAAAATTACTGTCCAAATTCCCCTCTATACCCTACACAGCATTCATCAACTCTCAACCCAACAAACTTATTACATTAAACGAATACTTCAACACTATATCACCACCAGCATGTCACGTTTCGGTACCAAGCTTCTGACAACGGCCTTTGTCACCGGTCAAGACGGCCCACACCCTAAGGACATCGATCTTCGCCCCCCCATGAGGTTCGATCAGCCCTGAAGGGCAAGCTCGTGCCTGTCATCACATGGAACACGCATGCCGACTATGTCCCAGAACCTCTCCTGAAGGTCACCTCCACACGTACGGCCGACTTCATCAAGAAGGGCACGGTCGTCCTTCCTGATACTGTCGAGCTGCGCTGAGTCAAGATGCCCTTGGACTACGTCACGTCCCTCACTCAAGTTGCCACAAAGCACAAGTTGCAATTGCAGTACGATGACGAGAATATGGAGACCGCCCGTGGTATCTGTCATGCTACTGGAGTCCTTGGTATGGACAAGTACGTGAGCCACATTGTCCGCAAGGTTGATGGCATCCTTCATGGTCTTCCGTCTTATCAGGAATTAGACGCCGTGGTGATTCGCCACGTTCGCTATCCACGCTTCTACAAGATCGCTGTCCAGAACTTCGCTTATAAGGTCTGCAACGGCGAGCTTCCAGACCCACAGGACGCATAACTGGAGATGCGCGCTGACTTTGCTCAGACCATTAACGAGGCCAACGTCAAGCACGACGAAGACTGGGTTGTCGCTCAAGCCAAGCAGGATCAGCGCGCGCAGCAGTGTGTCAGGAACGAGGAGGCAGCCAAGATCAAGGCCGCTGAGCTCGTGCAGCAAGAGAAGATCGCGTCGCACGCGAGAAGCAGTTCTGGGAGACAAAGAAGGCCAACAGCACCAAGATGCGTAAGTCGACTGAGGCGAAGCTGCGTGCGTCTGGAAACGCGCGTAAGCTCACCCCTGAGGAGCGTACTTGGTACGTCAAGAACCAGGGCAAGCAGCCGCCCAAGGGCTGTTAGATGGACGCATCGTCAGATTCGAGTAGACACGTTCATTTCCTCCACCAAGGAGTTTCGGGTAGTACGTTACTGCCTGCCAGCGTAGCTTAGGTGGAGCGGCCCAGCTAGCGGCTAGGTTTAAGTATGACTCGCTCGAGCTTAAATGCACGCACAACGCCGCACCACCCTCCACGTACGTCTGTTTTAGAGCAGATACTAGATACACGCGGCTGCGGACATTGTGGTACTTGGTGTGTGGGAGTTTTGGTTGGCTAGTCACGTGATGTTTGAAGTGTTAGGGTTTTGGTGACGTTTGGCGCGGATGGTCGAGAACTCCAGACAGATCAAGTCACATTTCTTGAACGTAGATTAGTCCCAATCTTGTGATAAGTAACCATGTCCCATTTGCCTCGTGATGCTGGGAACTACGCATGCTATAGTAATGGTAAATATCAGTGCCAGAAGTTGGATTAGTGTTAGTCCTGTTCGAAACTCCCATCCTTTTTCCGCTTGCTCTTCGGCCTCCTCCATCTTCATAGAGCTCTGCCCTGTGAGTAAATACTATCGATTCTGCTGATACTGCTGTGCTGCCGGTTGCATCGGCATCGGGGGACACACAATCTGGACAGTTCTTGGATATCCTCCACGGGTGCGCTCCAAGATACCAACTCGCTCAAAGTTGTCTGCGATATAAGGATAAAAAGTTCTGTATATTTGTACCAATTACTCTGAGTCGACTCTTACGTCGCTGCAAACCTGTTTATAAGCCTCTATCTCTACTAGTATCTGCTCCAACAAAGAGGCGTGCATAGTAGGTAGTGCTGCGGTGTGGGTGAATGAAAGCTCGAGCGAGTCATGCTTAAACCTAATCGCTTGCCAGGCGGCTTCACCCGAGCCAGGCTGGTGGTCCAAGGTTCTGTTATCAGCGCTGTCACAATACGGCTAGGCTATTTACGGCCTTTCTGTACGACTTGCACGTAGCGCCTCTAGCTGTCAATCCCGCTCTGTAGACCGATTGATCTGCACCACAGCGCCACCACCTAAGATGCCATAGTACGTCGCTCGGAATACACTATTAGTACATCTCCGTATAGCTTGACAGACTCTCAGATGTATGCATTAAACCTCCAGCGCATCCGAGGCAGTCCGAGGCAGGGCTGCTGTGCATGCCGGCAGCGAATTGTGGTATTGCTAGCTTAGCAGGAATTTGGTGGCAAAGAGACGAAGTGCAAACAAAGCTTTAGAGTCAAGGTCTCTATCCCGAGATTTTCAGGCCTCTCAGCTGTGGTGGACTTTGTTGCGAAGGAGAGCATGACCGGCATGCCGCCATGCATGGTTTTCCGCCACACATGGAGGGACAGTACTTGTCTACTTAGCTTTGTGTGTCGTGATGTGTCAAGGATGAGGAGAGAGGAGAGAAGCACCGTTGCTCTCAGCCTCCGGGCTCCGTATCTGAAGCGGCAACGCAGGCGCATCGCTTCTGCACGGACCCCTGTCTAGCGTCAGCGCTAGCGAAGCTCCTCAGGCTTTTGGCGGACCGGTCGACCGTCGAGCGCGAGTTTTCCGACTTCATCCCAATCTCTTTGCAAATCTTCATTTGACTGTTCACGAAGTTAGTGTTGATATTTAAGGCGCTTGCGCTGCATGGGTCTGGCAGGCACCCGTCGATGTTCACTGGGCATGGCTCCAGACAGCGACGCGTACCTAATCAATGACAGCTACAGATGCGACAAGAACGTTACAGTGTCTCTTCGACGCGGCACAGAAACCTTACGACGTCTGAACGACCTCTGCAGCCAAGAAAATACGTTGTGGGGTGCACATGCACAGCAGCACAACAGACATGTCGTTGAACCTCCGAACCTGCTTCTACCGTGGACGAACTCACGAACAATGCACGCCATACCTGTAAAGACGTTACACTAGCTGTTCCTAGAAATGTAACCGCCTATTTAGCCAGTAGAGAGATCTTCCGGATGGTTATACATGCAAGTGACTATGTTGACCCCATACTTTCCCCACTGCTACCCCTCACCCGATCGGCGAAATTATGAGCCTTGCAGCTTCGATCCGCGGTAGCGAATTCAACTACAAAATAGAGGTGCCTCGCCAACTGACAATGTATCGCGCTACGGTAAGAGATAGACGAGATGCTTGGTGCAAAGCAAATCATCACATCGACCTTGCTGGCTGGTGTAGTCGCTGCTCAGGATGGTAAATTTATGGTAACACGCTAATCATTGAAACACAGTATGCTAACATCCACCAGCGATCACTGCTAATGGAGGTAACTTCACACTCACCGGCGATGATGTCTCCTATCTGTTCCATGTCAACACCGAAAACGGCGATTTGATTTCGGACCACTTTGGGGCACCAGTAACAGATTTTGTTCCCCCAGCCTACATCCTCCCTTGGGGCTGGCACGACAATAAAGCCAACGATCGACGCGAGTTTCCCGATGTTGGAAGAAGCGATATCCGCCTGCCCGCGATCCATATCGAGCACTCTGATGGAGACACAGTGTCAGCTTTCCTCTACCAGTCCCACGAGATCGTCCCTGGCAAGCCGTCTATTCCTGGATTCCCAGCAACATACGGCAATGACTCCGATGTGACGACGCTTCAAGTTCAGCTCTACGATAACGTTTCTGATGTCGGGGCTGTGCTTTCGTACAGCATCTTTCCGAAGTACAATGCTGTTGCCAGGAGCTTCAAGATCACGAACAACGGAACTGGTGACCTTGTCATTGAGAGAGCTGCAAGCTTCTCCTTCGACTTCCCCAACCTAGACTTCGAGGTTATCGAACCCCATGGTGACTGGTACCACGAGATGAATACTGTCCGGCGCAAGGTAGACTTTGGCGAGACCAGCTTCCGTTCCACCGAGGGCTACGCTGGCCACACACATAATCCGTTCTACATACTTACATCGCCTCAAACTACTGAGAACGGCGGTGAAGCTTGGGGCTTCAATCTAGTCTGGTCAGGCTCTTTTGAGGCGGCCATTGAAAGGACCAGCAACGGCTATGTGAGAGCTCTGCTCGGTCTCAATCCCCTACACACAAGCATTCGAGTTGCCCCTGGCGGCAGCTTCCAGGCCCCGGAAGCCGTTGCTGTCTACAGCTCTTCTGGCATCGGTGGGGTCTCGCGCTCGTACCACGACTTGTACAGGAACCACTTGTCTCGGCATAAAGCGACTCATGAGACTCGCCCAATCCTGCTCAACAGCTGGGAAGGGTTAGGCTTCAACATTAACGATACAGCTGTCGTCAATCTCGCTGGCGAATCAGCTGATCTTGGTATCGAACTCCTGGTCCAGGACGATGGTAAGGTATCCATGTGCCTTGAAGTAGAACTCACTGACACGGCTAGGTTGGTTTGGTGTCGAATATCCGCGCAACAACGACAGCCTTGGGTTGGGTGACTGGACAGTGAGTGACAACACACGCATCTGGAAACAAGCCTTGCTAACAATGTTAAGCCCAACCCGGCCAAGTTTCCCGACGGCCTGAAGCCCTACATTGATCAGATTGTCAGAATCGATGTCCTGAATGCAAGCACCAACGACAGTACTAGCACAGCATTGAAGTTTGGAATCTGGGTGGAACCTGAGATGACCAACCTCAATTCCACATTGTACAACGAGCATCCTGACTGGATTCTGCATGCAGGCAAGCACGAAAGAACGCTGACGCGAAACCAACTTGTTTTGAATGTTGGACTACCTGAAGTTCAAGACTTCATTATAGATACTGTCTCCAGAATTGCCGATTCGGCACCTATTTCCTACTTCAAGTGGGACAACAATCGAGGTAAGTCCTGAAATGATCTTACATTGTGTGTCACTAACGCCTTCAGGAATGCATGAGCTTGCCCGTCCATCTGATTCGTACCAGTATATTCTCGGTCTATATCGCGTGGTGGACACATTGACCACGAAGTATCCTGATATCCTATGGGAAGGGTGTGCAAGCGGTGGAGGCCGCTTCGACGCTGGTGCGTACCTGATAGATTCCGTCCTGCACAAGGCTGACATACCATAGGTCTTCTGCACTATTGGCCTCAGCATTGGACTTCCGACAACACTGATGCTGCTGACAGACTTCAAATTCAGCTGGGAACTAGCCTTGTCTACCCTCCTTCAGCAATGGGGTGTCACATCTCTAAGTCACCCAATGGCGTAACTGGACGAGATACCAGCTTTACTTATCGTGGGCATGTAGCGATGATGTGCGGGAGCTTCGGACTTGAGCTGAACCCTCACGAGCTCACCGAAGACGAAGTCGCCGAGCTCCCTACGGTTATGGCAGAAGCTCACAGAGTCAACCCCATCGTTATCTCGGGAGACTTCTATCGCCTCGCTGGCCCACAAGACAGCAACTGGCCAGCCGTCCAGTTCGTCAGTGCCGATGGCAGTGAAGCCGTTGTTTTCGCCTTCCAGCAGCAGTATACCACTAAGCCCGCCCCACCACCTCTAAGACTGCAAGGCCTGGATCCGAAGGCGAGGTACTTCAACAACTTGGACAATGGGACATACAGCGGTGCTACGTATGCTAATGCAGGTATTAACGCCGGATGGGATCGTGGTATTTACCAGAGCAAGCTGATCTGGTTGGAGAAGCAGTAGGATTTTGTGCTAGACTTCCCTAAGTAGTGCTTGACGAATACAACATGACACAGTTACATCTTGGCGTAGAACAAGTTCTGTGCGCAGCGCGAGGACTTATCGCCGAAGACGCAAACGGTTGCCCGTTCTGCTACAAGTATTTGCCATTCTCTGGCTGTCGAATCCCGCCTGCCGACTTCAATCCAATATTCCGACGACCACCGATTCTACAGTTGCTACCAATGGCGCCGAGTGGTTCGTGTAAGCTGCGGTGCGAAGGGGATTTATCGCACGAGCATTAGAATTAGCACTCTGAATAGTGAATAGAGGTCACCTCTTTATTGAACCTAACATGGTACCCCGCCTTGTGGTGATGTATCGGTGCTTGCAAAAATGTGCAGACCCCCTGACCTTGGTACAGTGATGCGTACAGTAGGTACGTACCGTGGTTCATGAGGGTCGATAGCCTTGTGAGTAGTGGCCGTTCACCACGTTGTTTCCCTGCAGGACATGTACCAAACAGTCAATTCTGTCAACCAAGATAGAAACAGCCACTTAGAAGCCTTCAATCTTACATAACGTAAGTCTGCCGCAGTAGTGAACCAAGTTCAGAGGGGTCTGTACATTTCAGTAACCATTATATCATGTTGGCACCGTTCATAAATGAAGAATGCTATTCTACACCCTGCCATGCACCCTCACTAGTACTTTTGTCCTTGTCATCTCAACTGAAGGCTAGATTGTAGTCAACCGGCAGAGTATTGAAGAGCCAATTAGTGCAATCAGAACCTGGAACTGCCTCCATGTCTAGTTCTGGTTGTGCTACCACAGATTCAACGGGGCGCGAAGACCTCTACAGCTCTTCATTAAGTCTCGTGGTTCCTAATTCGACGATGTGACGCTGTCACCACTCAAGACATCCTGCAGGTCTCCAGTGCCCTAACTGGATATTTGAGGTCGTTGGTGACGATGTCGTGTGCGTGAAAGACGTTAAAGCCATTTTCTCAGTCGATATTTTCGCTGAGTTCTCTCCCACTGGTCAGTTACCCTTTTCCTTTTGTTGCTTAACGTTGACCATACTACAGAGCAGGATCCCTGACCTCCAGCTCATCCGAGCTGTTCCAGAGATCGACGTGAATCTCTCTCCTTTCGCCTGTCCTAGTACAGGCTCGTCACCTACTCATCGCCTACAAGTCCTCAGCGCTGACCCGGTGACAACGCCACAATAACTTTGGTGGAGTACGATCCCAAGAGAAAGCATATCCACGCCCTTGTGGTCAGGATGTGTGATATGGTGCTTTGGTTGTTGCTCCTTGCCTTTGTCTTATATCCAGTTTGCTGACAAGGAACGCATAGCAACACGAAAGTGGTGGACCGGCGAGCCTGCTGTTTTCGTCCTCGATGGCCCACAATCGTTCGATAGATTTGTTCAAGCTATCCTTGCTGAAGCCTCTTGATATTCTCCTCCAAATCGATCGCCCGAGTTGCTGTTTAACATATGGATACCATCTTGGATGCTTCTGCTCTTGCATCGTGGTTAGATATGGATACCACGAAGGACGAGGACACGTCTGCATCGCTGGACGTGGTAGTACCAAATCATGAAAACCTGATTCTGTCTTTCTTTTCAACAAAACCACGTTCCTGCAAGCGCTTGTACCTACGCTCTCAAGCCATACAATTTTGTTCATCGCGCCAATACATTCACTTACTTAAACGACATCTTCACTGAAACACACAATATCCCACCTCCTCATCCCATCTACTTCGCTTCCGTATTCCCCTTCGCCCACTCTCTAAGCACATTCTTCTTAATCTTCCCCGTGCTCGTCTTCGGCAATTCCTTGACCACCACAACCTCCCTCGGCACCATGAACCTGCTGATATTACTCTGCTCCTTGGCCCACTTGATCATCTCCTCGCCCAGTGTCTCGCTGTTCGTGCCGTCTTTGGCCGTGACGAAAGCCTTTGGGCGCTCGCCCCAGTGCGAATCTGCCACGCCGCACACGCCGACTTCGAGAACGGACGGGTGCGTCGCGAGCATGCTTTCGAGTGCGACGGACGATATGTTTTCGCCGCCTGTGGGTTAAGTGTTAGAGAGCTAATAGGGAGCGCGGGGGGGGGGGGGCTTACCTGAGATGATGATGTCCTTCGCGCGATCGAGGATCTGGATTGCACCGTCTGGATGCCAAACCGCCAAATCACCTGTATGGCTAACACCGCCCGCCCACAACTTCCGCGTGGCTTCGGCGTCTTTGTAGTACCCCTTTGCGCAGATATTGCCTTCAAACACGATTTCGCCGATTTCTTGGCCGTTCTTTTCGACGTTGATGAGCACGCCTTCCTCTTGCTCCGTCTTGATGACTCGAGCAGGTAGTCCAGTGACGAAGCCGTGACCTTGTCGAGCCATCTTTGCGTACTTTTCCTTCTCAGGTATGTTCTCCCATTCGGGCATGTGGTAACCTTTGGTGATGGGACCATATGTCTCGGTCAGACCGTAGACGTGAACTGGATGCAGGTTCAACTTAGTCATCTGTTCAAAGAGCCATGCTGAAGGCGGGCTTGCAGCGACGGTGACACGGACTTCTTGGGGTAGCTTTTCGGCCTCCTTCGCTGCGCAAAGCAGAGTATTGACGGTGGGTGCAGCATTGAAGTGCGTGACGCCTTCTTCCTTAAGCAAGCGCCAGATCTCGGGGTAGTCGATCTTGCGGAGGCAGTAGTGCGTTCCTCGTACTGCGGTCACGCTCCAAGGGAACGTCCAGCCTGTTGCGTGGAACATTGGGAGAGTCCACAAATACTTTGCGCGGCCAGTGTGGTAGTTGAGTCCGGACTCGATCACGTTGCCCAGTGATGCAAGATAGACACCTCGGTGTGTGTACTCAACTCCCTTCGGGCGTGCGGTTGTGCCGGATGTGTACGCCAGAGCAAAGACCTCCTCTTCATCTGGCGCTTGTGCTGCGAGCTCTGCCCAGCCTTTGCTTCCAGTTTCAGTATCGTACTTCAGTCCTTCCAAAACGGCATCATCGAACGGTCCTGATAGCTCGCCTTCCGTTGCGTCCGTATCTGTATCGACCAGGATCGGTACATTCGGTCTCTCTTTCTTGTAGTCATTGAGTATCTTGACGAACTCGAAATCGGCGATGATGATATCTACATCTGCATGTTGAAAGATATAGCTGATATCGTCAGGTTTCAGACGATAGTTGATCGCAACACTGATTGATCCAGCAGCTGCGATACCGAAGATAGCCTCGAGGAATGCTGGTGTATTTGTCGCCAAGATTCCCACTCTTTTGTAATGATGCTTGCGCAAGTAGTATGCCAGTCCTCGCGCACGGTCTGCAGTCTCTTCGTATGACCGTCGCAGGATCTTGCCATTGGCGGTCTTGTGGTATATGGCTGTCGCATGAGGTTCAATCTGTGCAGCACGCCAGAGGAAGGATGTTGGACTCAAGGTGTGGAAGTTATGGCGGTGATGGTACTCATGGCTGTCACCGGGGTGGATTTGAGGAGGACCAGGTACAGTATTGGCTGATATGAATTGGGATGCAAGCTGCTTGAGACGGTCTGTTGGACCCATGTTGATATGCGCGTGTAGGGGTTAGGCTGCAGGTATGCTAGAAGTTCTTGGAAAGGAAGACGTGTGAAAGCAGTCGCGATCACGAATTAACGGCGGCACGAGATTCTTCAAGGTGTCGATTATGAGTACTGGAGCTATCGACGCCCAGGTACGGAGTATCCGTGTCGGCAAGAAGAGCGGCGCTGAAGATAGGCAAGGCCTGATGAAAATATGTAGTGAAAGCTGGCTGCGAGGGAAGCAGAAAGTTTCGTGTAACTATCGCGAACTTGCAGAATGACAGCTGTCCCAATGTGTTCATGAACAACTAAAGCTTGGTGAGCTCCCAAAATCCGGGGTAGGGCAGTGGGATGCGTATGTCAGAGCCGAGGTTCTCCACCATTGGCTGTCCTGCGCGAGGTCAGCCGCACTGCCCATCTCTCCGGCGGTGCGGAATCAATGCCGCTCAATTTTATGCACTCTTTGTCAGAATTCATATTGATGTGCTCGAAGGTGAGGTCAGTATACAAAGCGTGTGATGACAAGAATGAGCAAATGAACAGGAAATTGGGATATATTTGCAGCAGAACTCCATCATATGCTTTGATAAGCCCTGGGTTTTTCAATTCGTATTTCTTCTAACCGGAAGAGAAGTACCTGGGGATGGCGCTGACCAACGTTGAAGAAACCCATAAACACATGAGCATCCTGGTATCGGTATGCTCTTTTAGCCTGGACACCTTTTCGATCGGTCGAAGTAAAAGGGATGAAAAGTTCCCATGAGCCCAATGCATTCCACGCCTAACGACATCACCGACACCGACATGTATCATCAATCGTCGACATCTAGTAGCCGAGGGCGGTGAGCTGCTCCTTGGTCTTGCCATCAACGTTGGCGGTCTTCTGGGCCTCAGCCAACTGCCTGCGGGCGGCCTTCTTGCGCTCGTAGTATGCGGCACCCTTGACTTTCCTGCGCTCCTCGAGGCTGCACTGCGCGTTAGCACCCATTCCATCAGATTTGATATCGAGGATACGTACCGAGAGACGACGTCCTGGTACTTCCAGCCGAACTCGTGGCCGAGACGGCCGACAGTGCAGTACTTGCGGCCGGGCTTCAACCTCAGGACACGGAGGGCCTGGGGAACGACGACGCGCTTCTTCTTGTCGTAGGGGGGAGGGATACCCTCGAAGGTCTTGAGACGCTCCATGGCGGCGTTACCGCGGGCAGTCTTGTGAGGGATCATGCCACGAACGGTGCGCCAGAACATCTTAGAGGGAGCGCGGAAGTGGAAGGGACCACCACGGGTGGGGTTGAACCTGGTCTGCTTGCGCATGAAAGCCTGGTACTTTACTGAACTGATGTCAGTCTCTGCTTTAATTTGCAGGAAATTCCTCAATGCGCTCGATGAAGAGCAGAGGCACATGGCGTCAATGACGACCACGCGTATAAGCAATGCATTGCAATGCTGTGTATGTGTATTCCATCATATTGGCCATGTACTCTGCTCTTCGTCGAATCGCTTCGATGGATCGGGGGAGACATACGCTTCGCGCGGAAGAACTCGCCGGAGATGTTCAAGGCCTCGCATCGCACAACAACGATCTTCTGGCCGTTGAGCAGCTGCTTGGCGACCGTGGAGGCCAGGCGACCGAGAAGGTGCCCCTTGCCGTCGATGACCTGCGCGGAGTGTTAGCTGGTGCTGTTTTGCCATTGTGGGCTTTGTCGGAATTTGCGACAGGGCAGCGCCGTGGCGGCAGCGAGTGCCATATCGAGGAGTATCGTGCTCGTGTAGCAAGGGCGTACGTACAATGACCGGTTCGAATGTCGACATGGCTGCGAATCCGGAGGTTGTGCTGTGGTTAGTGAGTCGGGTCGTTGGTCGTGAAGCTCAGAATGAGAATGTGCGAGAGTAGCCCTTGGCGTGGCAGTAGCGAAGGAGGGCTTTTCCGGATGGGGTTAGCCCCCACACCGCGAAATCGACGAGCACCAACCACAACAACGCAGGCAACAGCACCGTGGACATTACGTTCTGTATTGCATGTATTGTGCTGCAATAGAGTTGCAGGTCATTATCTCGGGGATCTCTGTACTGCGTGGAGAGCTTTCTGACATTAGGAGTGTTTTTCGTACCACAACTGACACCGATCACTTACACCCCCAAGTCTCGGAGGCTTGCTGCCTGATCGATGCATGCACGCCTGCCACGGTGCCTGTCGAACTTTCAAACTGGTTCACTGATGTTTCGATGGACCTTTGAGGTCTTTTGATGTTGCCTCCTCAAGCAACACAGCGCTAAAAAGCACCTTTTGTAGAATCTGGTTCGTCACGGCAGAGTGTCTTCCTTCGTTACAATTCGCTTAGAGTTGACGAATTAAATTCTGACAGTGTTTCTCTGTATGAGCCATACTTTGTCTCGGTCTTCTTTTCGTTATTTGTCATGCTTAGCTCTTGCCTTACACGTCAGATGTGTTTCCTTACAACTCCATTCTTGATCTCACTCAGATGTCTTGGACTGCTGTAACTCCCCTACAACACTAGTGCACATTTTAGAGGGTTTGATGTGTATGTGCAGTAGAGCACCTCACAACGTTACGCCTGCCTCGAGTGTTTCTGTCAACTCCTGCCTCTCACATGGATGTGTCCCCTTTCAGTCGCGACCTCACCAACCTCACCTCCACAGCACCCTTTTTCTTCTGCAACTTCGTATCGAGGACTGTCACCGTTGCGCCTCTCATATTTGCATTCGACATGGCGACATCACTCGAATGCGAGGTGAGAAGACGTTTTGCACCACGATTGTTTGTTAGTCTATTGCCTCTACTTTCTATCTCTTGACCGCATGGAGGAGGTCGCTCTTTCGCAAGCCCACCGTCTGCGAGCAGCGGTTGTATGCTCTCAATTCAATGATCCCAGTTTCTGAAGTGTCGCTGCAACTTCCATCTGACAACCCTCAACCCGTCAACGCAAGACATGCTAAGCACGGCGCACCAATATGTGAGGCTAACAGCGCACCTTTCACTTACACTGACGCACTTGTTCAGATGACACATTCAACCTGTGGTACCGGCAGCGGCCCAACCTCACTTACTCATCAACCACTCGTGGGCACAGTTCTTCTTCTATCGTATGAATGGTCACCTCGCGATAAGTTGAGCACCACATTTGCTCCTTCGAATTATGCCGACTTCAGGTGATGCAACGTCCAACGACACAGACGCACTGCGCTCAATGGAGATAACATCACTGTCTCTTTGTGTAGGCTGCACATGTGGACACGCTGTCGGAGTCTATCTTCTCTGAAGGCGATCATGCTGACCCTTTGAGCAGCTACGTTCAATGGACGCGCTGGAGGACTATTTACTGTGCCGACCAACGAGCCCGGGTTTACCTAACTGTCCTGCAGGACAGTCATTATACGTTGTAGGGAATGGTCAACGTAAGGCATCAACCTTGAAGTGCTTTCAAGAACGGCTGTGCGAAGTACCTCTGGCCTTTGAGATGTTAATGAAATCACACCGATATCTGGAACCTATACGATCGATGTCGTGGGTTTTAGAACGCGCAGGAGCATAACGACTGCTTCGTGCCAGCAACTGGCTGGCGGTGCAAAGTCCACATTTCAAACTTACTCATACGGCTATGCTATTCACAGTTTGCTTGGCTCCAAGACGATCATGCTGGATAGTGTGACGACGGCCAAAGTACCTTTAGCACTGCATTTTTTTATGGCATATGAGCTCGACGAACAGGTTGCTGGCGATGAACCGAGATACAATCAGTGTCTTCATGCGGGCTGCGACCGTCTCGAGATCGATCGAGCATTTGCCGGGAATTCCAACTCTTTGCTCCCACGTTGATCACAGAAGCTGAACAAGGCTTCACGCGCAGCTTCTTTCGAGCAGTTTACAGAAAGGTGGCTTCGATCGGGTGTTTCTGGAGACTGAAGACGGGAAACTCGCGTCAAACATTCACAAATACTCTCAAGCAATACAATCGAGTTGTCCTGCAGCATGCGCGAACGCTTTAGGGAGATTGTCCTTCATACTGAACTTTTTGGAGGAGTGCGGCGGCTGCTAGTAAATGGCCCGAAACTGCGGCGATACTGTTGTTATTGCGTCGCCAATCTGTAGCCCCCAATCAGCGTTGACAACTGCATTTTCTCCTCGCAACGAGTGCTAGGATTCTACGGCGTTCCAACGGTTCTATTTTCAATCCTCAATCTGGGTTCTTGAATGAACGTCATTGCAAACGGATAAGATTTGGGAAGGTTTCGTGCGGATCGTCCAGCCAGCCCTACGCCGCCCCTGTGGCTGTTGTTTGGCAGTGGCGGTCTGGATGTGCCCGTCTTGATCGGAGAGAAAAACAGCAGCGCCACAGGTCGAGTCCTTACCCTTAAACGCTAGAAGCCGTTCCGTTCTGCGTGGCTGTGCAAGACTTGGAGTAAACAAAAAGCTGCTGAGCCACCTCGAACCTCTTTTCGAAATTCACCAGCCTCAACTTTCATTCAACACACAATTCAAACTGCGGACGACGCACTCGACGACTCTCGATCTCAGACGCTCTCGAAACGCTTGGCCAGCGGTCTCGACCTTCCATCACACTTCTGACCGCCCACTTTTCCACCTGTTACATAACAGAAGTTTCTCCAGTCGCATGCGCCACAAGTACCTGCGATCACACAGCGAAGTCCTAGAGATCGTGGCTTGGCTGTCATGCACCGAACCTGTTGATCATCCATGTTCACTCGGGAAGGGACGGCATCTCCGCGGTAAAAGCCACACCTCAGCACAAATCTCAGGAGACCTTCATCACGGCAACAAGCATCCGCTGCAGGAGGTGCTGCCAAGTGTGGCTAATACGTGGCCTTCATGTGGCTAGTACGGTACAGTGACGAAGCCACACACTATGGCGTCAAGCACCTGAGTCAAGTGTCAGCGAACCTCGATGGTCAGCCACAAGCTTGGACGAAAAAACACCTGAATATCTTCAGGCTAGAAGTTCTATGCAGGAATCTAACCGCACTTGCAGAGTTCCCCGAGCGCCCAATTCGCACGGTCATGTTGATCCGCTTAACAAGAGGAGTCTCGGTGCGACGGGGCTGTTGCGTGCGGAGCGTCCGAGAAAACAAGTGACATAACTGTGATTGCAGCAGAGTATCACAATGAGGATATCACCGGTGGAGTTTGGATCTTCCTCAGTATTTCCTGACCGTTCGGCTCACCTTCTCAGCACCGGTGGAGGTAGCAATTCTGCTCGCTTCTTTTATGTAAGAATTGGCGGAACAGAAAGCGTCTCCGGAGGAATGCATACGGGCACACGTCGCAGCCAATACTTTCGGCCTACTAACTAGGGCATAATGTATTGGGCTGATTCCCAAGCGGACAAGCGGACCCACCGCATATTTCTGAACGCTCGGCGTCATTACCATCAACTCCAGCCGACGGATCACGTTCTGGTTGTGAGCAACTATTCACGAGACACATTGCTGCATCTGTTGGGCGCCTTTCAAGTTTTTGTCACGACTTGGCGCGCGAAGTTGCGTTGCCATGAGGCACCAAGGCATCGGCAGAAATGGCAGAAATGTGTGACGTTCAACTTCGGACGGTGACCAACCGCATGAGGCTAAGACCCACCAGCCTCAATCAAGCCACGCTGTCACAAACTGTGGCCGACGCTACTACGCGAGGGCTGGTGAAGGTGGAGATGCACTTATCGGGCCTCGCCATGAATCACACCCCGAGGCAAGCCCACGTCTAGGGGAGGAATTCACATCCTCTTCTTGGCTACATGACGGTGTCTGTTGTACCCACTGTAAGAGACAGTGTCTTTATCCGGTTCGCTGATCGATGCTGCAACCAGAGGCTTTAGAGCGCGCGAGAATCATGGGATGAGCAGACGTTGCATTGGTGCCAATCAGGCCCGTCAAAAGTACGTCTTATTGATCCGACAGCGTCTGCATGATCCGCTGCGCACCGATAACTCCAAGGATCAAGGCTCTCTTTTACTGGTCTTGGAGTGTCGTGGGTGGCGCCTTGTTTTAAGAGCCTTCCTATTGTCTCATCCTATGGGCTTGTACACTGCCAGCAATCCCATGACGCCACAGCTTGCAGATAAGCGAATGGCTGTGCTCTCTCACTTGACGGTGTGGTGGTGCAGCTCCCGCTGTCTTGTGCTAGGCCTTTTTGGATGTGCAAATAAGCGATGCCGGAGCCAGCGGAGGGCGGACGAAGACACGAAGAATACGCCTGGAACAACGAGCAAGTTGGCCGGTGTTTTATGGAGATCTCGAAAACGCTCGGCAAGTCTCTCGTATGCTGCTCGCATCGCATAATAGCAGCCACGAACCCTTGGCCTACTCCCTCGTGGTGCACAAGCGGATTGCTCGGCGGAAATAGCGCGACTCGGTTCCGGTGCCCAAGGGCGGGACGACTGCCATGGAACGGCGTTAAGACCCTCTCCATCAGAATCCTATTCCTTGGACCCACCTCTCCGCCGCTGACCGACTCAAGCCATTTACTCTTAGGCGCAGCACCCCCCCCCAGCCACAGTCATGCTCCCCAACTGTCGCCATGGCCTCTCCAGTGCTCACAACAGCTGATGGCCATAACACAGGCTCCAGCCTCTCTGGTCAGTATGATGCCTCACCACACTCAGACAGCCCAGAAATTGCAGAGGATCAATCGCCGATCAATGATGTCGCCGACGACCAGGGGCCAAAGCCACAGCCTCTGCAAAAGAGGCGGCGTGTAACCCGTGCATGCGACGAGTGTCGACGCAAGAAAATCAAGTGCGATGGGAAACAACCATGCACTCATTGCACAGTTTACAGCTATGGTAAGCCTGAAAGGTCTTCTTTTGTTGTTATTTTTGCGTCGACTGGTACTGACTTCAAGTGTAGAATGGTAAATGCGCCCAACTGCTCGTTCGCATCCTCAATTACTGATAGCCCCCTTAGCACGTACGACCAACCGTCAAACCGTAGGCGAAATGCAACCCCACAGTACATTGAGGCTCTTGAGGGCCAATTGAAGCGTGCCAAAGCTCTGTTGCACGTTGTGTTTCCGACCATAGACCTGAACGATCCTAGCATTGACGCCCACCTCCAAAATGGACTGCTCCCACAACTGCCTGTAGCAGCGCCGCGTCCGCCGGTGATGCCCACTGACCCCCGCTTGTCGCACCACGCCAACCCACAGGTCGAGGCGGCGGATGACTCCCACCTGGAGGCGATGGTCAAAGCCACAGGTCAGCTAGATCTGGACGAAGAGGGCAATTGGGATTATCACGGCCATTCTTCAGGGCTCAGCTTCATGAGAGGATTGCGACAATTCGGAGACATGTTTCAAGCGCCACCAGATTCCTCACCGTCCCTCAAGCACCGTAATATGTCTGTAGATCCTCCCTCGCCATCCTCGCCACGATCGCCAGCTGCACCCTCGACTGCGCTACCATCTGGGACGGAGCTACCGAACAAAAAGGAAGCTATCAGCTTGTGCGAGAACGCTATCATCGACGCTGGTGCAATGCAGAGAGTTGTCCATTTGCCAACCTTCTACAAGCAATTGGATCGCATGTACGAGATTCCTGCCGAAAGCTACACAAACGCGGAAAACAGCTTCCTGCCGCTATTGTATGCCGTGCTTGCGCTAGGCAAGCTGTTCTCACAAGGCGAGCACGAGGTGGACAAGTCAAACTATGAGACAGTAGTCGACGAAGGGTAAGTTGGGCATTCGAGCGACAGCGAGCCTTACTGATCTTGAATAGTTTCCGGTATTTTAAAGCTTCTCGTCAACTCCTCGACATCACAGACTGCCGCGACCTGACGTCACTACAAGCCATCGTTTTTATGATACAATTCCTACAATCTTCAGCCAAGCTCAGTACCTGTTACGCATACATTGGAGTTGCTCTTCGATCAGCTTTGCGCATGGGTCTGCATCGGTCATTCAACAGCAGCTTCAGTCCTATCGAGGCTGAAACTCGCAAGCGCTTGTTTTGGGTCATTCGACGAATGGATACATACGTGGGCGCAATGCTCGGGCTACCACGATTTTTGGAGGATGAGGACATCGACCAAGACTTCCCAATCGAAGTGGACGATGAATATATCACAGAGACTGAGATCCTACCCATGCCGGAGGGTACCATCTCTGTGATGTCCGCCTTCAACGCTCACACAAGGATTGTGCAGGTACTCAGTAAGATCTGCAGATATGTTTACCCTATTAAGGGTACTCAGTCTGGCGGCAAGAACTCGGTAACATACACAGTCAAGTACTCCAAGATTCGCGAACTTGAGCAAGATCTGGCGCAGTGGCTCGATGAGCTGCCCATGGCCCTCAAGCCTGGAGGCGAAGCACCACCCATCATCATTAGGTACGTTTGCTCATATATTGCAATTTTGACCAGTTTTGACTTCTCAACAGAGTGCAACAACTGCTTCGCATGGCTTTCGGTCATGCCCAGCTTCTGCTGTATCGCCCGTTCCTACACTACGTATCATCGACATACAAAGACAACACGACCGACCAGCGAGCATTCGCATGCGCCTCAGCATGCGTGAGCGTGTCGCGCAACATCATTCACATCACCTCTGAGATGAGGCGACGTGGCTTGCTGGCTGGAGCGTACTGGTTCTCCATGTATACCACGTTCTTCGCCATTGTTTCAATCTTGTACTTCGTCTTGGAGAACCCTAACAGTTCTACCAGCCTCGAGCTACTACGAGATGCAGCAGAGGGTAAGGAAGTACTAGCGTACTTTGCTAAGAGGAGCATGGCGGCCGATAGGTGCAGCTCAGCACTCAACGTAAGTGTCTTTATGAGCAGATGAGTAACAGCACGCATACTTACATTCTCCTCCAGAGCATGTTTGAGCGTCTTCCTGAAGCAGTCAAGCAAGGAAGAGAACTCCATGAGTCTAGGAAGCGCCGCCAAGATAGCTCACCACAGTCGCTGGGCTCCCGACCGCAACTTATCGAAAGCGATATGACGATGCCGCGCCGCGCCAGCACCTTCCCTGAGAGCCACCCTGATTCCAAGCGCACTGCTCCTGGTCCCTCTCTGCCGATTTCTCAGTCACACTACGCTAGTCTTGGATTGGATCCGTCTTTCAACTCACCATCACCATCAAACGCAGACTTCCTTGAAGCAGTACCTGGCCTCACGTCCACATCTGCTAGCGCAAGTCTAGGACAGTTCGGTGCCCTACCAACTCGCCCTTCGTTCCCGCCTACGCCATTGTCAAATTCGTTCACAGATCCCTTGGGTCTGAACGTTCCAATCTCGGATATCTCGACTATGATGTTCCCTTCCGCCGATCCTCTGGCCTACCCGAACCCGCCAATGACCACATTCGAAAACAAGCATCCTCAAGCGTTCGACCGCAGGCTCGAATCTCCGTCTGTGGTCGGTCCCACTTCTGGCATCGATATGAAATCTTATTCCGCCATATTCGCTCCAAGCAGCATGCCCACAGGTCCTCCACGTCGCCACGAAGGTGAAGCACAGCTCTTTGGCCCCATGCCCATGTACTTGATGCAGGCTGCACATGCCCAAAGAGGCCACCCGCTTCAATCTGGCAGCCCCAGCATGCACCACATCCCAGGACAGAACATGCAGTTTGATGAACTACTTAATCAAGAAGCGTGGGCGCAATCGTTCATGGATCCTGGCATGGAAATGCCTAGCTCGAGGACGCCGTTTGGTGGAAATACGCAGTTTCAGCCGCCTCAACCGGGGATGGGTGGCTGGCGATGAGGTCATTCGCTGATCACAATCGCCTGAGGTCAATGCTGTAGCTGCTGCTAGGATTGAAGCACGGTTTACGAGCGAAGACCTCGAAAGGAACATGCCTCTGCACGTTCCCGATATGCATACACAAAATGGCGCGGCATTTTGCATGGGATTCTCATCACAGCACCCATGCGACTAGGGTCTAAGCGATACAGAACATCTTTACACAAGGCCTTCCCACAACAGCGAACAACGATCGCGAACGACGTTTATTGGCGTAGGGCCGTCATAATGCGTTTGCGGCACTATGAATTACCCAGCACCTGCTCGACTACACGAAACACCACGATAAAGCCATCCACTTGCAACAGCCGCTTAAAAGCAGACTGCCTTCTAACAATAACAACACCACCTTCACAACCTAACGTTTCACGGATATGGAATCGCTCAAAAGGATGATACCCATGGTCGACGACGGGCTGGTACCGGATTTTCTATTCTTTGCCAGCGCTTCTTCCGTGCAATCCTTCCGTTTACGCATCACCCTGGCGCCCTGAGCGCCCCATCTACCTCGTCTTTGTTGTCTTTGAGCGGCATACAGCAGGTTCATGGCGTTGGAGTCTACTTGTTCTGTTTGTCCTCTTTTGTCATGTTTTCATACTTTATACCCGGTAAGAGGGGTGGAATTGGGAGAGATAATGAGTTCATAAGCAGAGCTCATGCTGAGGAGTACAAGAGAGGAGGTGCCAGACTCTTGCGATACAAAAGACTCGATTGTAACAATAGACAAAAGAAAGCAATAACCCCAATACACCGTGTCAAAATCCACGTGACTAGTAAAACGTATAACCCCTCTCACAAATCTCAGGCATATCCGAAGCATCCTTGCAGTGATCAGATCTGTCCACAGGCGATGATGGAAGACAAGGGAAACAGCAGTACCTGGGGTAGCGTGCCGTAAGAGGCTAGCGGCACCAGCCACAGTTGCAGAAAATCAGCACAACGTCATCGGTTCTGTCAAACTCCAGGCACGCACAAATCAAGGTCGTTACTCTTCTTTTCAACCACAATCAATCATCTCTTTCATACTGCGACGCATGTCTTAGTAGCCAAACAAAGCTCCTCACTCCCCTCCATACGTCTCTGACTGCTGCCTCCACCACCCCTATTCCCATCACCACAACAATGGCCGCCCGCCGTAAACACACCTATACCTCCGTCTCCGAAATTAATGGCTCCGCGCCCATAACCGCCGGCATGCCAAGCGGCACAATCAAGCCCTTCACCGCCAGCGCGCGCCGCTCGCCCTTCTTCCCCACCCGCCTCGAAGCGCTCCTCATCTCCATCTACCCCGCAACGCTGCTCATGGGCAGCATAATCAGCACCATATCGCCCGCGTCGCGCGCAGCACCGTACTCTGCAGACTCGCAGAGCCACCCGCCTGAGTTCGCGCCGAGCTACTTCGCGCTCAAGAAGAACGTGTTCAATGTGTACTTTGTCAAGATCGGGTGGTTCTGGGCGACCCTTGCGTTTGCAATGTTCGTCCTTATGCATCCTGGCTTTGGGCGTGGACTTTCTGCGAGGAGAGTCCGGGCGGTGCTGCGGTATGGGCTTGTCACGACGTGGTGGGTGTTTGTCACGCAGTGGTTCTTCGGGCCGCCACTGATTGATCGCGGTTTCAAACTTACGGGCGGCGCGTGCGAACTGGCGCGGGATCCAAATGCAAGGGCAGAGATGAGCGATACGAAGGAGTTTATTACGGCGGCGACGTGCAAGGCTGTGGGCGGCAGCTGGAAGGGTGGTCATGATATCTCTGGACACGTGTTCCTCCTGATCATGGGATCTTCGCTGCTTTGGCTTGAGTTCTTGCCTGCGTTGACGCGCGTCGAGGGTCTGCGCGATGGCCGACTTATCACTTTATCGGATGGCAAGGTCGCGAGCGTCGCGGTCGAGAAGGAGGACCAGAAGGTTGAAGGTGAGGCGACGGCCAGGGGCGTTAAGTTCGCGCTTGGTGTTGCGGCGCTGATGTGGTGGATGTTGCTAATGACGGCTGCATACTTCCACACTTGGTTCGAGAAGTTCACTGGCTTGATTGTTGCGTTTGCGGGGCTGTATACGGTGTACTTTGCGCCGAGAGGCTTGCCAGCTTTGAGGGCTTACTTAGGTATGCCTGGTGTGTAAGAGTGGAAGGGGCCATTAGATTCATAATTGTCAATGGAAACGCGCCATGAAGTAACGGCTTGAGCGTTTTGTACTATATTAAATCACAGCACTGCATTCTGAGGGCGGTCCGTGATCCACTGCATCGGCCGATTCTTAATCTACTCGTGAAGACGTATGACTGTGTGAGCTCCTGTGCACTTTTTGAGATGTGACTTACTGACAGACAGCAACAGCTCCTTCCGTCTTAGCAAAAACGCCCTACTCTAGAGCAACCAACTCTCATCTTACTAATTATGGCCGATAATAATTACTGCATTTGTTGCATACACAAAGGGGTCCGATATGCATTGCCTTCTCATCACAGCAAATGTCGCAATGCCGCTCGGCAGAACGTCGCTCAACAATTTTACGACAACGACAGCTGAACAATCGAATCAGCTTGAAGCAATGCAATCCTTCACGCTAGCTCCAAGCACGTTTTCTCGTCCACGATCGACAGCATGATGGAATCTGATCTTACCGGATAGCGGCAGCCCAAGCAGTTTGCCGTACAAATACTGATCGAATGGGCTCTATGCTCCTTTGCACTTCCAGTACCATCAAAGATTACCTCGAGGCTCGCGGACTGCAAGATGGGCACGCAGAATTTGGACCGCATCTACGTCGAAACACACGATGTAGACACTTCAGACAAAGCAGTGTTCAAGGTGGCACACGCACTGCTTCGCCCACGGATGAAGATTTCGAGGAAGGCTTCATCGATCCAAAAGAAGAGCGCGCATTCGTAAGCCGGCAAATACATTCTTACGGAAACGTGATTGAGACTGACTGGGCACCAGGTCTGGAAATTGGATCTTTGGTTTCTTACAATCGGTTTCTTAGTTTACATGTTCAAGTACATTGACCAAACAAATATCGTATATCGTACAGCCTTTATCATGACACTAACAACACACAGAGTAACGCATACGTATCTGGAATGAAGAAGGATTCAGTCTCTCCGGTAACGAGCTCAACTACTTCACCACTTTCTGCAAGTAAGTTCACGTCCCTTCTTCAGCATCATGCTTACTAACTCGATACAGTATTGGTTACATGATCATGCTCTACCCCTCTTGCATCATAGTCTTCCATTTTGGACCTTCCAAATGGCTGCCGACATGCGAGGTACGCCACCCTCTTAAAAATCAAGAGGCTTCCAGCTAACATTCCATAGCTCATTTGTGGTATCTTGACATGGTGTTTGTCCACGGTCACGAACTACAAGCAGGTGTACGGACTTCGGTTTCTCATTGGGTGCTTGAGGGAACTGCATGGCCTTGCTACTTCACCATCTTCAGGTAGTTACTGACTGCGTACACGCATGCCCCATTCTGACAGCTGCCAGTCAGTGGTACATGCCACACGAAGTAGCACTCCGCATGAGTCTGTATTATTGCACAACCAGCTGGTGCCATGCTATCTGGTGCTATGCAGAACATCTTGGTAAATCACGAATTTCCGTGCCTTTGCCAGCTAAATCATAAGCATGAAACGCACCAGAAATCAAGAAGACCACAGCGAACAAAGAAGATTAGTCTACACGACGGTTCACAAGCAAACAGATGAGCTGCCGCACAAGCGTCAACGTACCTCAACGACCAGCACGGCTCGATCGTCAGCAGGAATGCCAATGAACGCTTTGCAAAAGCCAGGATCTTGATGAAAAGAAGCGGAGTGGCATGACGACACAGATCCACAGCACGTTCCAAAATCTTCTAGCCTACCTGAACCAAAACACCGCATCTACTCCACAAGCGCCACCAGACGACAGGATCACCCACGAAGCATTGTCGCAGACACAAACTCAGCCTCTCCCAAACGAACAGCTCGCCACACCATCGGATGCCCTCGCGAATCAAAATCGCCGCACAGCAGCAGTCGTAAACTGGCTCCTATACACGCGTACATACGAACAAAAAGAGTACATTGTGCACCCGTTCAATCTTCCTCCTCCGATGAAGATACGCCCGGTTTCGCTTGATCAGCACAAGCTTCTGCGTCCGCCGACTACGCAGTTGAAGCATCCACCCTCAGCCTTCGGAATCTCCAACCCTCGTCCATCAGTTCTGGAGTCTTCGACGGGAGGATGAGACGCAGACCCGAGTGTGTTGTATGAGGAGCATCCAGCTTATGCACATCTGACACCTGAGCAGCAAGGGAAGAAGACTATAGAAGACGAGAAGTTTGAAGTTGTGCACGCTGAACTGAGCTTGAATCGCGTGAGAGTTCGTGGTGATAAGAAGGAGATTGGGGAAGAGGAGGAGATCTTGGAGTGCCTCAATGAGGAGCTGGAAGTCAATTCTCAGGAAAGTCAAACGACGTAGGTAGGTAGACTGTTGGTCAAGTACTGTATATCAACCATCGCTGGTCCTACCCCTACTTCCGAACCCGACTTGGTCATTATGTGATTCTCGGTCCACACAACCAAAGTCATGTATACCGATCGTTATGGGCTCCACTTAAATTCACAGAATAACATGGCTATGTTGATTGTGGGTATCTCGATTACTACTACTAAACTGATCTAACGCTATGTATGCCGCAATGCTATGCAAGTCATGTCGATGTCCCAAATTCCGTGCATCAGTTGATCATGCGTTAACGACCCAAGTCCTGCCTCCATCCTCCCTTCCCTCAGCCTCCTGCCTGATTTTGAACCAATCCGTCGCCTCAGTACCAACCTTTGTACGCTCAGAGCTAGAGTCCGCAGACATGCTCTCTCTGGGCGCCAAAGCCTGGCTGCTACGCTCCTTCTCGGATGAGTCATGCTTAGGATCCGCTTCGGCCGCTGGGGCACAGGGTACAGGATCATGTCTCTTCTCATACTCATCACTCTCCGCACGCTCCTTCAGGTGCGCGTTTCCTAAAACGTGCGTCTCCTCGAACCCCGGCTCCTCGTAGATACTCCTCGGCTTCTCTTTCTTCTCAGCTTTCACAGGCCTTGCATTGCTATCGTCCCAGCTTTTCCTTGCGAGAGGTTCAGTGCTGCTGCGATTAAGTGTAGCGCTTCGTCGGTGGTGCGAGTCGAAGCTCTTCTTGATCTGGTCATAATCTTTGCTGTTTCGGCCTTTGTACTCCTGTTCGGTTTGTGCAACGGGTGTGGTGGCTGATCTTGACTGTGGTCGGTTTGCAGGTTTCTTGACGGAAGTGCTCTTGCGTGGGACCATTGTACCTGCTTTCTTTTCGCTTCTGCCGGTGAGGGAGGCGATGATGCCTTGTTTGTTGTGCTTCTTTTCTTCGGCAATAGCTTGCTTGAGCGCGGCCCATCTGATGGCGACATTGTCTTGGACCTCATCTCGGTTCTCTTTGAGTTCGGCATCTTTGCCTTCTGCTTCTCGAATGTGTGTGACGCCAGTCTTGTGCTCAAGCTGCTGCAATTCCAGCTGGCCTTGTGCTATTCGGCCTCTCCGAATGAAGATGGTTGGTTGGTACTTCTTCATGTACTCAGCATCGAGACCTTTCATGAGATACGCTGTTGGTCCGAGCAAAGCTGCAATGTCTTTTAGGACAAAGCCACCGATACCGAAGCCTACACCTCGCACAGCACCCATAACACCATGTTCTTTCGCGCCGCGGATCGGCTGTGTGACGATACCAGTGACACCATCCGTGACACCGTATACTAGCTCATCGCGACCAGCGCGAAGACCAGAGTGTATGCCTGTGACTCGAGGTGGACGTCGAACGGTCTCATCTCCGTAAAGTCGAGGTGCGTTATGGAAGCCTTGTGTGAGGGCGAGGGTGATGTTCAGAGGGAAGCGTGCAAGCGCGTGGCCGGTTTTTCTGAAGCCAAAGGCTGCCTCGTGTGCAAACTCTTTGTTCAGTGTTTCTTCCGGTTCGGTAAGCTTCGATAAAGTAGACTCTTCGCGTTCCGGCTCGGGCCTGCCGCCGTTTTGCTGCTGCTGCTCTTTCTTAGCAACGTGTTCCTCGGCAGAAGTCGCCTTCTCCTTCTCCAGATCAGCATTCGCCCTTGGCAAGGTCTCTTTCTTCTGTTGCATCTTCTTCTGGTGCTGCCGTTTCTTCTCCCAAAGCTTCTCACGTTTCTTCAAGCTCCTGCCCATTTCTACGGGAACAGAGCCCACGCCCAGTGCCGCGTCAGTAAAGGTCGTGTAGATACTGCCCCAGAGTCCTGTGACCGGCTCGCCTGGACCGCCGAAGTCGTTCCATTCGTAGTGCCGGATCAGTCGAAGTTCGTTCCACTTAAGCTTTTTCTTGTTGACTAGGATCTCAGCTGCAAGAGCAGAAAGTTTGACGTTGGTGTTCTTGATCTTCCACGCCGCCGCGCGGTTGTCCAGGAAGTCGCAGCGCATACTACCCTCACCGTGCAGTGGCAGGCTTCGATGAAACGATCGTACCGCATTCAAGGCTCCGTCACCCTCAGCCTCAATGCTGTCTGCGATTTTCTGTACGTTCTTCTGGGCCTCTTCTGTAAGACATTCTTTGATGCCCTTAGCCAACCGCTCCGCCGTTAGATTCTTGTAAGGTATGCACTCGTGCGCTCCTGCCTTGGCTTTGCTTACCATGGCGCCCCAGAACGGCTGGTCACCAAAGAAGGGAACGATCATCGTCGGCTTTGCACATTTGAGACCAATAGCGCAAGTACCCGCTCCTCCGTGATGAACGACAGCTTTACACCTCGGGAACAGCCAGTCGTGTGGAGTGTTTTCGAGCATGAAGACATTGTCTGGGCAATCCGCATTCGATCCAAAGCCGCCCCAGCCCTTCGAGACTAACGCGCGCACACCGGCCATCTTGATTGCTTTGAAGATCAACTTTGTAAACTGATCAGGATTGTCAACCACGATGGAGCCAAAGCCGATGTACACTGGAGGTTCGCCATCATCCAGGAATTTCTTCAGGTCATCTGGAGGTGTGAAGTTCGATGCGAGGTCCAAGAAGACAAAACCAGTAACATCAATCTCTGGCCCCCAATCCTTGGGTTTGGGGATAATACCCGGAGACCACATGTACGTATAGGGCACTTTCAATCGATACAGCTGTCCGGGCGCCCAGAGCGTACTGATGTCCTCCAAATGCAGTATCTGAGTCCGAAAGCGATTGATAAGATCTCCAAGACCTTGCCACATCATCATCTCGACAAGAGGATATGACATGAAGTTGCTGTATGAGGGCTCGACGTTGCTGACTTTGATGTTTGCAAGTGGATGTGGGAATTGTACAGTGGGTGTATATGGAAACCTGCATCAATTAGCTGACATATTTGAGATGAAGAGCGAACGAATTCGTACGTAAACATCATGTGGAGTGGTATGCCCAGCTTCTCGGCGATGTGTGCAGGTGCGAAACTAGGCGGATTTGCAATGATGGCATCCGCGACGAAGGGTGCCCTATCTCCCACTTTCAAGGCCATTAGCCATAAATCAGTAGTTCAGAAGTGACCTACTCACTCATCTTAGCGTTCATGTGATCGGTCTCGTCGTCCGTAGCGTTGATACAGGCACGCCACATGCCCTGAAACATCTCATACATCTGAGCTCTGCGTCGACCGATTTCGCCGCCCTTGATTGTATCGATATTTGGGATCAAACCCGGGTTCTTCACCATGAAGGCCATTAGCTCAGCTGGGTTACCTCCCACAGAGAAGAACTCCAAGCCAGAGTCTTTCTGTACGAAATCCTTGAATGCTGGGTGAGTAGCGATACGGACACGGTGCCCATAGTCCTCCTTCAAGATCTTGCCAATGCGTATGAACGGCTGAATATCTCCTCTTGAGCCGATGATGATGATGACAATGTTGAGTTTGACACGCCGCGATGGGTCGTGCTCCATTTCGTCTTCTTCTGGCGCAATCTTCTCAGCGTTGCCCGCTCGAGCATCGTAGGACTGTACGCTCTGGTGCTCGTCGTCCTTCCCATGCTTGGGCAATACAGCGCCTAACGCCTTTGCAATATACCCGCTACCCATATCCTCCTCCAATATGCTGAGCTTCAGACGTCCATCGCCCTTTACAGATCCCTTGGTCTGGAAGTGCTCGTTTGAGACTTTGAATCTCGCGAAGGGGTTCATGGTAGACGACCGTTGTTTGCTTCGCAAACGAGTTCGAGACTCTTCCCTTTGTACTATCTCATCACGGCTGGTGCTGTTGGCTAGGAACTGCTCATCTTCGGAGGAGTCTGAGTCTGAGGAAGTATGGTCGAAGGTTATGGTCGTTTGTCGCTGGATTGGGGCAGGTCGTTGTTTTCGAGGGGCTGATTTGTTTCTGAATAGGGAGTGTTTGGTCGAGGGCTTCGGTTGTTCTGTCGCAGATCGTTCTTGTAGATGTCGTGGTGCTAAGGCTTGCTGTGTCTCTGTCTTAGAGGGCTGTTCTGTTGCTTCAGACCGTGTGAGGTCATGTTGAAAGATGTATGCAGGTGTGGGATCTGCTGATGTAGGGAAGTTGATTGTTGTGCTTCCCTTCCGTGGTGCTGAACCGCCGGCAATATCTGGAAATGTGGGCTCATTGATCACCATCCCAGTCGGCGAGACAGTGGACTCTTTCTGGGTGTGAGTGACCATCTTAGAAGAGGTGTTTGCGACTTGTCACAATGACGGTCGCTGTATTATTAGTATTATTGTGTGAGAGATGCGGCGCAGACAGTGGAAAGAGCAATACAGGAAGAGATGGTGATGTTGCGTTTGCGCCTGACGCCTATAGCACGCTTGTGAATGAACAGAGGTCGTAGACTACAAGCAGCGACGAAATTGACCGAATGCCAACGATACTTAGCATAAAGGGTGGTGCCTGGGCGCCTGCAGTGACGCCACACGATGCAGTCAAAGTTCGAATCAAAGGTGGTGATTTAACCGGAGCAGGTTAACTCCCGTGGTTGGCGTTGCCGCAGCTTCCCTGTAAGTGCACGCTACGTCATTGTCCTTCCCAATCAGATCACCTTGTCTGCCGTCAATCTTACGTTCCCACCAAATTACTCGCGGCATCGAATTTCCGCATGCTTGGTGCCATGCAACTGTGTGTTTACGAGTGTACGCGCTCTTCGCTCTCTATACGACCTATAAACATCTACATTAAGTACATCTCTAGCAGTCTACTACACATTGTGAGTCCACCGATCGCCCGCCGCTGACGATCTTTGAAGTTCAAATGTGAGCCGAAGTATCCGGAGCACCAGTAGTAGACAGATGCGTGACCATTTTCGATCATCTTCCAAAACCCAATCCATAGAAGACAGCCTTGACGATATCGTGAGCCCACCCCGTCCAACCTCGGCCAGCCTGGACCAAATTCAAAATCTTCACGATGTTGCGGTCCCACGCATCCACATCTTCCCAGTCGTCAGCATAGGGCTCGAACACTGCTGTCTCGATGCTGCCTGGCGATCCAGGTGTCACCAGATCCCACTCGCCGTTATCCTTCTGACGAACATGCACCTTTGGCCCAATGACCAGTGAGCGCCCGAGAATGCGGCTGTCAGACACAAAGCGTGTGCCTGCAGCGACTACATCCTCAACTCGACCCATTGCACCGCCAGCCAGCAATAGACGGCCGAATGTGGGCACAATGGGTGTGTCGATGAAGTAGGGGAGTAGGCAGTTAACCCGTATCCCCTGCAGCGAGCTCGTCGACCTCAGACTTCTAAACAGTCCCAGCACAGCATGCTTCGCAGCGTTGTATTGTGGTTGTATCGCAATAGGCGCGAGTGACGCTACCGAACCAAGCAGCAGCAGATGTCGATCGCGCGGTGATGTGGTCGAAGGCTTCGAGTCGATGCTGCACACCTTCGAGCCGGGGTTCTTTGGCAGGTAGAAGTACGCGAGATGCGTTGTGTACAGGACACCAGTGAGGTTCACATCCATGATCTTGAAGTTCGGCGGCGGAGGCTCTGCAGCATCGAGGTTCTTGCCCTCCGGTAGGACGTCGATGCCTGCAATTCCTGCGTTTGCAACGACCGTGTCAAGCCCACCATGTGGACTCAGCTTGACCGCCTCTTTGAACAGATTGACTTGCGACTGCCAGTCTGTGACATCGCAGTGCACAAAATGCACGCGATTGTGGCCCGCCTCATTGCGCACATCGCGTACAAGCGTGTCGCCCATTTTGACGTTGATGTCACCAACGATGACTGTTGCTCCATTCTTCGCCCACAGCCGCACAAAGCCAGCGCCGAAGCCGCTCGCTCCTCCCGTTATCAGTATGACTTTGTCCTTGACCCAGGCGGCATCGTATGGAGTGGTAACGTCGATGGGCGGAGACTGGCGAATGGCAGCGACCATGCTCTCAGGCTTGTAGTCAGCCATTGCGATTCAAAATGTCAGGAAGAACACAGAAGAGGTTCTAACGATACTCCAGAGCTACACGGAGCTTGTGTTGGACAGCTGCGTTTGATGGCAGAGGTACTTCGGAGGTCTTGGCCATTGCACGAAACTAGGGCTAGCTTTGGCTTGCGCATCGGACAACTGAAGTCCCGCGCCATAGCGATGATAGTTGAGACTAAAGAGCACTTCGCTCTCTCGACCACAAAAGCGTCACGGCAACAACGAACTATGTCATCGCCATGTGAAGGTCACAGAGGTGGATGCTACGAACACCGCGGGAGTGCCTGGATATGGCGGGCGGGGCCACTAGCGCCGTGAAGCTGGACACTTGTGCAGTTTTGGCTGCAACCCCGCCAAAGATTCACTCTCAGACTAGACTTTGACCGTTCACACCACACAAATAGCCATTCGCTATCAATCGTCGAACATCTCCAAGCATGGCTACCAGACCACCCGCCTTCGACGTCTCGTTCACCCACATTGTCGCAACGCTCTTTTACAAGGTCGACAAACCACACAACGCTTTACTTCCTGACCAAGTCCCGCATACACCCCAGGATACCATTCCTGCAGCCTCCCTAGAAACGCTCAGAGATGGCGCCTCGCCGACTAAGAATCTCGAGGCCTACCCTCTTGAGCCACCAACACAAGGGCCTGATGCGCTTGACAACCTGTATGGAAACTACATAAGTCAGAGCTGCTTAAACGACTTCACCACCACACTAGCCAGTATTCTCCCAGGTCTCGAACGAGAGACAATAGCAATCCGCAAACTCGAGCGAAGTCACCACTGCCGCGTCGTCGAAACTACCTTCCCTCTGCCCAGCGCCTCCAATATCTCCGTCGAAACCCTTCGCCGCCACGAGTCCATATCTCGATTCGAGCTCGAATGGAACGTCGAATGCGTCTTCCAAGCCGACACAATACACAGGCGCTACAAGCGTCTCGCAGTCTTCGACATGGACAGCACGCTGATTCAGCAAGAGGTCATTGACGAGATCGCCTCGCTCATTGGCGTCGAGAAGGAGGTTTCTGCCATCACAGCAGCGGCGATGAACGGCGAGCTGGACTTTGAAGCTAGTCTGCGCGCGAGATGTAAGCTGCTGAAAGGTGTCCCGGCGACGGTGTTTGAGACGCTGAGGCCAAGGATCACATTAAATGAGGGTGTCAAGGAGCTCATCGCCGCGCTGAAGAGGCTGGGATTCAAGACTGCAGTACTGAGTGGTGGATTTACACCGCTGACCGGCTGGATGGGACAGCAACTCGGACTGGATTACGCATACGCAAACCACCTTGTCGTGTCTGAGGATGGGCAGACGTTGACAGGTGAGCTCACGGGCGAGATCGTGCATGCACAGAAGAAGCGCCAGCATGTCTTGGAGATCTCACAGAAGGAGGGTATACTGCTGGATCAGGTCGTCTGCATTGGTGATGGCGCCAACGATCTGCCCATGATGGGTGTCGCTGGCTTGGGCGTAGCTTTCCACGCAAAGCCCAAGGTGCAGCTTCTGGCGCCAGCGCGTTTGAACACTAAGAGCATGCAGGATCTGCTGTACCTGTTCGGTATTACTAAGGAAGAGCAGGATGAACTGCTCAATTGAACTATCGTTTGAACTCGAGGCTAGAGGACACAACGCAGCATAGACTATACCCCATTTCATTATCATCAGTATCGGCCGTCAGATTGGGCTCTTCCATTGGTTTTCTGGTACTTTTCTCTATACATATCTCTTCAAGTTTCCTAAATTCACTGAGTCAGAGTCTCGCGGAGATGCTTCAATCTTCAAAGACCTTGAGCTCGACGTTGCCCACCAGACCCACCAGCCGGCCACTGACTGCTGCGACGTTACCAATACCAACCTGCACACGCGCATGATCGACGATAAACATTGGACTGGAAGCCTTATCACAGCTTACCAAGACTAACCAGAACGGCTTTACACATTGGTCTCGCGTCGTCTTACCATACGTCTCTGCTCCATGCATCTCGGCCCCAAGTTTTCGACACGTGCGACTGACTTACAGACCTTGGTGTTGCGACAGTTTACACATCGCACAGGTTGAAGCTTGCAAAAGTGTACTCAAACAACGCGACCACTTTAGATGCTGCGTCAGTGTGTAAGAGCAGAGCAATGCTGATGTCGAAGTTGCAGGCCAGCGTTGTCAGCTCCAAAAGACATCATGGGCATAACCAAGCGTGTAAGAGGTTGGATTCGAAGGTCTAGTTTTGGGTTGAGACCTGCGTAAGCACGAGTCTTCTCTGCTTCTACTCACATCAAGCCGCAAAGATGCAGCTCTCTCTCCTCGCCCTCTTAGCATTTCCTTACGCCAGCGCGTTCGCCGGTCCTCCCTCACGCCTACAGCAAGACGGCCAGGTAGCCCCGAAAAACAAGATGGCTTTGACTATTAGGATGAATACGATGGAGTCTCCATCTGCGACACCTACAGCACCTCTACCCTCGGTTCCCCCACTCCAGAGAACCAACACTTCTTAATGACCCTCTTCGTCAACACAGCATTGGTGGGAACACAATACCCAACACCGGCATCGCTGTGAACGGCATCATGTGGCCCGGCAATCGGAAAGTCGAGCCGGTCAACCCGATGCCTTGGTTCAACGGCGATCTCGCATCAAGCAATCCATGCGAGGGCGATTGCGGACAGGGTGTGAGCATGAACCGGCTCAATAGCGGCGGTCCAGATGCGCTGAGGCAGAGTTTGACGAGCTATGAGACGGGGACGAATCATCTTACTTCGTCACGCATTTGACGCAGTATTTTGGATATCTGCTTGGTTGCTCAGACTCTGGCACAGCATATCAGCGCCAGAACGGCTCTATGAATCTGTGCTATGTTTATAAATATGTGTACGTCGCCCCATCTCTTCACCTCCCCAACATCCTCTCTTCTCCTAGCAGCGGGACCTCCTCAGCCCTCCTTTCGACCCTACTAACAAGACCCAGGTCCTACAACAATGCCCAAGAACAGTATACGAACCAGCAATTCTTCCTCTCCGTGTTCTCCCTCGGCTTCTCCCAGCAGCACGCGCATCAGATTTGGGGTATGCTGTTCGACCTCTTCAGCCAACGCTGCGAAGCACCTAAGCCGATACTGCATTGTACGCAGCCTGCGCCGCAGAGTATTTGTGTTGATGTAAGTCACATGGCTCTTTGAAGTTTGGAGTAGGAAAGAAGACGAAGGGAACGGGTGCCAAGGTGTTTAGGGTGGAGATAAGGGCTGGCAAATTGCAGTATGATTGTCCGCTTGCAAAGGAGGCGGCGTGTGAGTTGTATGAGGCGCCTGTTGAGCTGATGTTGGTTAACGGGACGGTTGGAAATGGCGATGATGTGAGAAATTAGAGTGACGAGTGGTCATCGATACAGACAAGAGCCGGGCGCCGTTAAGCTGTTATAACAATCTTGTGAGGAATGTTTGATTATCTCAGGACGGTTTTGTTTGGGCAAAGGAGAGGATAGTGTGAGTGAGGATCAAACTGTACAGAGTGAATTTTTTTGCATATATATATTACATGATACAAAGTTTTTTTCACATACGACCATAGGACGTTGAATACAAGGCTTCCCGTTCGCTCAGCCCTATTTAAGCAACGTACCGGCGGATTAGTAGTTAGGTGGGTGACCACTAGCGAATACCCGCTGTTGTATGTTTTTTTGCTTCTGTTGATACTCTTGTGCCAGGTTGTTAAGCTTGCTCAAATGCTTTAAAGCCTTTTTTTTCCTTTGTCACAATTGAACCAACCGAGCATTCACGCTTTGCAATCAGCCTGTAGCTGGTGTTGCAAAGCAATCCATTGTGTGCGCTGCGTTCTTTCCTAAACCGAAGTGAAGCAGTTGTGGCGCTGCCAAAATTGGTGGGACACGCATGTTGGCGGCCTTGCGCAATTGTAGCGGCGTAGGCCGCGGTAGAATACTGATAGCTACGGTAAACAACAACGCAGGACTATCAGTGTTGAAGTCGTCCTTTAAGCAAAGCTTGTAAGTCCAACTCGATTGGTTCTCAGGGATGAGTACAGATACAGGAAGGTCCGTTGAGTTGGGCAATCACCTAAGCATGGTCAGGGGTAGTCGTCTATTCAAAGACCGTGGCGACTGGGAGCAATGAGTAGTACAGAGTATACTGTCTGGCTCAAGAGCGGGTGAGATTCCAATAACAATGTTGATTGACGAGGTTGAACACGATGCCATAAGGGCAGCGTGTCTACTTGTTATATACTTTAGCAGGGGGATTGCTCAGATCGCTCGGTATCGAGTATACTGCTCGTACCAAGTATACTGACGCGGCCTAACTGCTCGAGTTGCTCGACTGAGATTGATGATCATACTGAGTATCGCCGACGCGGCCTCACTGCTCGGGTCGATCGATAATACAGTTCCTCGGCTCCTCTCGTATCGTTGCGTAGTCCTGTTCGTTCAGTGTTGTTTTGCGAGTTGCTCCTTGATCGTAACACCATGCTCCTCAACAATATCCGATGAAATATGCAGAGTTCATTGCCTCTCCTTATTGGCTGCAGTCGTATGGATTGTAGAATTTATTTTGTAAAAAACGACTCTTCTTTCACATATGACCATAGGATGTTGAAAACAAGGCTTCCCGTTCGCTCAGCCCTATTTAAGCAACATACCGGCGGATTAGTAGTTAGGTGGGTGACCACTAGGGAACACCTGCTGTTGTATGTTTTTGCCTTTTTGCCTGTGTTAATACTCTTGCGCCATCTTGTCAATTTGCTGTAATGTATTCTATAAAAAAGTTCCCCTCCCACATACGACCATAGGACGTTGAAAACAAGGCTTCCCGTTCGCTCAGCCCTATTTAAGCAACGTACCGGCGGATTAGTAGTTAGGTGGGTGACCACTAGCGAATACCCGCTGTTGTATGTTTTTATCATTTTGGCCATTGTTGCGTACATCAACGCCGCTGCCTGGATCAACTTTCCATTTTACTTCCTTTTCAGGGTAGTCTGACCAGTAACCTAGGTTAAATCTCCGCACGCTTCGCAGCTTTTTTTGCCCAATGCAAGGGGTCCCACATCCAACCACCGCGTTGTATTGATCGTCGCTTTGTCCTCTTACAGATAGAAAACAAGCTTTGTGGGCCCGCCTCATGACAACGTCCATACTTTCTTCAACTCCATCGTAGTATTCTATCAAAGCTGGCTTGAAATGAAGACCTCCAAGCCCGACAACGCGATAACAGATGCTGTGCAAAGTCTCGGTACGGTTGAGACAAGCAATATCGACACGATTGGAACTAAAGAGAACGATATTGAGGACATCGCGCCAGTTATGACAGGTAACAACGCTCACCCAAGACCCACATCTCTTGATGAGCCTTTCAAGATGAGGTACCGTCTGTTTGAAGCAGATCTGGCAAGAGTCTCGCTGGACTTGAACCACAACTGAGCCAGGTGTCAAACCTGAACGATACGCGCCCGCAAAACCAGTGATGGTAACTCGACTCGACCGTATGGGCGAAGAGCCCGCTTTAATCGATTGTCCCTTCTGCAAAGAGTGCAAAGAAATGCGCATCGAACAGTGCGATTCAAGTCAAACCTGGATACAGCATTATCTTCCCCTCTCACTACACTAATGCAATTTCTAACGTATGGGAACAGCCTTGCAGCTGCAGCTTGCTGTCTTTTCTGTGGCATCATTACAGTATTTATTCCTTCTCTCTGCTACTGGTGCGCAGATATCGATCACTACTGCACTGGTTGTGGCAACCAGGTGGCGCACAAACCGCATGATGGGCAGGCGGAAGTGAAGTTGCCGCAAGATAAGTCAAAGGAGGTTAGGAAGTACGCTCCCCATAGTGCACAATGGAAGGAGAACGAGGAGTTGAAGGCTGATTAGGTGCAAACGATATGAATCATACGATATTGTAGCATACACAGCTTTAGATGAGTTTGAGAATAGCAATCGAGGTACCCATGTACAACACGATCAAGACATATAACAGTAAAGAAACGACAGTTCTGATAGCTGAAAGCGACACTACCTACTAAACAAATGCCGCAGTGGGTTTTGTACCAGCAAACGATGCAGGAAGCGGTTGTGTAGCCACTGGCTTGGCTGGATCTGCGGTGAAAGCCGGGAACGAACCGCCGTCAGGGTACACCTTGGGACCAGGCATAGTGTAGTTGACGATAGGCGGCCAGTATGGGTTGAAGTAGATTCCTGGGTCGTGGGAGTTGACTGATGACGACGCATTAATGACACTTCTAGGATTGCGAGGGAGGCCATATCTTACAGATACCAGGAAATTTTCCAACAGGGCTCGGCTTCTTGCCTGTAGCGCCTGAGACTTCGATCTGTGCACAGCCAATGTAGAACTGTGCGCCGGCGCCATCAGGTCCACCAGCAGAGTGAATAGCGATGTGCTCCGCCCTCAGAAGATATTGCCCGTTTTCGATATCTTTAGGGATCTTAAAGTCAAATGTCTTCCACCCATCGCTCAACCACGTCATCGCAAGACTGTAGTTCGCATAGGTCTTCACGCCCATCTCATAAATTTTGAACCAATCTCCTTCGCCCTGGTAGGCGCTCACGTTGGCAACAGTGCTCCTGCTCATATAAGCGAACAGCGGTCCAGGGTGTCCGAGTACATCGCGGATAGTGAAGCCCACTGTGTCATCGGCTTTGACGGGGTAGGTTTTTGTTTTGCTGGCAGCGACAAAGGAGCCGTTGTTGCAACGGATGTCTGTGTGCTTGACGTCGTAGAATGGCCCATTGCCTACCATGGGACCAAGTGCGCGGACATACTCGTATGGTTCGGTGATTTTGCCATTGACAATAAGGCGCTCGAAGTTATAATGGGCGGAGACTAGAGTGGCGGTTAAGATCAGGAGAGTGGAGGTGATGAACCTCATTTTGCCTGTGGTTGAATGGAAGAAGCGAGATGAGGAGATTCGCGAAGAAGACAGCACACCGAAGACGAAAAGGACTCTACCATACTGTTGCCTTTGGCTAAATATACGGCTATGACTGAACACAGTGCTGTATCGATGGTGTAAAGTGTTGCAATCTCCGATAGATGAAGTGGATATGGAAAGGGTCTTGGTGTTACATATACCTGCCCTTGAGGTGAGCTCGCATTGTACACTCGACTCATAGCTGAGTTGGCGAAGTCGATTATGAGCAATCTTGTTCATCGTCATTTATGTTGAGGCACAAAGACAACAACGCTCGCGCGTAGCATGCTCAACCAGTTCACGAAGTTTGCCTGTTCTTACTAGTGGTTTCTTAGCCCAATCTCTTCTCTTCTCAATGTGACTGGTGACGAAAAGCAACGCAGTACAGTTGCGTAAGGATTTTGCATCGGGGTTGGCAACTTCATCTAGACAGAGGAGTTGCGAGGTCGTTACGAGTGCGAGAACGAAGGAGGAAGTGTCGATGGACAGGCGCTAGACTACCGTAGCGCGTCAGCAGATTGCAGCTGGACTGCACGTGCTCGCTTATTCACCCCGCAAAATCTTCCTCTTTTCATCGTCGTCTCTCCAACTTCTCGGCTCCACAACGGTGAGATGCAGAAATGTGCACGCTACACTGTCCTCACTCGAGCTCCTGGACGCAGGAAAGTTGACGTTCAAAGAATGCGGCAGTTGATGAACGTATACAGGATAATGAATATCTCTCACTCCACATCAACCAAAGCCCGCACGTCAGCACTCAGCCAATGGTGACCTTTCGGTAGCTATTATCCATGTCTTGGGATGCCGGTCGGCTTTTGACTTCACTCATTTCCAAGGATTTACCCACACCCCGCAATGCGCTAAGACTTGCACGACGCAGTTCCGCCAATCATCATGCAATCGTGTCCACTATTGTTAACTACACGAGTACTTTCCCCAGCCTCAAGTTCTACTACCTCAGGTCCATCTCCACATTCCGGGTATGTGGAGCCGTACTCAAGGGTTTTGTGCTCAACATGGCTTCATCATATATGAAACGGAGCGTTCATGATTACGATGCCAGTCATCAAACAATTGAGCAGCACTGCCAGCAAGAAAACATCAATCATGAGACTCTACATTCTGTTCACACTTTGCCTTGCGGCCGTCAGCATAGCTGTGCAAACTGTGCAACTCAACATCCCTGATGCACCTCCAGCAGGAACACAAATCCTTAGTGGCTCCTTCCAAGGATACTCCATGGAGGTTGCTTCATTCGCGGACATGGCCGGTAACCTGACGTAGGTCCACTTTCTTGATATAGATGAATCGCTAATTTACGAAACATAGAACGCCAAATAAGCTTTCCTACCGCATGCTGCAGAACCTCAAGGACATCTCAGGCTCCGCTGTTCCGGTCCGAGTTGGTGGCACGACTGCAAACCATGCGATATGGACACCAAACCAGAAAGAGGCAATCATTCAAAACTTCGCCACGCCTGGTGCAGACCAGCCTGCAAACGTGACGTGGGGACCAGCATACCTCGAATCCTTCAAAGTGTTCCCCAAAGGCACCAAGTACACCATTGGCGTGACATTTGACAGTGGCAAGAAGGGCGAGGATGCCAGTGTCGCTGAAGCCACAGCGTTCTACAAGGGCATGGATAAAGACCTCTACGCCATTGAGGTCGGAAACGAGTTCGATGGTATGTCGCACACCCTTCCTAACAATGAAATCACATTGGCCTAATATCAATTCATAGTCTTCCCTGTCAATCGCAACACGACAACATGGACAATCAGTCAATACGTCTCCGAATGGCTCTCCCGGACCTCCGCCATCGCATCCCGCGTCCTGCCCAAGAACAATCAAAGATTCTTCCAAGCAGGCATCTTCGTAACCCCAGGCACCATCAGCGCAGACGTATCTTGGACTGCGCAAGCGGCCATCGACCTCGGCATCGCATCAACAGGCCTCGCAAAGACGTTCTGCACCCATCAATACTTTGGTGCGGCATGCCGGCCCGTAAAGCCGACTCTCGCTGGCAACGTGATGAACCGCACAGCCTTGATACAGGGGATGAACTACCACGCTGGCGCAGCTGCGTACTCCGTGTCGAAAGGGCTGCAATATGTTATCGGTGAGACGAACTCGATTGCTTGTCAAGGCTTGGCGGGTGCGTCTGATGTCTTTGGTGCGGCGGTGTGGAGTGTGGACTATGCGCTGTATGCTGCGAGTTTGAATGTGTCGAACATGTATTGGCATATGGGTACTGGGTATCGGTACTCTGCGTGGCAGGCAACGCAAAATGGTACAACGACTCCGGGTCCAAGGCCGCTGTATTACGGAAACTGGCTCACAGCAACTGCACTTGGGGACTCGGATGCGCAGGTTGTGTCCATCGTAAACACAACGAGCCTTGCTGGGTACGCGATTTACTCGAGCAAGCTTCATCGTTCGAAGCTGAAGAGTGTGGTGTTGGTGAATATGGAAGTGTTTAATTCGACTTCAACTCCTGCGACCCAAAGGCCTAGTGTGAGCTTTGCGCTTCCAGCGAAGCTCGGAGGCAAGAACTGCAAAGCAAGTGTAAGGCGTCTCACTGCAGCAGGTGCAGAAGTTCGAGATGAAATTGCATTTGCTGGTCGCACCGTTGCCCTTGACGGGACGTTAAGTGGTCGTGAATCGAAGGAGCGGGTATCGAACGGTGTCGTGAATGTGAGAGCGAGCGAAGCCGTTCTTGTGACATTCAATTAGGCAGATAACCTTAGTGTACGTTGGTTACCATACGAAACCTCATCGCTTCGACAACGTCATTTGATGTCATACCCTTGGTGTGAAGCTGATAAAGCACCTACCTCTTTAGGTCATGGCAGATGTCTCATCCCAATCGGGCCTTTCTCTTCGTCATCTTAGTATCCTTGGTCGCTAGCGATGCATTGAGCAGAAGCACTTGCTCCCAATACGGACCGATATTCCTCACGAGCAAGACATGTGTACTATCACCTCGAGCAGGCGACATGTGAACAGCAAGAAATAGGTTCGAGTTGCAATCTTTGAGGTCTTTCATAATGGATGTTGGAGGTTACACCGCACCATGCACGACAGTATATTGGCCGCGGCTCAGCTCAAGCTCCACATCAATGTCAAACTAGCCTTCGTACCATGAGTGAACGATGTGTATGGACATGTGTCCTGGGTAGATCTCAGCTTCATTCTCTTCAGACCTCATCTTGAACGTTTGTTCACCCCAGAACAGCGCTGTACACGAAACCGAGAGATGTGACAGCGGCCCTAAACCTAAGCTGATGTAGGATCAAGGTGATTTTTTCTGGTATCTAAGTTCGGATTGGAACTGGAGAGGCTAGAGGGCTAGATCTGTTTTGTGACTGAGAACTTGGTTGCCTTCTCGATACAAACCATCGATATTGACCATATATAAGTCGACGACAAGTTGTGAGACAGTCAATATCGAATTTTCCTCTGGGTTAAGGGGGTGATTCCAGATTGACTGGCGGACCGATGTCCGGCAGGGGCGTTTGTGGTGCTTTTTTAAATCAGCCCAGTCGAATGGTCCGAGGGGTGCCGCTAAAATTTGATCCACCATGGGGAGAACTAAAGATTCAAACCAGCCGCGAACATACGCGATGTATTCTCAATGTGTACCCAGATTGCGTATCACCAAGCACCGAATCTCGTCCTTGGAGTTTCCGGTCGAGAACCACATGAGGGAGGTTTGATCAAGACAGTGCTATATCTTGTCTCTCAACGACCAGTCGTCCTTCCATTCCATCTATATGAACTTGGTATCGTTAATGAGCCCACAGGTCACAGACGTCCCCCCGCGATCGCGAGAAGATGATGTTTTTCTGTGAATCCTAGTATCGGCGACGTGTTTGCCCGAACATGTATGAACCTGCTCAATCGGTCATTATGCTGACAGTAGAAGTCGTAATCGTCTTGATCGTATTGCTAGCTACTTATACGGCCGGACATTAGTTCAAGTGCTACGCACAGATCGAGACTGGCAACTGAGGCCTGCGTGCCCACAGATTCTTCTATTCAAGACACATACCCGGTCCAACCTGCCCAAGACCAGCTTGGAAACTCTTTGTGGCGGATAGGTACGACTCCTTCTTGATGCCTGAAGAAAAGACTACATGCAGCGTAAGTGGCGGCTCCTTCGAAGTCGCCTTAGAGATGTTGTGTTGGACCTCTGCGTAGGGCATCTCCATAGGTGTTGCACTTGAAAACAGCGATCAAAGACGGCAAATATACCTAACATTGCGTTCAATGCATCCTTGGGAAAAGACAGCTTGTGACGCAAAAAGGAGAAGATGCAAAGGTAGATATCGCAGGATTCCTGCAACCATCTATCTCGAGAAAACATCCAGTCCGAGTCCTCGCCAACCACTCTTTTGGTCTCAGACAGTGATGTCCACTCACACTCGACCAAAGCTGAGCTCTCAAAGTACAGCTGATTATCTGTAAAATAAAGTCGTCTTTGTGACAACAAGGACCCCTAATAGGTTCATGCTCTCTTTGCCCATGCGCTTCTGTAGATGTCCATAATCGTAGGAACCAGGTGCAGATAACCAGAGCCCTTAATAAAAATGTTTGGATTCCTTTGCCTTGGTTTTGGCCCTCCTGGGATGCAATGTTGCGGGCCCTACCCTGCGCAAGCCACAATAGTAAGAGCTGGGTTTGAGTATATTGTGTCCATCCGTTGTATCTGCCTATGCTGCTCTTTAGGATCAGCCTGAGCAATGCAGTATCTGTCAACCCAGAGATATCTATAGTATAGATTGTGGCAGAAGGCCATAATGTCCTCAATACTTGTTGGGAGTTGTGTAGAATGGTACCGCCGACGTAATTTTCCCTATTGGTAGCAGTATAATTCGAGCCCGCATATAGCTCAGCGTGACGTATTGCGTGTTTGCCCGCACCTAGAGGAGCATCCGGGTTGTGTATTCAATGAAAGTAAGAGTGGGAACATTGCTTAGAGTGGATTTCAGGCCTACCAGGTGATATCACGGCGTAAGCTCCGCCTGTGACACGCTGCTCGTTGTCCATGCTAGTCCGCAACCAGTTTTCACGACAGTCTAGTCGATTCTCTCAGACAGACCCTCGTATATGGTAACATGTCAGAAGGAGAACGCAAAAGCGAGAACACATCCGTATTCTGGTTCGTGTTCAGCGACATGAAGATAAACGAACAACCGTAACCGTCTGCAAATCCGCGAAAGGAAGAGCTCGTCTTCCGGCACCGATGGACCACTCCATATGCTTCAGATGCTTGTTCAGGAACACCGCTGGTTGGTCCAAAATTGGGTTTGGTAGATCTGAGGCCTGGAAGTAGCGACAGAGGGAGTCGCACATATCGCACCGCAGGGGCTCCAGCTTGACAGAGACTCGAATTCTCATTCTGCCTCATTATGCGTAAGAAAGGAATTGAAATCTATCGCAGCACATCTCGCACAGAAGCGATTTGTTTGAGACCGCTTCATTTGATATACGATTCAGTGAAGCTTCCGAAGGCTGGAGGTTGATGCCGTTATGATGCAGAGAGGCAAAGAACAAAGGGTGGAGTAGTGGTTGCGAGGCTGGCTGATGCTGTGCGGGAACGATCGTGGCTGCCTACATTTAATGTGTTGCGGTATCGGACGGTCCGTACAAGGTCTGACTGTACCCCTGACAGACTACCCTAGTCTAGTGTTTGACAGGTCACTGGCCTGAGGTCAGGTATATAGTCGTCATCTCCCAGCTAGATAGCAAATCAGTGCAGTATTCCATTGATCCGATAGTCCTACGTTATCGTTTACCGTAGCTATCAGTATTCTACAGTGGCGCACACCGCAACAATATGATTCGTCACATCCAATCTCCCTCATTTGGCGCTGCGGGGCTGAAATCGTAATGTTCAGATTCATATACTTCACTATATTTAGACAAATTCGAAAAATATAAATGTTCCCGATGCCAGGGCAAATGTCACTTTCCACGTTCCCGACCGAGATCTTATTGCTTCGCTCGTTGACAGGCTGATGGCGCCACTATTGTCTACCGCGGCTACAGAGAGTAAGTAAGGTCAGCCATCAAAGACAAGAGCAATTTACATACCTTCGCCAATGTCACCAGCCTGCTGCCCAGCAGCTCCGTCTTGCCGAAGTCCAATCTCATCTGTACACAGCCCAATCAAAGTGCTGTTGCTGCGCAACTCTTGCAGCTTGATCTCTGCATCCTCCATGTTCTTCTTCAGCTGTTCCGTTTGTTTCTGATTCAGGATCTCCCCTGCCAGATGCTCATCATACGCGGTCTTGTTGTTCGCCAGCTCCGCCAGTTTCTCTAGCTTATCCAGCTTCTTGCAGTCTTTCACAGCCTTGCTATGAGCATTGATGACGTCACATTCGGCAACGAGGGTTGTGTTCGAACTCAACCTTTGCAGCTCAGACTTGATGGCGTCTTTCTTGGTCTCCATGTAGTCGACTTGCTCCTGGGTGAGCTTCCTGTCTGCGAGTAAGGTGTCCATGCGTGTCTGGTTTGCGACCATATTCGAGAGATTCGTCAGTGCTGCTATGCGCTTGCAGGTGCCCTGGACTGATCGATGCGCCGAGGCTGCATTTGTGTTTTCAGTTTGCTGTAGTTCGAAATGTGGAGGTTCAGGCCAGGCGTGCGAGCTCGCAATGAACGCGGAAATGACCACAAGCCAGCTGTACGAGCGCATCCTGGGTTTTGTAACGTAGAAAGCGTACTAGGATGCGACAAACCAAAGGGTCGTTGTTGCACACCCGAGTGGACCGTCCTTCCAGAGTATGTAGGTTGGTCAGAGATACACAGAAGTTCCTGGATGGCACGCACTCGGGTGGACCGGCCAGTTGTTTTGTGGCGGCAGAAGGTTAGGTGACCTGCTCTGGCAGATCCGGAGGTGTGCGACCTGTCAAAGTTTCATACTTCATCAAATGCCTGGAAGACGTTAAAGCATCAACCTCAACCCGCCACCAGTTTCATGATCTCGATTCTGCGACGTCGCTGTTTTGAGAGTAAAGCCGTAACCTTGGGGTGCGTGCGACAGCAATAGCGACAAACGGAGATGGGTCAGGTGTGCTAGTCTTTGAGAGCGCGTGCGTTTGTTGTCTGTCGTAGATTGGGATGTGATCTTGCGGTGAACATCATACGCCTCAAGCTTCAAGGAATGCATTCGAACGTATGAACTACTGTCAACGGAAAGAATCCTTGAATGTGACCAAAGGTCGGAAACACGGCAAAAAATGCGCCGCTGGTCGCAGTACCCTCCACTGCAGAGCAAGTCGACTGCTGTTTGGACCAGTTAGGGCGTAATCTCTGCCTGCAGTTGCAGTCGAGGTTTTGCAAATGATCCGTGGACGACGCTGTAAGGTTTGGGCGTGTCACGTAGGCTGATTAGCTATTGTAGTCGTAGAACGGCCTCTCTTTAACAGACGTCGCACAGTAGATGCGAGATGCGCTGTAGTATGTAGGTCCATAGTTGTGCCTTTTGATCTGTCTCGACCTGGGAAGCAACCTCCTGGGATGTAACTGGGCTGATCATGCACGTCATGTCTGCCCTACGACCGCGTTCAGAAAGACAAAAGAGGTTGGAGGAGACGCGCAGCATGGTAGCAATTGGACACAAACTTTTCTTTGGCAGCGACGAAGATGGACTGTTCATGCTAGATCCAGGTGGACATGTCGTCAATCAATATAGATTCGTGGAACTGTTCTCCTGGAGCAGCATTGCGACAAATCACCGGTTTCAACAGGTAGTGGGCGCATGACGAAGAGAACCGTCGAGTTAGATGCGTTTCTCAGATGCTAGACGCCAGAACGAGGGAGATGTTTCCCTCGGAGGTGAGGCGGCGAAACGAGGTATCGATAGCTGAGTCATCCATTGACACCGCGGGGAAGGCGCGAAGGTCGGAGTCAATAAAATTAGCCCCGCCACGAGAGCAACTCGACAACACCACGCCCAACCATGTCGATTGACTTTCCCAAGGAAGAGGAGCGCATCCTTAAGCGCTGGGAGGAGATTGATGCCTTCCTGACGCAAGTTGAGCTGGTATGTAATATTATACCTAAAGAATGCACTTGTTTTGGGCACAGTGAAAGCAGTGACTAACATACTATAACAGTCGAAAGGCAAAGACCCATACACCTTCTACGATGGACCGCCATTTGCGACGGGCATGCCACATTATGGCCATCTCCTGGCCTCCACCATCAAGGATATTATCCCACGATACTGGTCCATGAACGGACGGTATGTCGAGCGCCGATTTGGTTGGGACACACACGGCGTGCCCATCGAATATGAAATTGACAAGGAGCTTGGAATGTCTGGTCGCGACGCCGTTAGGGAAATCGGTATTGCCAAGTACAACGAGAAGTGCCGGGCTATTGTCATGAGATATGCGACCGAGTGGAGGCACACGATCAACAGGCTGGGTCGCTGGATCGACTTCGACAACGACTACAAGACCATGAACACCAGCTTCATGGAGTCTGAATGGTGGGTGTTCAAGCAGCTCTACGAGAAGAACGCTGTCTACCGTGGCTTCAAGGTTATGCCTTACAGCACTGCGCTGGCCACACCGCTCAGCAACTTCGAAGCCTCGCAGAACTACAAGGACGTTCAAGATCCCGCTGTGGTCGTCACCTTCCCTCTTGTTGAGGACCCTAACACATGTCTGCTCGCTTGGACAACCACGCCATGGACTTTGCCCATGAACACTGGCCTCTGCGCACACCCCGACTTTGAGTATATCAAGATCCTCGACGAAGCCTCTGGCAAGCACTACATTCTCCTTGAAGCGCTGCTGCGAACGCTGTACAAGGACCCCAAGAAGGCGAAGTTCAAGATTGTGCAGAAGCTCAAGGGCAAGGACTTGCTTGGTTGGAAGTACGAGCCCCTGTTCGACTACCTGTATGATGAGTTCAAGGACTTCGGCTTCAAGGTGCTGAATGACGGATATGTCACAGCAGACAGCGGTGTGGGTATTGTCCACCAGGCACCCGCCTACGGAGAGGACGATTACCGAGTTGCTAAGGAGCACGGCGTCATCACCGAGGATCGACTGCCTCCCAACCCTGTTGACGATGCAGGCAAATATACCTCAGTAGTACGCGACTTCGAGGGCCAGCACGTCAAGACCGCGGATAAGGGCATCATCAAGATGTTGAAAGCCAATGGCAGACTTATCGTGGACTCCCAGCTTCTCCATAGCTACCCATTCTGCTGGCGATCTGACACACCTCTTATCTACCGAACCGTTCCATCATGGTTCATCAAGATCCAAGACATCAAGGAGAAGATGCTCAAGAACATTGAAGGATCGCACTGGGTGCCTTCGTTCGTCAAGGAAAAGCGATTCGCCAACTGGATCCAGAACTCACCAGATTGGGCTGTTTCGAGAAACCGTTTCTGGGGCACACCACTACCTCTATGGGTCAGCGATGACGGCAAGGAGGTTGTTTGTGTTGGCAGTGTGGAGGAGTTGAAGAAGCTCAGCGGCTACGAGGGCGAGCTTACTGACATTCATCGCGACAAGATCGACGACATCACCATCCCCAGCAAACAAGGCAAAGGCGTCCTGAGGAGGACACCCGAAGTTTTCGACTGCTGGTTCGAGTCCGGATCCATGCCATACGCAAGCGCACATTACCCCTTCGAGAATGTTGAGCAGTTCGAGAAGTCTTTCCCCGGTGACTTCATTGCAGAGGGTCTTGACCAAACCCGTGGATGGTTCTACACATTGACCGTTCTCGGAACCCATCTTTTCGGCAAGCTGCCATTCAAGAATTGCGTCGTTAACGGTATTGTGCTGGCAGAAGATGGCAAGAAGATGTCGAAGCGCCTGAAGAACTACCCCGACCCTCTCGGTGTCATGGAGAGTTATGGTTCGGACGCCCTGCGACTGTACCTTATCAACTCGCCTGTCGTTCGTGCCGAGACACTTCGCTTCAAGGAGGCAGGTGTCAAGGACATTGTCTCTAAGGTCCTCTTGCCGCTCTGGAATAGCTACCAGTTCTTTGACCAGCAGGTTGCTCTTCTGAAGAAGGTCGCTGATCTTCACTTCGAGTTTGACCCTGCTGCCGAGAAGACTAACACCAACGTTCTTGATCGCTGGATCTTGGCCTCGTGCCAGTCGCTGCTCAAGTTCGTCAATGCTGAGATGGCCGCATACCGACTGTACACCGTCGTCCCGCGTCTGCTTGAGGTAAGTCATGCAAGGCTCTATCACTGATGGCATTCTAACGTTTACAGCTCATTGATAACACCACCAACTGGTACATTCGATTCAACCGTCGCCGCCTCAAGGGCGAGTACGGTCTGGAGGACACAAAACACGCCCTCAACACCCTGTTCGAGGTTCTGTACACCCTCTGCCGAGGCCTCGCCCCCTTCACCCCATTCATCACCGACAACATCTATCTCCGCCTTCTCCCCCACATCCCTAAAGAGCTCCGCGCCGAGGACGACCGTAGCGTGCACTTCCTTCCATACCCCACAGTGCGCGAAGAGCTGTTCGACGAGGATGTCGAGCGCCAGGTCAAGCGCATGCAGTCAGTCATTGAGCTTGGCCGTATCTGTCGTGATCGCGCCAACAAGGGCTTGAAGACTCCTCTGAAGACACTGGTGGTCATCCACCCAGATCAGCAGTACCTTGACGACATCAAGTCGCTGCAGAACTACATCCTGGAGGAGCTGAACGTCCGCGATCTTGTGCTGTCGAGCGACGAGGAGAAGTACAACGTACAGTACACAGCGACTGCTGATTTCTCCATCCTGGGCAAGAAGCTCAAGAAGGATGCAGTCAAGGTCAAGAAGGCGCTGCCCAACCTTAAGAGCCAGGAGATCAAGGACTACATCAAGAACGGCGAGATCACCATCGAGGGCATCAAGCTGGAGGGTGAGGATCTACTTGTCAAGCGTGGTTTGGCGAAGGACGCCGATAGCAAGGACCAGGAGTTCAACACAGACAACGATGTTCTCATCATCCTGGACGTCGCCAGCTATCCCGAGCTTGAGCAGGAGGGTCTCGCACGTGAGGTCATCCGTCGTGTACAAGACTTGCGAAAGAAGGCCGGTCTTGTACCTACAGATGACGTTGGCATGGAGTACAAGATCTTGAGCGACCCCGAGAACGTCGGTCTGGAAGCAGCATTTGAGAACCAGGGCCCACTGTTTGAGAAGGCGCTGAGGAGGAATGTCGACAAGCACACTATCACCGAACTCGATGGCAAGATCCCCGAGAAGAACAATGACACAGTCATCGCCGAGGAGGAGCAGGAGATTCAGAAGGCCACCTTCTTGTTGCGTTTGATCAAGTTGTAAGGGTTTGATGGGTAGAAGTAGAGCATGTTCTGGCGCACGTTATGATATCACAAAAAGAGTAGATAGACGAAGGAATGAATCCATGAAGACTTCAACAATCGTATTGATCGTCCTCTAATGCAAGCCGTGATGGTACACTGCCTCATCGGCTTCGAGTGCTGCTTTGTGAGTACACTGCTTTGTGAACTTTGGATGCTGCTTTGCCACCAACTTCTATCACCGTGTTTTGTACGCCTTCTACTTACGTCATCAGCGCTTTTTCCCCTTGGCGAACATTGACAACTTACCAGATAGCACTCCTTCAATCTCATAAACTCCTTCGCACACATATCCTTGTGCACATTATTGTAATCTGCGAATATGCATTTGCCATACACAGCGCTCTGTATAACATCAGCATTTTCTGCCCACTCCATCCTCTTCAGCCCAACACACCTCTGGTGAGCATTTTCCCACCGCGGTAGCAAGTTTATCGATTGGTCTTGTGCGTCCTGGCATGTTGTTGTGTGGTGATGCAGGCGTCTCGGTGAGGTCAAGACCGATAGCAGGTGTAGGGACGCACGGACGGCTTGGCGATGAAAGCTAGCGGCGGCAGGTGCACGCGATCGAGGTGGTTGGTTGCGGGGATCAAGGCCAAACAAAGCGCGCCGACATTTGACGCGCATTGTTCCCTCTTCTTATACCTTTTGCACCTCACTTGATCTTGGTCGTTTTGAGCGCGCTTCACGTATCGCATTCTTCTTCTGCGTCTTATTCCTGGACGCAATCCCATCTTCACACACAGACGCTCATGTTGTCGCGAACGCGCCGCACTTTACGTCGCGAGCTCGAATGCCATCCCCCATGAACGGTAGCGGATACAACACGCCTGATCTACACAAAGATGATCTTTCTGATGAAGGTACCTGTCCCCCCTCCTCTCTTTCCCATTCAATCAGTACTACCATTACCAACTCTTCTGAATGCGCGCTCGCTAACCCTCACTCACAGCCATTGAACTCCTCTACACAATAATCCACCGCGCCTCCTCGTCGCCAGACCGCTCCTCACGCGCGCTCTTCAACGCCTACGAAGAAGTCCTCGAAGAACACGGCTTGCTGCCTAGCGATGACGCCGTGCTGCATAGGTTCTTGTTTCACATGCAGAAGGATCGATGGAGGGATGAGAGTCTAGTGGAGAGGTTTCATAGGGTGCTTGCGGATTTTGATATTGTCGTTGATGAGGACAGTGAGGAGGAGGGGGAGGGTACGAGGGATGTCAACTTTGGAGCTAGCAGTGGACGAACTGGGGGTGTTGCGAATGCCAGAGGCGCCGCGCATGCTGCGCTAGGTCATACCGAAAGATTGACAAGACGAGGAAGCTTCGAGAGCTTCTTCGATGGGACGGCGGACAAAGTCGCAGGCAGTGAAGTCAGAGAGGCATCGAGAAGCAAGAGGAGGGGCTCCCTGAGTCATGCGCCCAATGGAGTGCTGGCGAAGAGGCGTTCGACGTCAGATACAGAGGCGCTGAAGTCTCAGCAGGCCCAACTTCCAATTCGCACGCGAGCAAATGGTCAGGCGCACAGACGAGTCTCGTCTGGACAGTATCAGGGCCGTCAGAGGAACGCTTCGATCTCAAGTCGTGGAAGTTTGCGCATTCAACGAGATGTTAATACCTTGGCGTCGCAGCAGAGGGACTACGAGGGTACCGGTAGCGAGTATACCGGCCGAACGACCAGCTTGGACCTTTCACACGTGCAGGTCCCAGGAGTCAACGCGCCGATTCCTGAGGATCAATACGAGCAGTACGACCAACATGACTCTACGCATTACTACCAGCAATTCGTCCCAGAGCCATACCAGCCATCTGACACGCGTCTGATGGACGAAGCCGAGACCTTCGAGCACCAGCGCTTACACCGAGTAACTCGAGGCTGCATACAAGCCTGGCGCAACCGTACACGAGACCTTATTGAAAGACGATATGAGCAAGAAGCATTGGCTGAAGCGTTCGATCGCAGAATCTTGCTGAAATTGACCCTCGACCAGCTCCGCGACACAGCACGCGTGCGCCGCTCGAACCGCGAAACCGACCGCTTCTTCGGTCGTCTTGAGACGCGCGCAGACAAAGCTCGTAACCTATTCCTCCTTACAAAGGCTTTCACACACTGGGCGAGAAGTGCGGAGGACGAAGTACAACGTACGTCAGTTGCACGACGACATATACTGCGGACGCGCTTCTTCAACGGCTGGCGGGAGATCACGGCTGTCAATGAACTCAAGATCCAGCACTTTGTACTTGCGAAGTTTCTACAACAGTGGCGCGCACGCACAACGACTGTCCGGGAGAACGCACAGTTTGCAGTGGCGTTGTATGAGGAGAATCTAGGTCAGAAAATCTTCACGAGTTGGTTCTTCCAGTTCTGTGCAATTGCTGGGTCAGCTTGGCACAACGATCGCTTGAAAAGGAACATGCTGAAGAGATGGATCGAGATCGCTGGCGTGAGCACCCAAAGGAACGAATTGGCGACAAAGAAAAGCGACAATGTGATTTTGGGCAAGGTGTTGGCAAGCTGGAAGCAAAGTACGACAGCTGTGCAGAGTTTGGAGGCTCAAGCAGACGAATTCAAGCGAACGGTGCTGGTTGCTTCAGGTTTTCTCAACCTCCAGAAACATGCGCAGCTTGCGCCCATCTTGCGACGGGTTCAAACACGGATCGACGCCCGGCGAGTGCGAACTGCATTTCAGACGTGGCGACACACCGCACAGCTTTCACAAAGGGCTCGACAAGTGGACAGATTGCGCATCATGCGTAATGCCTACACGGCTTGGAACGATCGCCTTCGCATACAGGCTCTGGAGCAGCGGATCAATGATCGCGTACTCGTAGAGTGCTTGTACAAATGGACGCTCGCATCAAGAGTCTCGCTCTTCCAACGCGTCCACGATCGGCAGATCAAGGAGTCTACGTTCCTCATCTGGGTCACGAAGACAAATCAGCGCTCAAACACCCTCGATGCTGCTGAGAAACGCTTTGCAAACTTCAAGCAGGCGCAGCTTCTGCGCACATGCTTCAAGAAGATGGAGGTGGACGCGGCCGAGAAGAGGCGTGAGGAGTGCGCTGTGACCGCTGAGTACGACCTGAAGCTGAAGCAGCGTATCTTCGAGAAACTCAAGGAAAGACTCGAGCACTTTCAGCAGCTGAAGCAGTGGTCAGACGACGCTCGGTTCTACGTTCTTGGTACACGGACACTGAGAAAGTGGAACAACGCGACGCAGCAAACACGCAGAAATCGAAGACGCGACACGTATGCGCAGGTGCGAAGAACGGTCAAGACGAACCTCGTGCACAGACTATTCGAGACCTGGCGAGAGAAGGCTAGTAGGATCGCAGAGCAGAATCAACAAGCGGCTTTCATGTTGGAGAACCGCACCCTGCGTACCACTGGGGCATTCCTGCATGACTGGCACGACCGCACCCTTGCCATACAGCAGCTGGACACACAGGCCTCCAACGTCTACGCTTTCAAGCTCGGCTCGAAGCATGTGCACATCTGGGTACAGCGTTTAGACACACTGCAGTCTATGGAATCACAGGCCGCTACGCTTCGGCAGGAAAGCACCGAGATCGCAGCAGCAGGAGCGTTCAAGCGCCTTGGCTGGCGCCTCTGGAATGTGCATCGACAAGAAGAGACAGCTAGGGCTTTGTTCGAGCGCAACTTCGAAAAGCACGTTCGCGCCATGTTGCGATTCTGGCATGAGCAGACTACCGAGCGCCTCGCCAATCGTCCTGTATCGCCTACGCCTACAAAAAGTTCAAGAGGTGGACGAAGGAGTCCAGACGATGATCGGGACCGACTCAATGATGAGGATGGAGATGTCGACGACGATGATGAGATGAACCTCGACATCGTCGGTGATGAGACGCGCCGCCTCGAAGCATGGACGGCTTTCGACGCTTCCGCGCTCGGTCTGAACAACGATCTCGACCTCTCGCTCTCCATCACACCAGAACGTCAGCGCGCGACAACATACCCATTACCTCCGCCGGCATCGTCACGCCCATCGACTTCACAACCACGTACGTTTCCACAGCCACAGTCCGCACTCAGACCTCCGCCTGCCCCTGAGCCTGTGTCGCCAGATCTCGGGTTCGCCGAAGACGAACCAAGTACTTTCTGGGCCGGCACACCCGCCTACCCACCACCCACAAACAGCAAATCACTCAGAGGCGCAGGCTACCTCAAGACACCGAGCAAACGCGCAGTCGTGCGTGCTAAGAGACCAGAACTACCTTCTAGCCCTGAGAAGCGAGTTGCGAGGTTAGGTGCAATGAGTGCACCCCCTGTGCAGATGACGAGGGATTTTAGTATGGCTGGAGGAGGTGGAGGTGGTGCTGTAGGGGGTGTCACGAGTTTCCAGAGGAGGTTGAGGGACGGAGGATTTGGTGCGAGTGTTGGTCCATCAGGAGGAGTGCCGAATAGTGCGATGAAAGGCAGTAGAGGGAGGGCGGCGAGGGGGAGAGGAAGAGTGGGGTTTGGGGATGTTAGTCAGTTTGGATAGGCCGAGCGCTCAAGGACGGTGTTGTTGAAACGTTGTATACCCATCGTTCACTGCAAGACCAATTCAAGTTATGACTTTCTAGCCCTCAGCGACTCTGCACGTTGAAACGGTAAGGCTTCTCTCTACTATGTGTAGCTGTGACTAATCACATCAAAGACAGGCAGCCACGATGCACGATCCTTGTCTTCACGTGGTACTTTAGCTCTGGGCAATACATTTCCATCACAGCCATCACATTCACCGTCCGCCGGTATATCGACATCGACTAACGTCAAATATCTGTATCCCGTAGCTTGATACGGCTAGCTACTCCGCAATCGCACCACAGGTTTATACACCGTCCACATCCCATCGCGTGCAACTCTGTGCCCGCGATTGCACCTACGGCAAGCCAATCACAGCGTGGAGTTGGGTGCGGTTGGTGAAATTGATCGACCATAGTCTTCGCTTGCCGACACTGTATTCGGTCCTGGTACCCTCCGGTACAATATCAGCTGATGGGTCGCTCTCCGCGCCATACATCTACCAGGATCTGGGATCGTCGAGTACCATCCGGATTCTGATACTTGTGCCCGGCAGTGGCAATGACCCTCAAGAGGGAGAATTGCGTCACATAGACATTGGAGATGCATATCGTGGACCGCCTCGTGACTACGTTGACGGAGGTGGAATCCGCGTTATCATCACTGGATCTACTATGGCAACGAAAAATGTCCAGAATACAAAGCACTGTCCTATGTATGGGGCAAACAAGTGAAGGGCTTTCATCCCATGGGTACGCCCGACGGAACAACTATACGTTTGACCCCAAATCTTCCTATCGCGTTGCGGCGCATACGACTTTGACACCAGCCTCGAGCAGTTTGGGCCGATGTGGTCTGTATCAATCAGCAGATTGTACACGAGCGTGGCCATCGAATGCGGCTCATGGGTATTATCTACAAAAAGGCTTGGCAGGTTCTTCCCTAGCTAGGCTATGAGGCTTCTGAGAGCGCGATGGAGCTCTCTCAATGGCTGGCGGGGTTCTACCCCGACTGTTACCGATCCATGGACTACGAAAAGGACAAAAAGTTGAGTCCTGACGGGAAAGAACACTATCAAGACATCATGCACGACCCATTCAACGCCGAACCGTTTACTCGATGCTGGGTCGTCAAAGAGTTGTTCTTGTCAGCCAGGTCGTGTTCTTGTGGGGTGATACGAAATTGCCCTTTGTATTCATCCGAAACGCCTACAACAACTACAGCAATTATGACTACGCAAAACACCCACACCCAGCATGACTGAAGCTGTGTTGGGAGACCAGAGGCGACACTTGGAAACTGTTCCCGTCAATGAAGAGCGGGCGACGTTGTCGTTGTCAAGACGACCGCGACCGGGTATTTGCTCTTCTGGCACTCATAAAGAACCCCATACCTGGCTTAGAACCAGTTTACACAAAACCTGCCGCAGATTTATTCGCGAGTTTGGTGCATGCATTTACTATTCGTCATGGGTTTCGACCCTTATATGACGCTCACCGCTATGCCTCCTGGGATCCTTTGACTGCGGTCATGCCGTCCTGGGCACTGGACTGAGGTCTAACTCTGCCCGTGCCACTTCTGTCATCTGTCACAACGCAGTCGCCCTTCATCCCAGAAGTCAAATTTCGAACGCTCACGTTGACAGGTTGCATCTTCGACAGAGTAGCTAGATCGGACGCCTTGTTCTGCATTACAGACTTCTGGCTGAACCATATCATGCCGATGTCCCAAGGCGAGGACCATCCATTACTGCGAGATGCTCGTTTCTTGGAGGCCCTATGTGGCAGTCCCAACTTATTCAGTGGGACTGTAGATGCACTTTCCGCTTGGCTTAGATGTAATGAGTACGAAAACACCGGGGCAGAACGTATTCCGGAAACACCGAACACGTTGGCCGTCCTGCTCGACGCTCTGGAGAGGGCTATTGCTGAGCGGACACGATCTTCCCCTTGTGCTGCGCGCTTTCGAAGATCATTACCATTTTTTTAGGTATGCGTATGCGTCGACTACGGAGCCTCGTCCGGCATGGAAACATACGGAATCCCCTAGGCTGCGCGTCCGATGGGCGAAGCAGCAGATCTCTGAAGTCTTTCGGATAAGTTGAACCGTTTGTAGCGTTGGAGGTCCACTGATCGAAGCCTCTCCGGCAACGCATTATATGGCTGCTTGCCTGGAGCATAACGAACATACATGAACCTGGGAGAGTCAAGGGGAAATGGACGAGACTTTGGAGTTGTTCAAAAATCACCTCGCAGCATCATCAGATGTGACATCTTCATTATTCTCGATGTACTAGGGAGTTGCTGGCACCTTCTGGGGTTCCACAAAATTCTGGAGACTATGGGATACGTGCGCAGACACCAAACTGAACCGCACTACACCAGGAGCGCTGAGCAGGTTTATCACGCCGTAGCTCTAGCTGATGTCACTGATTGGGATATCGCTAAGGACAGCAGTCCAGAGCTCTACAACTGGTCACCGTACACATTATAAGGTGTCGATCACCCTGACGGATGGGATCCTCTGACATCCGAAGCTTCTTCGTGGTTGCCCAATTGGGGTGCAAACCTTGGAAACTTCCAGTGCTCCTACTCCTTGGTCCAAACTTCGTGGCTGCGCCTATAGCATTCCACAGCAAGGAACCCTGCAAAGTGTCATAGTTCAAAGCCGCATATTCGATACCATCGCCTTCATCACGAAAACTGATGTTCCCGCAGCAGACTTGAGGACACGCTACAGTACGTGTCGGCTTTCTAGAACGATCATGTTGAACTTTGACGGATGTTCTTGCCGTTTTTTCAAAAAGATGTTTCCAACTATCGCCTCCTCAGGGCTTTGAGCTGCGTCGATAGGGACTAGTTTTGGCTCTCGAGGAATGGACAGGCGAGAAGGAAACACGACGATATTGCAAAAGAGTCCTCCACGTTTGGGCGTGGGTGGACACAACTTCTCTATTTCCTGCTGCTAGAACGGAGATACAGGCTATGCTGCGCTCGCTTCGCGACGACAAGAATTTTCTCATATGGGAGTCTGGGGCGCTCCGAGCATCAACTCAAATCTACAACGGACTACGTAAAAAATGGGAAGCTCACAGACTTTCCACAACATCTAAAGATCATTTTGGTCTTGGTCCGGGAGCCTCGAGGCCTGGCGACATCATTATCAATATAGCAGGCTTCAGGTTACCTGTCGTCTTGCGGCCACATAGTGACTACTGGCTCTTTGTTGTTTATTGCTACAGATTTGGTGTCCAGCATATGTTTTACAACGATCCCGGAACTAGCCATTGGCAAAGCAGCTCCTTCGACATATGGTGAGCAGGATTGCGCTCGCATGCGGCTGAGAGGATTATGATTATGTGGGGCCGGCTTGCAGCTGGCTTGAGCAGAAACATCGAACCTTCTAACGAGCACCTTGCTGCAAGATGAGATCACGTCAAGTACCATATGTAAGTACGGTCCGAGATGAGTTGTGGTATATGGGCTAATGAGACAATTTAGCCATATTAGCTTCGGCTCCACGTTGCTGCACCTTGACGCAGTGACACGTGAGATCACGAACAACAAATGCCGGATTCCGGACCGCGAACGCAGAGGTACAATATCCATGTATGAATCACTGGATGCTTGTCGCACATCCCAATGACCCGGCCGATCGACATCTCTTGGCGTGTTTGGTAGTTGAGGTGAGCCTCATATCAGACGGCGATAACTGTCGCGCTAAGTCCAAAACAAATCAATGGTTGCTCACAATTGTCGATCTTACGATGACCTGGGAGGCTTATCTTGGTTCCCGTCACCAATGATTACGGGCGGTCGTGGCGTCTCCACCAAAAGAACATTTGAGACCGTAGTGTGGCTGTAACATGGCGGTATGCACAATGTCGTTACCGGTATCTCATATATTGCTCTGACAGAGTGCATCCTGCTCGCCTCCGGCCTAGGGTCAGCACAGACTGCCGTACGCTCATGTCACGCCGATACTTCACGATTGCCTCGATGCCTTGGTAATTCTTGCCCTTCACATGAGATCCTTCTGCTTGCTGCATCTGGATGTAGAAGCTGCTCATCAACCTCCCGTCATTGCAGCCCAAGTGGCTGGTCTTGGCTTGCTCCTCCGACATTGAATAAAGCTACCCTCCGACAATGCATAGAAGTGTTCAACAATCTGCATCACCCTTGTCGCATCCTCAGTCAGCATCTTTATCTCGACCTGCTAGAGCCAGACTGGCACCATGTCGAACTCTCAACAAGTCCACTCGGTCAGCGGCCAAAGCCAAGAATCTCTTGACGACGCCGAGAAGGGCATATACGATAGCACACTGGTATTGACGGCACCTCCTCCATTTGTCTATACAAGCCAAGGACGATCGACACATCCCAGCCTTCTATTATCACCTGTATCGCCAGTTCACGAAGGAATCACACCCTGCACAAGCGTACCAGAGCTAGCACTTTCAAAACCATCGAAGAGCGAAGTTAGTCATGTTGAGGTGGTTGAAGAACCTGTCAAGAAACCAGCACCAATAAAACCAAAGATCAGTCGGTGGATACTGTTTGAGCTATGGTTCAACGTATACCGGAGATTCTTCACCTTTGTTATTCTGTTCAATTTCGTTGGCATCGTCTTGGCTGCGACTGGTCGATTCAAGTATGCAGAGAACCACCTCGGTGCGTTGGTTTTGGGTAACCTCCTGTGCGCTATCCTGATGCGCAACGAGCTCTTCGTTCGCTTCCTGTATATGTTAGCCATATATGGGCTTCGAAGTGTACGTTTCCCCGTACTTCGCCTCCAACATTTGCTAACAACCATCCTCAGTGGGCTCCATTGCGTGTCAAGCTAGCAGTAAATTCTGTGTTGCAGCATCTAGGAGGTGTTCACTCGGGTTGTGCACTTTCCGGCGCAGCGTAGGTCGACCGAAAGAAGCGAAGATCAGCAAGCTGACACCTTGACAGTTGGCTGGTATACAAGATCGTCGACATAATACGATACCGAGCTGTCCAGCATCCGGCTGTTATTGCAAGTGGTATTGTCACAAATATTTTCATCATCATCTCTGTTTTGAGTGCCTTTCCGTGGGTGCGCAAGTAAGTAATGGACGGCTGTATTTCATGAACAGGGTCTAACGTCGCGATTAGTACCTATCATAATGCCTTTGAGAAACATCATAGGTTCATTGGGTGGCTGGGACTTGCTGTACGTACCTAGTGGTTAATTGGGACCTTGATGCTGACTACTTTGACCAGATGACCTGGGTTTTCGTGATCATGGGTAACACTTATGACATCAAACGCGGCGAGTGGAGAACAGACACCCATTCCCTACTCAGTGCACAAGAACTATGGTTCGCTGTCTTCATGACAGTCTTGTATGTCTCTTCTATCACCAGCAGGATTCTTGCTAATCGATTACAGTGTCCTCATCCCTTGGGTAACTCTGCGTGAAGTCCCGGTCGAAGTGGAAATTCCGTCACCAAAAGTGGCAGTTCTCAAGTTCGAGCGCGGCATGCAGCAAGGTCTTCTAGGGCGCATTAGTCGCACTTCGATCATGGAGTATCACGCCTTTGGGATCATCAGCGAGGGTCGAAAAGCTACGCACCACTACATGATCTGCGGTGTGCAAGGCGACTTCACAAGGAATCTCGTTGCCAACCCCCCGAAGACTGTCTGGACAAGGCAATTGAAGTTCGGTACGTGGTCACTTTTCTCCCTTGTATCCATCCTTTACTGACATGCCCTAGCTGGCGTCGGCCACGCCTCCGCCATGTACAAGCGCGGTATCCGCATCTGCACAGGAACTGGAATCGGCGCTGCACTCTCAACATGCATTCAAAGTTCCGACTGGTTCTTAATCTGGATCGGCTCTGACCAAGAACGTACATTCGGACCTACCATTACAGGGCTGATCAAGAAGCACATTGAGCCCGAAAGGATGATCTTGTGGGACTCGAAGAAGAGAGGTGGAAGACCAGATAGTGTGCAGCTGTTGAAGGATACTTGGAAGAGCTTTGGGGCTGAGGTCATCTTCATCACAAGTAATATGCAGGGTAATGATGAGATGATGCAGGGGTGCCGGGCGGCGGGTTTGCACGCGTTTGGGACATTGTGGGATTTCTGAGCAGATGACAGAGTTGAGTGATGCAAGCAAAGGAATCAGACTTGGGCGTTCTGGATATTATGGTTTTCTGCCTTGTTGGTCGGAGCATACAAGACGAGAACGTAGACAGGTTTAGATGTGTGCAGTATATGGTGCAAGCAAACTCAGTTGGTACAGTTAGTAACTCCTGTGTCGTCTCTGTTCTCTTGACGATCGTTCAACGAGTGTACTCGATGTCAAGCACTACTTTGGGCGTCCCCTCAAAATCCTCAGGTACGACATATGAGATGTTATAGAACAAATGGTTTCTCAACGCCTTCCCATACGTCACAGGCTGAGCCTCTAATCCCGCCGCATCAACTTTGATTTCCACACACGGCAGCTCTCCATCCAACCCGGTGATCGTATGCCCTCCCAATGTCCAGCTCGGCGGCACATTGCTCAACGCAAACGTGAAGATATCACTTCCCTCTTGCGTTCCGTTCGGATAGCTCACCGTCAATCTGTTCGGCTCCGCAACAGCATGGATACTGCTAGCACTTGGATACAGAGAGAAGAACGTGCTCAGCGGAAACGGCTTATGGCTCTGATCACCAGCCCAATGCACAATAGCAGGCACAAACTGATCGCCCCTGTTTATCTGCTCATCTAGTTTCTGCCCTCCGATCATGAGTTCGCGGCTCATCCATGATGTTGCGATGCGCGAGTGTTTGCCCTCAAGGTCGTCGTAGATGGTTTTGTTAAGGTGGCGAGGTGAACCGGTGAATGTGCCCTTCAGCTTCTCTTCAACATCTGCCGGGATGATGGACTTGACAGTGTCGATTATGAGAGCAATGGCTGCGCCCTGAGCGATGTCGAAGAGTAGGTCGCTCTCGAGTTTTGGTGGTTGGGGACCGTACTGGTGGCCAAACATACCCCAGAAGAACATCGAGACGATTGATGAGTGCTGCACTATGTCTCGTGTGTAGGCACGGTCGTAAGGTCCTACCATCTGGCCGAGGTAACCGTTGTAGTGCTCCTCAAGATCGCGCCAGAGTTCCTCGAGGATGATCTTCGCGTTGGTGGTGAATGTCTGATCTTTTGGTCCGTACTTCAGCTGCGCACCTAGTGCCCACGAATCGATGCCGTAGTATGTCGGCGCATTATATTCTGACAGGATGTTTGCACCGTTGAGCTGGAAGAGTTGCAGTAGTTTCGTGCCTTGGTCGTTCGCAAAGTCAATAAACGTCGAATTGTTCCGGCGAGCGCCGATCCAGCCTACTAACAGAGCACGCATCATCCCAGGGTTGCTGTAGCCCAGCGTGAGGTTATCATCTTGAGGAAAGGTACCGTTGCGGCGCATGCCGCCTACTGCGGCGATTTCGAGGGAGTCTTCGATTCGAGAGACCAGATCAGAGCCGATGAGATGGCCAAACTCTTCGACGACCTGGATCAACTGGGTACCGACGAACTCGCGCCAATTTGGGTCATAAGTGTCGTAAATCTAAAAAGGTTTAGCTATTACTAGATCATTCTTTGGTTAACCCTAACCTTGGGTGGGTACAAAGTCGAGTTCGGCGTTGGATCAGGCTGGTCAGGCGACAGCTTGTAGGTCCCATACCAGGCAGCATCGAAGTCGCTCGTCATTTGGACGGAAATAATATTCTCAATTGCAGCCTTTGCGTGTTCAAGATCATCTCCTTCGTTTCGATGCAGCAGACCCGCCAGGTACCAGGCCGTGAACCGAACAGACCATGACCCTTTGTCGCTGTACGCTATGTAGTTGTAGGACGCATCATATCGGTTATCTTGTACGAACATGGAATGATCGAACAGACTTTGTGCTTCTAAAGCATCGTTAGCTACCATTGCTACCGCTTGCTGGATTGCACTTGCCTGCCGTCAGAACTGTCTTCCTGTTGCCAATTGCAGTCGCGACTACTTGGGCGGCGAAGCCCGCAACAAGGACGTTAGTTTTCATGTTGACTCTCGCGACTACATCTCCGATCCTGCTGGGATAGGCCTACGTTAAGTAGTCCCGCCGGAAAACGTCTCGCGTGAAGCGAACTGATCACCAGGTTTCGGTACATCGTAAACCGACAGGCATTCCGTCCAAACTACTTCAAGCAGGTATTCTGCGTCTACAGGCTATCGTGAGTGCAATGCCGAAGCTTTTCCGCATGGGATGCGGAAGAATTGAAGGGCGGAGATTTAGTGCGTGCGTAGGTGGCGCTTCCCCGCGCATTGCGAGTCATGCTTCTTTCACTCTGTTCTTCGAGGTTATTTATCTGCGAGTTGGCCGTGTGACTTTCACGACCCTTTGGATCGATGCATGAGGAGGCTGAAGGAGGGTGTGCATGCTCGGCCAAATGATGACTCAGGATGCCCCACCTTTCAGGAAGTCCTCTACTACCAACACACCTCATTGATTCAACACTCGAAACTCGCGAAAATGGAAGGCTTCCTCAAGCTTGAATCAGAAAGCGGAAGCGACCAAGCTATGCTGACTCGGCTGCGCAAGGCGAGGTGGTATGCATTCGACTTAGATGACACCCTGCACAGTTTTCGCAAAGCGTCTGGGACCGCCGTCAAAGCAGTGCTACGAGTCCTCCACGAACAAAGTGGAAACGCTCTGGAAGATTTAGAAGCAGAGTACAGGCGTATACTCGCACAGGGAACAGCATCAGCATTCGTTGATGGCAAAACTTCACATCAGTATCGCGAAGATCGATTCCAGCAACTCGTGCGAAATTTTGATATCAAGCTGAACGACGGACAGATGCCAGTTCTTCTAGACCATTATGAGGAGGTCTTGGAAGATAGCCTGGAGTTAAAGGCGGGTGTGTTGGACCTTCTACAGACGCTCAAGCGCTATGGCCACAAGATCGCGATCATCACGGAAGGACCCCAGGACGCGCAGGAACGAACGGTTGAAGCACTAGGCCTGACGCCTTACATTGACTATCTGGCTACCACGAACAAACTGAGGGTGGCGAAAACCAACGGATTGTTTGCCAAGGTGCTGGAGCATTTGAAGCTCGAGCCGAAAGACATGATCATGACTGGCGACAGTTGGGAAAGAGACATTGTGCCAGCAACACAAGCAGGCATGTACTGCGTCCACTACTCAGAGAAAGTGCCGCAATCTGACAACATGGACGGATATATGAGAATCAGTGAATTGAAAAGGCTTCGGATGCTAATCGAGAACGCTCATCCATGGTTATTTTAGGAGCATAGTCCTGCCAAATTGAATGCAATACAATACAAACGAAAGATAGGTCATATCAGGGCTTTATTCCCAGAACCGGTCAATGATCTCCTTCGGCAAGGCACCGTGAGAGCTCTTCGCTTCATGGATCTGCAGTGGAGCGCTCTTCTCCGTCATGACCAGCACCGCCGCTCCCTTGCTCGTCTTCTCCACAGTAATCCGCCTCAGCTCATTCAAAAACCATGCAAGCCTGAGCAGATGCTTCTGGCTCTTGACCTCCCACTACTTGAAATCACTTTGCTTCAGACGAATGACATCCGCAGCCTCAATCAGACCTTTCGAATGCTCTTTGTGTTTCGCACAGCAAAGATAGGGTGTTCGCCCGAATCACAATTGCTCAAAAGCTGCAGCCTTACTGCCACCGCTCTTGAGTTCTAAGGTCTTGTTGTGCAGGAACGTCATACTTTGTGCGAGAGCAACTGTGGGGCGAGGGCTGTAGTGTTTGATAGTTGTGGGTGTTGTGGTGTGAAGCACGTTGCGGAAAAACTCGTTCGGCAACTCGTCATCTTCTTCACCATCAGCATAATACCCACCTGCCTCGATGCACACACGTTCTTCGTCATCCAAGGGTCCTTTATTTCTGGTGCGGCGGTAAGACGAGCTCTTTCTACTCTTCCTCATCTTCATCCGTTGGTAATGATTCGAGTTTCTTGGATCCATACATTTCGCAAGATATTGAGGAAATCGTCCAGCTTTACAGTGCCAACCGCGAAGCAGCCGACTCGCGTATACAACTTCTAGTCACCATGCTTTTTCACGATGAGGATGCCGTGTACTTCTAACCACGGCGCGTCTGATGTCCCTTCCGGATCCAATCATCAGTCATCGGGACTTTCTCGTCTCTCCGCCAAGTCTTTATAAGCTATAGGTATACGAAGCCGCCACTCTTTTCTAGTTGCATTAGGATAGTCGAAGCACGATTTGGTCGTCACATCAGAGTCTTCTAGGTCTGGACTGTCCAAAGAGTCGTTTGTCCTGCTGCCTCTTCACTCTCTTGATGTATAGAACACAGAAGGGTGTTCTTCAAAAGTCAGGAGGGGCGAGAGAAGTGTGAGAGACCCAGACTTGACCTCACCGAATTTGTTTCTGCCTGGGACCACCAGCCGCGTGTATCAAGTCCAGAGATGGGAGCAAATGCAGCGATGCGTAGATTGTCTAAAATTCCACGACGGTGCGAGGTACTTCTCAGGTCTTTGCTGATCGATCTTCCAGGGACCTGCCGCCTCACGAGCTCTAAAGCGATATCGTACGCAGCGGTACCATAGTAAATTACGAAGGAGGTCGGGATTCCAGACTCCAGCGAGATATTCATCTGCAGTCGCTTACGCCACTCGAGAAGCCAAAGCGGACACTGCCGGTAGCTTGTCTGAACTGTACGAGATGGCTCGTGCCGCATAGTTGTGGACCATTCGACAGGCGTATGTGATTTATGAGTAGGAGTGTAAATGTCATCGCGAGGCTGGTGAGAGTGAATCGCGTCTGCATAAGCGGAAAGGCTAGACTCTGATTGGACGGCCGATCTCGGCCGCCGAAAACAGAAACCTCAAATTCCTCTCACAAAAAGCCCAGAAGAACACGTGCCGCGTCTCAATCGCAGTTATATCTCGTTAGACATGATTACACGCTCAGTACGCATCAGCACAAGAAGCTTCTCTACATCATCGCTCTCGATCGTGGGTCGACAAGCGCAAGCACCGCTCCAAGCTTTCCGGAACCGGCAAAACACCGTTCATAAAATTTCAGTGCCGCAACAGTCATCACAATTCGCTCGCCGCCAGATCTCAACATCGCCCGTAGGACTCCAGAAACTCGGCTCTCGCGAACCAGAAGGGATCTCAACATCCAAGAAAATGGCCGGCTCCGATCACTTCCTTACGTTGTCCTGCCCGGATAAGGCAGGTATCGTGTACGCTGTCACGGGCCTGCTTGCGAAGGAGAACCTCACCATTCTCGACCTGCAGCAATTCTCCGACCCGGCTTCGAAGAATTTCTTCATGCGCGTGCACTTTGGTCACGCGACTGAGCTCTCCGCTCTGCAAAAGTCAATGACAGATCTCGCAAAGGAAATGAGCATGACCTACGACATCCGCTCCGTAGACACCAAGCCCAAGGTCCTGATCATGGTATCGAAGATCGGGCATTGTCTGAACGACCTCCTCTTCCGCGTCAAGTCCGGACAGTTAAAGATTGAAGTCCCAGTCATCGTCTCAAACCACCCTGAATTCAAAGACATGGCTGAGTCCCACGGAATCGAGTTCCACCACCTCCCCGTAACCAAGGACACCAAGGTGCAGCAGGAGAGCCAGATTCTGGAGCTCATCAAGCAGCACAACATCGACCTGGTCGTTCTGGCGAGATACATGCAGGTCCTGTCTCCTCGCCTGTGCACCGAGATGTCTGGCAAGATCATCAACATTCACCACTCTTTCTTGCCGTCTTTCAAGGGCGCGAAGCCTTACCATCAGGCGTATGAGCGTGGTGTGAAGATCATTGGTGCGACTGCGCACTTTGTGACTGCAGATTTGGATGAGGGCCCGATCATTGAGCAGCGTATTGCGCGTGTCGACCACGCGCTGAGCCCGAACGAGTTGGTTGTTGAGGGCAGCAACGTTGAGAGCCAGGTGCTTGCTGCTGCCGTTAAGTGGTGGAGCGAGAAGCGTGTCTTTTTGAACGGTGCCAAGACTGTTGTGTTTAACTAGACGTCTTTGTAGAATCCGTATATGGAAAATGGCGCGCAAGCGACATATAATAGACACAAATGTGACCAATAGAGGAGTGTAGCTGTCGTATATTGCTTTGGTTGTCTGACTGCTGATAAGGTAAAATCGGTCTCGGCACCCGGCAAATGTGCACCGTCTCGAGGCACACGGCCACGAGGCCGCCATGCATCGCAAAGCTCGTCACGACACATTGTGAACCACAGCTGTCCAATATGGTGTGCACCATGGGGAAAGATGTGGGGTGTGGAGAGTTCACGAAAGCATAAAGATGACCAGAAGCAGACACAAAGTCCTGTATCTTCGACAGCTTCTATTGCCTACGCTTCGCACTACCCAACACCATAATTCTAGCAAGGCCCTATTGACCTCCAAGCATAACCGTAAACTCAGTCATAATTTCTGTAACATGACATCAGCAGCAGCCAAGATGAACGCAGTGCCCGAGTCAGGGCCAGTCAAGACGGTCCAGCTGAAAGACAAGATTATCGCCATCACAGGCGCAAACAGAGGTATGCACTTGTTTGCAGATTCAATGTTCCTCCTATATAGCCCTCACAGTCATACGCCTGCCATTTTCTTTGAAGTCTCACCTGAACAAGAGCAACCCTGACAACTTCCAGGCATCGGACTCGGCATAGCAGACTGCTGCCTCGCCAATGGCGCCTCAAAAATCTACTCCATCGACATCGGCTCTACAGGCGACGAATTCGCCGCCATCTCTGCGAAATACCCCGGCCAAATCTTCGCCATCCAAGCCGACGTCACGAAAGAAGAGTCCATCCAAGCAGCCGTCGATAAAATTCTGGAAGAAGCAGGCGGTCTCCACGGCATGGTCGCTAACGCAGGTCGTACAAAGCACAAGCCCGCTTTGGATTTTACGACTGAGGAGATTGATCAGCTGTGGGGTGTAAACCTGTATGGCTCTTTTTACACCGCTCGATGCGCGGCGAGGGCGTTCATCAAGCAGGGTGTAAAGGGCTCGGTTGTTTTCACTGCATCGATGGCTTCACATCGTCCTAACAAGGTACTTCCTCACCTCTCTCTCCTCCCCGCTTCTTCCCGTCCCCTAAGAACTACCCAACTAACAACTCCCAGCGCGTCCCCTCAGCGCCCTACGGCGCCTCCAAAGCCGGTGTGAAAAACATGACGCACACGCTCGCCATGGAATGGGCACAATACGGGATCCGTGTGAACTCCGTTTCGCCTGGGTTGGTGAAGACGGCGATGACGTACTGGGTGGAGCAGCAGCCGGACTGGGAGCAGCAGCTGAAGTACTACGGGGGTATTCCAAGGTTGGCCGAGGTGGAGGAGCTGGGTGGCGCGTATGTGTATCTTTTGAGTGATGCGGCGAGTTATACGACGAGTATTGATGTGCCTGTCAATGGGGTTATTGGGATTTGTTAGTCAGTTTATTTCAGGGCTTTGGAGAAAAGCAGAGGTTTGTCAAGAGGAATATTAAAGTGGATTCGCTATTAATACTGAAATAGACCGGAGCCTCAAGTTTTGGCTTCTTCCTCAATAACTTTTAGACCTTGAATCCGCCGCCTGAGGCCTGCATACGGTACGCCTCGCCTGATCGGCGCGACTTCTGACGCCACTCCAAATGCGCAATGTTGGAAGCCTTCTGTGCCCATGGACTCATTCTCGCTACCTTCGCTCAAGACTCCGAACTTCAATCGCGTATGCATGAGCTCCATAGGGAAGGGATCGTTACCCAGACAAGCGCCGCGGCTGATGTCGTCCAATGTCGTATTTCGAGTGGTGACTAGTATACGAGAGAAGCCAGTGGAGAAGGTTGTCCCATCTTCCCAGATCGTGAAGACTCCGAATAGTAGAATGATAAGTGTCACAAAAATGACAGGCGCATAGCACATCCATAGCCGTTTCGGTACATAAACGAACGACGACTGCCACTGCGTGCGAGTAAGCTCTACATCCTGATCCTCAACGACAAGCATTTCTGGCGCGGAGTACAGCGAAAGCACCAAGTCGGCGAAGAAGCCTTCCAAAACCTTGCCAAAATCCTTCTTTGGTAGACTCTCGACGTCAACCAAGCGGGTCTTAGTCACATCTGAGGACACGACCGCGTATGAAGGACCAGGCAGGGGAGGTTCCAATTCGACATGGCCGCCGAGGAAACCGCGGAGCACTTCGCCCATAGCGTGGTAAGCTGCTATCTTCTTGTACAATCCGACGTCAGGAAGAGGTCTGATGAAGTTCTCAGCTGGCACTGGGTCCGCTGCATAATTGAGCGTTCCATTCTCGTTCCGTGTGAAGGTGGTGTCTAGAACCGGGCCCAGAAAGTCGAGCGTTGTCATCTCCATGAAGAACGACCCGGTGAAGTTCCATCTCACTGTGTATTTGGCTTCATTCATGACACATCGGATGATTCGTGGGTCATAACGATGTGTCCAGTTCTTACTAAAAGGCGAATCCGAGGGCAGTCGTTCCGTTGAGTTGATCGAGTATCCAATCCATAGCACCGGCTCTGCTTTGAAAACTCCGAGATCAGCTGGAGCCTCGCCCACCGGGAGGCCTCCTGGACCTTTCTGAAAGTTCTCCATCTGGGGCTGTTTGTAGTCGCCGAGCTTTACTTCGGCCTGATAAATGTTGCGGCCCTCGGGCAATAGTGATGATGTATTGAAAGGAGCACCAAGTTCAGCTAGCCTACTGTTATCGCCGATACCATCTGCAGCCAGGTCACACTTGTAAGCTGGAGCGATAAAACTCTGTGTGAAGGTGCAATTGTATGGCCCCCCTGCCTGAGGTTTCCCACAGACGTACTGTCGTGCACCTAGTCTGTGCGTTGAGTGGTTCATTAGATTGTACCCAAACAGCAAAGCAACCCGCCTGAGCTCAGCAGAAGGTTGATCGTAATAGTCAAACCAGTTGGGAGTGGTGGGATCCTGAGACTTGTCGGTCGTATTGTAGTACATGAGTGATCTCTTGTTTCCACCCTTCGGTAGTAGTTCGTCGTCGATGGCGTTGTACGGTATTGGGTGCCGCCAATCCTTGGTTGTCTCCTGCATAAAGTTGATATGAGGAACGCTCCGATTGATGGCGTTTGTGTCCAGATAGTCGCCAAAAGTTAGCGCACCGGGCGAGAAGATGATAGTTGCAAGCGGTATCAACCAGAAAACAGTAGCGATGGCTACAGCCATCGGCGCATTCGAGACTATTTCCCAATTGGCGAAGAGCGATGGATCATCCGTAGCGCCAAAAAGCTGATCAATCGATAGCACAGACAATGCTCGCTTCCGAAACGTTCTCCAGATGCGTTGGCGAAAGACAAGTACGACACATCCACCAAAGGCTACTTTGGATAAGTAGGCCAGCACGCGTCCGTACAAGACCCAACGAAACTTCTGGTCTTCATCGTATGTAGGTCGATGATGCAAAAACCTGTACCAAAAGTGCTGTGCGAGAGCGAGTAGGATGCCAGCAACAAATGCAAACACCATAGTCGAGGGCGTCCGCCAGTGCACCTTCCATTTTGCAGACTGTGTCGCCCTGTGAGCGATAAGTCGTTCCGTCATGGGATCTGTTCGTGCACGCGAGATACCAGATCCGAAGGAGTACAGAGTGTCGGGCGTCCTCTGATACAGTGGTCGTAGTGCTGTTGGTGAGAAGGATGAGAACATGCCAGCTTTAGGTGTCGATTGTTGGCTATATGACTTTCCTGGTGACGTGGGTGATGCGAATGGCCTCATCTGGATACCAAGGCCCGGCTCGATAGCCTCCTCGAACCTCGAGCGCCTGTCTGTCCTTGAGTCGTACGTTTCATCGTCGCTTGTGCGCTGCGGTATTGAGGCGTACTCTGGTCGTGATATTCGAATTTCGGGTGATCCTAAGGGTGACATTAAGGGAGGTGAGGGGTTTGAGCGATCCATGGCTCCAATTCGTGACGGTGATTAGGAAGGGATTTCTCAATACCGCATGGTGTTGTCGATTAATATGTTTCAAGAAATTAGCTTTGCGAAAGGGAGCGGTACTATTGAATGTGGAAGAGCGAAGTCGACAACGGTGAGCAGATTTTCGGAACCTCCGCCATATGGCAGCTGAAAGCACCATGGCTGAGATGCAGCTGTCAGCCGGCCAAGACTTCCCTCGCACGTAAGGCTGAGGCGGTGCGACGGTAATCCTAGAAATTACACGGATGCTAGCGAATGGCGTTCACCTGCCACCGCCGCATCGCTTACAATTGCGCGTGCAAGTTGCTCGCCCAATGATGACTTACCAGGAGCCGCATAACGTCCGGGATCTCACCGCTTGAAATAGATGGTGTTTGGATGCTCCCTTCCGGGCTGAGCTGGTTTCCACCGAAGCTAGACTCGGGAGAGTTCATGGTGTGAACATGCGCCGCACAACGCCGCACTGGGTGTGGCTGCGAAACAGTCGCCTCAATCATCGTGCTCAAACAGGCGGGCGGAGAGGCCGTTCAGTGCTATAAGCGGCGGTATGGGTGAGCAGTGGGCTGTCGATGTGAATGATGCACAGCTCAAGCCTGCGCAGCGAAGATGATGTACCGACTCACCGAGCTTACAAATGGAGCACCTGAGGGATTCAACTTAGCATGAGGTATCGAAAACACGCGGCAAGATGAACTGGATCAACAAAGTCGTTGCAATGGTGGCTGCAAGTTTGCCGTGTTGTTGATGGCGAAGGAAGTATCGCCGCGGGCGGGGCATTGGCGGACGAACTTCATCCGTCATCGACACTGCACGAAACATTTCCGCTTTGGGTAACCACAACGGCTCTGCAATCTCCCTTTATCCGACAACATCGCTGCATTGCTGCATCCCAAACACCAGGAACGAGCCCTTGACAGGGCATCGCTGAAGGCTCGTTCTCAGACACAGAACGTAGGACACGAAACCTGCTGAAATACTATGGCCAAAAACAGATGCCTCAACTGTCCTCGACTGTCCTGAACTACCCTCAACTGTGCGCAATTGTGCTCGACTATATATTTACTGCAATCAACGGCCCCTAGAAGTTTCCTGATTAGGTAGGATCACATCTGGTCTTTCTGCTTTCATTTTGCGTCAGGATCAGTAAGTTCATCCGTATACTTTACGTGCACATAGGGTTCCCGTGCATCCCACCCAAAGCAGCCACACACTATTGGGTCACAATTATTGCCAACAACAACGATTATGTGAGGCATACAGCTCAGCTCCGCTGCGCTACACTGACCAAAAAGGTACAGTACGTAGATAGCAGGTACTGGGAGCTGAACAGTATATACCCGTGACAGAGTATAACTTACCACTCAGTACATATAGAGTTGAGAGTAAGTACTGCTGCTGCTACTTTTCGAGCTTCTTGTTCAGCTGAAGTGCTTGCCTGCTGAGCCTGTAGAGCTGATGCACAATCAATCACAGCCTTAACACTCTCAATATTGCTGAGTTGCTCATTTGGGTTAACTTGAACTTGCTTTCTTGATTACATGACCCTTGTGCTATCTGGTTAATATTGAAGTCGTTGATTTTCAGCTGCAAATGCAGCTGCTCTGGTGTCGGGTTCAGCAATAGCCTTGCCTGCCTTGCTAAGCACTGTATAGGTGCTTTGTGAAAGAGATTCTGACTGAAAGAGCAGCTGTTGATCCTTGTGCAGAGCTCGTGCACTCTGAGAGATGTTGAGTAGTTGATGTGAGATCTCTGAGGCCTGGTTATTGGCTAGTGGTGTAGTTGGCCGGGCTGATATTTGCATTTCACTGATTACTTTCTCCTCCCTTAGCCTTCTTCTTTCCTTCACCGTTCTCCTTCCCATGTTCTCCTTACGCCATCTTCATACAGCTGGTATCATCCTTCTTCCCCGTCTTAGCGGGGATCTTGAGCGTCGCACCCGCCTCAATGACATTCAGATCTTTGATATTGTTCGTCTTCGCAAGATCACAAATTCCTACACCCGCAGCTGCAGCAATAGATGACAGCGTGTCGCCCTCTTGGATAGTCAGGGTGCTTCCAACCGCCGTCGTAGATGGCGCCGTTGAGTTCGAACTTGCTACTTGGAAATTAGTAAGGGTTGATAGGAGGGGTGAGATGTGGGGTGGCTTACATGCGCGCTGGACGAGCTGGATGTGGGTGTAGCGGGACTGGAGGGGTGTGAGGGGTGTTGCGAGTGTAGTTGAGATGAGAGCGGAGAGGAGGACGACGACGGTCGTTGTGGTTTTCATCTTGACGAGATGATTAAGGATGTTGTTCTGAGTAGAATGGGAATGGGTATCAGAGCAAGGTCGAATATTAACGAAGGGCCAGCTTCGGATTAAGGAGAGTGTAGGTTGAAGTAAGGAAATGAGAATGTTGTAGCGAGCGCACGCCGGCTGAGTCTATGGGACTAGACTACTATATATACTTTTACTCGATCGAGGCCGAGATCTTGAGATCACAGGGTCGGAACAGACGGTGAAGGGGAAGACGCGCAACGGCGTGATGCCCAGCAGCGCTAGGAGCTATCGAACGTGGTTATGACATGTGTTGGGCCCTCGGCGAAGTCGTTTTCCGCTGTCATGTTTGGGACTGCCGGTCAGGACCGATATCCTAAAGCTGAAGAGTGAGGATGCGCAGAGCCTTTATATGTTGTTCTTTTCCATGAAGGACGGCAACGTACCCACACCAATCCTATCGTTTGTGAACATGATCTGCGCTGATCGCCTGCCTGCAAGCAACAATTTAGAATTGAAAAATCTATAGCCGCGTGGGTTGGTTCGAGATTGATTAAAGGATTGTTCGTGCAGCGTTGCAGTCCTTCTCTGACATGTCGCAGCTGTCACCTGTCGCACGAAGACGTTGGGTGCCGCTCAGCTGAGACAGGGCAGAGTCGAGAACATTATGCAAGAGCAAGAATGGGAAGTGAGGAAAACGAATCAAGTGTGGAAGAAGAACGCTAGAATTACTATGCTAGTGCTGAAATGCGGATATGCAATCGCAGTGTCAACGCGCCCGAACGCTGATCAATAATAAACAATGGCCGGCTATGCAGTATGCTCCAAAACAAAACACTGACGATATCAAACAACAATATCCAAACTATGCACCGAGTGCAATGAGACGGCTCTTTACATCCAAAGGCCTCATCGCAGGCATAACGACAACGCTAGAAATAGCGCCCATGTTGACCATAGAAACATAGCCTGGCGCAACCTCGTGTGAGATAACCTCAATGCACTTCAGCGCCTCCTCCTTCGAGATAGGCGATCGAATCGAGCCCTGTAGTTGCTGCAAAACCGTCGTGGTGGAGAAAGAAACGCGCATTCCTGGACGGCTAGCGCAAAGGAGTGCCAATATACCGAGAACTTCTTCGGATCGCTGGAGGGCAGCTCTTCGTTGAAGCTCGGCGGCAGTCGGGGCAGTGGATCCGCATTTTGCTGCTTCCTGCTTGGCGAGAATGCGGTCGAGGAGGTTGGTCTTGCGGACTGCTGCGAACGGGGTGATTTTGGCTTGTGCAGGCTGCGCTGCCGTCGTCTGAGAAACGGTTGGGTCATCCTCCTTGCCGGAAACCTGCCTCTTCTTTTGTGTGCGGCCTTGCTGTACGCTCTCTTTGAACTCCCTCATTCTCTTGCGCCCTTTTTCTCGCAGCGGTGCGATGGCGTTGAGCGAAGCGCAGGTTTCGATGTCGACGAGGGGGAGCTGAGCGAGGAACTTGGACATGGAGGTGTCGTCGAGGAAGGCCTCCAGAAGCACTTGCTTGGTATCGGCCTTCTTCGGTCGGCCTCGTCCTCTCCTTGGTGTTGCGACTGGGCGAGTAGCCATCTTCTGCGAGATGCACCATTGCGACCACAAGCTGTCCAGACCCTCCTTGAACATGTCCGTCAATGCCTGCTCGTTGACGCCTGTCATCCCACCAAGCATCGGACTGTTCTCTCTGATCTCGAGAACAATCTTGCCGCGACCGTAGTCCGAGAGGTGGTAGGGGTTGTTCGAGCCATCGGGACCGTAATTGAGGACACCCATGATGAGTCGAATGTCGTCGTAGGTGACTTTGCGTTGTCTCCAGACCAGTGTGACAGACGCTGTAAGATCTCTGAGGTCGGCGGGCGTGGAGGTGCCATTGTGCGCGTAGTGCAGTGACAGCGCGGTAAGGAAGGACGAGTGGAGCGCGAGAAGGTTGAGGAGCTCAGCCGGGAGCTGACCAGGTGCGATAGCCATTGTGGATGATATTATTACAAGTAATACGGTACTGAGATATGGTAGACAATGGCTGAAGAGGAATATGCTGTGATGATGAAGATGCACACGCCGAGGAGGGACAGCTAAAGTGTTTATGAGCTGTGGGGTTGGGCGGAAAAGGAAGGAACGCAGACGCGTCCGAGCGCGCACGCGACGCGATTCTCGCGTCGGCTAATCAATGTGCTGCATTGGGCGCTAGTGACGAATCATGATCAGTCGCTCGCCTTCAATCGGGACTGGTGGATCGAATTCAAGCAAGCATTGCATTCACGTGGAGGGACATAACGATTTCGCCGGCATGCATACCGTCTTTTGCATTAGGGTACGACAGGACAGTATACAAGACGTCCTCTCTCTACAGCAAATGTGCAAATCGTCTTGAGCATCCAAATACGACATGAGATCATAGATCGCTAATAGCCAACAGTGAGACCTCATAACGATAGTCGGTCCCTTTTGAGCTTATCATAACCTACACATCCCTGACGTTGCGCCTTGGGATTTCCGTCTCTACCATCTCCAGTCCACTCAAACTCGGATAACGCTTACTAAACGCATCTACATCCCATTCATCTCCACCTGCTACATCGCCCGCAATAACTGGAAGTGGTTTGTCCCTCACATTGACGCTCCGTATTGAAGCAGGCTTGGTAGGTGACCCTTGCGCAGACGGTGGATTCGCCGATCCGCCTGTCTGCAGAGCTTTTGGTTTGGGTGCGCGAGGTGGTGGGCCAGAGGGGGCGCGCAGGTTGATCGCTGGTGGTGCTGATGACGATGGCACTGGCGGTGGCAGGTTTGGCCGACTAGAAGGTTTCGTGTAGGCAAGGTCTTGCTGTCCACCAACAGCAACGGGTTTACGCGCTACAGGTGGTGGGCGCATGCCGTTCTGGTCTTCCGGTCTGACAGGCAGCGGTTTCCCGGTATCTGTGTACTTGCCGTAGCCTGCTGCAGTGCGATTGACCGGTGCTGGCTTGCTGCTTTCGTTGAGGAGGTTCTTGACGCGATTTTGAATCGTTGATGCCTTCGAAGGGGCCCGCGGCTTGCCTTGTGCTTGCGAAGCGACTCGTTGCTTGTACTCGGCTGCAGCGGCCTCGACTCGCCGCTCTTCCTCGCTGAGCCTGCGCCTTTCCAGCTCTCTACGCACCTCAGGCGGCAGGTCTTGTGTCTCATCGATCGGCCCACGATCATCCTCGGTTGGAGCTATGGAAGCGACGGACCCAGCAATGGGTGTTAGATCACGGTGATTCGATGCGTAGTCGTGGTGTGGTTCCACTGGTGACATAATTGGCTCTGCGCGCTCTTGCTCGGGAGTCTTGTTGTTCGTCTCGAAGCGGCGGAACGCGTCTCCAAACCTGCCCTTGACGATGTTCTTCGTGTTGCTTGTGATTGATGACAGACTGCCAAGTCGTGCATGTTTGGACTGCGAGCTACTGCGGCGATGCTTGTGCTTCTGATTTGGGTCTCCTTCGATTTGGCGGAGGAAGTCCACACTGGATCGAACATTCCTGGCATCAGAATCTGCGTCAGAATCGTCAATGGCATTGGATGTAGTGCGACGTATCAGCGAAGGCGCATCGAAATTGCGACCCGGGGCCGACTCTCGCTCCCTGAGGAAATCAAGGTTTGACTCCACGTGCATGCTCGCTGGTCGAGCATTCGAATTCGCGGATCTGGAGCGATCGATCGTATATCCGATGTCCAGTTGAGATGGACGTGAGCCCTCCAAGGACGGTCGAGATGATGCAGGCGACTTAGGGATGCTTAGATTCGACATGTGAGACCTCGACCGTGAGTCCAAGGATGGTCTTGCAGGCAACGCAAACTCTGAGGGCTTCAGCGATGGGCTACCCTGTGCCTTCTCAAACGTTCGTGGTTGACTTTGTGTCCGGTTGTGATGACCGGATAGGGGAACTTTCCAGATAGGTCGCTTGTTAACATCCGGGTATGGTGAAGGCGCAGGAGATGGCGCAGGCGATGTTTGCACGCCAGTGGAAATCATTCCACTGCGTTTTGGTACTGGCTGTTGTATCGCTGAAGCCGACGTGCGAGGGCTCTCGCTGCCCTCATAAGGCTTCGGTTTCTTGATGGACGCAGTTCTTGAAACAGTGGCGGAGGGTGCCTTTGATGATGGCTTGGTTGCAGGTGCCGAACCAACTTTGGAGGCAGGTGGAAGAGCAAACGCTTCGTCAGCAAGGGCCTCAGTCACACGCTTGTTCAGCGGGTCACCGGATGTTGGAGATTGACCGAACTCGAACTTCTGACCACGGTCATGGAGCAAAGAGAATTCGTCCAGAGAAGGGAAGCGCGATGCGAGCTCATCAGCAGCCGCGCGTCGGACCTGGACGTCTTGGCTATCCAGTGCGGCAAATGGGTCTGAAGCTGTTCCTCTCATTGGAGACGGACTGGGCTTCGCTGCTGGAGGTTGCTGCGTGGGTGCAGTAGGCCGCCCTCTTCTCATTGGTGTGATATCTGGGATGTGCTGCACCTTTTGTACAGGTGCAACTTTCTGGATACCAATGACTGTTGGTGGAGAGGATACTTGAGGTTCCGTGGGCGGCAGCTGCTGGTTCCGTCGAGCTTCAGATTGTGTTCGGCCAGAGTAGATCTTATGAGAGTCAGTGAGCAGTTTATCCACAATGCTGCAATACATACGTCTTTGATTGGGCATTCTCGGTGCCGCATAGCACACGTTTCGGCCACCACTTGGTAGATGTTGGGTCGTTGCTGTGGGCTTTCGCGCAGCATCCACCCTGCTCAAGGTCAGACTATGTTCTTGCCCGCGACGCTCAGTCCTTACCTATCAGCTTCTTTATCCTGTCCGAAAATGGGGGGTAGTGTGGATACTTGAAGCTTGCGTTCAAGATGGCCATCTGCCCCACTTCTTCGAACGGTGTTGTGTAGTAACACAGCTTGTACAGCAACACTCCCAATGCCCAAATGTCACTCTTCTCGTCTATTGGTTGTTTGCGATATACGTCGATCATTTCTGGGCTTCGGTACTGCAAGGTCGTGTGTCGTTGTACGTCGTCCTCGATCAGCCTTCCCTCTGCGGCTGTGGTAGCAGCAGGCCGCGGAGGCGCAGTAGAGCCAAAATCGCACAGCTTGTATATCTTGTTGCCTCCAACGTTCGTGATCAGGACGTTCTCAACTTTCAAGTCTCGGTGGAGTAGCGGCGGCTTGAGGTAGTGCATCGTCGCAACACCCTCGGCAACATCAGAGAAGATGTGCAGGATCTCAGGCTCCGTAAGACGGTGTTGCAGTCGAGTGTTCATAAAGTCGATCAGCCCTCCGCCAGAACAGAACTCCATGAGCAGGAAGACCTCGTAGCCTTCACCCTTCAGTTGCGAGGCATGCGAGTCGAAGTAGGTGACGATCTTGTGGTGCCCCTTCAGCTTCTTCATAGTCTCTACCTCCGTCCGCATGTTGGCCAGCGCCTCCTTATCTGCGCAGGCCACTCGCTTCAAGACGGCAATCTCTGGTGTGTGCCCATCGGCCTTGGGTACGCGGACCAGGTAGACATGAGCGAAACCACCCTCGGAGAGATACTTCTCAATGGTAACCCGATGGCTGCCGACTTGGACTTTCGTCCCGGGCGCAAAGGTGCCTGGCGGAGCATTGGACACAGCAACAGGGGCTGGAGCGCAGTATGCGGCCTGCTGGGGCATCGAATGGGCGGTGGAGGGGGCATAGCGAGCGGAGGACATGCTGGGCGGTGTGGGAGCCTGCTGCGATGCAGGAACAGCGGGCGTTCTATAGACGGTGCATGGAAGGGAGTAGAAAATGCAGCAGTCAGGCCTCAGGTACAATGAGCATGCGGGTTGTGTCGTGTTCAGGTCGAGGTGATCATGCCCAGGATCTATGTTCACACGGTGCCGTAGGTGGTCACAAGCAAAGCCGCCTTACAACGTCACAACATGAATTTCAGGAGACGGATCTACCTGCACTTGGTTTGTATGGAGTGATATCTGAAATCAACATCATCGGAAATTCCACATACATGGCATATGGTTTGGATGCCGCTCGAGTGTAGCTACCATTCATCGTTCTGTGGCTGATGTCCGCAGTGTGGCGCCAAACTCTGGGCAACGCGCTTCTCCGATTGGCTCCGTCCTCTTGAGACGGTTCGTTCGCAGCAGAGTCGAGGCAGAACAAAATGTCTGCCTAGCATACGAAGTATCTAGGTGACTTGGCTATAAAATGCCACTGTACCTCTAACAGCGGCTACCGTTGGCTTCGACAGCTTTAGTGTGTGTGCTTGGCCGTGTCTCCCGTACTGGTTATACCGACTTTTCGAGATAGCGGTCTACCAGCCGCCCGAGGTTGTCAGGAGGTCGAGCGGAGGACACTGAAAATTTGCTCACATTTCTTAGAGAAATCTCGGATAGTTTAGTTAGGCAAAGGGGCTTTCTTTCTTGATACCCTTGCTGTCTATTCAAACTTCGCTCTGTAGCCGTGTCTTAGCTGGTCGACAAGGCTGTGAACAGTGTATCATTCGCCAACAATAGTTCTCACGTGCAAGTATCCAAAGGCAACCTGCCTTCCAGATGCACCTAAGCAGAGACTGCCTCTGGAGCTGGCGAAGCTGGCCTTGAGATCTATAAATGATCTACAGCCCCGCGTCGAGCTAGATCTTGTGCAACCACAACACCATAGCAATGGAACTTGGCCAATACGAAGATCGCGGGCGGCGGTGATGCGTGCGCGGCCTCTGCAGATTGGTATACGACGTCTGATGTCAGTGGTGAAGAGGCCCTGCTACCGACGCTGCGCATACGGATGCTTTCACAAAGCAGGATGATATGTGCAGATCGCAGTTCGATAGAAAGTGTACGAGTTTGTGGGGGCTCGTTGGTTTTGCATCCCAAACAGCAGCCACCAAGCGGTTAATGATGACAGGGTTGCGCCTGCAGAGCGGTCACGGCCAGGAAGACAACAGAGCACTGCTTACCAGCCCTATTTGTATATTGTTACTCCTTCCCTCCCTGCTACCCCTCGCATCTCTCGAGAAAGCGCAACTGCCATCCATTCATCTCCCCCCCCCCCCCATCTCATCGTTGCACCGTCTTGTTGTACTGCCGCATGAAGCGCCGTCCCGCGTCCTAGCACTAGCGAGCGTCCTTCAGCCCTACCGTCCCCTCCTCGCCCGTGCAAGAGCGCGTCCCTTGGTCACTGCCCCTCCCTTCGCTCTCTGTTCAACTGTTTATGTTCTTGCGTCACAAGCAGCCGCGCCGTTGTTTGCAAGTAAGCCGGGTTGGTCGCTTGCCTAGTGAACCCTGGAACTGCCGCATCGTCTGCCACGGCTAACCCCAGCCTTGGAACCAACCTCTATCCATCACAGCCCGCGTTCACCCTCTGGTTCGACCCACGCTACCATTCCACGCCGGACGAGACCACGTGTACGGCACCCCTTCCATCTCAACTACAATAGATCCTAGAGGACTCCAAAATGGCGCGCTCCCGCAGGCAGAACAGAGACGAAAGCAGGTCCCGTTCCGACACCTCCGCATCCACATCGCCCGAGCGCGGCTACGACGATGACAAAGACTCGATCATGCTGCAGTCAAACGACTCGCTGTCGTCTCTGGCGCCCTCCGTTTCTCCTGACTCCGACGACGATGCCCGCCGGCGGGCCATCGAGGAGCAGAACCGCGTCTCGCCTGTTTCACGACTACCGGCCGAGCTCATGATCGCCGTATTCGCAAGGCTTGCCTCCCCTGCCGACCTCAAGAACTGCATGTTGGTGTCGAAAGACTGGTCGAGAAACGCTGTTGGGCTGCTGTGGCACAGACCGTCGACCAATAAGTGGCCAAGCGTTAAGAGCGTGATCAAGACGATCAATACCGCAGATAGCTTTTTCGACTACAGCAGTCTGATCAAGCGTCTCAACTTATCGGCCCTGGGAAGCGAGGTCAGCGACGGCACACTCGCGTCACTACACACCTGCAAGCGCATAGAGCGATTGACTCTCACGAACTGCACGAAGCTCTCAGATCTGAGTCTCGTGGCCGTGTTGGAGGACAACCGAAGCCTCTTGGCCCTGGATGTCACGAGCGTGGAGTCCATTAGCGATCAGACCATGTACGCTCTGGCGAAGAATGCAGTCCGGCTGCAAGGGTTGAACATCACAAACTGCAAGAAGATCACAGATCAGTCGCTTGAGGCGGTAGCAAAGAGCTGCAAGCACCTCAAGAGGCTCAAACTGAACGGGTGCTCACAGCTAAGCGACAAATGCATCATAGCGTTTGCACTGCACTGCCGCTATATCCTCGAAATCGACCTCCACGATTGCAAGAATCTCGAAGACGACTCGATCACCACTCTCATAACGGAGGGACCCCATCTGCGCGAGTTACGATTGGCACACTGCTGGAAGATCACGGATCAGGCGTTCCTTCGTCTCCCTGCCGAGGCCAGTTACGAGAGTTTACGTATTCTGGATCTGACAGATTGCGGCGAGCTGCAAGATTACGGCGTTCAGAGGATCGTGGCCGCAGCACCGAGGTTACGTAACTTGGTTCTTGCCAAATGCCGCCACATCACGGACAGAGCGGTGATGGCCATCACTCGCCTGGGCAAGAACCTGCACTACATCCACCTGGGACACTGCTCGCGAATTACCGACACAGGCGTTGTGCAGTTGGTAAAGCTGTGCAACAGGATCCGGTACATCGATCTGGCATGTTGTACGAATCTCACCGATGTTTCTGTCACGCAACTGGCTTCGCTTCCGAAACTTAAGCGGATAGGCTTGGTGAAGTGCGCAGCAATCACCGACCGCAGTATACTGGCCTTGGCCAAACCGAAGCAGATGGGCTCTAGTGGACCAATTCAGGCTAGTGTCCTGGAGAGGGTCCATCTGAGTTACTGCACCAACCTCACTCTCCAAGGCATTCACGCCCTTTTGAATAACTGCCCGCGTCTCACTCACCTGAGTTTGACTGGCGTGCAAGCCTTCCTTCGCGACGATCTTCTTGTTTACTGTCGTGAGGCACCACCAGGTAAGATCATCGATTATGCTCGACTTACGGCTCTAGCACTAACGTCGAATCAGAGTTCAACGAACACCAACGCGACGTCTTTTGTGTCTTCAGCGGCGTAGGTGTCCAGCGTCTCCGCCAATTCCTCAACACCGACCACGATCACCAGAACCGACAGGCTTCCTTCTCCGACAACGAAGGAACCATGTACGAAGATGGCGAGGAACCCGATGTCATCCTCAACGTCACCGCCCAGGCTAATGGTATGGTGATAGATGAGGACGAAGACTTCGGCGACAGTGAGATGTTGGGTCAGGATTAGTCGCCATGGCTGCCGTAAATGGTGCTTCGGCAGCGTTGTGTCTCGACGCGTATTGGTCTTTCCGACATTTCTTCATTTGCATATATGGTGGCGTTCTTATCATCTTTACGGTCCTTATCCTCTTAGCGGCATGAAGTGCATTTGTTCACGGGCGACATGAACGCTCGACCCTGGGGGTGATGGGCCAAATACGATACCCTTTGTATGTTTTTCATGGTGTTTGCTACTAGCGGCAAGGCTTACGAAACGTCTTTTAGTAAAAAAGTTGACCATATTTCAGCTGCTCTACAGCTCTACAACCCTCGATCCTGTGCTCGTATTCAGTGGCTAACAATATCAGTGTGTGTGTCCGGTCTACTGCTGGACCCCAGGAGGAAGGTGACATGAGCTTGTCATAACTGGTCGCGTGCCGATCTCGGACTAGACATAACCTGATGCCTTTTCACATGGTGGCATTGAGATCAACGCCAACGCCGCATCCTACGTCTTGATAGTACAGATCACAATCCTGCGTGCAGAAGGCATTGACTCATCCAGGCTCATCTAGGGATGTTGATGAAGCCAATCTTGACGTAAAAGCGGAGAATACAAGGAGCGACATCTGAGTACTACCTGCAGATGCAAGCTGACACTTTGTCGCCAGTCGAACCTGGTGTTCCAGCTGCAACTTGGCGAAACGCACACCTATTTCTACTTCAGCAACGGGTACTGTGGATTTCAGTCCATTTCCACAGGTCCGCAATAAGAGCAGGTAGCGTGATGTTGGGAACCTCACTTCGGAAAGTCGCACAGACTGATGTCTTGTATCGTTCTTCCGCGCACACATTAGCTGTCTGCTGAACTCCACTTATCTCGTGACGAATTGAATGCGCGGATAGCAAGCCGAAAGCACGAGCGTTCGTACAATTCGTATGAACGTGTTGTGTAAGTTCTCTCTTCACTTCAGTAGCCCACACATGCATCCACAATCCGGCACGGGACACATGGCATGCCTCGCAAACCAATCCCGCGCATGATGGCCATGAAACCCATGCGTACAGCTCATACAAAACACCATCAGCCTGCTCTCCAAATCCTCGCCCTTTAGCGTCTCTGCACCCCCAGGCTTCGCAGGATCAGGACTCCCCAGCCACATCATACACAGCCCACACCTCGGCATCTGCGCACCGCAGTTCGGACATGCGAGAGCCGGACTCGAGGTCGAGTGCTTCCCTCCGCCCGGCTTGTTACGAAGGAGCGCAGACTTGGGGTTTGACGAATGCTGCGCATGATACGGCGCGCCAGTAACAGGCACAAGTCTACTCTTCACACCCCTTGGCTCCTTCCTCAACGCAAGGTTCTGCTGGCACTGCGCGCACCTTATTGCGATACTAGGCTGTGTAGGCTTATTCCTCGCACTCCCCTCCCTCGTCACGCTGCGCGCGTTGTGTTCCTTCGTGTACCGCGTCCGCTCCAGGAAGGTGCGCCAGACTTGCATCTGCTCGAGGTAAATGTCTTTCCAGAGGTACCATCGCTGGTCCTGGATGTATAGCGGACACGCGCGTGAGAGCAGGAGCACGGCGGTTTGTAGCTCAGAGGGGTGCGCGGCGATGTGCACTTGGAGCAGGTCGAGGGCGCGGGTTGTCAGACCTGTGAGCAGGAGTCCGGAGATGGAGCCGCTGCGGATGTGGGATGTGGTTGTCATGGAGAGAAATTGCGAGAGGGAGTTGTCGGGCAGGTATTTTAGGGCGACGGCGACGCGGTCGTGGAGCGCGAGGGAGGGGGTGTCTACGACGGCGGTCCAGTCGGCGGTTATGAAGTATGTGAGGAGGGATTTGAGATAAGGATTCGTGGTCATGTCGGCCATCCAGGCGCAGGCTTCGCGCTGCTCGGCGGGGACTCCTGACGAAGGGGAGGCGCAGGCGATGACGGCACCGAGCCCTATGTGATCCAGAGGGAGCTTGCCCTGCTGTAGTGCGGTGCGTAGTAGCGATAACGCAATGTCTTTGTGGCCTTGGAATACCGCAAGGACAATAGCTTTCAGGTCTTCGCCATCTGCTATCAGGTTTTCGCAGCCATCTTGTACACCCTTCTTGTCGAGCGGCCATCCACACAGACTTAAGCATAATTGTCTATTCTCGGGTAAAGAGGTATCGACCCCCTCGAATGGCGGGAAATCCTTGGCTTCCACGATCTCCTTCACGGCGTCCCGGAACATATCATGACTTGTCTTGGCATCTGGGTCGATACGTCGGTCATCATACATCTCCAGGTCGTTGGCCCAGATGGATTCGACACCGAGGTAGTTGAGTTCAAGGCCGTTGCCAACCATGCCATCGCCCCACGCATGAGTGTCCATCCGCTCAACAAAGTCCCACACGTCTGCGAGCCAAGGATCGTTCGCTACGATAACCTTGTTTTGCGCACACCCGAGAGAGTAACCTTCCTGGCAACGTCGTTTTGAGCCTTGCAGGAACGCGAGATAGTCGGCGAGTGGTACCTTGACGTCAGGATATGCCAGTCTCAGGGTTTCCTCGCGCATCTGTGTGTTGGATCTTTGTTGGTCGCGCATGCTGAGCTTGTCGAAGCCTCCAGACAAATCTGCAGGACCGAGGCCACCCTTTCTGCTCAAGGCCTCGTTCTGAATTTCGGTAAGCTCTTCTGCTACTGTGGCATGACGACTCCTCGGTCTAGCAATAGTAGTGCGGTCCTTGTATATCTCTTCAAGAGCGCTCACGTTGATACGCGGCGCAGGCGGCGGTACCTTCAGCACCTCCACTTCCCTGTTTGCGTGCAGGGCTAACGCGCACTGCCCGTCTAGTGGACTGCCGTTGGCCATGAAGTCGTATGCCATCACTCGGTCCTTCTGCTTTTGGATAGAGTCCTTGCTGTGCCATGGGTGGCGCAGATTGTGCGAGACCTTTGTGTAGTGCGGTGAAGACCAGGCTCGGGCCATGGCGGTGTCAGTCGTTGACTTGAGGGTCTCCAGACGGTGCGAATGCTGGGCCAGCTCCAAGATCTTGAACTCGCCTGTATTCGCGAGGACGCCGAAAGTCCCCCGCTTAGTACCAGAGTATCTCAGACTCCAGATACTTGCTGGCTGACTGTTATCGACGATAGGCTTGAACTCAAGGACGGCACCGACACTGTCGTTGCGCTGCTTTACCATCCGTTGGTCCCATACAGTCACAGTAGGGTCGCCCGTAGTCCCCGCTGAAAGGAAGTAGTTTTCGTCAAGTGGATCTATCGCGATGTTGTGTACTTGCTTGGTCTGTATGTTGGCAATACCCTGTGTGCCAGAGTCTAGACACGGTCAGCATTGAACGGCCATATCACTACTCTCGGCCACCGGACCTACCTCGAAGGTCGTACATCCGGACGTACTGCCTCTGGACACCTGCAAGAAGTGTGTCCGGCTGACCAGCGAAGAACTTGATGCTAGAGACGGCTTCTGAGCTTGCAAGCTTCTTGTATGGCTCGTCTTTGCTCGTGAACCGCGCATCGTTCATATCATAGATGTTCAAGCAGACGTCATTCCTCACCCTGTCCAGACCAGTAGCGAGGAGATTCTTGTGACTGAAGGCAATCGAGTTGCACTTCCTCTGGTGTCTGATGGGGAAAGCATGGAGGAAATCGCCCTCGGGCTTAGTAGGGTCCAGTTGCACAATGTGTGCTTCTCCAGATGCTGAGCCAATGGCGACCACGTCGGCATCTTTCTTCGACCAGTCGAAGGCCGTGTAATTTGGAAGCTTATCGCGGATCAAGATTTGTCGATAGTTGACCTTTGATCCAGCAAAGCTCTCGATCTCGCACAGTCGAAGCCGGTTACCGGCGACATCGATGATCAAGAATCGTGGCTGGTCCCGAGTGGAGTGCGGCGACCATCTGATCGCAGCTTCCATCTTATCGATCACCGACTCCAGGTGTCACCGCAATGGAAGTACCCGGTCCTAGCTCTGGGTGGCCTCATCGAGCCTCATTCACAAAAGATCGTGCTGGCGTCGATCCGAGGACATTGGGTTGAATTCAATCGCGTCCAGTCAAGAGACCTGCGGGTGGGGACGCGGAAGGTTCGAGGGTGAATGCAACCGACGCGTGACATCAGCCCTGTCGCTCTTTCCGCGCTATCGATAAGAACGGTAAGTGCCGCCCCGCTAAAACTTTCCTACTAGCAACCAGCCCGAACTTTTCTACAACGCTACAGACCTCGCTGAAACACGTATGGATATGTCGCAAAAACGCAAACACGAGGAGGTTGCCGACCTCGAGACCGCGAACCCTGCCACCACGAAGAAGCCACGCGCCTTCCCCAACGCCGGCAAAACAAGACACAAGCGCCCGAATGCGGCCAAAGACAAAGATTCAGAGTACGGCGCCAGTGCCAATGCGCTCAAGAACCGGATCCGCGACCTGAAGCGCTTGCTCGCGCACGTGGACAATGTTCCCAAGCACAAGATGTCAGCGAGCTCGAGGATAGAACGGGAGAGGGAGTTGGAGGCATGCGAGCACGAGCTGGAGGAGAAGACTATGAGGGCAAGAGAGAGCGAATACAGGAAGAAGATGATTGGGAAGTACCACCAAGTCAGGTTTTTTGGTGGGTCCAAGTGTGCTTGTCGTTGGATTGGCGCATGCTGACAGCTCTAGACCGTCAAAAAGCCACCCGCATCCTCAAGAGACTCAAGAAGGAGCTCGCAGCAGCCGAAGACGACGAGGAGAAGAGCACGTTACAGAAGAAGCTACACAACGCCGAGGTCGACGTCAACTACGCCATAGCATACCCCCTCATGAAGCCGTACTCGTCACTGTACCCTAAATCAAAGAACACAAAGTCCAAAAACGCCGAAAGCGACGACAGCGACGAAGCGAAGAGCAAGGCCGAAGAGACGGATGGGCCAAAGGGCGACGTTATGGTGTGGAAGATGGTCGAGCAGGCTATGGAGGAAGGCACACTAGAAACGCTGCGGAACAGCAAGAGCAGAGAAGAGATACCAGGCGCACCGCCAAAGAAGAGCAAGACTGCGAAGACAAAGACCACGAAAGATGCGCCGCCCAAGAAGACGTATGCGCCACTTGCTGTACCGGCCAACAGAAGGGAGGCAAGAGCTGCGGCTAGAGAAGCAGAGGACGAGGACAGCGATGGGGGCTTCTTCGAGTAGAATCCGGATCACTCGGCATTCAAGCATAAGCAGCGACATTATATGCATCATATGCCCCGCGACACATCTCCGTCGCTCGCAAACACATTCGCCCGAAACCCAGACATGCAAGAATCCCGTCGTAGCGAAGAAGCGTACAGGAAGAAGCAACCCAACGTCTCAATCGACAGTGGAAGAAATCCAATCCAATGCAACCCAACACGACTAAGCGACCAACCCCCTCTAGCGCCCTCTCCAACCTATACATCCGCAGCAACCTCACTGCCCATAAACCCTCACCGGATGCGCCTCCGTATTCCAAACCCACTTATTGTTCCCCGCTTTGCTGACCTGCCAGGGCGCATCATCGTCCACCTGGATGAGATAGCTATACTTCAGCACCTCCGCAAACCAAAAACTCTCCATCATATCTTCGAACCCACCACCGCCTGCGACATTCACATCTCGGATCGTGCTATACCCACTCCCGACCCGCGTCGTCGCATTAACAGCAACAAACGCATCCCACGCCCAGTCCTGGTATTTCGTGTCTCCTGTTGCGCGGTACGCGTAGTAGTAACTCTCGATGACTTCGGGCCGGAGCTGGTACCCGGGGCGCAGAATGTAAAAGCCGTTTTGAGCGAAAAACGCCTCTTGGCCTGCAGGGATGAGGGACGGGTCCCAGCCGAATACTTCGGGACCGATGTGCGTCGCGGTCGACGCGTAGGTAGCATGGCACCCGTCGACGAGCGACAGGCCGAATTGAAGGTATTTGGAGGAGCCGAGGACTTGGCCCCCGAGGATGAAATTCCCGCCGTCGAAACACGCGAGGTGTTCGGACGTGAGTTGCAGCTCCGTGCCATTATACGTCGTCACAAACGTGAGGTCCGGACACGTCAGCGGCCTGCTCGCAAGATACGTTATCGTGCTATCCGCAGCCTTCTCCCATCTCTCACGCAAAACCTCGTACCGGCTCGGGTCGTAGACCCACATCTTGATCAAGTACTCGTAGAAGCTATCCGTGCCGCCGATCCAGCCGCCCCTCGCATCCAGAAACGCGCCCGTCGTGGGATCGATGTCCGTGCCCAGGAGTCCGGGGAACGGCTCAGACGAGGCTGGAGACGGGGAGAGCAGGCAGGACTCTGCTTTGTCGACGAGGGAGGCGTAGCTGCTGTTTCCCGTCAGGTCGGACAGGCGTGTCCATTCGAGGATTAGGGTGCCGACTGTGGCGAGGCCGTTGGGTTCGCGGATCCAGTCCCGCGTCGACAGATTCAGGAGATTATACGGTACGCCCGACGGTGTCTGGAACGCATAACTCAAGTTATTGGCCAGGTTGACCGACTGCTCCAGCAGCGCGTCGACGTGCGCTGGGTTGTCTGCCAGGTGCGCCAGCGGTCCGGAGAGGAAATCGTAGCCGGAGAGCATGCCGCCTAGGTACCGGATTGTGGTCTCGAAGAGCGAGACGGAGGTGGATGTGACGGACCAGTCGATGGTGGGGATGTAGGATATGATTTGGTTTACGATTTCTCTCTCGCCCATGATGAGCGCTGTGCTGAGCGCGTCGGCGGCTGAGGCGCCCCACCCATTGCTAGAGGAGAGTCAGTGCGTTGCATGGAGAGGTGTTTTGGTGTGGAGTTGCGTGTGTACCGCGAGTTGCCAAAGGTGTTTGTGACTGGGTGGAGTTCATCATTGGGAAACGCATGTTTGTAGTATCCTTCCCAGCTCAACTTGAATGTATCAATGACAGCTTGTGCCCTATCCACTGGCGGTGAATAGTACTGTCGTTTTCCCTGAGCATCATGTCCTTGCTTCCATGGTGCATTTGCGGGGAGAGCGGAGACAACAGGAAGGAGAACAGCACTGAGCGCCCAAGCGCTGGGACGAACCATTGCAAGGTGTCCTTGCGATCAAAAGGACTGGTCAAAGGGACTTTATGATTGTGGAAAGCAATACGAGCGGAAGGCTTGGTTGGTCCCTACTTTATACAAATGCTCATCTGAGACTAGATCAGGGTCCTATGCAATAATGGGAGCCACTATACACATCGTCTAAGCCCATCTTGAACTTAACAAGGAACTCATGTTGTAATCATGGTCATGATATCCTGTACATATGCATCGAGCTGGCTACCTCGACGCTGTGATTGCAATCGATACTGAGGTGGTGGTTGTGCACCAATCATGCCAGGCTGTCCCAGGCGAATGGTACAGCATGTGCTAGCGTCGCGTGATTGGAATGCGGTTGAGGAAGGTGTGAAGCCGAAATGATGGTGTTGTCATACAAGGCGCATGCGGCCAATATCTCGTGCTCCCATCCAGCATGCGCTGTGGATCAGTCCCGCTTCAATGAGAACTGGAAGTACTGAAATCGTCGTCTAAACTTTGATAATGACGGCTGAGCTCGTGCTCAACGTTGTTATTAGTTCACACAAACGGATTGACATCGATTCTGTAAAGCGGATCGAAGTCCTGGACGGTGTAGCTATCTGCAGAATGCTTGGCTGTACTCCTGTTGAAGATGGAAGAGGAAGCCAGTCGGGGGGGCCGCGTGCCTGACCACATGCATCCTTGGATGCGGGGGATCTACTGCACCTGTGTACCGCCGAGGGTTTAGCCGTGCATTGATCTCCGCGGCCCTCACGCACTTGGAGCTACACATTGTTAGATCATCTGCAAGGTGTTGTTGTGGGGCGTCAGTCGGTCATCGAACTCGTTCCATTCGTCTATGTTGTCGAACATCATCGTGTTCACCTCCGCGGTGTACACGACTATGTTGGCTCTGACCAGTCGACCTGCTCTGATACCGAACCTGCACTGCCTGCATAGCTAAGCTTGAGTCTCAGCCTGAGCCTTGCCGGTGGGGGCTGCATTTGCATGTCAGTATGTGTCTTCGTGTTGCTTGAAAGGAGTGAGCTTACCCCATTGACAGCTGTGACCCGCATTTGTTGTGTCGCATCTTGTCCCGCATCTAGTTCACTGGTACTGATCGGCTGCAGCTGCAGCTTCTGACTTTTCGGCACAGCGGCCTGCAGGTTAACGGCAGACAGCTGCCCAGAGCCTCCTGTATTCCGGAATCGAGCGAGCAGTTGCACCGCATTGGCGTCGCGCTTGAGTTGGAAGGTGATTGCGAGATCGTTCTTGCTGTACACTGGGTGCGCAGGTGGCCCAGAAGCCACTGGAGGTGTTGAGGTCTGAGGCGGTGGTGATGACATGCCACCCAGACCGCCAAGGAGGTCCGTCGACGCTGCTTGCGGGGGTGGCCGTGATTGAGTGGGTGCTGGGGAACTCGATGGGCCGCTGTTGAACAGATCCATGATATTCGCGACGTTTGACTGTGGTGTAGGGGACGTTGTCTGGGGAGGAGGCGAAGATGTGGAAGGTCCGCCTCCACCGAGGATGTCCGCCAGAAGATCTTGGTTTTGCTGAGAGCCACTGGCTGCGCCGTTTGTGTCAGGCACGCCAGAGTCGCCCATGAGATCGAGAAGTAGATCTTCTGTCGCTGCTTGAGCAGGCTTCTTCTTGTTGATAATCTTGGATTGCCGCTTCTTAGTAGCCTCGCCAAGCACGCGCTGCTCCTCGCGAATTTCAGGAGGCGGCATCTTTTCAAGAACGCCTCTCCTGATAGCGTCATGTCCGAATAGGTTGCCGTATTCGACCGCTCGTTGTTGGGTTTCGACGTCGAGGTTGGAGCCGTATCGTTGCAGCAGTCTGCGGAGACGCTCGATCTGAGCTGGTTCGGTGAGTCGTGTTGTCAACTTCATCGAAGCTGTGATGATGTACTGCTGGACAATGAGCCCAGCGTAGCTGCTGTTCAAGATGGTCTCGAACAGGTCAACAATGTCGCTCTCTTTCACTTCCTTGACAAGTTCCTCCTCTTCGTACTGTCCACCCCTTAACAGGGCATCTCCGTACTCTCCAATGACCCAAGAACCTGCTAAGGTCAATCCCTCCTGTGTGATGTCTTCCTTCAGTGCCGCGTAGAGCTTTTGTACAGAGTAAGTCTGGAGATCGGTGGTTGTTGCTATTAATCGAACAAATGATGACAGGATCTGTTCCTTGACGTAGTTACCGGCCTAGGCATCTGGGTCAGCAGTTGGCGCGATATGGAGCCCTCTCATACATACTAGCTTCAAGACACGCAACATGGTGTCGACGTGCCATCTCTTGTTCGGAGCAAATCTATCGGCTGCGATTCCAATTTGCGACGTCATGACAGGCTTGAACTCATTGTCGGCGACTTCAAGGAAAGCAAGTAGTTCGCGAATGAGTACGCGCACATTGCTCTCGTTGATGAGAGTGAAGCTGAGATCGAGCGCGCGTCTCCGGATACTAATATCAGGATCACGCAGACAGTCCAGGATGGTGTTGCGGTGTCGCTGAACAGCATTTGGCTCGACTGCAACAACCTTGTTCAAGGTGTTGAGTGCAACATATCTGATGTTGTTGTCTCTGTTTGACAAGAACTTTCCTAGAATGTTGACGCCGAGCACGCGAAGACCAGAATCGGCCTCAATGTCGAGGATCGTGAGCACGGCCTCGTACAGGATAGAGTTCCCAACGTTCTTCGACGAGTCTGTGTTTGTGGCAACCTGCGAAAATCAGTCACGGCACCGTTTCTGGAGCTTGGGTTACGTGCCTGGGCAAGGATGTCGTTAATCTGCTCGCTGACCTGAGCGTCGCCGCGCCCAAGGACTCGCAGCAGTTGTAAGATCTTGCATTGCACGAACGGGTCTGTAATGCCCGTTACGTCATGCTCAGGCGCGTACCCTGACGAGGACAGTCCCTTCAGAATCTTGACCAGAGCCGGCACCTGAGGCTTGAACATATCCTTGATGCCATTCTCGTCGTCCTCGGCCTCGTCTGCCTCACACAGACTTGCGACAAGCGTGATACCGCACAGCAGAACACCGTGATTGCGATCCTGCAACAGCAATTTGGCCTTTTCTAAGAAATGCTCTTGCAAGTCGGGGACCTTTCGGCATATCCTCATGGCGCACAGGGCGGCTTTCCGGCGAATGTAGGGATTTGCGCTTGCGATTATCGTCTCGACTTCGGGGAACAGATCTCTAGCCATCTCGACAGAGGCGATGTTTCCGAGCGTGCAGAGGGCGAGACCGACGGTGTACTGGTTGGCGTGGTTCAGGTCACTGCACAGATGTCAGTCTCTCACGACCACCCAGCTAGACTCAGTACCTTACTTTTTGAGCGAGTTGGTGACCAGTGTCAAGACCTCTTGGTTCTCGTCTAGCAGCAACATGGTGCCTAGGTAGCCCAACCGCTTGTCTGCGAAACGCGGGGACGCCAGCAGCTTCAGACATTCGATCTGTCCAAAATGCGTCCTTTCACCCAGCGTGAAGAGGTACAAGAGCTTTGCGACATTGTTTCTCCTGCTTTGTTGTGAACATGTGCCCCTCCTGCTGCCACATTGCAACGCACCTCACGTTGGAGTCGTGACTCTCTTCCCTGAAGCTGGCACGAATGGCAGCACTCTCCTTCTGCACCACGGCGCGCTCGTCAGCGATCGTCTTCGCGGCTCGCACATTTCGGATGAATTGCTTGACTGGGCTTCCTTAGCATGCGTGCAGAGCTGGGGTTGTGATGCTTGGCGTACGAGAGGCCATTGTGACGGTCGCTGGGACCCCACCCGAGGAATTGGTTGGAAAGAAGACCGAGTGGACGCGGGCGGGAATCGAACGTGCGGGGGGTGAGTGCGGGTTGCCGTCGCCGAATGCTGTTGTTGGCGCAGCTGCTTGCTACTCGAGGTGTACGGTAAGCCTTACAGCCAGCGAGCCAGGGTTCGCGGAACGGAGAAACGACGTTCGTGTCCCCCCTGCTTGCTTCGTGAGCTATACCTGCAGCCTGACTCGCGGAGCCGCTGATGTCAACATTGACTTTCGTGCATGCAGATGCGCGCTCCTATCATATCGCTCTGTAGACGCTTCATGTCCCCAGATGAATCCAACCATCATGCTAGGTCCATGACAGCAAACTTGATTTCCCGGTCCAGGCAGCTGCGCTTCACCGACCGCGGCTGTCACGGTAACCTCTAACAGCACCGAGTGACCCGGGAGTCGCAGATCATCGTCTGGGCTGACCACATCTCTCTGTATCCACATGTGCCACTCCTTTTTGCCCTCTGCTCTGCACGCTCTCATGAACCATAATGGCCGAGTCTACATCGGTTGACGCGCACACGCACACCGGTCGTGGCGACCATCATTCACCGCGGCCACGCAAACCCACGCGCATCGACTTTCTCAAGCCCCACCTCAACGATGAATCTGTGAAGCAACACCCAGAGGCGGCGTCAGGGGTGTCGAGGTTGGACTGAGCTATCCCTCTCGTGCCCAACATGCGTTGACTTCGTGAAGTGGTAGAACAACTCCCATCCCCGCTGATGCCCCTCCCTCCGTCCAAGCCGCGTCCTCTGCGCGCCGCCAGATTCGAGCCCAGCAGAAGCGGCGCATGTTCCCCACCATCGACTATGTGAACCGCGTCTCCCACTTCGACCCAGCGAGCGACTACCATGACTTCCGCGGCTTCTTCGTGCTCTTTTGGATTGGCCTGGCCATCATGGTCATTACCTCCATGCTGCGCACTGTGAAAGAGACCGGCTACCCTTTCCAGATCAGGCAGTGGAATCTCTTCAAAGAGAAGATTTGGGAGCTGGGACTCGTGGACGGTGCAATGGTAGGAAGCACTGCGCTGGCTCTTCCACTCCAGAAGCTGTTCCTCAACGGCAAGGGACCACTGCGCTGGAGCCAGCTTGGAATGGCTATTCAGAGCATATACCAAGCTGTCTGGCTCTCCTTCTGGTGCACGTATGTGTATGCATGTCTCGTCCGAGGCGCATTGGCTGATGGTGTAAAGGTATCCCTTCATCCGCGACTGGAGTTGGACCGCCCAGGTCTTCTTCACTCTACACCTGCTCGCAATCTTCATGAAGATGCACTCTTACGCGTAAGCTTTCGCTTCCTCGTATCTCATCTCACAGCCGACTGACCACGATAGCTTCTACAACGGCCACTTGAGCGAGGCGTTGCGCCGTCTCAACGACCTCGACAATCCCGAAAAGGCCAACAAGGCACCAGCAGTCCGATACCCAAAACCCCGCACCCACCTACACGAGATCCCGCAATCGCCTAGTCAAAGTGAACCTGATGCTGCGAACCAGGAGTCTCTGCGCCAGCTTCGTGAAGATCTTGCCTTCGAACTCTCGTCCCCTCTTGGCCGTGTTTCTTACCCGGAGAACCTCAATCTTCACAACTGGGTCGACTTCATCTTCTGCCCAACGCTTTGTTACGAGCTCGAATACCCTCGCGTGGCCTATATCCGCCCACTGGAGGTGTTCTACAAGGCCCTGGCCGTATTTGGATGCATCTTCCTGATGGTCATAACGACAGAAGAGTTCATCCTGCCTGTCCTGGACGAATCAGCAGTCGCCCTGCACCACTCGAAGGGCGCCCTGGACTTCAGCTTAATCCTCGCCGAGACCATCGGCCGCCTTCTCTTCCCGTTCATGATCACATTCTTACTGACCTTCCTCGTCATCTTCGAGTATATTTTGGGTGCCTTTGCCGAGATTACACGTAAGCCAATAGCTTGGAGCAACAATCCAAACCTGCTAACAACGACTCAGGCTTCGCAGACCGCCAATTCTACGCCGACTGGTGGAACTCCTGCGACTGGCTCGAATTCTCCCGTGAATGGAACATCCCCGTGCACCACTTCTTCCGGCGCCACGTCTACAGCGCATCCAAGAACCACCTCTCGCGGCCTCTCGCCACGCTCATCACGTTCCTTATCTCCGCACTCGCGCACGAATTAGTGATGGGCTGCATTACGAGGAAATTCAGAGGCTACGGCTTTTTCGCCATGATGCTCCAAATGCCCATCGTCATGGTGCAGAGGAGCAAATGGGTCCGAGGCCGGACATTGCTGAATAACGTGCTGTTTTGGTGCAGTATGGTTCTTGGGTTGAGCATGGTATGTTGGACAATTTTGCCCTTCATGATGGTAGCTAATCAGCAACAGATGTGCGCGCTGTACGTGCTTGTATAGGAGAGTTGCACTCTTCGATAGACAGGATCGAAGCATACAGGTTGCTCCCTTTTTCAGTATTTCTAGATGGCTTGCGAGATACCCTTCTCTTTAGTCTCATGTGTTCGGCGTTGCTTCGTAGATTGAATGCATCGCCACTTCACTCCACCAATCCTTGCTGCCTTCCATGACTGAGCTCAAACTTCATGAGACAGTTTTTGTCTGAGACCAAGATGGACAAATCGTGCCAGACGACGTGCAGAGGATGGCATTCGAAGAGGTGTTGGTATACTGCCGTGCATGCCGATACCAATGTCGTTATTACAAAGTCTAGTTTATCGAATCCTCCATCGGTGTTCATTTAAAAACACCCAAAACGCCATGTCCACGCAATGCAATGCAGATCCACCTCAACACCAAGCCCATCGCTAAGATTAGAGCCTCACCCTCCCCTCCTCAGCCCTCCCACCAAAAAGACTCATGAGCCCTTCTCTTCGATCCGTCCCTCGTGCTCGTCTGCCGGCGTCGACTTCGTCGTCCCCGCCCATCCACGCGGGACGGGAGATGGTGAAGTCCGTAGCCTCAAACGTAACCTTGACGCGATTGGCGAAGTTCTCGAAAAAGTTGCCCGTATCCTCATCGTCCTCGATAACAGGTCTGCGTCTTTCAGGCCGTGTGCGAGGCGCCGGCGCGTTAGATGTGGTGTCTGCGATACTGCTCGGTTCACCCGCTGACAGCGCTGGGTTATCGGTGTAGGGTTCACTGGGTGGAGAGGGGGAGGCGCCGCTTCGACTGCTGAGCCCAAGGACATTGCCGCTCGAGCCTTGGATTTCACGCTCAATCAGTGCCCTGCCTTCGCGCCAGGAGCCACTTGCCGCATACGCGCCTGCCTCATCTTCTTCGTCCTCGAGAAGATCGCCAAACCCGCAGATATTGCGGATCTTGCCGTACAGCCCGAACGCGGTGGCGAACACAGGCACGAGGATGAAAATCGGGAAGAAGGCTGAGAAGTTCTTGCCCAGCGGTGAGAGATCGATAAGCCGGCCGAGGAACTTGTGGAACATCGTCTCGCCCCAGATCGGCTTATCCGTCATCGTCAAGAAATTATAAGATAACGGGACTGTGAGCTTGGCGACCTGCAAGCCGTACCAGGTAGCGGATTCCTGGTACGTATTCCGCCTTACGAGCGCGCGATTTCCCCAGATCTTGACTTCAGTGAGCGAGTAGAACGCGCATATACACATATAGCACAACCACGCCGCAGCAATAATCTGCCCTCCGAAACCGATCTGCGAGCGCGACGAGGACTGACGGTGCACGACGGTCCAGCCGATGATGGACAGTTTGTGGCCGCCGATTTCTTGGATTTCGCGCACGCATTCCGACCAGACTATGCTTATGGAGGCCAGGATTGTGACGAACCAGGTGAAGTAGGTTAGGGCGGGGATGATGTGGACGTGCAGGTGGTAGCGCGTGTATGGTGTGAGGAGGGTGAGGCGGGAGTGCCAGTGTTGCGGGGATGGGTAGGCGGAGGGTTTGAATTCGAGGCGTTGGGAGCCTTTTGAGTCGAGGATGGCTTGGGTGCGGATGGCTTTGCGGATGATTATGTCCCACTCGTTTTCGAAGCGGTTTTTGGCATGGCGCGCTCGCTTTAAGCGCCGCGTAAGGTCTGCTAGGTAGCGTTCTGTGATAACGGGTGGTATTTTCGTTGCGCTTGAGCGCCCCACGCTGCCAGCTCTGCTCTCTGGCAAACTGCCTTTCTCTGCCAGCTCGTCGATCCATCCTCGAAACTCTCTTGCGGTGCCGCTGTTCCTCTGCTTGAGCTGCACCACCTGATGCTCATACTGGTCAAGCTTCTCCAGCGCTTCAACCAACTTCTCATGAACCTTCGGCGCTTGTCCCTGGATCTTCTTGAGCCGCCCGCTGATACTCGCATACCTGAATAAGCTCCTTGGGAATGCCACCAGCCCATGTCCCATGAGGTAAACACCCAGTATCAGGCCCCAGGTGTACGCCAGTGCCATGGCTAGCGACTTGAACGTGTCGAGCTCGAACCCATTGTACCAGATCAAATATATGGACCCCACGATACCACACCCCAGCATGATAGCCCAGTACCGTCCATTGCTCCTCAGCGCATACAGCACCCTCGCCTTAGGCGCACGGTATCCAGAGTCGCAGTACTCGCCCAGCAGCGGCAGAATCGCCCACGTGAGCGCGAACGTAAGCCAGTATACAATGCGCCATGACTTGTACACGACTGTGTCGTTCAGCCAGATGCCCCTTGCCCCGTCTGTGTCCGTCCCTGCGCTGCTCGCGAGATCGATGGGGAGCAGTACGACAATACTAGCGGGTAACGCGATGGCGAGGAAGACAGGGACGGTAACGTGTGCGGGCGTTGTGCGGAGAGGGAGGTAGTAGCGCAACAGGAGCAGCACAAGACCGCATATCGAGAGTAGGGAGAGGACGAAGAAGGCTGTCGAGCCCGCGGCCGAGGACGTCGTTGTATACGAGGGGCCGTCGGCATATATCGTCGTCGCCATGGTGGGTGGGTGCTATGTGAGGGAGGAAGAATAGTTATCGGTGCCTGGGTGAAGACGCGTTTCTTCGGACGAACAGCTGATGAAGCACGCCGGGAGTTTCGGAAGGGAGGCGCGCTGTATGCTGCTACCTTGAAGACATTCTCCGATTACCTCCAAGCTCTTCACTTTAGCTGACAGACTTCTCCGAGCCCTACAAACATCGAACAAAGTTTAGCAGCTCAACATGTTGGTTGTGCTCGACATCTTGGACCCATTCGTCATCTGCGACCAGTACACCAATTTAGTAGCACATCAGCGATCACGAAAGCCCGCCACGTCCGGCCGAAAACGAGCTAATAAATGCCCCTTCCTCCAAAGCACGTCATACTACAAGCTTCACTGCAGCTGCGGGGCGCGCATACAGCACTTGACTAATCATCACCTTCTCTACGATCCAGATTCCAAATCGCCTTCCACATAAACCCTACATAACCCCTACATAACCGATACACTTCCAGTTCACACTTGACCTCACTCGCCACACCAAATCGTACGTACACATCCCTACCTTCCCTGCAAACCTCTCCACTGCCACCCGCAACCTTCAACTTCGTCCTCTAACTGACTTGAACAGAAGCTTTAACGCCGCAACAATTTCTTCCCTCATCCGCCGCTTCTTCAGCCGCGCCCCCAGCCCAACCACAATGTCCGCCGCAAAGACAAAGGTGCAATCCATCATCGACCAGAACCCCGTCGCCGTCTTCTCGAAATCATACTGCCCCTACTGCCGCCAGGCGAAGCAGCTGCTGAGCGACAAGGGCGCAAAGTTCTATGCCATCGAGCTGGACCAAGTCGGTATGTACATTCCCATACTGTTCACTCGCAGGCTCGCGCTTTGTGAAGAGTTGAGAGACAATGGGCAAAGCTTTGGGATTCATAGGCTAACAGCGCATAGATGACGGCTCAGCCATCCAGTCTGCTCTCGCTGAGTTGACCGGCCAGTCTACCGTCCCCAACATCTTCATCGCGAAGCAACACATTGGCGGCAATTCGGACCTGCAGGCCAAGAAGGGCGAGCTGCCCAACCTGCTCAAGGACGCTGGTGCCGTTTGACTAGATGGCGCGAAGGGAAGGCTATAGCTAGAATCATGATAAACAGAGTTTGAACAACACACGAACGTACGAAGTGGAGTTCGACGATTTCATATGACGTAGTGATGATTGGAAGAGATGTATTGGATGGTCAACTACCACCTAAAAGGACTCTTCCATCTCTATTTGCTACAAATGCGTGCATCTTTCCACCCAAGTAAGCTAGCCTAGGCTTCGCGACACTTTCTATCCATATCATTACCTGTACGTGAATGCTAGCCGTGACCTCGTTACAAGACTGAACTGACTTTCGGACGCTGCGACACCACCTAAGTCTGCATTGCATCCGTGAAGCTCTGTGCTGCCGTTGTCGCGAAATACCTGACATCAACGTCGTCATCCTGCTGCAGCTTCTCCAGGTTCGGCAATATGCTCTTGGTGATGAGATCTGTCGCCTTCTGGCAGCCTTGGCCAGGTGTGCCTGCCTTCTCCAGTGCAATAACGGTGCCCTCCTCGGGCAGCTGCTTTAGTGTGTTGACGAGTACACCGTAAGACTTTGCAACGTTGAATCGAATGTTGGGAATGTCGTCGTTGACAAGCTTGTCCATCATGGGGAGAATCGAAGCCTCGATGACGTCAAGGCTGAGAGCGGGTGCAAGGGTCTAAGACAGATTAGTATGCGCGTATTCGTTGTCTCATGAACAGATGGACTTACAGAAACGGCAAAGCAGGTGGTCATTCGGTACAGGTAGTTGGGATGTTGGCCCATGGCCATGACCTTGGGGACGATTGCCTCGTTGGCCCACTCGACACCGAAGACCTCAGTGAGCTTCTTCAGGTTCTGGGTCGAGGCTTCACGGATGGAGAAAACAGTGTCACCCAACCAGCTCATGCAGAGGCTGCTGAGCTTCTCGTCGAAGAACTTGACGCCGAGCTGTGAGGCAAGGAGGGGAACGTATTCGATGATGGCCAGACGGACGCGCCATTGCTTATCTTCGGCGAGCTGGACAATGGCGGGAAGAAGGGACTGCGACAGGAGCTCGATGCCAATGACTGTTCATATCAGCGTATGACCCTCGTATGACAGATCTTATACGTACCATTGTTGACGGACTCGAGCTTCGAGATGATGTTCAGGCGAACGTCAGGGAATTCGTCCTTGAGCATCTGGAGGAACATGGGAAGAAGATGCGAAATGGTCTCATCCTTTCCAAGGATAGGCGCAAGTCCGCTGATCTGAGTGCCGAGTGCGGCGCGAACGTGTTGTGACTGATCGGAAACAAGCTCCTCAATGCTGGGCATGACCTCGTGCAAGAGCGTTTCGCGCTCGAGAAGTGCGCAGAAGCCAGGGATCTGCCCAGCAATCGCACTACGGACTTCCGCTTCTGTGTCCTTAAGAAGCTTGACGAAAGCTGGGACGAGGTCGCGGTTGACAACCTCCTCATCGACGGCCTTCGCAATCTTCTCAAATCGATCCGCGACCATGTAGCGCACCCTCCAGCTCTTGTCCTCGAACAGGCTTCGCAGAGCAGTCAGCAATACGCCGTGACTTGACTGCTGCTCCTTGGGTACTGCTTCTGCAATCGCAATGAGGATGTCGACTGTCAGAAGTCTAACACTGTCCTGGTCGTCTGCTGCAAGGTGCTGGAACAGAGGGATCATCTCTTCGACAACAATTGAGTGTGGCATGGCCTTGATGAATTTTGCGAGGTTGTTCGCCGCTTGTCTTCGCACCATGGGGGTATCATCGTGCACTAGCTGGCCGTAGTGCTGTCTGAGGGCTTCCTGCGAGGGAGGTGTGGCTCGGGAGTAGGGAGTCTGGTACAGACCAGTCGCAGAGATCTTCGAGGTGAACCAGTCTGCTTTCGAAAGTCGCATAACGAGGGGAATGAAAGCGTCCTCAATCTGCTGCTGTGACAACTCTTCGCAGATCTTGTTGAGCGATTCAACAGCCTATGCATGTTAGTAGGAGTATCAAGTTTGGGGCGCATTTTCTTGCGCACCTTCTCGCGAACGAGCGGCTCCTCTATCGCGGCCAGGTTCTCCAGGGGCGACAGAAGCACATGTGCGTGCTCCGGGCCACCAACGTATTCGACGAACTTGCCCAATTCCTCGCTCAACGCAGTAAGCACCTCATCCTCGTCCTCAACAGACTCTGTGCATCCTGTTAGCCCATATTCAGACCCTACGGCGTGCCAACGCAAGCTTACCGTCGAGGAAGGGTATCAGCTCATCTCGTGTGCGCTCAGCGCCCAGTGCAAGGGCTATGGTGTTCAGGCGGTGAATTGCGTTCAGTCGTAGGATCACGTCATCGTGCTTGAGCTCGTCGATGAGGACGGCGATTGGGTAGAGCTCGTCGTTTTGTGCGTCCATGGTGGGCTGTGAGGGTCGGGTCTACGGAGGAGCGTGTTCGGGGCTAGGGGTCGTCCAGAGTGGTTTCAGAAGAAGTGGCGCACGTGTGGGAGTGAAGGAAGTTCAGTAGTTGTTGCGTCCTTGTGAGGCGTAAGCTTGTGATGGGCGGTGTGGGGATAGCTCAGGCACGGAGTCGTGTTGACGTACCTGGTGTTGGCAGGCAAGCGAACTGGGAATATTAAAGCAGGTGGGGCGACAGCACTTGCGGCAGGCGCAAGAGAAGAGTGTGTAGATGTGAGAGCTGTCTGCCCCGAATTCGACGTGTTTTGGTGTGGGTGGGTAAATCGATGTTTGGGCGTGTGTTATGGCGTGGTCTGGGTCCTCCTTTGGTGTTGAAGACCGTGAAGTGGGATGCTTCTGCCAAGCCAAGCGGCGGCATGGGGAAATCGCGACCCAGCCACAGCCCTGAGGCATTCAAGCATCAATGCGATGTCGCATTCGTGACTAAGTCTAAATCTCCTTTATCACATGCGCGCTTTTCTCAGCTTTATCTAGTGTCTCTCAAGAAGAGGAGTCTTGTGTACTGCCACCTTCCCGCTCGCAACACCTCTGCTTCCTTTGCTTGTTCAGCTGTCACTGGCGTAGGGGTTCAGCATGAGCGCCGTCAATTTCGAGGGGTCGACTGAGGACCACTTACCAAAACCCACACCAGAGACGGAACCACTTCTGGGGAGACGACCCTCGACGACATCTCACAGATCTCAACAATCAACCAAACAGCTTACAACTCGACATGCGTTTGCCATTCTCGTCACTTTGCAGATTGGGAGCGGAATTTTTGCCTCGCCAGCCCAGGTTGATAGCAATGTGCCCTCACCCGGTGCAGCACTGCTTGTCTGGGTTCTTGGAGGGTTGCTGTCATGGGCAGGTGCAGCTTCGTTCGCTGAGCTCGGTGCTGCGTTACCGTTGAACGGAGGCATGCAAGAATACTTACGTCATGTGTATGGCGACACAGCTGCTTTCCTCATGGCTTGGATCTACATCGTGGCCGTTAAGCCTTCGTCAATGGCTATACAAAGCATTGTGATTGCTGAGTCTGTTGGATCTGTCAGTTCAAGTGAACCTCTTGCTGGGTGGCTGCTGAAGTTCATTGCTGCCATCGCTTTTGTGTCAATGGTTTTGCTCAACTCCATCAACACCAAGGTTACACTACGACTAAGCGAATCTTTCACGGTCTTCAAGATCTCTACAGTGGGTCTGATAGTTATTGGCGGCTTTGTCGCAGTCATTGCACATGTGGTCAACCCCCACTCATCGCTCTCAGGGTCTTCAGATTGGTACTCAAAGAACTGGTTCGAGACACGACCAACGGTGTCAGATGGTCACATCATCAACTGGGACTCTATCAGTACCTGGGACCGCTACGGCCACTACTGTGCAGCGATCTATGGAGGACTGTGGGCCTACGATGGTTGGGATAATGTGAGTCTGAACCCTAAACCGAGCAACAGTCCTTCACCAATGTGGCGGTGGTGAACAAACCTGCAACGTATCGCTGACATGTGTATATAGGCCAATGTCGTCGCCAGCGAGATCCGTGATCCTGGCCGGTCCCTTCCAAAAGCCATCAAAGCCGCCATGATTGTGGTACTGAGCTCTTTCGAGTTCGTTAATATTGCCTACTACATCCTCCTGTCATGGGATAAGCTAAGCTCTAACAACGCTGTGGCTGTCTCCGCCGCAGCTTCACTTCTAGGCCAACCTGCAGGCATTCTCGTCACGATACTGGTCGCTGTCTCCTGTGCGGGCTCGGTCACAAGCAACGTCTTCTCAGTCGGAAGGCTCACAGTGGCTGCTTCGCAGCGTCACTACCTGCCTGCTTTCTTCAGCAAGCGTGGTCTACCCATGTTCCTCAGCGCAGACAACGATGAATCTGTAACGCCACGCTTTGATGCTCCCGTGTACGTCTCTTGGCTGCGCGCAATCCGCCTGTGCTTACAAAAAATCTAGCTACGCAAACATCCTTGCCCTAGTGATCACTCTGATCTACATCTGCACAGGCAGCTTTCGAGCGCTTCTCACCTTCGTTGGAATGGCTGAATGGGTATTCTACGTCAGTACCGTCATCGGTCTGCTGCTACTTCGACGTCGAGAGCCGCAGCTCGAACGACCCTATCGACCATCAATCATTCTGCCTGTGACCTTTGTCATCGTTGGTACTTTGGTCATTGTGCGCAGCACGATGTTTGCGCCCGTGCAAAGCGGAGTCCTTGCAGGTCTTCTGGTTGTAGGCGCCATGATCGGCATACTGCGCTCGAGATGAGGCCAGCCACGCAGCGTCGAAAAGCACACAATACCACGCACGTATCTTTGTTCGCGAGATGCCTACGAGGAGGAGAGACTGTAGCAAAGCGATCCAGAGTTCACTAGCTTGAGGTTCAACACACGTACATTAGCACATTGCGCGGTGAGGGCATTTGCGCAAGTAAACTCGCACCGCCAAGCCACATGCTCCACACCGATACTGGCATTGCTCTGTCAAATTTGAACTTCCGTCTACTCCCGGCTAGCTCTGTTGTCATCCGATCATTGCTGGCACCACAAGCATGATCTCCGCATGGCAGAACTGCTTGCGCACCCTGTTGTCATCCACGTTAGGTCACATTTCGGGATAATCTAGCCATACGGCTGTATGCCTTGCCGTGTGTTGATGTCGTGTGCGCAAGAATGCGCCCTTTGCTAGGCACTCAAGTATGGCAACATCACAGCATAATCACCAAAGGCTACCGGATTAAATCAAGAGCACTGCTTCCTCATTCACTATACAATCACTCGAACATTGGTTCAGTTCCTGAGGCAAAGCAACCATGGGTCACATTGTGCAAATCACGACTGCCATCGCTATATCATTTGAGTTTGTGCTAGCCACATCTCTCCTCGCTATTTTTGCATCTGCATACCCTGATCGATTTCGTACAGCACTGTGGCGCGATGGTGGTAACAAGGGCTGGAACTCGGATCCGAGCTACCGTACATACTTGTACGCAAACTACAAAGAGATCCCACCTATGCCATTGATCTGGGATGAGAGGTACGCTTCGCTCTTATCCTTCCTGCAAGCACCTGACTGAGTTGTAATTTCAGGTCAACGCAGTACAGCCTCTGCGTCGCCATAATCACCATGGTTCTTTGGTTTGTGCGATTATGCATACGGGGACGCACCTTGGATGTCTATGGCGCTGCTGTGAGCAACGTGTTGTATGACATAATCTTAATGGCACTCTGGTCATACAGTGCGGTCATTCAATCTTCCGGCGATTCCTCCGACCCAAAGCACATCTCATTGCGACCATGGTACCTAGAGCATGGGTGTAGCGAAGCGCGGTCAAGGAATCGTGCTGCTTGCCAGGCTGCAAAAGCTTCATTCGGTCTGGCGATCTTTGCAGTGTAAGTGCATTTACTTTCATCACAGGATCGCTCTTGGAGCTAATATGTTTGCTGTTCAGTCTTTGGTTCGGCTTTCGATGTATCACGACATGCATGTATGGCGCTTACATGTACGGCAAAAGCTCCGATGATGCAGACGCTGTCTACTTTGACAACGAGAAGAAGTGCATCCAGGCTTCACTCGAATGTAGCTGAAACATACTTCAGTCTTGGCTTTCATCAATCTCTCAATTTATGGGCCGAGATCTCGTCAACGTCGCCCGAGTCCGTTCACTTCCCTACTCTACTACCGTACAGCTTCGCCACGTGCTACTGCGCGTGTTTAATCAATCGCAGCATCAGCTACCCAGCCTTCCAATCCAAGTATAGGCTGAAATCGCAGAGTGACACAACTGACTTTGGTCAATGTACACGGTATACGCAAGACCTTCGGTGCAGTCTGCTCGGCGTGACAGCCTGACGACCGGGCTCGTCATTTCACAGTTTCGGTATTTGCCGGACAACGATATAATTGATTCCGTAGCAAACGCTTTCACCACGTAAAGCATGCGCAATTCAGCCAGCGCTCAACTGTTTCAACTTCTGTGCATCTGATCGGAGTTTACTCCGAACTATCGAGTTTTGATATCTCCACACTTAGATACAAACCTTTCGGACGAAGCAAAACCGAGGCATCTGCTCAGGAGAAGTCGTGCCTGCGGACCACATTGATGCAGTATCCGTCAGTACGATTCAGGCGTTCTTTCCGATCTTGTGTGGAGCCGAGCTGTCAGGCGCAAGCAACTAGCCGACACGCCAAGGAGTCCATGGTAAAGGCGCCTGTCAAAGAGAGTGTCAATTCCGAAGATCACTTACACAAAGTTGATAGTGCGGCTGTCAACTCCCGAAGCAATACCAAACGGCTTTCACAACGGCAGAAAGTGGAGGTGTCGTTCGAAGATGTAGTCGCTTCTGTGTAGCCCCTTGTTTGATAACTCCCAAAGCGGTAATTCCTTCGACCCGCTGTTACCTATGTGGCATTAGTGCGCGGGTAGAGATTGAGCTTTATGGATCTTGTGCTCACATTCGGTGCGCCGCTGTTTCGAAACACCCGCAGGCTTGGTTTGCACATGGCTTGCTTAGGAACGATGTTTGTCCGCTTTGATTAAGGGACTATGCAGATCATACTGCTACGATGAGGGGCACAGCCTTGACATAAAGAGAAGAAGACGATTGCTTCGATACAAATACTCAAGGCATCTTCCCTTTACACTCTTTACATTCTATTCACCTCAGTCTCTCACTTCCTATTCGCTTCTAAATTCATCATGAAGATCTTCGCTTTTGCTGCTCTTGCCAGCCTGGCGCATATGGCAAGCGCAGTCGGCGTTGTTGGCAAGGCTGAAGGTTTCGCGGCTGGAGTTACTGGAGGTGCGCAAGAGGACCACGGGACTGAGTAGACTCTCGAGCTGACTCTTGATCAGGCGGCAGCGCCACTCCACAGTATCCAAAGGACATCAGTGAGCTGACTACGTGGTTGACCGACTCTACCGCGCGTGTAATCGTCCTTGACAAGACTTTCGACTACACCACATCAGAGGGAACAGTCACTGGCACTGCTTGTACGTCAAAGATTGTTATGGAAGGCAATAAGATACTGACGAAGGCAGGCGCAAGCTGGGGAACTGGAGCCAAGTGCCAACGTATCTTGTTGGACTCCTGTGATGCTGGCCAGGTCAAGGAGACCGTTACTTACTACAAAGCTGCGAAGTCGCCCATCAAGGTTGGTTCCAACAAGACCATCCTGGGTATTGGATCCAAGGGTATCATCAAGGGCAAGGGTCTGTCCTTCGCCGGCAAGAACGTCATTGTCCAGAACATTCAGGTCAGTGACTTGAACCACAAGTATGTCTGGGGTGGAGATGCTCTCTCTTTCGCCGGAGCCGACCTTATCTGGATTGACCACGTCACTGTAAGTGTTCCTGTTCCAACTGAGAGCGTCACTGCTAATGTCTTCACAGACTGCTCGTCCCGGCCGTCAGCACTACGTCTTTGGCTACACACCTAGCACCCGCATCACTCTCTCCAGCAACTTCATCAACGGCGCCTCCGACTACTCCACCGGCTGCGACGAGTACCACTACTGGGTCTTCGAGATGGTCGGCACTGGCGACTCCATCACCATGAAGCACAACTACATCACCAAGACCGCTGGCCGTGGCCCTGCCCTCAGCGGAAAGACTCTCCTCCATGCCGTCAACAACGTCTGGTTCGACGTCAAGGGCCACTTGCTTGAGGGTGGCGATGCCGGTGCTCGTGGTATCTTCGAGGGTAACGTCTTCAACAACGTCCAGAACGTTGTTGCCGACTACAAGGGCAAGCTCTTCGGTTCTCCTGACGCCAGCACAAACGTGCAGTGCAGCACTGCTCTCGGCAGGTCTTGCCAGGTCAACCTCTTCCAGGGTACTACGACGACTGCTAGCACTTTGACTAGCAAGAAGGACACAAGCTTCTTTGGCGAGTTCACGGGCTTGACTATTGCGAGTGCTAAGACTGCTTCTGAGATTGCCTCCAGGGTCCCAAATGCGGCTGGTATCGGTAAGCTTTCTGCGCTTGCTGGAAGGTCCGCGTCAGTCAGGTTCAGGGAGTAAAAGCATGCCGGTATCGCACCTCTGCAATCCGTATGGCTTGTCTCTCCTTGAATGTTGAAAATTTCTTTGTACATACTTCGGTAGTGGCTGTTCGTATGATGGGTGAGTGGCAATCAACAATAATGTTGAATGACAATGCACACGTATTTGGCATTCATGCCCGACGTCAAGTACTCTGAACTCTTACACACAGCCTAGCTGACTTAGATTAAAGACCATCATGTATGTGATCAGAGAGTTGTCGTATACAGTTACAGTTGTAGCTCTCGATTTGACACAGAGCCCTGGAAGCAACATTCAACCTATCGACGGATTTGCACCCAACGTGATCCCGCCAACTGTCCGAGCTGATCATCAATTCAGGGTGGACACCTCCGAGACCTGTCTTCACCCGAGAATTGCCAATGTCCTGTATATGAGTAACATATGGGAGAGACATATTGTACAGGGCGAACCGCATTTGAGAGACGTTCCTACGGAGCTGCCACCGGGTGACTCAATCGTCATCATTCTACTCTCCAGTGATGGCAAGAAGGTCGAGACCATCAAACACGTGCAGACGAATGTAGATGTCATCCGCGGAATGCGGCTCAACGATGAAGGCACACACATGGTAGTTGTTGGTCAGGAAGGCGGCGGAGTGGAGATCTACGAAGTACATGGGGAAAGAGGGGAAGCATGGACTCTGGCAGCTGGTCTGAATGTTGGATTGGAAACAGGGTTGAAGCACGCAGTATGGCTTTGAGGTAGCCCATCACAACGTGATCTCCACATGGTTAGCTCTCCCGCCATATATTAGAGTGACTAGTACGATGCACAGCCACAGACTACGGGAAGGCACCAACCTCTCAAACTTTTACCACGCCCGAATACGGACCTCCCATTCCCTTACGATTTGTTCGAAAACTTGACCCATAATCAACATGTCTGGATGCAAGCACCAAATCCTGCAACTTAAGCCTTCACCGTTCGCGGAATTGGCAGGTTACACTCAACTTTCCCTTCATCAACACAAAGCTGTGATGACCAAGTCGGGCAAAGTAACAAAAGCCTTAGCATCCCGGCTCCATTGGTGCTGCCATTCGATGGCCTTGACTATGACCCTGATTGCGAGGCTCAAGGTTTTAAATGTTGGCTACAATACGACGGGAGAAATAAAGTGTCCGTACCCAAGCGAACTGTGTACATCGCCCGCGTACCAGAGGTCACGAAACATGTCGCGTATATGAGTAGTTGGCCTGCCCCTAGACTACACCCCAAAACACTCGCATTCCAAGGGATGAAAGAACCAAGTCCCAACATCCGCAGCTTTATCAAATACATCAGCGTATTCTACCACGGTATGACAGTAAGAGAGCTTGTGGAAGGGTTGAGATGGTTGATTGATTGATCTGAAGAGCTATATCGGGAATCGATCGAGACTGTATAGTAGAAGGGAATAGCAGTGAAAGTGTGGGGAAACAAACCAAAATAACCGATTGAGCTGGACAATCAGAGCAACGGACCTCTGGACAATCAGAGTAGCGGACCGCTGGCGAACAGAGCTCCCTAAACGACTCAAATGGACATCCTGGGAAAACAGTCCTAAATCGAGCCACAGGTCCTCTATTCCAGAGTATGTTGCCCTTCAGTACGGCAATGAGACAACGCGCGTCCGCACCCGCAAACCACCAGGCAACATCTTCATCGCTCAACTCAACCTGAACGACATTCTCGACGATGCAATAAGAGCAATACCAGATGATGCTTATGCTCTGTGTCTGCTGGTCGACCACGACATGTGGGAAGAAGACGACGATTTCTGCTGCGATCGCGCATATGGTGGAAGTAGAGTCGCCGTTGTCCAGACAGCACGGTACAACCCTACTCTTGAGGCAAAAGAGGGCATTGACAGGGCTCACATGTGGCCGTTGAGCTACTGCAAAGACTTCGTCGACAAGATCTGCCTTACTGAAGACTTAGTGTTGCGGTAAATGCAATAAGTGTAGGTGTAACCGCGAAAGGCAGTCAGTCAGGGGGAACCGCGCGAAGCAGTAAGAAATCGGTATATTGTGTTGTTCTTATTCAGTATTCTGTGATTGCCTCTCACCCGGCAGTCCTGTTTACATGACGTATGTCTCGTGCAGTCAAGAGCAGGAGGTGCCTGTTGAAATAGGTAAGAGCACTGCACCAACACACGTGGCACACATGACCTCTATACTCCATAAACAGTCACAATTAGAGCCCCAAAAGCCAACACAACAAAGAGTAGAGGGGAGCAGATCTGGATCGATGCGAAAAGCGGTGGACGCCGCTGTTCGCAAGATGAGCGAGACCAAAAGTGAAGAGAACGCGGAGGCGCTCTGGTTTTCAAGACTGGCGAGGACCGTGAGCCATGAGCTTGCGCATTGTTTCGCGTTCGATCATTGCGTATATTATGCGTGTAATTCGCAGGGTACGGCAGGACTGAGGGAGGATGTGAGGCAGCCACCTTATTTGTGTCTGGCGTGCGAGACAAAGATCAGTCATGCTATAGTGGTTGAAGGTTTGAATGGAAGTGAGGAGAGGAGGAAGGCCTAGCTTCGGAACCGGTGCGCGAAGTTGCGAGAGTTCTGCAAGAGCGTTGAGAGGAACAGAAAAGGGACTGCGATATGGAGTGGACTTGATGCTTGGTTGGAAGCAAGAATGTTGCAGCTGTAATCACTACACCTTCATCATAAAACATGTATCCTATTACCTCGATGTGTAGCCGCCGTCAACGACCAATGCACTTCCTGTGACGAAACTGCTCCTTCCACCCGCCAAATACAATACACCATCCGCAATCTCCCTTGGTGCACCCATACGCTTCATCGGCACTGCACTCTCAACCCGCTCCTCCATAGCCTTCAACACCTCCGGGTTCTTCGTCGTCATCGGCGTTTCCGTGTAGCCTGGGCAAATCGCATTGACCCTCAATCCTCTGGCTGCATAATCCTCGGACGCCGTTCTGGTCAGTCCGATCACGGCGTGCTTAGCCGTTGTATAGGCTGTGGAAAGAGTAATACCAACGACGCCTTGAATGGATGAGAAGTTGATGATGGAGCCGCGCTGCAAAGGCCGCCCGTCAATCGAAGACTTGATCGGCTCTTGCTCAAGCATGATGGCTGCTGCGGCGCGAAGAACGTAGAACGTGCCATTCAGGTTTATATCAAGAACTCGATTCCAATCCTCCGTCTTCGCAAACGCACTGCCACCAGGATGTTTGATAGCGATGCCTGCAGCGTTGACAACGTAGTCCAAGCGGCCAAATCTCGTAGCGACATCGTGGACGACGCGAGTCACTTCTGCTTCATCGGTGATATTGAGTGCGTATGCCAAGACCTGACACGGCACGTCTCTGGTGACTTTGGCGATTTCAGCTTTTGTTGCTTCGAGACCCTCAGCGTTGATGTCGAGGATCGCGACGCCAGCTGCTCCTTCCTGGGCAAAAGCTAACGCACAAGCGGTGCCGATACCGAAGGGGGAGCCTGCACCTGTGACGAGAGCGTAGCCGGGGACATCCATTGTAGTAGGTGACTAAAGTACTCTTGTTGCAATCTGAATTCAATATGGAATTGATGTTGAGGACATTCAGATATTCGATCAAGGGCTGGAAAGAGGTTGGAAGGATCGAAATTGCAGCTTTGTGTCCCTATAGTGAGCGCCTTTAGCCTGTAGATAAATCATCGCAAAGTACTCCTCGATGTAGCGTAGAGTGTCTTGCGTGAAGAGCTGCCGTACGGTTATCCATGGTTTAGTGTTTCCCCGCCTGTCCACCCGGGGATGCCTTCCTTTTGATTTGGCCGCACCGATAACGGCTATGAAGCACGCTACCAGATTATCATGTCGGACCATAATCAATCAATCTTAGATTGGCAAATCTGAAAAGGAGTACCATTGTAAAGGAAGTTGGATACGACGTACGCTCTCACTTCTGCAAGTTGCGTTGAAAAAAGTCGTCCGAGAGCTCGCCTTTCACCCCGGAAGATTCACACATCAGGATAGCGTTGAGAAACCACCGTTGGAAAAGTTTAGAAGGCAACTGTGATCATTGCTAATTACATCTATCCAAAAACGATCTATGCAAACACAAGTCCCTTGTACCCAGATGTCTTGCATTCCTCGCACCTCCTACGATACTCAATCGCACTTCCAGTGTACCTCGCAGGATGAGTGCTCCTCTCCGTCTTGCCCTTCACATTCTTGTTCACACCCGTCATCCAGCTGTCCACCTCATTAATCAGGCCACCCTTGCTGCACTCGTACACATGCTCCGTCCATGCATCGACCGCCTCCTGTGCTGGCTCAACAGACGTGTAGTTGTTATCTTTGCAGTACTGCAGCAACTCCTCAATGACATGTACTGCGTGTTCGATGCTTCGTGTTGCATTGCCAAACGGCTGGTGTGGACCGAGTGTCATAAACATGTTCGGCATGGAAGGCACTGTGATGCCCAGAAAGGTGTGTGGCTTGTGGTCAGGCCAGATCGCTCGCTTGCCCTCTTTAGTGTCGCTGCTTGCGATGAGCGGGCGGTTGTCTTTGCCGTGCCACTCGATGGCGTTGAATGCGCCAGTGATAGCATCAAAGCCAGTAGCATGGATGAGGACGTCCAGCTCATGCTTCTTTCCGTCCGCAGTTTCGATCCCATCCGCAACAATGCTCGTGATCGGAGTTTTCTGGAGGTCGACCAAGTGAATGTTGGGCTCATTGTATGCCTCAAAGTAGCCACTCTCAAGCGGCACACGCCGAGTACCGAATCCGTGGTTCTTAGGAATGAGACTGTCCGCTGTCTCAGGATCGTGTACTCGCTGTCGGATCTTCTCTGCCATGTACTTTGAGTACAACTCGTTCGCCTGTCGGTCGGTATATGTGTCGCTGAAGACTCCTAACCACTTTCCAAAACCAGGTGCGTTGTACATCTTCTCCCAGAGCGCCAGACGTTCCTCGTCGGTCACTTCTGACGACTTGCGTGGGTCAGCTTGGTGCATAAAACATGTAGATGTTTCCGCACAGGTCTTGAACACCGAGTCATACTCGGTTCTGTAGATGTCCATTTGCTCAGGGGTGACTTTGAAGTTACGCAGTGGCGCTGACCAGTTCGCTGTTCGTTGAAAGACGCTTAGAGACTTGAACCCGGGTTGCTTTGCAATCGCGGTGATTGTTTGGATGCCTGTGGCGCCCGTGCCGATGATACCAATGCGCTTGTTGGCAAAGTCGCGGCTAATATCGAGGTCTGACGGCCATCGAGATGTATGGAAAGCCTCGCCTTTGAAGTCATGAACTCCAGGAATGGCAGGTAGTGTGGGTGCAGAAAGAAAGCCCAGACAGCTCAGAAAGAACCGTGCTGTGTACTCCTTTCCTTCTACATCGACAAAAGACCAAAAGTGATCTACATCGTTCCAGTGCGCGGTCTTGATTTGAGTGTTGAATTGTATTTCCTTGTACATGTCGTGTTTCTCGGCAACACGCTTAATGTATTTGTGCGTTTCTGGCTGCGGAGAGAACGCCTCCTTCCAGTGCCACTCATCGAGAAGCTCTTTATCGAACGAGAAGCTGTACGATAGAGATTCCGAGTCGAATCGGCATCCAGGATACTGGTTCCAGTACCATGTTCCACCAACATCTGGCGCATTGTCGATGACTTTCACGCGCCATGTGGGAAATCGCTTTCGAATGTGATAGAGACTGCAGATCCCAGATAGCCCTGCACCGATGATGAGGACATCGTAATCAGGGCCTGCTTGTGCAACTGAAGGCATGTTGTGGAACAGATAAAGTGATGCAAAAGGGTAAGTTGTATTGCAAAGGCAAAGCCGGACTTGCTCAGATATTTGACAGATTACACTTAGGATCTTCAGTGTATTGGGTCGTGAGCGACTTCATTACGGACAGTCCGATGTAATCCGAAAGACAAAACATGTTCGTAAGGTGTCTGCTCGACTTGCCTGTCATGAAGGTGAGCATACGCGCTGGTGGTTTGCCCCGCACTTGCCTGACGTACAAGATAAAGGGTGATGCGGGGAGCTTCGGTGGAAGAGGAAGGTTTCCGCGAGCGCGTTAGACTATCGGCTAGCCACGCGAATGGTCGGTACTATGTATGGTACGGTGCTCATGGAAGTAGGCAGCATTCGCAGGCTGAAATTTACTTGAGCAAGCAGAGTTGGACATTCCTGTGCTGTGAACGAGGCTTAGTTTTGCCGTGTGGTTTCAACGCTCAATCGCCTTACACTTTCAAACAACATTCCTGATCGAAACTTCTTGAACTACCTCAAACAACATTCCTGATCGAAACACTTTGAACTACCTCAACATGAGTTCATTCGAAGGCAGAGTCGTAGGTTGCACCCGAATACAAAATTCGTATACAGCGCTGAACTATATCAAGTACGCCGTAACTGGCGCATCTTCGGGTATGGGCCTTGCAACTGCAAAGCTGCTTGCGTCCCGTGGTGCATCCATTTCATTGGCCGATATCAATGAGGATGGTCTGAAGTCTGCCATTGCATCACTTGCAAGTAGCCAGCAGCACATGTATACTGTAGTAGATGTGCGCAATAGTGAGAAAGTCAATGCTTGGATCAAATCCACTGTTGACAAGTATGGCAAGCTCGATGGTGCTGTCAACATGGCCGGTATCATAACCAAAGCTACCCCAGTCAAAGACTTGACGGACGCCGATTGGGACTTCTCATTTGCAGTCAATACGAAGGGCGTCTTCAATTGCTTGCGATCGCAGCTGAATGCTATGCAAGATGGCGGTAGCATAGTAAGTCTCGATTGTAGCCGACTCGTTTCCGTCCGGTCTGATCAGTTCCGTAGGTTTCTGCGGCCAGTGTATTCGGCCAATTCGGTGCACCTGGCAACGCGGCTTATTGCGCCACCAAGGCAGCTGTAATTGGCCTGTCTCGTACAGCAGCCAAGGAGAACCAGAAGATCAGAGTCAACTGCGTGTCACCAGGTGAGTTTCCAGACCCTCTTCCCTGCCGCCTCATGGACCTAGCTAATATATGGCTCGAAGGGTCCGTGAACACGCCAATGTCTCAAGGCGAAGATCCGGAGGACGTGAAGCGAGGGCTGCAGGTCACTGCCCAGAAGAGGCGGGCTGAACCGATCGAGATCGCTAACGTGATTGCTTTCCTTCTCAGTGACGAGGCGTCCTTTGTCACTGGCGCGGTTTACAATGTTGACGGCGGTTGGGTATGCTAAGTAACAAGTCACATCAATTGAGATGTGTTGATCAACAAACCCTCGACACCCTCCCATTTAGGATATCAAACCCCTGAGTGTGGCCAACGCATGTTAAATGCCGTATCATGAACGGTGGATAATCGCCATTTACCTCTAGTCAGAAGCTTTGAAGTGCTCAGTCTGCGTCATATTCGATGCTGACCGAACATTGGAGATTGCTCGCCTCAACTAGCCCCGTGAGCAGCGCCCTCCATCCGCACGAAGTCAACCCATGTGACTTGCGATGCATGACCATTGCGTTTCTGGTCCCAAACTCGCTCAATGCTCGCTTTTGCATTGTCAAAGTAGGGCAAACCACTGCGTGATGCGGAACTTTGGAACCACTCTGCAAACGAGGCTTGAACCTGAGGATCTTCTGCTTCACATGCTGCAATGAATGCAGGCCACAAGAGCCGAGCAGATCCATACATGGTGCCGGCCCCGGCTGCTTCCGACCGGAGAAGGCAGTCGTGAATACCGACAACATGCGTTTGCAGCATATCAGCCTCCAAGTTGTAGATCCGTCGGTGAAAGTATATTGTCAATGCATGTTGCATGGCCTGGAGCAAGTCATCGAGCATTGGCTCGGGAGCTTCGGATGGGTCTATTGGAAAAGGACTTGGCCCTTGGTTTGGTCGGTACAGCTGCTTGATGTACCGCTCCACGGTCTTCGCGCTACCCAAAAAGTCTTTTAGGGACAAAGCATCAGCAGCATCCTGGTGCCTAGCTTCGTCTCTCCACTGGCCCAGTCTAATGACTAATGACAGTGCGAACACGTACTTCTCCGGTACGCCGAAGATTTCAGGATAAAGCGTTTTGGGCCAGATGCCTGGGTTCTGTAGGTGCAGATCGTTCTCTCCTTCTTCGCGGCACTTGACGCGCAACATTTGACTTTCCAAATCGTTCAAGTCACCTAGACGGAAAGAGAGACTATCGTGACTGTACGCCATGGCGCCACTCGATTCAATAGCTTTGCGAGCATGACTGCGATGTGGAGAATTTATACCAGCAAGGTAAACACTTTCGTGGAACATCCTTTCGAACACATAGCAATGATGTAGTAGGCGGACTTTGCGAGACTTCTTGCGATTGAGGCCTTTCACTCGGATGAACTTCTCCGCCTCGATAAAGTAGCACTCGGCCTGATCACGGTTGCCGATGAATATGGCTACCTGCACCATGCTGAGTAAGGCGATCAAGGTGTGCTTGTATTTGGCAGTCTTGGGGTAATCGTAGGCAGTCCTGAGCATCCGGCGAACATGCTCACGTGCGATGTTGAGGTACATGTTGCCCTGTTCGAACCACGTATTGGATCGCGTTACGCCACCTAGGCTGAAAGCACTGATCGACATCGTAGCGTAGAATGCACAGAGACTGGCATGGTCCAGAGCCTCCCCGAGCGTGAGTGCCGCTAGACAGCTTTTGGCATGCGGAACGAAAAGGACATGCCAGGGCGTCTTGCTATGTCGGAAAGGAGTCAGGAGGGTAAGCACTGTGGTCGAGTAATGCTTGATAAGATAGACTGCATCGTTTGGGATGCTGTTATTGGCGGCAGATACTGACATTGAGTCGGATGGACTTGTTTGCTGGAGTTGTGGATCGTAGCCAGAAGCATTGAAATGGAAGTCGTGGCCCATCTCAAGTAGTTGGGGTTGTGGCTGGAATTCGGGCAAGTTGATAGTGATGTCTACATCGTCAAAGACCTCCTGTATGCGAGCCGAATCATCGATCGTATTCCACAAGGGCATTGTCGATGAAGTTAGATCGCCCTCGGGAAATTCGAGGATGGATTGAAACAGTGCCCGTGTTCTCGGCGTCAAGGTTCCGCTAGGAAGAGTCAGGGCGTTCTCGTCTGCTTGCTCCATGCCTTGCACGAGCTGTGCACCCTCTGTCCAATTTGGAAGGTCATCGTTCATGGTTGGCAGGTCTTGTGCTAGTCTGAAAGCTCCGAATGGACCTTGAGAAATGCTAACATCGGCAGAGGGCGAAACGGCTTCACATTTCTCATCAATCTTACTGAGTTGTCGCATGACCGCCCTTGGGGATACGGCTGTCGTGAGCCACTCACTCATACTTTCCCGTTCTTCCTCGGTGAGCAGAGGCCTTCGAAAGCGAGCAACGTTCGCATCTGAGGCTACGTCGAAGTCGAAGAAGATGCTTATCTCGTAACCGCCACATTGTACCCCTGCATTCCTGCACGCAACACACGTAGGGCGACCTTCATCGCATTTCGTGTGACGAGTTCGGCACTGCGATAGCGCATCAGCAATGGTCTTTCCTGGGTGCTCAGATGAACTGCCGACTCACTGTTGCGCAACCGCCAAAAGAGCGGCTGCGGCCGGAAACTGCGCTCAGGTCTCGTTGCGGCATGCGTCAATGCATCGAGCACATTAGCATCGAGGGAAAGTCATCTCGAGCAGCTGTCGAAGCAGCTTTGATGAATTTGATGTGCTTGAGTGAACAAGTCACTCCGATACGCGTCCCGATGGATTAGGAAAGGCACCGCGATGCGGCCAGACTTCGGAGTCGCTAAAATCGTGTCCCTCCTTTTGAAAACACCCAGAACTTTACATCTCAGCCACACTACCCCAGATTTCTACCCCGCGTGCACCAGCTACCCAATCTACGCTTTGACGCGGTTCCCACTTAGCGGGATGCCTTGATACGAGAAGGTGATTGCTCGGATCAAGGGCCTGGGCTTTGAACCTTAGAAGACTTGGGTAAGCCATCGCGTATCAGCTTCCACGAAGAAGCCAATATACCATGGCTCTTGCTTCATACATATTGGGCACGATCCCCGGCGCTGGCGACGATAGAATCAGGTCTACAGCGCAAGCGTGGACGACAGTCTCGTAATATATCACGTCTGTTTGTTCAGTCTTCTGAATTTCTTTCCTTGTCAGGATCAACTCGTGGTTTGACAGCCAACATGACCGACCAAGCCCCTACTTCCTCACATAAGAAGGGGTCCTACGAAAAGACCACTGAGCACGGACTTTCTTGACTCGAGAGCCATGCAGTCGGTACTACTGGTTCGTTGGCATAAAAGTCATCATGCTAGTCGGCCTCCTCCTCGCAGTATCCTTATGCTAGGCGGTGGGCCTTCCGGCGACCGCATCGGCTTCCAAACATGCAATGGTCCAGGAGCAATCACAGAATATGTCGTAGGAGGTGCAGGTGTCTACGTCTGGGTCTTCTCCGGGTTCTCCTTTTACTTCGGCCCTGAGCTCATCATCACCACCAGCGGCAAGATGTACCACCCACATACAAACCTGCCCATCATTAGTCGCCGCTTCGTATACCGCCTGGCATTCTTCTACGTCTTTGGTGCCCTGGCCATAGGCGTCATTTGCCGCTCCGATGCAGAGGGTCTCACTTCCGGCGCCGGGAACGCGAAAGCCAGTCCTTGGGTCATCGCGATCTGTAACGCTGGCATCTCAGCCCTTCCATCCATCGTCAACTGCGGTATTCTGACCAATGCATGGTCAGCCGGCAACTCCTTCCTCCACATGTCAAGTCGCAGTCTCTACTTCGCAGCACTCGTCGGCAACGCCCCCGAAATCTTCACCCGCTGCAACTCCTACGGCCTCCCCATCTACGCCGTCATTGCCACATCGCTCTTCTCTCTGCTCGCCTACCTAAGCGTCTCCTCAGCGGGAACAGTCTTCAACTGGATCATCAGCCTGACCAACACAGTCGGTTACACAGGTTGAGGTTGATGCTGACACTTGGGAGCGTATGGAGATGATGAAAAGGAGTGGTAAGAAGCATGATGGTGCTTGGTGGAAGAAGTTTGAACTGCCTATGGGCGTGATCGTTCGTGGCTTTGGCGACTGTAGCATACACAATGCATTTAGGAGCGAATGTGTAAAGTTTCCAAAAATATTTGTGGTATTGTGCAACCATCGTTAAATCGTCTCGGGGCGTGAGCTTTCCAAACAATCACTGCCCATAGCGGACGTAATCCTGCACCTGCGGCTTACAGGGCCCGTATGTCACCATGGCCACCTAAGTCTTGTAGAAGTCGTCCGCCTCCTTCTCCGTAACGTCGCTGACCAAAGATCTCTTCTGATCGATCAGCCCGTACTTGCTGCCCCTGACTCTCCACCACATCTCCCTTCGATCGCCATTCAGCGCATCTTCCAGAAGCTCTTTCTTAAACTCTCTCACGAAGTTGTTGTACATCTCCGGCTCTTCGAGTTCAGTCAACTCATCGCGCATGACACGGACTGCTTCAAGCGCTCGCCCATACGCACTCTCGCCCACACTGTTCTTCACAAGATTGCGTATCTCCTTCGCCATGGCATCAGCAGCGGACTGTATAGCAGCGAGATCATCTGTGACAGCAAGTGCCTGCTTGAAGCTCGGAACGAGATTCGCAGGGTCGATCTTGACTTGTGTTGGGTTGCCCAGAAGCGCATCGATATCGAGACCGGAAATGGGCTTCTCGCGCTCGGAGCGATTGCGCTTGCCGCGACCCTTGACTTTGGGAGGTACTTTCTTGACGTCTGATGCGACTTTGAGGGATTCAAGAATGCTGTTTGCGCGCTCGACGAGGTCTGAGGGTGGGTTGGAGTACTTCATGAGGATTTCGGGCGGGTCTGGGATGGTGAGGGTGGGATCGGAGTGTGTGGCGCGCCATCTGATGATGTGGTTGATGCGGTGTACGAGCGGTGCGTACGTATCCTCGGGCTTTGCGTACTCGTCAGGGTTGCCGTCCTCATCTTTTGAAAAGGTGGAGAGGTCCATAGCATCGACGTAAGCGCCCATTGCGGCCGTAAGGTCGGCATTTGGTAGGTCCTTGTGTTCTGTAATAACCTTCCCGCTAACTGTGAGCTTGCGATCCAAGGGAGGGAACTTGTATCGTCGCATGTCTTCCTCAAAGGGCAGCTCTACATCGATCAGACACTCGAAGTCCGGCTCGATTCGTGGTGATAGAAGGACCATGATTGGTGGCTTGTTCTCTTTAGTGACTAAGCGTGCAACAGCGTACAGGCCACCTTCGTGAAGAGCGTGTATGAAGGAAGATAAGCCCAGCTGTGCCATTTGATTCGTTCTCTGCGGCACAATGTAGTTCGTCCGGCTCATGGGAAGGTAGCGTTTGAATTCTTCTTCCCTCGCAAACCCGACAATACGCAGTGAGGGCTCTGTTTCCAGCTTCACAACGTTAAGGTTAGACTCAGCGATGTGGACGGCTGTTCTGCCGTACTCATAGCCCTTCTCCAGTTCTTCTAACTCAACGTTCTTTTTAGTGCCCGGCTCTTCAGGGTCATCGATCTGGTAATCGCGCTGATGTCGCACAGCCGCCAGATCGCTCATCGGGTGATCCTCGCCAACTATGGTAGCTGAGGATCGATCACTCAGGCCTGAAGTGCCGAGGTCTGTGCGTACAACAAATGAGCTCGCTGTTGGTGGTTTGGCAAGCATAGTGCAGGGGTATCGCTCTACATGAATGGTCAGAGCAGCGTCGAACTTTTGCGGATCTCCGAGAGTCAGTTCGCCCTTAAAGCTTGGTATTGGCCTTGGTTGCTTCAGACGCGGGATGTTGAGCTGCTCGACAGCTTCGGCGAGGGTGCCGAAGTTGCCGTTGCACTTTTCCACAAAACCCTTCAGTACCTCCTCATTGTTGGCCTGCGATACGTTAGACACGATCTTCATGAACAGAGCAAGCTCGTCACCTTCGCAGCATCCTTGTCCTCCTCCTTGTAGCCATAGTCCGGATCGTCGAAGTCAACGCCGAGAAGTACGATTTCGATTGGTGCCTCGGTATCCTTGATCTTCATCGCGATGTCATCCAGGTCACCATCATCCATCTCACCTCTCCCGTCAGTTACGATGATGATCCGGCGATCGTACTTCAGCGGCTTGCCAGCTTTGTTCTGGGTTGCGCTGTCCATCAACTGAACGGCGACTGCTAAAGCAGAAATCACTGGGCATGTGAGTCACATTGTCCGGGACGATTTTCGATTCACTCACAATCTCCCTCGTTTGTCTTGCTAGGCTTCAGCTTGTTCTGCAGTCTCCGTATATCGCTCAACAAGTACCTCATGATCGTCAGTTTTCCGTTCATCTTGAATGTGGTCAATCTTACTGTTTTAACTCCGAGAATACCGTTATATTTTCATAGCCCTCAGCTTCTTCCATGACACCATTGAGATCAGACTTATCCGTGCGACACCCAATGACACTCATTAGCGCCGTCTTCCTGCCAGTCGCAACCTGCATCATTGTCAGCCCTTCTTCTCATGACCACAAGTACCAACTTCGGCTCGGCGCAAACACAATGCGCCATGCACTAGATCACCAAAGGAACGTCTGCATACTGTTGTTGTGATCTTGTCCCACACGTACTCCAGCGCCCATTCAAGGTCTGTGTGGTCACGTCCATGACGCTTCTTGCCCATGGGCGCACCCAGATCCAGGATGTACACTGTCGCTTCTTTGCCCGCCATGACTGCGGTCGGTTGCGATTGCTTGCTCTTTCTGTGCGCGTTGCACGTGCTTGGTGGTGATGCTGATGTTTGCTGAGTGCTTTGTTCTCTTGCGAAGTGCTCTGGGGTGACAAGAGGTAGCGTGGAAAACAATTGATGTTTGGAAGAGAACGATGGCGAAGGCGAATGTAAAGAGCGTGTTGATGATACAGCCGAAGGGTATGCTGCCTTGACCTAGTGCAAGGCAATCGCGTCCGCACGGACGTTCTCGCACGCGAGCTCATGTGATGGACTAGCCGAATACGGATCTGACAGACTCGGAACGAAGGTCAGTTTAAGAAGGATCAGATGGAGAAGCTGCTGGGTAGTCATCATCCGCATGACATTTGATACTATATACAATTGTTGTTGGCCTTATTTGCCAGTTTCCTCCCTTTTTGGTAGGTACGACAATTCAGAAGACCGATGCAAGGACACCTCTCCCTCCAATCCGTCCCAATCGTTTCCTGTCTTCGTGACTTCGACCATAGACCTCTTCGCCGCACTCCTTCATGAAGGACTCTGGGGGCAGCTCTGCTCGAAGCTGGCGAGGCGGCGTGCTGGATTGCGTAGCGTCATGTGTGGGTTTCCATTCGTGTCGATAGCTGTTCACCCCTTCCCATTGACGGTGACGCCGTTCAGCTTGTTCTGTGCCAGGACCATATCCATGAAGCTCTTTCTTGGCTTGTGCTTCTTCTCCAGCTTATGGTCATCCAGATCGACGATGTGTAGACGTCTTCTCTTGCACTCAGATTTGATGTTTCCAAGCAGAGGCCGCAGAGTCTCAACCTTCTCGATCTCCGAGCTCAGGAGCGATTCTTCCACCCAGTACAGCCCTTCCATAGCCAGGAACTGGTTCTTGGCCTCTCTGATGCTTTCTTGGATCTTGATGTAATCAAAGTCAGGCGAGCCCTCCATCGGGAAGCGGAAGTCCTGAGCGAGAAGAGCGACATCGTACTGCCGTAAGATAGCATCTCGCTGCTTACGCGTCACGGGAATGCGGTACCAATCAGAGTATGGAGCGGACAGATGGGCGAGATCGAGTTCGGGCAATCCGAGGATTCCCACGACCTGGAAAGAGCAGATGTAGGTCTTGTCGGAGGCGGCGCTTGGTTCGCGAAGATCCTTAGCCGTGGCATACAGGAGGGGAAGAAACACTGGCGATACACCCAATTCCTCGCCAGAGAAATGTAAAGGTCGTTCAGTGCCCAGTTCACAGGCACGTCGCAGTGCTCGTGGAAGTTTCGTAACTCGTAATTGTCGAGCAGCAAGCTCCTCTTGTCGTTTGGCTTCATCCTCGGCGTGCTTGCGAGCGTCTTCCTCTTCCTGCTTACGGATAGCCTCGGCCTCCTCGGCTTCGCGCTTGACCTTTGCTTCCGCCTCTTCCTTCTTACGAGCTTCTTCTTCTTCTGCTGCTTTGCGAGCAGTTTCCTCTTCCTCTGCCTTCCGGGCTTCGGCTTCAGCAGCTTTGCGCTTTGCTTCTGCTTCTAACCGTTGCTCTTCGGCGCGACGTTCGCGCAGAACCTCTGGAGTTGCAATCCTCTCTGGAGGCGCGGGTGTTGACTTCGCGGAAGCAGTAGGGGTTCTCTTGGCGACATGGCCGTCCGTCGATGCATCTGACAACCGTCGCTTCTTGATCTTGTCATCGATCGGACGATACTTGATCTTATTCTTGGGGGGCTTGCGTTCATCCGTAGATTCGACCTCCGGCGTAGGCCTGGCGCTGGCAATCTTCTCGATCTTCTTGTGGACCTTTGGTGGTGAGGACTTCGCATCGTTCTCTTCGTCACTTTCATTTGACCTTGCGCGTGCTGAGCGTTTTGTTGTTTCGTTATCGTCTGAGCGTGCTTTGAGCGGCTTCTTAATAGGCTTGCCCTCCTCGCCTTCACTGAACGACCGTTGCTTGGATTTTCGTGTCGGCGCTCGTACTTCGTCCTCGCTCTCATCGTCGGAGGACTCGTCACTCACGACCCGCTTTCGCCTCTTCACCTCCGTACCGGATTTTAGGCGCCTAGCTTTCTGCGGTGCCGAGTTTGAATCTGACTTCTTCAACTGAGTACGCTTCGCATCCGGTCGAGGTGAATGCGAGCGCTCTCTGCGGGGTGAGGATTTGCGCTTCATTCGCGCTGCTGCTGGGTTCGGTGCCTCTTTCTTGGCTCGCCTTGGACTTCTGTGTGTCGCGCTGTAATCATCGCTGGCTTGCTTGAGCATGTCCCTCTCTTCCTCCCACTTGGGGCCTCTTCGTTCCTCGGCAATCTCCCAGTAGGTCTTGCCTTCCTTGTTTCGCCGGGTGGGGTTGAAGTTGTCCTGCTCCAGCAACAAGGTAACGATCTTGATATGGCCTCGTCCAATGGCAACGGTCATAGGCGTCTCGGGGTGCTTCGAAGGATCGGGGTCTGCTTTCAGGCCACTGGCAAGCATGATACTGAGAATGTCGTAATGTCCACCTCTTGCTGCAGCAACTCCACAAGTAATGTTTGGCTTGATGTTGCTGTTGAGGAGCTCTCCAACGGCAGAGATATCGCCATCGGCAGCTTTCTCGATCAAGGTCTCAACATTGTATTCGTTGTAGAGGAGCCGTGAAGCACTCTTCGCTTGCTTCTGTGCGGGTCTCTCGCGCTGCTCGGTCATGGAAGTATCTGTCTGGCGTCTCATGGCTTCCTTGAGCTCCTTTTCGATTTCCTCGCAATCCTCGTCTTCGCGGTCAAGAACATCGATAGCACGCTGCCCCTTCTTATTCTGGTGGTGTGGATTGACGTGTCCTTTGCTGAGTAAAAGCTTGACGACTTCCAGGTGCCCATTCTCCACGGCATCGATGAGAGGTGTGTCACGGTCCCCAGATTCGCAGTCTGTTCGACAGCCTTTTTCGATGAGAAATTCCACGACTTCGGCCCATCCGTTTAGGGCAGCCTTTTGCAGAGGAGTAATACCAGCAAAATCGGCTTGGTCAAGCTCGCCTTCAGCTTCGTCGTAAGCTGCCTTGACAGCATCCAGATCGCCTTTTTCGCTTTCTCTCGCCAGTCGCGTCGCACCGAATCTATCGGTCTTCCGGCCGTGGGGCATCGTCCGCGCTGGAGAAGTCAGTGCCCGATGTGTGGCGCGCTTGACACGAGTGTGTGGGTTTGCATCTGTAGCTCGTGGCGAAGATGAACGCTCAGAGCTGGAATCCGAGTAGCGTTCGGTTGAAACAGCCAAACCTGGCACATCTCTGCGCTTGCGTCCTGCGGCACCAGAGACAACGGACTGTGTCGATTGCGAGCGCTTGTGTGGACGGCCGAAAGCTCCCTGAAAGAAAAGTTAGCAAACACGGAGCAACGACGAAGACTGTAGCTCAGACGTACTGTCGCGGGCGAGTTGGGCTGTGTACGGTCCTTTAGCCCTTCTGTCTTGGCTTTTTGACGTGGAGGCTCCAGCTTTCCGAACTCGTCACGCAGCTTGCGCTTTCGGCTCTCGACCGTAGACGCGCTACGGCCTCTCACAATGGTCTGCGTAGGAGACAGTGTGGAATGAGTGGGCGACCCAGCTGGGCTGGTGTCTTTAGTATGCCGCGAAGTGGTGCTTGGAGAGGTAGGCACAGGGCTCTTTGCATCGTCAGAACCATCTTTGGCGTGTCCGTTCAATTTGGGGGTTTTGACATCGCTGGAACGTCTGCGGCCGTTTTGCGGTGAATGCGAGTGCGTGTTTTCTTTGATGGAGTCGAGCCGCGCTGATTCATTTTCGTCGCGCTCAGTCTTGATCACCTTCTTCTCGTTCGACTCATCGTCTCTGGAAAGAACGACCGTCTCAGCCTCGGACTCATTGTCATCGTGGTCGACATTCTGCGTGACTGGCACGTTTTCTTTGGCTGAGGGTGAGGCGGCCTTGGGTGCAGGCTGGACAGCGTCGCCAGAGTCGGTGCGCGGGCTTCGAAGGGTGTCGAGAGATGCGTTCAGGTCGCCATTACTGGTCATCACGCATATATGGGACAGGACACGGGAGTTCCTGCCTCATGACGGCTTGCAGAGCAAGGGACGACAGGCGGCAGGCGGCAGGCGGCAAGAACGCGGCGCTTAACGTCCTAACACGGAATGGCCGTCGCGTGATGGGGTGTTGTGCCCACAGCAACACCAAAGGGAGCGGCGGCAGGTGGTGGTCGGCGTATTGTTGTGATGGCGAGGTGTGTGGAGGTGCTGGGAGAGAGCAGGCGGAAGAGCGCTGGACGGTCGCAGGCAAAGGCTGCGGGCCACTCAGCATGCTGCACCAGTGCTGGCTTGAGCGCCGGTCCCAGCGGCCCAGACTCATCCCTGCACCACGCAAGCGTCTTTTAGGTGAGTATCGTCATTCTTGCTGGCAGCGGTGATGGATAAATGCGTGAGAGAAAGATTTTGAGAGGATCGTCGTGGACTTGGACGATAGAAGACGTGTTTTATAGGCGACTGCACCCAGAGTTGTTGTTGTTGACCCTTTGTTGACCCTTTGCAGCGACCCTCCATCAAGCTCGCAGCACCGCAGAGCACCATGGGCGAGGCAGCCAAATTTGCCGCTAAGCGGGGATCGCCGCGTTGATTAACCTCATCAATGCAGCCTGCATCCTCGCTCGTGACCTTGTTTTGCGCTGCAACATGGGGCGGAGATGTGACTGTGGGTTTCAGGCACAAATGCTCGGCTGTTCAGAAAGGCTCTGAAGACTGGCACCGACGGTCCATTCGATGGCGCGCCAACATTCACTGGGTGAGGCTGCTCGATCGGCTCAAGTGGACAGTGGATAAGGTTCCGCTAAGTAGCCCACACGCCTGAAACGAAGCCACCAAAACAAGCAGCCCAACAGGTCCATCATTCTTTCATCACCAACCCTCCCCGCACACTCCTCTCCGCGTCTGCTCCGCGTCCAATCTTCGTGGATGTGCTTCGCAATGTCGTCGTCAGCGATTGAAAGTCAGCTCGAGGGTCTACTTAGTCCCGTTGGCCTCCTGCGCGCCTTCTACCTCGCCGCGTCTCTTCTTGTATTGCGACACCAGCCAGCTTGATCTGCACTACACTGACCTGCTCTGCTTACTAGATCATTGTCATACAGGCTGTTCCTGCACTGCGCAGTCGCTTTCTTGTCTACGGCTCTCGTGCGACGTCACCGTCTGGTCAACCATCAGCAGCACCGAGTCAACCTTCCCTCGCCAGCCAGCTCCTGGATTACGCTGCAACGATCCAGGTGCCGCACAACTACTTTACGCATTTCTACGTCCTCTCAGTCGCATGCTCGCTTTTCTGGGGATGTTGGCTGCAAGTTTGGTCAGCCAGCAAGCAGCTGCAAGTGGTCTGGGGCTTGATGCTCCTGCAAGGTGTGCGCCGCATGCTTGAGTCGAATGCATACACGTCGACGAGCGAGAGCAGGATGTGGTTTGCCCACTGGTTGCTTGGACTTGTGTTCTATCTGACTATCAACGTTGCGATTTGGATAGAGGGTCCTGCTGGCAGTCTCGCCAGTTCGACATCTACCGCGCTGGTCCCTGCGATTCTTACGGCGCATGTGCTGCAGCACTCCTACCACGCGTATCTGTATCGTCTGCGCACCGAAAACAAGGGGTATCAACTTCCTACCCATCCGGTCTTTTCGAACTTGCTGTGCCCACACTACACTTGCGAGACTGCCATCTACCTCTTACTATCTTTTCTAGCAGCTCCTGCAGGCAAGGTTGTAAATTGGACGCTGTTTTGCGGCACCATCTTCGTGGCTGTCAACCTCGGAGTGACGGCGATAGGCACGAAAGAGTGGTATATGGGAAAATTTGGTAGAGGCAAGGTAGGTCCGAGGAAGAGAATGGTACCTGGTATTTGGTAGGACAATGCAAGATGGTAAACATGGGATTTTGATTCGAATTTAGCATATCCAACGCAATTCGATGCATCATTCAGCACCTTCCTATTCGGACTATTTCGAGTTCCATTCATTCTAACCGAGATCGAGCGACCATTATCCTCCGTGCAAGTGCTGCAGTGGTTAGTACTCGACCTGCAAGCCACTGCCTTTTACCACCAGGATGCAATACCCGAACCGGCTAATTGCCCAGCTCTCCCGTTGGTGGTGGGGCAGTAGGCGGGGCATCTTGCAGCGAAGGGTGGGACTACAAATGCGTGAGCTTCATCCACCCTCGCGTCATCAGCCGATGCTTTGAGAGGCCAGAAAGAAGATAACAGAGACAATTTCTTCCTTCATCTTCAGGATTTCTTTCGATTCCAATCTGCCTCAATCATCACTCACAGCCCAGCAAAATGTCTGCAGAAGTACCCAAAGATCTCCCTGAGATGGAGTACCGCTTCGTCGGCAGGAGTGGTCTCCAGATCTCTGCCATTTCCCTCGGAGGCTGGCTCACATGTTTGTTGCAAATACCCTCTTGCTTGTCGTCATACTGACCAATCTCAAGACGGAGGACATGTCGGCGACGAAAACACCTTCGCTTGCCTCAAAGCCGCCTTCGACGCTGGCATCAACTTCTTCGACGCCGCCGAGTCCTATTCCGGCGGCGAATCCGAGCGCGTCATGGGTCGAGCAATCAAGCACTTTGGCTGGAACAGGAATGACATTGTCGTTTCGACGAAGGTAAATCTACACCTCCAAAGACACATACACCGTAAGGTTAGTCGAAGTTGACAGCAGACAGATCTACTGGGGCACCCACAACTCGACCCTCCCCTCCCCCCGCAACAAAATCAACAACCTCGGCCTCAGCCGCAAGCACCTAATCGAAGGCACAGACGCAGCTCTCGCTCGCCTCCAACTCTCGTACGTGGATATCATCTACGCGCACCGCCCCGACCGGCAAACTCCCATGGAAGAAACAGTCCGCGCCTTCAACTTCCTGATCAACACCGGCAAAGCCCTGTATTGGGGCACATCCGAGTGGCTGCCCAGCGAAATCGAAGAAGCCTGGGCGGTCGCGGATAGGCTGGGCCTCATTGGTCCGGTGGTTGAGCAGCCGGGGTACAGTCTGCTCAGGAGGGACAAGGTGGACGATGAGTTCAAGAATGCCAAGTTGTTCGAACGAAGAGGACTCGGGCTTACCGTTTTCTCGCCGCTGGCTGGTGGGCTGTTGACGGGGAAGTATATCGACGGTGTTCCAGAGGACAGCCGTCTCAAGACGAGTGATGATCCATACATTCAGAGCGTGATCAAGACGGTGGATACGCCGGCGTGGAAGGAGCAGCAGGATAAGATTCGGGAGCTTATCAAGGTTGCTGAAGGGCTTGGCACCGATGTTGCGACATTGTCAATGGCGTGGGTGTTGAGTAACAAGAACGTTACGAGTGCGATTACGGGAGCATCGAGGCCGGAGCAGATCTATCAGACTGTCAAGGCGATCGATGTGTATAGGAAGCTGACGCCGGAGGTGCTGGAGAAGATTGAGGGTATCTTTAAGAACAAGCCAGCGGAGGTTACGCCCAGGTTCGGCGTTTGAGGAGAATGGCACGATAGTACACAGACATCGAAATGCGATTCCACAATCCACATAGGCAATTCAAGATGTCAGCGAGCAAGACGAAGTCCTAAGTGGAGTTTTAAAAAAAATAGTGTTCTCACACACCCCACCTAGCTGCTGTCTCGCTTGTGAGTCACCGTGCGCTTGCTCACAACTTCACCGTCAACAATCCGCCCATTGCAACCCCAAACGATTAATATATATATTCTTGAAACCAATTTGTTGCTATAAATAGCAATTGTTCGTTTGGCCGAGCGGTTATGGCGTGTGACTCAAGACGTACGTCTTGCCTTCATTCGAAGGTAGCATTCTCATAGGGTTTCCCTGCGTGAGTTCGAATCTCACAGCGAACACTATCGGCTCAGTGGTCTAGGTACGCCATTAGACAACTTTTATCTTTGCCAACAACTAACCGTTCTACAGTCGTATGATTGTCGCTTCGTAAGCCTTCCCAACATGATCTACCAAAGAATCATTCACTAACAAACATCAGGGGTCTGAAGCCCAGATACTGAGTATCGAAGATGTGACAGGTCCCGGGTTCAAATCCCGGCTGAGCCCATCCTTTTGCCGTTTTTTTCGATGCCCATTGGGTGTTATTCCGGTTTGGGTGCACGTAGTGGTGGTGTTTGTATCGTGATAGCTCACCGCCCAACACATTCTGCCGCCCCACAACGAGCTCTAAGCTCCCCGCTCATCAAACACTCTTACTTTTTGCTGCGTCATAGCTACCATTATACATACATACGCTTGATTTGCTTCGCTCTTGATACACCCGCACGATCTAAAACAACAACATCCAATCGTCTTACCAAATCGACACTTCCCTGCGCTACCCCTCGACACATAACGCAACATGGCGCCAAAGAACAAGGGCAAAGGCAAGGACGCCAGCGACGCCAAAGACGCAGGTGGTGGCGCCAAGGGCAAGCTTAAGCCGGCGACGAGTATCAATGTGAGGCATATCCTGTGCGAGAAGCATAGTAAGAAGGAGGAGGCGCTCGAGAAGATACGGAACGGCGCGAAGTTTGATGAGGTTGCGAGGGAGATGAGTGAGGATAAAGCGAGGCAGGGTAGGTTTGTTCCTTCTTTCTGAGCGCTGTGCGGAGTGAGAGGGACGCTGGGTCGCTGATGGGCATTACTGCACCATAGTCAATATCGTAGATGGTTCAAGCTCGCAGGAAGCACACAAGATCAGCCTTCCGGGGCGATTCCTGTCAGGCCCGCCGTGGCTAGGCCATCGATACGATTATGAACTCATGTACTATTGTGCTATATGGACAGACTGACAAGAATTGTAGGCGGCTCATTAGGCTGGAAAGTCCGCGGTAGCCTCATGCTCGACTTTGAGAAGGTCGCATACGAACTCGAGCCTAGCACGACCGGTGCGCCGAAGATTGGAGAGGTCAAGACGAGTGAGGGATATCACATCATCATGGTCGAGGGGAGGAAGTAGAGACAGATACTCAGATACGAGCGGCGATGCGGGTCGAACGGCAGCGGCAACAATAGCGACCTTGAAGTGACAACGATATTATGAATACGAATTACGATACCATGAGCATGGCGATTTGCGATGCAGGCAGCTTGGGTTGAAGCGACTATCAGGACACCTTGAACGTGGACGAGTAGATGCTTTGTCTCGGTGTTGCGTCTTAGCAGCTCGCCAATCCACAGACATCATCCTAGGTTCCTGGCGATTCTGGGTACTCTATCAAGCATGCAATTCGAGATGCATCCAGTGGAGCCTCAACGGCTTTTCGCCGAGGGATCCGTGCCTCGGGCACTTTCACCGCCACAGCCGCTTTGACCCCACACCACCATCGCGAATCTATTTACGGATCACGGCCGATGCTAGGCTTCGAACTGAGATACAAATACGAGAAAGAAATCAAGGCTTGCAGAGCTTGACAGTTGTCCGTGTGCCGTCATTGAGCTTGATCGTGTGGTGGTCGAGGATCCCTGCCGTGTCGACTTGTTGAAACAGCAGGTGTCATCCTGAATTTCCTCCCTGCCATTGGCTCCACACAAGGGTTCTGCGAGCAATGCAGAGTACGCTCAGCGCATGAAGGTCTTGGTGTTGAGATCTACCGCTATGGGTGCAATCACAATGCGCTATGCTTCTGAGGATAGTACAAATACCTGATGATCCCTTGACGGCTTTGTGAGATCATCAGCTTTCGTCCTTCACTTTTGAGTTCTCGGTTATCTTTCTTGACATATTCGTTTCTTCACAGTCACTCGCTCAACGTAATAATGAAAGCCTCCACGCTCGCTGTGGCCCAAATTGGCTTACTCAATGTACTGCCTGCAGCGGCTGAGTACGTTTGGCCAAGCAAGCATGATAGGATGGAAGACTTGCTGGTCTTGCAGGGCGGTTACATCCGCGAGGGCTTTGTTGATGGTCTGTATTGGACTGTCCATGACCCAGTATGACCGACCAACTCACACTTGCTAGGGATCTCACCATGCACACGCAACCCCAACGCCCCTGGACGCCAAACCGCAGCAGAATGGATCCGAACAGCTTTCCACGACATGGCAACGTTCGACAAAGCCACTGGTATTGGTGGCTTAGATGCTTCCCTTCAGTTCGAAACGGACCGCGCTGAGGATGCCGGTGATGCTTTCAATGCTACCTTTGGCTTTACGAACAACTATTACAGTATCCGTACTTCAGCTGCTGACCTTGTCGCTCTGTCTACGGTTCTTGCTGTGGGAAACTGTGGTGGACCGAAGATTCCGTTGCGTGTTGGTCGTGTTGACGCTACTGAAGGTGGCGCTCTGGGTGTGCCGGAACCGCAGCAGGACCTAGATACTCACAAGAAGATGTTCGCTAAGGCGGGCTTCAGCACCGGTATGACAAACTCTTCGTTGCTACTTCAGTTCCTTTTGTTAACGATATGTCAGAGGACATGATTGCCATGGTAGCCTGTGGTCACACCATGGGTGGAGTACACGGCAAGACGTTCCCAGAGATCACTGAAAACAACACAGAGACAAACGTTGTTCACTTCGATTCGAGCGACTCTACGTTCGACCCCAAGGTCGCAACAGAGTATCTTGATGGAACTACACAGAACCCGCTCGTTGTCGCTCACAACGACACTCTAAACTCCGACAAGCGTATCTTCGCCGCCGATAACAACGTCACCATGAAAGCGCTCGCTTCGGATCCGAAGACCTTTCAGTCAATGTGCTCGGATATATTCGCTCGCATGCTCGACACCGTGCCATCCACCGTCACTCTCACCGAACCCCTTGAGCCCATTCCGCTCAAACCCTACATCACATCCTTCGCCCTCACAAACGCGAGCCACATTACCCTTACCGGCCGCATTCGCCTCCTTACCACATCCGATAAATACGACGACGAGCGCATCACACTCACATATACGCCCCGCTTCGCACCTGCTGCCAACGCAACACTAGACACGACCATCCTCACCACCCCTGCGAACTTCCAACTCGGCACCTCAAATGGTATCTTCGGCGAGCTTTTCAAATGGCACGAGTTCTCCGTTGCCCTGCCTACAAGCACTTCAATCAAGAGCTTCAACGTAACCGTGACCCGCATATCCACCGGCGCACAAACCCTCTACAACAACGCCGGCCGCGGCTATCCCCTGGACGACACCATTCTCTACCAAGACGAACAGTCTTGCCGTGTGGGCAACAACGCTACGCTTGTCGCCGCTGTGCGCAAAAGTGTTGTTGACGTTGGTACGTCTGTGGTTGCGAGTATGGCGAGGAAGTACCATAAGCAGGGCACGATTGTGCCGGCATTTGAGACGGAGGAGTGGAAGGGTGAGGTTGGTAAGGAGGTCGGTGAGTGGGTTCTGGTGACCATTAAGGGTACGCAGCAGCCTGAGAGTTATTCTACCCACTTCGATTTGGTGGCTGGTGAGAGTAAAGTGGAGTATTTGGGGACGAATGTGTTGGGGCAACAGCAGTGCAAAGAGCTCTAGGTATGACATAGAATTTATGCTCTGTTCTTATTTTAAAAGTTGCGTCACCTGTGTTGTTGGTCGTGACCTTCAACTTGAGCTCTCGCCCCCCTGACATTGTTTCACGGTCCTGCACGTGAGCACAACGCAAAGGCATAACAGCACTTAGGCTTTCTCAGACCAGACATAGCTTTTCATCGGATCATTGCGAGTTAGTTCGATTGCAAAGTTGCTGGCTGAACTCCTCCACGCAGGTGCACAGTACAGGGAGTCACGAAGTCCCGTGGCTGAACATAGCACTCAACTGATCACTGATGCCTAGCTGCTCAGGCGGACATGTCGAACAACAAATTATACTTTCACGTCATCAGATCAACTCCAGATTCACGTATCACATGTCGATGTTTCGCGGTTTGCATTCGACATGCCTGCGATGACTTTCACTCAACCGCGAAAGCGAAGCGCAAACGCGAGTCTCTGTCAGTTAAAAGAGCACGTTACCATTTGTGCATAACACCTCACATCCCGCCATCTCTCAAGTGTTCTTACTTCTCAACTCTACAGTCCCACGTGATGGCTGCAAGCAACAACGATGGTCTGTGCCCCGACTGGATCTACTCCGACTCTTCCAATGTGCAGTAAGCACCTTTGAACACCCATCCATCTCAACATCTCTGTTTACAATAGTACTGACTTGGTAATAGTGTTGCAAAAGACAAAGCCTGGTTCACATCCTACCACTCCTTCCAATCCCAACTTAGCTCCATCTACGCTATCGGCGCTCCCATCCCAGTCCTCGGAATCGGCACCATCAAGCTCACCGTCAAAGCCCTCCCAGGCTCCTTCACGATCTACGGTACTTCCGTCATCGAACTCCACAACGTCCTCCACGTGCCAAGCTACTTCTGCAACGTCCTCGGCAGACCACTCGCAAATGTCTACGAAGTTGGTCTCGGTGGTTCAGTGCACGAGGGCGGTCCTCCGTCTCGAGGTGGACTGTTTCTTAGTGGCAGGCAGGTCGCGCACTTCCAATCTGGACCTATCAGCTTCTTCTCGCTCGCTGTTCTGCCTCCTAAGGGCAAGGGGTTCGGTGCAAGTCCGTTCAGTAATGGAGCTTCGTGGGTGGTGAGCTGTCACTGGCCCTTAGAGGAACGAGTACGTTGGCAAGCTATTCGAAACCAAACCAAACGGGAGTGGAAGCCGCCGCGGTACGAACCTCCGTATACACTGGAGGAGCTCGAGCACGTGAACGAGCGTTGGGGGAGTGAGTTTCGATTTCTTGCGCAGTATCGGCTGAAGCTGCCTGAAGAAAAGGACCGGAGCGAGGGGAGGAGGATTGTCAGGGAGCTTATGAGGGGGAAGGATCCAGCTAAGGAGGAGGAGAAGGAAACTGAGGTGGAAGGGAAGCTAAAGGATTATCTGAAACCGGATGGTGGGACGAGTGCTAGACATGCCAGAGATCCTTCGGCGCCTAGGGTACCATTTTTGTGACCCATTGCAAGCGGTATGTAACGGGTACAACGTTGTGATTCTATCCGGTTACAGATTCGGACAGGGAACTGATGAAAGGTCAAGCTAGATACGAGAGAAGGAGAGAAGGAGAGAAAGGTGCTGCCGACAAGCCAGCTTCACTCGCCTCGCCATTCTTACAGTCTCACATGCTCGTCTTCACGGTGCAGCTATCAATTACGGCTAAGAGGTCCATGGACTTCCTCAAATTTCCATGCTTGACATAGTATTAACATTACGATTACAATTTGAGTATATAACGCCTCGCTAGCTGCAACGTTACAGTCTGCAAATGACTTCTTTTCACATCGAACGCTCCAATGCCGTAAAACTCGACAACAACTCAAGAATCATACGTCAGCCTTGCAAAAGCTCTGGCCGCCGCCGATCCACCCAATCTCCTCGCTAGCCTCCTCTCCGAAGCACCAGAAGGAATGATACTCGAACAGTCTTGCAAGCTGCCCACATCATTACCAATGACCGCGAATCGGTTCCATGCATCGGTGAACGCACTGTTCCAAGCACTCGTATCACCATCTGAGAACTCCTTCCACTTCTTCTTTGTCTATTTCATGTTAGCTTCCAGCATAACGATCTATGTTCAGGCCGAAAATCTCACCTCAGCGTTATTCGCCAAGCCCTTGTCGCTCTGCAAACTATACGGCGCCGTCCCATCCAGCGTCTCCTGGTAGAACTTCAAATCGTACACGCTGGGTGTCGAATCCAGGCTCTTCCCCGCCTGTGCGGGATCATCGTTGACTTGAACAGCCACAGAGTGCGTCCCCATCAGCGCGACAACATCATCACCACTAAACCCCTTCGCCGCAAACTTCTTCAGGATCGACGAAATCGAGTCTCGGCTCCCAGGCATGCTGTTCAGTGGTGCTGCTTCACTACTATCCTTACGGCCGACCAGTGCTTTGACGCGAGGCCCAAGCGGACATGCAGATATGGCGGTTGCCGCTGCGAATTGGATCATGTCTGCTGCGCTGGTGTTGTATTTTTGCGTCCAGGAGAGCAGTTTGCCGCAGATGTCTGAGAGCCCGGCGTTCTCGGCGCGGCTGCATTCATCGGTCAGAATGAGGCTGCCGTCGCAGCCGTTATTGATGCAGTCGTGGAATGGGGCGCGGATCGCGCCATGTGCATCACGGCCGCAGCCTGCAAAGGCGGTTTGTAGCTCCGGGAGGACTTCTGACCAGACTTTGGGACAGGAGGATGTGCGGGGGAGGACGCTGAGTGCCGATGTTGAGGATGAGAGGAGGAGGAGGAGGGACGTTAGGGCTGAGGTGTACATCTTGATGTTGAGGCCAGATTATGTGGTATAAAGACTAGATGGATGGGAGACTAAGTAATTGTTGGGTAAGAATAGTGAACGAAACGTCTCCAGTAGGTAGACAGCGAAAGTAGGAACACCCGGTACCACTTTAAGATAACAACTGAGACCTACCAAATATATAGATGCGAGGTCGCGTGAACCGTGAAATCTACCACTTACCTATCACACCTCGTATCGTTCAATCTGACAAAATCTGCTCGCCTAGTGGTCGCAGTCAACGACCGCCACACCGCGTATGTTGCATCCCTACACATCCGTGAGCGTGAGCACTTGAGAAATCGAGTATCCCCACAATTTCCAATCGCCTCTCGACTAGCAACCAACTGCCTTCAAGCTGACAACTAACTGCCGTCCCAAGGAACCTCTGCATTGGCTGCCGCCATCCAGCATTTGCTAGCATTGGCGGACATACACCGTCTCGCCCGGCGCCTTGCACGGCTTCCAGCAAAACTCGGGCAAGGCTGACGCAGGGTTGATGTGTTCAAAGCTTCGCAAAGCTTACGTGCAGGTGCGCCACGACATGCATCTTGTTGTGGTGCTGACTGCTGGGCTGAATAGGGTATGTCGATCTCTCGTGGCGAGAGCTGAGGTTGCCGAAAGAGCAATGAACGAGCAACGAGCGAGCCGCTAGTAAGTAAGGCAGACCCACATCCATGGCTTTTCCGAAGGCCTGGTGCCAGCTGATTTTCCGGTAAACGTGGGGAACCGAAAATGTGGTGCAAGTGAGCGGTTCTTGAGATGGCAAAGTGATGGTTTTTGTGAATTGTGGTGGAGTTTGTCGTTGGCCGTGGGCTTTGGCAAGGTTGCATTGCGTCATCAAACAATGTCCCACGGTGTTGAGCGTTTCGTGCATCACGTAACACTTCATGACTTCTAAGAAGATGGTCTAGAATTCTGACATTGTAAGACAGTTGTGAGGCTTCGTTGAAGAGGTACAAAATCGCAGTCAGCTTCAGCTGCGCCAGCGTACCCGGAGTTTCACACACTCGGCCTCCCCCTCCACCCACTCAACGAATCAGCATAGCGACTGGGATAGCGAATCCCCCGCTCCTGATAGGTGGTCGACCGGTGTCGTGCAGATCGCAGTCGGGTCAAGCTTTTGGCAACCAGGGGGGCGGCCCAAACGATCTCTTGCTGCCCTGGGAAAGGCTGGTGAATTAAGGCCGCCATTTTTGGAACACCATGCCGGGCGCACAAAAGCATGAGGGCCGATGTAGCATTTGCTAACCGTAACCACGACGAGGCATTTCGAAATGTCGGCATGCAGATAGGATTGGCTGACCCTCGTACGATGTTGCGCCTCAAGGCTGATTGGTCTGCTCATATAGTTCCTAGGAGACTATATCGGCTACAAAGGAGCATGAGGATTGATGTGCCATTTGACCAAGGAAGTAACAAGAGCTCATATCCCTCAACCTCAGACGACTCCGTTGTTTCTCAACCTATCGAATGGACTTTATCAGTTTGGCAACAAGATGCCGGCCTTCAACGAAGCTGAAACTACCTATACATCAACAGAATCCCAGCCACAGCAGCTCGCCGAGTGGCCTATGATCGACAACACGACCACGTTCGACAATTGTTGGGTGGCAGCTTCTAGATTTCTAACGAGAACACAACTTGTATCAACATAATTCATAACAGCAATGTAGGCGGCTTATATGGCTACGGCAATCAGTTTCCAGGTACCCTGGATTTCATGCACGTCAACACAGCCCCTGCTTCCTACAAATAAGCTGGCTACTTAAACGGCTTCACCAAACCCACCACTACGAGTTCAAGCCACAGCAGGGTTGCAACCCGCACGATACTGCCAGTCCAGACCAGCACACGTCAACGCAGGGATCTCACACCCATCAAGTGCTAAACCGCATCCACTTGGTAATGGCGTTGGCACCCCAGGTTCTCAAGAGAGTTTCACAAACAACAGGATCAGCGAGAGCATCCGTCTCATATACTACCACACCGACGATTTGGTCAAGGCTGATGCACTAGCATGGATAGAAACCGGCGAAGAACACGACGGCCAAAACTCTAAGTCGAAACTCGCTCAAATCGTTGAAATGTACGGTGGTGTCTCGAAAACAGGGTGTAGTGGACATTGGGTTCTGTACGACAGAGCCCTTGCATGGGCCACAGAAACTGGCGCAGCCACCTTGATAAAGATTCTCAAGAAGCTAGCGGACTCTGCTACACGCGCATTCAAACAGCTTGCAGCCACACACACACTGATACCGGCAGGGCGATGACGTTGACGGCAATGACTCCAGCTAAGAAGAATGTGCTTCTAGCTGCAAAGGGTTTTTATTGAGTATGCGCCCAAGTCTTTGCCAACAGCAGCGACGTTGTCCCCCACATTGCTTCTCACCACCCACGGCAGCTGACCGAGCCAACGGACTTCCTTCAGCAGTTCATCAACGAGCTGCGCATTCACTAATCGTTGAAACCCTTCCTTCATCTCTTTTTATCGAGCTACTTCAGGTATTCATCGGTACTGCGCTGCACATTCTTCTGGCTGCCATCAGGCTTCATCTAGCCCGGCAACAAGCCGCCCTGGATGGAAAGCACAACCATCTCCGCGTTCTCAAGGTACTTTGTAACATGTTGTCTACCCCACTGTCTACCTTCTTCTGTAGCTACATAAGAATATACGCATCTTATCTGTGCAGTTGACGGTAGCAGGCTTGTAGCTGTAATCTATCAAGGTAGGGTCTAAGGTAGTAGAGCGGAGTGGAGAGAAGCTCACTGCTTCTACCTGCCCCCCGGGGAGGATGTATACCAAAGGCTGCAGGAAGAGGTATCTAAGGGCTTGCTCGCAAGTTACCTCACAGAAGGAGTGTGGAGCAGTTGAAGGGCGCGTACAAAGGTTGTTTGAGCCGCATGTCTCGCTAAAGGTATACACGCTCTCAAGGCGGACACAACGATAGCCACTTCTCGACTTCTACAGGCTAGGAGGTTTTTAGCCAATCATAGACAGTGATTCGATATAAGCAGCGCAAATCTGCTCCAAATCCCTCCCAAATATCAGAGGACTGTGATATTTAGACCCGGCTCTCTGCAACTTCAGATGTGCGGTCCTAACCACACAATAAACTCACCGTACAGCTTGTTGGAAATATGACAAAGGTCGGATGATCTTCACAATACCGAGCATGCAGATACAGGAAAGAGAAAGCAGGAGTGAACCGATGACTCCAACGAGAAGTAGATCGGGAGACACCAAGGACTGAACAGTGATATGGAAGAAAATGTGGTATCACATGCATCACGGAGAGGATGGAGTCTATTATGGCATGACAAGCCGCTTTGGCTCTCTTGATTGAAGAATAACGTTCAGAAAAATCGCTAGATAGAATCGAAAGACTCCCACTGGGAGATGCATATTTACAGATGCCTTTTGCTGCTCATATGGGAAGCGTAACCGGAGAGAAACTGTCTAGATCGTAGCAACGAGCTTACTCGGCAGCCTCCTCAAGGAAAGCAATGAGCTCCTCAATAGTCCAGAGCTTGTCAGCAGCAGGTGTAGCCGACGCGGAAGGAGTAGCGCTGGAAACAGCGTCCTTGGAGATGACAGGTGCGGCTGAAGAGGCAGCAGGTGCCTTGGAGGAAACAGCCGCGGTGGGGTAGGCAGTAGCAGCCTTGGTGGTGGAAGCAGCGGGCTTGGTAGCGCTGGGCTGAGCGGCGTTGCCGCCCTCAGACTTGATACACTGAGAGTAGTAGGTGTTCTGGACCTTGCAGGTAAGACCCGATGCGCAGGTTGTGCTGCCAGTGTAGCCTTGACCACCGCAACGGCCGTACTCCTTGACTTCAGCATCAGAACCAGAGCCGGAGGTAGGCTGGGGCTTAGTGACGGTAGCAAGAGTAGTCTTAGCCGGGGCAGTAGGAGCCTTGGAGGAGGCAACGGCAGCGGAGGACTGGGCAGGTGCCTGGGAGGCGACGGCAGTGGCAGTAGGCTTGACGGCAGCGGAAGACTCAGCAGCGGTGGGCTCAGCAGCAACTTCAGAAGCAGAGGCAGAGGGCTCAGCAGTGTTTGAGCCGCTCTCAACCTTCTCCAACCACGCAATGAACTCCTCGATGGTGAACTCGGCGTCGCTTCCGGGCTGAGCCTCGAGGTAAGTAGCGAAAGAGTCTACATTGTACTTCTTGTCACCAGTTTCGGGAGCAGCGGTAGATGAGGCAGCAGGGGTGGAAGCAACGACCGAAGAGGCAGCGGCGGAAGTGGTAGCCTCAGTTGGCTTGGCTTCAGCAGCAGACGAAGCGGCAGCAGAAGTGGCGGCAACAGAAGTGGCAGCAGCAGAAGTAGCGGCAGCAGATGTGGCGGCAGCAGAAGTGGCGGCAGGCTTGGAGGCAGCAGCGGAAGAGGCAACGGGAGTCTCGGCGGCGGCGGAGGAGGCAACGGTAGCCTTGGATGAGGGAGCAACGGTAGCGCTAGCAGAGGCACCGCCGGTAGCCGTAGGAACACCAGAGATCTCACCGAAGGTCAGGAGCTGAGGGTCAACCTTGGTACCGCGAGCGTAAAGGGCAGGGCCAGGAGCAGGGTACTCGCTCAGAGGGGCGTGGATAGAGAAACCAAGACCAGTGCCAGTCTTGGAATATGCCTCAGGAAACTTGACACCCGCAGGGGTAGCTGTGCCAGAGCCAGTAACGGTAAGCTGGTAGCAAGTAACGTAGTGCTGAGCACCTCCGGAGGCGGACGCAGCGTGAAGAGCGATAGCCTCAGCGCGGAGGAGGTAGTCACCAGGGGCGATGTCCTCAGGGATGGTGAAATCGAGCTTTCCGCAGTTGTAGTTGAGGTCCTTGGTGCCCCAGTAGTCATTGTCACCCTGAGTAGAGCCCTCTGCCTTCTTCCATGTGTTCTCGTAGACTTTGAAGAACTCGGATGAGCCATCAGCGGTAGCGGCGTCCTCAACCTTAGACATGTAGGCCAAGACGGGACCCCAGTGAGCGCCACCGATACCCTCCTCAGTGCAGAGACGGGTGTTGTGCTGGTGCATCTCGATTCTAAGACCTTGTTAGCCACTCGATCTTTATCACATGCTCGTCTGACATACGTTACTGTGTCACCAGCCTCAAAGCCACACTTGCCAGAGGCGGCAGCAGGGCTGACATTGCACTGCAGAGCTGTAGATGTGTAGTCCTCGATGGGGCTGTTGGAAGGAGGCAGACGAGCACATGTGCTCTCCAGATCCTCTCCGTTCTTCCAGAGTTGTTGCCAAGTGGCGTGGGCGTTTGCCAGCGCAGTGATACCTGCGAGAACAGCGACGGTCTTCATGATGGGTAAATGAATGTGGGTTTCAAAAATGAGTGACTTGAAAAAGAATGAACGAAGAACGGAGTTTGCAAGGCAAAGTAAAGAGAGTCAGCGCAGCTGCGTTACCATTCAAGAAGTTGAAGTACCGTACGTCTTATATCACGGCCGTCGAAGGAGCGCTACTGCCGTCAAAGCCGGTATACGGTTAGCTCCAACCCAAGCAATTGTTTCGTTCTGTGCCGGTCGCATCTTAAGGACAGCGCTAAAGACGTGATGTTTCTCGAACCACATGCGCATTGATGACCCGGAGGAAGCTTTACCATTTTCTGCTCAGGTACCAGATCTTACAAGTTTAAGAGGGGATGTGTGATTGGTGGAGCATTTGCTGTGCCTGGCAGTAGGCCGATGTTGGTCTAGGTAGCGCCCGCTGTCAACCCGTGCGGTGAATCCTTCTAAATGCAGGGGTTTCAGTCAATGCCCTCTTGGGATATTGGGCCTACTATCTTCATCCTGGCTTGGTGTGAAGATGATGCTCGTGAATATACCTCGATATGTTGTGAGCGAATGTTGAACGAAACTGCGTTACCGCTGTCAGTTGATGCGCAAGCTACAGCTATAATGCTAGGCAAGGCTGTCTTTCCTCGCTTGAAGGATGAATTGGAAGGGCCGTACAGCCTCTCGCTCAAAGGCTAGTGTGGCGCACCCAGAAATCTCGGCTTCCTTCTGGGCTCGACCATGCCGGGTACCGGACGTAATCTTAGTGACAGATGAAGGTCTCATCATGATGCACATTGTTCAGAAAGGGATTTCAACCCTTTCGGCCGATTTGTGCGGTATTGGTCATAACTGCAATCGCACTCGAATGACAATCGATGTGTAGCAAACAGCAAAGTTTCGTTTGCTCTGTCGAAGTGTGGGAACACAGTCGGGGCTGTCGAGATGAGAGTCTAGGCGACAAGGCGCGCGCGGGTATGGATGAAACGTCGAAGTGGGGCGGCTTAAAACGGCATTTGCATGATCGCCGCATGGTATAAAGCGGTCGACGAGATTGCGCAGAGTCGAGGAAATGAGCACCACGTTTTGCAAGGCGAGATGGCGCAGAAGGGCGAGGTTCGAGCCTGAGGGATGTGGTGAGTTTAAGAAAGGCAGCTCTGGACAGCTTCGCACGGTTGCATGTCTTGGCTGACGACTGCACGTTTCATCAACACCAAAGCATCCACTTCGAAGCCTCAGGTTTACGTATCCTTCTACAATGCCTGCCGACATGACTTCCAATTGTTGACATCTTGGAAAGATTTCAAAGTTGCGTTGATGGCGAGTTGGTCGACAGATTGAAGATGAGATTGTCTACTCTCCGGTTCTTCCGCCTCCCCGCTCAGCCTCATGAAAGAGCTATCGATTGCAGTGCTGAGACTTATTCTGGGTACACCATCTTCCTCCCCACTCCGCCATCGACTACAACCTCCTGGCCCGTGACAAACCCACTTTCAATGAGGTACTCCGCGGCGCGCACAATATCATCACTCTTGCCGACCCGGCCCGCCGGATGCCATTCGATATCGTCCTTGCTCAGTCCTTTTTCCCAAGCAGTGCCCTTGTCGTCAGCAGCTTTGCTCTCGTTCTCGACATGGATCCAGCCTGGGATGATCGCGTTCACTCGAATCTTGTGACGGTGTCCAAGGGATATGGACATCGACTGTGTGAGGCCAAGGATGCCTGCCTTGGCTGTAGAGTAGGATTCGTGGTCCGACTCGGCTTGATATGCTCTCGTCGAAGAGACGTTGATGATGGTGCCTGGAGAGCCTGATGTCGAACTGCCAGCAACGAGCAATGGTACGCAAAGTCGGCTGAGAATAAACGGAGCTGTCAGACCGATGGCGATCTTGAGGTCCCATTCAGCCTCAATATCGTCGCCTTCGCCTTCCATGGTCCTGTCCTCCGCGATCTGTAATGTCGTCGGAAAAGCGTTGTTGATCAGAACGTCCAGTTTTCCACCGAAGGTCTCCTTGACTGTTCGAACTGCATCTTTGATCTGCTCACGCTTGCTTAAGTCGCATTGCAGTGCATGCCAGTTCCCTTGCACACTTGACCACTTGCCGGCTTGCGATTTGACATGTTCCAGCTCTTCTGTGTTCGAGTCAAGGATAATTACTCGATGACCTTTCGACAAGAATTGGCGGAAGAGGCCGCGACCGATGCCACGAGCTCCGCCCGTGATAAGAATGTTCAACACCTTGCTAGATGAAGTTGACATGGTTGTTGTTTGTTACGTGGAAGACCCAACAGCCGGCGCCGTCGTTGAAAGGCTTGTACTGGATGGTGCTTCCTCAGAACAATTGCATCGAAAATTGGAGTGACATCATTGGGTGTCCGTGCGGGGGGTAAATGCTCTTCGCAGCTTGGTGTCATCTCCATGCTCCCGAAGGATCGCTCTCAACTCACACAGTAATACAGTCCTTCCTACATTCAAAATACGTAGGCCCGGGACGGTTATGCTGTCGACGCCTTACTCCAGGGTGACATAAGTCAGAGCATCTTCGGAGAACATCTCATCCATTGTCAAGGGATCCGGCATTCTTTCCCTATCTTGAAAAGAGCTTCTGGGATCAACTCCTGCTACTTCGTCTTCGATCAGCTTCGAGAGAGCTGCCCATGACATCTGCCCTACACCGACGCGCCTAAGACTACCTATATTCCTCTTACTGGATGTCAAAAATAGTCCTAAGCACATAGGCTTCTCCCCATCGTTGAGCAGCGTGCCCACGATGAGGAAATACAGGCTGGTTCTGGATTCGCCGGTGTGGCAGATCTCATAGAGCGGAGTAGGAGTGGACTCGCGACGGCTTGAACTGAACATCTCGTCGAACTCTCGAATCGATGGAAGTGTTGTATCTGCGATCTTCCACTCCAAAGACACTTGAGCTTCCGGAGGGCTGTGGTACGTGCAAGGAGTGTGCAAGTCGATATCACGCTGGTCGTCGAAAGCAATCCATCCCATCACGTGGCCGCCCCATCCTTTGCGGACCGGATTGACACCGACATACTGTTTCAGCAATACCTGTGGCAAATTTCCACGGGATCTGTCATTCAGGTCGCCTCTCCTTGGCGGACCGGGTCCCACACGTACTTTCTCGTCGATGGTAAGTGCAGATAAGTCAATTAGCCGAACGCACACCACTAGATGGCATGGTCCACTGCAAGAGATGGGCGTGAGGTCCTTAGGTAACGCGATGAGCCGACATCTCGGCTCGAAAGCCGGCAGTCGAATCGCAGAGGGATGTTGAATCGGCCTATCCCACAATGCCCAAGACCACGACGGCGCCCGATCTTCGAATGGGCCCACTGGCTTTTGGTCAGTGGGAAGCCACAAAAGTCCTTCGCACAGTCTGTCTGCCCAGATGCCAGCACGCCAGGCTTGCGTTGTCCCGGCTTGGATCTTGTGGACCAATCCGGAAATAGCGATGAGCTTGTCGCTTGCTCTGGTAAGATTGCAATGGGAATATATCTCAACAAGATCAAGCCACTCTAGTGGCGTCGGCCGCGTAGAAGTCGTTTGATTGGACGTTGATGCGGACCTGAGAAGACTGCGAAGATCGGACAAAGCCGACGGGTTGTAACGCGGTGTTTGCTGTTGCTCGACATTCCAAGCTTGGAACTGCACAATGGATCCATCCTCGCACGTCATACCATCCTTCGACTCCAGGTATACATGGCCGACCGTGAAGTGGACAGTTCTAGACGAGAGAACTCGCTCTTGCAGTACCCAGGCTCTCTGAGATAGTGCACTGTGGGTGACATCCCGCTCGGAGTCGAAAGGGGCGCAAATCCCTGTGAGAGAGCGACCAATTGGTATTCGGATTGCAAGCCGCTTGTCTAGTGACGCAGCAAGGAAACCCGTCGAGTCATCTTCCGCGCAGTGAGTGGCGAATGTGACCTGGGCGTTCATGAAGATGGCGCCCATGTTCTGAGACTCTGTCGCCCAATCCTCTGCGCTGTCTTGAATAATGCACAACGCATCGATCCACACATAACCAAATCCAAGGATCCTTGCTAGATTGAGAGCATCCTGAAACGTTTTTGGCAGCTTAGCTATATCAACACCGCTCTTGAACTGATGTAGATTCGATTTCGAGGTGGTTACATGTTGCAATGACCCCCAACGGTGGCTCAGTGCCACATAAGGAATGACTTGTCCAGCTGAACTGCAACTTGCAATGACCTCGTAATCGACTACAGCGACCTCGTCCGAGCTCAGCCTCAAGAGCCGTTTGGGAAAGATGGAAGTGGTCGTGATGGAGGCCTCCGGTTCTTGTTGTAACCAAGAATGTATCAAGAGAACCTTTTCGGCTGGCCCCAGCCTAGGATCTGGTGACAAAAGACTGTCGTTTAATGCCATAGGTGGGGATAGGTCTAACTTGTGTCAGCCGAAACGTGCTGGACTTTCCCAAATTACGCACCTAGAATACCGGGTACCGACTTGGAGTTGAACAGCAGCGGTTCCATTATTGAGAAGCTATCGAGTAGTGTTTCGGGTAGCGGTGAGTCTGACTTGTATCAGCGGAAATTTGCTGAGTTTTTCCCAGCTACGCACCTCGAGTATTGAATATCGTCATGGATTTGAACAAGGAAACTCTCGAGTAATCCACAGTCCCTTTCAGGGCCCGCACGCGTGTCCGAAGGCTGCTTCTCTTCTGTGTTCGGAAGCTAATAGTCAGTTCAACAAGAAGATGTGTAGGATGACGCGGCACAGGTGATCCATCGATACCAGCTCGAAGCGTTATTTCCACCTTCGGCTTCTTCACGATACTACTCGTCCCATAGCATTCATCGTCAGAGACCCCGTTCTCATCGTAACTACTGCCATACGAGTTGCCGAACGGATCGAACTGCGGATCTTGATAAAGCTTTGTTTGGGTGATTAACAGGCCATCGGGGCCTTGAAGGATAGACAGTAGAATGGCGCACAGCTCGCAAGAGATCGATGACGATCTCAGTCTTTCTTCAGTCAAGCTCTCTTGAACATCGACCCGAGAATCGCAAGTAGTAAAGTTTGAGACGGGCTGGAGGCGAGGGTTGGTAGCCGAAGTTAACGACTTGATTAGTATCCTGTGACATGCATTGCAGTAACGGCGGGCTGGATCACGGGGGTATCGTTTCCTCGAGAGCGAAGCCTTTCGATCCGAAAGAAAGCTATCGAACTGCGAGTCTTGTAGGCTGCTGCCGTCGGATATGATTGCGTTCTGGATCTGAGCCTGATTTAGTGTAGGAGAGTCGTCCTCACGCAGGCGCTTCTTTGAGGTCCCCGGTTGTGCCATCGTCTAAGATGGGCAGCATGCGCAAAACTCGGCATCCAGACAGAGACTGCGTGAGAGAGTGAGGCTGATGAGTAAGCTTTGAGGTAGAGTGGGTATCAATCGCGCGATCGCTAGGGACGAATTACTTGTGGTGCCTGTTGTCCGCGGCTCGTCCGGTCCTTTACTTATGTGTAGTCGCTCCCTGCAACTGGTGAGTTGGCTAGTTCAAGTGATGTTAAGATAGAGAATGTCGCGAGGCTCGATGATAAACGTGGGAGCTTAGCTGTCAGTGTCTCCAGTAGAGGTCAGGTGGCGCAAGGCTGGAAAGGATACACGTCAGCTTTTGTGTCTGCATGCTAAGCGTACTTGCTTGAGATCGCGAAGGGTCCAATCACATGCATCTCATGGCCGCTTTTGAGATCTTCAGTCGCATCGTACGACGCTGTGGGTCCGACAGTTGAGGGGGGTTTGGTGAGCGGCCTCAATGCGATTAAAGATGACCAGATAACGACCGGGTACGTCATGGTATTGATGGAAACCCCCGCTACACTGTGATCAGCACGTGTGAATTAACAAAGTAAAGACAGATCGCAAAGTATTCTGTCACAAGGACAAGGTCGTCAGTGTTCTGTCTGCGCGGACACAAGCGTGGCGACTGCCCAAGTAAGACATGCGGTGCGAAGTCAGACACTTCAATGTTCATCTCACACGCAATTTTCGCGTTGGTAATCAACACGGATCCAAGGAAATCACGTTGCATTCAGACACCTATAGGAGAGAAAGGGAAGGAAAGCTTGTTTCGAGATCGGCCAAGAGCACACCATATCCATCCAGAGCGCCCTGCAGCACCCTGTTGTCGCCATCTCGTCAGGGTGTGGTGAAGATTGCACCAGCGCCTTCAGCAAAGGAGCGTCATCGCTAATACCCAATTTGAACGCCAAGAGAACCCGAAAGATCCGTAACAAGTAAATACCGATAGGCGTGCTGAGATGTTGCATGACTTTCCGACTGACACCTACTGTGTCTCCTCGTCGCTGGCGTCAAGAATGTCATACTCCTCATCCGTCATGAACCCTTCATCATCAGAGTGAAGAGCAACGCTCTCGGCATCCTCAAAGAACTCCTCATCGGAGGCGACGGTGACGGTGCGAGCGATGGTGCTCTTCTCGGACACGGGAGACTGCGGCTGGACGGTAGAAGTCTCGTATGTGCTAGACTCGGGCGACTCCTTGTCCAACTGAGGGAAGATCATACCCGAGGATTGGACTGCAGGCTGACGCTCTGGTTGCTTCTCTTCGACTGGAAGCTCGGCGGTAAGCTCCTTGGCAGTCTCCGCGACCTTTGGTACGGGAGCTGGTCTGATGCTAGCCAGAGCAGCTGCGTGCTCCTTGCGACGGTTCTCAAGCAGGCGCTCGACTGCAGCCTTGCGAACCTGCTGGATGCGCTCCATCTTCTGTTGCTCGAGCTGCTGTGCCTGCGACTGACGAATAGCCTTCATATTCTCTAGCCTGGCCTGGAGAAGGGTCTCGTACATATGTGACGATGAAGAAGACTCGGCGACCTCAGAGACATGGACAGGAACTGGTGCCGGAGCGGCGACAGTCTGAATGTCGGACCACAGTCGGTGACCGAAAGGAATGCCATCAGCGGTCTTGAGACGCCAGTAAGAGATGGCAGTACCTTCGCGCTGGGGAGCCTTCATGACAACACGGAAAGATGCCTCCTCACCAGCCGGTACCGGAGCGCAAATGACGTTACTCTCGCTGGCATCGGCAAGCTCGGCTTGGCTCAATGGGCGGGTGGTGTCGATGTTCAGCATGTTGTCACCACCAACGTATCGGACGCTGCAGCCCGCAGGCCATGCGTTGGGGCCAGGGTTGCGGAGTGTCCAGACTTGCACAAATTGCTGACCAGCGCAGATCTTGGAGCCATCGATGATGGTGTCGCGAATAAAGTGTGCATCATAGACTTCGCGATTCTGCTCGGTCTTCGCAACAACAGGCTTCTCCTGCATGAGGTTAGCATAGTGCTTGTCTTGAATACAAGGGACGCATACCTGAGGAGGCTCGGACAAGAGGTCCTGAATGGCAATCTTCTCCTTCTTGACCGGCTCAACTGATGGCCTCAGGTCAACAATTGTCTGGACTTGGGTGGCAGCATTTGTCGAAGGAGCCACAGGGGCAGTCTCGGTGGCAGTCGAGCGCCTGGACGCAGGTCGGCGATCCCCAAGAGCGGTGATCGAGTTGTTGACCTTCTCGTCCATGGTAGTGACGCTGACGTTGCGGACGGGAGTCTTGAACTTGATGAGAGGGTGCGTGTGGTTGTGCTTGTTGCTCGGGTGCGCTTCGCAATTCTGGCAGAAATCGGTGTCGTGACACACCGCGCACTTGTAGCGTGTACCCTCAATGTACGAAAGGTTCTCCTTGTCCTTGCACAGAGGACCGTCGCAGTAGATGCCGTAGTGACGGCAACCGCTCGAAAGAGGCTCAGTGAGGGGCTCGTAGATTGGCACAAAGCGGTGACGGGGGTGGATGATCTTAGCACTCTGCAAGCACTGAGAGCAGTAATCCCAGTCTGGGCAGTTCAGGCACTTGTGGCGCACACCGTAGATGAACTTGTCACATCCATCGCAAACTGCGTTGTGGCGTGCGTTGCGGCCCGGGTTGCAGAGAGCATTGCCCAAAGCAGACAATGAGGTCTCTGAGGTAGCCCCCTTGAAAGCGTGACCGGGGTGGTGGCCGTGCTTGTTGACTGTGTGGCAATCCAGGCACAGGTCGTAGTCTTCGCAGACAGTGCATGTAACGAACTCCTTCTCGGAGAGAACTGGCCAAGTCAGAATCAAACAGCAAATGCAGGACATGCTTGGCTTACCCTTGACGCAGCTGTTGCAGGTGCGTGTCGCCTCCTCTTCATATGTAACAGACTGCTTCTCGTCGGTGAAGGCGCCGGGGATATCCTTTGGCTCTGTGGCCTTGACCTTGGGTGGAATACGCTGGGTGGTGCTGTTCACGACGTTGCCGTTCTTCACGAAACGCTTCACCATCCAGTGGCCGTCTCCGGGGCAGTGCATGCCAGAGTCTACACAGGCAGGGCAGAGATCGTAATCGCCATTGTCGCAGACGCTGCAGTGGAAGTGCTCATCATCCATGGGGTGGTTGCAGTTGTTACAGTACACAACCCAGGCAGTGCATGCTGCTGATGGCTTGGGACGGAATGTAAGCGGGACGTTGTGTGGAGCTTTGGAAAGCTTGTCGAAGAAGGCTGTTGAACGAGTCAGTATACCATTGTCTTTCGTTCGCCTATGAACATATGACGCAGCACTTACCCTGGCGGGTTGTGAACGGCCTCGACACAGGAGCCTCTCCATCGTCTGCAGGCTTCAAAGGCGAGACCGGGCTGACCGCCTCGAACTTGGGAGCCTCCGGAGAGCGGGCAATGACTGGAGAGGTGGGAGCAGCGACCTGAGGAGTCAGGGTCTCGGAGCTCAGGCGGAAGACGGAGGCGTCTGGAATAGCTGCACGAGGGAGCGCGGGAGGAGCAGGCGTAGGGAGCTCAAAAGACCCGCCCGGAACTGTGGCCCTCAGACGGAGCTTGAGCTTCGCCTTTGCGGCGCGGAAGAGCGTCTTGTAGACAGAAGGCGCGTTCGAGTCGAGGGTGACGTACGCGGCGGCTGAGTCGGAGTAGCGCTCGAAGACGACCTGCTCGTCATCGTGAATTTGGAGGCCGGCACGAAGCTACAAGAGAATTGTCAGTCCGCGTGTTCCTCAACATCAGAGCTTCGGCGAGCTGGAGCTGTTGGCCGAAGTGAGGCGGCAGCCTGCTCGTCCGGCAGCTCGGATAGAGTACCACGCACCTTCTCTGGAAGAACGTTCGCTCCGAGATCCTTCAGTGGCAGCTTGAGCTTCCTGGTCTGGCCGCGGAAGAGGACCTTAATAATGATGGGCGTGTCCAGCGTAACGGGGACGTTGGTGGCAGCCATGGCGGGCAAGTGAGGCGGCTGACGATAGTCGACTGTCGGCAAGGGTGCAACAGAGCGACGCTGCAAACTCGCTGCGGCGCGATACTGCTTGAAGAATGCAGCAGTCGAGAGAGGGTGCTACTGGGCGGTGCAGGTCGGTGGAAGTGGAGGTTGGAAGGAGAAGATGAGGTAGCTGGGGGAGCGGTAATGGTAGCTGCCTAGCTCGGGCCGTCTAAACGTGATGCGAGCACGTCAGGTTCCGCGGTTCCACTGCAACGCCTTGCCTCTTGCAGGCAGCAGATTGCGGTCGTTAGTGAGAGCTCGACACTAACAGTCTGGTTTGACAATGCCCTTGAGCTGCTGCAGGAACAGTTTGTCGACGGTACTGCAGGTGTGGTGAAGTTGATGTGATGCTGCAACAGCTGCACGTGAGGCAACGATAAGGTTTCACCGGTGCACGATAGCAAGGGCGGCCTAGTGCAGAGGTCGAGTATCACAGGTGTGACGCAAGCGCCTTTTGTTCACCACTCCGGTGAGAGGAGTTCCAATCGACGCAACTTCACGGTCAGGCCAGACCTGACCGCTAAGTGGTCATTTGATCACTACTGAGCGGACTTGGAGATCTAAATCCATGCAACAATAGAGGTACCGACCGTCTCGCTGCCTTCTGAAAGCTAACGTTCCATGTTCTCAAGAGGCTAAGTCTCGAATTCCTTGCAGACTCAACACGTAAACGAAAAGGTCTCTTGAGATAGTCTTTGATTCTACTCACAAGCCGTTGCAACCTTCATGATGTCGATGGCCCGTTGTTCAGGCGCGTGGAGGAGATCTGCCCCACACGGCACGCTAATGCGGTTACTAAGCCGGGCCCCACAAGTTTTCTCTTTGGAAAACTGCGCTGCAGGAAAAGTTCGAGCCTAGCATAGTTGTTGTATACCATATTCAAAGATGTCAGATACCGATATGAGCTCACAGGGGGAAGTCAAGAAGGTCATCAAGAAGGAGAAGAGGGAAAAGAAGGAAAAGAAGGGGACGAAAAGTTCGAAATCCAAGGTCACAGCCGAATGGAGCTCAGACAACGAGGCCACTGAGACACCAGCAAAGAAGCGCAAGCGCGAAATCCTGCCTGACGAGATCGTCGTCGACATCGATCTTCCTGAACCGTCCTCCAAGAAAGCTGCTCGTGCCGCGAAGAAGGCAAAGCTCAATCCCAAGCCTGCTGCTGCCGGAACCGAGGCGTCCACAGACGCGACAACAGATGGCGCCGCCAGTGAGGCGAAGAAGGGCGAGGAGAAGCGCTCAGAGTTTGGTGTCTGGATCGGCAATCTGCCCTGGTCTGCTACCAAGGACTCGCTGCGCAGCTTCATAATGGAGAATACCGAGATCAAGACCGAGCAGATCACCAGAGTGCATATGCCTCCGTCCACAAAGCCCGTTCCCGCCCACTGGACGACCAAGCCCAACAATAAGGGCTTCGCGTACGTTGACTTCTCGACCGAACTCGCCATGTACGCAGCCATCGCATTGACCGAGACCAAGATGGACGGCCGCGCACTGCTCATCAAGAACGCAAAAAGCTTTGAAGGCCGACCTGACAAGCCAAAGGTAGAGGGAGAGGAGGCTGGTGGTCGTGGAAAGGCTGTGGGCAAGGCAGGCGGTCACCCACCGAACAAGCGCGTCTTCGTTGGCAACCTGTCCTTCGATGTTACCAAGGAGGATCTCACAGCGCACTACAACCCATGCGGCTCCATTGAAAACATCCACATGGCGACTTTTGAGGACTCAGGGAAGTGCAAGGGCTACGCCTGGGTGACGTTCGGGGATGTTGAGGCTGCTACTTGCGCTGTCCAGGGCTTCGTCATGAAGACCGAGGCTGAGCTGAGAGCCAATAAGAAGAAGAGTGCAGACGGTTCTGATGGTGAAGAAACTGAGGTCAAGAACCCCACAAAGAGGAGAAAGTGGCTATTGAACAAGCTGAACGGCCGAGAGATGCGTTGCGAGTTCGCTGAAGATTCCACAACTCGTTACAACAAGCGTTACGGTAAAGACAAGCCAGCGGCGCCCGTTGATGGCGTCAACCCAGATCGCTGGAAGAACTTTGGTGGTGATAATGACAGGCAAGGTGGAAGAAAGGAGCCGCGAGAGCCCCGTGCGCCGCGTGCGCCCAAGAATGGCCCTAACAGCATTCAGCCCGGCAAGAAGGTTGATCCCAGGTCGATCAAGAGTGGCTCAGCGCACATGAACGCTCAAAGAGCAAGTCAGGCAATTGTGGAGGGACAGGGCAAGAAGACCACGTTCGAGTAAGCTAGTGATGCAGCCTCGTGCAATCGTGACTGCCTGGTTTGGGAGGCAGCTGCACTTCGACTGTTGTTTACAAGATACCCACTTCACCCCACATCACTAGCAATCAACAAACCTACATTCAGTCTCCTCACATCATTATCGTTCAATACCCTATCTTCCCTATGTCGAACCTCAAGCGCGTTAACGTCAAGCCCAACCCTGCCTACGAAAAGGTAGGTATCGCCTCGTACGCGAGTCTACTGAAAAAGTACGACTTCGCCCCTACCACCGCTGGCCCTTTCCAGAAGATCGAAGAGAAGAAGCGGTCTTTCAAGAACGCGTTTCGATCCAAGAGCAAGAAGGAGACCAAGTCTGTTCTGCGCAAGGTCGAAGAAGATGGCAAGCCTGGCGAAGTCAAGGCCGAAGACCAGCAGAACGACGCCCTCTACATCTGTCCTGTGGAGATTGGGACCCCGCCACAGATAATGAACTTGAACTTCGACACAGGCAGCTCAGACCTCTAGGTATGTTAATCTGTTCCTCACCATGCTCGGGTACTATCGACTCATCTCTTTCGTGCAGTTGTGGTCCACTGAGCTCGGCTCGAAGACCAAAGCTGCTCGTGGCAAGCACAACCTGTTTGATGCCAAAAAGTCAAGCACCTTCAAGAAGGTGTCCGGCAGCTCCTGGGCGATCAAGTACGGCGACGGTTCAACTGCCTCTGGTATCGTTGGTACCGACAATGTCACGCTAGGTGGCTTATGTGTTGAAAACCAAGCCATCGAGCTCGCCTCCAAGCTCTCCTCTCAATTCATGAGGAGCGCGGGCGATGGTCTTCTTGGCCTTGCATTCGGAAAGATCAATACCGTCAGGCCCAAAAGAGTTGCTACGCCTGTCGAGAATATGGTACGTTTTCCTTGCTCTGCATTCCCCAGAGATACACACACACTGCCTCTATTGGTCCATGTACTGACGTGCTTTGCCACAGATTACCCAAGAGGACATTCAAGAAGACCAAGAGCTCTTCACCTGTTACCTCGGCTCCTGGCGCGACAAAGACGATGAGGATAAGGGCGAATCCTTTTACACATTTGGCTATGTCGATCAAGAAGTCCTCGACCGTTGCGGTGTCAAAGAACCCTACTACGTGGGCATCGACACCACCACAGAAGGTTTCTGGCAGTTCGCCTCGCCTTCTGCATCCATCAATGGCAAAATCATCGATCGTGGTGCCAACACAGCCATCGCCGATACAGGTACCACACTCGCGCTGGTTAGCGATGACCTATGCAAGCAGATCTACGACGCTATTCCCGGCGCAAAGTTCGATGAGAAGAACCAGGGTTGGGTGTTTCCCATCGGCACTCCAGTCGACAAGCTTCCTAAAGTCACTTTTGCGGTCGGTGATAAGCAGTTCGAAGTCCAGAAGGAGGACCTCGGGTTTGCGAAGGTTGGCAATGGTATGCAGTATGGCGGTATTCAGTCGAGGGGTAATTCCAAGTTCGATATCTTGGGTGATACGTGGCTGAAGGCTGTCTACGCTATCTTCGATCAGGGCAAGAAGAGGTTCGGCGTCGTGCAGAGGATTGAGGGAAACCAGAATACTGCGGCAGCACCTAGTGGTGGTAACAAGTGATAGCATCAAGAGTAGATAGAGACCCAGCTGATAAAATGTAAGACAAACATGGTTTATGGTTACGAAGATGAAAATTGCTTCTCGGTCAACGGATTTTGCTTCATTACTCATTAAAACTAGGTTAAGGATAGCCAATAACTACTTATCCCCCAATCCAGCGCTTTTCACACACTTCCTCCCCCAGCCTCCAGGCTAACGCTATATCCTTGTTCCAACACCATCAAGACTGGTACTCAGACAGATCAAGCTCGGCCTCGAGGTACAACCTCCTCGATGAAGCACCGACATAGATCTTCTTAGGGTAATCGCTGATAACCCAGTTTTGAGTCTCAGTCTCCCAATTGCTCACATCACGGCGAAGGATATCCGTCCGGAAGGTAACGGTCTGGTTAGGCTGAATCGAAAGACGATCAAAACCGCGGAGGACGACGGGAGGGTCCTCGGGGCCACCCAAGCTGAGGTACAACTGCACGACCTCGTCACCGGGGAGCGTGCCGTTGTTGGTTATGCTTGCGGTGACGGTGAACAGGACATCCCAAAGCTGCGGGTTTCCACCGGGTGCGCCACCGGCAGGGATGCGCGGCTGCGGGCTGCCGTCGGAGCTGCCGGCGGGCCATGTGTAGTTCAGGCCGTACTCGGGGTCGAACGATGCTTCGGCCAGATCGGTGCTGTTCAGGTACGGGTAGATGAACGTGCCCTCGCGCGTCAGGTTGGCGGGCCACTGGTATTCATTCAGATCGGTGCTGAAGTTGCCCAGGGTAGGAGCTGCGCTAGTCTGGCCCGTCGTCGGGGTGTAGGCACCGGCATTGAGTTTCTGGACCGCGAGATTGGAGTACGAGAATGTAGTGTAGGACAGGCCGAAACCGAATTCGTACACGGGCGTGATGTTCTTCTGGTCGAAGGCGCGGTAGTCAATAAACACGCCCTCTTCGAAATTGTCTTGCGGAGACGCGTTGCCCGCGATCGGGGTGTATATCAGGTCCGGGCCGTACTCTTCAGCGGAGGTGCCGAATGTGAAGGGTAGCTTGCCTCCGGGGTTGACGCGGCCGTAGAGGACGTCGGCTATGGCGTTGCCGGATTCCTGGCCAGGTAGCCCAGCCCATAAGACTGCTGTCACATTTTCGGAATCGTAGAAGGAGTTTACGAGAACGGGGCCGACGGAGTGAATCACAACGACTGTGTTGTTGCAGAGCGAAGAGACATTCTGGATCAGGGTGTCGCCGTCGTGCCAGATGGTGAGGTTGTTGCGGTCACCGAAGTTGGTGTCGACGGTGATGTAGCCCTCACCGGAGTCGGCGTTGACAAAGACAATAGCGACACTGACTTGTGCGGCCATAGCCTGGATCTGGGAGTAAGCATAGTTGTCGATGACAGATGTGAGCAGGCCACCGTTGTCGACGACTTCGCGCTTGATTGCCTCAAGAGGAGTAACGAGGTATGGGAAGTCAGCAGTCCCTGAACCCCAGCCCATGGCGAGAGTGCCATTGTCACAACCACGGTCAGCGCAGCCGTTAGGTCCATACAGGTTCTCGCCAGCGTCCTCGCCAAAGACCGCAGTCCACTTCTCATTACCAGACAGTGGGAGAACACCGTTGTTCTTCAACAAGACGGTCGACTTGGCTGCCGAGGAACGGATGGTGCGGAAGTGCTCATCACGAACATCGATGTGCTGGTTGACAATCTCGTAGTCAGCCTTGCCGTAGAAGTTGCGGTAGTTGTAGGTCTCGCGAGTCCAGCTGTTGAAGTTGGTGGTGGTGTTGTCCTGGTCACGACCGACGTAGTAGTAGGCGGCCATGATACGTGTCGCAGCATCATCGAGGCGCCATTGAGGGATGGTGCCATTGAGAACAGAAATGGTCAGGTTGGTCCCCCAGAAAGAGTAACCAGAGTTGAAGTCTGTGTCTCCGGGCATGGTCATATCGAGACCCGCCTGGGTAGAGGAGACACCACTGTGTTGAGCGTCCCAATCCGACATGATGAATCCTTGGAAGCCAAGTTCACCCTTCAAGATGTAATTCTGCAGGTATGAGTTCTGGCAAACTTGAGAGTTGTTTGCCTTGTTGTAGGAGCACATGATGGAGCCAGTACCAGCGCGCACAGCATCGGCGAAGGGCCAGAGGTACAACTCGTGCAGAGTCTTGTCGTCGACATTGGTGCTGATAGCATCAACGAAGCCAAAATCCTGGAAGTTTCCTGGGGAGCGGAAGTGCTCCTGCTCATTCAAGATGTAATGCTTGGTGCAAGCAATGACACCGGCATCTTGAATACCGCGGACAGTCTCGGCGACAGCGTGACCTGACAGGTATGGGTCAGGAGAGAAACCTTCCCAGTTGCGCTGTCTTGCGTTAGTAATGTCCATGAAGCAGTTGCACCTCTCGAACTTACACCACCCTTGGGGTTGCGACCAATAGGGCCAACAACAGGACCAAGCTGAACATCAACACCCTTGCCACGGTGCTCTGAGCCCATCTGGTATCCTCGACGGTAGAACTCGCCACGGTCCCATGACGCGGCGACGGTGCCACCTGCAGGGAAGGCAGAGACGTAGTCGGCGAAGCGAACACCCAGAGGGCTGTCCTGCATGCAGATGGCCTTGAAACCCAGGCGTGGAATTTCGCCTACATTACCGACACAGTTGTCACTCTGCCATCCAGTACCGGTCGTGAGGTTGACCTTCTCGAGAAGGGTCAGTTGGCGCACAAAAGCTTGAGCCTTAGCATAAGCTTCCTGACATAACCATTAGTGCTTGATCAAAGTTAAGTGGAGCTTTGTACGTACAGCCCAATCACCAGTTCCCTCGATCCACGGACTAGGGTAAAATGGTGGACTCTCAGCGTTGTTCAAGGGACTCGAGCTGTTGGTAGGGTTTGTGTTGTTTGGGTACTGTGCTATCGTTAGCTGTGGCTCACAACAAGCTCATCAAAGATGCGGGGAACAACTTTAAGGAATGGAAGTAGCCCTGCAACAAGAAATGCAGTATCTAGCAACATTTCTACAACTTACGTGGAGCTTAAGCAGAGCTTCAACGTGCAATTGATGTTGTTGTGCTGTGATGGGACAGAATGTCTGCACATACCGTTTGGGCCCGGACCAGGCCAATGGCCAGCAATGCTTGTGCGAGCCGATGCATGACGTCGGCGGGTGCTGCCAGGGCGACACTGAAAGCAACAATAGTATGTTCACACGAAAAATGTGAAGGTACTAACAGGTGACAGGATAAAATTCCTGGAGCGCGCGACGTCAACAGCCGGGAGCCGTTGAGAGCTTTATGGAAGCTACGACAGGGAGGTAGCTACATAGCTACCTGTTCATTAGCTCTGCGCACGTCGAACGATGCCTTTGCTGCGGGGATTGTTAGCACTGCCCTGCTGATCGCACCACAGTTCCCCCAGCGACTCGATGGAGCAAGGCCCGAAGCCTCCGGAGTAGCGCGTCCGACTTTGGCACCGACGATATCTTTTCAAGCTTCAACACCTGCTAAGCTCGTAACTCTCCACTTTCCCAAGACTTTCCTTGCAGAAATACACACGCACCACGAGTACTCCATGTCACGGCGCTCCGCTCGGCACGCGTAGGTGCATCCCGTCTCCCTTGAGCAGACAAGACGAAAAATTGCAGTCGTCATAACATCAGGCCGATACGGCGATTCAGCATGGATATCGTCATCTTCTTGCACCAACCCCCTGTCGTACACTTAAGCTCCTCTCGCAAGCCGCTGCCGACGCCACAAAAAGCCTAACAGGAGTGAACAATACTGCTTGTGAGCGCGCTATCGTCGATGGAAGTGCAACTCCAGCAACGTCGATGCGGGGTCAGTAGCACACCAACGTTCCTTCACGCCGTACTCCACCTGCACGTCTTGCTGTTGAGGGTTTCTAGCGTTCACTGTGGTCGTCCGAGATCTGCTGATTGATGGATGTCACTCTTGGTACATGCCAGATGATGACACAAAAACATGGGGTCCCCAATAACCCCACATTGGCGAAATCTCGGCTCATCTGTGGGGAAATCCCGCGTGCCTAAAATCTTGTTGTACATCCGCGGCGATCCATTGTGAAAGGATTTTGGCGTCACGGGAGCATTTGCACAGGATTTCGGCTCCGGAAATCTGCCGGCGACTGACATACGGGTCGTATACCGCGGCACAACGAGTACGTCTGTCGATGTCGTAACTCAGAAGGTGGTGCATATCGCTCACGTCCGTCACGCTAGGCCTCACCTTGGCTGCCAACACGAGTGCCGAGCACCGTCGAGGCGTCCATATGGTGGAAGCCCTTGCGATATACTTTGGCCATTGTACGACCAGTTGCAAGATCACTCGTTGATAGCCATGCAGAGAGTTCATTTACTCCTTGCCTATTCTGATGAACACGCGCAGACGTGCAACGAAGCTAATAAGAGGCTCGCTCAGGCACACGGTAGAAGCAAGCACTGCGCTCTATGCTCCAGCGAACCATGGAACCCAGCTCTTGTGGCTGGCGGCTCCGTTACACCTCCAACGACGATCGATCTGGAGTCCTTTCACGCTAGTTTCTTGATTCAGCTCAGCCGCAATGAAAGTTGAATGTTAAGCTTCAGGAATCCTCCGGTCAACATTGAACGTTCTGGGGGTGCATGCTTCACAGATGCGAGCAAGCTACGATCATGACAATAGGCATGTATATACTTTGATTTTTGCTTGATTTGGGTGTTGCTGACTTGAATTGCCTTGGATTTGCAAGTATGTTGTGAGGCACACAGCCCAGCCCCGCTGCGCTACATTGACCAAAAAAGTACAGTACTGCTGTAGATAGCAGGTACTGGGCGCTGAACAGTATATACCCATAACACTAGCTCGAAGGTTGATGAGATTCCAATAACAAAGTTGATTGACAAGGCTAGACACAATGCCATAAGGGCAGTGTTCCTACTTGCTATATACTGCATGAGAGGGTACTGCTCGTGGATGAGCAGTCCAGACTGATCCAATAGAACAGGGGTGTTGCTTGTGGACGAGCACGCACGTGTGTCATGCTCGTTGAGGAGCAGCCACGTGACCGTTGGTCCGTTACCGAGTACCGTCTTGTCTGGTTGGTGGTTACTTATTACTTTGCCGGCTGCCGTGTGGGACACAGGATCGTAACAGTACACTTGATTTTTGCCAAGTGTGGGCCGATGGGAATTCATGTCTGAATGACTCCAGCTTTCAATCTTCATCACCGAAACGCCATCGCAGAGGGTAGAGATCAAGACCACGGCCGGAATGACAGCCATACATCTTTATGTTGATTGCGGACGTTGCCAAGGCGTTTGCTGCAGGCGTACTGCGCATTGACAGCAGGTCTCAGCCTGAAGAGACACCAAATGTCTTCCTAGATATTTTCATATGCTAAAAGCAGCCTTTTGCAGTAGGTATCTCTTTTGCAACCCATCGTGTTGTCTCACGAGTACGGATCCTGAAGTGGACCTCAGCCAATGATGCTCGATATAGCGCAAGGCTGCCTGCAGGCGCTGCAGGCAACACCGCCTCAAATCTTTTGAGTCAAAGCGATCACTCCTCCCTGAGTCAATTTCATTCAGCCTTATAGTTCATTTAAGAACCGTGGAATTGCACCTCATCAACTGAGAAGCAAAGTGTTTTATTCGTCATGGGTTCTCGCGCAACCAAGGTTGCGGCGCCCCCGCACGTGAAGGCTGCTGCCTCACCGGTCGCACCTGCTCAACAACATCATGAAAGAAGCAACAAGACAAACGAAACTGGGCCCTGCCAAGACCAAGTACATCAGGCTGCACGAAAGCCAGTGACTTCACCACAGCCTTGTGACGATATCAACCTCAAATTCTCAGCACAAACAACCACTACCTCAAGACGGCGATACAGTGAGCCAGTACAGACAGAAGCGATGGCCACAGAACTGAACACAGATGGAATACGGCATCTTTCTGCTTTCGAAAGCTTCATTGTGGAGCGCGACCTGATGGTGATCGACATCGACTACGCAGCCCTTGTCAGCCCAGTTCCCATTGAACAGCTCCCAAGCCTAGCTGCGTTTGTACCTATCCAGGAAGAGTTTAAGGAGCCTGAGGAACCTGAGGTACAATGTATAGGTTGCTGCACGCAGCTACCGAAAGAGAAGGATCTGAATTATGCGCAAGAAGTAATCAAGCCATGCAGGTCGTGCAACAGCACATACTGCATCCCATGTGTCAAAGGCATGTTTCTCACTGCGTGTAAAGACTCTAGTCGGATGCCGCCACGCTGCTGCGTGCAGATCCATCTTTACCACATCAAGCCTCATTTGACGATCGAAGAGATTACCGAATACAAGTCGAAGTATGAAGAGTGGAGCACACCCAAGCCGTTCTACTGCCCAATACCAACATGCTCCGCTTTTATTCCAGAACGACTACTGCCACAGCAGGCAGGAACGAAGGGAAAGAGGAAAGTAGACTCGGGCATTGGAACCCCAACCTTACCGAACTTTCAGTGTCCGAAGTGCGAAGGCGAGATCTGCGTCGACTGCCGGCAATCAGCCCACCCAGATAGCCTCTGTACAACTTTGGATCCTGGAGTTGATGCAGAGACTGCAGCACTTCTCATGGTATGGGGTTACAAACGCTGTCCGAAATGTAGCCAGGGACTGAAACGAATGTATGGCTGCAACCACATGGAGTGTAGATGTGGTGCGCACTTTTGCTGGGGTTGCATGAAGAGCAGAGACGAATGCGAAGGAGGCTGCTACGAAGACGACGATGAAGACAGCGGAAGCGATTTTGAACCTGATGAGCCTGAGTCTCTTCGAGGATCAGACAACAATACTGCTACTGAAGCGCAAACGGCGACTGCGGAAGGAACAGAAGCCACCATGGCAGACGCTGCCCCGGAAGTACTTGCTGGAGTCGCAACAGAAACGAATACAACCTCACCAGTCACTTGTCGCCCACGCAACCTCGACGGCGGCTCAGCACGTTACTGGGAACAACAAGACTTCGACTTCGGTGAAGAACCTACCGACGATGTTCAAGACCGAGTTTGGGAGTGCCATCATTCCTTCGAGCCTTACACCATCACGCTCACGGAAGCGATTTCGAAACCACCTTTAGCGCACGAAATGGAGTGCGTCAAGTGTTGGTGCGCGATACAGCCTGACATTGAAACACCACAAAAGTCAACCACCATTCCAGCGCCGGCTAAGATCGCACGCATTCCTGCTGGTAGAGGTCGCGGGGGTCGCTGTGGCCGTGGACGTGGTATGGTAGCTAGACTACGACCTGCAGCGTACGTGCCTCCGCGCGGTCTCGTCCATTCAGATGCTACTGTCGGTACTGCACCTCATCTCACAGCACAGCTTACACCTGTTACTTTGTGGACGTCAGAGACACGATCAGATCCTATGGAGGACATCCAATCTGAACTGGAGGTAGATTTTAAAAAAGCGGAGTCTTCACCAGACACAGAGCTTTACCAGAAAGCTCCATCCACATGTTCGACTTCCCTAGTCTTCAGCGGCACTTCCATGGCGTACAGCGTAGCGCAAGAGTGTCACAACTGCAGCCTCCTCGTATGTCAAAAGTGCGCAGACGATATCCTCGCTCAACGACAAGCCAAACGAGAAGCACGCGAAGCAGAACGAGCAGCGGAAGAAGCAGAAGCAGAGCGGAAGGCTGAGGAGGAGACATGAGGACGGAGAGAGCTACCAGCGTCTCCCGGAGCTGACGGGCAATCCCCTCCATCGCTGTTCGACTGATTATTCTCTACAGCTCACAAGAGGCGAGTCGTGGTATTGTGTGCTTTCTCAGATATGGCATTCTGGCGCTGTTGGCTCTCACATCTTACTCATCTGTACTATTCGTCGGTGTTCTCTTTGTGTTCCTGCCATAAGGGCCGGCTCTCCCTTATGGTTCGCATTCCTACTGCCAGATGGGGGGTTGATATTTTTGAGTTTCGCTGGTCCCTCAAGTGCACTTATCCTGTACGATACTATAAATGCATGCTTAAAGTCTGCAATGTAGAACGTGCAATTGTCATCCCTGCGGTAAACATGCTGTTGCCTGAACCTGTTCTGAGTGTGAAGCAAGTATCTTGGTGACTTGGACTTTGCTCTTTCATAATTCGAGTGCGACTTCTAGCCTCTCGCAATCCATATGGGGACTGGAAGTGTGAAGCAAAATTTCATTTAACTGTCTTGCAACTAGAGCGAAAGCTAGATATCGTCCTAAATGTTCAACTGACGAGAAGTACATATGTAACAAGAGCCAAGTGGAATACAGCAAAACTCTGTGCACGCATGTACATAACGAGTTGGGAGTATCGATGAAGCTCGAAGTTGCGATCGAAGTTCATATTTGAGTCCTAAGTTCATGGGATGGTCAAATCACAACAGAAATGGGCAGGTGAAGGTATTTGATCATGCAAGCGATTTTCATTCAGATCAAGAAAACAGAACCACCCCGAAGGTGACCGAGCCGTGGACCAAACACAAGTAAGGAGTTCACCGCATGTGGAAAAATGTAAACACCGAGTAGATGAGATGATTTTCCTGCCGTCCGTCCTTTTTAGAGAATCCTTATATGGTGTTCAGCTCCTCCGTTCAATCGTCCATTCGTCAGATCGCTTTGTTGTCGTATCGTTGAGACGTCGTTGATGCGAACGTCAGGCAGGAACTTCTGGAGTCGTGCTAGTGGTCGACGCAGTGTCGAGAGGCGTCTATGCGCCGAGGCTGGGGAAAGCGCTGGAGTCGCTGACGTTGGGGGCGTTGCCGCCACGACCGCCACGAGGACGAGCGTCGCCACGGCCTTCGCCACGGCCACGTCCACCACGACCCTCACCGCGAGCACCGCGGTCACCACCACGGCCACGACCCTCGCCGCCACGGAAAGAACCACGGCCCTCGCCGCGGCCACGGCCGCCACGGTCACCGCGTCCACCGCGGGAGCCACCCTCACGGGGAGGGGGAGCGAGCATGCGGTCACCGTCAAGCTCGACGTGAACCTTCTCCTTGCGCTGGCGCTCACGCTTGGCCTTGCCGCCGGAGCCGGCGAAGAAGTCCTCCTCCTCGCGCTTGACCTGGGTACCCTCGGGGAAGTCCTTGGAGCTGCCCTCGTTGGCCTTGCGAATGTTCTGCTCACCAAGCTTGAGCTTCTTCTCAGCCAACTCGGCGAGGTAGGCAACGTAGGACTTGGAGTTATCCTCGGGCTCGGGCTCAGCGGCCTCAGCCTCAGCATCCTCCTTGACGGCATCCTTCTCCTCCTTCTGGGCGATGGCCTCACCGGCCTGCTCGTCAGCAAGCTCGGCCTCGCCAGTCTCGGCACCCCAACCGTGGGCAGCCTGCTTCTCGTGCTCGCTGCGAAATGTTAGAGATATCACTTTCTTCTTTGAGATCGTATGCCATACCCAAGGCCGGTCCTGCTGTGACGGTCACCCTCCTGGCGGGCAAGACCTCCACGGCCTCCACGGGCACCACCGCGGGAACCACGGCCGCGGCCACCACGGCCACCACGCTGCTGCTCAGGCTCTGCGCATAATTAGCATGTATTGACAGAGTTGAGTCCATATGTACTCACCGCCAGAACCACGTTGGCGGTTGCTGCTGGCGCCGACACCGCGATCCCTAAAAGCTGCATGCTATCAGTACAAGCTCATGACGTAACATCCCCTGCACCCATGGTGTCTCCTCTGAGATGGTGTCTGCCTTGACGTACCGTTATCGTTGGCGTTGTTGCTCTGCTTGGCGCGGGACTGGTTGCCCTGGCGCTCGACGGGAGGAGAGGCCTTGACGTCGGAGCCCTCACGCTTGCCGTGCCTAGGGGCAGGCTTGTCGATGGCCTTTGTCGGTGGCTCAGCTGGCCTGTTGGGGTCGAGCTCAGGGTCGTTGCCTGCGGGGTCATGAGCGAGTTTTCGCGAGCGGTGAACTTCGAGTTAGCATACCCAGCAGCTCGTACATGTTCTGTAGTCATTGTTAGCTATCGCCCTTGTATATGCATTGCTTCAAGCGGCTCATTGAGCCCTGCACTGCGGCGCGGGGTTGCAGCGGACGCTTGAGCGAGGTTCGAGCTTACCTTGGAAGCAATTGTCGTCATCTTGATGGTTTAGAGCGCCTTGTGCGCTTTGCCCTCCTAGATGCGCAATCTGCCGGGGTAAAAAGAAAAATGCGAGAGCTGGCCCTACGGTACTAGGGACTGGACTCTCGGTGGTGGCTCTCAAACGAGGTGTTGACGCTGGTGGAAGCACGCTTGCAAGCCAGGCAAGGAAATTCGTGTGGGTTGGTTCGCTTAGTCAATTACCAGGTGGGGCACGGGCCAAACGACATGTACATCAGAGAGCGCATGACGCTGCAATTACTTGTGCATGCAGCATGTCAATTGGGATTCTAGACTAATTTTATTTCATGTTGCAAGGGGCCATGGCAGGCGTAATGTTGCCTGCGCTGTGTCAGACGTCGCTGCCTCAACGTTTGGCTTGGTTCGCTTAATTGAGGCAGCTTGGACTTGAGTCAACATCATCCCGAGGTTCACAGCGGTGAAGCAGTGTGTATGTTGCGCCCTTGCTTGGACGTTGAGCATTGGCTTTAGTATTGATGTATGTACAAGGCAACAGTCGGTCTCCAAGTCGATTGACCGACTGCGCCGTAGAAGGGTTCTGCTTGTTCCCCTCTAGCCAGTTCGGTCATATTTCCCTCGAATAGAGAACCGTGAACAGCTGATCCAGCCTGAACACACCCAGTATGATGCTCCTCCCAACTCGCGAGGAAGAGCTGCCCAAAAAGCTCGATTCCTTGTCAAAAGTGCTGCTATAACCGTACAGCTGAGATGTCTATAACACTCCAAAACATAACACTCCAAGAAACAATGATGCCTCTGCATCTGATGAAACAAAACTTTTAATAATGCTGCCAGGTCTATGGCCAGCGGTTGCCGTGAGTTGAGGAACGCCGTTATGCTGTCTGACGATGTGGAAGCCAGTCGTGACGCCCGCTAAAGAACACATTAAAAACGTACGGTGGGTAAGATTCCAGATGTCGAAGGTAGGTGTCCTATGTATCCTCTTATCCTAATCATATTCATCCTTGCGTCGATCATCTCGATTCGTACATGGTGGGGAAGTGCATGCTAGCAGAGAGCCCGAATGGATCTGCATCCAGCATTGGATCGTAGGGGTCGAAGAGGTTATTCATGTTATTGAATGGCTGGTTGCTATCATTTGGTGCCAGCGTGGCTGGGCTGGCGAATGGTGGGTTCTGCGCAGGCGGCATCGGAGGGGGCATGCTGTTCGCAGGTGGGAAGTTGTGGTGCGGGAAGGGGCCGGGGCCGGCCGACTGATCGCTCGGTTCTTCGTGGTCGTAGTTGTCGGCTTGCTCGTCATACTCCTGTTCTACACGCCAATCAGCCTAGGATTACAAAGTCATATACCTAAGTAAAGGAAGGTAGGGGTCAGCTTGCCTAGTTGGTTCATGTGGTCCGAGTACTGGGACTGGTAGAAGGAGGAGGGACCACTGCTTTGAGTTATGCCATTTGCATTGGGACCAACAGTGGACGCGCCCTGGATGCCATTTGCAGGCACCTGGTTTGTGATCACGGATGGCCTCTGTGGACCTGCTGCCATCATGGGGTTGAAGTTGGATCTAGGTGGCTGTGGCCGCAACTGCTGCTGCTGCTGCTGCTGCTGTTGCTGAGGGGGAATAGGTCCAAAATTGGGAGACACAGAATGACCTTGAGGCATGAAGTTGGGTGAGCGCGTAGCCGACTGCGCAGGCGAGGACAAATGGGAGCCTGGTGTGGGCTGCGACAGTGGTGAACGTTGGATCGGACCATCCGGCTGTATCATAGGCAAGCCATTGCTACCATCAGCCTTTGGCGGTCCCTGCAATGATCGCCTCTGTTGCTGTCTATTCAAGATGGCACGCTGCTGGAGAGGTGGCTGGTTCGGAGACGCGTGTGCAGAAGCCGCAGGCCTCGTGGGCCCTAGGTTTGGACTGCCAGTCTTCGCGCGCAGCTCAGCCTGGACGTCAATGCCTGGTGGAGCATGGGTTAGCGTATATCGACATTGGCCTGTCTGATAAGCAATTGGTACCTTTCTCCAGTAAGACTCTTTCAAGTAGAGAGTTCTTATACCGGAGCATAAGACATTCGTCGGCGGCGTTGCGGTGACTGTTTTGCAGGTTCTGCAGCGTCTCTTCATGATGCTTAATCGTGCTCTCCAGCTGCTTGATGTACTCGGTTCGCCGCTCGCGAAAGGCAGCCTGTGCCTGCCTATTGCGTTGCTTGCGCTCTTCCGAGGTGGCATAGATCTTACGACGCTTGGTTAGTCCAATTCGTGACATGTCAAATGGCTGCGCAATTGCGGCGCTCATGATAGGCAAGATAATGCGACTATGGAGAGGCTCACGGGTTTGCGACCACCTTTGCGCTTCTGCTGCTGCGGGTTCTCTTGGGTATATGTCTCCGCCTGGCCCGGCTCAGGTGAATCTTCGATAGAGGACGTCGAGCCCTCGCGCGGGTCCTCTGCTTTACCCACGGCAGCCGTCATAGTTGTTACGCTATTATCTCCCATCTGCGTCCACCGTACCCCTCCGATCTGATAGAGGGGCACAGGAGCGCCAAGAAGTAAGATAGATGCGACGACAGCGAACAGGCGTTACGTGCGGCGGGAGGCTCTGTATCGGCTAAGCGCGCTGGGGTAGACAGCCGCAGCACCGGGTCGAGAAGCGATTGCGTTTGTTTGGGAGTTTAATAATGTCTGATAAGAATCCAAGGAGTCGAGCGATGTGTGTGGCCGCGCAGAAGTTGTGAGGTAAGCTCTTGGGTAATGAAAACGAAAGAGGGCCAGCGGAGGGGCGGAGGTGCTGGACTTCAAAAGGCGCGGGCGGACCACGTCCAGTTCACGGTGCCGAGCGCAGCTTCTGTGTGCTTAAAGGTTCCTCTGCAGTGGACAGCAAATGGCAGCGAATTGCAACCGAGCGTCCGCTCTTGGGCGCCTGCACTTGATTCTGGCCAAGGCGTGCGGAGATGCGGTTGGCGGACCAGCTCAAAATTTTCTTCGCGGGGTGCGCACTGCATCACCGCTGCCATCGAGAAACAGTGCATCGTGGAGGAGCCGTATAAGGCAGGGACTGCCGATACGGACACCAGTACTGCATGCAGCATAGCTGAGCTCTAGCTCCCGCGCCACCAGGCAGAGTTTGTAGAGCATCTCCGGCATCTCCATGGTGGCAGCGCGAGCCTCATCTTTATCAAGCCAGTCTGTTCCCTAGGGCGTTGCGGATGCTTGGGCGGTGCCATTGCGTTTATCATGCATCATTCAGAGACTTTTTGCGTCCCTTCACGACGACGCGCTGTCGAAGCCGAGGAACTGCCACGAACGGAAGAACGACCTCGGTGGCCCTGCTCCCTGCACCGAGGCCACGCGCTGTAAGACGTGGAACACCCGCCATAAAGTCACTGCGCGCTGACACCTGGCTATGGCGCTATAAGGCTGACGATGCAGCAATCCGATCTGATGTCGGTGGCAGAAAAAGCATCTAGCAAGGTGCTTGGAAGGGTCATCTCCTGATAAGCAATTCACCCTCCCACCAGTGAGGCTTGTATGCTCCAGCACTCGACCAGACACTGGTAAACAAACCTACAAAAACATCATGCACAAACACTGAGGACGCCGCAAACACCGCAGGGGCTGATCACGAGGAAGAGCTTGGCCTGCACCCCGCTTAACGGCGCCAGCATGCGCAGGCCTCTGATTCGCAAGCACTCATAGGGCAGTCTACCCGATACGTCGGGTCGCTGAAAATTCGCACTTTGGAACCACTCTTTCCAAGTCTGTCGCCTTGGAAGAAGAGTTGTGCTGCTATCCCAATCTGGCAAACAAAGGTCATGCGCCGCATCTGGTGAGAACAGGTGACCTTGACACGGTCCACAGGTCGAGAGTCGAGACTCGTACGAGACTGTTGGTTTCACGTCCAAAGTACCCGCCATGGAGCATCGTGATGTTGACGGGCCGATCTTGTGTCGACAGCTTCGTTGCGCTGCCTGGCGGTGAGCTAAGGGGTCACTTGCGTCGAATCTGGGTTGAAGATGAAGCGTAGAGTGAACTCTCGATCGCAATAGCGCGGGCGCAGGAGCAGGAGGTCACTGCAAGCGTGTCAGCATGTATTTCGAAGTAAGGCAAAGGTTTGTGCTGTGAGTGGGAAGATTATGCACATCTGTGGTGTTGATGAGTGAGGCTCAACAGCTGGCGCAGAAACCATCAGAACGTGGTTGCTCCTGCTTGGACGACGCTGGGAAGTAAACACAACACCGCCGTAACAAGAACAATCGTAGCAGCTGGTACAAAATGATATGCTGCAGTTGAGTATACTGTGTAAGAGATATTATCTTTACCGGTGTGTTGCCCTCTCTGGTCGTCATCTCATTTCCTTCGAGCTTCCTTCCTGCAAGTCTGTTTCCTGCACGCGTCTTTACTTCCTATTCTACCAAACATTTCTTGACCGCGCTTACCACGCCCTTGAGAACATCACATTTGAGGTTTACGATGTTACACATCACCGCCATGCAGACCTCAGGCGACAGACCTCACCCACCTCCAGGATATCGAGCATCGACATAGTCTCACATGACTTTTCTCCTGATTTCAGCAGTAACGGATACCACATCAATCACTCGGTCAACATATCACCACCAATCGCCAGCTCCCTAATCCTTCGTTCACGATACTGCCACGCGCAGTCGCAGCATACGACACAGCGCAGCAGTTGGGTTGGCTGCGATGACATTGGCCGAGCTTGCTGGACGGCTGTTGAAGGGGTCAGGTCACTCGCAGTCACAGCCAGGTGCAGGTCCACACTCAGAACCTCGACCTTCTTTAGAACGAGTGAGCGGGTCTTCGTTCGTTGCGTCACCTGGATCAGACGGCAATCGAATTGCCGGCGTTGGAGGCATGGTCAGCAACTCCTTTGGAGAACCCAGGGCACCATCTTTGCATGCGCCCTCGTGGGCAAAAGCTCGTCCTTTGTCCGACATTCGTGAGCTCACAGAGCCAAGCTTGGCGGACACGATACCACGAAGACTTCTGTCGGACGGCAACCTGCCTCGAAATACGTCGCGACCGGAAGTATCGCGAAAGCCCTCTGCCGCATCGAAGCGTCGCCCAAGCACCGATACTCGATATGGCGAGAATCGAGAACCGGATAGAAAGAACAGTATCGAGAGTAACGGCGGCAGATCTATGTACCGAGGGCGATCCTCTAGAACACCATCACCACCAAGTCCTGCGGACAACAATAGCATTTCCAGTATATACAGCATTCCGCCTGGCAGTGTCCCACCCCGTTCGTCCTCGCGTACACGTGCACGTAGTGCATCTCGAACTCGACAGGCTCCTGCGGCATTGCCTTCGTCAACAACGCAACGGCTACCTACAAGCACTGCAACGCATACAATACCTACGTTACCGCAGCCTCCCCCGAGAGGCGCTGGCCACACCATACCTCGACATGGTCAATCTCTATCACCTTTACGCCATGTCGCTACCCGAATAGATCCTACACCGCATGACAACAACCGACGCATACCTTCCAGAACATTCATCCGCGAGCCATTATCCAAAGAACTTCTCGAGTTTCCCTCACATCGTCATCCTCGCATCGAGCTTGGATTAGACCTGTCGGCTGGCATATTTGTGGGCGGAGGGTCGATCGAGGGCACCGTCCAGATCAACGTCGACGACGCTGAGCGAATACGTCATAGAAGGACTCTGGACATTGCTCGGATATCCATCGATCTTCTAGGCATAGAAGAGATGAGTGGAAACAGGCGCTGTGTCTTTCTAAACCTCGCTACCGAGTTGATCGATGAAGACCACCCGCCACCTCAACACATGGTCTACGACCAAAAGCCAATCGGATCCAATGATTTGTTCTGGCACCTGATGCCCTCAGTTACCAATCTGGCTTTCAATCTAAGCCTGCCACTCAACGTTGGACCACCACCCTTCCATTCGAAGAATGCGCGCATTCGATATGCTTTATGCGTATCGCTACTTATTCGTGACCATGGCAAGCAGTACATCGTCAGGACATCAGACGACGTCACCGTCCTCTCGGTGTACGATCGTAAGTGCCCTACAGTCTACTGTCATGAAGAGATGCTGACTACCACGAAGCCGAGAAAGCTCTCATGTCTCTCCCGAGTCCTCTCACTGCCTCAGACGAATGGATCAAAGCCCGCGACACTACCCTTGAGATTGTACGGATAACAGCAGGTTTACATAGGCAGGTTTGGGTCAGCGGGACCAGCATCTATGTCGATGTGCATATCGCGAACAACAGCCGCAAGGTCATCAAGAAGATCGAACTCCAACTGGAGCGGGACATACTATGTTACAAACACGTTTGTTTGGCAGCAGTCCCAGATGTTCTGGCGTTGTGCTGATGTGTTGTATTTGTAGGCCGCTGCATCGACCATGGAAAAATCTGCTGGTCAAGCGCGAATTTTCGACAACAACGAACGTTCAATTCTCAGCAAGAGTACCGTTAAGCAGGGCGCTGCCGGATGGCATGGCGTACCCTCCCACCAGACTCACATCCGCACCTGTGACTTGGAAGTGCCTCGCGGACATGCTACAGTCAAGTGTGGTATGTGGTGACTGTCAGTTCCATGGAGGGGAAGATACTGACCAGCTAGGCAAATACTTCGAAGTGCGATACTTCCTAAACGTTATCGTGGGTAGCGCTCATACGTCAGTCGTCTGACCTTTCAGCCTACACCTGCTCGTGCTGACTTTGTACAGAAAGCTGGTCACTGTTCAACTGCCGATAGTACTCATTCACATGGTGAGTGAGGCTCCATCTTCGAATTTGTACGCCTCTAGCTGACACCCACCAGAATTCTCTTGATGTGGTGCCGAATTCAGTTGCCCAGGTGGCTATGGCCATCGAAGAAAAGCGGACTGCACATACTTACCAACGCGGCCATTCTTCGCCTCGACTGGGTCGCAAGCGTTCACAATCTGTCCAAGGCCGTGCCTTTGCCGCGCCGCGAATGCAATCGCTTGATCGAATGCGAGCACAGGTCGAAGATCTGCAGGAGCTTGGGGAGATACTGGATCACAGTCCTCGCAAGTACGCTATACGTCGCATGAACTCGAATTGGGACTATCACACACCACCGTCCAACCGCAAGGGCAGGGTCGTTGACGACGGTGAAGCGGCAGAGCTGCAGGATCGGCTGCGACGAGTCCGCTCGAACGAGACGATGGGGTCGATACCCCATGCTTTGAACCGAGGGAACTCATCGACATCGAAACGTGCCGAGTCAGCGCTTGGGTTCAGGGAGGCTGAAGTCCGAGACGATATGGAGCTTGCTGGCCTAGGCATATCTGGTGAAGCACCTTTCAAGCAGCGGTTGGAGAGGAGCCGTTCACGCCAATACCAGTTTGTCAAGAAGAAGAGCGTTGAAAGATGGAAAGGCGTTGCCTCTTCTGGTGTGGGATGGCTGAAAGGTAACAATGGCGGCAGCAAGGATGAACGAGAACGCGAAGACTGGGTTTGAACCATTCGCTCCTCCCTGCTTGCAATGTCTTTTACTCGTGTAGATACTGTGCATTGATCTTCGTGGGTCAGAAGGATTTTGCATACTCTTGGATGTTACCATTGTTACTCAAAACCCAACGCTCAATGGTTTGTCTACATGCCGTCACTCTGAGAACCGTGGTCGCAGTCGTCCACGATCACGATGCCTTGTCGTCGAAGCTCGCATACAGGTATACAAGTTCGTTGATAAAGGCAGAGCCGAACATCCATCTAAAGGACCGAAAAGGTCACATGACCCACCGAACTCCAACCTCGTCATTCCATCTTACTTTCTCGATCCAGCATCGCGGATTGCGATATTTATCCTTTATCACCAGCCTCCCCAATAAACCTCTCTGTTTGGCTACTAACATAGTATTGATGGTTGCATCATGTCAGCGCGTTGATGACGCACTACGATCAACAAACGCGTTCGGCGAACATTGAAATTGCTGGCAATAAACAAAGGGCCACGATCCCGAAACCGCTGGCATGTCCCCGGAACAGACGCCCGACTTGTGTGATTGCAGGAAGCATTGTGCTAAAAGACCTGGTGTTCATAGGGGCTTGCTGGCTCATAAACGCTCCTCGCTGGTGTGCGATGCAAGGCAGCTGCGTAGACTTGAACTGTTGGTGGTGCGGCGTAGCAAACAAAGAAAGCGCTGCAAAACCATTGTAGCCCCTAAGGCTTTTTTCGCCAACAAACAAACTCTGCTCCGGCTGTCAGCTATGAGCAGTTGTTCGTTCACTCGCCGCACTTGTCGAAAACGCACTATCGCCTCGCACACGTGACCGGTCATCAACGACGCGCACGGATATGTATTACGAGAGTAATTTCGGGCGCAATTGCTGCTCGACGTCTGCGGCTCTGTGATTATCTTATCCCTATCGATAGCTCACCGCGTTCGACAGCGCGCGACAGTTGACGTCGTTTCATCTCGTCTCTGCGAATTGCTCACACTGCGTTTTTGCGTTTGACGCCAATCGGTCGCGTCACTGAAAACAAACACGGGCACACGTCCCAGTGTGTAGGACCTACCGCGACCGCGGCCCACTTACCAACCCCATCACCTGCGAACGCATCGACGCCGCCTGCCACTTTGCGCCAACTTCAATAACTCTTGACACACGCATCGCGCATTTGTAGAAGGAAGTGGGCATTGACATTAGAGGTAAGCAGGTTCCCTTCGTTGTGGAGGGGCATCGACGTCAAGGATTCGTGCCGTGGCTTCTGGGGATCGAGCTGTCGCAGCCCATTCAGAATGCGCTTCATGTATTCGCAGGCATGCGCAACTAGTCTTAGGGAGTCGCATTGCTTGTGTAATACTTCAACGGCCTCTGAGTGGTAGCGACTACCCACGATATAAGACCCTCAGCAATGGCGACTGGACAACTGGCTATGGTTCGGTTAGGACTACCGACCACGGTTGCCAGCATGGCAACAATCAGCAAACATTCATAAACACCCAGGACGCTCGCTAATTTGCACTCTCTTCAGTGCCCGCGCCTATGCAAGATGCCGCCACGAGTAGGACTCCGTTCCCGCCGGGAGCCTGACGCTCAACCGCAGTCTGATGCCGACTCGATAGCCACACCCTCGCGAAAGCGCAGACGCGTGAGTTCCGTTCCCAAATATTCAGGGAATGTTTACTCATCAGACCAGCTCAACGGCAACGAACCTACAGCCGCGGCCGCCGAGCCTCCACGCACACGTATCACCGAGTCTGTTGCGAGTAACGATAGTAATACTACGCTCCCAAACGCAGACGACGAAGATCCCGTTGAAAGGCAAAACCGAATTATTGCCGCCCTCGGTATCCCTTCGAACTACACGCCAAATGCGGCTATCGACTATGCAAACGACCTACAAGCCCGCAAGAACGAGGGGCATAATATTGCCGCCTTCGCGAAGATAGCAGCTCGCGACTGGTGCTTCTTCGTTCAGGAGACTCGAATTCTTATTGGGCGTGCAGACTCGACAATCCGTCCTCAGCCGCTCAGCTCGCAGGCAGACATTCCTGGACACCCTCAGAGCGAAGCCCAGTCAGTCTCGAACTGGGGAGTGCACATTGACTTGGGTCCTGAACGCCAGGTTTCGCGTGTACACGCCGAAATCTATTTCGACTCGGCAGACCAGAACTGGTACATCGTTGTGAACAGCCGGAACGGTCTGAAGCTGGACGATGTGCATGTGACAAAGGGCCAAGTGGAGTTGCTGCATTCGGGTATCTGCATCAGTATTATGGGCACTCAGATGCTGTTCCTTCTTGCAAGCCAGGAGGACCACTTCCATCCAATGCTTCTGCGACAGGCGAACGGAGAAGAGGCTGGAGAATCTGATAACGACGGCAACCCACCTCCCAGATCGCATCACAACATACCTCCCAGCGGACCTACACCGAAACGCGAGCAGTACGATCCGTTCCCACCATCTTCACATCCAAGGAATCGCGAAAACAAACACCAGTCATCACAAGCCTACTACAACCAGATGACTTCCACTCCAGGTCGCCCACCGCCAGGTACACCTTTGACCTTTCAGCCAGGTACTGGTCCACACAGCAAAGGTTCCCCTGCTACCTTTTCCCGCGGCGTCATGATCGACTCTACCGATGAAGTTGATTACAGCCATGACCAGGCCAAGGACATCAAGCCACCGTACAGTTATGCGCAGCTGATTGGCCAAGCCATCCTCAGCAACGATGAGGAGATGCTGACGTTGGCGAACATTTACGACTACATCAAGTCGAGGTACGCTTTCTTCCGATTCACCAACGGCGGCTGGCAAAACAGTATCCGTCACAATCTGTCTCTCAATAAGTCATTCGAGAAAGTTGCACGCCGAACAGATGAGCCTGGCAAGGGCATGAAGTGGAAGATTGCCGATTCAGAACGCGAGGAGTTCATCAGGAAGCAATTGCTCAACCCTCGCAAGGGTGGTGGGATAGCCATTGGATTCCGACCTGATGGCTCCGGGCCTAGTTCGCCCGCGCTTGGTAACCCATCTCAAGCTACGGAGCGTCTAGTCGGTGCACTCGACCGCGATCCCAGGCACCAAGGCGCTCGCATGAAGTCTCCACCTCGCTCTGCAACACCGCCTCTTTCTTCGGTCCCTGCGCCCAACGAGTCATTTACCCCTGATCGTGGCTCCCGCCCTTTCAGTGTACTGAAGCAGTCACCCAACATACGGGAGATAAACCACTTCGTCACACCTGCTAAGCGCCTTGTCTACAGTGGTAATGATGGTCGTCATCCCCCATACATCAAGACTGAAGAGCCTAGGTCGCATCTCGAGTCATCACCGGGTGTCGATCCTGTCAAGCCAATGGTCCAAGGACTTGGTCTAACTGGTCTCAAAAGCGAAGCAGCAAACTCACCTCCCACTCTCTATTCCGACGCAGCCACGAGCAACATTCAAGGCAATCACGACGCAAGTCGGATGAACAATGCCCTTGTCACACCGCTAGTGACTCGTCATGCACCCCACCTTGCACCTCCTAGCACCGCCCAAATGCCCAGCCAGTACATGAATTTCTCCAGTCCAGCACCGTTCTGGAAGTTTGTCGATCTTCCTAGCACACCCGCGAAGTTCCCCATCGACCTCAGTCCGACCAAGATGCACCACGACGAAAAGGACAACGAAGAAGAGCTTGCCCAGCCCAGTTCGCCTCCGATGCTACCTGACGAAGATCGCAGCGCCGAGCCTGAGGATCAAGATGCGTCCGACGATAAGCCTGGTGACGATGAGGATGTTGGGCCTGAGAGCCCCAGTCGCACTGTGAGCAGGCCGGTCAGTCGCCGCGATATTGGCGGAAGCCAGCGGAGCAGAAGCAATTCGAACGTCAACGTTCTCGGGCCTAGTGGTCTGGGTGGCATGGTCAGGGGTGCGAGTCTGACAAGCTTTGAGGAGCAGGATGAGCCGGAGGAGGAGAGCTATGATCTGTCTAAGTAAGTTATTCGAGTACCTCAGGAAGTGATTTATAGATGCTAATATCGCGACAGGGGCTTCCAGAAGATTGGTTCGTTCCACCATAGCATGGCTCAAGCTCATGGTGTCGTCGGTCGCTCTGCTATCTAGGAAAGCTCCGGCGGAAGACATGTATATTCCATCGAATAGTCTCATTGGAAAGGTGAAAAAGACTGCGTGGTTGGACATTGTCGATCATGCAATCGGAGCTCAAGGGGCTTGAGAGGTGCACGCCGAGCTGTCGAGCGCACGAGCATCGGTTCCAAGAAGCAACAGTCGAAGGTCTGTAATATGGAAGAGAACTAGCAACGATATCACACAGGATGTTGTATACTCTTCGGGTACATGGTTTACAGTATGGCGCATGGGGTGGCACGATTGCTTATGATGTCACGACATTCAACGATAGTGCTGTATACTTATACGAACGGCGCGTTGTACGGTGTATGGGCAAAAGAAGTAATTGAAATTCATTGCATTTGCATCTCCCTCGCTTTCTCTGCAGTTGTGACTTGACCTGTCTCGCTGGTATACACAGTGAACCCCTTCGTCTCCTTGCCTTATCATCCCCCTCTCTAGCCTTCCACTGAAGAAGTCTAGTTGATCTCCTTGTGCGGGAACCACTTGGACGGCTTAAGGTTCTTCTCCTCCAGAGGAGCGTCCAATACTCCGAGTCTCCGTATTTCGCCTGCTGAGGGTGCGTCGTCGCGCTTGATGTTTGCTTCGGCTTTGCGGTACGCGGCTTGGAGGGCGAGGGTGCGTGCGGCCTGTCATTCAACCATTAGCAATGCTGAGGTTTGTGCTTTTGAGAAGGGAGACGGTGGGTGTTCATGGGTTGGTGTCCAAGGAAGGCATCCTCGCTGTGCTCGGTGACGTACCTCCTTCTTGTGGTGCAGACACTCGTAGTAGTCCTCAAGGACGGGTACGCATTTCGCCTTGCCGCTATCGTCCTCGGCGTTTGTGTTGGTGACGTAGCAGGCGAGGACTTCTTGCCAGAAGGGGAAGCAGCGCGAGGGGCCTGTAAATGCTCGTTAGCAGGGGTTTTGTGCCGTGCCTTTGCGCGTGTGTTTTGTAGCGAGGAGCGGCTTTGGAGCTGTTTTGGAGAGGACTGTGGGCGCGGCGCTATGGAGGGTTGCTGGGTGTCGGAGGGTAGGCGGCTGGCAACTTTGATGTCCTGAACCTGACGCATGGGTTGCAGAAAGTCTCACTCGTGGTACCGGCAGCGTATAGGCGCAGGAAACATCTTCTATGTCGTCGTGGAGTCCAGTCTTTGCGTATCGAAATGCGGTCTCGGAGCGTAGCTGGTCGGTAGGGTCTGGCGCAAACAACTGACGAGCAACTTTTACGAGGACCTCTCGATATGTACGCTCTTGCATAGCCAGTGTTATTGCCGACGTTGTGTTGTGGTCGCCGTATCCGTGATAACGTCGTTGGTGTTCGTCCTGCCATTGCGCGCGCTCCCGGCCCTCCGCCGCCTCCAAAGTCGCTCCTCAATTCCTCAAGATGGTGACGCATACGTACCGCCAGCAAGTCCGTATCCTGAAGCCATTGTCGCGGTGTAGATGTGGGGTTCCTTAGCCGTACATCGAGCTTCGACAGACGTGAGGTCGAGCTCGGCGTCCGCTTACCCACTTGGGCTAGCGTCTTGGCATGAACACTCTTGCGCAGTAATTCGCTTTGCTGATTCGACCGACTTCACATAGCATTGCAAGCAAACGTGTCAGTGCGTTCGAATGCAGCTTCCAAGTCTATGAGGGCATCTTGCCCCTGGAAATCCGAGTTACTTAGCCCACCAACAGTCTGCTTGGGCTTTCAATTGACCCTGTGTGTTTGCTATCCGGAGAGCACGTTCGCGGTTCCTGACGTCTGTATGGGCGGCCGGCCGCTGCAGGTAAATTCGAGCTTTATGATAAACGCACTCGATGAGGACTCTGCAGAGACTCGATGGATCCGAATCCAGACTACCTGGAAGTTTCAGCATGGTCGCGAATGACTTTGCACGCGCCGATTTCTGTTCGACATGTTGTTCCCGGCTGTGCTCGTCCCCCATCCTCAGATTGATGCGTACAGCTTGGAAGTCAAACCCCTCACTCTGAGCGACCCTTCTTGGTCTTTCATTGTTGCTGTGCGGTGAATGTGTCTCCAGTTATGACCACGTCTACGCCCATGCTCTAGCCACAGTGAATTATATGGATGATCTACTGGAGGGTCATTGGTACCATGCATACAAGAAAAACACTAGTAGTGAGAAGGTGGAAGGCAAGTGAATTCTACGTACAAGAACCTAGCGAGCATAGTGATTGCGAGTGGGTCTCAATGCTAGAGGCTTCCAGGGGTACAATAAGGGCTCTGGAATATGGAATCCATCACAGCGGCGCTATTTCTCGTGTCAGGTGTAGCCGTTGAAAGGCTTGACTTCGGATCCGAATCGCTAAGCTCTATGTTCCCACAAGTCTTTGAGGACCTCCAGGGCAAGTATGTTTCACTTATGCCGCTCCGATTAATGCAACTATGAAAAGAAGAGCATGCAACGCGATCACACCAACGGCCAGCCTCCTAGCATTTATCAGACCCTTGACGACCACCGTGCTCCTTCATACGGCACAGATACTACGTTCTCAAACTTTCTCTAACAATGAATGAGCTCTTGACGTTTTGAAAAGAGCAGAGCTGATGGTATTATGTCGTGGTATGTTATATCCTGTTCAACTTCACCATACATTTACTCAATCATCCCACACCTCCCCTAACGTCCACAACTGCCCAGCCCACTGCTCCTTAACCACCGGCCAGATCTCCTTCGGATCAAGCACAAAACCACCACCCGCCTCATCCGCCGGACTCAACTCAAGCGTCCACGAATGATTAGCTCCATGCACAGCATAATGGTGATCCCTCGAGTTGCCCGTTGAAAAGTACAGAATCTGACATCCCGGACCCGCCTGGTACGTGCTATTCCGCTCACTCGCCGCCTCGATAGCTCTCGCAGTTCCATTCGCAACGTACACCATACGGTCAATGGTTTCGGGAAGCGGAGCACACGAGAAGCCCCAGGGCGTGAGGACGAGCTGCGAGTAGGAGTGGAAGTCAATGAACGAGCGGATACCCTCGCCCTGTTCGGACAGCTTGGCGGATAGTGCATCGAGCGCTGCGTTCTCGGGCGTGTCGCCCGGTGCGAGACCGCGGTAGGTTTGCCCGCACGGATCGGGCGTGGAGCCACCTGAGGGCGGCTCAGCGTCCCACTCGAACTTCCAGTTGCGGTTTCCGTCGGTGCCAACGCAGGTGGTGTTGATTGAGGGTCGAGGCTGGCGGTTCTTGCGCCAGAGACGATCGTTGGTTTGAGTGTAAACGAAACCATCGGGATTATGGAAGGGAACGAGGTAGAAGTCGTAGTGGTCCAGGAAAACGGTCACGTTGGCGTTTTCAGACTTATAGCCATCGATGAGTTGGTAGGCGAGGTACTCGATGACCATGGTCGAGATCCACTATGATAGCGGTCAGCATCGAGCTCAGAAGTACGAATAGTCACGGTCAGCGTACCTCTCGAGCATGCACAGTCGCGTGCCAAAGAATGACGGGCTTCTGCCGCTTATCCTTCGTCTTTGGCCCGTAACCACCCTTCTTTTTGTCTCCAAAGAGATGGAATGCGTAGATAGTCCTGTTCTCGTAACTCTTCCCGAGCGGAAACTTCTTCGAATTCTTTGGGAACGCGTGGACCAGGTCATCCCAGTAGTCCAGATGATCCGCGTACGGATGGTACGCGTCGAACCAAGAGAGATCAGGCAGCTCGCCGCGCTTGTGCAGCGCTCGGTTGTATGAGGTGGGCTTGCTGTCAATAGAGCGAATGTGAGCACCCAAGTCGAAATTGACGAGGCGCATGTCCAACCCAAGGTTCTCGAATGACGAGACTTCCTCAGGTGGGATGGCCACAGACAGGGCGTCTCTAATGGGATGAGTGTGGTAGCGAGAGAAGCGATCCACCAGGTCGCGAGCTTCATGAGGGGATGATGGAGTGATACTGTAGATGTGATACCCATCGTAGCTGACACCTGCGTTACGAGGCGTCGATGCGCGACCGTCGTCGAAGAGCGAACCTGCCACCAGCGGCGCAAATAGAGCTAGGTGTGTGAGTTTCATGATGCTTGTCTATTCTTCAACTTGAGCCGAAGACAAGGTAATGCTCCCGAGGCAGCATTAGGAAACAACCGTTCTTATATCTCTAGCCATTACCCGCGGAATCTTATCAAATAGACCCGTTACATATAATTCAAATCTTTCCCTTTCAAGGCAAGATTCCTCATCAGGTTCCTGGGGTTGAGGGGAGGTTGCATATTCGTCATGTCGCCAAGCTGAATTACGAAACTCGATTAGGCAGCTGGAGATATGAAGCACTTGGCGAACACAATGAACGACACTGTGCATTCCCGTTGTGGCTTGCGCGCCTTGGAAGCTTCGTGGGTTTAGATTGACCGTTGAGCTTGTCGTGTAGCGGGTGGCGCCATAGACCCGAAAGCCGAAGCAATTGCAAAGATGCGCAAAGTCACTCATCGCGGCAGAGCTGTGTGAGAGTCATTGGTGGTTGACGAACGGCGCTGTGCTTGAACGTCTTCTCGATGATTGCTCGTTCCTTTAATGCTTCTGCCTGACAGATGATCAGGTGCAATTGAACAATGTCGTTCTACTCAACGCCCTCGTCAAGAACAAGCTCGACCATACCCTCTTTAAAACGCCTCTCTGGTCTGATGACCCATCGTGTCACAGCCATGCTGATGAGTCCTGCACTCATAACCAAGGTAGTAAGGTGCGGCTTTGGCATTTCTTCGAGCACGGCTTGGCTGTCCCTTGGTAGTTCAGAGGACCTGGAAGTGCGCGAATAGAAGATGCGCGATGATACAAACGGTACGTAAGTACTAAGTCGAAGAAATCGAGGTTCATGCGGATCTGCCTTGGTTGTGGCTGTGTCTGACCGCTGCCTTGACGGTTTCGACGCTTCTGTAGGTTGTTGTGTACTTGTAGTGACAGGCTGCTTTCGTACAGGGGAGTGCTTCTTGTGCTGCTTGTGGTCCTTTCTGTCGCTGCTAGGCGTGTTGAAAGATGGCTGCTCGACAGTGAAGGGCGTCAGCGGTGTTACCGTCAGTTCTATGTGACACGGCTGCGTGATCTCGTTGAACTCGATGGGTTCGAATGAGGCTCCCTTATTTCGCATGAAGGTCTGCTCTATGACAGGGTTACCTCGCAACAACGCAGGCTGGGACGCGCCATGGAAGTTGTGCAAGTGTTGAAGGAAAGCTTCATCTGATTCGTAAAACTCCTGGTTACAAGACCGGTATCTGTGGTAGTTCTGAGCGTGCTCGACATGCACGGCACGATAACCGGCCCCACATAGATGACAGTGGTGAGCTTTGGCGGAGGGGAAATCCTGACAAAGTGGTGGACCGGCATTTTCAGCAGCTACATCGTCGAAGCTCCGCAGGAATCGACAGCTCCATACGCGACAATGCGAGTGTTCATTCATAGCCTGTATGTCCGTGAAAACCTTTAAACAGTAGCGGCAACGGAATGATTCGAAAGGTGTGGTGGAGTAGAGGTTCTCGAGATGATTCTCTCTTCTTTCTGGCCACCATACGGATCTGTTGAGCTCGCGAGCAGTCAAGTGCTCAGCAACATGTTCGCAACGCTCTGACCAATCTTTGGACCTCTTGCCACAGAACCCGCAGTGGAGCATGGGGTCGTCCTTCTTCATAGGCGCGCCGAACTTTCGCCACTTCAGCGAGAGGTCTTTGCAGCCAAAGTTGTGCCCTTCTGTTGCAAGCAGGCGCGCTTGACATCCTACACGTACCGACGGATGTTTGGCGTTGGCGAAGTGGACGTGATGCAGATGCTGCACGAAGTGGTCGCGACGGTAGAATGTCCTTTGCTCCTCAGGTTTGGATCGGCATTGCTGATACTTATGAGTTGCCATATGAGCATCGTCAGGATGCATTTGACCACAGAATGGGCATGACTGTAGAGGTGCGTTTCTAGTGTCGCAGCATATCCAGGTTGTGCGAAGGGCGTGTACTGAGTCTTCATGCCGGATCCATTCGTACTTTGTCTTGAACGCTCGTGGACAGAAGGTGCAGAAGAAGGGCAAGTCTTGTTGAGGCTGACCAGCGCTGTTGACGCCATTGATCGAGCGCGTATGAGGGGACTCTTTCCAAGCCATCCGTCTTCGACCACGCCGTCGCTCACGACCGAACGAGGAGACATTGCTACGACTACCGTTCGAAGAGACAGTATACGTCGTTGGCGCGGTGCCCTCAGATGACACAATCGAATCGACCGCGGACCCCCTTCTCGACGCTGGCCACACGCCTCTATCAGAATAACCGCTACCGCTGAAGGAATCGCTGTCCATGGCAGCTTGTATGTCAATAAGCTCAGCACCTTCCTCTTGATAGGATTGCGCAAGGTAGAGTGCCAAGGGTGGCTGGGGTGGTTCGACGGCTTTATCCGCTTGATGATCGAGTGCCTTCAGGCTGTCTTTTGAGAGCTTCGGGTTGAGAGTGTGCGGACTCTCGTGCGGACTCTCGTGCGGTCCTTGTCGAGCGGTAGATTCAAGGTCTGTGCATGTGAGCAGGCAATGTATACTCGAAAGAGGTTTTTGGAAAATACCTTCACCCTTCTTCCTCGCCCGAGTATTGTTGAACCAGTTGCGAACTTTCTTCACGCCAAGATTGGCCTGGTGAGCGATTATGTCATACTCCCAGGAGCAAGGATAAGGGTTCGTGGCGAACTCATCCTCGAGAATCTGTCTAGACTCAAGCGGAATTCTGCTCTGAGGTCCCTTGCGCTTGGCTGATGCTGGCTTCCAGCTTGCGGAAGAAGTGTGGCGAGTCGGCAGCGATACCTTGTTCGCACATGGAGGCGTGACTTTGGTATGGCCTGAGGCTTGTACTCCTGGCAAATCAATGGTGTTGGTTTCCGGTCTTCCAAGTGGGGATGCAGGTGTTTCGTCTGTCTGACCAAAGGCAAGTGCTGGCCTATGATCAGTGACTCCGCCAATGAGCCCGACACCATCAAGTGCTTGCAACGACGAAGAGGGCGCAAGTGAAAGCTCATGGCGTTGTTGGTGGTCGTCCGTGATAGGCTTATCGCTGATGGGCCACACAGGAGCCATGTCGGTCGATGACTGGTTCAATACCCCGTCCAAGGACCATTGTTGTGAGCAACACTCTGGAAGTTGCTCTCCTGGCATCGGGTTGTAGTCAGGAACTGCTGGCTGCCAATCCATGACAGTGACGCCCTCGGTGAAGGCGACCTCCTCATGTCGACCCTCTAGATACCCGCTGTACAGACCAGTATCGTGCTCTAGCTGTGCAAAGTCGAAGAACTCCTCCAAGTTGTCGCTCATAGCGGCCATGTTGGCGAGTTGAATGGACTGTAGCAGTCCAATCGCGAAAACACGCGTGGGCTCTCTTCTCACATGCAGTACGTGGCGGTCAGAATCCTAGACAACTCAAGTCAAACGACAGACCATGCGGGAGTGGGTGTGTCATGGCAAGTCGAGGCTGCCGTTTTGACGATGATGAGATGTTTCTTGCGGCTGGCACCCTCTTGATCAATTGATGTCGCGCCAGGCGATCAGGCAAACACTAAACCTAAATATGGCAACGACTCCCAGGAAGGACACACCCTGATTCGCGACAATCGCACACGGCAGTGGTCGATGTCATATCTATGCGAAAAGCTTGATCAGTGCAAAGACCGTATCCAGTGTCGAGAGTGGTGTCAAGCAGAGTAGTTCACGGGTGGAGTTCGTCGATGTGGAAAGCGCGCCAGGCCTGCCTCGGCTAGCGCAGTGCTCCACCAAAAAAGTTCCTTGTCGAAGTTCGAGGTCTGCGCGAAGCAAAGCTACACACCCACCGATCGCATACAGTTCGCACAGAATATCCCGCCATGGCTGCCGAAGTACAGCTGCTGCAGCCCGTGAAGCTGACCAAGGGCCCCTCCACTGTCACATCCGAGCAGCAATATTGGAACTCATTCACCTCGGAGCTTCGCCTTGACCCGTCGCAGCACTCGTCGTCAGTAACTCACATCTCGATCCCGCCTCCGCCACCCTCGAACTCGCTCACTGCGCCGCAAGATCTTTTTGCAGTCACCACTGGATCACGTGTGCAGATATTCTCCTCCAAAACTCGGAAGGTCGTCAAGACCATCTCGCGCTTCGGCGTTGACGACATTGCGCGCTCCGGAAATCTGAGAAGAGACGGCCGCATATTGGTCGCGGGTGGTGACAGCGGGTCGATTCAGGCGTTTGATGTAAAGAGTAGAGCGATTTTGAAGACATGGAAGGAGCACAAGCAGCCCGTCTGGACCACAGAATGGAACCCTTCAGACCTCACAGGTCTCATGAGTTGCTCCGACGACCGCACAGTGCGCCTATGGGATCTGCCCAGCGACACGAGCATCACCACTTTCGAGGGCCACCAGGACTACGTGCGCACAGGCACATTTATGCCCGCGCAGTCGGGTCTCCTCGTCTCCGGTTCCTACGATCAGACTGTCCGCCTCTGGGACTCGCGTGCAGGCGGTAAAGCAGTGATGGTGTTCAAGCATCAGCACCCCATCGAGACCGTTCTACCCATGCCCTCTGGTACCGCTGTGCTTGCAACCAGCGACAACGCTATCTCCGTCCTGGATATCGTCGCCGCAAAGCCGATCCACATGCTACGCAACCACCAAAAGACAGTTACAGCCCTCTCTCTCGCAAACAATGGTTCGCGCCTGCTCTCTGGCTCTCTCGATGGCCACGTCAAGGTCTTTGAAACCTCTGGCTGGAACGTTGTTGGTGGACTGAAGTACCCCTCTCCCATCCTCTCTCTGTCTGTTGTTCCAAGTCAGAAGGAAGACAAGCACATCGCCGTTGGTCTCTCCTCCGGCGTTCTCTCTATCCGCACCCATCTCAGCGGCGAACAGAAAGCGCTTGCCCGCGAGCGCGAGAAGGAAATGAAGGCCCTCATGGAAGGCAAGATTGACGAGTACGACCGCGCCAAAAAGCGCAAGCGGGGCAAGGGCTGGGAGAAGCGCGTCCGAGGCAAAGACTTCACAGGCGAGAGCGCAGACATCGTGATTGAAGGGAACGCACGCGGGAAAGTGACAACTGGAGCTCCGTGGGCGCACGCACTACGACAGGCTCAGTATGCAAAGGCGCTGGATATGGTGCTTGAGTCGAAGGTAAGCCTTCCAATCACACTCCAGCAAGACTACCGCTAACACACTCAAAAGGACAACAACGCAAGAACCCAATCCCTCTCCCTCCTCACCGCGCTCCGCCACCGCTCCGCCCTACGCTCTGCCCTCGCAAACCGCGACGAAATAACCCTGCAGCCTATCCTGCGTTGGCTTATCAAGAACGTCTCCGACTACCGCATCACCCGCTTGACCACCGACGTCGCCCTCGTTGTCTTGGACTTGTACGCCGACCAGCTGGGCCGAAGCGAGGAGGTCGACAACTTAGTCGATGCACTGATGGGGCGGGTGCGAGTCACAGTCGAGGCTAGTCAAATAGCATGGAGTGTGCAAGGCATGGTCGATATGCTGACAGCGAGCGCGGGAGGCGAAGGCGTTGCTGAAGCCTAAGGATGAAGACTGAGGTTGGTTCAATTGCATAGCGATGGGCGTTTGGTGTGGCATGCTTCAAAAGTTGGATGTTTGATATACCTGGACAAAGCAAGACGCGCTTTGGATGATGGGACGAAACAATGCACAATGTTCGATATGATATTCCGTACACGCTGCGCTGCAATGGTGCGTACACGTGTTGCACTACAAGGTTCAAATTAACGTCATGTCAACACCTTCTGCTTTCTGACTCCTCGACAGTCTTCAAGATCATCGTTGCTGACGTCCGATCCCGAGGCACTCGAGCCGAAACGCAGGGTCGATCAAATGACGCGCCGCCCCACACCCCGCAAAGAGCTACCCCAGAGCTCCGACAACTCCAGCTCCCTTTCCTTCTGACATAGACTGGTCATACCAAACGCGTTGCCTTGATCTATTATCTTTCTGTACTTTGTCGCTGGTTCGAGAGTGTTGTAACGCAATGCGAGCGTTCAGTGTTATAGCCGCGACGCTTCTGGCAAGCCTCGCGGAAGCTTCATCCCTCAAGCCGCCCATCCTGCCATTGATCGTCAGGAACCCGTACCTCAGCACATGGCTACAAAACGCGCGCGAAGAGCCTTGGAGCAAATGGCCCATGTTCTGGACGGGCGATGAACTCGGTTTTGGCGTACTTGCATCTGTTCCAGACACCAACAACACGTACCCGCTGCTCGGCCGACCGCACGACTCGCTCGAACAGAGCAGTGGGCACTACACCGTCGCGTTCCCCAAGTACAAGGGAGCCAAGTACGATGCGAGCACGACGAACTTGACGTATGCTATTCCTGCGCCGCCAAGGCTTGCTAGTGCGAGTGAACTCGAGATCACGCTGAGCTTCCTCTCGCCCATCACGCCAACGTCTACGCTACGGCAATCGATACCTGCTGCGTATCTCAGCATCCACGTACAGGGAAGCTTTGATGTCAATATATATGTCGACGTGAACGGACAATGGGTTAGTGGCAAGCGCGACAGCCTCATAGAATGGGGCTTGACCAAGCAGGAGGCTGATGGCTCTGCTAAGGGCCTGAAGACGTGGAGCGTCAAGCGTCAGGTCGAGCAGATCTTCACTGAAGAGCATGATCAGGCCGAGTGGGGTCAGCTGCACTTCACTGGGCCGAGCGACGTGAGGCATGAGTCGGGCACCTCGGCGCTGCTGAGACAGCGGTTTGCGAGAACGGGGACGCTGCAAGATCAGGTCGATGATAAGTTTCGGACGATCATGGACGATGAGCCCGTCTTCGCTTTCTCGAAGAGCTTCAAGCTGAAGAACGTATCTTCGGCCTCATCGAAGTCAGTCGGTGAAAGTGTCCTGTTCACCATCACGCACATCCAGGACCCTGTCACACAGTATGCTTCAGCGCGTGGACTTACCTTCATGAAACCTCTATGGTCATCATGGTTTCTCGAGGACAACACACTTATCAAGTTCCACTACGGAGACTTCGCCAACGCCAACAGCCTGGCAAGCAATTACTCCGAACAGCTACGTATCGATGCCTACCAGTCTGGCTCCACAAACTACGTCGACATCGTCGCACTCTCTGCCCGACAAGCTATGGGTGCTACAAGTTTCTCTGGAACACCTGAAAGCCCGTTGCTATTCTTGAAGGAGATCTCATCGAACGGTAATAGCCAGACCGTTGACGTTATCTTTCCCGCCTTCCCGTTCTTCCTCTACACCAACCCAAGGTGGCTTGCGTACCTACTCGAGCCACTCCTTGAACATCAATTGAGTGGCCAATACCCAAACAAGTATTCGATGCACGATCTTGGTGCGCATTTCCCTAACTTGACTGGGCACGCCGATGGTCGAGACGAGTACATGCCTGTGGAAGAGTGTGGAGACATGCTCATCATGGGTTTGGCTCTCATCAACTCTATGAGCTATAGCTCCGATGCCGACGCTCAATCCATCTGGTCGACTGTCGGCGATGACACCGATGCTGTAGACTCGAACGAGAGACCATTCGCACTAACGAGGGTCGGTGAACATGGCGGCATCTCTTACATCGACGATACCTGGGGCGGGCACACTAAAGGCATCAAGCAAGCCAAGAAGTGGCTAGAAGGCAGCTACGACCTCTGGAAACAGTGGACAGGTTACCTAGTTGAAGACGCCCTCAAGCCCCACAATCAGCGTAAGTCTACACTGGATCACCATCCCTCCACCTCCAAAACTAACGATAGACAGTCTGCACAGACGATTTCGCCGGCTGGCTCCCGCTCCAAACCAATCTAGCACTCAAAGGCATTATCGGCATCAAGGCCTTCAGCGAAATCGCAGACTTGATGGACCGCTCCGGCGACGCAAAGCACTACTCCAACATCTCCGAGACCTACATCGAGAAGTGGCAGAAGTACGGCATTTCGCGTGACGGCGGCCATGCGAAGCTGGCGTATGATTGGTATGGGAGTTGGACGACGCTGTATTCGCTGTATGCGGATGCGGTGCTATGCTTTCACCCCTCGATCACGAACTCCACCTCTTCTGATGACAAACGAGCTGTCGAGGGTTTTGCGCCAGGCGACGGGCACGCTCAAACACCGCTGTCATCTGGAAAGAGGTCGAATGGCCGCGCACCTATTACGAAGGACTTCATTCCCTTGAGCGTGTATAAGGGACAGTCGAAGTGGTATGCCGAAGTTATGCAGAAGTACGGTCTGCCTCTCGACAGCCGCCACCTCTATACCAAATCCGACTGGCAGTTTGAGGCTGCGGCAGTGGCATCGAAGAAAGTTCGCTCGGAGATTCTGGATCGCGTGGCGTTGTGGCTCAACGAGACGGTCACCGATCGTCCGTTTACGGATCTGTACAACACAGAAGGCGACGGCGGATTCCCTGGCCCGTGGTTCTTCGCGCGGCCTGTAGTCGGCGGACACTTTGCATTCCTGACGCTTGAGAGAGCTTGTGGTGGGGCGGCTGCGAAGGCGTTCGATTATGATGATTGAGATGGAGCACAGCGATTTGATGTGGAGACGATCCACTTTGGAGTTTTTTTGTGGCCCACCTCAACCTGAGAGCATCGTATGCAAATACAAGACACAGAAACATCATCAAGTATATAAACGTAATTGCGAGGCAATATGTTTTATGTTAATGTCCAAAGGACTTCATGGTTCAGAAGGTTTATCATGTGATTTTCAGGGCTAAGGTTCCAAGGCTGTGGAGTTCGCTTGTTCGAGTCCACTTCCTCACTCTCTTCATCATGACAGAATACCTTCTCATCGAAAGATAGATGTTCACATATCTATTTTGCTTCTCGTCTTTCTTTTTTTAATCGCTAAACGGAGGACACCAACTATAAAAGACTCTGTCGAAGTAGTCAGAGATTTGGATGAAAGATATGTCTGGGTAGATCGCCTCTGTATCATTCAAGACGGCAGATCAGACGGAAGATCGACATATATCGAAGTGCTATCGTCACAATAATCGCAGCTACGAGCGACAGCGCGACTGGTCATCTCCCTGGAGTCGAGTCTGGATTCCGTAAGATAGATGGCAAACGAAGACATCAATCAGGGGCTTGAACCTGGTACCACCTCCACTACCGTCGGTCCTTGATCGGTCCAAATGGATGACACAAGGCTGGACCTATCAAGAGTGGCAATTCTCCTCACGCGCTTTGGTGTTCAGTGCGCAAGAAGTGTTTTTCGTATGCGGCTGCGGCAAAAAACTCGAATCGCTTGTCCTCGAGCTGGATCGTATTCCTACAGAGTCTCTGATCGATAAAGTAATCGGTCATTTGAGCCTCATCGATCGTTCCGCCGATTGGATTATGCGTCACGCAATAGCTGGTAAGGCATTGGGAGGTGAACATGGGACTGACTGGCTATACTTCGTCGAGAATTACTCAAGAAGAGAGATGACATACCGATCAGATGTTTTGAAAGTTGTGGAGCACAATGCCAGACTTCGGCCGTACAGTAGGTCCCGGCGTCCTTGCAGGTCTGTCTGAAACCGGCATGCGCCTTCACTTGATGTGGCGGCCAGAGAGGCCATTGCAACGGTGCTTCGGCACTACTACCGAGTACAAGGTATTTCCGACCTGATCTTGGTGTGGTTGGATCGGCCAGATTGAATTCGAGTTGGGACGGTTCACAACCGTCAACATAGCACGCCTGCAACAAAACCTTTTCTTCATGGGGACAGGACGACAATCTGCACTTTCTCGATTCCGGAACGCTGATGGACTTCACCCAAGAGATCCTAGACTCTAACCGGAATGGTATACCTAACGGCACACCGGATGATCTGGATCGTCTAGAGAGGTAATTCAGGCTTCGATTATCTTTGGAGGAGTACGGAGGTCGCAGTCAAAGAAATCTACACAAGAGTTTCTAGAAGGATGAAATCAACTATAACAAGCTGTTGAACTGGGCCGCAATCTCCACTATCGAAGAGGTTACCGAGCGGAGACCGACAGAAAAGGCTCAAGTAGCTCTAGCGCGAGCACTGGCAGCATTTGTAGAGCTTTACGGAGCATTGGCGACAGAACACTGCCTGTCCCTCGAAAGTCTCTATCCAGGGGAGGAAACTTCGGTGCTCATGATTGAGACACTCCAAGAATTGTGCACTCACATGATCGGCATGCTCAAATTGCAGCTGTTCCTTACTCGGTCGAAGCCTCTGCCTGGAGCACGAGATCCTAAGAGCATGATAGCTGAGAGTGGATTCCTCGTGTTCAAAACTCTGAACGCATGCTTCAGTGTGCGTAACAATCTGGCCCACGAGACCAATCTCAGCCTTGACATCTACCCATACGGCGTGTACAATCGCTGGGGCGAACGGATCGGCAAAGCCACGCTCAACTCCAACTCCCAACCGCCACCAGCAATAGCGGAGTTCATAGTGCTGTGTAAGCGACACCCTGAGCATCAGCTTCGCTTCGCACCCCGACATCCAGGGGAACAACCTGACGAACAATGGGCGATCATGAATGATGTGAAGTACGGCATCCTGATGATCGAAATACGGAAGGGTACTGCGTATAAACTGGGGCAAGGGACAATCAGCATGCCTAAGTGGGATGAAGAGAGTACAGACGAGAGGCTAATTGTGCTTGGGTAGGTGTCCATTATGCTTACTTCAGGCTGATGCCAGACACTCTAAGGGCGAGATTCCTATGCAGGTCCCTCTTGTTCCCATTGTCACCTGGTACAGGAGATTCAACCTTGTGCGTACGTTTGCCTAAGTGTCGTTGGTTATGGTCACACGAACAGAATCTTCAATTCGCCGTGTCTGGTGTCCATGACTCCGTCTTGCCATAGCACCGCCTGCACAACAGAGCTAGCTGGATGTTGCGCACAGTCTCCTTCGACGTGCTCGCGCAATATGATGTCGAGATGAAGGAAGAAAGGTCGTCTCCGAGCAGGCGCAATTTTGGGTATTGGCTTATGTAAGTAGCGCAAAATAGACCAGGAAGTAACCTTGTAACTTTCCACCATTCCTTCGTCCTGACTATGCCCCAAACTGACATCCAACGACTTACGGCTGCACTCATTTGATGTCTCTCTGCACTCCTCTCACAACCAATTGTGAAGTGCATGTCGCATTCACCAACCACACAATTAGCGCATCGGCTGCGGTTGGTACGTCTTTAGCGCCAGATTAGCGACGATCTATGACAGCATGTCGACCAGCCACTCGGGTCAGGAACAGTTCCTTTGTTGGCGCTCGCGACTTCTGTCGCAACTGCAATTGCGCCGTTATCTCCTTGTGCCTTTCGCTCAGCTATAGCACTTAGTCGCTGTTGCATATCATTTTAACATTGTAGAGCCTTCTCTGTTGGGCGCCGTATCTAACGGATCATCAACACTTCACTGCGCCTGTCACTCTTTCGCTACGCTCGCCATGCCAAACCCACGAGTAATCTACTGGTTCCGCACCGACTTGCGCCTCCACGACTCTCCCGCACTGAAAGCCGCGCTGGATCTGAATCCAGAATGTCTCTACCCTATCTGGACATGGGACCCTCACTACGTCTACCGCGCCCGCGTCGGTCCAAACCGCTGGCAATACCTGCTAGACTGCCAATCCGACCTGAGCAAATCCATCACCAAGCTCAACCCCCAGTCGAAACTGTTCCTGATCAGAGAGGCCCCGCAGACGCTGTTCCCGAAGCTGTTTAAGCAGTGGAAAATCACGCATCTCGTGTTTGAAAAGGATACGGATGCGTATGGTCGTGAGAGGGACCAGAAAGTGATGGCGTTGGCGGCTGAGGCGGGTGTAGAGGTCGTGGTCAGGTATGGACGCACACTGTATGATCCTGATGAATTGGTGAAGCAAAATCATGGGAAGCCGACTATGAGTCTCAATCAGGTGCAGGCAGCAGGGAAGAAGATCGGGGAGATTCCTAGGCCGATTGCTGCGCCGACGAGTCTGCCGGATCCCGGGGATACGAGTTTGGATTTCGAGCAGGAAGTGCCGGAGAGTAAACCGGATATTAATGCCATTCAGAGAGAGGGCGAGGAGGAGAGTTACGCGAAGCTTGCCGGGCCCAATGGCGATTTTGCAATTCCGACAATGGAGGAGTTGGGCCTGAAGCCGGCGACGACACAGCATCGAGGTGGTGAGACGATAGCGCTCAAGATGCTGGACGAGATCATTGCGAACGAAGACTACACGGCGACCTTCGAGAAGCCAAAAACCGCTCCAACAGCTTTCGAACCTCAAGCCACCACCCTTCTGTCTCCACATATGCACTTTGGTTCCCTTAGCTGTCGGGAGTTCTACTGGCGCTGTCAAGACGTCGTTGATAAGTACAAAGGCCATGCATCGCAGCCGCCAACGAGTCTCACCGGACAGCTCCTGTTCCGCGACATGTACTTCGGCGCGCAAGCCAGTCTGGGCTTCGCGTTCGGTCAGACCTACGGGAATTCACACTGTCGGTTTATTCCCTGGCACATTCCTTCCAAGATCGACACATCATCGGGGTTGATCACAGGCGAATATCTCGTCGACAACGCACAAGCCGAAATCTACTTCCAGCGCTGGCGCGAAGGCCGCACGGGGTTCCCCTGGATCGACGCGCTCATGCGACAGCTCAAGTATGAAGGCTGGATTCACCACCTTGGACGACACGCTGTCGCCTGCTTCCTCACTCGAGGAGGGTGCTATGTAGATTGGGAGCGTGGAGCGGAGGTGTTCGAGGAGTGGCTGATCGACCACGAAGCCGCGTGTAACATTGGAAACTGGCAGTGGCTGAGCTGCACAGCTTTCTACACGCAGTTCTACAGATGCTACTCTCCGATCGCCTTTCCACAGAAGTGGGACAAGGAAGGGAATTTCGTGAGGAAATTCGTTCCGGAATTGGAGAAGTATTCGCAGAAATACATATACGAACCCTGGAAAGCACCAATCGCAGACCAGAAAAAGTGGGGATGCATCATCAAAGGCGACGGCAGCTCGACCTTAATCGACGGCAAAAAGGCCTATCCCAAGCCGATGTTCGACTTCCCCACACAGCGAGAAATCTGCATCGAGGGCATGAGAAACGCATACCACATCGGGCTGTACGGCAACGATTCCAAAGTCCTGGACGGCACGTGGCGCAAACTCTTCTCCAACGATGCCGAAGGCCCAACTGAGGGCAGCAAGGGCCCGCCAGGCGCCATGGTCGAGCATGAAGATGCTGATGGGCAGGAAGAGAATGATGTGCACGAGCCGCCGGGCCCGAAGACGAGCAGGAGGGGAGAGGCGGATAACAAGAGGATTACGGGGAATGAGACCGAGATTAGTAATACGGGGAGTAAGAGGAAGGAGGGGCATAAGATGGAGCCCAGTGGTTCCGATAAGAGTAGTACTGGCAAAACCAGTAATAGTAGCAAGACGAGCAAGTCGAGCCACAAGAGGGAGGCTAGTCAGAGGACGTTGGATGGGATGGTTACGAGGAAGAAGAAGAGGAATAACAGTGATATCGCCGATCACACATGATTAGCAGCGCCTAATTCTACACACCGCCAGCATTTAATCCTGTCTCGCTGGGTCAAGCTCAATCTTCCCACAGATCTCATCAATCTCCGCCAGCACCTCAGGCGTGAGCTTATCCAGGACTTGCAACGCCTTGCAATTCTCCACAACCTGCTCTGGCCTCGACGCGCCTGTGATAACAGCCGACACATTCGGATTCTTCAAACACCACGCCAGCGACAGCTGCGACTGTGTCACATCCAGTCTATCCGCAATGGGCTTCAGCTTCCTCGCCTTCTCAATGATCCTTGTCCAATCGCTGTTGCCGTACGAGTCGCGCATACTGCTCACAAACTTGTCATTTCCCTCTGCAAACCGACTCCCAGCAGGTGGTGCGTCGGGGCTGTCGTTGTACTTGCCGCTCAGCAGGCCGAAGTTTAGCGGCGAGAAGGTGGTCAGTCCGATGCCGAAGCGGGTGTACAAGCGCTGGAACTCGCCCTCGACCTTCTTGCGTGTGATCAGGTTGTACATGGGCTGCTCAACAATAGGTCCTATGAGGCCGAGCTGCTTCGCTATTCCGCACGCCTCGGCGATCTCGTCCGCAGACCACTCCGATGTACCCCAGTACAGCGCCCATCCCTTCTGCTCAATCACGTGATTGAATGCGCGCACGGTTTCCTCCATGGGCGTGAGCCGGTCGGGACGGTGCGCATACACAACATCAACATAGTCCAGGTCGAGGCGCTTGAGCGATGCGCGGAGGCCCTCAATGATATGCTTGCGGCTCAGACCGTGGTTGTTGACCAGCACCTCCCCGTTCGCGCCGCCCCAGTTCAGCTTCGTTGTGATGACGATGTCGTTGCGGTTCCAGTTGTATTTCTTGATGGCCTGGCCCATGACGACTTCGGACTGGCCGGCTGCGTACGATTCGGCCGTGTCGAAGAAGTTGATGCCGCTGTCGTAGGCTTGCTTCATGCAGGAGAATGTGAGCTCTGGTGCTGGTCAGCATGATGATTTGTGACGGAGGGTTTGGATGTGCAGTTGCGGTTCTCACCATTCTCGACGTGCCCGCCGAATGTTAGCCAGCCTCCAAGACCTAGCACGGAGACGTGCAGGCCTGAGTTTCCGAGGCGGCGGTATTGCATGCCTGTCTTTCTTGGTTCTTCCCACGCCATTCTCGATGTCGCTATGCAGGAAACGATGATGTGTTGGAACGGGAGTGCTCAATTGAAGGTGCAGTGTGAAAGTCGACAATGGAAGCTTCAAAGACAGCTCTAGCTCGTGCAATCGAAAACATGCACACCCTTTCGACCTCTCCACTCCCCAAAAAAATTGTTGATCAACAATGCCCCTCCAAAAAACCCCCCTCCAATCCCAAGACTCACCACCGCGGTCGGCCCCCGCCGTCAGGTCGTCCACCATTCCTCTTCTGTCCACCGGTTCATGCCCGGTAGTGCTTTGCCGAAGCCCTTGGCGCCTCACGCCGCTAGGCGTTGCTTGACTGCGCCCAGCGGATTACTGACGGAGAACAATCCCGAAGCAGAGGGGAAGGATTACTCAAAAGGGTACGATGCAGCGCTGGAGAGAGAGAGAGAGAGAGAGAAGAGAGCAACGGGCTTTGACAGGGGGACGATGGTGCAATCGCACCCAGGATGACGATTCCCCAGGTTTCCACTTTTTTTTGTGTATGATTTTATGGATAGGAGTGGGCTTGGGTGGGGCTGCGCATGCTTGTTCCCGATGGCTGTTCCGACGACACACGACACACGACACACGTGGAAATGGGAAACTTGTCAATGGATAGCAGGTTGTCGAAGGGGACCGAACATAAAGATCCATGGATCAACAGTGTTGATGTCTGACTACGGTGGGTATCTAGGGTATTCGCCACACATTTTCATGCGGCCCTGTTGTAGCAGCGCGATGCTAGGCGACTCGAGACAGGGGCAAGACTCAGGCCTAGACAAGGCTCTTGCTCGCTGCGCTCACAAGTCCTCAGATAGCGAATCTGAAATCCAATCTCTTATTACCCTCAGCCTCACGTGCAACAACATCAGCCTGGTACGCTGCCTTCTCCTCACTCGTCATCTCGCTCCACTTGGCCTCCTTCTTCTTATTCAGCCTGACCAACATTTGCCTCTGCAGCACTATAACCACACAGCTCAGCGCGCAAATCGCAACCAGCACACTGTTACCTGTCTTGTAGTACGGACCATCCCATTTCCTGTAGATCTGCGAGCTGATCAAGGATCCGATTTGAACGATCACGTTGTAGGTGGCCGCGGTGATGGCGCGCTTTTTCACGTCGAATGTGTTCTCGGAGATCCAGGAGGATACGAGAGGGTGGAAGTAGGGGTACCCCGAGATGAGCGTGATGAGCGTGAAGCGGCCCCATTCGCGGCCGCCGTCGGGGATTGTCAAAAGTGCGATGAGGAGCGGCATGATCCAGAATTCGCCAAAGAGGATGTGCAGCGTGCGCTCGTTGAAGTAGTCGGAGCTGTACGCGAGGGCCAGCATGGTGATGATTTGCAGGAACGCGGACGGGATGGTGAGCATGTTCGAGTTGAACGTCGAGAAGCCGAGACGCTTGAGAGTGAGGGTCAGGTAGCCTTGGACGGGGGAAGCGGGGATGTAGGCGATCAAGCCGATGAAGTAGAGACCCCACATTGCTGGGTCTTTCCAGGCTTCCCAAATGTCCTTGAAGGTCGCGGGCTCCTTGATGGCAGTGAGTCCCTTGGCGGGGTCGTCGCGGAGGATGCGGTTCACCATGATGACCTCCTCGCGCTCGGTGTAGTAGCCCTTGGGCCACAGCACGTTCTTGGTATCTGTAGGCGAAACAGGCAGATATAGGAACGAGAAGAACGCGATGATAGCGGTCAACAGGCCTTCAAGCAAGAAGAGCCAGAACCAACCCGGCTTTCCGCCAATTCCGCGCATCTCGAGGATGCCAGCAGCCAGCAGTGCTGAAATGACACGCGCGACGTTCAGCGTGGACCAAAAAACCGCCAGACGCACAGCCAGCTCTTTCGACTTGTAGAAGTAGGTCGCGAAGAGGATAACACCAGGAAGGAAACCACCCTCACAGAGTCCGATGAAGGCGCGACCAAGGTAGAAGGATGTGCGATCGTGCATCCAAGCCTGTGCCCAAGACACAGTTGACCAACCCATCATCATGGTTGGAAGGACCCATTTGAAACCAAAGCGCTTGGTGAGGAATTGCACGGGAAACTCAGCCGCAAGGAAACAAATAAGCTGGATAGTAGTTCCGTTGTTGTAGTCGTCCGTCGTGAGGTTGAGGTCCTTGAGAAGGTTGTCTGCGAGCGCGTTGGAAAGGTTACCACGATCAAGCTACAATCATCAGTACATTCACACCGAAATAAATTTGGATCGAATCGTACCTGGAGACCAAACATCATGAGACACAGCCATGGAAGCAGCTTCAAATCCGTCTTCCAGACCACACGGCGCTCCTCCTCGATAGTCCACGATACTGTGGGGTCGAAGCGGTGCTTTCCCTCGTAAGAATCGTGCGGTGGGACGATGTGGGCGAGCTCCTGCCTACCAACCGCAGTCGGAGCCTTGAGTGAGCCATTATCCTCGCTGACGTGCGACCGGACGGCTTCAATATCGTTACCCATCTCGTCCTTCAACTGATCTCGAACGCTTGAAAGTTGACCTGTCGTCAAAACAAAGATGCTCAAGCCCTACATATAGTTGATACTGAGGTTCGAGGCGCGCATGTCGCAATTGTCATGGATTCGCGCGCAATCATCCACTTGTTCAACAACAGTAGCACCGCCGTGGAGCCGAGGCGTGATTTCCGCCATGCAGATGCGGTTGCAACGTGGGCTTTACCCAACCTGCGGGGCTTTGCCGCGTGCTCCTTACTTTGGGCCGGAAAGCGCACAGCCTAATGCAACCTTGTGTTTACCCTTGTCGGCCCTACGTGCGGCACTTGCTCGATCTTTCGTCTCGTTTTGGCCCGATAGCCGATGACGTGCTTGGTGAAGCACAGCAAGCGTCTGGCTGACATCGAATGATGCGCGGTTTTGCATGGACATAAGATGTTCCAGCCGCCAGGTGCCCGTCGCCGTTATCCTTCGGCTCCTTCGATTTTTTGGTCTAACTGCGTTTGGTGCACCATCGTACACATTACTCGATTGGGCTTTCACGAGCATTTGCATATCTCCGTGGCAGTGCTTCATTCCTGCGATTGCGAAAGACGCCACCCATCCATCAACTGTTTCAACATGTCTTCGGTCAAGCGAGCTCGCTGCGATGAGGCGGAGTCGAGTATCATTGGTGGTCATGAAACTGCGAGATCGAGATTGTTGAAGCCGTTGGTGTACTCTGGTTCACTGGACAGCTTCAAGCACCAAGACTCAACTCCGGTCATCGGCAGAGAATATGAAGGCCTCCAAGTGAGGGATCTCTTGAAGTGGGGTGACGAGATGATCAGGGACCTGGCTATCACGAGTATGTCAATGCCTTCGTATCCTGAACTCGGGTCTGACTTGTATCTTCAGTCTCGCAGCGTGGTGTCGTCTTTCTCCGCGACCAAGATGTAACGCCAAACGAGATGAAAGAGCTCATGCTCCGAATCACCGAGCTTTCTGGATGCGTATGTGCAAAGCACCATATCCCATATCCCAACCGCTGTGTCCATGGCAGCACTTGAACACTCGCCCTGACTTGCTCCCAGCCTGGATCATCCGGACTCCACGTCCACCCCCTGACCGAAGAAGGCTCCGAACTAGGCGACCAGATCTCCGTCATTAGCAGCGAAAAGCAGAAGAAAGGCGGAGGCCTCACCCACCAGCTCTCCGACGTCAGCCGCTTTGCATCGGCTGGATGGCACACTGATATCTCATTTGAGCCTGTGCCGTCCGACTATGCGATGCTGAAGATCCACACACTCCCTGCCACAGGAGGTGACACGCTCTGGGCATCCGGATACGAAATCTACGATCGCTTGTCGCCCGCTATCCGGACGTTGCTCGAAGGCCTAACGGCGACGCACGACGCGAAGTTCTTCCTGGAAGAAGCGGAGAGGCTAGGGAACCCGATCCGAAAGACAATCCGAGGGAATCCGTTGAACTTTGGAGAGGCCTTGACAGCCGTTCACCCCGTGATTCGAACGAACCGTAAGTCATATCTTCCCCTTCGTCAACCCTCCCCCCTCCCCCCTCCCCCCTCCCCGCATCCCCGCATCCCCGCATCCCCGCATGCCCCCAAGATTGACGAGTACTCATTTCCCAACAGCGGTAACCGGATGGAAATCCGTATACGTAAACAAAGGCTTCACCAAGCGCATCAACGGCGTGACGAAAGACGAGTCGGACCTCCTCCTCGGCTACCTCTTCAACATCCTAACGCAGAACCACGACGCACAGGTGCGTTTCAAGTGGCGGCCGAACGACCTTGCCATCTGGGACAACCGGAGTATGTGGCATTGTGCGACGTACGACTACAGCGACCCGAGGGCGGGTGATCGTGTCTGCAGTCTGGGAGAGGCGCCGTATCTGGACTTGAACAGCAGGAGCCGTAGGGAGGATCTGGAGTCGAGAGAGAATGTGCAGGCGGGCCTTGCTATGGCATAGTCCGGAGGGGGACGAAGTTGTTGTTTGATATGGCTGGATATATTGACAACGTTGCCGACGCGAAGACGAATATCAATCTCTGGCCGAGTGAGGTTGCTGGCGCAAAAGTATAGAAACCAAGGGGGTATCATTTCAAAGTCCGCTTAACAAAACGCCGTATCGGCATCACACTCTCGCGATCCGTCCCGCACCAACAACCGTCCAAAACGCCTCCTCTCTCGTCTCCTTCTCCCCCTTGCTCCCCCTCGAATCACCCAGCCCCCTCTCCTCAGCATTGATATCCGCCTCGAACTCCAGCCTCACGAATATCGGAATCTCAACCACATCATCGTCCTCCTCCAGCTCGCCATCCGGCCCTTGGTCTGTCGTCGAGGAGACTATGCTCTGACTGCGCCCAAAGTTGAAGGCGGAGGAGACAGACTCTAGGAAACCGGGGACGACCTCGATGACGACACTCGTCCAGTTGCGGCCGCGGTCGTACGGCTTGCCGGGTTCGATGGCGCCGTCCGAGTCCACGACTGTGCCCTTGTTGACGGGTGCGGCGGAGGAGGAGGAGGAGGAGAGCGCGTCGTCCCAGACGTCTGTGTTGGCGCCGATTTCGAACTGCGGGCAGAGGATGGTGACTTTGGAATGGACTTTGCCGGGGGTGGTGCTGGGTGTGGCGAGGGTGACGCGGACGGGGTCGAAGAGCGGGTTGCTGAGGTGGATGACGAAGTTTGTGGGTATGCCTTGGCGGAGGTTGTTGTAGTTGAACGGAGATGGCTGCGAGGACGTTGGGCCTGGGGCTAGAGGGAGTGGCTGCTGAGCGGTGGGTGAGGGCAGGGCGCGGATGCTGATGCGAGGGATGTGGTTGAGGGCCAGGAGCTTGATCTTGTACCGTGTCGAAGTGATCTTGGACTCTGGCTTGGACAAGATGTGACGGCAAGATCGGCACCGCTTTGAGCGTTTTGTGCAGAGTAGGGTCGCGACGGGACGAAGCTCGTCCTCAAACTGCACGTGTGGGTCGATTTGCGCCAGCTTTTGAGCCGGTGACAAGGTGCTAGACCAGCCGTCTTTCTTCAGCCGCTCGATGGCTGCCGCGTCTGATGCGGGGTCGTGTATCGATAAGCCTTCGAGTTCTGCAGCAGCTTCTCGCATGGGAGGAGGCTTGTCGCGCTTCTTGTTCCTGGAGGTAGTGGAGTAGAGGTTCATGATGCGAGAGTACGTTGACGGCGAGGAGAAGCTCATGTCGTGTGCGGCGAAGAGATTCGATGGCGTCTGCGCGTCTGTTTGTGTCTTGTAGAACGCGCTTAGATTCGAGAACCGCTCGTCTCTCTGCACGGCCTCGCCGCCGGTAGCTGTATCAGCAGCAGGCGAGTCCTCAGGCGGCGGGCGCACGCTGTGCCGCGAGGCGCGTTGGTCGTCCAGCTCTTTGCACCGTCTGTCGCGTTCCTTGTCGCGCTCCTTTTGCGTCGGGATCGGGGTCCCGCCGTTTGCGACTCGCGACAGTTGGCTGTGGATGCCCGTGTGCTTCTCGAACTCGATGCCTGTCTCCGCTGTGCTCCAGTGGCAGTACGAGCATGCCAGGATGTAGGGCCCGCCTGCAGCGGACGGCGCCTCCGGGTTCTCGACCGAGTGGACGCTCAGGGGCGAGGTGCACACTGGGCAGTTGAAGCAGTTGCGCGTGCATCTGTTCCCATCGCTCTTCACCACCGAGCTCGGCACCTCGAACAGGCAGCTTGGGCAGTACCAGTTCAGGGTCTCCTCGATGGTGCAGCGCGGACACCGTATTCGGAGGCAGTCTTCGCAGTACAGCAGGTGCTCGAGCGGGTAGAGGGCGTAGTCGGCGCGTGGACTGCGCGGGTCGAAGGTGCGCTCCTCTTCGTCGGCGCCCGTGTTGCTGTCGAAGCAGTCGCATGCATAGTACGTGTATGGGAAGGGCTGCGCCATGGTGGCTGTGTCATGCGACCCTCGGAGAGCATCTGGAGCGCTGCCTGGTGCGCTGCCTGTTGCGCTGCCTGTTGCGCGCCGCGGGGGTGTCTGTTGCGGGAAGCTCGGGTCTCGGCCAAGTGTCGGTCGTGTCGGTCGTGTCGGTCGTGTCGAGCGCCGACCCATCGCACGTCTTGACGGACGTAGCCCTCTCGCAGCCCTCTCGCAGCCCTCACTCGCCTTTCCCTCCTGCCCTCCTGCCCTCCTGCCCTCCTGCCACACCGCCCGCAACCACGGTCGGCGGTCTTCGGGATGAACACGCTGTCGGTTCGCGCCTTCATACCGCCGCTGACGCGACGAGGGCTGCCCCTCCGCGCCATTCGCTGCTATGCCGTCCAAGCACCGGGAGCTCCCACCATGGAGATCTTCAGCAACCAGCACAAGTGGCAGCAGAGGGAGCGAGCCGCTGCAAACGTCGACGCAAGCAGGAGCGTCGACTATCTGAGGGACGAAGTGGCCTCGCGGCTATGCGAGCGAGTCCTCGTAGGTTCGCTGTCGACAGCGACAGAGACTCACAGCTGACCCGAGCCAAAGGATATCAAACGCCACTTTCCTCACGTCCTCGACCTCGGCGCCAACGCATGCAACGTCGCACACGCCCTCACACAGCCGTCTCCAGAAGAGCCGGAGAAGGGGCCGCGGTCAACGCGTGTGGGCAAGATCACTGCGGCAGACTCCTCGGCAACGCTCCTCCACCGGGACGCCGACCTGCCCTTCAACAACGAGATCGAGATCATAAGGGAGGTCTTGCCGACCTCCGAGCTGCTCCCCTACCAGGCGAACACATTCGATGCCGTCTTCAGCAGCTTGAGCTTGCACTGGATCAACGACCTACCGTCCGTCCTGGCCCAGGTGAACAACGTCCTCAAGCCTGACAGCCCTTTCATCTCGGTCATGATGGGAGGGGACAGCTTGTACGAGCTTCGCACTTCTCTGCAGCTTGCAGAGCAGGATCGACGCGGTGGTGTTGCGACCCACACCTCGCCCTTGGCAGATGTCAAGGACGTTGGTGGCCTGCTGCAGAAAGCAGGCTTCAACCTCCTCACGGTCGATGTCGACGATATCATCGTTGACTACCCGGACACGTTCTCGCTCATGAAGGATCTGCAGGCGATGGGCGAGTCCAATGCAGTGCTGGCTCGTGAGAAGGGTGGAATTCAGAGGGACGTTCTGCTTGCCGCAGACGCCATCTACAGAGAGCTGCACGGCAACGAAGATGGCACTCTGCCCGCGACGTTCCGTTTGATCTACATGATCGGCTGGAAGCACAGCCCTGAGCAGGCGAAGCCTCTCGAAAGGGGCACCGGCATGTTCAGCATCAAGGACTATCTAGAAAAGAACGGCGAGGGGGGCGAAGGCAAAAATTAGACAGACTTCGACATCAGAATCAGATCCGCAAGCCTCACCAACAAAACCTCCTTCACAGACACCATTGCGAACATCTTGATGACCGGTGAATTTCAGATAGTCACGACAGCTAAGGGCTACCACGCTGATGCCAGGCACCCACTCCTTCTGCTCGACTCCGCACCCACTCCTTCTGCTTGACTCCGCACCCCCCGCGAAACCTGCACCTCTCCTCTTCACAAACAACACCCAGCAATGGCGACCACGTTTTCATCGCTTCCCGTCGAGATTCAGCGCCAATGCGTCAACTACCTTGACATCACCGCTTTGCGGTCAATGCGACTGTCCTCCCAAGCTATCAGGGACGTCACGACTGAGGCATTGTTCGAGGTAGCTACGCTTCAGGTCACAGAAGAAAGCGCAGAGAGATTCAGTGCCCTCATGAATAATGATGAATCCCGACGTTATATCTGTAGAGTAAGTATGGAAGTGTGAGCTCTACTCACTGATACCCGGTAGGTCCTGTATCGTATCTGAACAAGCTGACAGTGACAGCTTCTCCTGGACACCCACTGTGCTGGGCAATGCGCACATGAGGAGTGTGATGTATTTCCGCCACCAGAGTGGTGGGCTGGAGCTGTTGCGAGATGGAGCTGTGTCTCCTGGCCGAACCTCAAGAAAATTACAGTCGATTGCGCGTACGCATGCGCCAACAGGCGTTGTGCATCTCTCGGACTGGCCTTCACAACTTTTCTTGCGGGCGCCGACATCGAAGCCTTGACCATCAAGCATCTTCACGACTCTTGCCTCATCCAGCGCCCAGACTTCACGCCGGGCAGGGCCAAAGTTACGAAGCTGCACCTCTTACTCACTACATGGAGTGACGATGCTTCTCCAGATAACGACATCGAGATACGATACCGCCACTCCCTCTTCAATATACATCTCAACACCACATGGCTGACCCCGCTGCAGACACAACTCACCCACTTGACGTTGCACTCCAACACATACTGGGGCGTATACCCGCCATGGCAGCCTGGCGACCTGCACTTCCCACGTCTCAGATCCCTGGCTCTTGGCAAATGGACCATCGCGTTCGACTGGCAAATCGACTTCATCGTGTCCCATAGCGATACACTCCAGGAACTGTTCCTAACCAATTGTCCGATTTTGCACGCCCTACGAATGACTCCTCGACAGTCCGACAATCAATGGCGACGGCCTCGAGCAGGTACGGCGCGCGGCAAGCCGCCGACGAACAACTTCTTCTCTGGTCTGCGATGGCACACCGTCCTTCTAGCGTTCAAGAGCAAGTTGCCCAAGCTGAAGTATTTCTCAATGGGACCCGGTCCGCTCGGTGGCCTCGTCTTCGACCGCCGAGATTTCAGGGATGATGAAGCGTTCGAGGACCGCTATAAACTCTCTCCGCGCATAGACTCCGCGCGCTACGCTGTCTTTGACTTCGGGGCTGGACCGGCAGAGTGGTTAGATGGTGATTCTGAATACCGTCAGAGGTGGCACAGAGGGAAGGGCGGATTTGATGGCACGGACTGGGTAGAGAAGGAAATGGATGAGGAGGTTAGGAAGAAGGCGAATTACCCTGATTGTTTGCAGGAGGATCAGGCGGCGCTGGAAGGTTTGCTCAGGAGTCTAAGAGAAAGGTGGTAGCCAGTTGGACTAGTGTCAGAGATGCCGCCCATCCTGAGCTCATGATCGCCCTCTCTCTCTTTGCACATTCGGAACGGGCTGGTCTGGTCTGCTTTTGGTTTTGGGTGGGGTCTGCATACGGTACTCTTTCGACCCAAATACCAACTTCAAGCCATGGCTTCAACCCACCGATGCGGTCCGCCAAGCATCTCTCCAAGCATGGATCTTTCCATATGCTGGCGAACATGTAGCTGCACCGAACACGTTGATGTAGAAGTGAGTTGTTCGTCTGTCTCTGCGCATGTTGGTGAGGATTTGAGCACACAGTGCTGCTCAACGCATACATTTGGACATGGAGGCGGCACCGAAGATGGATAACTGGGATTTGAGCGAGAAGAATCAAGTCAAGGTCCAAAGCGGATATCAAAATCGCAACAACCAACGCCGGCTCGAGTCCGCGCTTCACCAGCCATTTACCCCACCTTCTTCTCAACTTTGTTCACGGCCATGACTTGGTCTCCTTCCCGTCTCCTATACTGCTCGATTTCCTCTCGGCCCATGTCAAATTTTCCTTGTTCAGCCATCCACAAACATGAGGTGGCTTCTTCTTTCGCTTCCTTCGCTCCTCTCTTGTCTCGTGTCTCACAGCGTCGATATCATCGACCTTCCTGTGCGAAACAGATCGACTCCTGCTCTCTCTCTCTCTCGATCCCAATCCCGAACTTCTCCGCCCTCCGCCCTTGTTCTCTCCCTTCGAGCCTTGCCCTCCCCACTCCTCCGCTCATCAGCTTTCTTCCCCACAGCCTTCATTCCAGCGAGAGATTGAGAGATGAGGAACTTGACATTCTACGAGCCCTAGTTTTTCTCGTTGTTCTCGTCCAGGCAGATACACATGGCTGCTATCAGTGCCATATCGACGCCTGGCGCGACGGTCACGGCGTAGGTTTGTTGGCCGAAGAAAAGGTCTTTGCCGGAGAGGAACTTGCGGTCGATTCTTGCTACGACAGCATCTGCGAATGTAAGTGAGCAACCATGTTGCAGAATTTGGAGTGAAGGACGGAGGTTTGTTGATGATATTGAAACGATGATAAAGAAGGGAAGAGAGGTTGGGGGAAATGGAAACTTACTGCCCTGAGCTTCGTTCGTGATGTCGGCTGTGGTGTCGAACCAGTGGCCACGCATTGTGAGGACTTCTTGCTTGCCGGACTGGGAAGTGATTGTTGCTGTGGCTTTGCTGCCCCTCACTGCGATCCGTTGTTAGTATCTCTGCCAACATATGCTAGGTATCGTGTTTGTCCTTGCATCTTCTTCGAGAGATTGGGTTGACTTACACGTGAACGAGCTCTTGACCTCCATGATCTTCTTCTCCTGCGCATCTTCCACGCGGAACGTCGGGTGAATATGAAAATGCTCCTTCACAATATCAAACAAATGGTTGCCCTGCTCGTCAAACACCTTCTTGCGGCCGGAGAGGGACATTACTTTGCCCTCTACACGAATAATCGGTGTGCCATTGGCAAGCTTGATGTGAAAGTCGTCGCCGGTAAGTGAGAGAACCTTCTCCTTGAGGACCAGAGTTTCAGAGCCGCGGGCAAAGAATTGCGGGAACACGCCGACGGGCGAGGGAACTTGCGCTAGGTATGCCATTGCCGGTGATGTTGAGTCTGTTTGGAGGTTTAGTGGTCGTAGTCGCCAGGGGGCCGTGATCTGGGTGGTGAGTTGAGGTATAGACGGTGAGGCTGAAGCTGTGTGGTACTGACCGGGTCGAACATCTAAAGCAGGTGCGGGACGGCGAACTTATATGCTGTGAACAAGTTCGGTGGGACGCCTTGCTCGATGTCGCTCAAGGGGCTCGAACTAAGCCAACGATAGGGTGAGAATGATAAAGCTGGATCACGATGGTGGAGCTCAGCCACGCTATCGACGGAGGTGCGCCTGACGCGTCGCCAGCCCTCGTCTCAAAGCAAGCGACGAGGAAAATGAGAGTTGGAGTCGCAATTACCTTTTACGAAACATGCCCGATCTGTATATAGGTGAAGTAATGTTTGTAGCGGTGCATCGATATTTGCTCGGCAGCCCTCCCGAGGTTTGTCATTCCAGCCTTGTTCTTTTTTTCAAGTGCCTTCATTGTGCTGCATTATACGAAAAATCTTACCAGCTGGAAGGGCCCGATGCATTCTCTCTCCTTACTGCAATCTGTTCGCACACAAGTCTGCGCTCTCGTTGATCAGCTCATCAACCACCTGTTTCTGCACGATGCAGATGTACACCCTTCAGATATAAACCTTTACCTGGCCAGAAATCTTCCGTCTCGCGTGTACCTAGACATTTTATCGTAAAGAATTGCAAATAATTCTGAAACCCTCCACCAATATGCAGAACATGGCGGGCTTTATTCTAAGTCGGACTCTTCTGCAAGGATAGAAGAGCCGGTATCCTCAACTTCTCGCCACTAATCCTCAAAACCAACTTTTCTCCAGCTTCAAAGATGATACCTGTCGGTCACAGCTGGATCTCCAATCGCACCACCGAGCCCGGCTGCACTTTCTGGACCCGCTCGTGAGAAAGAGTCTTCCATGTTTTGCCGGACTTCGACGGTGATACGTGTCGTTGAGAAGCACGAAGAATTCCACTTGGCCCCCAGTATCGGAAGATTCTATTCTGAGTCGCCGCAGCTTCTTCTTCGGCGCTTAAGATATCAGGCGTAGGGATGTTCTTGTTCAACAGTTCGTTGCCCTCATTGTCAGTCTTGAAGATATGGGTGTATACATCGAGGTCATTGTGGTCTGGTGAAGAGATGTCGATGACTAGAGTGCTTGGGCCTACAAGCGCTGTTTTGGCTGTGAAGTTGTATGATTGAAGAGGCAATCTAGGTCCTAGTAAATGTAGACAATGGAAAGCAAGGCCACGGCAAGGTTGTCTTTCAGCATCCTTTTCAATAGTCCATGTGTATCTCGAATCTCTGAAGTAGATCACAAATGGCTGACGAAAAGACTGAAAACCTGAGGGACGTGCTGAAGAGGAAAAGTGGAAGATATCCGTGACATCAAAGTCAAGAAGAAGTCCGAGTATACAATATACGTTGTTTATTGTGTCAATTAGGGAGGGTGTGTAAGCCTATAGTCTATACCAAACTTCCGCACAATACAAACAAGAAATGAAAGTCTCGGGTTGATACCCCAAAAGCGTTGCGGCGAACAACACGGGCCTCGCGAATCTAGTATGCGCTGCTAATACAAAGGAGAAAGAGAGGACTTCGGAGGGTATAGCTCCGGTGTACCTATGCCAATGCGATGATGTAATAAACGCTCGCTGATGCATAAATAACGCCCTGTAAAATAGTATGATTCTCGGCTCCTCTGTCCTCCTCTTCTCTTACAACAGGTCCAAACTGTTGGATTTTTACTTCGACGTCTTCACAACATTCTCCTCAGTCAAATCAGGCGGGTGGTACCGAAGATGTCCGTACTTGTCAAGCTATGGCCGTGTCGGACTTCTTGGGACCCAGGCCGAGCTTAGCCAGATACTCCAGCTGGATATTCTCCCGTACCTCTTCATCACGGATCGCTGCGTGGCGAGGCACATGATGGCGAGGCTAGTGCTGCTGTTAGACAGATGTGAGCGAGCGGGCACTCACTTACTTCTCTCCAACAAGCAACTCAGATCCAGTCACGTTGTGACCGAAGTCCAGAATCAATGTGCGGCCATCTTGGCTGGTGGCGACCACACGTCGGTAGTCGCTCTTTGCGGAGAGTATCCAGCTCGTTGTCCAGTTCTTATACACAGCATATGTCGCCCCCGTCTCGTAATCGGAAACTTGGATGCTCTGATCATACGAGCCGGATACTATACGACCGTTGAAGGCATCCAGGAACAACGAGCGGACGAGGCCTTCGTGCTTGACGCGGCTGTGGACGAGATTGCCAGAGTTGGCGTCAAACTTGTACACGACGTGGTCGTTACCTCCGGCAAGGACGTACTTAGCATCATCAGAGAATTCGACAGCTGCAAGGCCCCTATCCTCAGATGGGAAGTCCTTGATGGAAGCACCAGTCTCGAGGTTCCACAGCTTAGCCATACCATCTCCGCTTGCGGACACGAGAAGGTTGCCACGGAGCTGGACAGCGTTGACGGGACCACGGTGCCCCTTAAGCGTGCGAATGCAGACACCAGTCTTGCGGTCCCAGACCTTGATCATGGCATCCTTGCTGCACGAGATGATGTACTTGTCGTCCAAACAAACATCCAATACACCAGCTTCGTGACCACGGAGGCGGTACATTGGAATATACTCTTCACCGGTGATGTCCCAGACAATACAGGTATAGTCGGAGGAGCCTGTGACCATGATCTCGTGATCGTACTGCAGGCAAAGAATCGATGCATCGTGGTAGTCGGCAGGGACGTGGTAGATCTTGTTGCCGGCCTTGGTGCCGTTGACGGAGGGGTGGCTGATGACGCGTTCGGAACGCTCCTCCATAGGTAACGGCGTGTTGATTGTAGGGCGGTGGTTAGGTCCACCATACACCTTGACACACTTATACGTCTTCAGGTCCCATACACGAATTGTTCGGTCGCGAGATCCAGTAATGCACTTGTTCTCGTCAAACTGGCAGCAGTAGACGCTGTCTGTGTGACCGTTGAGGTAGACAGCAGCGGGAGTACCGGCCTTCCACCGCTTGTTGATTGTGCTTCGTGCAGAGTACATCTTCTTCCAATCTTGCGCAGGAGCCGGCTTGCCATTTGCTTGCTTGCCGACTCCTGAACCACCCATCTGAATTGGTGCAGGCGAAACGTGAACTTCGGGCTCGTACTTGCGGAGGAAGACATTGCGCCAGACGTGGCTCGAGGCGGCGTGCTCGTGCCAGTGGCGTGAGACTTGTTCTGCGCGAGCGAGCGATGTTGCGTCGAGGTTTGCAAGGACGGCAGTAGCGAGTTCGGCGGGCAAACGCTGGAACGGATCGGCTAGACAGACAAATTAGCATTGTTGATGCCAGAACCTGTCAATGGACCAGACTTACTCATCTTCTTATCGGTAGCACTATCCGTCCTAACAATGGGGGAGGAGCATGTCATGTCGACACCGCTCTCGTTGTCGTTAAAGTCTACATCGCAGAATTGAGGCTTGTCTGAGGAGATGAGACCATTGAGGAAGCGGTGTGTGTGCTCTTGTTCGCGTCGCAGCTGGTTCAAACGGCTCTCGTTGGCAGCCGCGGCCGATTGTCGTGCAGAGGCGCCTCCCATGAGTTGAGCTGTCAAGAGAGATGTGTGTTGTTGTGGTGTCTTGGATGATTCTCCTGAAGGAAGGGATGTGGCCGGTCTCCTACGTATAGAACTGAAGCGCTTGAGTGAAAAGCCCTTGTTGGCGCTGGTAGGGGATGGCGTGAGGACAGGGAGCGAGGGGATGCCGGAGTCTGTGTGTGGCAGGGGCAGACGCTGTTGCTCGTTGCTGGACTTGCGGGCCGTGGTTGAAGAAGGCAGGCTGTCAATGAAACTCTGGATGGATCCTCTGCGGTGGCGCGACGGAGCAGCAGAGGCGGACGAGAAAGAAGATAACCTCCTGCGGCTTTTTTGGCGGGTGAAAGTGCCTGTGAGGTTTCCAAGCGCTCTGGAAAGCGCACTTTCACCGTGGCTGCTGTTTTCTGCCTCGTTCACGGCGTCGAGAGCCATGCCATAGCGCTCAGTGTCGTAGTAGTTGCTCGTGCTGAAGGTTTGCGACGCCGTCCTCTTCATGGTGTGGTCGAAGGGCGTGGTGTGTGTGTCGTCGTTCGCAGCGGAGGATGTCTTCGGACGGGAAGCCAGACTGCGATGCATTGGAGCGTCTGCTGGCAGCGATGCAGCGGTGTGCACGAGTTCGATGCAGGCCAATTCCAGGGGGTGAGGGCGGCTTGAGGCCGAAACGTGCAGCGAGTCGTGGGCGTGCAGGGCGAGGAGCTAGGAATTCAAGGAGTGTGGAGCGGTGCAGCGGTGTATCGCAACAACAACAACAACAACAGCAGCAGCAGCAGCAGCAGCAATAGCGGTAATTAATAGACAGGGAGCGTGCACAGCAGCCAGCGAGGGTGTGGGGGGCGAGTGGATGTGAAGAATAGACAAAAGGGCCTACTAGTACAGTGGACGACAAGGAAAGGGAGGGAGCGGGCGTGCGGACAGGGCCGTCGTCGGAAAAAGCGAAGAGAGTGCGAGGATTTGGGACCACGACAGGATCACGGCCGGTGTTTTTAAGCCTTGCGGCAATGAGCGCGCAGTCGGACAGCCCAAAGCCAATCTCTTCGCACTAGCCGCAACGCTGGCTCATGGGCCTCCCCCCCCCCTCCCCCAGCAACACGCTACTGCCTTTCGCCGGGCCCTCTCCAGCCGAAGAGGTATTCACTGCTAGTGCACTGCAAATCTCAGAGGCACTGGAACACCAGCTCAATCGGCGGTCTGTACCACGTCTGCATTACAGCACAAGATCCGTTCGCACTGCCCGCTCTTCTGCACCTCACTGCCTCTGCATCTGTTGGGCGGTCTCGCCCTCACCGCTCCCACAGCAGGCCACCGTACGCCCACTCAGCACTGTTACAAAGCAGCCCATACGAAACCTTCCCAAACAACGACATGGAGCCCACCCGTGTTCCCCCCTTCTACCGTCTGGTCTTCCTGTACCTCGAGCCCATCTCCATATTCACAGGCGCCGTGCAGGCCTACTTCTTCCAGTCGGCCTACCTGACCCTCACCCACGCCTCCAGTGCCCCCAGCGTAGTGCCCGTCTCAACATCCATTGTGCTGACCCAGTTGGCGAATCTGTACCTGGGACTTGCCATCACCGAGGCTCTCATTCTGCGTGTGACCACCGAGTACAGCGTGTGGAAGGCGCTCATCATCGTGCTGCTCATCGCTGATGTGGGCCACCTGTACTCGGTCCTGCCATTGGGCTTCTCCAGAGCATTCCTGCAATGCTGGAACTGGAACGCTATAGATTGGGGCAACGTTGGCTGGGTCTACTTTCTCGCACAGACGCGTATTTCCATGTTGCTAGGTATTGGGTTTGGCGGAAGACGCGCTCCCGGGCTGAAGAATGCTTGAGGCTCGAATGCGGTTGTAGATACCCAGCTCCATCTAGCGTCCTGTCATACAGAAGCTGTCGAAGCACCTGCCAATCCTGAAACACAAATTTCTGCGTGACCAAGTTAATACATCCATCATCATCAACACAGAACGCCACGTTCTACATACGTCTGCTCTCGTACCCGTTCGGCAAGCCAACCGAGAGGCCCTCCTTACCGAGCCCTCATGCTTGCTTCTGGCGGGCCTCTGGCGGGTGCCACAGAGATCTCCCTCAGCCCACCACCCCAGACCCACAGCACCGTCTAACCCGAACCATCATCATCAAGATCGACTTCTAAAAGTTAGGGGCTCAACGAATCGTCAGGGAGTCCATATAATTGTCAGGAGTCCGCAGTGAACAGTGGTACGCACATGCAAGGCCTGACAGTCCATCTCTCCGCCCAGACACGGAGGTAGCACTCCGCTGCGCTTGCGCTGCGCTTTCATTGTCCGCGAGTCGTCAGCGAACCAATCTCACGCTCCCACCTTGCCAAAAGCAAAAAGGTGCCGTTCTCAACCACTTCCAACAAAGAAGCAACTCGCACCTGCCGTCTCGACCCTCAGCTCTCGAATGCTCTGAACCTGTTTCGTACGTTGTGCGTCGTACGGAGACGGATGGGTTGAGGATGGTGAGCGGACTTTCCGCAGAATGATGGAATGCTGCTGTGGCACGTTGCACTGCACCACCAGTTCGCTCTGCCCGTTGTCCGTTCTCGCTTCTCTGCCACAGCGGAACACATTCCTCACCCTCGCTCGCCCCAACCCTGCCCAGCACTCCTTCTTGAACCAACCAAGCAGGACCTTCAAAGCCGATCCGCACCGCGCCCGCCGCCGTCACAACACCACATGCCCCATGCAGCCCGCCGAGATTAGCTCAGCATTGCCTAGCCACCATCCTCAGCCTCAGCGCACCCAGTCTTAAAATCCTTCCATCCCTCCCAACCTTCTAGCGTGGAAGATTGGGATCCTCATCCGGCAAGTCCAATTCTTACCCTGCATACACTTCGCGTGTTGGACCAGGATGCGCGCGCTTCGCCGAGCTCGTCACTATTACAAATTGACGTCATTATTCGGCAGACCTCCTACTTGACGAAATTTCGTCGAGGATTGGAGACTGTTGGTATTGATGATGGAACACTTGATGCTTGTGGCGATGTTTCCGGATGGTACCCCTCCCCTGCGCCGGTGTCGAAATGTACCGTGGTACACCAGCCTGGCGAGATTGCTGATGACCTCTTGATTACTATGTCTACCGTTCGATCTCAAGACTACAAAAGCTACTGATCCTCGAGACGCATCGCTGGACTGTCAGGCTGCTTGCGTCTGGTTGCGGAGAAGTCCAGCCTCAGAGTCGGTGAAGGGACTTGCTCGCTTCGTAGAGTGCCGACCCGAGAGCATGGAGTTGGAGCTATGGGCAATGTCAATATGGGAGAACTGTCTGTCTGAATGTGAGACCTGACTGGGTGCGGAGGCGGGAAGAGCAGATTGACAACATCCCACCTGCTTCCGCGTCGCGATCGAGGGGCTGATAGGCGTTATAAAGCTGATCCTACCCACGCACACGCAAAGAAGGCGAATGAACACGCACATGACTGGATTCAGTATATGCAAACCCTTCCCAGAGCCTATCTAAGAACGACAGAAGAGCAGTAAATAGGGGTATAAGTATCCACAGCAGGGTAAGTCCAACAAAGAAGGTCGACTCGTACCCCATACATCGGGCCCATAAATGACATTTTGCCATCTCGCCATCTCATATCGCGCCGTGATCCCAAGGCCTCAACATCCAAAGCGCCTTGTGAGTGAAAATAACAACAAAACGATGCAAAAACAATGGTGAAAGTGATAGTACAGTAAAAATAAGAATAGAAAGTTATGCAAGATGTCCAAGGATCGAGTATGCAAAACAATAAGCCGCGTGATAGATCAGTAGATGCCAGCTTCAAGGCCAGCCAGGCTGCCGTCCATCTGCTTCTCCATAGCCTCGAAGTCCGTCAGTGAGGGAAACAACATGATCTCGTCGCTGTCCATAGGAGGCAGAGAAACACCGAGAGTTTGCAGATCGTCGGAGAGTTGCATGTCAAGTGGAAGCGCATCTCCGTTCATGCCCATCATCCATGCATCGGGCATGTCGATGTCGATATTGATCTGGAGGTTGTCGTTCTCGGAGATGTCAGACTGTCGTGTGGAAGGCGTATCCTTCGAGGACGAGTCTGGTGTCTCTGTTGGCGAGCTGGGTCGCGAGCGAGTGGCCCAAGTATTGTCCACGTCCTTGAGGTTGAGTACAGTGAACGGACCGTTGGCATCGAGCGCGGCGAACGTCTCCCCGTACGAGTAATCCAGCAGCGACGTAGGAATCATAGGCTGTATATCCTGTTGCTTCTCTGGCTCTGCCACAGCGACGAGTGCGGGCTCTTTTACAGTCGACTTAGCAGCACTGGTAGGCGTAGGCTTTGCTTGGGGCCCGGTACTGGGTGTGGCCACCTTCGCTATCGTCTGCGGTGTCTTAAGCAAATTGGCTGATGGCGAGTTCTTGATGCCAGTCTGTGTCGGTATGCGTGCCATTGGGGTGGCAGCTACATGATGTCCCGCGGGTGTCGAGGCGTTCTGTGCAGTGCTAGGGGCGTGTTCGGTTTTAATGGCCTGCGCAGGAGCACGCGGAGCTGAGGCTGCTGGAGCAGGTGCAGGCTTCGCGGTAGGTTTCGAAGTGGTGGCATCGGCCTTAGGCTCACCTGTCTTGGGGTCTAGCTTGAGGTAATCTGCCATGGACTCGAGAGCAAATTGAAGAGGATTGTCATGCACGGCGTGGGCAATACTGATATGCGCATCGAGCTCAGTTTGTGTATCGAATCCTCGAACAGAGTATTCGCATGCAGCCTCCTTGCATTTGAACGTCGGCCTTTGTGGCGTCTGCTTGTCGGGTGCCGGCTGTCGCTTGAGCTCAGGTGAACTGCCTTTTCCAGTACCCATGCGAGGCGAGGGCTTGGGTCCTGGCGTTGAGCTCGCACTTCCTCCATCCACCCTCGCACGTTTCTTGTCCGGCAGGACGAGATTAGTAAGTCTCGGTGCTTCGTCAAAGTACTTTGGAGCTCCGCTTGGAGATTGCCCGCCGCCAAGAGGGAAGGGCGGCCGATCGGTCGTAGGAGCTTGAGGCGCCTTCGCACCCCGTTGATGTGATTCGGTATGTTGCTTGAGATTAGCAGCGTTGAGCTGAGCTGGAGATGTGGCAAGCGAGGGATCTGAGCTGGGTTGCGATTGTTGTGGACCTGGGTGGGCATTGGCGTTCTGGTTCTGTTGTGACTGCGACATCCTCGATCCGATCTTGGTGACGAAGTTGAGAATGGTACGGAGGTGGGTCTTAAATCCTTCTGTTGGCAGAGTGATCTGGTCGTTGAGCAACCCATTCTCGAGGTTCATTTCTCGGAACAGCAAGCATCGTGCCATCATTATCTGCCTTATAACGCCCTCTGAGCCACTGTCGATATCAAACGACGCGTAGAAGGCGCGGATTGCTCCATCGACCTTCTTCAGCGTCGAGAACTGCTTCTGCAGAGAACCCTGGAGAGAAGCGCGCACTTGGGGCGGTATTTGTGTTGGCTGCCCAGGAGGCAGGTTTCTTTCAACCTCTGCCATCATCGCATTTAACTTATTGAGCCTTACTGGATCACTCATGCGAACGCGGAGGTCATCGGCACTAGGCACTGGACGTGATTGTTGCGGCACCTTGCCATTAGCAGCGTTCGAAGCATCTTGAGCTTTGAGCAGCTGTGCCTTAACTTGAGCTTGCTGCGCAGGTGTAAGCTTAGACATCTGCTCCTGTGTAAGGCTGAGAGGCCTCTGGGGAACCATAGGCGCTTGCGGCGCCGCATTGCTGCCAGCTTGGTCTGTACTGGCCTCAGCAGAATCTTCGTTGGGCCGTTTCAGACTCTTCGTTGCGTTGGGCGCGGGCTGTGTCGTTTGCTGTGGTCTAGCAGCTGGCTTTGATTGCGGTGTAGACTGAGCAGCCTGGGCGGTCAGAGGGTGGTTGGGCTGCTGCTGCTGCTGCTGCTGTTGCTGTTGTTGCTGCTGCTGTTGTTGCTGTTGTTGTTGTTGTTGTTGTTGTTGTTGTTGTTGTTGCTGTTGTTGCTGTTGTTGCTGCTGCTGTTGCTGTTGTTGCTGCTGCTGTTGTTGTTGTTGTTGTTGTTGCTGCTGCTGCTGCTGCTGCTGTTGCTGTAACATGTTCCGTTGTTGTTGTTGTTGTTGCTGTTGCTGAGCAAGCATTTGCTGTTGCTGCTGCTGCTGCTGCTGCTGTTGCCTGCCCTTCATCTTTTGCGTCATGATATGTTGACGCAATTGATCGTCTGTCATATTCAAGCTCATCTGGGGATTTTGTCCCTGGATCTTCTGTCGGAATATCTGCAGCTCTTGCGGTGTGACATTGATCGGAGGCAAGTTCGCCATGTTCAACGGCTGTTGCGGTACCCTTCCCTGCCCCTGGCCCGGCGTCATTGGTGCAGGCGGTGCCATTCCCGCAGCGTTGTTTGGCTGAGGAACAGTGCCAGGCATCTGTTGCTGTCGCTGCTGTTGCTGTAACATATTCTGAAAGTGTATTACTTGAAGCATAATCAGCTTTTGTGTTTCTGTAGGAGGCAGTATGGCAGGGTTTTGCTGAGCCCACTGCTTAAGTTGTCCCCAGCTCTTCACGTCCGGAGGTAGATTTTGTCGAACCTGTGGGCCGACTACTTCTGGAGGAAAGGGTCTACCATCAGTGCTTGCGATGATTCCAGGATTTGATTGAAGCAAATTCTGTGCGGCCACGATGCGTTGTGGTGTCAGCATGCCACGCTGTGGCATCTGTTGGGGTTGTCCACCAATAGCACCAGGCGTCTGTTGCCCAAGACTCATGCCAGGACGAGCCATGTTAGCCATGTTAGCCATGTTGGCCATATTGGCCATGTTAGCCATGTTAGCCATATTGGCCATGTTCGGCCCTCCCATCATTTGACCAGCCATACCAGGCTGCATGCCTTGTTGCTGATTGAAGGGGAGCATGTTGCGTTGTCCTGGAGTTCCGGGCCCGCCAACCAATAATCCGTTCTGCATCGCTTGCTGTCGCCGTTGGGTGGTCATATAGTTGGCGAGGATTTGGCGGAAATTCTGCTCTGGCACCTTGAGCAGTTGTTGTTTTGCGTGTGGTTCAAGATCCGCTGGCATCATGCTCAATCGCGCTTGATCTGTGAGAGGTCCAGTAGACTGTCCCAAAGCGGCGGCGGCGGCGGACCTCTGTTGTGCCTCGCGCAGCAATGCAGACACTTGTTCGTTCTGACCTTGACCTGGTTGAGGTGTCATCTGCGGAACATGCGCTTGTGGGCGCTGCTGAGGGGTGGTAGGCGGTCCTTGTTGACCAGGTGGGTTCATTGGTCTTGTGAGCAATGGCATGGCTGGGCTTTGCTGAGATCCTGGTGGGAGGTTGAGACCACCAATCTGTCCTTGGAGTAGTTGGTTTTGATTCCTTGCCTGCATCGCAGCCTGTTGGACCCTCTGCTGTTGGTCGATCTGTGCGCGCGCTTGGGCTTGAGCTTGTTGTTGCGCCTGTACCTGTGCCTGGGCTACCTGAATCTGTGAAGCGTTGGCCTGGCGCTGGAGGCTTTGTTGGAATGCAGCCTGAGCTGCTTGTCGTTGTGCCATGGCCGCATTCTGTGGTTGGCCTCCTTGTCCAAAAGCAGCCATTTGAGCACTGTTGTTGTTGCTCGCTGGAACGACCTCTGCACCGGAGTCCTGCAACCTCACAGCTCCCAGTTGCTGGTTCGTAATCGCATTGAAATCGAACGTAGGATCTGACTGTCGTTGGGCCATATTGGCCTGCTGACCCTGCATCTGGTTGGGTTGACCACCCTGCTGCCCGCCCATCTGGTTTGCACCTTGCTTATTTGAAAACTTGCCACTTCTGTATAGCATTTCGGCGTGCTGTCGGAAGCGAAAGTATAAAGGATCGATCCCCTGTGCAAGGGCCTGCTGCTTCTTGGCGTCGGGCCATGTATTGACTTCTGCTTGAAATTTTGCGCGAACCTCAGGCCCACAGCTGTCCATAAGTTTCTTAGCCAGTTGATTGATGAATGCACCTTGATTGACGAAAGCACCTTCTGCTTGCTGGGGCGGTTGTTGCGGCTGTTGCATGTTCGGTTGTTGGTTTTGTTGACCTTGGTTGAGGTTGGGTGTGCCGACGTTCATGCCCATCGAGGACCCTCCTTGTTGCATGGGAACTGGTGATATCTGCATGGGTCGTTGGAGCTGAGCGTTGGGAAAGCCTGGGGTGAACTGCTGCGGTGTGCCTTGCCGAGGGCCTTGGGGACCAGCCTGACCCATCATGTTCATCTGACCTGGATTCATCCCGTTCATGGGCATGTTCATGTTTCCAATATTGGTCTGCATGCGTTGTGACTGTTGTTGCCGTGCCGCAGTCATTTGCACCAGTTTCTGTTTGATGTTCGCGACATACTGGTCCTTTGTCTGGGCTTGGATGAACATTTGGCTCTCAAACTGAAGGGAGGTGCGCATGGCTTCCAGTTCCGGTGTCTCCGGCTTAAGGAGGCGGAACTGGGTGAAGAACTGAAAAGCAAGCTGGCCGCGTTCTTCTGGTGCTATAGACTGTTGCCATCCCTGAGGAATCTTGCCCTGCTGCTGCTGGGCGCGATAATGATTGACGAAGTGGTTGTAGTTTGCAGCATTGGCTGGACCCTGGCGGGCCATGCCATTGTGCTGCATGTTAGGGTTGTTCATCTGCATGGCCGGCGCACGGCGGTGTCGAGCCGTCTATGTCGTAAGATTAAGATATACGTCGGGTCGGTGAACAGCGCGGTGCAATACCGCAAGATCAAAAGATAGCAATACGCATGCAGGGGACTGGTGTTTGCAAAGGTACACGACGATGGTGTCGAGTGTCGAGGCTCGGTGCCGGCGGTCGAGTTGGGCGCCCGTCAGGACAGCGCGGGAAAAGCAAGTACGGTTTGCGTCGACTGTCGCGAAGGCGAGCGGCAGACCCAGCACACGCAGTGGCTAGAAGATCGCCAGCATCCGCCACGAGTCGAGGGACGTGGTGTGGTCGAGGAAAGGCCGGGCGAGGTTTGCGGGACTGCGCAGTCGAAGGGACGCTACTGATTGCTCGTAAGTGATCGACACTGGGCGGCAGGGCAGTCTGCGGGCCTCCCAATAGCAATGCCGGATGCAGCGTTTGAGCCCGCGGTGGTATGCTGCGACAGTTCTGCTCGCAGCGCGTCCAAAAGTCCCAGGCGAAGAGGGAAGGGGAGTGTGGGAGGCTTGTAGCGAGCCTCTACGCTGCGGGAGAAAGGTGACGGAGCGCTTTGGTCGGTGAGGATGCTTTCCACAGGTGCTAGAGCAAGCCGTGCAGCAGGTGGACGCCAGTGGAAAGGTTAGCGCACGACCACGACCAGGGTTCGTCACTCCTCCAAGACGTCGTGGCAGTGGGCAGTGGAATGGACGCAACCCTGAACAATTTGTTATTTCTTGTTGCGCAGTCAGAGAAAAGAAGGGCAGCTGCACTGGTTTCTTCACGGAGGCAACAGTCTGGCAGGCGAAAGCAGGTAGCGCGGAGCTGATTTCGATTGCCTGGTGTCACAGCTGGGTGGTCATTAAGGGCCTAGTCAAGCCTCACTACTGTGGGACCCTACCTCCGTTGCCCTGCTGTGTCGCCCACCGCACCCTGTCATCAGCTCCTAGGAGGATTGACCGACATTGCAATTCTCTGCAATTCTTTGTAAACTGTATAATCACGAAAGCTTCCTCGAGCACGTCTCGCATTTGCAGCAGGCTTGCCTGGCGCTTGAAGCTCGAGGTCGTGAGGTTTCACTTGGGCACGGCGTCCAATCCGAAAGAAACACTTGCCAGAGCACGACCACAAGACGCCCAGTATGTGCGCACCCTTCCATCGCCATGGCGCCATTCAGCCCACTGCATGCTGGCCCGCTAGCCTGATCTGGTGTCTGTTGCCCCAGTCTGGTGATGAAGTCAAGCACACCAGCGCCGTTTACATTCGAAGCGTTCTGTCCTGTGTCCTTGCGCTCTGCACAAGAGCAGAGGATTGAGTTGCAGGCCTCTTCGCCATCCAAGCAACAAGTGGCTGGTGGCACCAAGCCATGGAATCCGTCCAGCGCTATCTTCTGTTAGCTGAAATTAACCGTTGTAGCCTCTCTGGACCCTGCCACGAGGGACTCACTCTCATGTCAGCTGCCTGAAGTCCTTCTCAAATATCCTGTTGACCGCCAATTCTATACCCTTAATCCTTGTGAAGAGTTGAGAATAAACGCAGTGTTGTGTGCCTCCCGGATCCCCTCAAACTTCACGCTCGAGGTTGCGTTAATCGACCGTTGGCCTAGCTCGCATAGTGCAGCTCCACAAATGCCCGTAGCCGCACCCGTAACGAGCTAACCATGTCGCCTGTCGGTGACCAGCATCTTTGCAGCTTGAAGTGCCAGCAAACATAACACAGTTATCGTATGCTGAGTTGATAGTATTGAACATTTTCCACGTCATTCGAATCACTTGCCTCACTTTCTCAAGCAGCTGCACGTAGTGTTCTGTCGATCCTGCACTTGGCAACTGACTGAAAATCCGCGCCTGGGCAACGCCATGATCGCCGACACGCCTGCGCTTCCGTTCTGGGAATGGGTGTCATGCGCCGCCATCCTTCACAGAGGTCCTTCAAGACCCTGTCACCTTTTGTTGCTATATCGAAGATGAGCGTAGACACACTTGCGCCTTTGCATTCTTCAACATAGAAGTGAAAGATAACTCTACCGTAGTTTGTGTTGAGTTGGCTTTGCCACGTCTTCCAATCGCACCATGGGTGCGATCGGTAGCGTTTATCGTTTCGCTTACGCCTTAATGTGGCAACAGCTGACGACCGTTGATAGACGCTACACGCGTCACAGTTGGAGACAGCTCATCTCTCTGGAGAAAGAATATGCTTAAATCGTATGCTAGGCTTTGCACAGCGGTTTTGTGGTCCCTTCTGAGCCTATCTCGATACCGAATTGTGTATTTCCCAACGTTACTACTGAAGCGTGAAAGTTCCAAATCTTCGAGAGTCAATTAGGGTCGGATGCGAGCGGAGACTGAAAGAAAATCACCAGCTCGTGTACGACTTGGCTGCAGAGAATCCAGGACTATGTGAGGTCGTCAAGTCCCGGACACTTCCGGGCAATCTCTCGCCAGAGCTCACTATTCCCCAAGTGTCGTCACGATCAGTGTGGGTGCAAAGACATGGTAATGTCGGCTTCCTCACAGTAGAGGTGTTAGTTTGTAACTCCTGGGTGACACGTCGTTGCCTTTTCTGCAGAGTTGGAGCTCGGGCTTCCAAGATATCGAAGGGTGAGATCCCTCATCAGTGTAGCTGCGCTGAACATGTTGACAGCCTATCCAGCCCCGTGATATCTGCATTGAGCGGATGGAAAGTACTGCACGGTTCCGAAAGCGCTGGCTACAATCAATACTACAGCGAGATTGATTCAGTCTAAGCTCAAAACAGTACAGTACGTTGGTCGAATTGTTAGCAGAAAGAGTACGGCTGAAAGGCCCAACTCAAATCGCACTGTTGAGCTGTCTCGAAGGGGCGTGATTTGTGTTCTGCTTGGATGGACATTAGCAAGTGCAATCGAACCTTGCGGTCGAATATTGCGGTTGAACATTGAGCATCCAGAAAAGAGCAGATAATAGTCCGCGTTTGGGAGGATATGAAAATGCATGTGGCGTCTGAGAAGGAGTGTGTGAACGAAATCAAGACTGAGTGAGATGGGACGAGTGGAGGGTGTTTGACTTGGCTGATTTCGATATGGCATGCTTTCGGGGGGTCCACCCCACCTATGATACACTTGGTCCCAGCTCCAGCAGCCCTCTATACATCCTCACATTCTCGTAACATAGGAGATCTTGTTTCGTAATGTGTTGTCGCTTATTTCTGGCCAAGGGCTGCGGCACGCTCGTCCTCGAGCTTCTGGTAGAAAGCGTCGCGGTGACGGACGGCGGGGACATGGTAGCCTTCGAAAAGTAAGTCTCGAGTCGCAAATTTCGAGGCACATCGTGTGCTGCGATGATCGAGGGATCGCTGAATACGTACCGTACCACCAGCCGTAACCAGCGGTCACACCAAGACCTGCAATTGACTGTCAGCCAAGCTTTCCCACACCACACGCACATCGTCCAGAGCTTCCGCGAAGCTGCAAAAAGCTCTGGAGACGTGCGGAGGACTGTCAACGCACCCACAGCAACGGAAACGTCGAGCACGATCTGACGGCGGAGCATCTGTTCCAGTCATTAGCCTCCTATTCACGGCTACCGAACAGGTCCAATGGCAGCACATACGCCAGTAATCGGTTTGAAGGCCATTGCTAAGTCGGTTTGCGGGGAGTGGAGAGTTTTGCGGCGGGGTTGCGGGTTGCGGTAGCTGGTAAAGGTCGTCTGTCGGTCGTGAAGTTGAGTGGTGTGAGTTGATTGTCATCCGTTCCTTGGCTTTTTGGCCCGTGCGTTTTGGGGAACTGCGACTCAAAGGCTACCAGGTTTCCCTAGGTGAAAGGAACGTCGACGGCACACATCAACCGCCGAGCGTCGCAGCGCTTTCACAATAGCTATTGTCGCGTGCGTAAGGTTCTGCAACCGCTGCAGAGTTCTCCCATATCCGCCCTCTCACCTCCGATACACGACCGTCCAACCGCGTGGGCACCACATGCGACGTCACTCTCGATCCCCACTTTGCGCACCCTGCACCCCGTACAGCATCTTCTACCTACCTGTCGCGCATACAGCATATGCCAGGCCTTATTTCTCCCTCTAGCGCCAGCAGCGTAGGCGCAATCGCAACCATGAAGAGACCCCACGATGGAGAGGGCCTAACACATCAGGGCGCGCCGTTGAAGAAGCGCAAGGTTCTGCATCAGTTGCATCACACGCAACCTGTGCAGCACATGAACGATCCTATCAGCGCAGAGTTTGGTTTCGGCGACAGCAAAGACTTCTATGATCAACAACTACGGCGCGCCATAGCCATACAATGCAAGACATTGGGTTTCGACAGCGCGCGATCAGATGCGCTGGAAGAGTTCAGAGGATTGGTCGACTCATGTACGACAATTGTGCGCGTAAGCAGAGCTTGGCTAACACAGCGCAGACATAACCAGGTTTCTGACAAATGTGCGAATGTCGATGACCAGCGCGCGGCGTACCGAAACAGTAGCTCACGATTGGATATACGCGCTGGCCAATGCTGGCTTTCACGGCTCAGGAGCCCTCGAACAACATTTCGACACGGGCGAGATACCCCCAACAATATTACAGCCGCAGTTCGACCCACCTACCCCGCCAGAACCACAACCTATCAGTACCGATGCATTACTTGGCCCTGAACTGTCCGGTAAAACGGATAAAGAGGAACGAGCATACATACCAAAGCATTTCCCACCATTTCCATCCAAGAACACCTACAAAGCCACACCAGTATTCACTAACCGAGAGAATGATCCGCGTAAAATTCGAGAGAAGGCGACAGAGGAGGGCATACTGGCAGAACAGAGCTTACGGAAGCTCATGGCAGCACAAAAGGCAGGCATACAGAAGCAAACTGCCGGCAAACGGAAACGAAGTACACGCATGAAAGAGAGCGACAGGCTGTGGCAAGAAGCAATGACGGATCTTCTGAATGAAGAGAAAGAGCACGAGAAGAACGAGGCACGGCAACGCGCAAGGGAGGAGGAGGCAGAGATAGAGGCGGCCGACGACAACTGGAATGCACCCCTTGTTGAGAGACAACTACGGCAGCCCATTGTGGACCGAAACGTCAATCTGGAAGAAGGAGTGCACGTGAACTACGACCAACGGTTCTGGCGAAAGTCTGCGAGAGGCGTATGAAAATTCAAAACGTCAATGGTTTTGCAAAGCATTTTTATAGCGCGGCGTTTGGGGTTTGCATATACGTTTTGGCGCGCCCGAGGATGGGCCTTTCGAGCATGCGGCAGGCGTTCAGTAATTGTGTAGAAGTTGTACTATAGCCTTCAGGCGACAGAGAAGAACAACAATCGAGTTGAACATGGTTCCTCACAAGACTATGAGTTGTTGTGCGTTTTCATTTGAGATCGTGCCTTCCTAATCTGAGGTCTGGTTGTTCACCCCGAACGCTTCCACCTTGAACTTACTCCATCTTCTTGCCACTCTCTTGCCTCGCCTTCCACCCTTCCCAAGTTGTCGTCTCAACACTCAGCCCGTTCTCACATCTACACAGCACATCAGCTTCGTCGCTACCAGCTCACGTGCCAAGACCATCGTCCTGCACCTCGCAAGACCAACACTTACTGTCTTAACAACCTCACCACCGGCTCACAAATAACATTCGGCTTCCTCGTCTTCTCTGATACCTCAATATTGCACTTATACTGCAACAACTCTTTCAACGCGCAGTCGCCTAGGCGCACAGGCGGTTTCCGCGGCTTCCCATTCGGGAGGACGTTGATTTGGGATTCGAGGGCGCTGAGGGGGTATATGGGTGTCGCTGGTGCCATCAGGAATTGTTGATGTTAGTGGAAAGAGTAGAAGAGGGTACAAGAAAGAGTGAGGGCCAAGAGAAGGGATGACGATGAATGGTGATGTGGAAGCGAAGAAGTTAGGTGAGAAGCTGTTGTTGGATGTCAAGGTTGAAGAGTTAAGCTCGGTATGTTAATATTCACAATGACATTTCTTCGATGGCCGTTGACGCCTAAATCAGATCCTCGGCTCTCTCCGTGAGTTGGGATCTGAAAAGTAAGTCTTTCTCGGTCACAGCCTGATCTTTGACATGCATTGTAGCCTAGCGAACGAGCCTTTGAAGAGCTGATCAATTGACAATCTAACAGCGAACGCAACGAGGCAACTACAAACAAAGTCCTCTTCAGTATCCCAGAACTCGATGCCCTGATATCAAGCTCATCCCCAACGATTCTCGAACTAGTATCACCACCACCCACGCACCACCCATCAGGAGCCGGCAAAACCTCCTTACTTTACCTCATCATAGCCCACGCCATCCTCCCCCCTACATTCAACTCCATAACAGATCTCCACGGCCACGATGCAGCAATCATCATCTTCGACCCGCTCCACCACTTCAGCGTCCCCCGCCTCGCAAGCGTAATGCTCAACCTCATCGTCTCCAAATTCGGCGCACCTGTCGACGCCCTCGATCCCAGCATTAAAGCCGATCTGCTCAATCTAACAACTCGCTGCCTGGATCATGTGCACGTCTTCCGCTTACAGTCGTGGGACTCGTTGATCACGACCCTGCATTCAGTCCCAGACTACTTGTTCGACGAAACCAGGCACAAGAGCACACACCGCCGCATTCACTCCCTCGTCCTCGAAGACATCGACGCGTTCACCTGGTCTCTGCGCTCTGCTCACTCCACTTCTTCTTCTTCTTCATCCTCCAACAACAACATCAATCCACTAAGCGCTGCCTCCAAGGCACTTACCACTGAGATCAAAAACCTCGCAACGCTTCTGTCCTGCAACATCATTCTAACCTCTCCCTCTATCCTTCCTACAGCGTTTCGCCCCGCCCTACCCACGTCTTGGCCGAGTGGTATGCATGTGACGAGACTTGCAGTGAGGAGAGTAGAGGTGCTGAAATTTGCGCCGGAGATGGGTGTTGAGCAGGCTGAAGCCGAGAGGAGCCAGAGGTGGGAGGTCGTCCGTCGGGGACAGTTCGAGTGCTGGAAGGTTGGAACTGGGGTAAGAGATGGGGAGGGCGAGGGGTTTGTGTTCAAAGTTGGGCCGCATGGAGTTGAAGTCGCGAGGGAGGGCGGTGGGTAGAGGTGTACCGGTAACAGCGCTCGTTAGCGGAAGAGTAGGACGGCACATTACGTAGATGGAGAACCATACTAAATGTCAGAGAATAGCAATGTTGAACGATTGGATCTCGCCATTTGATAACAGTATGTTACAAAAAGTACAGCCCGCCTAAAGCTCCTGAATATGCATATGCTGGTCGAATGCCATGCCCCCTAGCCGTGATATCTTACAACCATGCAAGAACAATTTTATACACATTGTCTCTCGTCCATCGATCGTTCAAGTGCGTGTTGATAATGCACGTGCTTCGTCGTCCTCGTCCCAAGCTGCCTCGCAGCCAGCATCTTGTCTTGTGTTCCATCTCTCCTCCGACCAGTCAAGTCTACAAATCCCTCCCCCAAAGCACCTTCCTCCTCTCCCTCTCCTCCCTAGCCTCTCTCCTCCTCTTTCCCCACTTCTCCCTGGCCTCTGCATGCTCCGCACTAATCCTTGCCGCCTTCTCCGGCACCTTAACAACCATCCCGACGAAAAACTGACTACACCCAAACTTCTCCGCCAGCTTGACCCGCGTCCACTTATCCGGGTCTCCCAGCCTCAGTTTGCGGATCTCGGCGATCTGCGACTCATCCAGGTGGTATTTCTTCTCGTACGGCGTCCGCACGGGCGCAGGGAGAGAAGAGGAGGGTTTCGGAGGGAGGTAAGAGGAGGTTGAGAGCGGTGTTCCGGGTGCTGCGACGGGCGAGGATTGTCGGCGCAGCGCGGTGGTGTTGGAGTACTGCAGTGCAGCATTGTACATTTGTCTCCTCTTATCATCTTTCGGCAGGAACTTGAGCGGTGTGTGGTACACGCTCGGTACAGACGAGGGCGGGTTGAAGATCAATGAGGGTTCGGAGCGTGAGGGCGTGTAGGATGGTGCTTCAGGGAGCGCGAGGAGCTTCTTGTGTCGCCGGGCGGTGGATTCGTGGCGGCATTGCACTTTAGGGAGGAGAGAGGGCTGCCGTGTGGAGAGGCATGTGCGGAGGATGGGTTTGCTGGCCGACATCGTGCAATTAGACGCGTGAGGCGGGCGTCGACGACGGCTGGTGATGGCCTGCGGTGAAGGGGTGCCATGCCGGGGGAGCGAACTTTTGGTCCGATAAGTTTTTCCGGCCGAGATGTTTGTACATATGCACGCGACAAGCATCAACGACAAGCATCAACACTTCACAAGCATAGCAACGACAGCGTTTGGTTGCAGTTTCTTTGATTGGGTATATTTACTTCGTCTTGGCTATATACTGGGTTGACTTGCGTTGTCGCAATTCCTTCACTCGCGCTTGAGCTCGGCACCGACGTAGTGTAGGTATGCTCCAAGAAGCTTCGTACCCTCAATGTAGTTCCTCTTGTCCAGCTTCTCGTTGATCGAGTGCGCCGCATCTGTGGAGCTTCCCATCGGCAGCAGCAGCACGTTCTTTCCGAGCTCCTCTTGGAATGTCAGAGTGACTGGGATGCTACCACCCTCACGGGTCATGTCAGGCTTGACACCAAATACCCTCTCGACAGCCTTGGCGGCAGCTGTGTAGTTGGGGTGGTTGAAGTCCTCAACCCACCACTTGCCGCAGTGTACAACGTTGAACTTCATCCTGTTCTTCGACTTCAGCTTAGCAAACTCGTCGTTGACGTGCTTCTCGACAAGCTTGGTGACGGGGTCGATCTCCATGTTGGGCACTGTGCGGATGGAGAACTTTCCGATAACCTTTGCGGGGATGACAGTCTTGGCTCCCTCGCTGTAGAAAGCACCCTCAATACCGTGTAGAGACAAGGAAGGGTACCTCATCTTAGCCTTGAGAGCCTCCTCCTTGGTGCCATGGATCGAGACCTCACCGCCGAGCGACTCCTTCAAGTCGTTCATGGTGAATGCGATGGGAGGGTAGAGAGCCTCCTCCTGCTCGGTCATAGGAGCAACAAGGTCGTCAATGCCCTTGATAAGGATCTTGCCATCAGGGTCGACGAACGAGTTCATGATGCGGACCAAGTCGGTCATAGGCTCGTGTGAGACACCACCGTACACACCAGAGTGCAGGTCAGCGCCGGGTCCTGCAATCTCGATCGAGTAGTAGTTGCATCCACGGACACCGTATGTGAGACAAGGCTTCTCTGTGCCCAGCCAGTAGTTATCTGAAATGCAAACGACATCTGCGTCCTTGAAAAACTTCTTGGCCTCAGCGCGGATGGTGTCGTCCAGACCCTCTGAACCGTTCTCCTCCATACCCTCGAAGCACATGATCAGGTTGACCGGCAGTTCAATGCCAGCCTTCTGGTGTGCCTCGATTGCGTTCAACCAACCGAGAACGGGGCCCTTGTCATCTGTGCTGCCACGTCCGTACATGCGGCCCTTGTCGTCGATGCTCAATGTGAAAGGGTCGGTCGCCCAGCCGTCGGACTTCTGTGCGGGCTGAACGTCGTAGTGGCCGTATACGAGAACGTTGACCTTCTTGGGGTCGTTTCCGTAGCGGCCGAGGAGGCAGGGTGGGAGGTCGAGGTGCTCGCGTCCAGGCTGCTTTCCGAGTTCACGGAGCTCGACTTCACCACCAAGCGCTTTGATCTGGTCCGCGAGCCAGTGGCCCATCTGTCGTTCTTATCAGTCTCGTGCTCTTTTGTACTTTTGGTGTGCTGCGCAGTACCTTGACAACATCTGGTCTCCTCTGGTCCTCAGAGCTGATACTAGGGATGGCAACAGCTTCCCTGAGCCTGTCGATGAAGTTGTCTTGCAGCAAGTCCACCTGCTGGAAGTATCCGTCGAGGTTCGCCATCTTGTTGTATTTGTGGTATAGATAGGGCCAGTCGGCGTTTGGTATGCGTTGTTGGGTGTATTTGTCGAAACGCTGAAGAGAAGGTGTGAATCTTCGCACTGATGTAGAAGAATGAAAGCTTCGGCCAATACGGTGCGCGCTTATTCTCGGTGGAGTCAAACGGGAAGGTGTGAAGGCGCGCGCAGTTGCTTCTGCTCGATGCAGGAAGGTGAGGGGTCCTGCCCCACCAAGGCGTGACATTGCTGTGGCGGATGGCGGAGGGAGCATCACGCGTCGACTTTCGACAACACCAAATTGTGTCAATTGGTCCAAGCTTTCAATGCTGTCAAGTATAGATCCGTGATGAGACTAGATTTGCGCACAATAAGCCTTTGATGGCATGTTTGGATGAGCTTGATTCTGCATCGTGGATGCTGGAGGAACAGTGTGCCTCGGCCGGTAGGTCGAGGTCCCACTTCTTAGGTAAAACGACCTGCCTCTGGTGAAAACGAGACTAGGGAAGACCCTGTACACTCGTCGTCCGTATTTGAATGCAACCCTAGAGATCTCTTGGTTCTCACTTCGACATGATGGCAGGCTTAAGGTCGAATCATGAGGAGAGATCATAAATCGAGAAGTTTTGAGAATCCATTACGTATTATCGTATAGCTGTTGAGACGATGCGTACATGTCGATAGTAAGATTAAAAAGAACAACCTGACGAGACGGATCGCTACGCAATGTTGATGCAAATGCAAGACTGCAGCCGTGGCTGTAATGTCAAAGAAGGGAGACGGAATAACGATACATAAATGCGAGACAGATAGACCACTCAAACTAAACGCATCGCTCGTAGGTTCATCATAGCCATGTTTCGTAGGCTCTAGAAAGGTCCCTGGCCGCCTTGGCCGCTCTTTCCATCCCTAGTCGTGGTGGGACTGAGTGCGTCGCCAATAGGAGATACTAGTTGAGACGTGCTCTCTGAATTGAACCCGGGGAGATTGAAGGTCAGTTCACCAGCTTTGATACGTCCATCCGAGGTAATTTGATGACCAGGTCCCATCGAATGATGTGTGGTCATCGAAGCATAGTGTGATATCGCGCTGCTGGAGTCCTGTATCTCTTTCTCGTTCGTGCTGTCACCACCAAAATCCCGCTCAGCAAAGCCTCCAACTTTGGGAAAGGCTTCGACAGGACTAGTGTCCTCGTACGAAAACGTTGGACCGGAGCTCAGAGGATTACTTGCCTTCTCCCTCTTCTCGAAGCTGGTGCCAAAATCGTCCATGGTGAAGCCAATCTTGTTCCCTCTCCCTTGTTTTCGCGAAGATGATTGTGCGGTATGTTGATTCGATGCGGCTTGTTTGGTGGACATCTGTCGTGTTGAAAATCGTGCTGCAGGTCGATCGCCTTTGGCCACGACAACGCCACCGACTGCGAGCTCTTCGCCGTGCTCATCGCCCAAAACCGAGTGCTCTGGTAGCGCGCGCAATGGGGGTTCTGAGTGCTCATCTTTCTTGAGATGTTCGAATTCTACTAGTGAGGATCTTCTCAGCTGCTCGAGCTTCGCTCCGGGATTCTTGAGACACAGTTAGAGTTGACTCAGAAAAAGGCTAGGGTCGGTCAAAGAAGCCAGTGGCACGCCGGTAGCGCTCAGTCCGTTGCGAGGATTCAGCTCTGATCCCGTTGGGCCTTGTGCCTCTTCATCTGTTTCTTCGAGAGCCTCTTGCGCTGCTTCTTGTTCTTCTGCAAGCGGAGTCTCATCTCTCAAGTCTACTGTTTCATTCTTTTCAAGTTGGTTCGAGCCGGGAGCATCGATGATAGATGCAACAGTGGACGTGGGAGGTTTAACATGCTTGCTTACAGAGGCGAAGGAGCCGCGGCGGCGACCAAAAGCGGATGCATGGGAAGAGGAGAAGCCGCACTGTGGACATACCCATTCGTTTTGGTCCGGCACGCCCTCCGCTGCCGGCAGTTCACCCGCCTCACCCCTTTCCTCGCCCCAGAATGTTGGACGTCGTACAGGTGCTGGAGTGACTGGCAGGCTGGGTCGTTCCATAGCTGTTGGAAAATCGGTAAGAATCAGACTCTCGCGGCGTTCCTTGCGGGAGAGTGTCGGCGAGCCTATATCGTCTGTGCCAGTCGCCTGTTGCAAGACCTGTACTTTGCCACGTTTTGCCTGCGAGTCCATGATTGACCGTACATATGAGTCAATGCCTGGAACACTATCCCACGCATTAGCACTGTTCTGCGAAAAGGCTTGCCACGACTCCTCGGTAGTTCTTGGCTTGAAGTCTTGAGGATCATCTCTCCAGACCCTTGTGGGCTTCGCCCGTGTCCATTGATCTTGATTGCTCTCATAATGCGTAGTCGTGAATTCAGATACCGGTGGTGAAGCTTCGAACTCCGAAACTTCAGGTGCAGGTATTGGTGCAGATGCAGGTGCAGGTGCAGGGGTCGGCTCTGGTGACTGATCTTCCGCAAAGACACGCGTAGGCTTAGGTCGTGTGGCCTCCCTCTCCCACGGGAAGATAGGTCTAGGTGCTTCGTAAGGCTTTGGTTTGGTCTCTGGTACCTTGTACCACATGTCTCGAGGCGGCTCCGGGTATACTGGTGGTGCTTGGAACAGCTGCTTGCTCTCGTTGAAAGTGTACGTTTCGCGCGGGAAGTTGGCAGCTTCAGGCTTAGACTGCGCTGGCGGTTCGAACTTTGTCGCGTCCCACTCCATCTCTGGGGCAGAGAACTTGCGCTGCTGTACTGTAGATGTGGGTTCAACTAAGCCTTGGTCAATATCCTCAGCTATTTCGCTAGTGTCGGTCATGGAGGGCTCGGCGGTTGGGGCAGGTTCATCAATAGTGATATCAGGGACGGTATGGGGCTGCAAGGCAGTATTTGTGCTGCTCTTGACCTCACCTGTACCCTGAGACTCTGGTAGAACTGCCTTTGGCTTGTCGTGCAGGTGCCTGTTGTGTACAGCCCACCACCGAGCCAAAAGCTCGCCGTAAACGCCATGCCCAGCTGTGCGGTTCTTGGACCACGGCTTATCCTTGCCAATGAAGTGTACAGCACTGATATCCCGCTTGTAATACCTGTATGCTGGCTCCCACTGGTATTCGGCGTTCGGTGTGCAGTTGTACCTGAACTTTAGCCGTTGCCATGGGCGATTCTCGAAGTATTGGTTCAACAAGCCCTGATCTGCACCATCAAAGCTGTCGCCAGTAGCAGCCATTGTCTGAAGGCACCAGTACTCGCCCATGTCTGGCTTGATGACCATGACACCACTGTTGAACGCATCTGGCCAGCCAATATCTGGTGCTGCTGCAAAGGGCGCCTCGATGTCGAACAGCTCGTCCAGCGCTCGCAATGCTACCACATCGGCGTCGAGGTATACAATCTTGCGAAACTGAGTTTGTCTCCACAAAGCGATTTTTGTGAAGGCATACGACAGGTCGGGACGGCCCATAAGATAGAGGTTGGTCATGTTCAGGCTGCGTATGCGTTCGACAGGTATCACGTAGTCATACAGCGACTTGAGTTCGGTGATGGTGTCGGCTGACAATGATTCCAGCGTGATCATCACGGCCAGCTTCTTCGTCGTGCCGGCATCGCGTAGAGAATGGGCGAGGACAGCAGCTCCTAACACGCACAATTAGCAACAGATTCAGGTACTGTATGTCGAGCAGCAGACTGATGAGGTGTGAAGATTGGGTTGGGCCTCATTGTCTCGTTTATTAGACGTACCAGGTAAGTAGGAGTCGCTCATAAGAAGCTATTGATCAGGTCAGCTCGCGTGTCTCAGCTACATCTTGGAAGCTTACCGTGCAATACACGTCCTCCAAAGGTCGCGCCATATTGAACCAACAGCTGCGACAGTTCTCACAGTAGTGAATAGAAAAAGAGAGACCGTCTCAGACCGCTTGGTCAGATGCGACCTTCCTGCTAGCTTCCCCGCAACGACGTAGGTGAAGCTTGCGCCGATCAAGGTGCCGAACGGGAGGCGGCAACTACTGGGCACCTGCAGAAGCTTGACAAGTGCGATCGCTGTTCGCAACTTCCAGAGTTATGATGTGAGGTTTTTGAGGGTTTTGCAGACGAAGAACAAGATGCGCTGTCAGAAAAGTCAGAGCAATTGACCAAACACGGCACAAACAATACACGAAGAATTGGTTGAGAGATGATGGTTCCCACGGTCCGGTTGCGACGCTTTGGCCAGCAGCCTCGAGCTCTCAACCCGGCTGTGCGTCATGGTACGGTTAGCTCCACAGCCATCGACCCATCGCGTGAACCACGAGGCCTGTCATCGACCGCTCTTAACACTTATTCAGAAGTGACTTCATCTTCCCTCGTTGACCACTCTTCTTGCTTGCTCTTCATTGTTCGCTCTTCAGCGTTGCTCTCAACGTTATCGCCTCAGGAGAGCACCCATGTTCCATGCATTATGCCGCCAATCGTGTGACCGCAGTGGACTCCGCACTCACTTCCGCTTGCAAGATGCCTTGTGGCTGGAGTACATAACGCCGTCAGCTAAACGGCCGTTGCCCATGTGACCTTGGACGCATGAACAACGTGGATTTGTGTATCCAGGCTTCAACCAGTACCGGCAGAGGTCTCTGTAATGTCTTCAAACGGACTCTACCCTCTATTCCAGCGCGACATCTTCTCGATTCATAGAAATGATAATGAAACAGGTTGATATATCGATCTTCAAAATGGTTGCGTGAAGAAAAGGAAGTTGTGTGGAAGACCCAGGCGACCAGCCGTGCACGGACGGTACTTGCGTAGGATGACCACCGTTTACGAAGCATGAGCGTACGAGTGTGCAACGATCTGTCGAAAAGTCTTCCGATATCGACAGCTATCTACAGCTCGATGTACAATGTACGGGCAATAAGCATTGCAGGCTCGCCAATTGAGACAGGACAAGCCCTCTCTGAAGCTTACCTCAACTCGCATAAGACTCGATAGCAAATTTTCTACAGGTGGGTCTGGACTTCGATTTTGCAACAACAATGCCTCACGAAAACAACATGCCCGTTCGAAGCTCACAAGAAGATGTCCGAGCAACTTTGATGTTCTTGAAGTCTGCAGCACCTTAGAAGCATTCTGTAATTATAATATATTATGTATAAACTCTCAATTCTCCATAAATCGTAATAATCGGTTCGATGGTGTAGTTGGTTATCACGTCAGTCTAACATTGTTAGTTCACTGAAGGTCTCCAGTTCAAGTCTGGGTCGAATCAATTGATTTTTTTCCCACTATCCACTCTCAGCCACCTTGTACCAGAGAGATGCAGCAACCATTTATTTTTGCCGCCTCGTCTTCACAAATCGCAACGCCGGTTCGATGGTGCATCTGGCCATCACGTCATTTTAACATCGTTAGCTCACCGAAGGTCGCTAGGTCGAGGCTATCGGGCGGGTCAACTGCTCTCCGCTAGGAGGGCAGTGTCTATTGAGCTCAGCTGTCACTCCGTATGGTAACTTCACAGCGATGAAAAGCTTCCGAATTGCGCACTTTCGAGAAATTGATGACCGCAGGCTAAGCGACTGTCTAATCATAACTGTTGATAGCAGCCGACGTCCACCCAACCTCCGTCCTTTCCAACTCAGCAATCAATATTGCAAGGCTTCTGACCAGCATGCTTTTCAAGTGCTATTGGATCCAATCAACTATAGTCAACGTTGGAGGAAGGACCGTGGTCATCTGCGAGAGGAAAACGGACTCTTTCTCGTCCCGAGAGAACATCCTCAATAAATCTCCAAGTGAGTATCATGTCAGCAGTCACGATCATTCGTTTTACACAGGCAAGACAAGCATCAGAAGATGTAAACGGTTGGGGTTGAAAGTATCTACACGAACCGAACAACATCAAGCCACCCCTTAGATGACCTTGAACACACCCATACCCTCCATAACCTGACCATTAGTCTGTACCATAAGATTCCAGTCACAGCTGCTACCGAGACCAGCGTTGTCGATCCACATAGGCTCCCAATAAAAGATACCCGTACCCTTGCCACCAGGCACAGCAGCAACGCGCTTAGCAACCTCCTGCATCCAGACATACTGGCCCGCGGCCGAAATCGGGATACTCTTAGTATCAGCGGGGAAAGCGTATTTGGGGTTGGGGCAGCTGCTAGGCCAGTTTGTCTCGACGACCTGCACTTCTTTCTTGTACTTGGCGGCCATTTGGTTCATGGAGTATGCGACAGAACCCAGGTTCGCGTCGGCGTTGTAGAAGGGGTAGTAGCTGACGCCCTGGATATCGAAGTCGGAAAGGGAGAGGCCGCCGCCGGAGTTGAGAACTTGGTCGTACCACCATTCCTGGGGGTGTTAGTATTGCGCCTCCTCATTACCAAAGAGAAGAGGGAAGGGAAGGGAGAGAGGGAGAGGGAGAGGGAGACGTACCTGTGTGCCCCAATAGAACCCGTTGTCGAGGTGGATCATGATCTTCGGCTTGCTCGAGAGGGAGGATTCTTTGACAGCCTTGGATGCGCTCTTCAACAAAGCGGCAACGTTCTTCGGGCCATCTGTGTTGCTCAGCTGGCCAATCGGCCAGAGAAGTCCGGCAGTGATCTCATTGCCAATGCTCACGATGCTGAGCGGGATACCTTCTGACTGGAAACGGTTGAGTACGGTCTTGGTGTAGTCGTACACCTGCTTGATTAGGGCTTCACGATTGAGCGACTTCCACGCAGCAGGCACGACCTGCTTCCCCGGATCTGCCCAGTTGTCGCTATAGTGGAAGTCGAGGTATATCTTCAGACCAGCAGCTTTTGCGCGCTTCGCGAGCTTGATGTTGTAGTCGAGGTTGTAATTTCCGTCGGAGGGGTTGACCCAGATGCGCTGGCGAACGGTGTTGACGCCGGTGTTTTTGAGGATGGTCTCGAGGGGTTGGACTTGTCCTGCTGAGTTTTTGTATTGCTTGCCGGCTTTCTCTTCGACGAGGAGCGACGACCAGTCGATGCCCTTGTACGGAAGAGCCGCGAAGGCCGTGGTCGCGAAGAAGAGAGAAAGGATGGAGGGGAGACGCATAGTGGTATGTTTGCGGTGAGTGAGAGCAGTGCTGCTTTACAGATGCAGGCATCCCGACTTTATACTCCATCTCTTTTCTGACCGTGCCATCTCTCCACACAGACATTTGCAAATGTTCTAAAATTGTTCTCTCCCCGTGCGTTTCGTCCCCGAAACAACAGTCAATATCCCTCCAGTCGATTCCGTTCCCTCGACCTGTGAGGTCATGGCGTACAGTTTCAAGCAAATGAGCTAGGATACCGCTTCCTGTAAGCGAGCAGCGTTTTGTGGGGTAAACACCCTCCGAATCCTACAGATTGGAGGAAACCCCATGATCCTGGAGAAAATGAAGCTCGTACTAATATCGACGTGTTGAACTGCCGAGCCGTTGTAGACTAGACGTCAGGAAGGATTTCCACTTCTGGTGGCGGAAGGCTAAAGAGCCGAGACCATCAGCACTCAGGCTGATTTTGGATGATCACAAGGTACAGTGTCAGGCTTCCAGAAGTTCGGCTGTAGCAGGCTGACATGTAGATCATGGGCTTTGGGGAAGGGCGAACAGGTCGAGTGTGGTGTGATCAAGCTCGACGGGCCGGGGTGAAACTTCAGGTTAGATCATCCGAGGACCGCAATTGCACCCCTGGACGTTTCGACTCTCTTTGCAAGGCGTGGAAACATCTAAATGGGTCCAATGATCCTGTTTGCGGCGTGTGCAGACCTGAGCGGAAAGACCTTTGTTTTCATTCTGAAGGTCACGCCATTTGACCTCGAGCAGCAGAACACCATGTTCATTCGGAAGCCTGGACAATTGGATGACTGTCAGGACGACGAGCATTGATCGTGATTGGAGGTGGGTGTGTATATATACTGTTAGCAAGAAATCGAAGGATTTGGGGCGAGAGGTCGTCTGATGTTGCCATTTGTGTCGAGGAATGCAAAGAGTACGACCGAGATTCTGAACTGACTGGTAGCATAACATGCGAAACATTGCGAACGTGGTTGCAGATCATGCAGTTTCAATTTTGATGTATCCAGCAGTTGCATGGAGCCAGCAAGGTGAAATGAAGCTACTATTGTTAGCTCATGTATTGTAAGACTTTCATTTTGAACGTTTTTGAAGTTGAACCACATCGGTGGGCCAAGGCCATGTTTTGGTGTTTGGTATTTGGGTGTATCGAAGAGTATATATGACGACTCCATAACCGCCCATTCAAAATCAAAAGCAGACCAGTCCGTTCCGAATGTGCAAAGGAAGATGCATCATAAGCTTCCGCTAAATGCCTTTTCGTAACCTCATGCGCCCCGCAATCACGCTGCAATCTACTGCTCCTCGGTGGCAGGTGCGGCCTCACCCTCGCCCTGCTGCTGCTCCGCCTGCCTGGCCTGGTCCGCTGCCTGCTGGGCGGCGATGGCCTTGGCACCGTAGTCCTGGGACATGGGCTGGACAACGGGCTGCTCCTCCTTGGGCTCGATGATGGTGACGGAATCGGGGAGAGTCTTGGATGGGCCGGCCTTGCCCTCGGGGTCAGATCCGCGCATGATCTTAACCTTGATACCGAGCACACCCTGGCGGAGCAGGACGTGGCGGGTGGCCTCGTCGATGAAGTCCTTTGCGGGCTGACCGGAGTGGATCATGAATCCGTCCTGTACGGTGTTAGAACGCGGCGCCAACAGCGGCCAGCGCGGGCAGTGCTTACAGTGAACTTCATGCTCTTGGCACGGGCGGCCCTGAGCTTTCCGGAGACGACGACTTCGCAACCCTTGGCGCCAGACTCCATGATGAAGCGGAGGACACCATAGCAGGCCCTTCGGACGGCGAGACCGTTGAGGAGCTTGTAGCGGAGGGACTCGCACTGGGCGACGGCGGACAGACCTCGGTTCTGAACCTTGGCGGCGTACAGGGAGACGGAGTTCTCGGGGAACTTGAAGCGCTTCTGGATGAGCGAGGTGAGCTCACGGATGCGGCGACCTTGCTCTCCGAGGACCTCCTGTGTGTGGGTGGCGCGGATGATGATGTCGGTGACGGTGGGTGTAACGCGGACCTCGACGCCGGAGTAGCCCTCCTCAGCAAGCTCGCGCTGGAAGAACTCGTTCAGCTCGGCGTAGAAAACACCGTCTGTGGTGGTTGTTAGCCGCTGCGCATTCCTGTCTGCATTTGATGTCGCATGCGTCCGTCTAATTAATCGCCCTCCATTGTCTCGAATGCCTCTCAAACATCTTTCTCGTACTCTCAGGGTAAGGAAGGGTGTGCGTGCAGCGTACCAGCGACGAACTTTCTCCTCTTGGAGCTGTAGCGCTGTCAGTATACATTCTCGGATTGCCCAAAGTGTGCGGCAAGCAAAACTCACATAGCAGACTGAGTAGTGGCCATATTTTCGGACTGTGGTTAGCTGCTGAAATTCAGATAGGCCGCGCCGGTGGTTGTCGAGTTCGAGTTCGTTCAAAGTCGTGATTGCGTGCCGATTTCGAAGTGGGAGCTAGTGGTGCTCGCTTGTGAGCCAAGACATGTGCACTGGCCTCCTTAGCAGCATCTTCAAACCCACCACGAGCGCTACTCTCATACCTTGATGAAAGTCGCCAATAGACCCTGGAGGCCTTCAGAGACGTCAACAACTTCTACAAGCTTTTCTTGATCACAGAGTTCTGCCCTTGCATGCCAGAAATGCTTTCAGCGTTGACGTTGACTCTAAAACCGCTTACGAAGACGTCCAATATCTGATGTCGGCCCATGACCTAGTGGCGGATTTCTGGAGGGTACGAGAGCGCGGGAACACTAACACAGGCAGTAAAATGTGTATTTGTAGTGTTGTAGTTCGATGCATGCAATGTTCAAACACCTCGCCAAATGCCAATGCTAGACCCAATATGCACTCTTCCCGCACTATGTACAACATACCCCCTCTTCCACATTCAGTGATGCTCCATGGGGTCTTCAGGCAGCAGAGGCTCCGGCTTCCTCTCCACACACGCCTTGAGCGGCGGCCTGATCAGATCATTGAACAGGAACGTTCCGTACACCAGGAAAGCAAAGCCCAGAACCTGGAGCCACTTGAAAGTCTCCCAGCCCAGGCCAAGCGATACGACCCAAATGAAGAGCGTGCGGCATGTGTCGATGGTGGAGCGTGACGTGGCGGAGACGGTGCGAGTCACAGACAGGCCGAAGAAATTGAAGCCACTGAACAAATTAGCTGAGCCTGATGGAGATGAGGTGGTGAGGAGCGACTAACCCAATGCTGATCATGATCAGGATGGAGGAGATGGCGATACCCTTGTAGTGCGTCATCTGGTACAGACCCTCCTTCGCGTTGAAGTATCCAGTGCCCACGGCGAAGTGCAGGATGATCATCACGATCATGGTGACGAGGAAACCGAAGATACCTTCCCAGCCCACGACTTTGATGGGTTCCATGGCGTACTTCTCCATGATCCTCTCCTCAAGAACGAACTGCGTGGCGGTGAAGATCTGCGCGCCGGCAATGAGCAGCACGCCGATGACTGTCATGAGCGCCTGAGACATGGCTGGCGCCGTGTCCATAGCCATGATGTCTGAGTGAGTCGACTTATGATTCGGTGTTGCTTTGTCGTCCTTCGTGATCGCACCTGCCAGTCCCACAATTGCGACGCCAAAGACAACAACGAAAAGCGAGAACCACTTGTAGAGTCCAAGATGGCGCTTCAGAAACCACACACTGAACAGACCAACAAACAACACCAGCGCGCCCCTCGTCATCTGGTAGATACTCGCCGCCACAAACAACAGTCCCACGTTCATCAAGGTCGTGCCAGCGATATCGCAACACGCCGGCAGCGCGAGCAAGAACACGCTCCTACCCTCGAGTGGAATCCTCCCCTCATCATCTGGGTGAGCAGGTTTGAGCGGATTCGCAACATCTCTCGTCTCGCTCTCGTCGCTCGCCGGCGTTACAATACCATCATTGCTGGGAATAGCTTCGTAGCCCGCGCGCACACCGGCGTAGCGCTGCCAGAGCGAGAAGAGGCCGATGACGAGCCAACAGCCCATCTCGCCGATGAACATCTGGAGTGTTTGGAGGACGGGTTGCTCGAAGTGCTTGCGGTACTTTGGGTTTGGAGAGTCGCAGTTACCGACGCATTGCATGTCCTGGGTGAAATTAGCAGGTCAGTTCCTGCGGTCAGTCGTGTAAGGTATGTACTTGGTATTTGGTGAGCAGCGTGTTGCAGCATCCTGTCAACAACATCATGCCCACGAGGATGGGCACCATGCCTTTGACCGCCATGACGCGTGCGGGTGAGCTGCCTTGAACTCTGGTTTACTTATCGGCGGCAGTGCTGTCAAACACTGCGCTGGCGTGTGAGTCGACGGGAGAGGATGGTGTAAAAGACACAAACTCCGATGAAGGAGTATTGAGGGTGTCAAGGGAATGTTGAGGTTTCGTGAGAAGAACAGGCAGCTCCAAACTACTGCCCCGTGATGTGTGACTTGAGTGTGGCCGCGTGAGGCTGGTCATGTCGCAGCTGGAGCTCCGCGATAAGATACGGCTGCCACGCTAGCGGATTGCCGCGGCCAACGCGGGCGGCGCCTTCATATTAATCCGTCTTATTCATTTATACATTGGTATTGAAGGGCGCCCTCTACATACGTTGCTCGTACACACCCAAAGAATGCGAGGCCTTAGTCGTATTCACGACTGTCGACTTCGACGATACTGTAAAACTACCAGCCTCGCTGTAGACAAAGCCGAATCCGGATGACGGCCGCGCGTGACCTGGAAGATGCGGAGACCCCCAGACATCGTAGCGCAACCTTAGATCGCTGTCCGTGTTACGCACGTGTCTGGAGGCGATAACGAGGCCTTGGGGTTTAATATTGGTATCTGATGCTTTAATAGACCTCGCTCTGCAAAATTTACTGTGCTGTGCATGACAGCATTTCACAAGAACCATCTGAAATCCGCACTCTTCGGCCCATCCCTCAACTTCTCCGTACTCACATCCCTCGCGCTCAGATTCATACCCTGCCTCCTATTCCTTCTCGCATTATCCTGCATCATGTACGTTCCCAGCAACAGCGCGCAGATACACCCCGTAGCCCCAAACGCCGCCGTAGTCGCCAGCGCGGGGATATACTTGGGCGCATCCTGTGGCCTGAAGATATTGCTGCTGACAACACCCATGAGATTCGCCAGCGGCACACCAATAGAAGTAAGGGTGACACGCTGATTCTCGTCCGCCACGTTGTTGTTATACCATGTCGAGAGCAGGACAGATGGAGCAGAGGTGCCCCAGGTCATCATGAAGCACGCGAAATATGCGACGGTGAGGCTGTGTTGAACGTCGATAGTTGCGTAGATGACGAAGCCGATAAACGTGAGCAGGAAACCAAGCGCGATGAAAGGAAATCGAAGGCGCACGTGGTCGGATGCAAAAGCCAGGATGAGCAGCACACAGGCACCGACGATGTTGGGCGCGACTGTGTATAGGTTGGTTTTGATCTTGTCGTAGCCTAGGCGTCCAACGATTTGAGGTAAAAAGAGCGACACGGATTGCAGTGGGACGCCGAGGCACACTTCAATAGCGAGGAAACCGTACGTCGATGGGTTCTTGAAGATACCGAGGGCGTGCTTGAGGTTGAACTTCTCATTCACAACGGAAGAAGAGTCGATCTGGATACGCTGGTAGGCGAGTTGCTTCTCGGTTTCTGTGAGGAACTTGGCTTTGTACGCAGACTCCGGAAGGTACCAGTACGCGAAGAACGAGAAGCAGACCGTCAAGCTCCCTTCGATGATGAAGAGGTATCTCCAGCTGTCCAGCTTCGACTTGATATGGAACACGCCAAAAGCCAGCAGTCCAGAGAAGGCATTGGCGATGTTGGAGGCAGCGTAGAAGATAGCCAGACGGCGCGCGAGCTCGCCTCGTCGGTAGAAGGTGGTCAGGTAGTAGATGACGAGGGGGAAGAAGGCGGATTCGGCCATGCCCAGGAACCATCTCAGTGCCATCATGCCACTCCAGTTCTGCGCTGATGCAGCTAGAAGTGTTGCGCTTCCGAAGCAGAACATCATGATTGGAAGGACGCGGTGGGGTCCGTACTTCTTTCCGAGCATCCCAATGGGGGGCGCGAAGATGACATATCTGCGACACAATCAGCAGTGATTTTGGGAAAGATCGAGGGAAAACGACACACGGGACGTAAAATATCTGTTTGACAATCAGCTGTGATCGAAAACAAGTTTGGGGGAGTACTGACCGACAACATAGTGTTGTACTGATTGCCCTTGAAACCAAGGTCTATGTCCATACCATCAGTTTTCGCGTTACCCAGATTGCCCTTGTCGAGCGCGTTGAAGAGGTACATGACAGCCAGCATAGGCAGCATGCGCAGATCAAACTTCCATGTCAAAGCCCTCTCATGCTCGTATGTGGGTAGATGCTGGGTTTCGTCCTCGATGGGAATGGGTGCGACGTTTCCTGAAAAGGTTGAATGTGTGACCTTTAGGTCGGTCTTTGCGAGCTCGGGATCCTGGCTGGTCGACATATTGTCTGTGTGGTGCTTCCAGCACAAGTTGGGCGCGTTCAGCCCCAAACAGTGCCGCGCAAGACTAGGCACCTGTGGTGAACTCTGGTAGTATGACAAGGTCTATCCAAGAAGCGCAACCGTGAGTTGTTCAGAGCATATGTACGGTCGCACACATGCACTTTATCTGCAAATTATCAAGCGATGTCGCTATAGAGTTACATAGGCTTGCAGCATGCTGGCCTTATCTGCACCCGTAAACCAGGCTAGGGTAGCATTTTCCCGCGTGTCTTGTACGTTGTAACTTGCCAATTCGTCGCCCTTGATACGCTTGAACCTGACCTGTGTCACAGCTGCTTGTGTTAGGCAATTTTGCGTGGCTATCACTGCTTGTGTATGGTCCGGTAGATTCTCGAAAGTGGGGAGGTTGACTTGTCAGCCGTGAGCATGGTCATTTTGCTTTGATGAGAGCAGGTTGCAGAGTACGAATTTTCTAGACACAGGCGGCGGGAAAAGGGTTATCCAGCGCGAACAACCCTAGGAATCATCAAGTGAGGTCTCCTTCATGCTGTTGCCCATCCAAGGTGTATTGCCGCTGTTTTGAGGTGTCAAGAGCACGATAGGGCGGCAGGGGGACAACCCCAGATTCTTGGTCTCCACTTGGCTGGTTTCCCCGCATTGCAACCTTGTTTGGAGAGCATGACCTTCAACCTTCTCCAGCGACGTTTCCATAACGTGAGACAAGACACGACAACAGCGGCATCGGTGAAGTTTGAGCGTAGCGGTCGCGATCAAAGGCGCTTTCAAGTGTATCTTGGCTCTTGCGCATCGTCTCGAATGTCGAACGATGTTTGTTGATAAGTGTGCCGCCCACACATAGCGTGAGATAACACAGCGCGGGCAATCGGACGTATAAGTGGGTCCCGAGGCTGAGTGTTATCAGGACCGACGATATGGTGTCGGGGCTTCGAGCTCACGGTCCACCAAGGCATATGAGCTCCTGCCTGCCTGGTCCTCACATGCCTAAGGCCTTGGAAGACATGCCTGCAGAGGCTAATGGCACGGTGAGATGTAGCCCCTCTCTAATACTGCAGAAAAGCTCGGACGCTACAGCTCTTAATTCTCCTTCAAACAGTCAAGCCTGGAGGCCTTCAGAGAAATGCTGGCTCTACTACAAGATAGGTAAAGCTACTTGTAATCTCTAAGCTGCTTATAAGTTAACAGAAAGACTGCAAGCAAGTCTTGACTACCTCCCATAATTGGGAGTATGACCTTTTTTCTGACGAGCTAATGAGGTGAGCGAACAATATTGTGGCACAGTAGATAAGCGGCGTAGTACTAAGACAATCTTGTGGCTTGTTGTATGTTGATACAATGTATCGCAGTTGCAGGCCGAAAAACTAGTCTATGTTCGAAGAAAGAGCCTGCGAGGCGGTTGCTGGGCCGCAAATGCAGTTGTACAGTGTAACGCCGATGGGTATCCTTCGCTTGAACGAGGTTTTGCTCTTGAACGCCTTCGAAAAAAAAGTGAAAAACAATGAAAGGCCTCAAAAGTAATTACTGGCCATGGGCGACCTCCTTGCCTTTCGAAGAGTGAGGGTGTAGCAGATTTGGTCTCCATTTGGCGACGTTCGTGACGCTGAAATGAAGAGGTTCCTTTTGCCCTTTGTCTTTCACGGGCATCTTTCGCTTTGAGCGGCCGGACACGTAAATGGGATGTTGCGCCTGGCTAGTACCATTGACGTTCGTTGCGCTATCCTTAGATCTGAGCTTTGGCTTCTTATCGCGGTGCTCATCCTCGGCCATCTCTGTATCAAAACTTCGGAGACTGCTCCGTTCAGACGAGAACTGGTGATTCGAGTGGGACGAGGACGAAGTTTGGGTTCGTTCGAGAGACGGTCTCAATATGCTGGAGTGGACGGAGGATTGTGTACGCGCACGCTCGATTGGGCTTAACATAGCCGCGGAATCAGCGAGTACATCGAGTTTAGAAGGCGCCCTATCCGCCAGCGAGTGAGTTCGAGATGAATATATAGGAGGAGGATCCTGGCAACCGTACATGATCTCAGTGTCCAGGCTCTTATACTTGACGGTGCCGTCTAGCTCTTCGTCGTGAGCCCAGCAGGTTTCATCGGCACCGTGAACAGGTGGTAGGAATCGAACTTCATTCCAAGTGACGTCTTCGTGCTGGAGAGTGATGTAGAGGACGTCTCCTTGCATCTTGTCGTGAGCGACGCAATGATCTTCTACGAAAGGATGGTCCCATAAATCACGGTGGACGAGATCAGGTGGGAGCAAAGTAAGCGCCATCCGACCAAATGGTTCGTCTGGTGGATGATGACCGACTAACGGCATCCATGGTCTGCCACGCAAGACACCCTTGAATGTATCTTCGATCCGAGTCGCAAAGTAGGCACTGTCCTGACCGGCAAAATCGACATTCTGCTGGAGCCTGCGGGACGCACAACGCCTGTAGCCAGTACTGTCAGGATCGAACGCGAATCTCTGCGACTTCCGGAGAACAAAGATGACACGAACATTCCAAGTCAAGGGATACTTCTTGTCGGTGCGTATTGGAAGCTGACCAAGCATGTGTTGCGACTGCATGAGTAGCGGGATCTGAGGAACTGACGATACTTTTGGAGTCGACAAGCGCGGCCGAGGCGTTGAATTCACAGGTGTGTCGTCCCTAGAATGGCCATTGGTATGCTCAACTTTATCGACTCGATTCTCCAGCTCCATGGTAACCTCATCCACCATAGTAAGGCGCTCTTGGACGGCCCTGATCTGATCGCTGAACGACGACGTCCTGTCAACCACAGCCTCCACTCTGTCATCCATAGTGATCTTCAGCAGCCGCATGTTCTCGTATAGCCGTGCTTCCAGTGCCTTGTATGTTCGAAAGTGCTCTTCTCTTGCCGCTCTCTCCCTGAGAAGCTCTCTCCTCAATTCTTCCTCCACGCCCTCATGTCGCCGGACCTCATGCTTCAACAGCTTCATCTGCTCCACGACCTGTAAGAACTGCTCTACCGAGACTACCGAGAGAGGCTGGGTTTCGTGGTGCCATGCTTGATGTCCGCAACCGCAGCGAGAACGCACGATCGAATCAGGATGGAAGCTTCGACATGAGCAGCGTTGGCGTGAGTTCCTGCTCGACTCGAACTCGGACTCGATAAAGCCACATTCTCCGCGAGGTAGTTGTGCTTCCTCGCTAGATGCAAACTTCCAAGGCAGATGAACGCTTGGCTGCGTGTTACTGAGGAACATCGGGGGTTGACCCGGCGTGGCGGTCATGAATTGTCAACTGGTGGAGGAACAAAGGGCTCATGGAAGGCTGGCAAGGGAAGTTGCAAATTGAATGTAAAAGAGTGAATATGCGGGCGTGATCAAGACCCGGCAAAGAGTCTAAATTGGGGTTGTTAGCTGGGGTCAAGGCTGTACTGATATACAGGAAGAAGCAAGTCAGACAGGGCCGAAGAAGGATTGGTGTATAAGATAAGCAATCATACTTACAGTCAGGACCACAGAACAGGAACACACGGGAGCACCCGGACAGCGGTGTAACAACTGAAACGACTACGCCGACATGTGAATCCGTGGGAGATAAAGAAAGATTGAGGCAGTAAGCAGCGAGCACTCATCAGCATGGTTGAAGGCCATGGGATGTGCAGGTACTTGAGAGCGGGTTAGCTCCCGCGGCGGTCAGCCCTGTCATGTCTGGAGACAGTGCTGGCCACTGGGCGGCTCTGATGGAAGCTGAGCGTGTTGGCGTGGTGGTGGCTGTTAAGCCAGGAGTCAATGATAACAGTCACGCTTTCTGTGCCCCAGGTGAGAAAACGCGCTAAAAATCGCGTGGGATCTTCAGATCCAGTCAACGCTCGCTCGCCGAAGGCGCCTCCCCAAGCAGCCCCTTCCTAATTGTGTGTGCCTGCATTTCCTACCGTAGAAGCAACAGCCGCATTGCTCCTTGCAGCCTGGAGCCCATTGCAGCAGTACGAAGGTCTTCAGGCTCGAATCTCTGGTTGATTTATCCGCGCGTCTCCACAACCCACACCAGGTCCATTCGGATTGCATGCCATACCCCACATTTGCCCGTTCCGCCCCGCCATTATTCAGAGCATATGTAAATTCGACTTGTCGGCGCGCGATCGATGTGTTGTTCGCAGATTATGTTCCAGACGCAACCGTCTCTGGAGCAGTGTACAGCATGTCTGAATCAGTACCACCCTGATAGGGTCTTGGCCTTGTCCTGGACTATCTGGGAGATCTCGAATTGGCACTCTTATCGCAGCGCATTGATACTTCACCCCACGAAAATAACGTATTGTGTGATGATTGGGTGGACAAGCAGACCCTGAGACGCACACAGGAACACAGTTCGAAGGCACGACCATGTGGCAAAGCACATCAGAGTTGGGTACCATCGGAATGTCTCCCGAGGAAGACGAATCACAGAAATACCTCATCTCTCCTTGCTCGTCTTTGTGGCCGACGGCCATCAAACGTTCATCATTTGCCAAGTACTAGGTTCGGTTTGGACCTCACAATGCAGCGATTGAGACCCCAGCGAATGCTGTGACCATTATTATCAATGTCTCCTACACGTGGTCTGCAGCACGACCATGGTCGGACGATCATCGACAAATAGGTGAGTACTTAGCAGCTCCAACTCATCAATGGAGACGAATACGTATGACACAACAAAGTGAGGAAACCAAGCAGACGCAACTGAACATTCACGACCCACGTGTTCGTGCGGCCGAGGCAAATTGCTCGGATGCGCACCCCAAATGTGAGGCCGTTCCGAAAAGAGCTTGTCTTTCCGACTGAACGAGCATGTTACTTCAAGGTGATTTCTTTGCAGCACACATATCACCGAAGAGCTCCATGGACAGAAATCCCACGTCTCGTAAACGCGTTACGCTTTCGCCGCAGTGCCTGGCTCGACCGATGGTAACTTGGCTAGCTGCGCTCGAGACACGCAAAAACGTGCACGATGTTTGCTCACCGTTTTTCGAAATCTTACACTTAGCGTGGCATGTTCTGCACTCTTACAATTATTTCATGTTGCAGTGGAAACTATGGGGTAATGATTATCAATCAGCTCCTCTATTCTGCAACGCAATGTTGTCTCTTTTGGTGCACAGACTTACAATGCGCCCATTGCACATGTTACGGTTTGTTATGCGTACGACAACAAGAAATGCGTTGTCTCAATTCGCAAGATGGTGGAATCCAACGGCCTCGTAGCGACATCCAGATGATCGGTTTTACCTTCCGCTTGCCGCCCAGGACAACGGCTTGACTTCATCGTTAAGGACCGGCGCAGTCATTCGGCACTCGCGTGCTCCTAGACACCCAACATTACGTTCATGCTCACGAACAGGATGCGCATCCTCGACACAAGCCTCGTCGCGTTAAAATGCAGGGCGCGGGAGCAGCCGCATATTGCATCGATCTTTACTAGAACAGGACTACTTGCATTATCGTTCAATGATCTCGCGAAACAGAAGTCCAACATCCATGAGTATGCTTACACCGATCTCACATTGAGTACCTCCTTACTCGAGGCCTCGTCTAACCTGCAGTCTTGATCGCGGCTGCATCGACTTGGACGTACTTGCGGAGATTCACAGGAAATCTTGCATAGCTTTACTCAACCCGCAAATTGACGTCGAGTACCGACAGATGCATACAATGATAGGCACATCATAGATTTTTTGTCGATGCCCAGGATCTGACATGAAGGAGTCTGCCGGATTCCGGCAATTTAGAAGGCCCGAGTCGGAAGTCGGACGCCTTGGCGTCTCATTCACCTCCTTCCCATCTCGGTGTCGCCAACCTGAGCGGAGGTCTCGTCCTGTAGCCAGAACCTTTGACAGATTGTCAATTCGAAAATGCCAGAAGAGAACTGGGCCGCGCACGGCGGCGTGCAAGCGTGTGATCTATGTCACGCTAGAAAGGTATGTGGCACAGCTTGATACCCACTGTCAGCTCTATGATATCGACTAAGTACGCTTGTCTATATCACTGCATAACAATGTACAGCTCAGGTTATATATTGGTCATGCACGAGGGATAGCGTGCCCGACTGCATTGTATATCCTTTCTATCATTGATAGTGAGAGGAAACCAGCATCCATATTTGCCATCATGTGTCTTATCGAAGAGCAAGGGTGGCTTAACTTTTGAGACTAACAGGATCTGCAGGTCAAGTGCGATCGTAAAGATCCCTGTTCTAACTGCATAAGTTCAAAGAGCCAATGTCTCCGTAACAGGCATAAACGAGCTCCTCGTCCCAAGGTTCGAACTGACGACAAGATTCAAGCCCTTGTCCAGAGATTATCGAGCCTTGAGGACACTGTTCGCGTCACACAAGAGACGCCGAGACCCTCGCTGGCTGTTCCAGAGGAAGCGTCGCCGGAACAACATGCATCTTCTGACCGACCTTTGAAGCGCAAGCGTACAAGCACTGCCGTCAATGCTGTTGCTCCTGCAGCAACACAGGAAGTCGATACAGCACAACAACCTACAAACGAAGCACGGAACCTAATTCAGAAAGAGCTCTCGACGAACAGTCGGTTCTCTATGCATCAGCGCTCGGTGCTTGAGATGGCAATATCGTTCGTCGACCACTTGTCAAATGCGCCTGTGCCAACCATGAAAGACCGCAGTACTTTCGACAAGTCAATGTATGAGCCGACCGAGCTCACTCAGGGTGAGATTCTCCACGTCATCTTGGGGACTGAGACCAAGAACATGGCTCCAACAACGATTCATTTCCACAGTCTCGATCACCTTCCACCCAAAGCAGTCGAAAGGATCGCACTTGCTTTGATGGAAGATACGGCAGACGAGAAGACCGAAAACCTGTACAAAGTCATCATCCACTTCAAGTTCGCCGTGGTCCTGTACGCCAGCCAACTGCAAGGCCCCAAGAGTCCGGCAGTGCAAAAGCATATTCGACAATTGGAATACAATCATCTCAGCGCAGCACTTACAGCTCTGGATCATGTCAGTTTCTTGACCACGCCGTCATTGCTACTCGTCCAGGCCTTGATCACAGGCGCTATGATGATGCAAATCGTAGGAAACCCTGCAAGCTGTTGGGAACTCACAGCTCATGCCTCTCGAACACTCGTCGCGCTCGGCTACCACACGATCACAACTAATGAAGCCAAAGACGAATATGACGAAGAGATACAAGCGGCCCTTGCCTGGTGTTCTCAATTCGACAGCTGTATGAGTCTGTTGCTGCTGCGGCCGAGGTCTCTACCCCCTATGAGCATCAAGATCTCGTCTTTGATCAAAGCCAACCCGCTTAATCCGATGAGTGTCTTCGAGATCATCGCAATGGAAATGATTCCGGTTCATGACAAGATCTTGGAGCTGACTCTGGATCCTGCATCCAAGAAATCTGGAGCGCCACTCAAAGAAGAAGTCGCTCGACTGCGAATGCAGATGTCGGACATCTACAATTTGATGCAAAGGGTATGTCAGCACATCGTGAAACTATTGTCATAGTATCTAATTTAAGCAGGACTGTCCGACACACCTCCTCGACTCCATCATGGATATATTACTACACTGGAAATGCCTCGAGTTCAAATACTTCTCAACTCTAACGTCTGTCCATCGTCTTAGCCCAACCGTCACGACCGATCCATCGGAACGGGAAGAGTGTCTTCAAAGTGCGCGCAAGGCACTTGAATGCGTCAAAGTCATTGAAGCCACGTCCAAGAGCCTGGGCCATTTCATCGAAGGCTATGATCCTTATCTGGCTTGGTACGCACGGTGTAGTCTGGTCTAATTATTATTTGCTAACGCCGCCAGGACTATGTTGTCATATCCACTCTGTCCATTCTTCGTGGTCTTTTGCAACGTGGTAGGTACTTCTAATGAGCGCGACTTTCAGCTCCTGCAAGCTGTGACTGACGGCATCTCCGCCCTTGTCACCGAGAACAAATACGTCAACCGGCTGCACCGACTGTGTGCTACGCTCTTGAGTCTTTGCACACCGCTTGTCAAGACTTCAGGACCGCAAGATCGCAACAACATAGATGCAGCAGTTCAAGGTTTCTCAGCCCAGACTTCGGCACATCAGTCTACACTGTCAAGTGTGAGAAACACACCAGACATACTGAACATAGCGCCCAATGCTGGTGCCAGTAATCCTGATGGATTTCTGCCCTCGACCTGGAACGATGACATGATGTGGCAGCTGTTCCAGTCCCAACCTTCGCTCGACTGGTTCAACGCGGACATCTTGGATCCAACATGGGACTTCAATGTACCGAAGTGAGGCTGTCAAGAATGCTGTCACGCAAGGGAGAATGAAGGTTGTGAGACGGTTGACAACACCTGTATACACTTCCCGCTTTGTCCTAGTCGGGCGCCCGACTATATCAACAGCTGGAGTCGAACTTCTCCATTTTCAACACGCACCTAAGCCGCAAAGAGTCGGCCAAGGAAATGGAAAATCGAAGAACGGAGCTGAGAGGCGCTTGAACCTATGCAAATCCTGGCATCCCAGACGACACCTGATACAAGCGTGCGATCCTTAGGTCGTAGTGAGGTAGTCAACATGGGTTCGCTCGAATCTTAGAAGCTTATTAGTAGCTCAAGGACTACAAACAGAAGGAAAGCGTCGGACTTCTCTAGATCAATGCTCGGAGCCTGTAGTTATCATGACGCAGGTTCAACAATCTTTGGAGCGACCGTGGAGCCATCCAAGTAACTATGGTGAAGTGCAGCTGTGGTGCCTTGAGAGTTTGCAGAGGTCTTCAGGCCGCTGATGAGTTTAGGTGTGGTGCGATCCAATCCCTTATCTCATGAGATGTGGATGTGCCTGTCTTGATTGTAGCGCTAGCCAAGCTCTCAGCTGATGATAAATCGGCTGGGGTGTTGAGTGGGGGTTCACGTGCTCACGCGTTTGAGGTGAGGTGAGGAAGGAAGGCGCGTGCTTGCTGGTTGGACAAGCCTCACCACACATCACACCGTCTGCTGCAAACCAGTACTCGTGCTGCACTTATAACCTTCCTTTTCTTCCCTTTAAGATACAGCCCGATGTCTACCCGTGCGGCTCACTGTGGAGGAGGTCGCCGTGGTGGAGGAAGTCGCGGCGGTGAACGTGGCGGAGGCGCACTAGGCTATCGCAGGCAGGATGGCAGATTCAAGTCAGGAAGGGCTCCGAAGTGGCTGCGAGACCAGAGGAAAGCTGCGGCTGCAACAGCAGCAGCAGCAGCAGCACCGGCACCAGCACCAGACCGAGATGAACAGAATGGCGAAGAAGAGGTGGTTCTGCCACACTATTTCCCTGCCTCTGGGGGATTCGACTATCCAGGCGCCATGGAAGACCGAGCGAGAAGACTCATGGGATCGCCGCCAAGTCGTAAGAGCAACGCTCAAGATGAGCTCGATGAAGGTACGGATGTCCCAGAAGAAGAGGAACAGGAAGAGAATGATTAAGAGCAGTCTCAAGAAGGTGAACACCTCCAGGACACCATGGTGCTCGAAGACCAAGCAGTCCATTCCTCGCTAGACGAGCTCCAAGATAGCCCAGTCGAACCCTCATGCGACGAGAATCAGACTATCGAGCAACGGGACATGCCACGCCACATCTCATCTGATGAGAGATCGGCGCCCCAGTCACAAGGCTCTGTTCAAGATGAGATGGTTCACGAAGATGGTTCTTCTCCAGACTTCGATTGGGAGGAATTCGGACGTCGTTTGGAGGAGAGTGGAGGGCCACGCATTTAACCAAGATGCCTTGCTATGTATCTTTGAAGCCGGGCACGAGCAGAAAATCTCTGAACAAGAGGAGGCAGTCAGTTCTCATCGAAACTCTTTTTGAGAGGCCATAAGTAGTAAGAAGACTACTGGTTGTTTTAGTTGCTTACACCAGAATCAGCAATTCTTTGAAGACCTCAACGTTCGTTCACTTGAAGTGGCAATCGGTGGCCGCTGTATACGACTTTTCTCGACCTTGTAGTAGAAGGGAAGTGTGAGAAGCTTTCAAGTAAGGGGAAAAGCCAAAAAAAAAAAAAAGATAACCCCAAAAAATAAGCAGAGGGAATCGGAGTAAATTAGCTCATGATGTGCAAGCTTGTAATGATGAAGAGGACTACAAACCATTTTCATTGCAGCAAACTATTGCTTGAAATTTGCTGAAGGCCTCCAGACTCTGAAAGGCGGAGACTGCCTGCTGCTGCATCCGGCTTTGGCTGCAATGAAGAGAGAGAGAGAAAGAGAGAGAGATGTGTGCGGCAAGCACAAAGCAGAGAGAGACGACGCACTTCGAATGTCAAGAACTACTGTTCGGATCGGCTCCTCTCTCATCCCGAGCATTCACATGCTTCTCGTCAAGATCTGTTTAGATACAAGACTAGCGATGAATGAAGTCAGCATTATGATATGACTGTGCAGATGGCATTATCCCTGACCTGTCTCAACTCACAACACGGAGATACAGAACGTGCAGAAGGCAAGCAAGCATGTCTGTATAACGGTATAAGCCGCGAGACACTATTGAGAAGCAGAGCACTAGCCACCCAATGTTTCACTGTGCTATGGCTAAGGACTAGCGGACCGCGCCAGATCGTCGTACTCAAAATCTGCGAAAATTCCATCTTATCGACGATCATGTTGATCAGTGGAGTTTGCAAGGCGAGCAGTTTTACGACGGAAGTGGTTTCACTGGATTTGCGATACAGTTGCCTTGTTGAGTGTCATGGTGTATGAGGCGCTTGGGGAGTTGGAAGGTGCACAGGAGCGTTGAACACAAAAGGAAGGAACAGGTAGGTGTGCTGACGATCAGAATTACGGATCTAACCGCTCTGTTGTGTTCGTGTCGCTGGGCTCCGTGGATATCGTCCATCGTCGAACATGTGCAGAATAGTGCCGTCTGAGTCGTGGATAATGCAAGCCGGTCCTACAAAAAGTGGACGGTGACCGCAAAAGGATATCGAGACAGGAGGCACAGGGAGCAAGAAGCAGAAGGCATTCGATGCGTCCTTGCTGCGTACCGACACCGATGCACGTGTTTATTGGAATATGGAAGTCGCTGTAGTGGTCGAGTAAATTATGCGATGCCCCACCGCACAAGGGGCAAAAAAGCTACATCTGCTCAACCAGAGCAGCTGCGGTAATTTTTCCCTGATTACGAGAGTGCTGAGGAAGAACAGCGAGAAAGGGAGACAAGAACGGCCATCGCACATGCGGACCTTCCACCACACAGCAAACCCGCCGAGCAAAATTTCGACATCTCGACAACCACAACAGCTACGACGAATCTGCTGGAAAAAAATATTATTCCATTAAGCCCGACGTGGGGCTCGAACCCACAACCTTGAGATTAAGAGTCTCACGCGCTACCGATTGTGCCAGCCGGGCTGTTATTCATGAAAGTTTGCATGTTTTAAAAATATATATATCAGTATTATTTTTGATAGCCTTGTGCATGCTACAGCGTCCATCACTACTCACCTGCGTGGCGAGAGACATCCAAAGCTCGCATTCAACTGGTTACCAATTCTGTGTGTGTCTGACTGGGGTCGGCCTAGTCTCCCGGATGCGCTAAGCGAGCTGTTTCCATCTTGACTTCAGACTGGCCATCATGTACTATGGTACTCGGCAGTAACAAGCTATCGACGCAGACCATTGGTGATTGGCACGTCAAGGTGCAAGAATTACATATCGAACAGGAAGAGAGACTCTTCGTGATGGACAAAGTGTGAGCTAGACAATTGCCTCGTGATCGAATATGTTATGGGGGTATCTCAGAACAACGCCCACGGTACCTTGTTCCAGTATCAATGGCTCTGTTGTTTCGCAATCGCATCAGGTTTACACAACTTCGTGTCATTCTCGACTAGCAATCTATTTACTCTGCGCACCAGTGTCCTGACTACGGTCAGTGTCGTTTGCTTCAAAGCACGCATACTTACCAAATAAACCTGGTAGAAGTCTATCTTGACTCTTCCATTATCTTTGACGAGATGCGCACGCGCTGCCCAGTCGAGACCAGACTCACCGCCGGCCTTCAAGCCATACTGAACAGTCCCGTACAGCATGCATTCGTCAGAGTTGGGGCCGAAGGGGAAGATCTTGATGGCCTTGTGCTTCCTGCTAGCCACTTTCTCCCACATTCCTTTACGCAGCGCAAGGATCTCTGAGCATCGTAAGCCAAGGAGCCAGAACAACAGAAGTGCTGCAGAACATACCATCAGAGCCCTGGGCCTTCTTCGATGCCATTACCAATGTCGCATCTTTGGTGAAGTTCTCAACGTACTTCTCATGCGCATCTGGCGTATCTGACGTTGCGTAGAACTCCTCGAAGAACTTCTTGTAAGCCGCATCGAACTCGACTGACGGGTATTCGGAAGCGTATGCAGACATCGTGAAATGGTACAATAATAGAACACAATGCAATTGTAGGTGAGGTCGATGTGCTCCGCAGCAAATCTCCGTGCTCTCCACCCTCACAAGATTGACGTAAACGCAGGCATCGGCTGCGGGACAACGTCCGGAAAGCGCAACCGGGAAGGACGCTAGAGCCAGTTGAGGCAAGCTTAGCCCATCAAATTTTGACGGCGGAAAGGAGCACGTTCACATTCCCAGGAAACGACTTCTGTCTCAAACAAAACCACCTCGACACATTGCACATGCTCGACCTTCGCCGAGAGTCCAGGACTTCCAGCGCAATTTGGCCTCACTGTGTTTATTCTACTATACTTGGCGTTTTCTGCGCAGCCAGTATCGTGACACCTGCGGCCTATGTTCAGCCTGCGCGCAGCTAAGAAAGACACGAGCAATCACCGTATTACGTGGCCTACTGCCGCTTGAAAGTATCCTGCAGTATTGATGAGTGGAGTTGCTTACGGACAACGCGTCTCGACTCTGTGCAGTTGTCTAGTCTCCATGACATCTACCGGGGTCTTCAACAAAGCCATCATGGACGCAGAGAATTCACGGAGAGCTGCATTGTGGAGTGCCGATGCTAGACCGGTGGTCGCCACTTCACTGTCTTCTTCAGAATCTAGGGACATATGTTTTGGCTGCAGCACGCAAGCCAGCTGCGAGACCCTGTGGCGTGAATAACATCACCCAGCAAACTGGAAGCTCAACATGAGGCTCATGTTTCTATGTTCGGGCATATGCAGGTGTGGCATTTCAATTTTAAAATCCAACCCAGAACATCAAGGATGAACCTGCAAGGTCAAGGATGCCACAAATGTCATGATCCCTGTGCTAGCAACTGCCAGGAACTCGACAGGCACTAGACATGGATCAGCGGCAGTTTGCGCTGCTAACGTACAGGCAGGCCTGTCTGCGGTGGCACTCGGCGTCACTGGTGACAGCAGCTTCATTGCGGAAGCCTCAGTAAGATTTCTGCCTCTATTGCAATAGATTGGACCAAGAGACTAGCAAAATGAGAAACACGACAGGAGACAGAGTTGACGTTTCAAACGGTGCGCACAGAAGCCGCAGTCTATTGTTTCTATTCGGAACTCTGGGATGAACACACCGGCTCGCCTTGCCAGCAATCCATCGGCCTATACGGAGTCTGCCGTCATTTAACGTCAATATCTCATCATTCCTCGCACTATCTGTGTGGCCATGCTCTTAATGGAGCTTCACCGGACAGCTTCCGTTGGTGTTCACTAGGTATTGAAGTCTGGCTCTTAGCCGCGCCGTCCCTCTCCCGTAGTGTGTATACAAGGTTCGAACGAGCAGCACCTTGAGCGTCAGGCATAGACTGGGGGAGCAGCACCTGGTCAAATCATGTCTCGTACGTGGCATGATGTTAACCATGAGTCCACAGCAATATCAGCTTCCAATATTGATACCAAAGAAGCACTGCTCTCCACCTTCGGCCCATCCAGCCGAACAATGCCATTGTGAGGAGGCCCCACCAATTGTTTCACTTTGACCCATACAAAAGGAGTTTTTGGAATTTACGTTGTAGAGGCGTGTGTCAAATAGCCCACGTTCTCTAGCGTGCCAGACGCGATTTCTTAGCCTGCATTTTGCGGGTGGCGCCTCGGCGAGTTTAAACAGTCCGCCATGGTCCGCCATGGTCCGCCATGGTGAAGTTCGCGACGTCAAGATGCATACCGAACGATTTCTGGAACTCCTTTCACGACCCCTGTTCGACCTAATTTGGTTGAACGTCGATCAACGAGCATAGCGCCACACTCTCAAACGTCCATTTTCTGTCAAATTTTCGCTGTTGCGCTAGCTAAGGGACAGCCTCCGGCACTACTCCACCTGCGTTGAGGCCGCTACAGGTTCACGTCCATGACGCAAGAACGCGACCGTCGGAAAAAGAGCATTACTCGAGGTCAGTGTCGATTTCTGGTCGACAAAGCCTCAACATACGAAGATACAGGTATATTGCGCCCGAGATGCTCATCTCACTGTTCAATACCGATGTCTATTAAGCCTTCACCACTACAATGTTATGATCCTGGCATTCAAGCTAGGAACGATGGTTCCTGAACCGTGAGGTCGGACTGATAAGGGTAGGGAAGCCGGGTTCTCGCCGTTCTCGAAAGGCTGTGGTTTGGCGCTACAGCTTGTGAATTAGCACTGAAGACATTCCGAGCCTATACATGGTTACTCGGCCTACATCCAGTCCATTATAAGTTTCTTTTGCTTAGCTCTGATCTGCCTCCTCGTCATCGACATCTTATCTTGGAGGAGACTGAGTAGAACCCACACCTTGCAAGGGTTCGAGAGCCTAGTCTATATGGACAGCGTGGTTACTATAAGTCCGCGTATTAGAGGAGCCCCGCAAAGCTCAAATGTCCATGGGTGATGCAAGTTTGCCGCTGGTCCTAGGGTCCTAGGCTTCCGGCTGTCTCTATATACACCTTCCGTCCCTTCTTCCTTGTGGTTACAGCAACTATATACCATCTTTAATTTCATAATGGCCTCGTCGTCACATCCACAGTACGAGGCTGACGCCTCCAACGAGAAGCAGGACCAATATCACACCTATAATCGTCAATCTTATTCAGCACCTGTTGAAGATGTTGCTATTCCAGCACACCTTCTTCGAGACACTAACCACAACCTTGCATGGGAGCCTCAACAGCTATTGATAGTAGATGAGGAGAAGGGACTCATCGGACGAAAAGAAAGCTTAATCAGAAAGGAAAGCCTTGCATACCGTCTCAACAGTCGATCAACATCTCGTCCCACCAGATCAGCCAGCCGAAACCTACACAACTCACAACGTTCGGGTCGCCGATCAGTCACATTTGACAGTCAACCCCATCAACAAGATGTCGTATCACCATCGAGCGAAGAAGAAGAAGCTATAGCACGGAAGAGGGGCCGACACCATTCGTGGTTGCCTGGTGAGCAGGATGTCCTCACTATCTCACGACCAAACAGTACCATCGAACCTGCACTCCGCACACCAGGTCGTGTAGCTACAAGCATCCCCTTCAATCCCCATTACAATGTCAACCACTCCAGCTCAAGTTCTGTCCGGTCCAACGATGATCCTTTTGCGACAAGGCCTAACTCCCGCGATGGAAGCGACAAAAGCTACAAGGAGCCGGAGAATGTCTACACTCCTGCTAGTCAGCGGCAAAGGAGGGGCACATTCGGTTCCATCGTCGACGCCGTTGTTCCTGATGGCCTTGCAAGGAAGATGACTAATGTCTCTTTTAACGGGCTACAGAGAAAAGGTTCTGTGTGGAAGACATACGAGAACGCTAAGAAGCGAGGTGTCGAGTTACAGAGAAAGAAGTGGGTGCAGATCGTTTTTGAGTACGGAATCTACCTCTTCTTGCTGTGTTTCATCTACTTCGTCCTCATTGGCAGACCGTTATGGAATGGAGCCGTCTGGTGGTTGTACTGGGTGGTCGAGAACAAGTTCGTCTTCGCTGGCGGCTTTAGTATCACACTCGGTATCGCCTTGTTGTAAGATCCATCACTACATTCCATTGTTGCATCGAGTTAATCAGTTCCTAGTTACGCCTTCGCTCCTCTCCTGATTTTCTTCGAGAAGGACCCTCCTCCAGCCACGTTCACCGCCGAGACCAAAATCCAGGACAACGTCAAGGACACTGCTCTTCTCATTCCCTGTTACAAGTCTGCCCAGCTCATTCGCGCCACCCTCGAAGCAGCCTTAAAGATCTTCCCACCATCGCACATCTTCGTCCTCGCCAACGGAAACAGCCCCACGCCTCTAGATAATACTGAGGAAGTGTGCGCACCCTACGGTGTCAACCATCTGTGGTGCCCGATCGGCTCAAAGATCGTCGCACAGTATGTAGGAGCCTACGCAGCTAAGGCTTTCAAGAACGTCCTGCTCATCGACGACGACTGCGCGCTACCCGACAACTTCCCTGTAGTGACCGATCGCCTGAAGGGCAACGTCATGTGCCTCGGCTACACCATTAAGTCTGTGGGACCGAACTCCACTAAGGGCAACTTGTGCCAGCAGGCACAGGATCTCGAGTACAAGCTTAGCGGCATCCAGCGTGAGTTTGCTGGTAAGATCGGTTCAGCCACTTTCCCCCACGGTGCCATTGCTCTCTGGGATCGCGACCTTCTCATCAAGACCTTCCATGAGCACCCCGGATTCAGTGTTTCTGAAGATTGGTTCTTCGGTCATGTTGCTCGCAAACTTGGTTCTCGCATCAAGATGTGCTCGCAAGTTTTCGTCGAGACAGAAACACCTACTGCCGTGTTCTTCTCTTCTGGTGGCTCTCGTGGTGGCTTCGGCGAAATGACCATCTTCAAGCAGCGCTTCAAGCGCTGGAACTTCTTCTTCGTCAACGGCATGTACTACAACATGGCGTACATCTTTGGCAGCTGGAAGCTCGGCTGGTGGGAGATCGGTGCCAAAATCTTCGTCTTCCAGGAGGTCTACGAAACTCTCCTTTACCTTATCTCTCCTTTTATTCTTCCCATTTCCTTCATTGTCAGACCCAGCTTCGCCGGTATCCTCCTCGGAGCTACCATTGTCATGTATCTGATCAACACGGTCATCTTCAACGAGGTCCATTTGCGCCGCAAGAACGAACGCCTCGGCTGGGTCCTCGTCTACGTCTACTACCTTCCCTACAAGATCATCCTCACCGTCGTCAACGTAGCAAGCTGCTATTGGTCACTCTACAAGTACGCCCGTTACTTCGCCAAGCGCCATCCCAAGGTCATCGAGGACGAGAAGGCTGTTGAAGTCATCGTGCGCCTCGAGGAAACCCAAGCGGCTCTTGGTGCTGGCACTGGTGGCCTTGGACGCAGCCTGACCGTTCGCACTGTCGGCACAAGGCAGACGCCCAATGACAACGACCAGGATAACGTCGATCCCTTTGAGCAAGCAGAAACCGAGGGCATCGCGGCTGTCGATTACGCAGCTGTTCCGACAGCTACTAAGAGCTCCGATCTTGGTCGTCAGCCTTCCCCTCCTCACAGCGATCCTTTTAGGGACAGCAGGAGAGCTAGCTTATCCGAGACGATCAGAGATGTGGAGACTTCGGGCCAAAATCAGCTCTCTTCCCAGAATAGTCGGAGCTCACAGGGATCCCGGCGCGAGCCAGGACTAGCTGGCGTAGGCTGGTAACTACCTTTACTTTCTTTCTCACTTGTTGTACATACTTCAAGGCCCAGGGCTATTTTGGCGTTATGCGTGGCGTTTGAGCGGCAGTAAATGTCTGCCTGCAGTGCCTAAGACGGGCCATTTCCTATACTTCTCTTCGAAGCACACTCTTACAGACACACTTTGGTATATCAATGATAATTGTATGCTGTCAAGCGCACACCGCTGGGTTTGCTCACTGCAGTGCCATTAAATTGCGTCCTGATGCCACACTTCAAATGACCATACGTTCGCTCATTATGTGCTTGTAGCTGGATTTACGGGCTCAATCTCGACCTCTTCTGCACTACAGCCATAAGGTGGCCCTGAGTCGCACGTGCTGTGGAGAAACGACACCCTCATCTTTCCCTCCCTTCTGCTTGCGCGTTGCGCATGCGCGTTACGAAAACTTCATACCGCCCTGACTCAAGCCATGCTCCTCAAGGTTGCCGACCCCAACTTTGCGGGCTTGCAGCCATCTTCAAGCGACCCACCATGGTCCGCAAGCGATCTGAAGCTGAAGTGCGAATCACTCGAGCACATGGCTGAATCTATGACCCAGTGCTAAAGACGAGTGAAGTGTACAAGTCCTCGGCGACGGTCCGGACCAGCTCCGGCTCCTCGGATTGTGGAACCGGAAGAACAGCCAAAGGCTCTCACAACCCCAAACTCTATCTCTTCGGCAAAGCATCCCACGATGTTGATTTGGAAAATGAGATCACTGGCAACCCCAGCCACACCTAGGATGGCCAATCGCAGGCTTCATGTAATTACTGGACCCTCTGCTGCCCCGGACGTGCTCCGCTGTCGACATCAACCTTGAATGAAGACGTCGATCCTGCAACGACCTAATGCGGCGGCATCCAGATCTGCGCATCCTGCAAGCCAACTGCAAGCTACATCTCACACCTTGGAAAAAGTTCCTGCCCAGATGCACAAGCACATTCGGAGCTTCCAACGTCCCTTAGATCACGATAGCAGCCGGTGAACACGAAGCGTTCACCCACAACGCACGCTGTCCCGCGATTGTTACATAGGCGAGCAAATCGATCATTATAGATGGCACGTATCGGATTTAGGGCAGCGAGCTTGCTTTTGGGGAAGTTGTTCGCGAAGGCTTCGTCAAGGCGGACGTTGAAGATCAGAAGTTGGTGCATTTAAGCGTGCGCCACACCCGTGACTTGCGATCATGTACATTTGCAACTAACCAATGGGATATGTAAAGTGACTCACTAGGGCTGCAGTACAGAGTCCTTACGCTTCTCGCCCTTTCACTCGCTGAAAGGTAAGTATCGAGTCGATGCGCTTGCAGGCCCAGCTGTCCTGGAACTCGGGGTACAGGAATGGTCTGGGGTCCTCCGCGCTGTAGTCTGCAGCGTGGTATGAAGACGTCATGATTGTCATCTTGTATCGGTTGATGGCGTAGAAGTGGTGGAACCTCTTGACCAAGACTGCGGTCTCTTGTGGACTCTTTCTGTCATGCCAGTCGACTAGCAGCCGCTCGAACATAGTGACGGGACCCATGCGCTCCTCCTTTCGTAGTTTCGCCATAACGAATATCTCCTCGTATGTCATGCCCATATCCTTCTCGTCCGACTCTACGCGGTATGATCTTCTCGGCTCGAGCTCACTAGTCGGCGGTGCATCAGGGAACTCGTCAAAGATAGGGAGGGAGAAGGCAGTTTGGGCCCAACGACTGAAACGCCTGATGTCCAAGTTGGACGTACCGCCTGTGACGTTAAGGTCTGCTGAACTGCAGTCATGTTTCGTCACATTGCCCCGCAAGCACTCCTCCAAGTTGACAGAGCCCAGAACAAGGAGTCCACCACTTCCTTGCCTCTGTCGAATCCTGGGCAACCTCTGAGCGAAGCAGTATGTTGTCACCATGCGTCCATGTGCTTGGATGTTGTGGAGAGCAAAATTCTCGGCTTTGTTACCTTCGTAGATGTCGGAGGGAGTGAAGATATCCACCGATCGCCATCTGTTTGCTAGCAGTCCGTTGCAGTGTTTGCTAACAGTCCGCTGCACTGATTGTCCAGCTCATTCGGTTAGCTCGGTTTGCTTCCCCAACCCTTCACTGCTATCCCCTTCTACTATATAGTCCCGATCGATTCTAGCCAATAGCTCTTAAGATCAATCAACACAATCCACTCACTTCAACAATAGATGCTGAACTTCGGCTCGTAGTTGGCAAATCGCCCAAGTAGGTTCCTCTGGGCTGTAAACAACTCATCAATGTCCATGTCGAAGTGGTAGGCGCCAATGCTGTCAGCGAGCCTTTGCGCACGGGAGCGAGTCTCAACTGACGAATGAGCAGTGACACCCATGTACATGGTGTGGAGGATGTAGTTGCAAAGCTCTTCGGGTGTACTGGGTAGCCACCCTTCTCCAGCCTCTAGATACCTGACGATGCGTTGTACGTCCGCTATGACCTGCTTGTTGCCCTCTCCGATTACAGTCATAACGACTCGACACATACCGTATACTAGAGTGGCAGTCGAACAAGAGTCGATACCATCACCGAGTGGACAAAGGAAACCTGCCGCCCTGCTGCTTCGAAGCATATCCCATAGCCAACATGCTGGGTCTAAGACAAGTTCCCTTTCAGGGCTGTGTGTTCGTAGGAGCGGGTGTGTGAAGGAGCAAACGTTACCGTTGATGCCACTGTTGGACTTGAATCTCTCCAAGTCCACCTTGATCCGCTTGTAAGTTGGGCCCTTGGATATTTTCCCGTTCGGTCGTCCGACATCGTCCCGGTAGCATCGGACTTGGGTGAGGTTGATCGTAGCTGTCGCTAATTCCACATCATTCAGGCTGGACTGCGATGCTTGAACTGCAACCGTGCCATTGACGATCACGGCAGCCTTGCCGCTGTAGTAGAAGCGGTCTCCGTCGCAGCCCTTCTGATTGGAGTACAGCATGACTCCTTCGCTCTTCTTCAACGACTGCTGCATACTCTGGAGCAGGGTAGATCGATGTCGAGGAGCGTATTCTTACAAGCTTCATCTTCCAGAATCTCCAGGGAGCATGTGCCAGGAATTGGTGTAGATGTGGTCCTCCAGAAAGTGGTCCAAGCAGTCGTAACCACATATCTATCTTTCGTCAGTACTCGTTTTTGCGGCTTGCCACAAGCTTGATAATATAGTGTGTTGAAGAAAGTTGTCACTTACCTCGAGCTCAGATCCTATACGTAGGCTCGCACCCCGGCCTTAGCCTCTTGGATACTCGCCTTGATACAAGCCAAATTGCACTCCCAATCGAGCGCCTATTGATTGGGCGAACATGAGGCTATGATTATGTGCGAAGACATGTTGCTTTACAACAGGTACAGAGAAAAACGAAGATGGAAGGCAAGGAAAGGACTTTAGTTGGTTTGACGCGGTTCAACGCGGTGCTTCTTTGAGAGATTCGAATTGCTGCAGCCCTTTCGAAGGAGGCATTGGCACGGCACAGCACACGGCGGAATCTCTTGTCTCCTAGTCCGTCATTTCTGAGGCCGAAGTGTCTGGATCGCCAGAAAGTGAAGTTCACCACTGCTCATCGCCCTTGGGGAACCTCGAATTGCTCAATCAACAAGATCAGGTACAGAACGGCGGGTACCCCACGTTGTGGCGAGAATCTCCAAGTTAAAATGTACATGCTTAATGGCACAATCTACGAGTTGTGAATGAAGGGGATTATTGTTCCACACGATTTTATAGCCAGCGATGAGTGTCAACAGCTATGAATCGGTGCAAGCCAGTTGGACGCAACCATTAAATCTTAGCCCCGCATCTATCTCTTGCTCTCGAATCAAGTTCAGGTAGTCGTCTTTTAAGATATCGACGATCGGCTTGAGCCGAGCGCAGAGGATGTCAGCGCGAAACGAAGGTCAAAACTGTGCCGTAGCCAAGAGGCGCTGCAACATCGTGCGCAAGCTTGGTCAGCTCTGCTTGACCCCAGTAGCCTAAGCACGCAGTAATATATCATTGCAGAAGGGTATGACGTTGGTATACGTTGTTGTGTTGTTGGTGCAACACAAGCACGAACGCTCCTTCACGAGATGCGCGTTGGATACGCGTTAGTTATATAAGCCTCGAAGCAGGATTTCGCGTGCAAACCGCGCACCAACATTGACTGACTTCTGCAAACATCACATCGGAACTTCAGTCACCACACAATAGTGCCTTCTTGCGTGTTTGATGGCAAAAGCAGTATTTGACATGGTCGCCTCGTACCTGCATATAGATGACGTCAGGTATACTACACCAACTACACGATAAAACATCCAGCTCCTATATTGCAGCATTCTCCTCTATTACAATCCGTTAATACGACTCCGATTGCTTCCAAAGAAAAGATATCTGAAGGGCTCTTACAGTCATCACACCAAAATGTCATCCCCAGCCCCCTTCAAGCTCCTCGCCAACTACAGCGTAACCGGCTTCCTCCTCAGCACTGGCCTGCTCGGGCTCCTCAGTCCCAAAACCATGGCCGCACTCTTCGGGATGCCCATTCAAGACAACACATTCGCCTCGGGCTTCGTGCAATGCATGGGCGGGCGAAACTTGACATTTGGCATTATATCCGCTATCTTCGTGCAGCGCCGCGATCTAAGGGCTGCGGCGACGATGGCAACGCTGTTGGCGGTTGATGGGTGTGTGGATGGCTGGGTGACATGGAGATATGCGGGGATTTGGGCTGCTGTGCCGCATTTTGGGGCTGCGGCAGTGATTCCTTTTGTGGCTGCTTGGATGATGAGTTGATGGGGGTCTTGTCTCTCAGGAACCACCAGTAAGATAGATTCAAGAGCGAGAATCCTTCTATGCCATAAAAAATAACTATTAACGCAACGCCGAACACAAAGCAGTCTCTCAGCATCGCAACATCATTCAGCCTCAATCCCCACCAACCCAAGACTCTCCCTCCACAACCGCTCTGCCCCCTCCCCATCATACGCCCACTTCTGGTACCCATCATTCGCCATATAATGCATCCCCTCCTCTTTCGCCTTCTCCTCGTTACTCAGCGCCTCCGCCATACCACTCAAATACCTCCCCCCTTTGCTTGCCCACTCCTTGCCAACAGCAGCCCAGACTTGCGTCGCGGCGCCCTGTTGTACACTCTTCGCGGTCCTCTGTACTTCCGGCTCGTAGAACATCGCCTGCTGATCGTCCGGCAGATGCGTGCCCAAGTTCGAAGCAGTGATGAGTCCCGGGTGTACGGATGTAGCGTGCAAGTTTTGACTTCCGAAGTGCCGCTCAATACTGTTCGCGAACCAGATATTGCTCGTTTTGGATTGTCCGTAGGCGCGCCAGGGATCGTACGGGGTGGACTCGAAGTTGTAGTCGTCAAAGAGAGGGAGCCCGAGGATATGGCCTGTTGAGGAGACGCTGACGACGCGGGAGGGATAGGAAGGGGTTGCGGAGGCGAGGAGCGCGGGCTTGAGGAGCTGGAAGAGCAGGAAGTGCGAGAGGTGGTTTGTGGCGAATTGGGTTTCGAAACCGTCGACGGTTTTGCCGTAGGGGGTTGCCATTATGCCGGCGTTAGCAACGAGGAGGTGCAGAGTGTTGTTGGACATGGAGAGAAAGTCTGCGGCTCCGGAGCGGATGCTGGCGAAGCTGTCGAGCGACATCTCGATGAGAGTGATCTTGCCGCCAGAGGGGTGTGCCTCGGAAAGGATGGCGTCGACGACTTTTTGTCCTTTGGCGAGGTCGCGGACGGTACCGTAGACGTGGGCGCCCGTGGTGTGGAGAGCGCGCAGGGTTTCGATGCCGATGCCTGAGGAGACACCGGTGATGAGGAACACCTTGTCAGTAAGCCTGCCGGTCAAGCCTTCATCCTGGATGACCTGAAGGGCAGTAGGTCGTGCATCGCCAGCGCCGCGAAGGTTGGCCAGCTTGTGAGCTTCGGCGTAGCGAGACATTTCGGCGAGTGATTCAAAGAGTATGATGAATCTCGGCTTGGTGAAAATAGACTGGAAAACTGTTGAAGCTCGCTGAGTGAACTTGCACGACTTGGAGGTATGTAGTGGAAGCAGTCATGGTGAGTTCCTTCGTCCTTATATCCTACGCTCTTTCTCCTTTGCATCACATGCCATATTCGTGCGAAACGCTTTTGTGTAACTCCATGCGCCATGATGTTCGTCGAACTTCGTCCGTCGCCATTGATGGATGTTTGCATCCTTCTGCACAGGCAAATGTGGGTCAGACGTGGCGTGCTTATGCAAACAAGGTGCATGGCCAAGTTGTTCGCGTAGTAGGCTGATCGGAATTAACGAATAGGTACAAGCGGTGCTGTGTATACAGTTCGTACTGCGGTTGGGTGCAGCCCACGGATTTCTTAACCCCGCTGTAAAGTGCGTAAGCACCGACACGCAGCGCATACCCAATGTAGTAATCCATCGTAGCGGAGCGCATACTCAATGTAGTAATCCCTCGTAGCGGACAACAGGTCGAAGAAACACAAATGGCGGACGTGTGGTGTATCTGTAATAATTATCGTAGATTCAGCCAAGGTCTGCCAGCATCAACGCACATGGCTGGAGATAGACCAGGCCCTGGCTGTGAACGCCTCTTCTACTCTACAACTCAGTCTTCGTCCCCAACTCCTTGCTCAACTCACACATTCTTCTTTCTCTTAGACGCGCTGTCTAGGACAAGTCGTTCAAGTTGTAGATCTTCTGGATCTCCTTCAGCTCGCCCTCATGATCAAACTTCAAATCCTTCAGCAACCCATCCTTAAACCCAAACACCCACCCATGCACAATCGGAAACTCGTTCTGCGCATAGCTCAACTGCACCGCCGCCGTCTTGATCACGTTCCTACACTGCTCCACAACATTCAGCTCCACCAGCTTATCATACTTCGCATCCGCGTCAGTAATGGCATCGAGCTCGCTCTGGTGCAGACGGTACACGTCGCGGATGTTGCGCAGCCAGGGGTTCAAAAGCCCGAGATCCTGCGGCGTCATGGCGGCTTTGACGCCGCCGCAGCCGTAGTGGCCGCAGACAACGATATGTTTGACTTTCAGGTGGCGCACGGCGTAGTTGACGACAGACATGACGTTCAGGTCGATGTTGTTGACGAGGTTGGCGATGTTGCGGTGGATGAACATCTCGCCGGGGTCGACGCCGGTGAGGGCTTCGGCGGGGATGCGCGAGTCGGAGCAGCCTGTATGTACTCGTTAGTAGAGCTCGAGATCCAATTGCGCCTGTAGCGCGTGCCCTCGTTGCGTGATTACAAGACTGTGAGATGCTGTGGTTGACTCACCGATCCACAGGTAGTCCGGAGCCTGACCAGCACTCAGGTCCTTGAAGAACTCAGGCTTCTTCTTCTGCATCTCCTCGGCCCACTTCTTGTTATTCTCAAAGATGCGGTCATGGCTCTGCTGGAGGTACTTCTTGACCTCCTGCGTAGTCCGGGGATCCTCATGGCCAGTCATCTTTTTATACCAATTGCTCGTAAAGAAAGAGCTCTTCGTAAACGCTCTTTGCTGTAAAGGACTCTGCAGAGAGCGGAGCAGTTCAGCACGCGTCGAACTCTTCGTCAATGACTGGGAAAAAGAAGTCAAGGGAGTAGAAGAAGCTCCAGAGACAGGCCCCGCCCTAAAAAGAGCTCGGCCAACGTGGGGTAATCCGCGCTGCATCCTGACACAGTCCAATCCACTGCAGCCGCTCTTATGCGGTTGACGTGTTGAGGTTTGCTTCAGCGCGGTCCGATTGGGCGCTCTGACGTCAAACTATCCCTAAAACCCTAAACCTTGCGACGATCCAGATACGAGATCTCAAAACCACGAAGCTCTAGCGCACCCCGTGGAAATCCTTCGCATATTGCTTCGTAATTAGGAGGTAGCAAGCTTAATTCAAGTCCCAGTATCTTCAAAAAGTAAAGCTCTGCAAACACGCTCCAACAAGCCAAGATACGAGGAGAAGTCAGGTGCAACACCAAAGTCGCTGTATTACCAATACCCCGCTATCACACACTGAAGCACATCGTGAAGGAGTGCAAGTGCACTTACAAGCACAGCACTCGATACTCGTCAGCCTCGCCAAGTGTAGCACGATAACACCCCAAGTCACACAAAGCCATGGCGCTGGACGATCAACAGCGGGCCATCATATTCCAGCACGCCAATCGCCTTCTAAGCACGCGAGACTACCCAAAAACAATATGTCCTTCCGAAATCGCCCGCGCATTCTCGTCTTTGGAGCTGGAGACGTTGGAGGCGCCGGATTGGCGAGCAACTATGGACGACATTCGTGGACTGGTGTGGGAACTCAGGGAGGCGGGTGAGATTGAGGTGATGCAGAAGGGTGAGGTGCTTGAAGTGGAAAGACTGGAGGACATCAAGGGACCGATTAGAGTGAGAAAGGTGCACACATGATTTTGTTCTTAAAAGTGTGTCAGAAATATAAGATATAGGCTCGTGCTCCAAATGCTACGTGGAAGTATGTGCAGTCGCTGAGGTCTTCAGCATCGAACTGCAACATCAAGGGTATTAGGGTATCGTAATCGACGACTGCGTCGACGGTGTAGGATGCTTCGGCCCGCTGTCATCCACGCCCTGCCACTTCTCGTCCCACCCGCTCGACTCAGCCGTAGCATTGCCGGCCTTGCCTTCCGCAGCCAGCTCGCGAATGTCGCTCCAGTACTCCAGCCTCTTGCATTCTGTGTCGGCAGCCTCGACGGCTTGAAGCAGGTTGTTGATTCTGCGGGTTTCGGCCTCGCCCTCTGGCTTATTTTGGGATTTGTGCGAGTCGCGGTGGCTCTTGGCGGCGCCGAAGGTGTCCATGAGGGTGGAGAGGAGTTGGCGGCGCGAGTTCTGGAAGATGAGCATTGACATGATGGTCGGTATCTGGGAGGGTTAGCTGGAGTTGTGGTTCAGTGAGAGCAGTACGCACTTGTTCTGCGAGGTAGTGCAGCTCCTCGCCTCCATCTGCAATGAATTTATTGATGATGACAATTTTCTCTCGGTCGATGGCAGCCGCTTTCAACTTCCTCATCAAGGTTGCAGTGTCTCGGACCTCCTCGTCCACAGAGGCTTGACCGCTGCTGTTCAGCACACTCATAGTGCCTGGTGTATCTGTCCTGAACAGTGTTGTGCCACCAACGCTGAACCTGTCACCAAACAGTCTCTCGCGTGCAGTTTCTTTCGTCTTCGGTGGTATCTTCTGCTTCACTCTCCTTCGCAACCACCGCCGCCTCCTGACAAAGCTGTGAAACCACGGATGGTTGCCGTGCCATGGCGAGCCTTTGAACAAGAGACTGTACTGCCACCCCTCCTCATCGACATCTAGGCTCATGTCGACATACCAGCTCTTCCAATCCCATACCCAACTCGGGTCCGGTACTTGTGCATTTGTGATATTGACGGCCGAGGGTTTGAACTTCGCGTCTACCCATGGAGCGGGGTCGACTCGGAGATTCCATAGTGCTTTCGACGAGAAGAGCGGTATGCCAAAGACAAACCAACCGCGCTGATTTTCGTATAGTATGTCGATGTGCGAGTCTGGCGTTCGAGGGGACTCGGGCTGGGTCGTGAGGGTGTTGTCGCTGTCGGTGTGGTCGACAAGCTGGATGTTCTGTTCCACCATTATGGATAGTGTTGTCGTGTAGCAGATGTTCAAAGTCGAAGAGAGCAATAGGCGTCACGCTGTTGCTACCGTGAATGCATGGGGAAAGCGTGCCAGTAAGGCAAGAACGGTGCGGGAGACGACACGTTTAGGGGCTGTCAACAATTTGCGCAGAGGAAAGAGCCACAACAGCACGAAGAACGATGGGCGCAGACTGCACGCAATATGCTATACAAACATAATGATACGAACGGCACGCTGTCTGACAGCCTGGAAGGAGTCGAGGTCTGATGCGCCTAGCCTGGCGATCTGGTTCGTGATGGGCCTGTCTGTGCGGGAGCTACCTAGTGGATTTTATGACGTATGCGCGTGCCTTGAAAGCTGCCAGCCGCATCACGACAGCGTTCCCCTCTTAAGTACTGCGGCTCCTCCCTCGCTCATCAGTCCTTGAATCAATTGCATATTGCTCGTCTTCATCACACATACCACCCTTTCATCAGCCTTAATACTCTCACACATACAACAATGGCCGGACGCAGGTTTGCTACTTTCGGTGGTCTCGCCGCTGTCGGTGCGGGTACCTACTACCTCTACAGCGCGGGCGGCGACCCGAAACTTGCTGAGAAGAAGTTTGAGCGTATGTCCCCTTGGTCTATGCGATTGAAGAACAGGAACTGACAATTGCAGACGATGCTGCCAACGCCACAAGGAGGGTTCGTGGTGATTTCCCTGGCCAGGACAAGGAGGCCAAGAAGGCTGGTGAGGAGGGATACGAGGCTGTTCGCGCAACCGCACAAGACTATGTATGTCATACCCCGACATCGTCCAGTTCTTTCGATGCTGTCAATTGGACATGTACTGATCTGCAGCAGGCCAACCGCGCCAGCGCCGAGGCAAAGAAGGCCGAGGCCGACCTCAGGGCCTACACCCAACAAGCACAGAACAAGGCCCAGCAGTACAGCGCCGAGGCTCAGAACAAGGCTCAGGAGTACAGCGCTGAGGCCCAGGCGAGGTACAACTCCCTGAGCGCCGAGGCAAAGAAGAAGTGGGACGAGGCCAGGGCTCGGGGCGAGGAGTTCACTCGCGAGACCAGCAAGGACTTCAATGCTGCCGTTGACAGGTTCGACAGGGAGGTCACCAGGGATGCGGCGCAGGCAAAGAGCTGGTTGGGCTCCTGGTTCGGCGGCAAATAAGCCCGTTGCGAACATGGAGAGATATGGATTGGACTTTGATATTGCATTTGCTGCTTAGCACTGGAGTATATGGGAATAACCACCTCAGCTCATAATGAATCAAACGACGCACAACACAACTCTATCTTTGTATCCACCACTTGAAGCTATCTTTACCTATCTCCGTGGCGCCAGAGGTTTAACTACCTCCAGGCTACCTTTTCATTCTGACACATGCAACACAAGGCTGTAGATGCAATCCTTAAAAAGGAACCCCTCAGCACAGCTCAAGTGCATTATGCCGATGGATCTTTATGATACCTTTGTCATGTTCAAGCTTCTGGAGTGACATGAAGATGCACCGAACTAGTCTCACACTTTTGGCAATATTCAAGTATTTATTCATAAGAAGGCTCAGAGCTGTGCCTTGGTGAGCGAAAAGTCAAAATTTGCTACATCCATCACGAAAGAACATTGGTTGCAGTTTTCATTACCCGTCTGTATTGTACCAGTTGGGATACGTACCTAAGGTACTGTCTGCGATAGCCGAGCTGTATGATCCGTGCAGTGTAAAAACGCGTGTAGAGAAGATGTCGATATTCAGCCCGGCAGATACACATGAGCGCAAGCTCAATTCCTGGGCATTTCATATGTCGCACGACAGCTATAGACAAGGACTTTAAGTCCGCCACAAGCACTTTCAGTGTTTTGTAAATGAGCGCGCTGTGAAGAGTTCCGGTGCGCCAAGATTGACCTGAGCGCACTGACCACTCGCTTCGGCGCTAGCCGCTCCCACCATGGCCGGCAATTTTGGGCTCGAACTTTCGAACGAATCTCCTTTCCCCTCTATCTACACCAACACTCTTCGAGGAACCCCGATAGATCAATAGCAATCATGGTACGGCTCACCACACCAACGCGACGATGCATGCAACTGCATTGCATTGTGACGCACAACTCGCGACCATGCCCCGCTATGCATCGCCGCAAAACCCTCGCACGACCAAGTAACTAACGCAACACAGTCGGACGGAGAAGACGATACCAAGTCCCAGGTTTCCGCGGCCGCCGAGGTCGAAGTCAGCGCCGATGCGTCGGCCGGCAAGGGCCAGATGTCCGTCCTTGAGGCTCTCAAAGGCGTGCTGAAGCTCGCGCTCATCCACGACGGACTTGCCCGCGGTCTGCGCGAGGCCTCCAAGGCCCTCGACCGCCGCCAGGCTCACATGTGCGTCCTCAACGAGGCTTGCGAGGAGGAGGCCTACAAGAAGCTCGTTGTTGCGCTCTGCTCTGAGCACAAGATCCCTCTCATCAAGGTCCCTGATGGCAAGCAGCTCGGCGAGTGGGCTGGTCTTTGTACGTTGAAGTGGTTGATTATCGGGTGAGGGAGTGTGCTAATAATTTTGTGCAGGCCAGATTGACCGTGAGGGTAACCCCCGCAAGGTCGTCAACTGCTCTTGCGTTGTCGTCAAGGACTGGGGTGAGGAGTCGCAGGAGCGCTCCATCCTCCTCAACTACTTCCAGACCGAGCAGTAAGCGTGTCGCACTGCTAGTGTGTAAACGCTCTACAACACCCCGCTATATCAACGACCGCTTCTCGAGAACTATTTGTGCACATCTTAATTGATGAGGGACAAATACGGAGGGATATGGAAGACCATGTGACGGGTTGCAAAGGAAGATAGAAAGTCACGATTGCCACGGCATCGACGAGGAATAGACTGATGAAACCAACACTTCACTTCTTTTGCTCTCATTGTGATGTGCCCGAAGTCTTGATCCGCTGGATTTGCGTCTGAATTAGATACTCTAACCGTGTTTCCCCTTTGCAGACTCTACAACGCGATATGCATATCCTACTGTCTGTGAAGGCCTACTAATCCTCATGCACAACCCGCTTCACGCTTTTGTACCCATACCCTTCATTCTCCTGACAGAAGAGAGTATTAATGGACTGCAAGCCCCACTCCCCAATACAGCCCTCCGACTCATACATCCTCACTATATCACTACACATTAGCCTTCATCCACACACCGGACACACATTCAGTCGAGTACTTACACAAAGCGCCGTCCATAGAAGAGCCAACATGCACGCTCTTCATGCTCTGTGATGGCGGGTAACACTTATCGGCGCCGATGTCCAGGAAACGATATTTCGAGTCAACTTGGACGCAGCCTGGCGCTGGAACGGTGTAGTCCGCGGTGCCCGTCTGGGACGATCACCACACTCCCAAATCCTTTGCACATCCTCACAGTCCGAATCAAGGGATCAGTCGTCTCAAAGTCACCACCGCAGTCCTGCGTTGCGTACTCCTTGATTACAACCATACATCAGTCTTCCCAGTTACTTATCTGAAATAAAGACGTGAATGTGGTTGCTCACCCAAGTACCCAGGCGCAACCAAAAGCTTAAGCATGCTCTTCGCGCGCTCTGGTAATGGATGGCATTTATTAGGCACGAGGTCGAATGTGCAATATCTACTAGAGCATTCCTTGTCGATGTACCAGTAGAACGACATAGTGGGGAATGTTGCGTTGCTGGGAATATTCAGGATAGGTGTGGCGGGAGGACTGTAGATGGGTGTAGAGATGGCGTAGCTTGGGGGTGTTTGCTGGGACTGCGTGGGCCGTGGTGAAGAGGCTGAGGGCAGCGATGAAGAGCTTGGTGGTTAGCATCGTGGGTTGATTGTTTTTGGATGGTGAGGGGAGGCAAGCGGATTGTGAGAGATTTGATGTGAGGACAGGCGCTAGGCAACTTGATGGAGAGGTATGCTGGGTTGGGAAGAGCGACTATAAGAAACGGATGTAGTGACGAAGAGGGCAAATGCTGTCTGAAGGCCTCCGGGATGTACCTCAGTGTAGTACGGTAGATGGTGTCTATGGTGTGATACTGTAAAAGATCGACAACATGTCAATGGGTATATTGCGTTACAACACGGGCACCTGCCTATCTACCCTGGTCATTGACGGGTTTTGCACCTGTGTAATGTTAGCTTAAGAGCACCTATAGTAACATGCGTGCCCAAGACTTACCCAACACCCAACCGAGACCCGACTGCAGCGCACCAGAAGCCGTATTAGCCAGCATATCTCTCCTTCTGACACGTTCTTCGTGCCCATGCATGCTGTCGGAATCACTAAGATCCATGCTAACACGCTTAGCATCTCTCGACTCTGGTCTTGGGGAGGTCTGAGTATTACTGCGCAGCGGGAACGCGCTCTTTGAAAACGCAGCAGCCGCACCTCGCGCAACATCAAACAACCCCATCGGGCTCTCCTCGACAGCACCTCGTCCGACTTCGCGGCGCGGCTGTACGGTGGGAATGGTGCCCATATCGAAAGCACCAGGCAGCTTGCGATCAGCAGCGTCGTTGAAGCGCTCCTCGGCTTCTGTTTCTTGTGCGAGGAGTTCGGTCATTTCGGCTTCGCACTGCTGCCATACGTTGAGGACTTCTTCGAGATGGGCTGGCGGGGCGAGGAGGAGGGCTTGGGATAAGAGCTCCATGCGTTGCTCGAGGTGGCGGAGATCAGGTCGTGCGGATGTCGCGTGGGACCATGTTCCCGAGGAGGAGAGGGAGGGCTTGTAGCGACCGGCGCGGAGGGCTGCGCGCCAGGCGACGTCTTCTGCGTCATCGGCTTGCTTTGCCGAGGTGTCGGAGTCGAATGAGAAGCGCTGTGACGATGTCGAGACTGCTGGTGATGGTGTTGCGGTCGGGGTTAGGCGGTTCACGACGTAAGAATATGCTGTCTCAAAGTCGCCTTCTTCTAGAGCAGCGTCGATAGCCATACCGATAACTCGACGTTCGGCAGCGGCTTTCTTTTTCTCGACTGTGGTCGCATCGAACGGGCCAGCATCTTTGGCATCGTCCATGATAGTCGATGGCATCGACACAACCAGGTTCTGCCCTATGGAGATCATATCGTCGAGTTTGGTGTAACTGCCGAGGTTCTGCAAGAGTAGCTTTTGTATGAGCGACAATGGGTCTGAGCTAACTCTAATGCTGACTGGCTGAAATGGTACGCCGTGCTGGAGGATTAAAGAATAGAAAGACATCGCATGCGTCGCTGAAAGCAATGCCTGTGTTTGCTGAAAGCGTGAAGACTTGGAGAAGTGAGGAGCAAAGGCAGCGACAATCTCTGCGCAACGCTTCATGCCCCCTCTATTTCGGTTGCCATTGCTAGCATTGTCGTAATGATGCAAAGCAGCGGATAACACAACCTTCTCAACTTCAGATTGCAGAAGAGGGTGTTCGCCGAAAGCTGGGTTGACGTAGATTTGTGCTGCAAGAGGGAAGTGACTGCCCTCGATGAGCGACTTCAAGATCTCTGTCTCAATGGTCGTCTTCTCCAGCATCCCTAAGATACCCTGACCATGACGATCGTTGTCGTGCGCATCTGTGCCCCAGTTCCACAGCCAGAGCAGTTTGGATCTGATGGTCCGCCACTGACCGCTGTCTTTCTTTGGGCCGCCGCTGAGGGCGTGGAGTACCTTCTGGAGCAGTGCGGATTGCTCAGCATAGTCGTCCCGTAAGGACAGGTTGGCGACTGTCCGTGGTGAGACGGGGTGTTGCAGGCTTGACAAGACACACGCCGAAAAGAGTACCAGCTCAATGATCCGGAAAGCGCCTTGCTCTGGTTTTGTGATATCGTTGTCAGACGCGAGGAGTCGTTCTTCCTGGATCAACGAGGAAGTGGCGTCTTGCAGTATTGGTATCTTGAGGTCATATGATGGGAGTGACTCAACACCAATGTTGAGATCTGGTGGTGGGTCATAGTGGAGAAGGTCGCATATGCGCGTAAGCAGAGCATGGGCCGTCTGTAGTGCACCAACGTCGCTCGCATCGACCAGGTACAAACATGAGAGCGCTGTTTGTGCGTACTTTGTCTCCAAGCGGCGCTGTGTGTCCTCGTCCACATAATCACGACCTTCTTCGAAGCCTCCAAGGTCCATGTCCTCCGGTCCATCCCACTCAGATATGGCAGCAGCGACTAGAGGCAGGTCTTCTTTCGAAGTGTGCAACAGCCACCGGAACAGGCAGTCCCAATCATTTGACTCTTGTGTCTGCATTTCTGCCATCGATGCCCTACGGTTCTCGCTAGAGATCTTCCGTCTCTTTCGATCGCTGGCTCCGCATATCCATGGAGAGACGATGCCCCTCAGATCTCGTGCTGCGTTTTGTGTGTCTGCTCCAGCTTTCCTCGCAGCACGAAGATTCGAGAGATTGAAGTCTAGTGCCCGCTTTCCCCTCAAACTGGCGAACTCATCAAGAGATGACGCGGTGCCCTGCGGGTAGTACTCGTAGCTTAGGCGCAGCAGCGGGAGGGCAGTCGAAATGAACCAAGTTCGGAGGTACTCGGAGTGGTGGAGGAAGGGGACGATGAGCTGCGGTACGAGGTCGAGCAAGCCGGTCTGCGAGTCGATGCGATGCGCGCGGTGGATAAGGAAATGGCTGAAAGGGTCGAGCTCGAGCTCTGCAGCGTACTGGGGGTGCACCAGCGGCAGCAGTTCTATTTCTCTCCTCCTCTTCTTTGCTTGCGATTTCGATAGCGCCTCGACCGCAGCGATGGCCAAGTGCGCAGCGGGGTCGTCGCCGGGATGCCGTGGGCCAGTCGCAAGCTCATTCAGATACTCGACATATGCTGTGGGCTCTGCGCCCTCTGGTAAGAATGTGAGGAGGACGTTCAGCACCAGCCCAAACGGCAATTCAGATTCGCGCAATGCCGTCAATGCTCGCAGAGAGTCGATGTTCGATTCGGTGGCATATTGGACAGCCAGCAGCAAACACTGCAGTTCTGAGAGCTTCTGGAGCCTTTGAAGGACGGACATGTTCCTGCAATACCAGGCTCGAACTACTGTCAGCTGTCTGTGCGGCTACACATAGCCGTGGGGATTGTTTGGGCTCGAGAGAGGCCACACGCACATTCACGTGATTCGCTACGTCAGCAGCCTTGGCAATCACCTCGGGGGTCTCCAGCCAACTCCGCTAACCTTCACGTCGACCCTCGGCCCCCAACGTCTCTCGACACCTGCGTCTCGAGGAATGCGGACCGTGCGCTGTCTACAGACCGCATGCACCCCAGTATCCAAAACCTTGGATCATCTTGGACCTCAATGAAGGTCGATGATGTTGGTGGCTGTAATTGCGCCTTCCTCTACCAATTGGGGTAGGCTTTGGGGTAGGCTTTGGAGTATTAGGAACTGTAGTCTCGATCCTCAGCCCTGTCTCTCTGCTGTCTTCAGCCTCGTGCTGTCATCGCCTACGGACGCGACTTGGTACATTTAGCCTTCGTGGCGTTCGCGTCTCTAGCGAGCTGGCTGCTCGACCCTTGCGCAATTGGCTTCCTTCCTCGCGATGCAATGCAGAGCCGCAGGCCGAGCATCAGCTTACGCGGGGTTGCGCGTCCACCCTCAACTATAGGTCTGGTGCTTCTCATAGAGCTGTTTCAGTCTGATCCTGCAGTATTCAGCTTGCGCTCGCACTCTACTTCTTCTCAGTGGTACCCTTTTCACGCAGTCAATTGCCACCGAATCTGCTGTCTCGACTGAGCTCCATCATGATGCTTCGCCATCTCTTACTTCTAGGAACAGCGCTGGGTGTCACATATGCACAGACCCTTCTCGAGGCTCTATCAAAGGTTCCCGAGCTATCAAACTTCACAACTTTCTACCAGAACAACGAAGCCTTCGCCGCCGCCTACTTCGGCAACGAATCAAGCTACCCGATCACATTCCTCGCTCCAAGCAACGATGCCTTTACAACATACCACGCGCAGCACCAGGTCTCCCTGTTCGACGTTGGCCCAGATGTCCTGTTACAGCTTTTGCAATACCACACACTCGTTTCAAACATGAACCAAGACAACTTCACGAGCGTCGGAACCAAAGGAATCACAGCACCTACCATGCTAAAAGACTCCCCCGCCAACAACCGAACCACAGGAGCAAGCTTAGGCGCCAAATTCGGTGGCGCTGAGCGAGCCAGAGGCCAGGTAGTATTCATCCAAAGCGCAGGCCAAGCCTCCTCTCCGACCCGCTTCAAGCTCATGAGCCGCCAATCCTCAGACCCACAGAACGCAGGCATACGCTCCGGTCTTGCATCGACCGTCAACCTGCAGACACTGGACGCAAACCAGGGCACTTGGGACGGCGGCAGTTTCCACATCGTCGACGGCCTTCTGACACTACCAACGACCTGCGCGCGAACGATCCGCAGCGCAGGTCTCGCGAGTCTCGACAACGCTTTCAATCGCACGCGTCTCTGGTCTGCTCTCGATGGAAGCAAGAATGTGACGTGTTTGGGGCCGAGCAATGCGGCGTTCCAGGCCGCAGGGAACCCTGACACTGTGCTTAACGCCACGGCCCTGACTGGCGCACTGTTGTATCACACTTTGCCAGAAGTGGCATATAGCGATTTTCTGGTTGATGGGCAGGTGTTCAAGAGCTTGCAGAATGGGACTGTGAGGGTGAGGGTTGAGGAAAGTGAGGGAGAAAGGACGATTTGGTTCAATAATGCTAAGGTCATTAACGCGAATGTCTTGTAAGTCCCCGGACTCGATGGTCTTGTTTAATTGCTATGACTGACACAAATGGAATAGGACTCATAATGGTCTTGTGCATGTACTCGACGCTATCATGGTTCCGCTAGAGCAGTTGAACTCAACGAACACGACAGCCTCAGGAACACCTTCCTCAAGGCCATCATCAACTGTAACAAACACGGCAAGCCCTACGGCGGCGAGCTCAAACGCCGCTGCTCCCTTGGCGAAAGCATTGAGATTTGATGGGGCACTATGGACTTTCGGTGCTTCTCTGCTGGCTCTGTTGTAAACCCTGCCACTGCATCTTGACTCTTTGGCAGTTCCCGACGTCTTTATCCTCTTTCCTGTAAGCAGAACTAATATTCCTCTCTTTCCCCAGTCATCCGCGTGGTTTCTGCTCTACCAACTTTTCTCTACCTCCACAAAACCTGAACGTTGAACCCTTTACCACCTCACTTCCTATCTCAATCCCACACCTGACAGCCTCGTACATAGTCGTCTCGTAGAACCTTAACAGTTCTTCATGCTCGTGAGGGAAAGGAGGCAGTGCATGTTGAGGTGAGAGAGGGCGTGTGAAGACAGGATGATGGGTAGAAGTTCTCTATTGCATCGTGCCTCTGAGCTCCTCTGTGAGGCTCTGCGCTGGATGATGGGATAATGAGGAAAGAATATGGGTTTGGAGTCAGAAGTGAGTCAGATTGGTGGGAAGCAGTTGTTTTGTGATAAGTAGGCACGGACGAGAAGGGCTAAGCAAGTAGTTTCAAGGCAGCTGCTCCCACATGTTGCTTGCCTGAACATGTTGGGGATTCCCTTCTACGAGTTTTTCTTAGTTACAGAATTCTGGCCTTATATGCTAGAAATACTTTTAGCACTAACGTTAACTTTAAATTTTGCTTAGGTACTGTTAACGTCTCTAAAGGCCTCTAAGATTTAATGTCAGCCACGATCTATTAGCGGATTCCTGGAGGGTGCGAGAGTGTAGATCGTAAGCAGTGTGATGAATTAGCAGGTCACTTATGGTATTTCGCACCGATCATATACCATAGATAGCCTTCGTCACTGGAGATCGACTATAATCATCTGTATTCATATATATAGCTAGTCTGAGGCAAATATTATCTTGACTCTTTGCATGAAGGAGGACGAGACGATGACTCACGTGATCTGGTGACGGCGCTAAGTTTCTACGCGATCCTTCACCCTCGAGCATCCACGTCTGCACCTCGGACGTCACTAACTTCATCTCTCATTCATCTTCAATTCAGTTCCCTTCTCATGTACCAATACACTTCGTAGCATGTCCGGCGCCTTATACCCTGTTCTGTAGAAGTTTGGCTCCTCGCATTTCGCGTCTTAGCGCGCCATGTCTTTCTTCACTCCGGTCTCGTGCTCTTCCACGATATGCATACCCAGATGTGGCTCAAAATTGTTCCGGCCGCAGTTCACTCTGCAACATCAACATACTACCTCCATGCTTTTTGCACGCTTCAAGTCCAGATCAGCTCAACCACCTCTCTATAAGCCGGCTAAACCTGCGGCCAAACCTTCATCGCCGGATAACTCGACAATACGGAGAAGGGGTAGTCCTAAGGTGGACTCAGCAAAGAAAGCGTCGCTCTTGCTGAACACATTGCGCAAGTCAAGTCAGCTACCGGCAGGCACACCTGTGGTAAAGCCCGCCATGGAGACAACGTCCGCGCCTCCCGTCTCGACCAACCCGTCTAGCCCCAGAGACTTCATGAAAGGTATCCATCAAGCACAAACAAAAGGACCTGAGGATGAAGTGACACTCACGATCGACGCGAAAGAAGAGGCAATCCAACGGCGCATCGCCTTCATGAGAAGAAAGCTTCTGTGGCCTGGCATATGGACCCTGTTCGCACTAGTTGGCACTTATGGTACACTCGCATACCTGGACGTTAAAGCTGGAGTACCAAGCTCCGATGGCAGTCATCTTCCTGAACGTGCGCAGCTACCTCAAACCTGGTACCTGACCCCTACTGTCATCCGCGATGGCATTAAGGCAGGCTGGGACGAGCTCGACAACCTCACCATCGGCATCGTTGTTGCAACATTTGCCATCCATCTTCTCAAAAGGTCTCCGCTCCCTATCTGGGAGAGACTTATTCATGTCACTGGCGAGGCGAAATGGACGGCCTTCACATACCCCCTCGTTAATTCTAGTTGGGCGCATGCTGCGACAAATATGGCAGCGCTTGCCTGGTTCCTTCCGGGTGTCGTCCATTATTTTGACGGCGATCTCTTTCACACATCAGCGTTCCTGATCAGCGTACCGCTCATCACAAGCTACTTTGCGCACTTTGCGTACCGCTTCAACCTGGCAAGTGGATTGGTGCTGAATCTCGGTGCCAGTGGTGCTATTGCTGCGGCACTTGGTATTTACTGTGTGGCGTATGCGAACGAGAAGGTATGGGTACCTCAAGGCTTGGTGTTGAGACTGGATGCGATGTATTGGGGACTGCTCTTCGCCGCCTCGCAGGCGTACAGTATGGTTCAAACTCCAAAGGGTGGTAACAGGCCCGCGTACTTGGTGTGTCGTGTAAGATCCAAGCTATTCGAACTCCTACTGACTTTGCTTAGGTTCATCTGACCAGTTTGGGGCTTGGCGCAGCGTACGCGTATTTCGATCTGAAACACCACCTTTGGATACCATTGGTTTCGGAGATCTCAAGTACTCAAAAGTCTGAGATTCAGGCGGAGGAGTAATACAGCCGCCTTACGGTGCAAGTGTAAGAATATGTATGAGTATCAAGAGCCGGCGCAAGGCGATCGTTGGACACAGCCACAATGTCACAACTATAACATGCGGACGTTACCGCAACCCCATCTTCCCCGCTTCCCTACTCTATTGTATTTCCCGATCAGTCTTCCACAATCTGGACCTCACTTCAAGTTCTTTATCGGCTCTCGGCACACTTGACTTGAGGGTTTTAAGGGCAGCAGCTCGTAATGGCACAAGCGCACGCGGGAGACGAGGCTATTTCCAGGGTCCTTTCGATTCACCTTTCAACGATTGGCCGTTTAAGTGAAGGTAAGCACGGATGGCCCTTCACACCTCAGCCCAAGACGGTTGAACACGGGTCCTTACAACCACAACAGACAACACACGAGAGCCGCTTGACGAAGGGGTCCAGATCATGTCTTCAGGGGTTACCATGCAGATCGATGCAAAATGCGATGCGAGTTGATATGAAGGCACCCAAGCACAAGCTGGCAAGCTGAGTCACATGCAAGCGCTATCACCCAAAGTACCGATTAGGTTCAGCTGCCAAACTGGGGTCTTGGGATGCGGGGAGGCTGCATAACCAGGCCCTCGTCCCTGGCGTTGGTACAGGTGCGGCTGAGAGCACAGGTCAAGATGCACTTCGTCACATTTCTGCCGGCTGCCCCTCGATTAACTTGTCAAAGCGAGCCTCGTCATCACATGCACAGGTAGCTGCAGCCTTCCGATAGACTTCGCCCTCTACCGGCAGACGTCCGAAGGTTTAGACTGGCCAAGACTGGGTATGCAGCCGAAACCGATAAGAGTATGTATTGCTCACTTACATACAACCTGCAGCGTAACCAAGCAACACGTTTGTAGCAAAAGCGGCGAACCTCCAATATGGAGCCTTTCATGGTGAACCGAATACAGTGTACTCGTTAGTGAAGCGAGGCGACCTTTCCACCAGAAGACACGCCGTAACTCCCGTTACCTGAGCAAACACGATTGCCGACACAGCTGTGCCATGAACTGAATCTTTTCCTCTCGGTTCATGCAGATGGTTCAGTTTCGTCTTGAGCCAACATTAGCACGCATTCGCATAGGCGAATTCCCACACTTACCTTACTAGAGCTAATGTAACAGCATCTTGAGGGCTTCGACCGTTGACGATAAATCCTCAGGTAGCACCTGAATGTCCATCTTGGAATTTCTCGTCAACAATGTGAACACCAACGGGGGAGTCCGACATCTGAGTCAAAGAGCTGGAACGCCTCTGTTGCGGCATCTGCCAAGACCCAATGGGGGACGAACTGGACGAAACTAAAGCGTTGTGATGCCCAACACCGTCACTGGTTCCAAAGGTGCGCGAAGAAGAAGCCAGAGGGGTCGAAGTCCCAGAGTGTGGTGCCGGCGCAGCCATTGTGTTGTACGGCAACTGTTCAAGTCCCCGAGCAGAAGGCTGCGTGAACCCCTGTCCCACAGACACATGCTGCACAGCCGGTGCACCGAGTACTGCTACCTAATATTAGCGTTCGCTCTAACTCAACTTCCTATCTCAAAGCAAACATACCTCCAAAGTTCCGCCTCAGCCTCTGCAGCTCAACATCAAGGACCTGCATGTCCACACAATGTCCTTGCCGTACGATGCCAAAGCAAAGAGCCTGACCAGCGCTTGGGAAAGAAGAGAGGTTGTCGAAAGCGTACTCGAGTGCTCGGCCCACGATGATGGGGTGGAGCTTCAAGTCTGTGGCCATAGCCATAAGCGCGCTTCGTGCGCCTGGGCTGCTACCGTTAGGAGCTTGCATGGTGCGCTGGTTGAATGTGGGTGTTGGTCACGGGTGGCGAGGTAGGCGAGATGTGTGCGGACTGTGAGCATATTCGAGAGTGCTTGATGTGGTTTGTGCAACAGTGAAGTGAAAGTGAGGTGCTAGATTGGCAAAGCCGGCGCGTCAGGGCAGATCTGGCAAGTGCTTGTCAACGGAGCCATCAGGTGAGTTTTGATTGTGATTCCACATACGGTAATGGGCGACTTATACATCTATGGGCATGGTAGCTTTGAGAAGTATGAAAATCTGTGATCCGTAGCTCATCTCAATGTGCAATCTCGCGCAGCCCATGTCGTTAATATGCTTCACCTGGGGCCTACATAACAGTGCAAGAACCCTAAGAAACAAGAGACAGGAAAAGTATGCCGCATCCGAATCAATGAGAGATTACTATTGCAATCCATCGCAAATGCACATGTCATGATCAATCGCTAAGCTTGCCCAAGCATGTGACGATATATTGTGTGTTCTTGAGCACATCAGCAAACTTGACCTAACTAGCACATAAAGACACTGTGAGTTTCAGTGTGCGCATACCAGAAATTACGAGGTGAACCTGCTTGAAGCAGGTGCGACCGTTCGTGTCCGACTTCTTTCATCCTCGCTATATACTGACCGACATGACAATGACGCGAAATCTTTCCTTCACTGCGATCATCGCGCATACAATGTATAAACTTCCATTCCCGACGACCGCTCACCAATACTACCTCAACCATGTCCACCACCATGTCGAGCTCCAACGAAACTCCTGACAACCTCACCGGCACCAACAGTGACTGGTCCGGCGCAGAAGCCAACTACCCAGCTGGCATGACTTTCGAAGGCAGCATGTTCCCACCTGGTCGCGATAAAAACATCTGGGGTCAGCAAGACCCCCTGGAGGCCGTAGGGCGTAAGTGTTGTCTTCTTGGTGGCATGTCAGGTCTTTACTAACTATTGCATACAGCACCAGGTCCCTCCAACGAAGAGAACGGTGAAGAGTTCTGGAGGGAGAGTAATCGAGGCAAGCACGTCTGGACGGGCGAGGCGATTGTATATACAAACAGGCGACCAGACGCCACGCAGCAGGAGTACCAGACCAAGTTCTGGGAAAAGTACGACGCGCAGAAGGCGCAAGAAGCGGAGGGCAGCGTACAAGAGCAGACTCAGGGCCAGCAACAGGTCGACGAGCAGCACTTCCCAGACGCGCTTCCGACTCCTTCATTTCCTGCTTGTGTACCAGCGCCCACCAACAACAACGCTTCTCAGCAGTCCATCATTCCCGCACCTCACATTCTTCAAGCTTCACCTCCAGGGAGCGCAGGAGTCCTTGACTACCTTCGCGCCAACGGACTGCTCCAAGCTCAGCAAGTCCCAGCCGCGCGACCCTCCTCAGACATCGACGGCGAGTACGAGGTCGACGACGAATACCTTACCGACGCTCCTCACGACCTTCCCAGTCCCTCAGACAACCACGACCAGCTTCCAGACAGCACACCGCCCAAGACCTCACCGCCTCGTAGCATCGATGACTGGGATGATGACAACCTATTGAGCTTCTGGAAGTGGAAGGTCATCAGGAAGAAGGGGTACGAGCCGATGCTCACTCATTTTCCGGGACAGACCACGGAGACGCTGCATGAGACGTGGAAGGCACACAAGGCGCGGTGTGAGGAGTTGGGTGCTGCGTGGAGGGCTGCTGGGAAGCCGGCGGGCTCTGTTGAGGAGTGGTCGGACGAGTGACGAGATATCCTAATATACTTTGGAATGAGACGAGAGCAGTTTCTGATGATTTGTAGTCAGCAACGAGCATTTTTAGCGATGGCGTTACCGGCGTCGAAAGGCTGGAGATACCCTGGGTCTACTTTTAGCGTTTACATTCGGTACACAAAAATCTTTGTAGCCACCCGGCTCCGTAATGAAGAGTTTCCCGAGCCCACAGACAATGTTGGCAACCTCCCCGGTTACTCATTGCCCTTCAACGTCGCTGTCCCATCAGCAGCAACATTGATCCCACTCTTGCCTCCCACACTCGTAGACCCATCACTGCCCTTCGTGATCCCTAGATCACCACCAAGATTCTGCGCATTCCCATCCTTACCCAGTGTGATACCCGCTTCCTCAGAGAACTGGTCCGCCTCTTGCGTAGCCTTCACACCCTCGGACTTCTCAGCACCACCAGCGGGCTTCTCGCCCTTGGCCGCAGCAGCTTCGGCTTCGGCTTTAGCGCGCGCGGCGTCGCCTTCTGCGCGGCCAGGCTGGGACTCTGTGCCTTCGCCGCCAGAGGAAGCGGGCTTGGGTGATGCTGTTTCTTTAGCGGCGGCGGGTTCAGCAGCTGCAGGCTCCTTTGCAGCTACGAGATCAGAAGCCTTGGGCGCGGCGCTTTCTTTCGCCGCTGCAGGTTCCTCTGCACCGGCTGCGGGAGCCTTAGGCGCTGCGCTCTCCTTTGCTGCAGGACCCTCTCCAGCGGCAGCTGGTTCTGCGACCTTTGGCGCGGCAGTCTCTTTCGCGGCAGCGGGTTCCTTCGCTGCACCCTCTCCAGCAACACCGCCCTCTGCAGGTTTCGGTGCTTTGCTCTCCTTCGCCGCTGCTGGCTCAGCGGCAGTCATTGTGCCGTTGCCAGCAGCGCCCGCACCGGCCTCCATCGCACCGCCTTTACCAGCTTTGGGCTCAGCACCCGCAGCCATAGTGCCGTTTCCTGCTGCTCCGTCTTTTCCACCCTTTCCGCCGAGCTTGAGACCATCGCCACTGATGCCGCCGTCTGGGCCACCGAGGGTGAGACCGCCGATTTCGAGTTGTCGTCGGACGGGAGAGGAGTTGTAGGTCTTGGAGATGGCATTCTGATGCAGGTTGTTAGCAGCGGAGATCTTGGGGAAGGACAGAACGTTTGGTATGTAGGAATACATACAACTGAATTACGCGAGGGAATCGATAGAGCTTCGACACCGAACAGAGCCAGAACGGCAACGGCAAGGTTGCTGGAGAGTCTCATCTTGAACGACAAGCTAAAGCTAGATGAGAGAAACGGGTGAAAGTGAATAGCTGACCAGCAGACAAGCAACAGACACAAGGAACGACAAGAAATCCAAGGAGAGATAGAGTCCCAGCTGACAGAAAACCTTACTGCAGGCCCTAATTAAGACCTTTTCAGGGGCGCCTCTTCCGCCCTGCAGACGTCGGAAGTCACCTTGGCGCAGGTATAGAAACGCATTGCGGAACGATTGCAGAACATCTTGGCTCGCTTGGCTCTGCTTGAGGGCAAGGCCAAACGGGTGTTCGTGGTGGTGACCCGGTTCGATGATGCGGTGCGAGTCGCGAAGGAGTCGCAGCTGAGTGAGGGATCCTTGCTGTTTCGGAAACACGATTGTCTGGAGCGCCTTATAGAACGGAAACCATGGCATCCGAGGATGGATGTACTGGTCGAGTACAAGTTGCTACAGCCTCACCAATCGAACCTGGAGACTGGGAAAAGAGATGTCCAACTCGCTGGGGGGCCATGTGGGAAGGTGCTTGATGCCCCAGGCTTCATTCGGCGAAATGTTGTTCGACATGATGTGCAACCGAAGCCTCGTCGCCTTCGAACTTGAAGCATACTGGACAAACCGCGGTCTCTTCTGGTGCAAGTGTCTGCATCGTTGATCCAAGCCTACTCTGTTCATGTCTCTTATCCGCCTCTTCCAATGCTGCAAACATTCCATAATCTTGATTCGAGGCCCGGTTTTCGTAGAGATACTCGTCATCTTCCCTGATATCTCTTTCCATTCTCCCACCTCTCCGTCCACCTCTACCTGCACTTGCAGCACCTTCACCGTTCCTTCCTAAGTTTGCCTCCGGCCCACCAACAATAGCTTCACCCTGCTGCCCCTCGGCTTCAGAAACAAGACCTTGTACTCTGCCAACTCTGCCATCACGAAGTCGAACCTTGACGCCACGAGGATGGTTTCCGCGCGTTAGCAGGTCTGCAACGATGCCTTTGACTTGGTGGCCGGATTGCTGGTCTTCCTTGAGGATGATGGAGACGCCACCTCCGGGGTGAATCGCTCGGATTGGAGGGACAGAAGTATATGCTGGCCGTGGTCTTGACGGGCGGGATGAGCTATCGTTTGTGTTGCCTCCACTTGCCCCTCCTCTGCCTCCGCGTTGAGATTGGCGATTCGGTCGTTCTCGTCCGCGTTGCATTCTGTCTAGCTCCTACCAACGCTGTTAAAACCAGAAGATGTATCCACTGCTAAGATTGAACCAATCTTCCCAGCTCTTGCAACTTGTTCTTCAAATATTGAGTACCCCGGTAAGTCAAAATGGCGCTTGGATCGGTCAACAAAGTCCAGAGCCCTGGTCATCCGAATCATTCGAAGAGAATCAAATGACTGAAGGGCTTGGAAGTAAGATCCAGCAATGTGTGATTGTTGTTGATGGGGACGCATATGCGAAGGAAAGATTTGTTCGTCCTTTGAGCATGCAAGCCACGGAAGATGCTGCACACCGTGGCCTGTGCGCATTACGTCACGAGGTACCAGAGACTCACGACTTATACAGCACTTTTGCTTGAACGACACTAATACAATATGGATGGTTGCGACTGAGAACACCTGGATAGGTTTCGAACCATTGAATTGCGACAACTATACACAGCCTCAGATAGCGAGGCTGAAGCAATACTCCTTGCAATGCTGAGAGTGACCAACATAAAAATGTTGCGGTCCATGCAGTCTATGTTTCTACTAGCGCTCGAAGCTCGCGCTTCCCATACCCAACGCCGTGCGTAGAACCAAATGTGGAGGTATAGACACAAAGGAAGTAAACCAGGACAATAGATGCGCTCGTGAAGTAGATCGTAGATCATGCGGTACGTTGCTGGGTTGGCTGCCGTGGACTGTTTGTCGAGGACCGAGGATTGATGCTGAGATGGTCGTGTGTTCAACCATCTGTCTCTTAGAAGGGGAAGCCGCCTGGGAAGCCTCCTTGCTGACCCCGGCGACCACCGCCTTCGGGCATGCCACCGCCCATACCACCAAAGGGGTTGCCGCCGCCGCCGCCAGTCTGGAAGTGGAAGCCACCTCCACCGCCGCGGCCACCTCCCATGCCACCGCCGAACATCTGCATGAGAATCTCGGGGTCGATGCCGCCGCCCATGCCACCCATGCCACCCATGCCACCTCCCATTCCGCCGCCAAACATGTCAGAAGGATCGATGAGATCAGCACCAGAGTCGTATCGCTCGCGTTTTCTAGATCATGTTAGCTGAGGTAATTTGAATGCTATGAAAGAAATGACTCACTGTTCGTCGCTGAGCGTCTCGTGCGCCTCCTGGATCTCCTTGAATCGCTCGGCAGCCTCCTCATCACCCGGGTTCTTGTCGGGGTGGTGTACGATGGCGAGCTTGCGGTAAGCCTTTTTGATCTGCTGTTCTGTTGCATCTTTCTCAATCCCAAGAATCTTGTAGTAGTCCTTCCTCTGGGCCTTCTTCTCTTCCAGCTCAGCATTGCGGATGTCCTTGGCAATACCAGGCTCAGATGGGTTCTCCTCCTGAATTGCCTTGTACTCGCGAACTGCCTCTTGCCAGTTGCCAGATTCGCCCAATGCCTTTGCCCTTGTCTTGCGAGCCTTTGTGTAACCTGGGTCCAACTCGAGAGCCTTGTCGCAGTCGGCAATCGCGGCCGTCCAGCTCTTCTGGCGGGAGTGGCAGAGGGCTCGGTTTTGCAGGATCTTCGAGTTTGTGAGCTTGTTCGACGGATCGACCTCAAGGGCCTTGCCGTATGTGTCAATCGCCTCCTGGAAACGACCAGCCTTGAAGGCAGAGTTACCTTCCTCCTTCATGCGCTCAAGCTTCTGCACCATGCGAAGGTTTTTGACTGCATCCTTGAAGTCAGGGTCGCAGCTCAGTGCTTGTCTGAAGTGCTGAATCGCCTTATCGTTCTCGCCTTGTGCGTACAAGATACGGCCGCGGAGTACAAGCGCATCGGGGTCTTGGTTGTTGTTTCGCAGCATCGACATAGCGACGTTCTGAGCCTCTCCCAGCGCATTGACGTTACCCATGCGCAGGTGGGCCTCACCGCGCAGGAGCTGCCATTTCCGTGGGCGCTCGACACTAACACCAAGACCCTTCTCAGCCTCGTTGAGAGCATAGATGACCATGGAACCACCGCCGCCGTCCTTTGCAGTTTGCTCGGCCATCTCGAGGTTCTTCTTCATGGTCACCGCAGGCTGCATGTCCTTCGCTGTGGCACCAATCGAGTTGTAGACTTGGAGAGCCTCGTCTGGTCGTCCCAGGCTGGTGTATACTCTGCCCAATCGCAGCTTGATCTTCATGTTCTCTGGATCCATCTTGTCTGCTGTCTTGCAGTCCTCCAGAGCCTCGGCGAAACGGTTGGCGGAGATGTAGGCCGCCGCGCGGTTGGAGTAGTAGGTGGCATTCTTGGGGTCAGCCTCGATAGCTGCTGCATGTTAGCCAGAAGCCCAGTATCTGCATGCATGGCTTGGTGTAGGTCGAGATGTGAGAATCTTCCATTCACTGCCAGCACTCGACAAAGAGAAATTTACACACCCTTCGAGTATTCCTTGATAGCTGCGGGGTAGTCCTTGATCTTGAAGAACTTGTTGCCCGCAGCCTTGTACTCCTCGGCATCTATTGTGGGCATCTCTGCAGGCGGTGTCGCAGCCTCCGATGTTGCTGCATAGTTGCCGCTGTTTGGCGGCGGGCTCTTGGTGTATCGGTGCGGTGGAGGAGCTGGGCGGCTCTCGTGGTCGCCGTTTGTGCCATTCGTCTTGGGAAAGCCGCCGGGGACTTCTGTAGCGGGGCTGGGGGGTGCGGGCGAGGACGAGTCGCGGTCGACATCCATGGCGGACATAGCTGAGAAGGACAAGCGCTGCCGCTCTTCCGGAGACAGATTAAGCGGGTGTGTGTCTGCGTCGTACTTGGACGAGCGCTTCGACGAGAATGTGGAGGAGCGCCGACTACTGCTAGTGCGTTCCCGCTCCTTGACACGAGAGTGCGATTTTTTGTCGGGCGAGCTGGGAGGGGTGCCTTGGGTGCTGGGCGTCGACGAGGTTCTATGAGCGAGGGTCGGTGTGGCGTCTTTGGACTTCTTTGACGGCGACCTGTTAAAGAGAGAAGGAAGAACCATGGGAGGCGATCTCGGGAAGCCTGGTGTAACTGAATTTTAGCCTCCGCTGCAGCAATTTTGGTTGAACGCCCGATAAAATGTTCTGGGATTTGGGTACTAGAGAAATGTTGCTAGAACCTTCCACGACAAAACTACCGTTTAATGCCACACAACTGCCACAGCGGCCAGCCGCAGCAAGAGGCTGGAGCGCAGAACAATCGCCGGCAAACACCAATCACAGAATGCACCTCGAGAATTGCAGCACGACAGCCTGCCACTGCTTTAAGTCTGACTGTGTTCAATATGTACTGGTGTGGCTTGCACTACAGTTCCTAGGCGTCAAGGGTCTTCCTTGTCTGACAGCTACAACATCATTTCCCATGAACTTCTTGACCATTCCCCTCGACTACAAGCACTCGTCGTCACAACAAGAGGCCTTCAAACAGCTGGCCTGAGCATCGAGCAGCCGCGGAGTAAAATGGGCTCTGACTCCTCTCCACCAATCAGCAGTCGGTGAGGTTGGGATTTGCGGTCTCAGCGCGTTGCCAGCAGCAACATGCATGGCATTGAAGCGAGATATCACTCCACATGTTCACGTTTGTGATGTGCTGTTTACCTGTTACCAGCCTGCTGGTTTACGCACCAATGCGAACGGTGCTCGATTTCGTTGGCGCAGGTCGTCAATCGAGCCTGCTACGTGTTGCTTTCTGGAGGTAGGTTTGATGGAAGCTAGCGAGCAGAGATCCACTGCAGTCTGACCCAGCACTCGGACGCTTCAATGCTGCTCTGACATGCATCAGCAATGCCCTCAAGTACAGCATAGGCGTAGTTTCCTAATAAAGCAATTATGTGTACCTGTCAACGTAAGCGCAACCGAAGCCTCCACGGTTGTAGTCCACTACGAACCATCAAGAGTCGAGCTAAAAGATATATCAATCCTGCCAATAGCAATTCATATGTCTGCTTAGATTGATTAGTAATCGTCATAATGTTCTCCAACGGCCAGAAACCGTTCGCTTGCCCACCAGGGTACCCATGGATCCTCGCTTGCATGTGTCCGTCATCGAGCACGTGCTAGCTCTCCGCATCGCAGCTCCAGCCCAAGCTTCCATCCAACATCTCACCATTCACGCTTTTGTAGACTGGGCCCACCTACGCTTGTGCGTATATCACAAGCTTTGGACGCTTTGCTTATAGCACTCTGCAGCCTGTAGAGTACCTACCCTGCTATCCTGGTCACAAGGACCTTCCGGCACCAGGACCCTGCTATCGCTGGACGTACTAGAGCTTATGGGACGTTTCCATCTCTTCTCACTTTGACTTGAAACCCACTTGTTGCTGCGCTCAGGTCGCATTTGTCTCGTGTGTCTTTGCATACAGCTTCAACCTCATTCGCTTCCGCGGCCCGCATCCCGTACACAGGCCCACACCACGGCCACCCGGCAGGCAACGGCCATTTCCTGTCTTCTGTCGATCCAGTCCAGTATTGCAACTTTCTGTTCAGCTCTCTGCGACCGCCATCATGGGGCTTTCCTACAACATCTACCTCAACTCATCTCGCATCTACGGTTGCAAGAACTGCAAGACCCATCTGTCTAACCACGATGACATCATCAGCAGAGTTAGTGCTTGACGAAACACCTGAATCAAACGCCTGCTAACACATCGCAGAACTTCCGCGGCCAACACGGCAAGGCATACCTATTCGATAGTGTCGTTAACATCACCGAGTCGGAGCCCAACGAGCGCAACATGACCACCGGCCGTCACAGCGTACGCGATATTCACTGCCGACAGTGTAAGGAAACTGTGGGCTGGAAATACGACAAGGCTTATGAGGCCAGCGAGAAGTACAAGGAAGGGAAGTTCATCTTGGAGGCAGAGCTGCTCTGCACAGTGACATGAGGCGGCACAGACGGCATTGATACACAACATCTTATATCGCATTTACATGGAGTTTGAGTACTGGATCATGCACAAGAGTTTTGGAGTTCGGACCGAATGTTACTGTATATAGCGACTTCAAGGGCCGCGAGGACAGGGCCAGGGGACCGGTCTGTTTTGGTATGTGGCTACATACATCCAGCTCGCCTCGACGATTGACGAAGTATCCACAGTACCTTCACGGAGATTCTTCTTTCGCAATGATATTCTCTCAGCAACACAACAGCCTGGAAACATGCCTTCCGTATGCAGCCTATTAACCCTGCCTCCGGTCGGCTGCGGGGTAAACTCCAACCTCGGCGGGGCTCAAGCTCGTCCCATTGTCACAAGAGCCTTGCAGCTTAATCAGGCAAGTGTCGTCAGAACCCGGAACGCAGGGCGTAGGGCGTATTTAGTGAACCTGGACCCACATCAGCTTGCGTCGACTCCATCGCGTGTTTTCGAACTTTCTTCTTCATCCGGTCACGCATCAGTTACCCCTCATAGGCCACAGCACAAGGTTCCAACCTACAAGTCGACTATCAAGGCAACATGTCGACAGATACGATGAAAGCTGTGGTGTTCCGAGGACCGGGTAAGATCACTATCGAGGATCGACCAATTCCTAGAATCAAGGATGACGGCGATATCATTGTCAAAGTGGACAAGGTACGTTGCTCACTTTTACGCCTCATTCATACTGACGTCCTGTAGACAGCACTATGTGGCAGGTTGGTCATTCCGGAATCTGTAATCTTGAATGGATTATCTAAAACTATGTGCAATGTAGTGAATTGCACGTCTTCCGAGGCCATCAGCCATCTGGGACCGACTTCATCATGGGTCACGAATTCACCGGACACGTTCATGAGCTCGGTTCGTCAGTCAAGTCTGTCAAAGTGGGCGACCGAGTCGTTTCGCCATTTACAACGTCCTGTGGAGAGTGCTTCTACTGCCAGCACGGATTCTCCTCACGATGCACCAAGTCCCTGCTCTTTGGCTCAACCGTCTTGGATGGCGCACAGGCACAATATGTCCGTGTACCAACAGCAGATGCCACCGTCATGAAAGCACCTCCTAACATCAAGGATGAAGCCCTGGTTCTTATGGCTGATATCTTCCCCACCGGCATGTTTGCAGCCAAGAACGGCTTCAAGCACTCCACCCCCGAAGAGATCAAGGACAGCGTTGTGGTCCTCATCGGCTGTGGTCCAGTAGCTCTCTGTGCCCTCTGCAACATCACAGACTACAAACCGAAGCACATCCTCGCTGTCGACTCTGTGCCTTCACGTCTCGAGCTTGCCAAATCTCTCGGCGCTGAACCTTGGAACTTCCAGACTGACCGCGAGGGTCTGAACAAGCGTGTCAAGGAGCTCACCGATGGACGAGGCGCGGACATAGTCATCGAAGTGGTTGGTCTTTCACCAGCGTTGAGGATGGGCTTCGAGCTGCTGAGACCTTGGGGTGTCATCTCGAGTGTGGGTGTTCACAATGGCGAGATCCCGTGGACGGGCAATGAGGCGTACGGCAAGAATTTGAGGGTGCAAATGGGACGTTGTCCCGTCAGGACACTTTTTGCCGAAGCGCTTGAGAGTCTGGAGAGACACCAGGACAAGCTTGGGTATGCTTATCTCAACAAAGAAGAGATTCAAAGCTGACTATTGCAGATTCATGGCTGACAAGATCATGCCATTGAGCGAAGCTGTCGAAGGCTATGATATCTTCGACAAGATGAAGGTACAAAAGGTCGTCTTCGAGGCACAAAAGTGATTGGATCGATAGGCGTTCGATGTTCAGCTGTAGGGAGCGGTGCATTGGGTGGTGTTGTGGCTGTGGGAAGAGCAAGCTTCAGGCGTTTGTTGGGTGAGGTGTAGCAATACTGCGAGCATGGGGTTGTGCCAGCACATGTCTGTATGCAAGCCTCCTTGCTCGAGTCCCTCGAGCAACCTTGCCGGTCCTGAGCATGACTCGCATACCACCATTTTACACCAATCGGAGGTACAAGCGGCAGAATATCCAATCGTCAAGCACAATCCAGGCCTGTTCTGCCCTGGTGCTGCCGCGCGTGGGGTCCTGATGGCTGTTGAGCCGCCGTTTGGCTGGCCGCGCACAGCCTGCGGGGTCGCTGTGAGGTGGACGGGGCGCGTTTGAAGCAAGTCACAGCAATTCACATCATGATCGTGCCTGCCATGCAAGGTGCTTGCTGTCGCTGCCAAAGTAATAGACTTGTGCATGCACGCAATTAAATGTCTCTCATCCACGTCTAAAGTTCTTGCCCGCAGCTGCATTCCTTCCTCCTCTGCAGCAAGGTGCCTCCTCTCGCTAAGAGCTAACTTCAGACCTGTCCCCAAATATTGCCTTGTCTAGCTGCGTCACCTTGTCACCTCACTCGACCGTCTGCTTGCCTTCGCTCGACAACACACCTCTCTTCTTCCTCTTCCACACCCCAACATCCCCCTCTCCTCCGCCCTTCATCTCCCCTCCGACTCTCTCACCCGCTCGCCGACCGCACCGACCACTTCCCCGCCACTGCCGTAATCGCCTGTGGGTAGCTACCTCACCACTGCTACACGTCAACAATTACTAACACCTGACGCGACAGTACACATCGGCGACCCTCAACACGCGCTCCACCCTCAGGCTCTTTCTGATCCGCAGCTCCTCTCCCTGTATGTATCATCCAACCTCATCTATTACCCCACCAGTACTGACAACGGTGGCAGCACTTCCTAGGCCATTTATACAACATGTCCGCCGAAGACTCCCAGAACTCCGCTGGCAATGCCAATGCGATCACCGATCAGCTCGAACGCCTGAATGTGGATGGCGAGGCAGCTGATGTCCCCCCTCGCACCGAGCAGGAGTACGCCGAGTCGCAGCTCACTCTCCGCGCCATCGTTTCGTCCAAGGAAGCTGGTGTCATTATTGGCAAGGCGGGCAAGAATGTCGCTGACCTGCGTGACGAGACTGGTGTACGCGCCGGTGTTAGCAAGGTTGTCCAGGGCGTTCACGACCGCGTGCTCTCCGTCACTGGCAGCTTGTCTGGCATCTCCAAGGCCTACGGTCTTGTCGCCAAGGGTCTGCTCGACGGCGCACCTGCAATGGGCATGGGTGGTGTCATTCGCAGCGACGGCACTCATCGTAAGTACACACACTATGGGCTAGACCGTACCGCGAGCGTTGTGCTGCGCATCTAAAATACAAGCTAACTCTCACAGCCATCCGTCTCCTCATCTCGCACAACCAGATGGGCACCATCATTGGCCGCCAGGGCCTGAAGATTAAGCAGATTCAGGATGCTTCTGGTGTTCGCATGGTTGCCCAGAAGGAGATGCTCCCTCAGTCCACCGAGCGCATTGTCGAGGTCCAGGGCCCTCCATCAGGTATCGAGAAGGCTATCTGGGAGATTGGCAAGTGCCTCATCGATGACCACGAGCGCGGCTACGGCACTGTGCTCTACAACCCCGCTGTGAGAGTCCAGCCTGGTGCTGGTCCCCTCACGACCAACAACGGTGGTGCCACGGCAAGCCTTAGCTCTGGACGCTCGTACAACCGCACTGGTCACGGCGCTGACTTCAGCGACTCGCCTCCCTCAACATTCCAGCGTCGCTCCGGCTCCGATGCTGCAAACCGACCCCCACCACCGACCCACACCGAAGACGGCGAAGAGATGCAAACGCAGAACATCAGCATTCCTTCTGACATGGTTGGCTGCATCATCGGCCGTGGTGGCAGCAAGATCAGCGAGATTCGCAAGACCTCTGGTGCTCGCATCTCCATTGCCAAGGCACCCCACGACGACACTGGCGAGCGCATGTTCACAATCACTGGTAGTGCCAGTGCCAACGAGAAGGCGCTTTACCTCCTTTACGAGAATCTTGAGGCTGAGAAGATGCGACGTAGCCAGGCTCAGGACTAGAGGTCTTGACCAACACCGTACGCGTCTGTGCTGAGACACGACTTGCCGAGACTCGTCTCGAGTGGGTCCTTGGAGGAGCGTACATCAAGCGAAAAGCATGAGTTTGCTTGATCCCTTTCCTGTTATTTGCTGATGGATACCACGGATGTTCAGGTCATTATTTCCTTTTTCTTTCCAGGACCGTTATTGTCGACAAGTGCCGATTGAGCACTACACGATGTGATGACTTATGGCTTTGATATCCGGATAGCACATCTGCCCACGAGTCGAGGCAGATGTGGCGTCCTGTTTTGTTTTGGATGGGTTTGGCGAAGAACAACAACAGCGAGGCAAGAAAAAGGTCATTCGATTAACCCAGAACTCCTACCTCGCTCAGACGACATTCTTCGCGCCTGGTCGCACTTCGTCAAGCCCGGTCACACTCTATCATCCGTCTCCCTCCCACCCTCCTTACCTACCGATTATTGCGAATACAATACCAATGACATCTACCTCTCCAGCCCTATCTACGCATCTGCAATCGCCGCAGGCGCAGCAGATCACTTTGTTGGTTATATACCTAATGTAGAATAGTAATGGACTGAGCATCTGATCACGAGACTTGATGTGCAGTGAAACAATTGTGAACCTTTTCGAACTGTATATTTATATTCTTCGTCTGATGCTGAATGACTTCTCTATGGTAATTGCCCCTCTCCATCCAATGGCGGCTGGGGCAAGCTCGCTTATGCAGTCGTATCGTAAATCGTAGCTTCGCCTTGAAATCCGCCGGCGGGATGCTAATTAACGCCGAATCCATGCAAAACACCTGCCTAATGCAAAAATCCAGACCCACGCTGCAAAGAAACAAACAGTCCTGGTGACGAGCCCAAGATCACCATCTTCAGGCTTCGCCCCTCACAATTCTACCAACAGCGCCTTTGACAAGCACCCACATAGGCCCCGCATTAACCTCCCTCTTTGCACTCCCCTTCCCCGGCGAACCACCCCCCTCACCGCTCAATCCACACTTCCTCTTCCACTCCTCCTTCCAGCCCCGCTCAACACTCTGCTGCTTCTCCTTAAGCAGCTGCCCCGCGCCCCGTTTCCCTTGCCTCTTATACCCGCGCATAAACGCCGTCCACTCTTTCCTCTCCTTCACGAAAATACCGACCCCGTTCCCTGCGTCGATGGGCGCCGAGTCGGCGACGATGCGCGCTTCCCACGCCGAACTCACGGGCTGGAATGTAAAAGTGTCGGTGTGTAGGACGTAGTATCTCTTTCTCTTGCCGTATTTTGATGCCGTTTGCGAGGAGGGTGTTATCCAGCGTGAGGCCGAGGACCAGATCCCATCGGCGACGGCTTCGTGGAGCAGAGACCTGGGGATGTAGTTCCGGCATGTGAGTATGAGCTTGTTGCGGAGGAGCGTCATGTTGATGTCTGGATGCGCGGGGGCGATGTTGGGTGAATAGGCTAGGAGGGGTTTGCTGGCGCGGGTTGAGCGGGTTGACGGTTTGAGGGTGGGTGTGTTGCTGTGCCCGCGTAGGACGGTTGTGAATGTGTGGGGGGTAGACATTGTTTGGGTTTGGACGGAGGCCATGGTGTGTGTATCCTTTTCTGTCTTGGTAGACTGTGTGTGGCTACTTGCCCGGTATTTTCGTAACAGCAAAAAGGCTTAAGAGGGGATGTACGATCGTTCAGTCTGCAAAACTAGAGAAGCAAGGAAAGTGGGACATCCACCGTCTTAAGAGTGCCATCAAACCAGCTTGGAATGGCCTAGCCCGGCAGAAACATGCAAGTCACTGCTTCGGAAATCAGTCGGGCTTGCATGTTGCTATGCGTCTAAACATGCACATGCTGCAAGTACCGCTGTACCCTGGCGGTCAATCATGTGGCAAGCATCCATGAGGACAAGCGAGAATCGCCGAACCTCACCGCACTACAGAGAAGACCTCATCTCACCGCATAAGAGTGCAGCCTCACTCTTGGGAGGGCACAATAAAGGAGGCTGTCCTTACCCAAGACATTGTCGTCGTTTCGATACAGACTCGTTTGGAAGGCAGTTTCATAGCATGCGAGTGGCCTTTGTAGTGCAAAGGTTCATGAAAGGTGAGGTTGGTAAGGATCTCTCAGAAAAGAAGCTAGCATCACCGCCTGTCCCCCTGATCCCGCGGTTACCCACTTGAGGAGGAAAAGCTGGGGGAAAAGCTAGACGTCAACACGAAAAAGACCGTTCAGGACCTGCGTGAAGCCCCACTCCGGCAAAGACTTCTGTAAGCTCAATCTGGTACGCTGTCGTTGCTCGGCACTCGTCTCTGAGTGAATGCAGAGGAGGGCAGAGGAGGGCAGTGGTGATGAGGATGTGAGACACGTCACCGTTGGTTGGCCGGAGAATTCGAGGGAAGTGCAGGGAAGTCGCGCCACGCTTCCTTGGCTTCGTCCCCTTCTGCAGCACACAAAGAACGATGCAGTGTCGATGCAGCCGACCTGCAGCGTGACACTGTTGAAGTACCCCATATACGCCGTCATCAGAGCGGTGACCAGACCTTCCACGATGTCCGTAAGGCCAAGGTACGGGAATGCGGTGCTTTGTCACTCCTGTCGTGTACCTTACTATGCGAGGTGGGGTGAGCAGCCTTGCAAGCTGACGCTGACAGCTGCTCGTTCCGAACGACGCGTTCCGAGGTTCCGATTGTAATTTTAGGATCTGAGGGTTCCACGTGCATTAGCGTTCCCGGAGCTTGATGCCACCTTTGACATTGGACGTTTGGACGTCGCCAATTTACTGAGTGAAGGGCCACTTGTCACTCCTTACTTCTTACTTTCTTTCTTGCAAAGCACGCGGTGAAGCTCTTGCGTATAGAAAAGGCGCACCACACTCCTTGCATCCTCCGTTCAACGCGCCACACTGCGCCTTGCGTTCAAACCATCAGTTCTCAATAGAGATCGATTGCGCCCGTTGATTCCGAACTCACCATGGCCACATCCGTGAAGCGTACAGCTTCTGAGGCGAAGAGCCAGGCCAATGGACACTCACGTCGCCTGTCCGGCGCGGTTCACTCGATCGAGAAGAGAATCGAAGAACAGGTGGACTTAGCTGCGCGAGACCCAGTTGAAGAGAAGAAGGGGGGCTACTTGCTGTTGGTCATCTGCGTTGGTGGAATCTATGCCAGCTTGTAGGTTATAGATTTCTTCTCTAAGGTACGAACGATGGAGACAGGAGCTGACAAGGAGATAGTCTGAGCTGGGCATACCTCCAGGAACGTCTGACAACCACTTCTCACGGTCCCTCGAACGCGCGCTTCACATACCCCGTCTTCCTCAACACCGTTCAATCCGCCTTCGCCGCCATAACAGGCCTCGTCTACCTTTTCTTCTCCGCTCCATACAACAAGACCACAGGCGCACGCCGCGTCCCGCCCGTCTTCCCCACAAAGCAGATCCTGTTTCCACTGCTCCTTGTCGCAATCACTTCGTCCCTCGCATCGCCGTTCGGATACGCCAGCCTCAAACATATTGACTATGTGACATTCACTCTGGCTAAGAGCTGCAAGCTGCTCCCAGTCATGGCCCTGCACATCACGCTCTTCCAAAAGAGATACCCACTTTACAAATACGCAGTCATCGTTTGCGTCACCCTTGGCGTATCGATGTTCACACTATACAACCCCTCCACAGCTAAGAAAGCAGCAAAGAAGAGCGTCAGCGCAGATGCCTCCAAGACCCTTGGTCTTTTCCTCCTTGGCGTCAATCTCCTGTTTGACGGCTTGACGAACACCGTCCAAGACAACATATTCACCAAATTCAGGGGCTTCAGCGGACCCCAGATGATGTGCGCTATGAACATTATGTCTACCGCGCTCACAGTCAGCTACCTCCTCGTCTCACCTTACATTGCCGGCACATCCCTCGGTTCCTACATCGGGCTTTCGCCCACGGGCAACGGCGAGCTCAGCGATGCGCTGGCCTTCATAACCGCATACCCGTCTGTGGGCTGGGATGTCCTCGGGTTTGCGGCATGCGGTGCGATTGGACAGATCTTCATCTACACCACGCTGGCACACTTCAGCTCGCTTCTTCTTGTGACGGTAACAGTCACCAGGAAGATGCTGACGATGCTGACGAGTGTGTTTTTGTTCGGACATACGGTGACGGGGATGCAGTGGGTCGGTGTTGGGCTGGTGTTTGGTGGTATTGGTGCGGAGGCTGCGTATGGGCAGATTGAGAAGAAGAGAAAGGCACAGGCGAAGCTGTTGGCGGAGGGGAAGAAGCAGTAAGCACACGAGTATAGACTAGGTGTTGAGATCTAGAGGCTCGTATAGACGGGAATGTAGAGAAACTCAAGGTTATCTCATATGATTCAGACCATAATCATCACTTATGCTGTTTCGTTAAGAGCTTGTGATGCAAGGCTGAGGCAGCGGCGGTGACGACCTGCATGAGCCCTACTTGCCTGCCTGGCCGTTCACTCAACATCCTCACTCCTCATCAACCTCTAATCCCTTGCACCACACCTTTTTGCTCAGCAGTTTACCTCTGCATGGCTTATCCCTATCCTGAGAAATCTACAGGATCAAGAGCGACATTCTGATTTTGCCAGCTTTCGATCCTCATCATGCGTCTCTTCAACATGGATACGCGGCTGCTAGAGGAGTTCATCGGCAGCGATATCCCCAATTTGCCATACTCCCTCACATATGGGAGAAAGAGGAGGTGTCTTATGCAGACTGCATTAAGGGTGATTACAGGCAGATGCAGCGTTACAGCAAGATCAACTTGACTTGCCGCATAACCAAAGAGCAAGGGATTCTATACACCTGGGTGGACACGTGCTGCATCGATAAGAGTAGTAGTGCCGAGCTTTCAGAAGCTATAAATTCAATGTTCCGTTGGTACCAAGAAGCGAAAGTATGCTATGCCTACCTCTCGGATCTGTCCCCCGGAACAGATTGGAGTGAAACCCTTCCATATTGTCGCTGATAAGTGTTCAGTCTCTCGGACGAATAACGTAAGGGATCTGCAGAATGTATAATTAGCAACGAGAGACTTGCAAGATGAATTTATCTGGCTGCTGCATCTGGCTCATCATAGGATCACTCGCGGATGGACTTTGCAAGAACTCATTGCACCTTGCCACGTTGTTTTCTTCGACTCGGTATGGGACACAACAATCGAGCCACAACAACGCAATAGAACGAATCTAGCCAGTTTGCTGTCGGACATCACGAGCATTGATAAGACACTGCTTGACGGCCGATGTTCTCTGAACGATAGTTACTGCATTGCCCGGAAGATGTCTTGGGCAGCACGCAGGGAGACTATCAGGTCGGAAGACAAGGTGTCACGGTTCAGGGTGCTCTTGCCTGTCGAACCTCACTTGCCATGAGAGTGACTGCCACGTCACACTAGCGTTGTTTACAGCTACTCACCTATACATACTGTCCGTAGCTTCACCCAATACAACCTCAGTTCAATCCGTCAATTCTTCCCATATGCGCACTGTCCACGCTTCCCGACACAAGGTGTACTGCCTGTTGGGACTCTGCAATATCAACATGCCACTACTATACCGAGAAGGAGAGAAAGCGTTCGTTCGACTACAGGAGGAGATTATGCGATCAACAGCCGATGTGAGTATTCTTGCTTCGCAACTGCCGTATACAGATTACTCCCGGAACTTTTCACTCGTCAGAAATCAATGGCGCAAGCCCAGTACCAAACTCGGACAACCTGCCTTCACATGTTATCCCGAGACTCTCATGTGTTCACACCCTGGCCTTTAGATTGGTATGATCGTGCAGATCAGGCCTTGTTTATCCAAAACGATCGCATGCGAGGTATGTGCACTATTAGCACCTATGTAGATATTCCACGCGCCAATACCTGCCGTCTTAAGCTGGTCGCACTCGGGTGGTCTGACGCAGCCATGAACGCGTAATTCTCTATCGTCAGAAGCAACGAATACGAAGCCTCTTTAGATGAGATCCAAGACCAAGCCGTTGAACAACACTGCTACAGGACAGCATTCTCGCGTACTCTGAAGCAACAAAAATCCCTAGGGTGATGTCGCTACACGAACCAATACATCTCAACAAAGCAATCGTCACAACGATCCATCCAAAGTAACATGCACCGAACGGTGATACATGCAGGAATAGTTACTACTCAGTAACGTTGTCGGTGGATTTACACGATGTGGCGAGCGCTCCTTCTATACGACAACTAGAGTGAACTGGTTTCCACTTACCGATCAGAGCGACGGGGAATGATTTAAACTCCGACAACCTATACAGATCTGGTTGCATCAACAAAAAGCACCTTACATCTCTCTCAAAGCTCGCTGATACGCAATCCCGAGCGCCACCCTGCCAAATTTAATCTTCCTATCTCTACCAAACAAACTGGTGTTGGCAACAGTCTGGACATCATACCCATCAGACCGTCTCACCAACTGTAGTAGCCTCATATCCTCACTGGGATCCCAACCTACATCGCGCCTCATCATCTCCTCCCAATGAGCCTTCGTTCCCTCCCCTCCATGATGCGGTAAGAAGTGCGCTCCGATAACCTGTAGGCTTAGTGTAGGCCCCATAATACGTCTGATGGTCAACAGAGACCATTCCTCATCCTCGGACCAAACACTGTTTTGTTCCTGAGAGTTCTCTACGTAGCCGGCGAGGTGAGGTGGCCACGCATCTTGTTCGTTGAGAGTGCCCCATAGCACCTTTTTCATGTATACGGGGAGGTTCGGAAGTGCTTCTAGTGTGGATCTGTGGAGCTCATTTACGCGTTGTGCGTGGGCTAGCTGCAAGGCTAGGGAAGTGGTCGTGAAAGGATCGTCTGATGACATTTTGGTTCAACGCGCGAAGAAATGAGATCTAGAAGGTATGATTTCCATTGAGTGTTGTCGTTGCTGAGTCTATAAAGCCTTTGGTTTGCGTTGCACATCACATGCTATGATAATATGTAGGTACGATGATCCCTAATCTCTTGGACTACGCAATCCGTCATAGTACGCCCTACACTCCTCTGCAAGCGTTCCAATCATGAACCTACCAGCAATAACTTCCCAAGACAGTCCAATCCGATCATGCAAAACCAGCAGTAGAGTCGTATCAGCTTCCTGCCACTCAATGTGCTGAGCCGTCCACTCCTGAGTCGCAAGACATGGACCACACTGCCATGCGTGCGGCCAACCATGCTTCTTGAAGGCTCTGAAAAGACTGACCTTTTGCGCGCTAGATATGCTCAGGGAAGCGATCGTGGCCATTTTGTGGCACTCAAGTGCGAAGTTGTACGCTTCGGTTTGAGAGGGCGTGTAATGGTGTAGATGGTTGCAAGGGCAACTGGCTCGGGGCTTGGGGGGCTTTGGAGTGTTGATACGTTGGGGCGACCGGACTTTGTCGCGGGACCAGGACATCGTAGATAGATGCTCAAACGTTAACGGTTCGCTATTCGCTGCGGCTGGTGCGTGCTGAAATGGGCTTTGTAAATGCATCAGCCGACAAGTCACCTGCATCTATTGATTGTGTTGATAGGTCATATGGCTCAACAATGTACAGCAATAGACAATCGGAAGACATGTCACAGGCACAAGCTAAAGATGGATTTGGTGATGCCAGTCAAAGGCAGATGGCATTCGGAAGTATATACAGAGAATGTACAGGGGTAGATAAAGAAGTTGTCGACTCAAACCATCAAAACAGGTTTGTCTCTATTATCCAACTCAAGGAAGCTATGAACGATGTTGATGCGAGATGCTTAGCAAGCTGCGCCAGAGCCGCTGGGGATGTTGGAACACTTGGTGCTCTTGGTTCCGCCAGTGATCTTGTTGCCGGACCACTTCCAGTTGGAGCAAGAGCCCTTACCGCAAAGGATGTAGGTCTCGACACCCTTGGAGGCGACGGTGCCAGTAATGCCGGAAACCTTGAGGTCGGTGATGGGGACACCGGTGGTGGGCTTGCCGGTAGGGGAGCCGTTCTCGTAGTCCTGCTGGATGACGATACCGTATTTGGCGATGTTGGAGAGGGTGATATCCTTGTAGGTGACGTTGGAGACGGAGCCAGTGGCGCCGGAGACGGTCTTGATACGGACACCGTTGTCGGAGTTGATGATCTTGGAGTTCTCGATGACAACATTCTTGACAACGTTGTTGGAGCGGCCACCGACGGAGCCGATGGACAGGCCGTGGCCACCGGAGCAGGTACCACCGACGAAGTGGATGTTGGTGCCAGAGTTAATGGCAAGGCAATCATCCTGGTTCTTGATGTTGGCGTTGGAGATGGTGATGCCAGTGGAGCTACCGACGTCGAAAGCGTCAGTGTTGTGACCACCGTTGGTCACATCACCAGCGGTGTTGTCGATGGTGATGTGGTCAAGGGTGAGGTCAGTGGCACCGTTGATGGAGAAACCCTGGACAGGGGTGTTCTTGACGTTCAAGTTGGAGATAGTGGACTGCTTCATGGAATGGGCGTAGAAGAACTTGGGCTTCGTCTTGCCACCGTTGGTGCCCTTGCCGTCCCACCACTTAGCGCCGTTGCCGTTGATAACGTGGCCGGAGGCACCCTTAACGGTGATTTTGGTACCGGAGACAGAGATGAGAGGACCTTCCCACTCCTTGTAGCCGAAGGTGGTGGTACCCTGGAAGGTAACGGTGGTTCCGTCCTTAAGCTTGGTAAGGTCGAGGGTGGTACCGGCGGGAACAGCGATGTTGTTCAGGACGATAGCAGTGCAAGAGGTCTTGCCCTTGATGGCGGAGGCAGCGTCCGAGAATGTGCAGCTGGCACGAGCATCCAGGCCCGTAGGAACAGCAGACACAAGCGCGCCAGCGCCGAGGAGGAGAGAAGCTTTGATGGCAACCATTGTGTTGTTGGTAAATGGAATGAGTGACTGAAGAAGCGAATGAATGAGAAAGAGCGAATGCAATGAATGACTGGTCAAATGATGGTGAGAGGCGTGAACCAGAGGTACTTATAGCAGCACCAGTCGCATGTACCGAAGCACCCGGCAAGCCTCCAGAAGCATGGTGCCGAGTGGATACGACCGAAGCTTGTCGCTCTTGGCCAAGCTTGTATCTACAGCAGATTAAGGGCCGCTGTGGAAATGAGTGGACCAAGCGAGTGGACCAAGCGAGTGGCGCCGATATCGACCCTTTTGACATGTAAGGCTGCAGGAGTTAATTCTCCGTGATCAGAGAAATACTACGTAGGCCTTAGCTTTGCAAGGCAACAGAGGAAGAAAACGATCAGTCTGTAACTTCATTATTGCGTTCAGTATTCATCGTGGTGAGATTGACGCCACGCAGCCACAACAACATGATTATTTGGCACAGAGGACAAGCTTTTCTCACGGAAGATCATGTGCCGTTCGTCCTCAAACAGGCAATGTGACCCTTGTCAGTTCAATTTGCAAGAGCAATGGTGAAACGAAACGCTTGCGATTCCGTGAGTCTAGGTGTGTGGCGTGTGGAGTGGTTTCCAAACACCTCGTGTTGACGCTTGACGAGCACAACGAGGTAGGCCCCGGAGATAAGGCAGGTCTCCGATTGATGGAATGTTTGCGCATTGGTGGTGCTCATATGAAGGGCGACAGATGTCAGTGAGATGGTGCCGGGAGCGGGACCGAAGATGGCGAGTACATGAACTAGATTTAGAACGGCAAGGTGCCCACTAGCCACACAGTAGCAATGCCACTAACCCACGCCTTACACCAGATTCTGCAGGCACGCATCAACGCTCATCTATCGAGGTCTCCATCTGTCTCGCCATGTAGCCTCAGCCCATTCTTCTGGGCCGTTACCCGAGCAGATTGTGACGTGCAGTCTGGAGCCTCGGCGACATGCATCCGCACGAATGGGCGACCGGTTCACCGCTATGTAGGCGTTGGACCCCCTTCGCTTCCAGAGAATTTGCAAACTTGGTTCCTTGCCTGACTCGAGTCTTTTACACCCCACAGTCCGTTGGCAATCGGACTCTGAAGCCCCCTTTTGGCAGAGTGTCCACGAACAGTGCCCAAGCCACCCAGTTCCTCAACAACACCCTCGCCATGTGTACTGCGTCTTCTCTCAGTTTGACGATCACGGCGTCTTGTACCTCACGAACCATCATGAGTCCCTTTTGAGGGTTTCCAAGATATCGAGCCAGCCAGTCTGCGCACCAGAAGAGGTAAAGACTGCGTGTACGAAAGAGCTGCAAACTTTCGTCGGTTACCCATGGCTCCGACGCCACTGTCACCTCCTTCTCCCCGTCAAGTGCATTGGCGAGCGTAAATGACAAAGATCCAATGGCGGGAAGGAGGAATGAACTGTCAATGAAGCCTACACTGGTGAGTTCGAAACATCTCGTTTTCAGCCTGTGTCCGACCTCGCGGATGGTGCTGGTCGATATCAGGTCCTCACTTGTGTACGGCATCATCATGTACTGCTCGTACTGGACAAGCTTACGATACGTAGAAACACCTGGCTGGTCCCTTATAAACCTTCGGGCATACTCACGCTCTGCATCGACCGGCGATTGCGGAACCAGATCCATACCGACCGACAGATGCACGTCTTGTAGAGCCTTGTAGCATACAGATTTCGTGAACCCGGTCGAGTTGTTATGAATACCAGAGATAGGAAGATCGTCCCGCACGCCTCGGAGAGCGGCTGGAATGCTGTTCTGGTTCGCCTTCCGCCAGACTTGGTACCGACGCTCCATGACGGTGTCCTGCGAGCCAGGTGATTGCGGTGGCTGGACAGGCACATCAAGCAAGGTCAACATGTCAAGCGCTGGCTCGAAAGAATTCTCGGTAAACAGCAAACGGTGAAAGGCATCAGCATAATCCTGGACAGGGAATTGGGTAATCAAGTTCGAAAGCGCGGGTTCTTTAACCTGGCGACCGATAAGGTCTGGCGTAGAGAATATCTCCAGATCCTCGTTGGTGATTGTGTTGACATGGAAGTCCAGGCTAATGCTGCAACGTGTGGCTTCTGTATTTTGACAATCGTACCACAAGGCTGCCTTTCTGGAGTTGTAGACGATTGTCATCGGGCTAGCCGGATTATTTTGACCGGCCGCCGAAAGTGTCATCAACGGCTGAGGTGTATCGGCACCTGCTAAGAAGAAATTGTGACTGCCAGATGGTCTTGTCCATCTGCTGTTGTGTGTCTCCCACACCAACGTGATCCTGTACTCGTCGAAAATGTCGCTGGAATCACCCTCTGCATGAAAGTCAGGAATACCAGCTGCTGAGTTGCCTTGTGATTTCCACTCATGGAAGTGAGTGGTGTTGGCCGCATTGACCGCGCCTCCCATGCGATAAGCTAGCAGCGCGATGCTGAGTGGGTGCAGGAGAGCGTGACTAACCGATTCGCTGTGTAGCAGGTCGCACAATGTGCCAGCATCTTGGTTGTTGTCAGTGTCGGTCAACACAATGTCCTCGTTATCGGCAATGTGGAGAGCAATAGCTTTGACAGCGTCAAGGGTTTCTGCCATCTGCACAAAGCTCTCGATTAGCTTGTCTGCATCGTCTCGTTTTCCGCACGCATTGCGGAGTTGACGAAGAAAGCTGTCGCGATACCGCTCTTTCTTCTCGCGATCCAACACGCTTCGAGGATCTTTCTGAAGAACGCAGGTCTGCTGGCGAAGTGCTATTCTGTCAGTAACAAGCCGGCCCTGATCGCATGCTTGATACGCGATGCCTACTTGAAAGGCTGCCGGTGCCTTCATGCTTGCTTTAAAGATTTGGAGTTGGCGGGTTTGGAGGTTAATCGTCTTCCGAAAAGTCCACAGCGATCGAGCTTGGCCAGGGTCTCGCTGCGGCAAGAATTCAAGATGAAGTGAAGTTGAGCCAGGCTCTGAGAAGTGGTGGAACGGTCGTTGATGATCAGGCAACGCGCTTGACAGTCGCAAATCGTTTGCCGCAGCTGAAGAGTAAAAGCAAAGCCCTCAAAGAACATGCTTGATAAACATTGCCATCAAAGGCGGAGCACGGTTACCGAGCTTGAACTTATCACTATTCTTTCGAACTGAATTTTTTTTGTTTGGCTACTGAAGTCCGGTGATGCATTGCGACAGGCTGACGAACAATAGTCAACCTGCTCTCGTTGTGAAAGGAGCCTATAGCCGTTGGTCTAATGGCTGATATGACACGGTCGCTGAAATTCGCTACCATGCAGTACGAGTAATGCGTGACTATCGGGGTTGCTGCTTGAGGCGAGCAGCGTTGCAACAGCAGGTAGACCCTGAGCCACTCTTTTATGAACTTGCAAGACTCTTTTTTGAAAGCAGGGGCCGCCTGATGGAACTTTCTCTACTGGAAGCCTGGGAAGGTAGACATATCGAGTAACACTCCCCATAACAACAATTCATACTTCTTGAAAGTTGAGAGTCAGATTAGTGAGGGTCTTCGATTCTATGCTCTAAAGTGCAGTTCTTTCTCACCCTTCCAATTATGTGCAGAATCGTGATTGGCAATATATGAGTATGAAGCGAAGTCAGAGAGAATTTCTAATGAAGCGATGTTGTGTACAAGAGTAGTGGTTGGGCGGTTGTTGAATCAACATCGATGACGTACCCCGCACTACGGCTGCCAATCCAAACGATTGCGCAGGACCCACTCTCGAAAGCAGCAACAACGCGGTCCTGCATCAACACAGCACGAATACCATCACCATAAGAGCTACTAATCATCTCAGAGTACTCACAGGGAAACATTTACCCAACTGGAGGACTTGCACAAGGACATTGGCAGTGATGGCATCTCCGGCACGACCTCGCAGATTCGCACCACTGAATCCAGAGAAGAAAAGGGAAGGGGATAAACGGCCTATCTTGAAGGGCGTCGTCTTCGATGTTGATGGAACACTGTGTTTACCCCAAAATTATATGTTTGCACAGATGCGGTATGGGTACGCTCACACAGGGTTGCAACTAGCACTGACAGACTCCAGGTCCGCTCTCGGCATTGACAAAGGCACAGACATCCTGGACTATATCTACTCCTTACCTGATTCCGAACAGGAAGAAGCTCAGGAAAAGGTTCGAGATATCGAGCGTACCGCGATGAAGAAGCAGAAGCCGCAAGCCGGTCTTGTTGAGCTCATGGACTACCTGGATTCGCGGGGCCTAAAGAAGGGCATCTGCACACGAAACTTTGATACACCTGTCGAACACCTCCTCACCACTTTCCTACCTTCATCAGAATTTAGTCCCGTTATCACACGCGAGTTCCGTCCGCCAAAGCCGGACCCTGCTGGTATCCTGCACATCGCAAAGCAATGGATGCACGAGGACGGCGGTGACAGTCTGATTATGGTTGGCGATTCCATCGACGACATGACTGCTGGGTTCCGTGCAGGCGCAGCTACAGTGCTACTTGTCAATGACGTCAACAAGCACCTTGCTGAGCATCAGCATACAGATCTTGTGGTGCAGCAGCTCGATGATTTGATTGAGATACTGGAGAATGGCTTCGAAGGCAGAGTTGAGGCTGATAAGGAGGACGTCGATGCGAAAGGACTGGTACAGGAAGCCACGAAGAAGAGCTGATGAGCGCTCCAAAACAATCGCCCTAAGCTCAAGACCTGTCAAGACAACGTAGCATTGTGTGCATGTTGGCATGCAAGGAACGTCGTGACGACAATTGATAACGGTCTCCGAAGCAACACAAGGTCGCAAGTACCCTGCATGTTTACTAGCTGCATTGCGTTGTGAGTATTGACAGTATGCAGGTACATCACTGCACAAACACCATCACAGTTGGTTGATTGGTTTAACGTTCTATGTGAGTGTGAGACTTTGGAAGACGATCTACCACATTTGCTGCGACAGTCTGAACCTTTCAAGTCTACACGCAACAGCTTAATCGGCACTGACCGCTACGCATTGCGCGCGATTGCCAAGATGGCGTGTTTACTCTGCGCCTATCGATGATGCAACCATTGTGGGGTAGGCTGGCGGCTGCACCAAGCTTCGGCCTTAAACCTTAGGCGCCCAACTCTCTGAAGCATCCCCAAGCTTCCCAAGCATTCTCTACGGACGCCTCCTCATCTCGCATGTGTTGGCGACAACTGCGAACCATTCATATCATGTGCATGCGAACTAAACACTGTAATGATGGCACTGAACACAGGTACCTCCTCCATCCGGGCATTGTCCGTGTCTCGCCGCGATTTGGCTGGTAAACCATCCCTTAGGTGCACACCAATCACGGGCTGTACATGCGACAAAGTTGACCCACACGACCACATCGTACGGCATCGCTTGGTATTCATAGCGAGGTCATCGTCCCTTGCACAAGAAACCCAAGCACCGTGAAGCGTCCGTTCGTCTGGGCACTTGCTTGCGCCTTCTTGATTCGGGGGGCTTGTTTATCTCAATTCGAGTTACCGGGTATATGCAAGCACTATATCTTCAGCACTCCCACCTTCCTGCCTTCGCAAGGCAACAAGAAAGTCCATCACCATGAAAAATTCACTCATTGCTGGCCTTTTGGCTGTCGCTGGCGCCAACTGCAAGCCGACCTCGCACATCGAGAGCGAGACCGTCAATGTCGAGAATTTGCAAACAGTACCTCAAGGGTGGACCGCAATTGGTGCTCCAGCAGGGTATCACAAGCTCCCCTTCCGCATTGCGGTTCGTTCGGTACGTCGTTTCAGCGTTCTTGTCCACAACTAAAGATGCATTCCGATGATTGAGATCTTCACACGTGGGCAAGGTCGCACCCGATCGCAGATCGCTGACTTTGCGCAGGCTGATAGTGTCATCCTAGAGCGAACGCTCATGGAGGTCTCAGACCCCAGTCATGCTCGCTATGGCAAACACCTGAAGCGTGATGAGCTCAAAGACCTTGTCAAGCCCCGTGCCGAGTCTACCAAGGCCGTTCTGAGCTGGCTTGAGGAGTCAGGTATCAGCTCTGCAGACATCAAGAACGACGGCGAATGGATCACTCTCCACGCCCCTGTCGAGAGAGCCGAGTCGATGCTGGGCACCACTTTCAAGACCTACCAGAACGAGGTTCGCCCAGATGTGAAGAGGATTCGATCTCTGAGCTATTCCGTGCCAAAAGCTGTCCGCGACCACATCGACATGATCCAGCCGACTACTCGTTTCGGCCAGATTAAGGCAGAGCGCAGCAACGTCCTTACGCAGGAAGCCGCTCCGTTCTCTGTTGCTGCAGTCAACGCCACTTGCAACACCACCATCACCCCAGCTTGTCTCAAGGACTTGTACAACTTCGCCGACTACAAGATTGACCCCAATGGTGCCGTGAAGCTCGGTGTGAGCGGCTTTTTGGAACAGTTGGCACGCTACGCGGACTTGCAACAGTTCACTTCGACATTTGCGCCAAACGCTGGTAGTAACTTCTCTTCCACTTCCGTAAATGGTATGTCTGTTGCTCTCAACTCAGCAAAAAGTCACTGACATCCGCAACAGGCGGCACGCTGGACCAGAACGCTACCGATGACAGTGTTGAGGCCAATCTTGATATTGACTACACAGTGGGTTTGGTCGACCCTAGCATCGAGACAACCTTCTACAGTACCGCTGGACGTGGCATCCTGGTCCCCGATCTTGATCAGCCATCTGAGGCGGACAACGCCAACGAGCCTTATCTTGATTTCTTCACTTACCTTGCGGGACTTCCCGATGACGAGCTTCCTCAGGTCCTTTCGACCTCGTATGGTGAGGATGAGCAGAGCGTGCCCGCCACCTATGCTAAGAAGGTGTGCGACATCATAGGTCAGCTCGGCACCCGTGGTGTGTCTGTCATCTTCAGCAGTGGAGATACCGGTGTCGGCTCAACATGCCAGACTAACGACGGCAAGAACACCACTCGCTTTTCGCCCATCTTCCCTGCTTCCTGCCCCTACGTTACTTCAGTCGGAGGCACTTACAGGGTGGAGCCTGAGCGGGCAGTCAGCTTCTCCTCAGGCGGTTTCTCTGATCTTTGGAAGCGTCCTGCTTACCAGGACAAGGCAGTCAGCACATATCTTGAGAAGCTTGGCAGCCAGTGGGAGGGTCTCTATAACCGCGATGGACGTGGTTTCCCCGATGTTGCTGCTCAAGGTCAGGGCTTCCGTGTTGTAGACAAAGACCGTCAGATCTCAGTTAGAGGCACTAGTGCCTCAGCACCTGTATTTGCTTCCGTCGTCGCACTCCTGAACAACGCTCGTCTTGCCGCAGGCCAACCTGCACTTGGCTTCCTGAACCCATGGATCTACAGCAAGGGCTACCAGGGCTTCACTGATATCAAGGATGGAGGTTCGACCGGATGCACTGGCAGGTCGATCTACTCCGGTCTTAAGGCGGCCCTGGTGCCTTATGCATCGTGGAACGCGACTGAGGGCTGGGACCCGGTTACCGGCTACGGTACGCCCAACTTCGGTGATCTGCTTGAGCTCTCACAAAGCCGGTCTTACAGTGTGCCTAAGGAGTGGCGGGCATAGGCCTCTCGTTTGCGGACCAAGCTGGGCATAGTAGTAATAATAGTGCTGTAGATTAGCATAATAACTTTAAAACAAACATTCGAATACCCCGTTGTCCTTCTTTTGAGTCGCTGAAACCACGAAGGCGAAGTTGAGGGACATGGCTTTGGATCTGCATAAGCGCTACTGCCTCGCTTCATTCGTCGTGGGCAGCCACAACCGTCAAGGTCCAAACCTTCTCGACACCTCAACTCCTCCCCCACACCAACCCAGACGCTTCCACTTTTATTTACGATGCTTTCTTATCCCGACATGCGATTACTAAACTTCTTGCCGTCTCGCCTTCGGCTTCAAGCCTGCGAAAGCATTCCGCCGCCATCCCTGCGAGCTGCCTCATCCGGTTAATGCTCTCTTATCTGCAACAAGCATTGGCCACGAAGCTTGAGCCGTCTCTCACTGTTACAACGAACCAGGAATGCTCTTCTGGAAGCACCGAACCGTTCGCCTTACATGAGTACCTTGACTATCGCTATTCCCGCTCTAGCGAGTCGCATCGTAGCGCACATGAGCGACTCGCGTGTCAAACATGCCTCACCAGCCTGATTGGTCGTTGCAACCAGGTACAAAATGAAAAGAGATATTACTCCGATATCTGGGTGGTGTGGAGGAGAACGGCTCCGGCGTGTGGGCCCGAGTTAAGCTTGTCGACGCGGTGGCGGGGCTTGGTGAAGCTTTTTCGCGGTAGCTTGGAGATGCTGGAGGTTGCCCGCGGTTCGAGACGTCCCCGTAAACAGCTTGCTGTTCCTGTCTACAGAGCCCTTTCGATAATACAGCTCTGGGCTTGTTTCAGACGAAAGGAATAGAGCCTATGATGCTTGTCGCAACAAGTCCATCGAAGAAGCAAGCTTACACAAGCTCAACACCGATGACTTGGGAGCTCGAAGAAGTTTGTGGAGTACGACAACGTCCTGCCTAATGCGGTATGAAGCCTATCCATGTTTGCCATCGATTCAAGCTATCACGGTCTGTGCAGTACAACCGTAGATAATGTCGCGTTGCGGTAGGTAAGCTCCGAGGTGACGTCGAGGCCTGATCCTGGGCCGATTTTGTACTTGAAGTCGAGCGCAGCCGCATCCTGATCTTTAGCAAGCTTTCGAGACAAGTTCCACGAACAGCCAATATGCAGCTCATTACCTCACTCCTGGCCATTGGTGGCATCGCGACCAGCGTTGCTGCACGCAACCCTGCTAAGTCTGTTGGCAAGAAGTTTGATCTTCCTAAGCCGCAGCTTGCTCGCTCCTCGCGTAATGTGCAGCATGTCAAGCGCCAGTACACCGTGAACGAGACAACGCCTATCATTACAGCTCCTACTGCTAAGAGTATGTATCGCAACAATAATTCCCAAGTCGAGTGCTAACCAAGCGATAGAGTTCGCTGTCAATGGTACTGCTGGTGCTATCCCGGACGTTAACTTCGACATTGGCGAGTCGTACGCTGGTCTTCTGCCTATCAGCGACAAGGTCAACGAGACCTCTGAGCTATACTTCTGGTTCTTTCCCTCGGGAAACCCAGATGCCGGTGATGAGGTCACAATCTGGCTTAACGGTGGCCCCGGTTGTTCGTCTCTCGAAGGTTTCTTGCAGGAGAACGGTCCTATTAGCTGGCAATACGGCAGCGGACCTCGCGCGGTCTACAACCCATGGAACTGGCAAGTACTTCCGGACCAACTCAGAAGGTTCAATCTCTGACTGCACATAGGGCAAACCTGACGAATATGGTCTGGGTTGAGCAGCCAGTCGGCACCGGGTTTACCCAAGGCACACCTACCGCAACTAGCCAGGAAGAGTCTGCTGCACAATTCCTCGGTTTCTGGAAGAACTTCATGGAGACTTTTGGTCTTACCGGTAAGAAGGTCTACATTGCCGGCGAATCGTATGCCGGACGTTACGTTCCATACATCGCAGATGCTATGCTGAACGAGAACAACACCGACTACTACGATGTCAAGGCTGCCATGATCTACGACCCCAGTGTCGCCGAAGACACTCTGCTCGAGGACATCCCGGCTGTTCCTTTCGTCGATCGCTGGTCTGGTCTCTTCAACTTCAACGAGACCTTCACCAAGGACATCCATGACCGCGCTGACAAGTGCGGATACACCAAGTACATGGAGAAGTACCTGACCTTCCCTCCTGTCAGCAAGCTTCCCACACCTTCTCACAACGCCTCGAACCCCGAGTGTGCTATTTGGTCAGACATCTACAACGCTGTCATGTTGACCAACCCCTGCTTCGACGTGTACGCCGTTGCTACTACCTGCCCTCTACTCTGGGACGTACTCGGCTTCCCCGGGTCATTCGACTACCTCCCTCCTGGTGAGGACAACGTCTACTTCAATCGCACTGCCGTGCAGAAGGCCATCAACGCACCCATCCAGGAATGGAACGAGTGCTCCAACGGCGTTCTTGACACCGACACGTCGCCCCAGTCCAGCTGGGAAGTCATTCCCCGCATCACCGAGAAGCTTGACCGCTTCGTCATCGTCCACGGCGAGCTCGACTACATCCTTCTGTACAACGGCACTCTCATGACCATCCAGAACATGACCTGGGGCGGTCTGCAGGGCTTCCAGGAGGCTCCCAAGGACGAGTTCTTCGTGCCATACCACGAGGACATCAGCCTGACCAGCTTGAGTGCCAAGGGTGTCATGGGTACGACTCATACTGAGCGCAAGCTCACTTGGGTCAGCCAGGCTCTGTCTGGACACATGGTGCCTCAGTACCAGCCCAGCAGTGCGTACAGGCAGGCTGAGTTCCTGCTTGGCCGTATTCCCAGTCTGACATCGACCGAGCCGTTCACCACGCTCAAGGGCAACTCGACTGCGAAGAGGGATCTTGGGGTTATGCGCGGCTACTAAGCACGGAATTGTGGGTAGTGTAGATGACTTGATGATGTAATGTATGTTGCCTTTGGCGCACAAGTGAATGATTTGGATGATTCTTCATCAAGCTTCTCTCGAACCTTCTGTGACTCGGTGCAATTGTTTGCCCATTAATGGCAAGAGGACGCCCTTGGTTTTCCGGTGCAAAGAGGACCCTGTTCGGCAGCTTTCCGCCTCAACTGCCCCACGATGACCTCCGCCCTTCTCCCCGCCGGGCCAACGACATCAATACCAGCATGCCCACCATGACATCTTTCCGTACAGCAACATCTCTACGCCCACTTGGCCCACCAAACAAGCCATCATGTCGACCATAGACCTGCCATTGACGCGCGAATCCATCGTCGCCGCACACGCCCTTATCAAACCACACATTCACACCACGCCGGTGCTCACCAACACCACGCTCTCGCACCTCGCCTCCACGCCCCAACGGCCTGAAGCACTGAGGGGCACGCCATGGGAGGGACAAGAGCCGGCGAAGCCGAAGATCAGGCTATTCTTCAAGGCGGAGAATTTCCAGAAAATTGGGGCGTTCAAGGTTAGGGGCGCGTTCCACGCGGTGCTGAGGCTGGTCGAGGAGAAGGGGATTGAGGAGGTTAGGAGGAAAGGGGTGGTTACGCATAGCTCTGGTATGTCTGCTCCCTACGCAATTGCCTTGGTGATGGGCAGGTGGGTGAGAAGGCACACTTGGTCCTCTCACCCCAACTCCACACCACACTTGCCAACCCATCCATAGAGCCCGCAATGGATTTTAACGCATCTATACACAGGCAACCACGCCCAAGCCCTCGCCCTCGCCGCCCGCACCCTCTCGGTCCCCGCCCACATCGTCATGCCGTCCATCTCGACGCCCAGCAAGATCTCCGGCACCCGCGCGCAGGGCGCCATCCTGCACTTCTCCGGCTCGACCGCCGCCGAGCGCGAAGCCGTCGTCGCAGACATCATCAAGGAGACGGGCTCGACCCTGATCCCGCCGTACGACCACCCGCACATCATGCTCGGCCAGGGGACTATGGCGCTCGAGTTCGAGGAGGAGGTCGCCAAGATGCTGGAGGAGAAGCCCGAGTTGAGCGTGCACTACAGAGAAACTCGCGGCGAGGAAGAAGGGAAAGCGAAGGGGCGGAAGGGAGGCGTGTTAGACGCGCTCATCGCGCCGTGCGGCGGCGGCGGCATGCTGTCTGGCAACGCGATATACTTCCACTCCACGCCCACCCTTGTCTTCGGTGCCGAGCCAGAGTTCGAGGGCGCAGATGATGCGCGCCGCGGCGTCGCGGCCGGCGAGCGCATCACCTCTGTCAAGACTCTCACGATCGCGGATGGGCTGCGCACACCGTTGGGTCCGCACACCTGGAAGGTTATAAGTGACAAGGATTATGTGGCCGGTCTCTACGCCGTCACTGAACAACACATCAAAGACGCACTGCGCCTCGTTTTGGAGCGGATGAAGTGTTTCGTCGAGCCCTCCGCGGTCGTGGGCCTCGCCACCGTACTCTTCAACGAGGATTTCAGGAGGCTAGTAGAAAAAGAAGCAGGCGAGGAAGGGTGGGATGTTGGGCTCATATTCAGTGGAGGGAATACGACTATCGAAGCCATTGTGAAGATGTTCGGCGACGTGGATAAGAAGGAGGCTGCGAGGGGAGAGGGTGTTGTAGGCGCCGACGGTAAGGAGGTGGCTGAGAATGTTGCTGGGTGAGGAAGTCTGGAGGGCCCTGGTATGTGGAGCTATGTCGAATGGGAAGTGATGGTGGTGTGTTAGCTACAATGTCTCAATGGTGAGTGATCACACAAGCATTGATGAGCGTGGAGTAAGTCAAGTAAGATCGTTGTATTGATGTTGTTGATGTACAACAACATGAAGAAGTCTATGCTACTGACCACCAAGGCCACTACAGCAGCTGTTCCGGGTGCTACCCACAAAATACCAATCCAGACACCATCAAACACCAACACCAATCTACTCCACCACAACAATCCTTTTCTTCACCTCCTGGTGCTCCTTCCTCACAAAATCAGCGTCGTCGGTCACGGCCAGCAAAACCTTGCCGGCCGTGACCACGAAGTTTATCTCCTCCAAAACGCGCAGGAAGGCGTCGTCGACCGGGAAGAGGCGGAAATCGGTGCGAATATGGAGATCGAGGAAGCGGAGATTGCAAAACCCATAATTTGGGTTTGTGAGACGAAGAAGAAGTTGTGCGGAGGGGCAGAATGCCATCATCTGGTCGACAGTCGTGACCTTTCGGCTTTGGCGGCCAATCCAGCTTGTTCGCGGAACGGTGAAGTCAGTTTGAGAAGTGAAGTAGTAGTTCTCAAGAACGATCTCGATGCGCATTGAGCGCAGGTGGTGACGAAGATAAGGGTGCGGAAGCGGAGCCGGAAAGGAGGTAAGGTAGTCAGATGCCAGGTTGTAGGGAGCATTGTGCTTGAAGCTGAAGTTGAAGTTCCCGTAGAAGGCTTCCATGAAGAATGAAGCGAAGTCGACGGAGACGTTGCGGATCCTGTTGACGGCATAGTGGCGGTTGAGGATGTTGAAGATATGCGGACTAATGACGGTATTGAACCTTGAAGTCTCAGGAAACATAGTTGTGGCAACAATTTTGAAGATCTGCAGGAGCAGTTCGTCTGGCAGACGAGAAAGCTGAGGACCGAGCGTAGAAACGGAGGCTAGGATGGCAATATGTGGCATCGAAGCTGACGTCGGGGTAACCGGCTGAGTGCTCATCTTGACGGTAATGGCTTGAAGGGGAGTTTTGAGCTGACGTGATTGAGAGAGAGAGAGAAGAACGTTCGGTAGCTGAAGAGGCTGGGAAGTGCGAAGAGTGGGCCTTTATGTAGGGAGCCTCTATAAGCCTGCGCTGTGGAGCATGTCGAGCATGGTGCTCTCATCGTGAGTTCAAAGGAGGTTGGGGACGCAGACGTTTGTCATATGGAAACTTGAAGATTGGTGAAAGCTGGGCTCGCTGTCGCCTACGTGCATCGTTATTCGTCGAAGTGCCTGATGTCGGAGACTGGAGAAGGGAACGGCCCTTGTCTAGCCGACTCCGCGATCGTGTCTAGTGCCTGGGACCTTAGCGATCGAGCTCCGATTGGCAAGACTTTGGCCGTATCGTAACGCCAAGCGAAAGCCGGCAACAGGTATCGTGGAAGAGCTCTTCATCCTCATCGTTGTTGCTCCAATCGCGCCTGGAAAGGGGCTGGCATCGTGAGTTCGAGTCTCCGCGGGACTTCAGTTGGAGAGGCAGCATCCTTGGGAGCGAGAATGTGTAGGGTGACTGCAAGCGCGATAAGCATTGGGTTCAGAGGTGAAATGCCGAGCAGCGACAGTACTGGTCATCTTCGCTTGTAGAGCCAGCATGCACACAACGCATTTATAGGAGGGTTGTTGACGGCGGTTCTCGGGGTGTGAGCCGCTCGTGCAGTGTCCGTTCCGGTAGCAGCAAGGTGACATGGAAGAGATGGATGCGAGGGCAGCATGGCTCTCTTCGATGTAAACAGCACTCGAGTCATCGGCTCGTTGGAAGTAGAAGCGTTTGCGAGAGGTTTCAATCGTTCGTATGGCCGTTGTTGCGGATTGGGAATGTTCTTCCAGACACAAGTAGCAATGTTTGCCGTTGTGTTTTCAGAACCCCAGTGACGCAGTAGGACTTTCGCCTTACATCACGCTCACCATGAGTAGGAGCGAGGCGATGCAGGCAGTCTGCTGGAAGGTTGCGAAATGAAGCTTCCGAGCAAGTGGCGATCCTCGTAGATTGAGCAGACCTGTGACAACGATGAGTGCACATCCGGAGGCAAAGGACATTGAGAGAGGCGGACATGGACGATGTGACTGCTTGCTGGCTAGTTTCAGTTGAGAAAGTCAGATGTTGGCTCAAATAGTACGAGATCGAAGATGATGACTGTGCTGCTACGCCATTACTGTGACTGTTGGACTGCTGGACTGCTGCAAGCTGTGTGAGTGTGTCAGTGTGGTTAGTGCAGAGGTGAGATGATTCGAACGTCTGCGAAGCTGTTACGCTTGCATGACTGTTCGATGATTGAATGTTGACGATACCGCTGCTCGCTACAAAGCCATGTGAAGGCTCGAGCTGCTGAGCGTTGGCACAAGCATTGGTGATGGATTATGGTGTTGAAGTGAGAGGAAAGCACAGCGGAGAAGACGTTGTTTACTGGCGGTCCGTGCGCCGGCTCCAGTTGCGGTTGCCCCGCAAGCGACACCGCTAAAGTCATCTCACCTGGAAGCGGTCTGAAGCTTCCACCTCCAATGTGCAATCGGACGAAGGCATTGGAGATGCCATGACCAAGAGGCCTTACGAAAGTATAGCAGCCTCGCCGTATGCAGCGCCCTCTGGTCGGCAAGCCTCTCACGATGCTGACGGCGACGGAAGTCACGAGGATGGTGAAGGGTCATCGCTAAAGAAGCCGCGATCCTTCATGGCCACTTTGGTATGTCGAAATGCTTCATTTTCGACCGGATCAATGCTAATCTACGCAGGCCTGCGATATCTGCCGATCCAGGAAGACACGATGTGACGAAGACCGACCAAAATGTGGCTATTGCCGGACCATGAATCTGGAGTGCACTTATCAAGTACCTCGGGCTACCAAAAAGGACCAGTCGATGACTGTGGCGATCAATGCTATCCGTCGTCTCGAAGCCAAGATTGAAGATCTGACGGCGGTGGTGAGTGCTTCGAAGAGCGCACCTGCAGCGCCTACCCCAACCCCTGCACCGGCCCTGGACCATCGTTCGCCAATCTCAGCTTTCTCACAACCAAGTCCAAGGAATGATGCTCAAGGACCGCTTGTGCCGCGTCATGATCGATTGAGTGTTCATGAGCTTGCCATGTCACCGCAAGCTGCGGCGACACCAGGCAAGAGTCCGTTCGCCCTACCTGAGATGCAGAGCAAGGTACCACTTTCATTCAGTCAGCATCGAGTCGCTATATGGCCTGCAGTCAAACAGGTCTTGCCCTCAGAGTTTGTTGCAGCATGTGCAGAGTTACCTCAGGATTACGTCGCCCAGATCGAGAGCCACCGGGCGCCATTGCCAGTACACATTGATCCACCGATGGGTGCACACCCGGACTCGTGGTTGATGGACCTACCACAATCTGTTGTAAAGAGTATCGCCAATGCTTACTTCGCTGTCTTCCATCGCAACTCACCAGTTCTTGACAAATTCCACTTCTACTCGAGTACACTGGGCTCAGCGGTCCAGACCGAATTTGGTTTCGACATCGAATCATGCTTGGTACTGTCAGTACTCGCCCTAGGCTGCCTCGCCGTGAAGGCACATGAGGAGGGAGACTTTGCCTTACCATCGCGCTTTGGTTTACACGAAGGTGGCTTCGTTCGTCCAGACTGGTATGAGCTCATTTTGGACGATCAACCGGGACTGAAGTTCTTCAACGAAGCTCGAAAGCGATTCGGTTTCCTTATGACTCAGAACGGGCTACAGGCAGGCCAATACTACATGTTATCGACGCTTTACTATGCGCAGACCTTACGACCGATGGACTCTTGGACGACTGTAAACAGAGCAGCGCTGTGCTGTACAAGCATCCTGACGCGTTCGGAAATTGTTGACTTTGATGAGTGGGAAGGCGACATGTTCTCTCGGCTTTTCTGGAACACGCTGATGTACGAGACCGTCATTACACAGGAGTTGGATACTCTACCTCACAGCGGACTCCTCGAGTTCGAGCCTGACATACCGCTGCCGAAGTTCACACCCTGCCCCCGACCGAAGACCTCCATCTCTGGACTCATCACAGACGAAGATGAGTCGTTGTTCAACTTCCATTTTCTTGCTCAGGCTGCACATAGAATCATTCTTACCCGAGTCAAGCAGAACATATACTACTATGCTGCGAAAGAAGCCTTCCCAAACGCCGGCATCACCGCGGAGATGCACCATCAGCTCGAGCAATGGCGCGCAAATCTGCCGCCAACACTGCAATTCGCAGACAGCGAGAGCGCTGACGACTCACCCAGTCCTGCGCATGTCATTGCGAAAGCTATGTTGCGCAGTCGCTATCTTGTCGCAAAGTTCCACATTGGCCGGCCTTTCCTTTACAAGGCGCTGCATGTGCCGGAGTTCACCAATGATGCGGAGTATCGGGAGGTACGAGAGGGTCTTCGAGGTGGTATGTACTGGCCGACAACCATGGGTCTTTGCACCCAGATGCTGTCAGCCTTGCCGATCAAGTTTGGGTGGTGCTGTCAGTGCTTCGGGCAGGTGCTGCTATTTCACGCTGTCGCGCGATCATCAGACGCAAAGCTGAGGGAAACGTTACCAGAAGGCTGGCAGGAGTGGTTGCAGATCATGATGGTGCTCATCGAAAAGTGTGCCAGGGAAAGCCCGGGTATTGCGAAGGATTTCGAGTTGCTCAGCTTATTGTAAGGATCGCTCGGTAGCCGAGATACCGCACCCCACAGACAATTTGATGAGGGTGGTGATGTGAACTGTCGATTGGTGTGCTATCGAAGGGCGAATGTCTACAGTGCGAGGGCACGGAGCTGGCCGATGAGCGCGCCTGCGGCACGGACACAATCCGACAGCATACCCCTGAAAACTTTCGATATGGTCTTTTCCCATGCTGACATCACAGGTTTTCGCATTTGCGAAGAGAAACTCCCTGGCTACCTCCGTAGCCAAGTTCTAGACCGGCTTGTGTTGAGGGGGCGATAAGGTATCGCAAATACCACTGTGGCAGACCGCATGCAGCGTCATTGTCGCAAGGACGTGGGATTGCAGTCAACAAGGAAAGCAGCGCGTTCTTAGAGCGCGTTCCTGAGTGAAACAGACCCTTCGCAGCGTGTTGCGGTGCGACAAGACCAGTCGTTAGGTGTGGTGAGGCAGGTGTTTCAGTTTTGTTGTGGAGGCTTACGCGTCGATCATGCTTGTTGCATGGCTGTGCACGTAAATTTAGCCCTATACGAGACTTGACGGGCTAGGCAACCAGGCTTTGATTGTCCCGAGAAGCTTGAGCCTCTACGATCGTGCTGAGATTCGAGAGTCTTGATTCAGGCCTTCTGCATTCTTCAAGCACCTCACAACAAGCAACCAACCTTTGATTTGACGTGTTCAGCTTCGAGCCTCCAGGCCAAGATGCAGCCCCATCGAGACGGTAGGGCGGCACTTAGCGGCATGAGAGCGGCCGCTTTCCCCTATTAGCGTGTACTATCATCATAACGGCAGCAGATCCCTGTCACTCTAAAGGACGAGGAAGCAATCAGGAGTGTGGCTTTGACACTTGTTGCGCTTGTTGCACCTTCAACAGCCCTTCGCTCTTTCCCTTTCCCTTCGCTGTATGCACCTTCGTGCCTTCCCTCCTTTCGCCGACCCCGCCGCTGTTTGTCCGCCGGTGTTGGGAATTTACTGAAGACGCGAACGCTGACGCAAGCCCGCCTACGCCTTTTCCGTCGTCTCCGCCGGCAACGAATCACAGCCCTACGAGTCCATTGACACACCCTGAGCCCGCCTGTCATTCTTTCGCCCCGCACATAACCACTACCCAAGGCTGGTATGGGGGACTACTCGTACCACTCGTTGGCGAACATGGGGCCCCAGGGTCGATTTCGCCGACCACTGTTGATCGCGATACCTATAGTGCTGCTGTTCATGATTTACAGCTCAAGCTTCAGCTATACGCCTCGTGGTGCGATAGAACCTCAAATAGAGTGAGTAGCCATCATGTTGTTTCAACATACCTGCGCTAATCACAGCCTGTCAACAGCTTTCCCACCGCGCAAAATGTCTCGCTCGTCGAGGAAGACCCTACCATGCCCGCGATAATAAAAGCCCTCTACGGCCCCATCTTACACCCCATTGACGCCGCGAACTTCACCGACGAGGATGGCGATGTATACCACCTGCATGGCAAGCCAAAGTTCACGCAGAAGCTGGGAAAGAAGGTGCTCATCTTGGACATCGACAGCAGGCCGCTCACGGGTGAGGGCCAGCTCATGAACAAGGAGCTGAAGTGGAAGGGCATGCGACCCCTCTCTGCGGGCATGCTTAGCCATTATATGTTTGGTAGGCAGCGCAGACCTTTAGTGCATTATGCACGCACTGACATGTGACAGCAAGCATCCATGGTTACGACTACAAGTTTATCCGCGCACCAGACTACGCCGACCGCTGGGGCACCTGGGTCAAGGTGCCCATGATGAAGGAGGCCCTCAAAACACACGACTACATCGTCTTCATGGACTCAGATGTTATGTTCCACTACCCGCACCTGCCGCTGGAGTGGCTGCTCAACTACTGGAACATGACCGACGACACCCTCGCTATGATGTCCATCGACCCCAACGAGCCGCAGAACTACGACGCTAAGGGCAACCGCTACCTCAATACCGGTTTCGTTATCGCTCGCCAAAGCAAGCGCACACAAGAGATGTACAAGGCTTGGGCTGAATGCCCATCTGAGACAAAGTACAAGGGCTGCGCCAGGTGGAAGCAGGACTGGGCGCACGAGCAGGCTGCATTCGGCAACTACCTGCGTTACGACTACGACCGACCAGACGACATCCGCGTTCTTCCCTGCGTCGAGGCGAACGGTGCCCCGGAGGCCGAGAGCCGTGGCGGGTGCAAGGGCGTCTTCGTCAGGCACTTCTGGGTTGACAAGGGCCTCGTAGCTAAGAACCTGGCGGACTCCGTTATGCAGTACTTCCTCCCAAGACTGCACCAGCTCTACCTCTCAACTGCGAGCGAACACATCGTTGACGCCAAGGGCTTCAAGCTGGAGGGTGCAGAGCTGGTCGAACTGACCACCGAAGAGAAGGAAGCCCAGAAGAAGGAGGGTACCAAGAACCAGAAGGACGAAGGCTTCTAGAAGATATCTTCTTCCGAGCACACACAATATCCTCCAGTCCGTACAGGTTTCGCGCCAGCGCAATCACCCCACTGGCAATCGTCACGCAACTCCGCACGCGGCGATCATCTTCTCGCTACCGCAACGGGACTCGGCGAAGTCATCTCTCCAACTCCCAACTCAGATACCCACGCATCTTCGAGTCCCAACCCCCAATTTCACGATACTTTACCGCGATCAACATCAGCGCTGAATCTAGCATCGTAACAGCAACACAGACGAGTTAGATTACGACAACCATTATTCTGTCATCACTGTATATTAGAGATGGGCCAGCTTAGGCTCGAGGTGTTTTACGATGGCATTCGGCATTCTTACCACAAATACTGGCATGACATAGACACCCAATGATAGATAGGGGAAGGCAAGGCGTGGCGATTGGGTTCTTGTCATATTTTTGAAGCGCAAGAAGCGAGAAGCGTTTTGGGCTTGGCATAGCATAGGGTTTTGCGAAGCGTAAATGCAAGCTGTTCGAACTTTCTGGTGGTGTTCTGGTGTAATGATTCTGAAATTGTGGCCGTGTGATGATCATGTATGTGAGATCTTTCTCCGTTGTGCTGTCATCCGCTATGCTCGTCACAATATCCTGGCCCTTAAGAACTCCCGCCACAAGCGAATATTCTCGTTGGGATGTTTCGCAATATCGGCAGCAACATGATCACCGCATAGCTTCTTCACTTCGCCATAGTCTGAGACAAAGTCAATCAAAGCAGGCTAGATTCGGGAGACGGTACTGACAGGTGCCCATTGCGAGTTCGACGGTTTCGCGATTGCGGGTGCCAATGATTGTGCTGAGATCGCTGTGTGGGTCTGGGGCAAAACCCCGGAAGTGGGCAGTATGGCTTTCTCACGTTCCAGTTGTGGAATGTGACACTGTCGAAGCATGCCGGTGTTATCGTTGATGGCGCAGGCAAGAACGAGCATTGTGAGCTCGGTTGGTAAGCGTGGCCATGGGTGAAACATGGTGGTGATGGTGGTGTTTGGGAGGTTGGGGTTGAAGAAGTAGCGGGAATGTGGACGAGAAGATTGAGATCTACGGACACCTTCACCTACGTCGCTCCAAGCCTGGAGGCACCCGACGCCAAGTGCTCTCTCCAGACCACCGCAGACTTTTTATCACATGATACCCCTCGTTGCGTTGCTTCCCTTCTCTGTTATATATTGTACCTGTTTTTGCCGGCGCTGAATTGTCTCGCTGAAGTGCCACACACTGGTTCCGGTAGATTTCCTCTACGAAACCAGCCTCGAACGCGGTCCTGATCCCGTCAGCGCAAGCGCATTCTCTCTTGGTACCTTCTTCTAATGTGGGCCTTCACAGCAATCTTCGCCGCCTCCATGCTGCTCGTACTCAACTCTGCGATGCGCAGAGCCTTGTCCACGTAGTGACATACGCACCACTGAAGGTGCAAGCGCAGCTCGAATGAGCGTAACGGCGTAAACCTGCTCCGTCAGCATTGACGGTTCTCGAAGTACGAATGTGACTGGCTAATTCTCACGCCCGTCCTTGGAGGCGAAGAAGCACGTCCATTGACGTGCCATGGTCGAAAAGAACATGTTGGGACTGCATTAGGGGATATTAGGATCCATCTTGAAGACGGGGCGTTGGATGTTCGGATGTACTTGACGGGTGGCAGGTATAGCATGTCGAGCGAGGACTAGAGGAAAATGTTGTATTTGTGATCTGTGCCGATTGTTAGCTGATGTGCAGTTGCCAGACGTGTAGGATTGACAGGCCACAAGCGATAGCTGTACGAGCTCGATGTTTTGGGTGTCATTGAGGGGGTCCAGTTCATAGCACAACATGTTGCATATATGGACCTCAACATTGATTGGGTAATCGCGTAAGAGGGTGTATTGCAGTACCTCGAGCTTGAGCTCGGTTGGCAGGTGGGATCATGGGTGGAACGTGGCTTCGGACATGTTTGGCAAATGGAGGACGAAGGACGTTGTGTGCGGATGAGGAGGTTTTGTTTACTATTTGAACTAAAGTAGAAGGTACGTCATCCTCACACCTTCATCGACATCTCTTTAAACACTAGGAAACTTTACGCTTGTACTTCCAGCTTTCGAGATTGGCGCCGTCACACCTGGAATATCTTTGAAAGCCTCCTGCCCTACCAGTTCCTGCGATATTCCCTCCGCTACGTCTGGTTCACAATCAAGCCTTTGACCAAGGCACAAATCTTCTCGCCACAAGTGCCGTCCGCAATCGGTCCATCTACCATCTGTAACTCTGTCGACACCTTCTTCGCATGCAGCCCTATCTCTCCGCAGCCCAACACTCGCAGTACGTTGCCCATGCGGTTACACTGACAGTTTCCATCCATGAAATGCAGACAAACTTCGACTTTGAGGGATTTCAGTGCCACAAAATGGCGTTGTCTGTGTGTCCGTTCCGGACTTGCACGGTATGCGGGTGGTGGATTGACCTCTGAGAAGTTCGGCTTGGCGCGGAGAGGAAGCTCCAGTCATGTTCCTGCGCAAAGAACAGGCTGGTTAGGGGACTGTCAGGGAGATGGGCGCACATTTCGAATTTCAGGTGCCGGATCATGCGAGAATACCTGGACTGTGGTCTGCGTAGGCGGGCGAACATACTGGAAGTCGAGAGCTTGGTGAAAGGGCTGATAAGGAATGTGTTGCACTTGTAGTCTATGCTTCCATAATGCACACTGTGGGACTTCTGGGACCGTAGCACTGACAGAATACTAAGAGAGTATAATGGTTGGCAAAATGTGCGGACCACCTCATACCTGGTACACTAAGCGCCGGGATGCAGAAAACGCTCGTTGCCGACAGCTGTTAGGTGTTCGTAAAGGAGTAGTTTACAATTGGGTAGTCCGACATGCCCGAGTTGATTGTAAAACCCTTGACCTTGTAGCGTGCCGTTCCGCGACCCAAGAGCTGCCGTACCATTTACATTTCATGACAATTACAATTGTCGAACCGAAGGTGCATCACCAAAGAAGTCAGGGCAAAGAAATTGTGCTGCCAAGCTATGCAATTTTCGATGCCAAATTCAACCCATGTAAGGCGAAATCTTGCAGATCGACACACGAATCTGCCCGCGAGGCAAGACCCGTGGATGCGAACCCTGGCACATTCATCTCGTCGACTAGCTGCTGCATCATAAGAGCATGCTTTGTACGGGGCCGAAAAGTTCTGACTTGACGGAAGCCGAGCTTGTATGTGACATCCGGTCCGAGGATGAACGCATTGGACTTGTAGTCTGGATTCCATTGTTAGGGGTGGAAAGAAAGGGGAAGATTACTAGACCTACACGCTTCGAGAGATAATTGGACTAGGTCGGTGTTTTGAGTACTAATGAGTACTTCCAGGTCTCCGAACACTAGGTTGTCAAGGTGCTGGGAGTGATCGATGTCTTCAGTGGAGGTGAGGTGATATCGAAGAATCTCGAGCCTAAGCTTCGCGGGCAAGCGCATCCACGACATGCTGATGAGCTTTTTTTGACAGGCAGAAGGTGAGGTGAAAAATCCAAGATGATTTCAAAACATTAAGCGAGAGGTTTAAACTATGGTATTGGTATGTAGGTAGAAGTACGTCACGAACCAAAGATTCGGCCATTCGCCTAACATGTTCATACGTGGCATATCCTCCCTAGCCGACATTGTCACACTTCTATCATACAGTGGTCTTCGATGTAAAAGGACTCTTCTTGAATAGGAAGAGTGCGGCGATATAGATCCCCGCGCCCAAAGACAACAACCCCGCATACGCTCCAAAACCCTTGATGTACTTCGGCGCATCCTCCGCAGGGAACAGATACGCGCCATATACCTGTGCCAAGTTTCCCAGAGCATTGACAAACGCGAGCGAGATAGCCCTGGTCTCGGGATCGAGAGGGCCCATGGACACTGAAGCGTACGATAGTGCGAGAGGATTTGCGGTCCAAATCATGCTGTTGATGAAGACAAGGAAGACATAGCGTGGTATGTAGGCGTAGATACCGGCTGAGAGAGCGCAGAAAAGAGCACCGAGGACAAGGGAGGAGGCGCAGAGGACGGGGCGGAAGGCGTTGATTTTGTCGGCGAGGATGGCAACGGGGACGGCGATGACGAAGGCGGCTACGTAGAGGGGGACAGTCACTACTTATTATTAGTTCTCGCTCACGCGTATAGTATATAGTGAAGGGTTCATACTGTACTGCGCCATCGAGCCAGTGTACCCGAGTCCACGGACAAGGGAAGGGTTGAAGTAGCTCAAGCTGTAACAGCCGATGATGGTCATGTAGCCAGCACAGAGAAGCCAGAGACGCCAGTTCTTAACTGCATTCATGAAGGCTTTGGCATGCGAGATGTGTTTTTCAGAATCGTGACTTCCAAAGTCGGCATGTAGACGGGCCATGGCAATCTCACGCTCTTGTGCAGTGAGCTGACGACCATTTGAAGGGTAATCAAGAAGGACGAAAGGAGCTGGGACGGCGCACGTGACTGTTGCGACACCTTGGACGATGAAGAGCCTGGAGTGTGTCAGCACATGTACATCTCTGCGAGAAACCATATTCGTGTACCATTGCCATCCAGCAATCCCATGAGCACCTTCCAGACTATCAACGATGGCACCGGCGATGATTCCACCGAAAGCTCCTGAAAGGATTCCCGCGGACAAGAAACACATGAATCGCTTAGATTGTTCATGTCGTCGATACCAAGTCGAGATGATAAAGAGCACAGCAGGACTGAAACCAGCCTCAGTGACACCGAGAAGGAATCGGACACCGATGAGCTGAGCCGGAGTTTTGACCAGAGCCATGAGTGCAGACACACTGCCCCAGAAGATCATCAGGGTTGGGATCCAGATCGATGGGCGAACACGAGAAAGTACCATGCTGTGACATGTCAGGTCGGTTATGGAGCAAGGAGTACGACAACGTACTTAGATGGGACCTCGAAAAAGACGTAACCAACTTGGAAAATGACGATAGCGAGAAAGTACTCGTCAGACGTAAGACCGAGATCGACATCCATGCCCGCGACCTTTGCGTTGCCGATGGCCGTACGGTCCTGGAGTATCCTTAGCAACATAAATCAAACAAAACAAGGGGCTTGAACATACCATGTACGAGAAGCTGTACAAAACCCAGATCGTCGGCATCAGATATAAGTCTATCTTCCGCACAAGCTTCTTCTCTGCTTCCGTATTCTCCTTGAAAGGCGTGTTAACAATCTTGATATTGCCTTCTTCTTGTGCCTCAATCGAACTGTGAGCCACAGCATCTTCCTTCCCGTCTATGGTGGCGATGTTGCCGATCCTCTCAACTTCAGTCTTCCAGAAATCGCGATCTGGGCGTTCGGTCTGAGGTGCCATTTTTTGAGCTGCGAACAATAAGGAGAAGGAATGACGCTCTACCTGATTGGGAGCTGTTGAGTCAGGAACGGAGAGGCGACAGCGTCGATCACGATATATGCACATGCTTTACCCCACGTTTACGGTGCTGTAGCGTGCCGTGCTATGGTGCATCCTTGGCCCGAAACCTAGAGTAGCCGCTGCCGTTGCCCTGAGCTCGTCTCGAGAGAACGCCTCATAGGCTGCTAGTCCGCGAGAGACTCTTTACTGGATGGCTTCCCCGCATCATGTGACTTTGGTAATCGATCTCTGATCAAGTTGCACACATGGGCGTCGATCGCGGTAGATGACGTGGGAACTGTCTTACGGAGCGCAGTTGAACTCCCCGATACGGGCACGGCACTAGTTGCAGATGCCTCTTGGGGGATGAGTTTCGTGGGCGAATCAGCTGAGTGCGTGTGCTGAAGACAGTATGAATTGCCGAGCATCTTGGCTCGCTGCATTGTCTTGACATGATCGCCGTTGGAAGCTCGTCTCGAAGCTCAAGCATCGTGCAGACAGACAGCCCCCTGAATGAAGCAAGTCTAACATCTGCCAAACGCCCTGCTATGCATACCAGATCCGTTGCTCCGAATTTCCGCTCACAATGACAGCTTCTATGTGTCTAGACCTCTTGTTCGATATCCGCGACTCTTGGGACTCTGTGCAGGCGCAACCTGCAGAAGCTCGCTGCGAGCTCGATCTGAATGTATGTTAGTGCGAAGATTTGAATCCACATCCACACGAGCACTCACGCATTGCTGGAGGGTCTCCGTATCCTCTATGCTTACTCCAACCCTTCTCGTACCTCTGAGGTACCAGCCAGTCTCCCTGGGCAGGTTATGTACCATGATGCCAGAGAGGACCGTAACCTCAGTCTCAACGTCGTTCAATATGCTGTGATCAGAACAAATAGAGTCCGTAGGTGATTTGCTTGCTTGTTTGATTTAGAAACTGAATCAAACACATGTTTGAGACCAATATTGCTCGTCAAAATCATACCAAAGTCTCGTTGCGATGCCAGCACGTTGTCAATGGCCGCTTGGTTCTGTTCGTACAAGCGATTCTGCAACTCGAAGCCACGTTTCGCATTCGCTTCATCACACTGCCATCCTTATCTGGAGGTAGTCAGCACTGTGACTCTTGGTGTGCTGATCTCGAAGTTCTGCTCACCTTGAGAACGAGTAGTCCTTGTCTCCTGGTCTCGTGATTGCATCAGTTTTGAAGATTGCCTCCAAAGGCTTGCACACGCCGATGATGACGATGAGTTTGAGGAGAGTTTCTCTAACCCTCGGCATCCGAGCCTGTCGTTGGTCCGAACTTTGATGTTCAGGTCGCTTGATGAGCTCTTGATAGAGCAGAGGTGCAAATTCGGGCTAACCACCGCCTACCATAGCCGCAAGCTGATGGAGTCAGCACATGTTGCGAGGAAATATGAAACAACTGACAGTCAGTATATACCATTTGCCATCTCCCAATGTCTACGAAGGAAACAATTCCTCTACAGACTTGAAGAGGGCAAGAGCTTCATTGTGCGTGGGATCATGAGGTATTGGTTCATTCATAGCCATCTTGCTGTTGTGATCGGGACGCGCTGGTTGCACAACGAACTCTGTAGGATATCAAGCACTTCTTCGTCGTCTCGGTTTCTCGTGGAGGAAAGAACAGTGGGGCGCACGAAGCGAACGCGTCCACCAAACGCGTTCACTAGCGCGTGCGGGGTAACTTCACCCCACGCGTCGAGCAGGTGCAAGTCTCCCCGACCCATCCTTCAGACATCACCTCGGGGGTTTTCGTCATGTGCGTAATGCTAGGAATACCTCCAGGGCTTAAGCGAGCCCATACAGTGGAGGCTGACGTGACGCTGCTTGAAGAGAGCTCATAAACAGCTACCCCCCCTTATACAGCTTGACCGTTTGGTTGTTTGTGCACCGAATTCGCCTGGCACCTTCAACTGGACCCAGTCTCACGATGTCTGCCTTCATTCTACCGTCCGGACGTCCCAAGACCGTCATTGTCACTGGCGGCGCAGGAGGCATTGGTGCTCAGACCATACGCACCTTTCACGCTCATGGCTGCAATGTGGTGATAGCGGATCTACCCTCCGCTAGAGGTGCCGCGGAATCCCTCATAGCCTCTCTGTCAGACCCAAGTCGAGCACTCTTCCACGAGACTGATATCACACACTGGGAAGCCATGCGGGGTTTATTCCGAAACACGAAAGAGAAGTTCAGCCAAGTTGATATTGTCATCGCGAACGCAGGCTTGATGGAAAGCAGAGGCTTCTTTGACTTCGAGGAAGACGACAACGGTGAATTGAAAGAGCCAACGGAGGCTTACAAGATCATTGACGTCAACTTGAAGGGTTCTATGAACAGTAAGATGCCCTCGCATCACCGAGGGCACCGAATAGCTGACGTGTAGTAGCGCTCAGACTAGCGATGCACGCAATGCAGTCAAATTCTCCAGATGTTGATGGAGCACGAGGCTCAGTGGTTCTTATTGCTTCGGTATCTGGATACTTTGGCGGCACTGGTGTGGTCTCATACATCTCATCCAAGCATGGTATTGTTGGTCTGGCTCGATCATCGCAGCGGAAAGCGGACGAGCTTGATGTGAGGGTCAATGTCATTGCTCCATTCTTCACCCCTACTTATATTACTACCGGCTACTCAGAGAAGTGGAGAAAGAGGGGATTACCAGCAAATACCGTGGAGGGTGTTGCTGATGCTATTGTAGCCACAAGCACGGATCCCACGAGGAAAGGTCACAGCGTGATGGTAGGCGATGCCTGGTCTCGAGGTCTTCGAGAATATCGCTGACGCGGCCTCAACAGGTAGCAGGGAGTTTTGTGAAGGAGATCGAAATGGCGAAAGCGGCATTGACGAAGGAATGGCTGGGTGAAGATATTGCGGATGTCATGGCGAAGGGAGGTAAGTTCTTCGATGATATGGGCGGCTATACGCTGCCAAATGCGCGTTCCTAGCCCGGCATTGAGGAGAGAGAGAAAGAGAGGAAAAAAGTAAGGTGGTCGACTCTCACTGGCACTGAAAGGGCGCATAAAGTCGAACCATGATAATAAGCTTCGGAACTCCATCTTTCCTTACATCCATTCTTCTTACACCAACGTCTACCTCTTCCCTCCTGTTCACAGCCACAGCGACAATAACAACACGCCACGACGTTCCAGCCTTGGCTGCGGCTTCCCAAAGAGCTCAAAGTCAAAGTCCTAGAGCATGCCGTTCTCGCAGCTAGATCCATCGACCACGACAATCACCGTCGCAACCTCAAACGGAGGAGGTCTTTGGGTGCCTTAATCGAAACATGCAACCGCGAAGTTGTGCAGCTTAGTATCGAAGGCTGGGAGTCACCGCTCAAATTCAGATGGGGGCATACAATCTAATATGGACCATAAGACTAAAAGACCTTTATCCTCAAACTAGGTACTGAACGTCGCCTCTCATCTGTGAGCTTCAAGCTGTTGCGTCCCCAACAAAAATACGCTCACATGATCCGGCACTTAGACTTCGCCCTTACCTCCCCACAGCCAAGACTGCGCGCATCTTCTTCGACAGAATGCATGCCTAGAATTTCTTCGCCGCTAACGACGGCCTGGAAAATTCATCTTTCGACACAGTTGATTTCATCGATGAAGCTTTCATAACCAGAAAGTCTATGACGTGGTGCGACTTCGATAGTCTTCTATCCTTTGAAGTCATTGTTGCTGCGGTGTATATAACCGTTAGGACCCGAGGGTCTGAAAGGTCGGCCTTTTTGTATCGCTGCGGGGCCGCGACAGTAATGATGTTCTGGTCTCCAATGTCTGGGTTGAAGGCCTGTGGTGCATTGTTGTTTCAACAATCAGGAAGATAGCCAGGTATCTCATATGCATGGCAATGAGATTCTCCTAATGGAGTTGGGCGGCTTAAGAGGGTTGTCGTTGTAATTTCTGGTATTGAGGCGGGTTGAGGATCCTTGGGCATAGGACTCATGGACTGAAGACCCATGGGCTAAGAACTCATGATACCTCTGGTTGATTCAGGTAAGTGTTGGTCCTCTTCGGCATTCTGCCCGGTATTAGGCCTAGTATTAGGCCTAGAAGTTGTAGCAGTGGAGTCCTCAACTTCTTCAAGATGTTGGTCTAGTTGCTCAGTGGTTTAGAGGTCGTCAGCAGTGGCTATGAAGTGATACTGTTCAAGATCTAAGACTTCTACTTATTGTTCAATGAGATTTCCTGCAGTGATCTTTTGTGTACATTGTCCTTGTGGTTAAGTTGCCATTTAAAGTGAAATCTCTGGTTCTGATAACCCAGTCTAGTAATGGCATCCATACACGGTAGATGTTAGATGAGTTGTACCCAACAAGGTATCCAATATGAGCTCTTGGCTCAATGTTATCAGTAGCCTTGATGTCTTGGCGAGAGTAGTGAGCCACTGATGGCTTGGTGTTGGAGATTACTTCATGAGTCTTCCATCCAAGTGATTCAACTGTCGTAGTATTGAGCAACTGTACTGCTGCAATTAAGAGCTCATTGGTGAGAGCTTTTGGTAGTCCTGATGAGATTTGGAGAGCTCATGTACGCTGCATGATTGTTTTGCCTGCAGCCTCTTGAAGACCTCTCTGCTCATCAGTGTTCTCAGCTGCTGTTTCAATCTTGATGCCAACGCTTCTGGAAGCATTAGAAAAGTCGCAGCCAAGTCCTTTCTCACTGTCAGACCTGATGGTGATGATGGAGTATTTGTATCTAAGCTGACGCTGAATCTTCCCAATGAGGTTCAAGACAGTTAGGAGATCTTGCTAATGTTGGACATAGCATATCGGACTCGGTTGGGCTGTGAATTGAGTCAGGAGGTAGTCGGGTAGTTTTGACCACCTTCGTAATCGGATGCAGCGAGAGCCTTCCACGGTAGTGTCAGCTTATGTATGCTATGGAAGTTGGGGAGACTGGCCAAAAGCTTCAACCGATGCAAGAAGGCCTTGTTGAAAGCCGCTGGGTTATTGTTGACATGGATCTCCAACTTCTCCAACGATTCTGATACTGCTACGAGGTTGCCATCTGATTGAATATGCGGAAGTCTACAGTACGAATTTCGGGACATAACGCCAGCAAAAGTGCGTTGAGCGCTGTTCGCTCGAGGTTGATGATGAAGGCTATCCATTGGCTAGTGCCCTTTGGTTATTTATTACCGGAGGCTCTGCTCTTGTCGACGCACTTTTGGAAAAAGGGGAAGTATTGACCCTTGAGCTTGTGGAAAGTGCAAGCGAGATTAACGATAGTGGCGGGGTGGCCTCCCATATGGTCGATGATCATGACGAGAATCTTGTCTGGGAACCTATTGAAGGCCATCATGTCGCTATGAGTGTGGGTTGTTCTTGTGCGGTATGGTGTGTAAACAACGCAGGGCTGAAGGTATTTGCGGTATTGAGAGTTGCGAGCGGCGAGTGAGGATTGTGGTTGAGGGTTGAGAGTTCAGAGAAGATGGATGCCATACCAGAAGATGAGCGAAGAATATCTAGGCACAGGGGTCGAAGGCCCTCACAATGTGCTTGAGACCTCCAGGTTGCATTGCGGTCCCCTATGGCCCGACAGAACGCAATGTTCCGGGGCCGGTAAAAGCATAGTGGCCTGGAACAGAGTTGAAACTAGGAATGCTAACCCTGTCAACGGAGCGCGGCGGGAGGAAGTCGTCAGCATCGAGATCGCCATGTTGGCCGCGGCAGAAGCGAGCACACACGAGATCGGAAGTCGCGCTGTGGTCCAGCATGTGGTGGGCACCTTCCGTTTGTAAAACTCCATCTTTTGAACAGCCCCTTTGCGGGCATGCTATCTATCAATACAAGCACGAGCATACACATTTCCCATGAGACCGATCGAGTCGGCCCTACACCTGAAGTCATCAATCAAAGCCATCCAACGCCATGCTAAAGTCGAATGATGGAACCGGTCCATGATCCGTCCATGCTATCCTATACATGCCGTGCAGCCCCGCAATCGACTGCTGGCTAATCAAACCCAAACGCCAACACACCATTATTCCGATGATTTGGGGTACCTACACCGTTAAGGTGTGATCCCACAACCCTAAAAGAAGTGCCGATGCGAGGAAATTGGACATCCTATGCCGCGGACCCCTGCATCTTGCCCAAGAAACCATCTAGGTCGAACTCGTCTTCGTACTGCCTCTCGTCCCATAATTCGCCAAGGTCGTCGAGGAAGCCCTTCTGACCCTTCTGGCGCAGCTCGCCAGTAGCATCGACAGCGTCGTTCTCGTCGATGGCGTTATCGTCTTTTGAGTTGGACGGAGGAGGTGGCAGCGTAGCTGGGTCTGCACTGTCTGCTGAGACATTGAAGAGATCAAGAATTTGATCGGTCTGCATGGAGCCGAGGCCAGCGTTCTGCTGGTTGACGACTGTACTCGCGACATCGATCTTGAAACGTTGAAGGCTGTAAATTTGTCAGTGATGATCGAGCATTGTGAGAAAGAATATACGTACTTGAGAATCTTCTCTTCGAGCGTCCCGCGGGTGACGATGCGGTACACGTTGACAACCTTCTTTTGTCCAATACGATGGGCGCGATCCATGGCTTGGATGTCCTTCTGCGGGTTCCAGTCATGCTCAACGAAGATGACAGTATCGGCACCGGTCAAGTTAAGCCCCAGTCCACCAACACTGGTGGTCAAAAGCAGGGCATCGTAAGACGGGTCCGAATTGAACTTGTTGACAATGTCTTGACGCTTCTCAGCCTGCACTGTACCATCAAGCCTCATGAACTGAACACTTGGAAGCAGCTTCTTGAACACGGTAGACTCGACCATATCGAGCATTTCCTTCATCTGACAGAAGATCAGAGCACGATGTTGAGAGACAGCCTCAGGCAGATCACCATTGACAGCCGCTGACTTGTCGCCGGCTACGTCCGCAGCACCGATACCACAGTCTACCAGAAGGTCCTTGAGAGCGCTGAGCTTGGGAGCATGAGCGATGTCATCGATCGTCGTGTTGTGCTTCTTCAGATATTGCTGTGTAGGCTCGTAGGCCTTGTTCGTTGGACCCTTTACCACGAGGGCGGGCGAATTGCACAGCTTCTTCATGTACTGCAGCGCCTGGAAGATATGTTGCTTGCTCTCGCGGTCAGCGTTGCCAGCCTTTGACTGGATCTCCTTGCCCTGTCGCTTGTTAAAGTCGTCAAAGAGGTTGCGCTGAAGCTCAGATAGATCGCAATAGTAGTTCTGCAGAATCTTGGGTGGCAAGTCGTCCAGCACCTCCTCTTTGAGACGTCTGAGAAGGAAGGGAAGGATCTGCTTGTGGAGCGCCTCGATGGCGAGTGCACCCCTCTCTTGTTCCTTAGATGAGGACTTGGCAAAACGTGAGGCCGCGATAGGCTTCGCGAAACGCTCCTGGAAGACCTTCTCAGTTCCCAAGAAGCCAGGCATAAGAAAGTCGAACAGGGACCATAGCTCGAGTACATTGTTTTGGATGGGTGTACCGGAGAGGATCAGGCGATGGTTCGACTGGAACTGCTTGACAGCCTGGCTGGTCTTCGACTTCGAGTTCTTGATCAGATGGCCTTCGTCGAGAACGCAGTAGTTCCAGTTGACAGGCTTGAGAATGTCGAGATCATTTCTGCAGATATCGTAGCTGGTGATGACGATGTCGACATCCTGAAGCTGAGACCTGTATTGACCGCGAGTTGGCGGTGCACCAACATAAGCCACACAAGACAGGAAGGGAGCATACTGGCGGATCTCCTGCTGCCAATGACCTGACAAAGTAGGAGGACAGACGATGAGCGACGGCTGTCTGCGGAAGTTGGGATCTCCGGACTTAGCGAACTCGTCAGTGCGTAAATGATGGTCACTGGCCACCATACACAAGGTTTGCAACGTCTTTCCAAGACCCATGTCGTCGCAGAGAATTCCGTGCAAGTTGTATCGATTCAGGAAGGCAAGCCAGTTGACTCCATCCTGTTGGTACGAACGCAACGTGGCCTTGATACCAACAGGAATCTCGAAAGGCTCAACCTTCTTCGCATCCAGCATCTGCGCAACGAACTTGCGCTCGCGATCACGGCCCTTGAGCAATGAGTCAGGTAGACCCGGGGGGTCAGGGATACCAGACTCGAGTGGAACAAGCTTGACAAGCGTGGCGAAGCTTGTCGTTGCTAGCAAACGGATATCGTTGTCTGAATCGCTCATACGTCCCAGCACAGGAGTGATCAGAAAGATGACGTAAGGGAGAATGTCGTCTTCCATAACGTGGATCAGATGGTAGATGCACTCGATAGCACCTTGGCGACCATGCACGTTTCCACCATCGCTGATAGTAGGCAGAACGGCTTCCACAAGCAGTGTGAAAGCATCGACAGACATAACGCTGCAGATGGTTGCAAAGCACTTTGCGGCAGCGTATCGCAGTACGTAGAGCCTGCTCTGCAAAGCCTTTGCAACGAATGGAAGCAAGTCCTTGATGAAGCCGCGCACATCCGGGTGGAAGCTTCCGACCAGCGCGCGAAGGGTTGACAAAGCATCAACAACCTCTTGACCGAAAATGCCATCCTCATTGATAATCTCTGCAGGAAGTGTTGCGTCAGCGAATGCTTGCTTGATGGGTCGCTGGATCAAGTCTTCAAGAGTCGGGACCTTCTGGAAGATTTCTGCACCAAACTGTTGAACAACCTGCTCAAGGGCTTCACGAGCACCCCGCTTAGTAATCCTAGCTGCTCTTGACTCTTCCGCAAACTTGGCAGCATCCGGATGATCGCGAACGTCTTCGTCCTTCTTCAAGGTGAGGATGCCGGTTTCGATGTGACCTTGCCCTTGGAATTCGGGGGTTTCTGCTGTTTCCATGCAGTAGAACTTGACGAGGTTGCCGACCACCTTCTTGACGACAACACCCTTGTTGCCATGGACGAGATGAACGATGTAGCGGGCCACAGCGGCAGCAGACCGCTTCTGCAATTGTACGTTCCCCTCCTTCTTGACGCTATCCATCATAGCTTTGATCGGATGCTGAGGTTTCTTGGGTGGTGAACTGAGCCAGATCAGTCCTCCTGCGGCAGCTGCCTTGATGCGGATATCGCGCTCCTCCTTGATGTCCTTCGCCTCTTGGAGACTGGCCTCAACTTCCTTCTTCGAAACTTCCAAGTTGGCTGCGGCGACCATGCGAGCTGATGGCGTCATTGCCTTCTTCAGCTTCTCGTACTGAACAGTGACAAGCTTCTCCGCATCAGCGACGCCAAAAGCGTACTGGCTGGCAGCTGGATCACCCTGCACAACAACAGCCAGTGCCGGCAGATTCTGTACGTGACCCTCTCTAAAGATGTTGAGCAAAGCAGTGCACTGCGTACGTACAATCTGCAGCTTGGGAACAAGATCCTCGTAGGCCATTGGTCGCTCACCCTCAACGATGGGGAGCAAAGCTTCAGCAAAGAGATCTGCCAAGGCGTCTTTAGCCGACAAGTTCTTGCCAAATTCTTCGATGATCATGGCAGCCGTCAACTGTGTAGTCGAGTGAGTCGAAGACAGTGACGGCAAGAGCTTGTGGCCGAAGACTGATACCCTGGTCTCTTCTGGCCAATTTGCGATGGCTTTACCAAGAGCTTGCGCTGCGGATGCTCGGGACCGAATCATCACATCGGCGCCAATGAGCTCGAGGTCACCACCAATCATATGTCCGTCAACATTGTGGGATATGGAAGTTGGAATCGGCGTTGAGTTGTCCTCCTTTCCGAATCGCGACTTCTTCCTCTTCTTTACAGCTGGCTCACTCCCACCTGGTGGTGTTGATCTGCGACTGGGCACTGAGCTTGGTGCTGGACCCATCACCTGCCCGGAAGGTTTTATTAAAAGCGACATATCCATAGCAATTGGGTGGCGAGATACTCCGATCGGCGTCAGAGTCAGGGGAATGATGGCGTTCAGTATCGGTTCCAGATGAGACGCGATTTGGCCCCCGAGATTGTCGACCATGGTGTTCCAGAGTTTCATCGACAGCTTCAAAACGCCCTCGTTGCGTTCGAGGAGGATGTTCTGGAAAATCAATTGAAGGGCTTTGCTGTCAACCCACCCACCTGAGCCTGCGCTTTGGATGTCTAGGAAAGTGCTCAATGCGCGTAGCACAGCAGTGCGAACGCTGGTAATGGTGTGACGGAAGAACGGGAAGAGGCGAGGCACAAGCTCATGAAAAGACTGGGTCGAGTCCTTTTCCGCATTGGCCTGCATGGCTGCAAGGACCTGAGGGAAACTGCACAGCTTAGCGAGAAGGTCCATGATCGAACCAGTACTGGCCGTGAGATCATCTTGTAGACCGTCAAAGCATGACCAGACCTGGTTCATGAGACCCTCCATTGCTTTAGGCCGCATCTCGACAAAGTCTTTGGCAACGGGAATGAGTGTTGCTGCGCTCAGGGCTCGAATGTCGTCGTCGAAATCGCCCAAGCCTTGAATGACAGCAGTCAGAACGCCATCCATAAGAGACCCATCCTCACGAAGCAGATCGTTTCGTACAGCTACGAGATACCGCAAACCGATCATGCCACCCTGACAGGAATGCCAACTATCGGCTTCAAGGCGCTTCTTAATGAGGTTGTGAAGCACATTGAAGGTGGCTAGGACGTTCTCGCGAGAGAGATGTTGCAAAACAGAGCCAAGTGCTTGCCCGGCGGTTTCCCTGATTGGTGCAACGGCAGTGTCGGATGTGTAGTCGGCGAATCGATCAAGCATAAAGATGCAGCATATGCGGCATGCAAGATCGTTAAGCCATTGCTGGTTTAGTTTATCGTTCTCCGCTCGTGTCTTTCCTTCAACTCTTCCAGCACCGGCACCGTGCACACGCAAGACTTCTCGAATGCCCATGGAAGCACCATGACGGACTTCCCAAGTGTGATCGAACATCTCGAGGGCGAGATAATCGCAGACACGCTCGAAAGGCCACTCCAAGCCAGACTCGTCTGATTCGCCTTCAAAAGAGGATTTTTCCGGCATCACAGCACCCTTGAACTCTTTGACGAACTTGGCGTCGTCGTCTCCGCCCTTGCGCTCCAGCGAGAAGTAGTCGTCAAGGCCCTCACCTCCCTCGCCGTTCTCAAACTTCTCTTGCTTGAACGATGTGGGATGTGGTGTCATACGAGCGGGCGTCTGAAGAGCTTCTGGATGTGAAGGTTTTTTAGATCCGGGTTCATTGAAGTCAACGGTTACACCCTTGTTGTTCTTTTGTGCGTTCTTCTGCTTGCGCTTTTGTGAGTTCAGTTGGCGCTTGCTGAGGGTCGGCTGGTCGCCCGTTGGTGTGGCAGCAGGGGGTGATGCGGCAGAGTTCATAGTATCTGATCTTGCAAGATTTGTGTCGATGCGATGGATAGCGGGTGTCCGGAGACCGGGGTTCTGCGCAACTGTCTCCTCCGCAGCTGCCGGGATTACTTCGACAAAAGGTCCTTCGAGCCCAAGTCGCTTTGGAAGGATATTCTTCTGATATGCAAGACGATCTGCAGGGCTCATGGATAGCAGCTTGTACTCGAGTTCTTTGCTAGCAGCTCCAACCAGATGGTTTCCGTCCTTCAAGATGGCAGCGATGTCCAGAGTATTGAGGTCGAACTTGCCATTCGAGTCAGTCGCCAGTGGCATCTCGACATCGCCATTTTCTTCCTTCTTGACGGTCGCGCCATTGGTGTCCTCCTCTTTCGTATGACCATTGGTTTCTAACTTCATCTCCGAGTTGCTAGGCTCGTCTTCAGCATTTGGATCGTACTTCTCCGCGTTGGCAACAATGCCACCAACTGCTTTGGCAGCAGCCACACGAGTCTCCCAGCTCTTCGATCGCAAGAACGGAACAACACGGTTGAGAAGGTTGAATAAGTCCTCGGGATGTTGTTTTTGGACGTCAGCTAGTTGCTCAGCTGCTGTGTTCCGGATCAATGCTGTGCTGCCTGTCTCAAGGAGCCTTGGCACGGTTAGCGAGGATGCATGTAGACGTTATGGGTGTGCATCTAAATCACGAATTGCCGGGGAGATCGCCGTAAAAAGGAAGATAGAGCTGCATTGCTTGCAGAAAACACTGGGTACTGATGCAGAGTAAAGTCAAGGGTGGACTTACGTTACCAGTCGGTCCAATCTTGTAGCACTATCAGAGCATTAGCGGGCATCCTCAAGATATGCAGGTACTAGCACCATACCTCATTTTGGCGACAGGCGGCCGCTTGCTGGGCCAGCAAGACTTGTTTTGGGTTAATTAAAAATTACTGGATCACCTGGACGATGCCATGGATCGAGCACTTCTGCGCCAGGCTGCACTGATGCGCGTTGTGGTGGTATCACGTGATGGATGGTAACGCGTGCGCCCCGGAAGTGCTGGTTCGGAGAGGTGGGCTGCGGGCCTATCTAAGAGATGCACCTGGACAGCATTAAATATCGCGTGTGTCAGGAACGGCTAGCACGCTTGTCTAAGCTCGGACTAGTGTCAGATCAGGGTGAAGAACTCGAAATTTTTGCTACCGCAACAGCGCCGGCGAACCAGTCAAAGCGTCCGGTAACCGTCGCTAGGTCTTTCTCACTGCAATGGCGACTACGATAATGATGGTTCTGATGGTATTTTGCGCGTTGTAGATGAGTGCAGCTGCTGCGCATCTATCGCGCTTTCTTTATTTGATATGCACAAGGTGGCCTGGAGGAAGGCGCTAGGCAGCTTTGATCACCGCCTCATAGTTCGCGATTCTCGACGCCCTTGGGCTTGTTGGCTTTCAACTCTCCAGCTTTTCAGCTTTCGAGCATCATCATCCCGTTTGAAGACGGCGCGCTTGGTCGCTGCCTCTCATCTTCACTCTCTCTTTCACCTGCCGTTTGCGCGCAGTTCGGCAGTCGACACGTCACCACCTGCTGGTCGGCTGTTTGCCTTGTGCCTTGGAAGACATCAATGCCGCCAGGCTTCCAGTCTGACAGCCAGCCCAACTGCAATCGTGGCTGACAAGGCTGGAGATGCTTGTACCCGTGCGCCACGTCGTACCGTTGGCCAGACAAGGAACCAACAAGGAGCTACGGATAAAGGAGCAAGTATTCATCTCCACGATCATATTCACGGACGAGTCGCTTTCCGCCTTCTGCGCAATATCTTCGACACCAATTCATCGTGTCCGGATGTCAGCGGAGGACAGACCATCGCGTTGCGACGCGTCCTGACAGGCTCTCGCTTGAGCACTGAAACAGCAGATTCCCGTTGATCTGCGTGCGGCTACTCTTAGCGCATTACGCTAGCCTTGACATCAACTCTCGTCATTTCCTGGCTGCTCTGTGCCTTGTATCCTCCACAGCTCACCCATCAGCGCTGCATCCACACCGGCATCGACCTGGGATCTCATGCGCAGCTCTGTCTGCTGTTCGTCTAATGAAGCGTTGGAACCCTCGCGAATGGCATCGTTACTGACTTCGCCGGACACCCGGAAGTCCAATCTCAAGATCTGGCAAATGTCGTGATGGCACGCGCGAGGCGAGGATATCACAAGATGGTGAACTACTTCGAGGACCCCACAATTTCAAGACGGTATCATAGCTCACGACAGTCCGCTTGCAGGACGCACTGCCCAAGGTGTTCCTGGTAGCCAGTACCCGATTTACAGGGTACGCTAGGCGTGCACCGATCGCACTTACCCATACTCAGGTTCCTAGGTATTGTTGGCATTCATCCTGGTATCCACAGGACTTTCGTATCGCGATAGCCATCCAGCAGATGCCACTCTCAAAGCTGATACTGATAAGTATGGTACTAACCTCAGGGTCGACAACGCACAAGAACTGGAGCCGTGTTTTCCAAGATGGTTCTGTGTTCCTCACCATGGGCTTTCAGGAGAGGACCGCCCTATAGTGGTTGATGGGTCAATGTTCCATCATTAGCGGGGTTTGGCCGGCTATAAACGCACAATAGCAGTTCTGAAATGAGGGCTCCAGACTCGCTGAAACTTGTACGTGGTGGCTCCGCACGTAAGACACCTTCACGAGCACGATCTGATGCTGTTCACCTGTCAGTCTTGCAGCACGTGAACAACGGATACAGCAGCCATCAATTTCCAGCCCGGATCGAGGATGCTGGTGGTCTTCAGTGGATGTGACCGCAACTCGACACAAGCCAAAAATGATCGGGGTCACTCCACTCACCTACCAGCTCCAAGCGTGGGCGGGCCAACCGAAACTCCATTTCCTGCTGCATTGTCGACCAGTCACTGCCTATTTACTGCTCTTCCGACGCCTTCCACAGTTTGGTGGGAACACCTTTGTACTTTCCTCTACAGTTACGTTATCGTGCTTGCCACGCGCAAACATCGTCAATCTCACTTCATAACACACATACCACATTCCTCATAACACTGCACATTTACGATCTCCGTCCACTATCGCTACTACGTACAGCTTTATCACATATTCGTTACTCTCGCTATCATGGCAGACGACTGCAGCAACGACAGGTCAAACCTGTCCGGCAGCACACGTCGACTCCTCCACGAGTTTCCCTTATCCAGTCGCTCGCTTCTCAGTCAACACGAAAACGCCGGGACCGCCGCCTCTCCCTTGAACGGTCTGGCTCAGGAGGTTCAAACGCTTGCACGGGAACTTTCACAAGGTAGAAGGCTCGAGGTGCCTGCTAGCAGCCTCATTCCGACCTTGCCCAAGACTCCATACAAAGAGCAGTTTGAGAAGGAGTTCGAACGATCACCAGAGTATGTCCAGGTCCAGCGCCAAATCCTCAAGGCTATCGAAAAGCACGACATAGCTCTCACTTCCAAGGAAGCATACAAATGGACAAGCAACAGCGTACCCAAGGGCCAACGGCCGCAGCCACTACAAGCCCTAAGACTCTGCTACTACATGCGCTCGCTAGGCTACGATACCTTCGCCACCATCAAGACATCGTGCGATCCAGGGAACGGAACGAAGATAACTGCGCTCCGTCTTCTGGTCGCCAATCCAGACAGCGAGAAGCGCGGCTTGGGTCACGATCACTTGTACTGGGCACAGGACATTCGTACTGGGGAAGCGGTTTCAAAAGCATACAAGCTACGGCGTTCATTCTGATGGCTAGGCGTTGACATGGACGAAGGGAGGTTGGGCACGATGAGTGCGATCAGGGAGTCAAGCATCGTTTGATCACAGTGGGTGAACATCTTCCGACCTTGCATGCAAGGCTCATCTGTGTCGCTCCAACGTTGCTGGATCCGTGTATGTGTACTAATCTCACTTTGTAGTCAATCTCACAACAATTCTTCTATAAGAGATACTTGACGAAAGGATTGATATAACCATCGGTGATGTATATTGACAGTTCACCTCTCGATCTACGCTCATCACTCTCCCACCCGCCATTCGCCTCTATCCGCCATGTACAAAGCCTCTTACATCTTGGGTATGTGCATCGACGCAATGGTCCATACTTTGCTATTCCCTGTGTTCGTCAGACCTGTGTAGGTCACCCCGTTGCTAGTTGAGATAGTCTTGCCGAACGTAGGATCAGCTACGGCAAGCGTGGTAACAGTGGTAGTGTACGTCTTCACCGCAATCGTACCAGTGCACGAGCTATCGCACTCTGTGCCGGTGCCATAACCCTTCTATCGCCCAACTTAGCCAATACTATATCTACAACATCGTTGGAAAACGAAGGAGGAAAAGAGAGGTACCATATAAGGACCAGATTTGTGCGAGATCGTAGATAGCTGTTTCTTCATGCCAAGATCGGTAGCCATCTGCTTCCACGTCTGTCCGTCCGCTTGCAGCTCATACAGAATCTCAACCTTCATATCTCCACTGACTGGACTCGCAGGCCCATCAAGTTGTCCAAAACTTCCAAACAGTGAACAACGAATGCACCACTGCCCCGGCTTGGTACCGCACCAGTCATTCCCACCTGCCCAGGACTCCGGCTTTGTCTGCACGAGGCCCCCCGTGCCGTTCGACGTGCCCGGCCACAGGAATAGCTCGTCGTTCTGGGTTGACGGCGCCGCGCCAGGGACCACTGTGGTCACGGCCCGGGTGAAGGTTCATTCCAACGGGTCGAGGGACACATCACCGCCCAGGTGTCGGCGCGCTTTTGCACGGTGAGGGAGGTGCGGGTGGGTTTGAAGTCGGGGAGGCGGAAGGGGTTGTATGTTAGGGCCGAGAGCACGGAGGGAATTGCGAGGAGGAGTGTGAGCTTAATGTTTGCAGCGGGTTTGGTAAGGAATGCAAGGGGTGGGTGAAGTCGAACGCGTGCGATTGATCGAGCAGATGATTCTCAACACATGTGGCTTTGGCGTGTCTCTATGCACTGTCACTTTCACTCCGGCTCCCCAGCGGCCTCTTTCCAGCACCCACGATCGCCCGCAAGATCGTCCACCACAATACGCATACTCTTTCCAGTCCACATCTCCGCTACACTATACATTGATGGCCATAACTCTACCCAAATTACACCTGTCAGTCATGTCACGCTGGAAGCCACCAATGGCATGCTGTGATCATGAAACAAGACCAAGATCGTGCCTGTTCTGGCCCGCCAAGATGAAACGTCGGAGAAGTGTAGGGATGAAGCTCGCACCAAGCTTTCACAAGCTTTGTGGAGAGATCACTTTGTATGTACTAAACATCTCGTGTTTGTATGTGCAGTTGGCTGATGGGTTAATTTCGCTGTTGAGGGGTTCTTGGTTGGCAAGCGAATGGATGGTAAGGTTGAAAAGAGGTATTGATATTTGCGCATACGTCCTGCGCAGTTGCGCATGCGTCTTTTGCAGCGTGAATGGTTGATGAAGAAAGGAAGATATAGACATGGCAGATAGGATTTCGCAGTGATATTAATTAGAATTCAGGAACGACTATACCATGTCGATACGTTTGAGAATGCATACTTTCCAAAGCATTGCACCCAGAAGTTAAAGTGTTAAAAAAACACAGACAGTGAAGCTTCTCGACCCACCCTTTTTTAAAAAAAAAACTTATCTCAAATCGTCCATAGGTGATATGCCGCAATGAAGATCCTTCTCAAAAGCAGATGCACATTGCACATGCTCATCTCTGAATTGGGCAGATGGTTCCCAGACCTGCCGGGGTTAGTCTCAACATCATGATAATTCTCGCAGTTCCAAACCTCGTTGCGGTGAAGAAATTCAAGTGAGATCCGGACCATGCACTGCAACGCCGCCATCGCTTAGTCCGTGAGCTGGGCTCAGCCGTACAACCCACCTTCAGCTTCAGCCGTTGAAAATCTCCGAAGCATCATCATCGTCGTACGACATGCACGATTAGTCAAATCACTGTTGTCACGAAGTCGAAGCGAATTACCTCAGCAGAAAAGACTGGAGAGAGACCGTCGGGGATCCGCGACGCGGCAGGAAGGCTGCGCGAGTGCAACCGTGGCTGGTGGTGGCAAAACGCAAAGACTGCAAGCAGCCGAGGTGCGGCGACGGCGTGCCTGACTGATGAGCAGGTACGACGAGGGACAACGCACGGGCACTTACTCGACGTGAACATGTGCAACTGTACCTCGAGTTTGTATGATCAAGAGATCGGAAGTTTTCTTTGTGCCGTTGGGTGCTGATGGGACTAGGAAGGGAATGACGTCACTAGCAATTGAGTGCTGACCATCAGATTGGTATGACTGTGCCTCTGACTCTACGCATCGACCACTTTGCAACAACCCCATGTGACACATCTCATAATGGTTTGCAAGAGATGGCGGAAGACGTTGTGAAGACGCGCAAGACGCGCATCGTGTGCATATCGGACACGCACAACAACACGCCCAAGCTACCTGCTGGCGATGTGCTGATTCACGCTGGAGACTTGACGAATCAGGGCTCGTATGATGAGCTTGAACGGAGTGTGGGTTGGCTTGAGAAGGCGGATTTTGAGGTTAAGATTGTTGTTGCAGGTATACCAATGCGCTGAGACGATATTTGAGGCAGTGTTGCTGATTGTTGGTGTGTAGGCAATCATGAAATCACGCTTGATGAGCAGTTCTACGAAGAGAAGGGGAGTCGGTGGAAGTGGCCTGCTTGGCAGAGTCCGAGAGGATGTATGAAGCTGCTGCGGGAATCGAAGACGGTTACCTACCTGGAGAATAAGTCTACGATGATATACTTGAGGAAGCCAACGGGGCCGCAGACATACTTTAAAGTGTTTGGGAGTCCGTCCACCCCTGGGCCTGGTAATTGGGCGTTCGAATATCAGGAGCAAGACGCAGGGAAAATGTGGTCTGCCATTCCCAAAGATGCAGACATCGTAGTAACGCATACGCCACCGAAAGGACACTGCGATGCGGCAACGAAGGACGACCGGTCTGGATGCCCTTCGCTTTTGCAAAGATTGGCTGTTGTCAGGCCGTTGCTGCATGTATGCGGTCATATCCATGAGGCTCGAGGAATCGAATGTGTCCGCTGGAGTCCTTCCCGCAGCGACAGCTTGGTCGACAGCGTAGAAAACTGGCAAGACCCTGGAAGTGGCAACAAGAAGCTATCTCTACTGGATTTGACATCCAAGTCAGGGCGCCCTTTGAGTAATAGCGTTGTTGCGACACGTCAGAGCGAGTCTGACTCGCTGCAGCGTGGCCTTGCGGGCCAGCCTGGTGTCTCGATGTCTAGAAATGGGGTCCTCCAGCCTGACCAAGAGATCCTAAATTCGGCGTCGAGCCTCATCGGAGGTGCCCTCCAAGAAAGTGAGGCGTCCGGGAGGATTGAAGATAGCGGGGTTGTGGAGCAAAGGCGTGGTGTTGGTGCACCCAAGGCAGCCTTGCAGGGCGATTCAGGCTGTCAGTCCAGATCTTCCAGATACGAGGACGGTATCGAGAGTGTAGTGATCAACGCTGCGTTTCTTGGGCCGAGGATCAATGGAAAGACGATTGGAACCAACAAACCCATTGTGGTTGATATCGATTTGCCAGTGTGGAAGGTCGATGGAGATGAGGATGTATGATGATGTAGCGAACTGCAAGCATCCGTCTTCGCAGCCCTAAATGATATCATTGCTAGTGTTGACATCTCGCTCCAAACCCACATTGCCTCACATTGTGACTTTCTGCTGCTCAATCGAAGACGACCACGTCGAGAGACTCGGGTTGCCGGCTTCTGTAGAGCATCTGACGATTGGATGTTGACGCGCTGGTGCCCCCGCTACGAGGTCTCTAGCCTGCATAAGCGCACTTTATCAACCACTCAAACGGGAGAACTACCGCAGACTAATGTCTGTCAACACTGGGACCATCCGGGACGGATCGAGCGCTCAGAAATCGTCTGCCTGGCGAAGTAACCACTGTGCAAATCCTCCACATGGTATCGACGGTTGGGGATCCTAGCCTAGTGTCAGGGCACGCACATCTTTTCCTAAGACGAAGCAATGGGTGCGCAGAAGGAAGCAAGCGTGCCAAAGTCGCATGACTTGCTCAGGTACTCTGTCCGAAGGTCTTGGTGTCTCGGATTCCACGAGATGCTGCATCATTTGAGACGTCTTAAGAATGCGAAGTCGTCACGGGCTACTTGCTTCATTTTCGCGGCTGCAATTGGTCACGTCTTGCAAATGTCTTTTGCAGTGGTGGGGTGTTTGCCTGATTGGCAGTGATTGGGGTTGTGGGAGTGTCAGTTGGAAGCACAAGGTCCTTTTCGGCGGTTTCTGGATCATGCAGGTTCGATCCGTCGTGTCTGACCATGTGGCCGCATAGGTGTATGATTCGATTGGACGTGTGTTTCGTAGCCGCTGGTGCCGGCCGCAGCAGAAGTGCAGAAGGTGTTGGGACAGGGCCTTCTCCAATCGGACCAGCCAAACTTTAGCGATTCGAGAGGTGGCTCACAGAAGGTTGCGAAGTCGTCCTCTGGGGACAAGTGCCGACAAGCTTCACTAAAGAGCTGGCTGTTGCGGAGCAAGCTGTGGATCGAGTAAGAAGTGGATCGGGGTGCTCGAAAGCGCGTGCGGCCAGGGCGGTGGGCTTACAGCAGCGCAACGAGAATGTGCTGAGATGCTGATGGCTGCGTGAGAGAAAGAATACCCGCTTTGCACCCAGCATATGCGGGACTCTCATCACACTTGATGCAGTAGGTATTGAAGAGCATAGCCTCTTGTGTTTTGTCCCTAAATGGAGTCCATTCCACAACCTTTCAGATTGTCCATGCTGACTGTCCGCAACTAATCTTCTGTCGCACATATTATCACATTTGGGCCGCTTTGGACCGCTTTAGACCCTTCTGCTTCTATATTTCGATTCTGTGCTCCCCATCGATCCCATCGTAGCATCGTCTGGGACGCGGCCTACGAACAGCCGGGACTCTGGGCAGTGGGCATTGACGTAGCCCCTCTTCTCACCGCCGTACACCGCAAGTCGATCAGGTTCCCCCTCGCAACAAAGGATCGCTTGAAGCGACCAGAAGGTACACAGCCTCGCTGCATGCTTTGTAAGAAGTGCGAGTACCTTTGTCCGCAATTATCTTTCGTTGTCCAGTCCTAAAGTCTGGGCTGCCACGAGCTTCTCCAGGTTTCTTTCGATCGCTGTCAGGGACGGCCGGCCTGCCTAGGAACCCTTAGCTCAGCATCACCAAGCCTCATCGTCACACTCCCCAACCTCACACGAGACACTTTGGCCAACCAACAATTCACTCTCTTTAATACAGCAACAACGCACATCTTCCAGAGCTTGTCGCTTGACCTTCGCTACACAAGTTACTCGACTTTGCCACCGCGGCTCAAGCCACCTCTGCCGCGCACTACCGCCACAGTGCCGACATTCATCCGCGATTCGCTCGCCGATTTGGTGTACGCCGCTTGCTGTGCACTTATATTCAACAAAAGTCTGATTGTCCATTGCGGCTGCGCATTGCGACGTCAGGCTCCTACTAAATCACCTTCACCACCCCCGCATTGAGGAGGATCACTTGAAACACACGACGCAAACACGCGACATGTCTTCAGAACCTCTACCAGACCATTACAAGGCCCTAGGGATAGACAAGAACGCCGATGCTGCGACCATCAAGAAGACATATCGCAAGCTGGTGCTCACCTGCCATCCTGACAAAGTCACGGATGAGGCCCTGAAAGCGCAGAAACAGGACGAGTTTCACAAGATCCAGCAGGCCTACGAGACCCTGAGCGATGAGACGCGCAGGGCTACCTACGAGGCCGAGCTAAAGTTGGCGCAGCTTCGTCGCGAGAAGCTCGCAAGAACTGCCAGCGGTTCTACTGTTGAGCCCAAGAGCGCACGCTTCACTCAACCTACCGCTGGGGGAGGCTCATACACCGCCAACACATCGTCTCGCTATGCCACCGAGGAGCGCAGGCCCTCTGGGGCAACACCATCGCGCCGTCACGAACACGACGACGACCGCTACTACAACGGTCGCAAGACGGAGTCGTACTTTCCATCACCGAGACGCCAGTCGCCGAGACCCAGCCCATCGTCACGCTCATCACGGGAAAAGCACGAAAAGGAGTCCAGAAGCGAACGACCCTCGGCCGACCGCACACGATCGAGCGCCGCAAAAGCGCGCGACAGCGAACGCCGAGACCGCACAGCGAAGTTTCCCGTCGATAGCGATGGGTCTTCTGGCGAGGACAGGGCGCGCTACGACGAGCGTGGCTACAAGACGCGCAGTGCAGAGGACGAGCCACGAAGGCGGGCTGAAGAGCATCGACAAGACGACCGACGCTATGACGGCTACGAGAATTCTACTCCAGCACGCAAACTGAGCGTCCAGGAGAGTGACGCCATCCGCTACATGCACAAGGCCCGCGCCGAAGTCGAGCCCAGTCTCCGCCCATCGCCCACCAGAACCACATCGCGAGACTACTACGAGTCCAGCAGCCGCTCCTCCAGGCACCGAGAGGTTCGACCGGAGCCTGCGCCTCGCAGGTCATCCGTCCGCCCCAAGGAACGCCTGGGCATGTCCTCGCGGCGTGACACAGACCGCGGCATCCCCGAAGTCGTCGATTGGGACGAGCGAAGACCGACCTTCAAACAGTCATCCTCATCACCCGCCGAGATCCGCATTCCAACCACCCCCCAGCGCTCCGCGACTGACTCATACCGTCGCTCAGAGCGCTCGCCACCTCGCTTCCCCGGCATAAGCCGCTCCGCCACAATGCCCACGGTGCCCGGCTCAGAAGCAGGAGGGTCGCGTCGCGAAGCTAAAAGCTACCCTCGCCCCTCAGGTCTTCGAAATGAGGCCAATGGCAGCCCCGAGCGAGACGCATACCCGACCGTCCCGCCACCTCAATCTAGCAGCAAAACATACTACTACAGTCTAGCTGACGGAGGCGTCAAGCCTGTGGACCCACCCCCGCACCGCACTATCCTCCGCGAACCAGAACGTGTCCGCCACCGCTCGCCCTCACCGATTAGCAGACCTCCAATGGGCGCCAACCGCCCCAGTCTCCATTCCTCAAAGACGTACGCACCTGGTCGCTCAAGCCGCCAATCATCACCCGTGCGTGAAGAGCGCGGCCGCTCGAACCAGATGAAGTACGGCGAGATGCCATCAGAGTACACACGCAGGAGGGAGATGGGCGAGCGTCAGCCAAGCTACAGTCCGCAAAACGTGTCGTATGCGCCTAGCTATGGGCCTGAGGACGTTCATTGGGCGCCGAGGCGTGGAGAGGAGAGGTATACGGAGCGCAAGCCTACGCTTAGTCGCACGGCCACCTCCGTTTACTAAACCGCTAACTGACATCTGCTTGAAAGTTTCTCTTACAGGCATGTTCCTGCATTTGATCGATTTGAGCCGAGTTTTGTTGGGCACGCGTGGGTGAGGAGGAGGATTGCGTACTACGATTGAGCACTGAGGAGGCTAAGTATATACAACCCAATAACCGCACATAGGCACAGAGTAGGATACCCATGCCTGGATCATCTTCACTGTTTTTACATTTTACATCTGGAGTACACGGCGTTTTGGAGCATTTACACGGACTAGTCCTCGGCCGCAAGTGCTGCTCGGCGTCGAGATTGTTTTTATAAATAGTTGTGGGGCTCTCAACGACCCCTTTGGCAGCGAAATTGGCCGCACTCGTTTTGATACACTCGCTTGTAGACGACCTAACGACATTGCATTGTTTACCATCAGTTGAACTGTCATAGACAGAGAGATAAGTCAGAGATAGAAGTGTGTAGCAACTAACGAATGAAACAAACTATCATAAACCGTGTCTTCTACCCCCTGTAGATTTTGCATTAATCAATTCTGCATTTCGTGCTAGTACTTCAGCCCCCCCAAAAACGCCACGCCCACATATTCCTACAGCGGATTCTGCGCTCATGCAGACCCGCTATGCTCTCCCAGTATCGTACAGGCTCTCAACCTGTAGAGGTCTTCAAAGCACAATCGTACTGACTACACAATATCATCGATTGCCTCCTCTGCTTCCTCCGCAGTGACCTTCATAGCTTCGTCGGCGACAAAACAAGGAAATTGAACGCCGACGGAGGAGGGGTCTTGGAGGTCATCAGTGGTCTGACCATCATTGGCATTGACGGTGAATCCATTGATGATATCCCTGGAGGTACTCCATAACTCCTCGTCCGGTGACGCTGCTCGCTCGAGCGATGGCATGTCAGCGGGTGAGGGCAGCTGGATCGCTACCGTTGCTGCGGTCTCATCTGAGGCTGCAGTGCTGTTGGACCACTCACTCTCATGACTAGCATCATCATCATCATCTTCCTCATACATCTGTTCTGACTCAGACCGTGGAGGCATTCACTGGACATTGAACCTGACCGGCGGCTCATCCAGCAGTTCAACATCCTTGTCCTTCACAGCCTCTCCGTCGTGCTCACGCGCCCGGTCCTCTGCCTCCTTCTCCATCTTCTTAACCGCGATACTGTTTTTCATGTACTACCGAACATTGTACAAATGAAACTGTCCATAAAAATACTCGGGAAACTTCCAGTCCAGCTGCAATCTATACTGTTCCTCGGCACCAGCCTGCCGGCACTTCAGAATATACCGTACCAGTATATCGATCAAGCAGTAAATATACGGTGCACACGGCCCACCATCCCACTTGCACTGGTTATCCTCACGCTGGCAAGGACCGTCTCTTTCGCCCCGGAAGCTCCCAACCCCGGATATCCTCGTCCAGCGCTCTCAGCATGCCCGCTGAAATCTTCTCCGTGAGTTTCAACCACGTCTTTTTGTTGACAAAAATCGAGCCAAAGTAGTGCACAGACTTGTGCACGCGGTCCAGCGCCACTAAGGCCCAGTGGATGCCGACAACGTCGTCGGTGGCGGTGGCTTTCATGCCGTTGTTGACCGGCATGAATATCCATCTTACATCTCAGAAGCGCGAGGAGTAGTCCTCCTTTCCTTCTAGATCTGGGTTGTAGCAGACTTGCGAGTCGACGGAGGTACATATTGCGATGTAAGATGCCGAGCAAGACAAGTTTTAGGAGAGGATAGTAAGAGCCATGTCGAAGCCGTCGTCTTGCATGTACATTTCTTCGTCGAAGGTGTGCGTCATCTAGTACCATATGTTGTTGCTGATCGAAGCGTCGAACTCCAGGAAGATATTGTCGTTCTTGGGAGGCTAGGTGAAGGAGCGTTTGTTGAAGTCGTGGTAGCGGAGGGGCGTGGGGAAGTCGAGGGCTGACGTGTCTGGTTTGACGAGCTCGAGCTCATTTCCTTGAGGGGTACCCGGAGAAGTGTACAATGAGCGCCTTGGACACTGGAAAACATGCTGAAGCCTAGACGTAGTCGATACTCCATACAACGGCCAGAGAAGGAATTTACTTGCTGAGCCGCGATTTCGAGCTCCCTGAGCTTGCAGTCGCGTACCTACAAAACATAGAATCAGCTCTTGGGACATTGGAAGTTATGCAGAAGCCTGGAGGTATTCGGCGCCTTATGAGGTCTCGAGAAACGGAACTTACATCGTGAATCTTTCGCTTGTCGATGCCCATGTTGACATCGACAATACACCTCCGCTTATGCAACACAGGTCTCGATACTCTGTCGCTGATAGTCCCGCGAAGCATGCGCAAACATCTTCTCGGTGCGAACACGCATCATGCGCTTGCTGCTCACACACTACTATTTCTAGATTGATACAGGCTACCCCTTCACCATGTATAGTCAGAAGGGAGACAAGTGCGCTTGAGCAATCTGGAGTTTGGGACAGCTCCCGACCGGCAGCAGGCGTTAAGGCAATACCATGGTCGATATGTAGCACTGCCATCATGACACCAAATTAAGAGTGCTTTGGTCTCTGGACACAAATGTGTGTCGTGGACTTGTGTAGTCGACGGTCGGTCGGTCGTCATCTTGGTTGTTCAAGTGTGTCTGCTAGCTGCATTATGAGGTAGGCTCTAGGTGCTGGGAATGCCAGGAAAAATGGCGGTGACAAGATTACATGATTGCGACGTCGATGTAGGTGCTTCCGAACGTATTCCGTGTTTGTTTGAGGAGAAAGGAGACGAGCGCTTAGAATGAAGTGGGCGTTCGTAGCGTAAGGCTGATTCGAGTGTCCATGAATTTCTCGAGTCTTTCATGCCCCCCACAGTCGTAAATCACTGTGCATACGCTTTACGGCAGGCCGGCGTGTGCCGCTTTCGTCAGTGCACCAACTGTTGTGTGGTATTTCAGGGGTATTTTTTGACAGGTGGGTGGCTGTGCTTCGAAACCGGGTCAGTGCGTTCGTCGTATAGCATATACGGACGTATAGTTATGGTCGCACACACATCGCAACGTCTTCCTATCTTATTCTTAACAAGGACGTGTAGTGGCTTTAAATATGTAGATAATGTCGACCATTGGAGATCACTTCGCTCTTTCGACTTATCCTCTTCAGTCATTCTTTCCTGTATCCCTTCAGTTTCATTAGCACTTTTGATCGAGACTCACTGTATCTTCATACCTTCTTTGCGTACTATCTCTACGACTCGAACAGCTTCAGATCTTCAAGATGGCGGGTGATAATGGCATCTATCCCTACACCCCCAGCAAGCCGGCCTGTCTAATTGCAGCTGGACTTTTCGGACTAAGTGCCGTATACCATCTTTTCCTGTTGATTCGATCAAGAGCTTGGTTCTATACCTCCTTCGTTGTCGGTGCTTTGAGTAAGTTGCGCTCTGACTTTATCAGTGTTCACATACTGACCTCCGCTAGTGATGACAGCAGGATACATCTTCCGCTTCATTTCCGCTGGGTCTCCCGCCGACCTAGGGCCTTACATCGGGCAGTCCTTGTTCATTATCCTGCCTCCCTCGCTTTATGCCGCCACGATCTATATGATATACGGCCGACTCGTCCTCTTCGTCAACGCCACAGAGGCTTCGATCATCCGCCCAACACTGGTTACGAAGGTGTTCGTTTGCGGAGACGTGGTTTCGTTTTTCATGCAAGCTGGCGGCGGTGGCATGATGGCACAATCCAGCATGGCGGATATGGGACAAAAGATCATGCTGCTTGGTCTCTTCGTCCAACTCCTCTTTCTCGGATTCTTCCTCTGCATCTCGCTGGTATTCTGGAAACGCATGTCGAAGTCGCCGAAGCAGTACGCTATCCCGCAGTACGGCAAGCACGCATGGGACAAACTCCTGAAGATGGTGTTGGGCGCTGCGGTGATCATCATCCTGCGATGCATCTTTCGTGTCATCGAATTCGCGCAAGGACACAACGGCTACCTCGTCAGCCACGAGATATATATGTACATCTTTGACGCGGCGCCCATGTTGGGTGTACAGATCATGATGCACTTTGTATACGCGGCGGAAGTTTTCGGCGTGGGAAGACACTCAAGGCTTGGGAAGACCGAGAGTGTCATTGATCTGTATCAACGAGACCATGTGTGAATTCGCAAGGAGTACAATCGCTGTCGCGTCCAATGAAAGCAGCTGAGAATGAAGGAGGAGCGGCTCGAGGCCATTAGTTTTTCTTAGAGTTTCTATATTGGGCGTTAGCGCGGACAGGGGACGTACTTCGTTTCTCGCATCCGCGGACATCATAGAGCAATCAAACTCTTGTCTTCTCCAAGTACCACGGTTTCGCCACAGTCACCCTAGATTACACAGACCCAATCGGTGTAATTCGATACCTGGGCGTTCAAGCGCACTAGCCTGCAATGGGCCAGACTCGTCGAGCACATCGTAAGTCCCGAGCGGGGTGCGAGGAATGCAAGCGACGTCGTATCAAGGTATAGTCTTGGACAACGATACCTGTTTTCAATCTGACTTTGAATCAAGTGTGGCGAAGAGAAGCCGACGTGCGCTCACTGTACTCGGCATCTGGTAGCTTGTGTATATCCCTCAAAAGCTTCCGTGAGAGCGAAAGCCAACAGAGATTCACCGTTGCGCACAACGGCCTCACCTGCAACACCATCACAGCAAGGAACCAGTTCAAGTGACTCTTATCCTACTAGCTACCAGAGCAACGTCGCCTTCGATTCGTCTCTCTATACGCTGAGCGACCTGGCATTGCTTCACCACTGGACCACGATCACTAGCCCCAATATTGTTCATTCGCCATCGGTTAACCACATTTGGCAGTCGGGGTTTCCACAGTTTGCATTTAAGAATGGCTCGTTGATGAGCAGGATCCTCAGTCTCGCAGCATTACACCGCGCCTATCTGGACCCTGCCAATCGACACTCAGCCATGCTAGTCGCTGGCCAACACCACAGCCAAGCGATTAAGGGGCTCATGGATGGCTTACAAGAAAACACCGGTTCAGACTCCGGCAATGCTATATTTGCAAACGCGGTGTTGACTTTCCTTTACGCGTTCATCTCCTTCGGACCACTCTACAACGACGAACAAACTGGCGCGAACACCGCCGCTCATACGTCTCGTATTCTAGGCGCATCTTGGATCCCTTTGATTCGTGGACTGGCGCCTGTTATAGAGCAAGTCCAGGAGCAGGTTGCTACGGGTCCTCTGGGCTCCTTGCTTGACATTGCCAAGTGGATGGAGCTGCATCCAGGCACAGAGGACGACCCTGATGACCAACACATCTGGCGAATCGGCGACATTTGGCGCAAAGGAGACCACAGTAGTGAACACGCTGATGCCTACAGCCAGACGTTGCTCGCTTTGCGGCAGTGCAATATGTGGCTGAAACAGTCTGGTACCTGGCAAGACGACGATAGCCCACTAAAAGCAAACTACGGGCCTTGGTCAGGACCTTTTATCTGGATTTCTATTACTCCCGAGACCTACTTTACGCTCCTCCATCAGCGGCAACCGCCGGCGATGATCATATTCGCCTGTTTCGGAGCCCTGCTTCACAAAATGAACCACTATTGGTGGATGGAAGGATGTGGCAGAAGCATAGTCGAGGCTGTGGATCAATGTCTTGGCCCATATTGGAGTGACTGGATGGACTGGCCAAAGCAAGTTCTGCAATCAGCAACGCCAAATTGCTTGACCTGAGTCAGCATTGTTTTCAATGCACGACATGAGCTCACATCAGATGGCATTTCCACAACTGCTCAGGTAAATGTAAGTCACAAGAATTCAACACAGCCACCGATTCATCAAACTAGCAAGTACAGCTGTAATTTGCGGACTTACTCTAGGTACGCACCTTTCACGGAGCTTCACAGTGGTCATGATATCTGCTTTACAGTATTAATTGATAAATGTAGAGGGCCGGTAGTTTGATCCTCCCAGCCCGTACGCAACCTTTTTTCCTATCTTCGGCGCCCAGGTCGGTTCGAGAACCTTGAGAGCCCGCGGTAGGGCGACCTTTTCCAAACCTGTAACCTCGTTGGTTCGCTTTCTCGTCGCAGCTTAGGCTTTCCCTCCACTAGCCTCGCGCAACACAGCCCCCCACTCAATTTCATCTAAGCTATTGGCATGTATGGATGGACCGATATCAAGAGCCCTCCTTAGCTGTTCCTTCGTGCTCACATACATCATGCACAGCTATCCATAGATTAGAGCCATTCAATCATTCCTCGAGATCACGTACCTTGAGCGTCGTGCCCACCGGAACCCAAGCGATGAAGACCGTCTTATTCCTGAGCATTTGCATCAGCAGCGCACCTCAGCTTGCCATGTTGGCCACAAGGATCTCACCGTTTGCCATCCTGCCCCAAGTCATGCTCTACATCGTACACAGCGAAGCAAGGAGGCGGCACCACTTCTCCCTCCTGACTGTCTGCTCCGGAGAGCTTCTGTCGGAGATCTCATAATCAGGCTCAGTGGACGCCTCCTTGACAACAACATTACACTGATCATCAGACATTTTGAAGATGACGAATCGCATTTTCTTCACGCCGCGAGAGGAGCGCATCTAGTGTGCTGCAGTGATGCATTCCGTATCGATCGTGATGCTGTTTGGGTCGAAGGTCAGTCAAGGCATTCAGTGGGCTATATGAATTTGGAGAGTTATCTTGATGGGATCTGTGGTGGTTTTGTGTTAGTAGAAACTTGTGGTTGGAAGAGGCTTCTGACTTTACCGATATGGTTGTGGGCTGTGTATGTTCGAGCTTCAAGTCGAGAATGCAGGCTCTTGATCTCGAACCTATATAGCGAAAAGCCTCTTAGGTACAGCATGTGATGCCAAAGAATCGCGCTATTAGAGGTAGGAAGTAGTAGATCTGTATAGCAATTACTCTATTCTACTGCTAAGAGAGAGAAAGAGGCACAGGTTCTATGCAGCTAACTGCAGGCTAGAGAGAGAATGCCTCTATAAACAAAGTATATTCTAGACCTTTAAAGCTTGACTTTAATAGCAAAATACCAAGAAAGTAGAGTATATAACACCTGTCTTACACTGAGCCTAACCAACTGCAAGGCTGAGCCCTAACCGCCGAGCACCTGCATAGGCTTATCTGCTCGTGCTTGATCCTGATGAAGTTAACGACAGAATGAGTCTAAATACCGAAAATGATTGAGTCCAAGCAATTATTTCCAACTGTCCCAATCGTCTGCCAGCGAAGTCGGCTCTCATGGAAATGGAAGATGGATTGAAGTTGATGGAGGCAGTTGAAGGGTTATCGAGAATTACGTCATCGATCATGTGCTCCATACACCATCACCGCTTCCATTTGTTCTCCTTTTCGACTCCACGGAGGAGCTGTCTGGTTTCCCTTGGTGCGGCCCTTGGCTTCTTCCTCTCATCGTGAAGTTTGTCGTTCAGGGTGTCTTCGTCCGAGTGCAACGCCCCGAGTAGCGACCGTTTCGGAGGACGATGGCCCGAGAGCAATTGCGGATAAACTCCCACACCACCACGCACATGCAGATCCACTCCCGCCCCCGCAAATGCTTGATCCATTTGACCTAAATGGTCTTGCCCCTGCAGCACATGCGAGACTCTTTCTGGATCCTTGCATCGCTTGCATCACGCTCTGTGGATGCAGTCTTGCGTGCCCAGAAATTGGCGGTAATTCTACCATAAACGACTTGGTATACCGGAAATTGCGATGATAAACGATGGCGACATGCTCTCGCAATAAGTCCGAAGCCGGGCGGGCGGCATACGATGCAGGTACAAATTGCATCGTGAATGCTCGTTAGACCTCCAGGACGCGATTTTGCGACCCTTCCATTCTTTGCAACATGTTGAAGACTGTGCTTGGCCTTTATGGCCTACTCAGTTGCGCAGCCGCACAGACCAACTCAGTCAAAGTTAAATGGCTTGAAGGAACGCCAGACTACCTTGGCGGTGTTACCTTTGGTCTCCCATGGCCTCGTGGACAGCATCTGGCCAATGCGACCACCTTCACAGCTTCAGGTGATGCCCAGCTGCAGTCCTGGGTCACCGCGTACTGGCCTGATGGCTCACTCAAGTGGACCGGACACGCCCTCGGTGCCACCGACTCTCCTGCTGATGAATACACCATCACCGCTTCTGGACCTGGCAACGCTACTTTCTCCCGCGTGAGACGTCAGAGCAACAACAGCACCAGCGGTGTGCAGGTCAGCGAGTCTGGAGACGAGATCGTTGTCAATACTGGCCAGGTCATAGCCACTTTCCCCAAGTCTGGCAATGTCTTGGTCTCTTCCATCAAGTCCAGAGGCAAGGTCGTTGGAAACAACGGTCGCCTGATCTTGAGGTCGCAGACTGGCACGCCCGATGACGATGAGAACGGCAAGCCAACCGGCATCGACTACTTCAGCTTTGCTAGCAAGATTTATAACACTACTGTATCGGAAGACAACTCTGCTCGTGCCCTTGTTACTGTCCAGGGTATTCACGCAGCCGATGGCGAGGCATCGCACGCAGACTGGCTTCCGTTCACCGTGCGCTTCTACCTTTATGCGAACTCGGAGGCCATCCGCATCATTCACACCATCATCTACGACGGTGAAGCCAAGAGCGACTTCATCTCAGGCCTCGGTGTACGCTTCGACGTGCCCCTCGCTGAAGAGGAGCAGTACAATCGTCACGTTCGCATTGCCGGCATCGATGGAGGTTTGTTGCATGAAGCAGTTCAAGGTATCACCGGTCTCCGTCGCGACCCTGGTGCAGATGTAAGATCGGCTCAGTTTAACGGTACTGAGACGGCTGACAAGTCGACTTGGGACCAGAGGGTAACAACTCGGCTGCAATGGATCCCTACTTGGAGCGACTACCGGCTGACCCAGCTTTCGCCCGATGGCTTCAACCTCAAGAAGCGTACTAAGGCTGGACAGAGTTGGGTCACTATTCCTGGAGGTACCCGCTCTGGCGGACTTGCATACCTCGGTGGCTCTTCCGTTGGTGGTCTCGCCCTAGGTCTGCGTGACTTCTGGAAGAAGTACCCTACCAGTGTTGACATCTCCAACGCTGCCACCGACACCGGCTCAGTCACCTTGTGGCTTTACAGCCCGCAAGCTGACCCTCTTGACGTTAGGCCGTACCACGACGGTCTCGGCGAGGACACATACGCCAAACAGCTGGATGCTCTCGAGATTACTTATGAAGACTACGAAGGTGGCTACAACACACCCTATGGAGTCGGCCGGACCAATGAGCTGTTCCTCTATGCATTTGCCAGCACTCCGTCGGCTGACCACCTCTCAACCCTGACCAACCACACCAACAACCCGCCTGTTCTGATCCCAGAGCCTACTTATATCCGTGATACTAAGGCTATTGGTAGCTACTGGGACGTCCCAGGGTCGCCGAAGGACTCCGCCCAGGCCCAGACCATTGAGAAGAACATGAAATTCTTGATCGAGTTCTATGAGAACCAGGTCGAGCAGCGCCGATGGTACGGTTTCTGGGATCATGGCGACATTATCCACACCTACGACGATGACCGTCACCAGTGGCGTTACGATATCGGTGGCTATGCTTGGGATAACTCCGAGCTTTCGCCTGACCTGTTCTTCTGGTACCACTTCCTACGCACTGGTGACGCAGGTGCCTACCGCCTTGCCCACGACCAAGCACGCCACGGCGGTGAGGTTGACTCCTACCATCTCGGCAATTTCACAGGTCTTGGTACGAGGCACGGTGTTCAGCATTGGGCCGACAGTGCTAAGCAAGCTCGCATCTCTACACCTGTCTACAGGAAGACCTTCTTCTACATCTCTGGTGGTGACGAGCGCACTGGTGATCTTGTCCGTGAGGTACAAGAGGTTGAGAAGGCATTCGTCCTTGTTGATGCTCGCCGCAAGGTCCGCGCTGCTAACGTTGTCTACAACCCCGACCCTGAGGCGCTTTACCTCAACTTCGGTACCGACTGGGCTGGTATCGCACAAGCCTACTTGATCGAGTGGGAACGCCGTGGTCCAAACTGGGAGCAGGCCCGTGACAAACTCATTGAGGCTCTGAAGACATACCCCAAGCTGAAGAACGGTTTCGTCACAGGCGAAGCCCTCTACAACTCCTACACTGGAGCCTGGTCACCACCGCCCACAGACCCCAACAACACTGGCAACATCACCGTATCTCACTTGTCCGGTGTTTTCGGTGTCCTCGAGACCATTGACCAGCTGATCGAGCACTTTGGTCCCGAAGCTCGCAACACCACTCAGCCTTTCCTCGATGCATTCCTTGACTACGCCTACTACTACGGCGCACCCAAAGCCGAGCAGGCCGCCAGGTACGGCAAGGACTTCGGCAACCTGAACCTCAAGCAAGGTCATTCTCGCTTCACCGCCTACGTCGCCAACAAGCGCAACAACGCCACTCTGGTGCCTCGTGTGTGGTCCGAGTACCTTGGCGACGGCAGCAAGGACGGCATTGCACCTGACGCACCCTGGAAGACAGAGCGCATTGATGGCAGTGATGTGCTCATCCCTGTCGATGAGGCTACGTGGGTCAGCACAAACGCTGCGGCCCTGTATGGCGTTGCTGGCATTGAGAACTTGGCCTTGGTTGGAGCACCTGACGTTTCTTCGATTGGTGGTAACTCGACTGCTAAGCTAAGGGTTTGAAGCATCCTTGGACGGTATATATTATGGATTGATGACGATTAGCGCACTTCTTGTATATGATAGTTCGTAACTTCTTGTGTGTAATGTTAACTTATTCCAATCGCAAGCTTCATTCTTCTGCTACCGCACGCTCTCCTTCGCATATGCATACTCATTTGCCGGAGTTTTCGTGATTGAAAAGTAAAGATTGAACCGAAGACTCAGCGAAGTGGTTTGATTATTTGAGATTAATATATACAAAGAAATAAATTACGGACGACACGCGTTATATTCCTGTCTTCAGTATCTACGACCATGCAGTAGACGCACCAATCGCCGCGCCACTCGCCGGAAGCAAGAAGTTGCTTGCAGCAATCTTGCCTGTTGTAGCATCACGCTTACCCTGCACAAGCGTAATATCGACACTCTTGAACGCAGCATTGTTCCACGTCGCGCTGCCCTGCCACGAGTTCCCAGTCTGCTTCTGCGCACTGTTCAAGCTAACCTGCGCGGAGTTCGTCGTGCTCTTGATGTTGCTCGCAGCAATGTTGTCAGTGAACGTCGTAACAGCAGTCGTGCTCTTGAAGCCAACATCGCCGTTGTTCCAAGCAGTGTTGCGCTGCAGGATGAAGTTGCCGGGCTGACTGTTATCTGTGAAGCCCTTGGCTGCGTTGTTGAAAGCAATGCAGTTGGTAATCTGGTGGTTCGCGGCCTTCTTGTCCGCCTCATCGCCGCCGCCGAGCTTGAAACCGTTGCCGTCGCCCTGGAAGTCGCTGAAACCCCAGCGGTTGACGCCGTTGCCCCATGCGATGCTGTCGACGATGGTGATCTTGCTCTTGAACTCCCAGAAATCGAGACCATCGTCTACATTGTTCCAGAGACGGGCGCCCTTAATGAGGTTGCCCTCGCCAGTGCCTTCCTTGATACCGATGCCGTCGGCGGACTCGCCGTTCTTGCGTGGGTCGCGGTTCTCGTAGGAGTCGAGGTAGAGGATCTGGTTGTTTGCGCTGTTGCCTTGAAGTTGGAAACCAGTCTCGTAGTTTTGGCGGGTAGTGAGCTGTTGGAAGATGTTGTTGTTTGAGTCGACTGCATATACACCATAGGGTCCGTTGATGAACTGGATGCCCTTGAAAGTCCAGTAAGCTGCCGTTTCGACATGGAGAACACCACGATCAGCGCTCGCTAGGCTGCCGCCAACAGGGGCAGGTGTGCCGGTGAGTGCCTCGCCATCGACGATGGGCACCTCCGTCTGGTAGGCTGCAAGTGTAATGCGAGCGGACGAAGTACCGGACTTCTTGATCTGGATGTTCTTGGTAGGCGAGTATGTACCACCACGAAGCAGGATGCTGTCACCAGCTACGGCCTGGTCAATGGCGACCTGGATGGATTTGTAGGGTGCGGCGAGGGTTCCTGCGGCAGTGTCTGAGCCGGTGGGTGCGACATAGTAAGTTGCGCACAGCACAGAAGGAAGAAGGAGGAAGATGGTTTGGAGCGATGTGAGCTGCATGATGAAGGTATTGTAGCGAATGAAGTAAACACGAGAATCGAAAGATAAATAGCAGCAATAGAGAAGGAATCATGGCTCCACGAACGACTTTATGTACCCCTGCTGTTGCCATAATCAGCCATGCGAGCGAATTCGCAGCAAACGCCATGGCGCCATACAAAGGGACTCTCCACCGTGAATGATGGGCATAGTTATGCCGAGTTCGCAGAGTGGTCTTCTCCAGATTCGGCGAATTAAATGAAATGAGTATATGTAGAAATTCCCCGAGTGGGTGTAAGTCAGTGTTTCACGTGGGAAATCCACTAATCAAGAGCCGTGTTTCGTACTTGGCATACTTGGCGTATATGATTGCTGACTTCGTTGCAGCGTTGAAGGACCGTCTTGGAAGGTGATTTTAAGTCTGAATCATGCGAGCGCCGCGGGGGATCAAGGCGTTGGTTGCTTAGGAAATGACGAAAGGTAAGAGTTGCGAGAGCGTGTAGACGATGGCTTGCTGGTTGTAGCGCAGCTGTGTCGTGTCGGAAAATCGTTCCACTGAGCTGCCGAACCACGGAAGCCTGCTATGGAGGTTACATGAACCGCTGAGGTGGAGGTAGTGATTCGGTAGCCGCAGAGGTGGTCTATCGACAAACGTAAAGAGGGCAACCTTGGGATGGTTTAATCGATGATGAAGTGGCTGCTATTCTTCACAGCGCATGCCAACAAATAACTCATAGAGTATCAAGCTCTAACAAGACATTCGATAGCAAAAGAAGTGTATGGATCGATACAGCGACGCGCCGATATCGTCTGAGACTGAAGCTTCCGGGCATATGACCGCATGGCTACTCTTAAGTTGCAATTGAGATCGGTTGCAGACGCATACTGGCACATGGGGACAATAACGCAATGGATAACAGGGTAGATAATATTAAAAGGGAACTGCGGTAACGGCAATGTGATGGTGGATGTTGGACGACATAAGTGATGATGACGCACGAAGGACTTCGGAAGGAGTGCGCGCCTCTACCTAGTCCAAAACGAGAGAAGCGCAACTTCCCTGGTGATCGGATGTGGTTGATCACGACCTCCCCCAGCCACACCTCTACACCTGGTAGACTACTTCGAGCTGACCCACAAACCCCAGGTTATCGAGGGAAACATCGTGACCCCACATGGAGATCGACAGGGCATGGATGCATTCACTGGTTCGAGGCGCTGCAAGACAAGAGACCGCCTGCCAGCCTTCGGCGACCCAACTGACTTGCTGCCGTTATGACGTGCAGGTTCTTGGATTGTTGCTTGTGATACAACAAACATGCGGGGGTATACAGGATCTGCCTCCTGCACTCGTGGAGCTTTAGATAACTCCCACGCCTACATCACCATAGACAATGCTTCGACCTTCACGTTTCCTCGCGGCGCTGTTTGCAGCAGTCTCCGTGGCTCAAGATACCTGCAATGAGCCTGCCTCAAGGTTATACCTTCCTGATCCGCCATACGACAACTACATCTACTTCGACTGCCACTCGAGCTCCCATGTCATTCTCACAAGTCCTATGTCGAACAGCAACTTTAGTATTCTCGGTCCACGCTTGCTCATGGCATGGCCTGCAGGTAATAGCGGCCTTGCTGCGTATTTCGAGCCTACGGATGGAGTAAACGGAACCCTTACACCGCGCCTCGAGAACTCAACGTCCACGGGCGAGATACTAAACCCCATCTATGAACCTATCGAGGGCAGTGATCCTCGAGTCGGAGTCTCCGGTTCTGTGAACTTCAACGTACCCGCAAATTTGACCATCCCGATCCTTGGTAGCATTCGAACGATCCGAGACTTTGCTGAAGGATCCAGTATCCTCGATCCAGGTGTACAGGGCGGCCTTCGTTTCTCCCAATCAGATGACAATGGTGCTACTGTCAACCGGACTTGGTTCGACAATATCACGACCACAGTGCTGACTTTCACTCCGTTTGATGGCGCCCAGCCAGTGATCATTGATTCAAACAGTAACCATTTGCTATTCGGTGCCGGTACATATCGGTGTAAGTGGTCACTTAGCGAACCTTACTCCGGAGACAACTAACATCATCCAGTCAACGCCTCCTTCAACTATCCTCACCTCGAACAGCTGAACCAAACAGAAGCCCTTAACCCCCAGTCAGCAGATCTGATCCAGCAGCAACCAGACCAAACAACCTCTCTGTCTTTCTTATCCTACGAAGACAAGCTTTTGGCCGGTACATGGCGCTTTCTCACCTACTTCGGCCGAGACAGCATGATCTCCATGCTTCTCATGCAACCCGTGCTGAGCGAGGGCGAGAATGGCGCCATCGAAGCCGTCATCAGCGCAGTACTCGAACGTATCAACCGCGCAGATGGCACAGTGTGCCACGAAGAAGTCATTGGTGACTACGCTACCTACTTGAACCTCAAAGAGAACATCACATCCACGGAGCCTCGATGTGACTACAAGATGGTCGACACAGACTACCTCCTCCCCATCGCCATGCAAAACTACTTCGTCGACACCTCAACCGGCCAACAGCGCTCTGACGAATTCTTCAACACCACCGCAACCTTCCTAGTTGAAAACGACGGCCTGACATACGGAACACTGGCTGAGATCACAATCTCCAAAATCATGAACGCAACATCCGCATTTGCATCCCCGGGCGGCCAAACCATCCAAAACCTCATCCACCTCCGCGCCTCCGAGCCCGTCGGCGAATGGCGCGACTCAAACAACGGTCTCGGCGGTGGCCGCATCCCGTACGACGTCAACGCCGCCCTCGTACCCGCTGGGCTGCGTGCAATCGCTGCGCTGAGCCGCGCGGGCTTCTTCGCGAATCGTCCTGAGTGGAACGAGACTGCGGACCGGTACGCGCAGGTCTGGGAGGACTCGACGCTGCAATTCTTCGAAGTGGTTGTTCCCCAATCTGAAGCTGTGTCACTCGTTGAAAGCTACGTTGCGGACGGTAGTCTCTCTGTGCCGACGAACACAGACAACATCACCGGTGATATGACTTATTACGGTGTTGCTCTTGACGGGAATGTGCCTCCACCCTCAAACGCCTCATCCCCGGTAGTCCCAGTGATGAACACGGATGATTGTTTCCGGCACTTCTTCCTCAACACGACGAACCAGGCGCAGCTCAGTGCGTTTCTCAATCAAACTGCTGATCACATCCTCAACCCGTTCCCCGTGGGTCTGGCAAGCGATGTTGGTCTATTCGTTGCGAATCCTGCATACGCCGGCAACGCATCATTCGCCGCAAACTTCTCTCGCGGAGCCTATCACGGCACAGTAGTCTGGGGATGGCAGTTAGCCATGATGGGCGCCGGACTCGGTCGTCAACTCGGCCGCTGCTCTTCCTCCAACGTCCCAGGTGCGTACCTCTTGCCCTGCTTCATGATTCGATGGCAGTGGCTATCACGCAGTGACTAACAAATGAATAGACTTCTGCAACGACACCCCCTTATACAACAAGGTCCTCTCAAGTTACAACCGCCTCTGGGATCTTGTTGAGAACAATGAAGCACAGCTTAGTAGTGAAGTCTGGAGCTGGAATTACGACAACGGGTATCAGGCAACTCCGCTCGGGTCTATCATCGCGACCGAGAGTAATATTAGGCAGCTTTGGAGTTTGACGTTTTTGGCGGTGAGGAGGGAGAAATTTGGGGGTAGTGGGTAGTTGTATAGCAGGTTTGCTTTGAGTGTGTAGAATATGGGAGTGTAGGCAGTTTGGAGTTTGGCTTGGTGAAGAGGTTCGTGTAAGACGAACGGGGGCGAATTGCTGGCAGTGTACTCAGATGCAGCAACTATGGTCATTGCTCAGCCCGTTTGACTCACTCTTTGGCCTGGAAATGGCCTCTTGTACGCTGTATCGATATGGCGACTTATACGTGTCACATCAGCTTCTCTGCACTCTAGCACACAATCGAACTCAAGGGTATCCAATTACTCACTCGCTTTATACACCACCCAAAACGCCCGCTATAATGCACAAACCCTACATCCCACATCCCACACCCCACGCTCCATCATCATCGCCCTACCTAACGAATCTTGTCAATTCTCTTCTTCGCAATCCGAATCTTCCCGTCCACCCTCTCGACATCCTCCTCCAACAACCCGAGCATCGCATTCTGCTCCACAATCTCCTCATTAATAGCCACCCCCATCTGCCTCATCCTCTTCACCACCGTCGACAAATCTACCAAATCCGCATCCTGCTCTTGAATAATCTGCTTCTGCAACTGCAAAACCCCCTCGTTATCAAGCTCACGCGTGCGCTCCGTTTCCACGGGCGCACCACCCAGCACGCGGCGGCCGGAGGGTTTCGAACTTCCTTTGAAGAGCCCGGCTTTCTGCTCGGCGGTGACGGCGGCGCTGGAAGTCGAGGGTGTGGAGAGGGTTCCGGAACCGCTGAGGGCGGCTTTGGCGGCCATGGTGTTCAGGACGCTTTCGAGGCCGTCACGCTCTTTGCGCGAACTGCCTATCATGTCTTTCCGCCTGCGTACCTCGCCGTCACCGAGTTTCTCCCCGCTCCACTCATCGCCGCTTGTCCCGCTGAGGCGCCGCAGGCCTTCCTCGAGCGCGGAGAGAAGCGAGCCCGCGCGCAGGAGAGAGCGTTTTGCGTTTGCGGCGGCGTCGTGCTGGGCCGAAGCCGCGGTGGCTTGTTCACGTGCTGTTAGCCAGCGCCGCGCATCCTGTAGAGATGACTTGACTTCGGCGTGTTTGTCGAGCCAGTCGCTGCTGTCCCTCACACGGTCCTTGCCAAACTGACTCCCAGGGAAGCTGGCCAACTTCTTCGCCCCCTCGTCATCTAGTCCCAAAAACTCCCTGTACGCCTTGCAGCTCTTCCACCGCGCATCCTCGCTGTTCTCGATCGCGCGTAGATATTCCTCAAGCCCCTGCCGCCGCTTCTCGATCTGCTCTGTTGACCCGAGCGAGCTGCCGAGTCCGAAGAGAGACCATGATTTTGGCGGGAGGGAGGCGGGTGGTGCGGCGACCGAGGAGCGCAGCGCGGAGTCGAGGTTGGAGAAGTCGGTGTAGCGTTTTGACACCGAGCATGTTGCGCGCGGGAAGGGGTGGTCGATTTTGATTGTGTATTCTGTGTAAGGTTTGCCGGAGTCGGGGGTCTTTGTGTGTGCATTTGGTATGGAGATCTTTAGGGGCGCCATGGTAGGCTGTGGTGGTGGAGGTCGTAGATGCTCTGGTGTTGTTGTGGTTGTTGACGCCTGGTGGTGTCGTGTGACTTGTATGCAGCACTGGTCCTGTCGGCAAAATACTCTTCTGTAAAGGCGTTGGCAGTTCAGGGGTGCATTGGTGTTGCTGCCTGTGGAGTCGACGAAATTGTTCACATGCACGCCGACAGGTTGGAGCTTGGATGCGGCTCCAGGGTCTCGCTGCTTGACATCATCCGTAGGCACGGCAATGCGTGCCACGTGCCTCACGCTAGTCATTGCTCTCAAATGCCGCCTGCCATCCTGACTCTCTCAACACAGCCTACAACATTCAGGCTGCTTGTGCGGCCAGAACCACTTCACGTGCCAGAAGGACCAAAGACACTGAAGTCATCACAGTATGTCGGTGCGAGTGCCGTCACTGTGGCTTGAGGAAAGCAAACGTACTCGCAATTCAGAAGACGATTCCCGTCACTACTCGAATACTTTGACACTGCTTTGGATCCAATTGGTCTGCGTCTCGCAGGCAAGCTCGCACCAACCCGTATTCTCCGCAATTCGCATATCCATCACTTACCTTTTCGTATACTTACCTTCCCGCCAACTTTCAACCCGTCTTCCTCTTTCCCCTCCACCTTCTCCGTCTTCTCACGCTTCATGTTCCTCAGCTATCGCCGCCTTGTTCTTGAGTGTCGCTCCTACAAGCGACTCGGCACCAGACTCGTCTTCACTCTTCTTCGTCCGATTTCGCTTCGAGGCGTTGATGGCTTCGCGGCGCGCTTCGTGCGCTTGGTCGATGTGCACCATGGCTTTCTGCAGCGCCGGCTTTCTGGCTACCATCTTTCCACACGCTTTGACATCCTCCACAGCGCCCTTGAACCGCTGGTGACACAGCACGTTCGCCATGTGCGTGAACACCGGGTCCTGGGAGCCGAGATGGTACGCAATGAACGTCAAGACCTCAGATGTGATGGTTGTAGTCGAGATCTGGGTATTGATTGCAGTGAGCAGAGGCTTGACTGAGCTATGCGTGCTGGGAATGCCAAGACGCAGACACGCTTCGTACTTGAGCAGATTTGCAGTCAAGTCCGCGTTGACGGGCATCTTCTGCGATAGGATAATAGCGTAGATTACACTGTTCATAGCCGCTGGCTCATACTTCCCGTGAATCTTGAACTTACCCGCCCATGGCTTGGCTTCAAGTATTTCTGCTGCCCTGGCCGATATGCCCATTAGGAGGCGGGTAGGTACGTACTTATGAATAACCCGATCAGTCTTGCCATCGACGACACTGACGGTCAGTTTCCGCGGTGCTGAATACTTTACATCGGTGCTCTCTCCCTTGGGCTTCGTAGTGCACTTGCAAATCCCGGCACGGATGAGTGCATCCAGTATTGTTTTAGGTGCCTTCGGCATGTCGTCAGCCTCCGGCTTGTAGACTGTGGGCTGTAGGTACCCGAGGATCCTTGATTTTGGTTCCTTTGGTGCCTGTGGGCTGGCGACGTGGTGAATCACTATCTCAGTAGTAGTTGGGGTGCTGGGACGTGAAGGGCCTTGTGCGTCCGACATTTTGAGAGTTTGTTGTTTGCTAGGTGTATCTTGATTTCAATTTAATTTTCTCGAACTTCGTCTTATGCATAACTGTTGTGGTGAGCGATTCGAGAGGCTGGTGTATTGCTTAAGTATGATATGTTGAAACTTCAGCGCACAATGTTGAAGGACACATCTGGACCCAGAGTTGCAAAAGAAATCGGCCTTGAAACTCGATTTCCTTTGTCTAGTCTGTTGTAGTCCACTGTGCATTCAATCCACACTGTGTTAAGTTCCAGACGGCCTTCAAAGCGAAATTTGGACAATGTAAAAACAGGTAATTATCTTGCACATACAATATATAGCATAGTGCAATGCTGGGGCTGTTGGAAGAGGATCTTGGAAGGGTGGATGGGAAGATATGGATTGCGAAGAGGAGGGTTGTTGAATTTGGTGAGTGATATGTTTGTGAGGAATGGGTTTTGGTCTGGGATACATCACGAGGCATATGGCGCTGCTTGGGGATGTGAAGGGCACGAAGCGGAATGGAACTTGTTTAAGCTTGTCTGAGCTTGTTTATTGTATGTAGTAAATATCGCTGGCAATACTATCAATATCGACATTTCTCCGTTTACAGCGACCGAAGATGCTATACTGGTGTAGCACTATAGCGTTCCAAAGCTTGTATTGCGGAAAGATTGCATGGCGTTTCTAATGGCCGATCAATTGTCAAATCTGTTGGAGTTTGGTTTTCAAAGCGACAAAGCCCTGAGAAAATCACGTGCTTGACTGGGATGAATCTAGATCTGTGAACACCTTAAGCCCTTTTTTATGCTTTCCAACCTGGATGCGTTGCGCTAGAGTTTAAAAAAAGGCCGGGAAACATCTTGAAAGTCGGATGAAGAGACCTCGAGTTGGTGAGACAAACCAAAATGCCGAAGGACGCGGCAGATAGTCTGGAAACGATAATCACTGAATCCATAAGCTCCGTGCTCATGGTCTGGTCCGGACTTGTAGGTTGCTCGATTAGGGAGCTAGTAACCAAAGTTACCAAACTTTGAGTTTGTCGTGAGCACAAGTTCCCACAACGCTGACCATGAACATCGACTTCTATAGATTGCCAAAATGCAATCTCGTTCTAAAAGACTCTCCCAGCCAATTACTTGGGGTCCAAGGTGTAATCATGTTGAGACTGCAGATCCTCGTGTACTAGACCCATGACAGCGTAGACTTTATCAAGGAGCTCTGTAAATTGCGCCCCCTACCACACGGAGGACCTTTGGCCAAGTATTGTAAGTGTTCGGTGTCTGAGAGAACGATTTGGGACTGTGTATTGACTGGATTCCCGCGGATTTACGCTCAACGCTGCTCACTTCACTAGAGTCATGACCGTTCTGCTGGGTCTGCTTTAAATTCTCAACGAGTAGGAATTGAAGGTCATACAGATTGTACGTTCCGGTGGTCAGAAAGACGATTATACGAGTAGCCAGCGTAATTTCTTGAACGATTCAGAGCCTGGACCAATATGATTTCCTCAGCAACGCTGGCAGCGAGCTGCCTGACAATCTTTTAAGCAGGTCCTCGTTGACACGGAAGATTTTGAGGGATTGCATAAATGCCTCATGCTTAAGAGAGAAGTTGAAGTCGCCGAATTGAAGCGACATTTCATGAATGGCTGGCATTCCCTCGTCCCAAACGTATGAAAGCGCGTAGGGTTGGAGGTCTTCATCTAGTCTGGCGTGTCGGAGAGTGATGCGTATGAGCGCAGCCTCGTCTTCACCTCTCGATTTGAAGGAGGCGAGCCTCCTTTTCCCGAAGATTGAGCGGTCGATGTTTGGATAGAAACATGCTAACTTGGTGTGTATGTCGTGACCATGGAGGTACTCATAAATCTCTTCTGGGTATGAAAAGAGTTGTGAGGACTGGCTTAAGTGTTGCAGCCTTGCTCCGTCCCCTGTGGCTGTGCCGTGTCGCCTGGCGATCTCTACGATCAGGCTCCCGTACAAAAGCTGGCAGCGGGGTCTTGTATCACACGGGGTCCTTCTATCATCGAGATGAAGTTCTTGCAGCCTGTATGATCAGCTTTCTGACGAAGCCAATCTTCAGCCGCTTAACGATGCAGCGAGGCCGCACCGCTGGTTGTTTGTAGGAGATGGTGTTTCATCTGGTGCTCGTGTCGCCATTGTATGATGTTGACAAGAGAGCAGAGGAAGAAAGGTGGATAGGCAAGTAAGTGTGTGTGGTGGAAGAGTCCTGTGTTAGAGAAAGAGGCCGGGTCGAGGGGCCAGGGAAGTGGCGCGCAACACCAGAGGCAGGAACAACACAACGCCAAACTGACTGCTGTTGTCTCTTGAGCGGCTTACATTCATGAGGACGGTCACAAGTTTGAGCTTTCACATACAAGTACAACAGATGCTACAAACGCCATACAATGCTGCAATGCCGCCATGACCCAAAAGTCTAAACAATCCAAACCTAAGACTTCTCGCTCTCCCTCAAAGCGGAGTCACTCTCGCTCTTCTCTTTTCCAATCGGCTCTTCCGCTGGCTCGTCACCGAACAAGTCATCGAGAAGTGCATCGGCCTCCTGTTCCTGCATCTTGGATCTTGATGTTTTCCTGTCTTCGTCGGCTTCAGCTTGTGCTTCATCAAAAGCAGTCTCGGCCTCGGCGGCTGGTGCTTCGCCGTCAAGTCTGGATGCGAGACGGGCGTCGGCGTCTTGGTCGTCGAGGAAGGCTTGCGTTTCGTCGTAGGCCTCAACGTCGTCCTGATCTTGGGTGTTTTCGAGGCTTTCAGCAGACTCCGATTGCTGATCCAGCGCTGGATCTTGATCCATTGCGTGGCTCAAGACTTGATCTTGACCTTCACGCAGTGCAGCTCGGCGCTGCTTCCTCGCACTATGATCGTTCCTTGGCAGCACAATCTGCCTTAGAGGCTGTGTCTGCGCGCCTGCCTGGGTGATGTAATCCACCATCTGCACACACTTCGTAGCGAAATCACGAATTTGCGCCTCATACTCATTTGCCTTGAGTTTTTCGGAGTAAGCACTCAGCGCACCACCCTTTGCACCCAATTTGCCGGACTGCATGGTGCTATAGGAGATCTGTGTGTCCAGAAGTCTACCTGTGACGCTTTGTCGGAACTGAATGCCGGAAAAGACATACTTGACAGGTAACATGCCTGTCGCATCTGATGGGAAGCCTGGGATAGTCCATTTGGGGATGTCGATGGTGAGTGATGGTGCGGAAAGACGTCTGCCGCTTTCTATGTTCTGGCGCACTGCTTCTGACCATTCCTCGACGTTCTTGTCGTGATGACTCTTACTGCTGAATCTCAAGCGTCCGTAGCGGTGGAAGCGGATGTCTGCTGCTTGATCGGGGAGCAGAACGTCGTGAACACGCTCTTGGAAGCCGAGACTGAGCTTGTGAATAGTGGGTCTGTTGCCATCGCGGCCTGTGCGGACTTGTATATGAAGCCTTGGAAAGGCTGGGCCGACTTCGAGGTCTTTCTGATCTGGTGAAGGAATGAAATCGTACAGTAAGGCGGGTGTCTCTGTCCGCGAAAGGTTCTGAAATTCTGACGAAGCTAGCAGACTTCCCAGACCCGGGATTGAAGGCTGAAATGGTGACCGTGAGGGATCTGAGGCAGCCTCTACTACCTTGTTTGGGTCAGACAACTCCAAAGGAAAGAGTGCTTGGCCAAAATCGGCTGAGACTTTGTACTCTGGCTCCAGAGCCCAGTATCCGGTCTGTCTGTTTCGAGGTTTCGATTCTGATCCGGTGAAGGCTCCATCAACTGGTGCCCCCATAAAAGACACGACCCGGTTCACAATGCCGTGCGTACTCTGTTCGGATCGCTGCTTTGGCTCAACCCCATCCTGGGAGTTGTCCTGCTCTTCAGTTGCAACTGCGTCAGCTGAGCGGGCGACTGGCAACGCCCAGCGACCCAGGCTGAGGTCTCGAAATGAGTAGTCGAGCGACTTGGGTTCGTGAAAAGTCGGCAACAGATAGCTTCCGTGCTTCGCTGCATCCAATCTTTGAGTGTCGATTGTGCGCGTTGCGGACTCTTTGAAGGGCAAGAGTCTAACAAGTGTCCTTTTCGCCTCCGCGACAGAAGTCTCGTCCAATCCATGTATTGTCAACTGTAAACTGTGAGTGACATGCCATCTACTGACTTGATGGAACCTACTGTGTAATCGTCGGCTGCAAAGATGTCTGTGCCTGTCAGAGATGACACATAATCAGCCGGGAGGGAAGCGGCTAGACTGGTGCCGGACGATAACCTGGCCTCATTGAGCTGGCCAACCCAACGTCTTAGATCGAGCGACGTTGCGTGCGCTTTGCTGATGGCCTCTAAGATATCGTTTGCAGCGTACTCCGCCGTGGTTTTGTCGGCTGTAATACGGAGAACGTTGGCCTGCCAATGTATCTCAACTTTGGCGTTCCTGATCTTCGCAATGCGGGCGAGGTTGCTGTTGTTGCCTGCAATAGCGTCAGCGCACGACTCTTGGCGCTTCATGCACATACGTACCTCCATTTTGCAGGAGCCTGAGCTCCCATGGCCTCAGCTTGAGTTCAAGCTCTCCGGGTGCCTCGAGCTCTTCAAGAAGCTCGAGCTTCCACACGTCTCGAAGGATCTTGTCCACCAGTGTTGCCTTGCGTATGCCCCTGGTCCTCTTATTTAGGACTGTCTCAACGCCTGGAAGACGTTTCTCGATATTTGTCGTGGTTGGGTGCCACTCGCTCCGTCTTGTGGCTTTGACAGTAGCCTTTACCATCTTGAACAGAGTCTCCTGTTTTACGCTCTTCGCTGCCGAGTAGTAGTGTGACAACTGTGCCGTGGTGAATCCGCGGGCCAAGGCGGCGACCAGCTTCACGAAATCGGCAGTCGTAACGTAGTGTGGCTCGTCTGCATGGCCGCGAGCAGGGCGCAAGCTTTGGAGCTGCTTCTCAACATCCTCCTGAGTGGCTGGTGCGCTGTCCTGCTGGAGCGAAGAGAGAATGTCCGGGACTGAAATCGGCTCAAAAGGCTCTGGCAGCTTCTTGTCGGGGTCCTCGGGCGTGGGTGCTTCGTTAAGGACTAAGATGTCGGCCTCTTCATCCATGCGCTTCATGCCCAGTTTTGCCTTTCTTTGCCTGACGACTCTGCCCTTGCGAGTGTACTCCTTCGAAATGCGCAGAGGTCTGTCTGCAACATTCGCCTGGGCAGGCGTCTCTCCCAGTGCGAGCGTCTGGGAATCATCTGCGGCATCGTGGCGACGTGCAGAGGACGAAAAGCCGGCATGTGAGGGTTGACGAGGCGGCGTAGACGTTCGAGGGCGCGCAAGCTTGAGCTCACATCGGAGGCATACAAATGCACTTGAAGCACGGGTCGCAAGCATAAGGAACGCAAGGACGAAGCCAGCAATGTACAATGACGATGGATGCTGCAACGCGATCCCGGCGCTGTGAGATGTGAACTTTCCCTTTACACCGCCTATTTCTGCCGGCTTCGACACGACCTCACGTGCAAGGCGCGTTCGTACACCAGATCTGAAGGGGTCTTGAGTGCATATATTGCTTTCTATTACCCCTAGCCTTCCATCTATATTGGTCGCTTCCAACTACACAGGTCCTGCCGCAGCTCAAACTCGTCGACTTCGTGGTGTGGACGATGCCGTTTCCTCTCTGCTTCGGCCTTCATGTGGTGCGCCTGCTGCTCTAAACTCCCTCTCCCGCGAACGTGCTGCTTGGGCGAGCCTGAATGTGTACTCCCGGGCCGCAGTGTATCCTGCGACTTGCGAAATAACCGCTGACTCCCTTGCGCGTGTCGCTCGTCTCCGCTTACAGAAGCACTGCTATCGCCTGTAGCTGTCGTGAACCGTATGCCGCCGCGCTGCGGTGAGTACGGTTTTGCGCGATCGCCCCAGCCGTCTCCGCCAGCGAAGATGTCCTCGATGCACTCGTCTGCTTTGAGCTCGCCAGGCTGCGCAGACCAATATGCTGCGAGTGTGCGCCTGTACATGTCTTGCAGCTCGCTTGCATCCCTCGACTTGCTCGTCAGCGATGGTGCAGCGCCGCTGTCCTCGAGCTCTGCCTGCTCTCCAGCCATGATGCCCGCAATACCGCTGAACACCTGCGCTGTCTTCAAGGCTGGCGCAATGAAGTTCTTGTCGCCCTCTGTCTGTCGCATGTATATCCCAAGCTTGAGCGTGCTGTTGATCTTGCTGTTCTGCATGAGGTACCGTCGTGTTACTCCTGGGTCATCGCCTTCGGCAGCTGCCAGCTCGCTCTGCTCCACGTATTCGGCCAGGTTGAGCTTCACGTTGCCCAGCGTTATCCGCTCGCCTCTGCCAGAATTCGAGTACTCTTGGACGACCTCGAACTCAATCAAGTTCTCCTGCAGCATCCCGTTCTTGTCGACCGTGAGCCGGACGGGTAGTGTGATGTCATAGTTGTACTGGACTTTGTGCTCCTTGATCAGGCAGTGGTCTGTCTTGCCACGGTGCTCTGCGGCGGCCGAGTGTGGGAGGTGCCATTTTACAAAGCATTTCCCTGAAGTGAGCGGTACATTGTTAAGGTCGACGATCTTGGTACAATGAGTATACTGTAAAATGCGCCGGAGAATCAGGGATCGCTCACTCTCAGGTGCAGGTCGAACTTGGGCTGCGCATATGTCAGCCAGAGTCTGGCATATGTATTCTTAGGATATCCTTACACGGCGATTCTTGGGTACTGGTATTGTGAGCGTTTGCGCCGCAAATGCGACTGAGCGCAGCCGCAGCGTTGACATTGCTCACCGAAGGCCTGCATGGTCAAGGGAAAAGAGGGCCGCGTCGAAAGACAAGGGTATCAGCTGGTTTAGCGGTGCTGAGTGTGCGACAGAGAACCTGCGATAGAGTTGCAGGAGCGACCTGGAACAGTGAGGGTACGAAGTAAGGCCTGCATGGTCCACCATTGACAACCCGTTTCCGGTGACCCCGGCCTCCTCCACTAAAACACCACCGCAACGTCAGCCCTAGCAATGACGGCACCGAGCGGACTTCCAACATAATGACACCCAGTGCAGATGCTATTGCCGACTGCGTGTTGTCGACCTTTGAGCAACTGCCAGACAAACGCAAGCCCCGTCCTCGCAAAGATGGCTCAAGAGAATGGGTTCCTCTGAGCGGCATTGTCCTATCCAAGGGTAAAACCCCCCATCAACTTCCGAACAAGACTTGTGGCTTATGCTTATCGTATAGCAAAGACGGCAAGCTCTTATGCGTGTCCTTAGGGTACGTGCCGTCTGCATATAGCCTTATACAACCATCTACCGGGATCCCCCGCTCTATCTACCACTTCTGGCAGTGGGCTTGAGATAGTACATTGCGTCGTGTACCATTGCGTTCCTTCAAACTAGCGCTGACGATTTGGGCAGGACTGGCATGAAATGCTTGCCGCAAGATAAACTCGCAGCAGGTAACGGCAACGTCCTTCATGACTGGCATGCCGAAGTCGTTGCCGTTCGCACCTTCAATCGCTTCCTACTGGATGAATGTCTGCGAATCGCGAATCCTCCCTTCCCGGCCTCGGACATCGTCCACCAACGATCAAATTCAGAGAGAACAGCCCAGGAACCTCAACCCTTCACCATCCGTGAAGATGTACAAATTCATATGTACTGCTCCGAAGCACCCTGCGGCGACGCCAGCATGGAGCTAACCATGGACGCCCAAGAAGACGCAACACCATGGACCAGTGCACCACCAACCATCTCATCTACCCTCAACGGCTCAGATGCCCCAGCAGAAGGCACGGGAGCACTCCGGGGCCGCTCCAACTTCTCCCTCCTCGGCGCGGTCCGCTGCAAACCCTCCCGTCCAGACGCTCCGCCAACACTGAGCAAGTCTTGCACCGACAAGCTCACAATGAAGCAAGCCACCTCCCTCCTATCCTCCATTACATCGAGCTTGATATCCCCACGGAATGCGTATATCCATTCACTCACCCTCCCCGCGTCGCAATATGTACCTGCTGCATGCGAGCGCGCGTTCTCCTGCACAGGCCGACTGCGAGGACTAACCGGCGACACCATCCAAAGCTGGGGCGGAGGCTACAGATGGCAACCATTCGAAGTCAAACCCACGGAGAGAGAGTTCGCATGGAGTCGGCGAAGTATCGCGGCACACGAGAAGGCTGTGGCAAGTAACCTCAGTGCAGTATGGACGCCCACATGGCAAGAAACGCTGATAGGCGGTGTGTTGCAAGGAAGGAAACAGATGGATCCGAGGGGTGCGAGTAAGATCTGTAGGAGGGGTGCATGGAGTCTTGCAGTGCAGATTGCGGGGATCGCTGGGCTGCCGGTGGTGCTTGAAGCGCTTAGAAGAAGCACGTACAGCGAAGTCAAAGGCGCGGATCACCTGCAAGACCGGAGAAAAGTCAAGAAAGACACTCAGGAGCAAGGATTGAGCGGCTGGGTGCGCAACACAGGCGATTCCGATTTCGCTCTCCACACGCCTCCATCATAGCTACTTACACTTAGACACCACAACAAATCATACACCATCACACACTTCCAACCCCCTCCTTACACAACCCCCAACCACCAACCCTCCCGCCCCACCGATCCGCAACAAGCTCACAAACCCCCACCATCTCAACGCCCCTCCTCCTCCCCCTCTCCCTGCCCCCAGCATCCGCACAATAAACCCTCGCATCCATCTTCCCTCTCGGCAGCATCGTCACCAAAGCATGCGCATCCGCATACCGACTCAACAATCCCAGCAGCGCCGGCATCGCCTGATTTGAAGAAAAGATCGACGGCCGGGGTGGAGGTTGAGGGACGTAGTTTTGCTGTGGCGCCGGTGCGTTTGCTTGTGGTGGTGGGATTGTGTGAGAGGGAGGTTGGCGTGTTGGTGACGGGGTGCGCGGTGGGATGCACGGATTCAGCAGGATGGTGTGAAGAGCGTAGGTGCGCGTTAGATTTGTGAGGGTGGTGAGGAAGGTTGTGGCCAGTGTGTTTGAGCGGATGGCGTCACGCTTTAGGAGGGGGGTGAGGATGTGGGAGAGGTTGTCGATGAGGATGAGTTTGAGTTTTGGCTGGGGCTGGGCTTTTGGTGGGTCGCGTTGTTCTGGCTGTGCAAGTGGTAATAGGGCGGGTGTCGGTGCTGTTGCTGGCGGTGCTGCAGTGTCGAAGAGCATTTCGTCGTCTGAGGCTGATATGTCTGAGGCCTCGTCTTCGCTGTCTGCGATTTCTGTCTTCTTTGGCGGCGGTGACTGATTTTCCTTTGTGATCATCTCCGCTGGTATGTTGACTTCTTCCGCGTTCAGCCTGCCTTCTTGTGCACCATGGTTCTCTGACTTAATCGCCCGTCCCTCAAGTCCATCCCTCAGCTCGCCCACCGCTTCCCTCGCACCCACAAAATCGAAAACGCGCATAATCACCACCCGATCTAACACTCTTGCCGCCAAACCCTCCCTCTCCTGCTTCTCACTCTCATCACCCGTTGCTCCATCCACATCAGACTCTTTCTCCAAACGACTCAGAATCCGTGTATACAGCCCCACAACATCAAAATTCCCCGTCGTATCAACAACCGCCACCATTCCCTCAGCATACCTAACAAGACAATCAACAAGAAGTGTTTTCGCCAGGTCATCGCGTTGACTGCTTGTTTCGCTGCTGAGTGCTACTACCCTGCCGCTCTGGAGGGTGGGGCCGAGAGCATCGTCGAGACTCTTGACGCCCGTTTGCAAGACATATGGACTGTCGGAGGGCGCTACGGAGGTTTTGGAGATGTTTAGACTGTCGAAGATAGTGGTGAGTGAGGAGGGGGAGAGGAGTGAGGAGGCGAGGAGTGATTTTGCGGGTCTTGCTGATGTCTTGGGAGAGTGGGGAGGTGGGGGAGGAATTGCAGCCATCTCCTTCTTTCCTTAGATCTAGCTCTTGCAAATCGTTCAACCGTGATGTTGTCAGATCAGTAGTCCGACGTGGCGCAAGCTATCTCGGAAGTTTACCTAGGGCTTGATGCTTTCACTAGCGTACGTCCGAATCCGGTAATGGCGATAATTAGAGTGGGAAGGCAGGATTGTGGCTGAGGCTTCGGAACCCAGCCGAAAGGGAACTATCGAATGATCGTCGCCTAGAAGAGCGGTGTTGTTATCGGCTTCGAGGAGAAAGGTTGGGGTGGTGATGAGAGGCAAGGTGCCAGGTACAAGGCGCCGGGCTGGCGGCCGAGCGATTTGGGTGGCAGACCGGAAGGATCGTGGCTGCAACAGGCAACGACCGTCGATGTTTGGGCAAGAAATGCAACGTGTGGTTGGGGTTCGGGGATTTTCTACAAAAGCAATTGCTGGCAAGGAGCCTGGGGTCGAAAGTACATGCATAAAGGGTAGAATGTCGTTGCGATATTTGATTTAGCTACAAGTTTCTATCACGCCGTAGTATCACATATGAATTGAGCTTGCTATCCGCTCATCCATGCACTAAACGTTCGCTGTAAAAAGCGCAAGAAGAAAACTAAGCCCTTTTTGGGATGCCTGTAATAACCCAGAGGAATTGACCAATATACACGGGAGTAGTATCCAGACCCTTATCCCAAATCCCAACGTCCTATACGCCTGATGCACATATGAGAAAAGATGCGTTCCGTGAAGATGTGTGACAATGGAAGTAGAAGAATGTCTAGGTGGCGCCTGGGGAGTGGTTGCCGCTCGGTGTTGAGGAAGCTGTGTTGTTCGCCAATGTCCTCTCAAGCTTGCCGTCTGCGCCCGCCCTTGATACTCTTCATGCGCCCAAGAAAACCAGTAGGCTTCGACTCGCCCAGTGAGCCCGCGCTGTCGGTGGTCACTGCGCGGTGCAGAGGAGCACGGGGAGGCGATTCGTCCTTGTAGCTGGAATCTTTGGCCTGGATTGTTGCGCCCTTACTGTCGTAAGCCTTGTTGTACTCGTCAAAGAACGGGTTCAGCTCTGTCGCCTTGTTCTGGGACAAGGGTCCAGCGCTGTAAGGACCCTGCGGGCTGGTCTGGCCTCCATATCGCGCCTCGGGAGACTGAATACGGGGTCCATCGCCATATTGACGTCTCGGCTGCGAAATTCCGCGGAAGCGCTGAGCAATAGACTTCTTGCGTCCAAGACCGTTAATCTCGTTCGCCCTCTTCTGCTCAAAATCCTGCTCGACAGCGGTGCGTGATGCGGGTGCGCCCTCCAAAAAAGTGGATGTGCCCAGGCCGTGTGTTTGTTCGCCGTGGACTATGTCTTCGCGGCCCTTAGCACTGAATTCGCCTTCGGGGCGAGGTGCCTTCTTCCACTCGGTGTCGACACCTCCGAAGTCTGTGAAGCCCTCTGCGCCTCTGCCGTGGATCCTGTCAAGATCGATTTTTGAGTTCAAAGGACCTGAGCCACCGAGTGAGTTATTGGCAGATCCGACAGGGAAAGCATGCATAGGAGCACGCTGATCCTTCTTTCGGTTACGGTGTGGCTGGACTGCATCATAGGGTCCATCGTGATGGATCATGCTGGGTCCGTAGATACCGGTGACGTCGAGCTTGTCGATCAGGTCAAGACCCTGAGGCTTACGCACTTTCCTTGTGCCGCTCGACTTGCCATCTCGGTCTTTCTCTTCCCTTTCCCTACGACGCTCACGACGCCTGCGATCTTCCTTCTCCTGAGCTGCCTTGTCAATGATGGAGGAGTCAGAATTCCTGCGTGGGCGGCGCTCTCGGCGTTCAGGACTGCTCTGCATAGGGCGGCGTGGCTCTGGGGGTCCTCGGGGACGAGGTGGGCCGCGGGGAGCTCCTCGCTGCATGTCCCTTTCTTCCTCATCTGAGCGTGATGGGCGGTGGCCTGCGCGGGGATCGGTGCCGCTGCGGTTGGGCATGGGCCGCGGTGGTGCACGCCGCCTGTCCTCGTCTTCGATTGTGAGGTTCTTCTGTACGAGACATGGATAATTAGCAAATGTGCCCACAAAAGACAAAAACCGCTCCATGACGCTTCTGAGCAGCAATTGCATCTGGAGTGGCAGGACACAAGGTTTTGTTTGCAGTCTTGCGAGATGCAGCCAGCCGTGTGTGACGTGCCAACGCGGGTAGCAGACATCTTCACCGACGGCAATTGCGGGAGGGAGGGACGTACAAAGAGCTCTTCGGCGGCTGAGCCGTTGTTGAAGGTGTCCTTCTTAGGAGACGCCTTCATGGTGGCCGACATGTCGATGAGATCGGTCTTCTTGGCCTCCTTGTTGAACTCGGCTTCGAACGTCGACAGAAAGGGATTGCGCGACATGGGCCTGCTGGCGGAGCTCGAGCGGTCCGACTGGGTTGCGGGCGAGGGAAAGCCAGGGGAGGTCGCTCTGTTGCGGAAGGGGTTGTTGGAGGACAGGTTGAGAGAGAGGCCGGGCGACGGACGTCGCTCTGCAGAAGATAAGGTTAGCGAACAGGACTGCGACCAGCAAGCCCCTCGATTTCGTCACTGAATGCAGCGAAATAGGTGAAACGGGCGCCGATAAGGGGCCTTACCTGGCATTGACGGTTCCGCGAGCATGTTGCTGCCGTTGTTCAGGAACCCTGCAATATTTGCGATAATGCCCAATCAAACACGGGAGGCCGGGCGTCTGCAGGTGACGGCTGGCTGGTGACGGCTAGCTGGTGACGCGCAAACACTCGCAAATCCTGTTCCTGCGGAATGGTACTACTCGCAGGCACAGTCCAGGTGCTATGGTATCGCAGCACCGGATAGCGCAACAAATGCAGAAAGGGGCGGCGTAAGACTGGCGATACTGATGTTGGCGTGTCTCGCCCGGGAAATGGACGTGTTTTTGTTCGCCGCGGAAGGATGGCAAGCGGGGCGTTCTTTAATGGCCGCGTTTGAGGGCTGTTATTAGTGTATGCCGCGCTTAGTGAATATGCAAGCAAGGCCGGGCTGGGCTGTCAGGAGGGACAGTGACAGCAACGTGGGAGAGAAGAGGGCCGCCGAGAGATAGTGGGCAGGGCAGCTCGGGGCTTAAGAAAGGGAGAGAAATGGGAAATGGGTGGTCGAGGCAAGCGTCGATGGGGCAGGAGGCCATGCTAAGGTAGTCGGTCCCTGGCGAGCGTGGCTGCCGTTCAGTAGGCCATGTTAGGCCTCTTTGAGGCGAGCTGGACTGCAAGAAGGCCGCTGATTCGCGCGACGGTCACGAGCGAGCTGCTGCCGGAGTGCTAAGAGGCCCAGCTCGACGTCCGTTCCGTGAAAATAGAGTCGCTACAGTAAATGACCATGCCGGCCCTGGGTTGCCGGGCTGCACGTCGCTGTGGGGTTCGAAAGAGGCGCGGCCCAAGCTGCAGGGCGCTGAATCTCGTTGTTGCTTGTTCTCAGCGCCCCTTCACTGACACGAACAACATTGAATTCCTCCAGGGCTGCGTTGAGGCCGCCGCATCCTTTCACCAGAGCCAGCACGCGCTCACTGATTCCCATCCACCCAATTTCACCTGCACATCAGCGCCCCATCAGCAATCACCGCTGCTGCGCAACGCTGACCGCTGAATCGCTCAGGCACTCGATAGGGCTAGCTGCCGGCCACTCATAACTGCGGGGAACACCTCGGGACCCTGGATTTCATTATTCAAGAGCCTCAGCGCCGATCTGAACGTGCCCTGACCGCACGCCGTGTGCCTGAACAGCTGACACTGGTCTCAACCACGCCCAACCCAAACTTCATCATGGCGACCTCGAACCCTGCCCACGAGAACGCTGACGTACCGCGAACCGGTGGTTACACACGCTTCGAGCTCGAACTCGAGGTTCGTCCCCTATCCCGGCGACGTCATGTGCCCCTGGTCTGTTTCGATTAACACGCCCCTAGTTTGTGCAGTGTCTTGCAAATCCTGTCTATCTTAATTTTCTGGCAACGCAGAAAATGTACGAGAAGCCCGAATTCGTGGCCTACCTCGGCTACCTGCAGTACTTCAAGGATCCCAAATATGCAAAGTTCTTACAGTGAGTCCACATTAACGACCTTTGGACATTGAAGGGCCTGCTGACTGAGGATGCGTCCGCAGCCACCCTGGGCCGACGCTCCGAGCGCTAGAGCTGTTGCAACAGGAGCGCTTTCGCCGCGAGATACTGAACCCTGGCCTCATGCAAAAGCTTGTCGTTGAGGGCCAGAGGAATGCGGTGCCTGGTCAGCAAGACTGACGAGGAAGCAACAAGACTGCATTCTTCGAAAGCCAAGGTCTAGAGGCCAAGATGTCGACGACTCTCAGGAGCCTGCATAAGGTATGCTTAGTCACTTGTTGCTATGCTCACAGCCTGCACGAACGTTGTGTGCGAATTATATCCGCATGATGAGTCTATCGCAGGAAAGGCAGGTCTCACGATTCGGGACAGGGCTAAAAGCACTACGGAGAAACTGCCGCTGGAGAACATGGTGCCCATGCAGGCAGACTGTTCAGTCACAAAGGCCAGTAGGTGGCATTGCAGCCCAGACTTTGGTTTGCGATGGGTGCTTCCGAGCAGCCATTCGAAGTTGGCGAACAAACACCCAAAACAAACAGAGAGCGTGCACATGTCGATCAGGGTGTCACGACAGCAAATGCGGCTCAGTATAGCCATTCCGTAAACAATTCCGCCAGCATGCAAGCCATGTTCATCTGAAGTATTGACAATAGCAACAATGTGCACATCGCAACTTTGACGACTGCTGTCAGGACTAAAACAGACAAGCAATCAGGCACATCCATGTTTACTGTCAATTGCACGTGATGCCTGATTGTTGTTCGGTGCCCCACATCGCGGTATCGCGGCGTAGTTGCAACATGACGAAACGCCAGCTACCATCAGGGTACTTGCTGCCCCTCAACACACGAACTTCTCTTCTTTGCGAGCTTCCTCCGCTATGAGACCTGTCGCCGAGGCTGAGTGCGTTTACTGTAGCTTCTGTACCTGCATATTGCCCTAACACGCGACAGGAAGCACTGGCGTCAGCTTGACGACTTCCACTCTCTCACCGATCTCAAGATCCATGTCTCTTCGCATAAAGAGCCACAGATAACTGCAAGCCTTCGCTCGGTCTGCTGGAAGGTGCCAACGGTCCTCAAATAGCTCCATCCTTCAAGCTCACCACCACCATAGATCTTTCTCCTCTTCAAGACGCTCGACCGTTCGTCATGGCCGAATCACCTTGCCGATTCGCGCAGGACATACGACTCGCTCCGTTCACACTACTTGCGCGCCATCGAACATCCTGATGAGCTTGAATCATCGGTAGACCCCCTGAGCGACAATGACGAGGTACTTGAACTCTCAACTCGGCCCCACCTACCTGAGTACAATGAGTGTTGACCTGTACTAAGCCTTGAAAGTCCCCATGGTCAGCCCTCCGAGCAGACGAAGGCTTACGCGCCGAGATCTTCCAAGACATCGAGCGATGCATGCCAGACAACGTCTACTTCCGCCAGCCTGCGACACAGAACATGATGTTAGATATATTGTTCGTATGGTGTAAGATGCACCCAAGTATTGGCTACAGACAAGGCATGCACGAAGTGCTAGCGCCTCTGCTCTGGGTTGTCGAACGAGACGCCGTGGATGTGAGCGCGAAAAGCGCTGTCGATCAGACTCTTGCAGATATGCTCGACTCGACCTACATCGAACATGACACACATACCCTGTTCGCACTCATCATGCAGACCGCGAAATCGTTCTTTGCGCCAGCAGATCCCAAGTCAACATCTAAAGAAACGCCAATGCTTGCTCGAAGCTCAAGGATCTTCGACACATACCTACCGAAGGTCGATCCAGAGCTACATGCTCATCTGACGCAGCTGGATATTGTCCCGCAAATCTTCCTACTGCAAGTCATCCGCAGTCCTATTATTGCTTCACTAATGAGATGTAGACGATGGATACGCCTTCTCTTTGGTCGAGAGTTTGATCTCGATTCTGTCTTCGACATGTGGGGCGCTCTCTTTGCCATCGACTCATCATTAGAGTTGGTCGACATGATCTCGATAGCGATGTTACTCCGAATACGCTGGGAGCTGATCGCAGCAGAAACCAACGAGGCGTTTGCCCTGCTATTACGGTATCCGGAGCCCAGCGCGCCAGCTTACACCTTCATCAAGGATGCATTATATTTGCGCGATCATCTCACCCCTCAGGGTGGCGCCGAGATCATAACACGCTATGGCAAGCAAGCACCATCGATTGAGGCCGAACCAGCTGCGAGTAATCGTGCACCTTCACCCGCACTATCTTTCGCTTCAAGTCGCACTAGACAAAGCGTGGGCTCTCCAAAGAGCTTCCTAGGCCCGCAAGGAGCTGGACTGGAGGCAGTGTTGCAAGGTGCTGCCAAGAACGTTCTTGAACGGGGATCACAGTGGGGCGTTGGAAGAGCCCTGCGAGACGCTGTTGGTGAGGTGCGAAAGAACGTGGAAGCTTACCAGAACGGTGCAACTTCAGGGCAAACCACGCCAAGGTCTGGAGGAAGAGAATTCCGAGCACCTGGATTGCTGAATACGGCCGCAGCCAACCACCGCCCTGGCCTAGATCGAACGCACTCTGCCAACGCGCTGAAGGAGATCGCAGAACTAGAGAGGAGAAATAAGAACTTGGGCAAGATGTTGGAAAGCGCTGTAGCTGAGCTGTGGGAGCACCATCGAGAGCAGACAGAAAATCAAAAACCCAAGGATGAAGAACACAGCAACAAGGCGGCAATGGAAACACTGAGCCTTGCCATCGCAAAGGTGCATCTCGTCCAGGCTTATCTCGAGGACTCGTCAATTCCGCTTCCGGTGGACGAATCAACCGATCAAGCAGCTACAGCAAATGCAGCCGCAAGTCTGGCTCCGCCATCGCCCGTACCACCTGAGCCTACAGTAGTTGCACCGCCAACTGCCAGCTCTACTGTTTCTACATCGGCACCGATAGCCACAGAGACATCACAAAAACCTTCGTCACTTACCCCGCAAGCCTCCCCTCCAACTTCCAAGCCTCCCTCAGCGAAAACTCCAGCCACCTCACGCCTGGCCCCACGTTCACGTCCACAATTGACTTCATCAAATTTCTCTTGGATGTTGGGTGAGGAGTCAGCCTCATCGAACTTCGCCTCTGGCACTGCACATTCAACGTTTGCTTCGGATGAGAAGCGGCGCATGAAAGGGAAGGGCTTCTTATTCGGGGATGAAGATGAGGATGATAGCAGTGCAAAGGAAACTAAGGGCAAGAGAGGAAGTCTTAGTGGGAAAGTTGCCACGAAAGGCGCGAAGGCCAAAGGGAAGCATGTCCCAGATGTGGAAGTTGAGGAAGAGGTCATCAACTTGGAGGATGTTGGCAGGAGAGGCGTCATCTAGGCTGGGAGTTGAGATGTCACTACAGTTCCATGGCCCACGTCACGCCACGCAACATCAACATCTTCGATCTTAGCCTTCGATGACATGCACAGTAGGATCAGACTGCGACATCAAAACTCACCACATCTGCCGTCCTATGACCTACACGGAGGCTGCTCACTATGCACTCACGGCCTAATCAGGTATGGCTCCCGTCACCCTGCATACGGTCCCACGAAACTTGCTCATTAGCCCACACACCCACGGCTTCAGGACAACGCCAAACGGTAGTCCATTCGCTTTCCGCCGTCTTAGTAGCCGTAAACTTAGCAACCTTTGCGCCGCTATACAGGCAAGAGCGGCTATCGGCGTGTTGGGTGCCGAATGCGGTGACAAACCGGTGATCTACGCCTGCTCGTGCTCGGTGAGTGGGACTGGATCCGAGTGATAAAAGCCCCCGCATCTGCTGCCCCTCCACAGCTCTTTCCTTTGCAAACGTTCACGAACACTCACTACAAATTTTTCAAACCCTTTTACCAAACCCACTACACATAACCAATATGCCTGGCTGCGGAACTGCTGGTTGCACTTGCGCCGATTGCGGCTGCGCTCAGGGTGCCTGCAACTGCGGCAAATGTGAGTTTCACCACGCTTTATAAAGGAAACCTCAAAGGCCAGCGTATTGACATGTCCCAGAAACTCTCGAACTCACATGCCAACACCAAAACGCCTTCAGGCCAACCCACCAAGCCGACCTGACGGCGCAGGGCCTCAGACAGCCATGATTCGAATGAGCTCCTAAGCACGGATACCATACACCAATCAATCATTACACACACATTACTGCCTGCTCCTCTCACTTCGCACGTGCACATGAACGTGAACTGTGTACATAGTGTTCATAACGATGCATTACTACCCAAGCCTCCCCTTCATCTCTCTACCGTCTCCCGCTCATCAACTCCAACAACCCCTTCGCCGCATTCCCCGCATTCCCCTGCACACTACCGCTCTCCCTCCATTGTTGCTCCTTCAGCTGTTGCAGTCTCTCGTGTTTGCTTTCCTCGCCACGTATCGGACTCATCAACGCAGCGGGACTCACGCTTTGCACCGGCGGCGAGCTCCCGACTTCATACCCTTCTACCACTCTAGACTCCACTCCACTGCCTTGTTGCGGCGGCACGAAGCTCACGGGTGGTTGTCCTAAGGCGCCGATCGGGCGGAACGGATCGAGGTTCGCTTTCACGAAGACGGGGTTGCGCGAGGGCGAGGATATCGTGATGTTAGGCACGCGCTGCGCTGGTGCCGCAGGAGCAAGGATCTCTGCTGAAGTCGTGTAGACGTTGGTGGTGTTGGACGATCTGGATGTGCGCAGCGCGTCGGGCGACGAGGATAGTTCGTAGTCGGACAGCACTTCGCGTGACGGCTTGGAGACTTGGTTCGTGCGGACTTTGTATTTCGCGAATGTCAGACGCGTGCGCAAGAGTTGCGCGCGCGATTTGGGTGCTGGTGCGCTTGTGGATGTTTGGGGCGCGGGTTTGGGTGCGGACTTGGGCGCGGGGACTGCGATGCCGTGCTCGCTCTGCTGGGACGCGCAGAGTCCGTAGTCGAGAAACTCTGAAAAGGACTTTTGCGAGTCGGGGAAGGGTTGCGATTGCGGTTCGGGGGAAGGTGGGGAGGGCGTGGGTGTTGCGCGTTCGGTGGGGGATCCGGGGTCGGCGAGGCCTACGGGGTTGTTGGACTGGCATGTTAGTGCTGTGTAGATGTGTTTGTGTGGGGAAATGTACTGTGTGGCGCTGCACGGCGGCGGTAGTGAGCTGGGCTTTCGAGTCTTGTTGGGGTGTATCGCGTTCGAATGCGACCATTTTCGCGGTCGGGACTTTCTCCGCGTCGTCTACTTCGGCGATGCTCCTCTTTCTTCCGTGAGGGAACGCGTCGATACCTGTGACGTTCTCCTTGTCTGTGAAGACTCGTGGAGTGTGAGCGACGGCTTGGAGTTGCTTCAGTATGCTTTGCGCTCGAGTGAGTTCAGACGACTCGAGACTCTTAGTTTTCGAGGACGTGTTCATAGCTCTGGGCGTCAAGTTGCCTAGAACGCGACGTGAGGGAGTTCCGGGTAGACTATGCTGAGTAGCCATAGTTAAAAATATCTTGTTGTTGTTTTTGTTGTGGTCCTCTGAGTACTGTCTCAGGACGCGCGGGGAGCGGGATGACGCGCGCCGAGGATGTGGTTTCGATCAACAACCGAGAATGATTTTGAGCTAGATGTTCTGTCTACGACTTCGAGACGTGTGATGACAGAGACAAGCTCAGAGAAGAATGGGAATCCAATGTTGTGGTGGAAGGATAGTCGCGTCTGAGGCTGGTAGAGTATGGATGCTAGACCACTGACGCGATTGGGTGCCTGTCGCGTTCAGGGTTCCTTGGCTTCCAAGCCCCACCTCTCTCCTCATTCATCTCCAGCCCTTTCTCGCTCGCGCTCCTTATCGATACAGCATTGTTGTTATCTTTTGAACATTATCGAGAATCAATCAGACACGTCTTGCTCACATTCGGTATATGTTGGAACAGTCACGTTAGAAGGCACTGCTCTACCACACGTGTGAGCATCCGCGATACTCGGTCACTTCTCGCGTAGAACACGCCTTACTCGGCTGCAAGGTCGCACCGTGGACGCAGAACGGCTGCGAATTCGCAATGCCAATGCTTGCTTCTCGCTCCCTGCTTCGGCCCCATTGACCGTACCCTCAACAACTGCAGAGCCGCATAAGCGTGTAGATAGTGATGCTCCTTCGCTGGGACGCACTTGCCGACTTCCAGGGGCCTTGTTTGTTTACGTCACCTGCGAAACCTCGACTTCAACATTCCTAACACTCCCACGTTGTCTACTCGTTACACCTTCATCATCGATTGACGCAGTCAGAACGTCTTCTTCCTAGCACCTATCTGCATGTGAGAGACACGGTTGCACGAACTGCATTCCTCGCGTGTCCTGCTGACTTGGTCCTTCAAGATCCTACGCACAACACCTCAGGGATTATGAAAGGCTTCTTACAAAAAGCCAAGGCTGAGTGGAAGGACCGCTCTCAGCGGGAAGAGCCAGGCCAGCACCAGCAACATCAAGAACATCACCAGCCACACGGCCCACCAAGTCACTGTCCGCCCGCAGGGCATCAAAATCATGGCGGCATCAATGAGCCCACAGCTCTCGACATATTGCGATACCGTTACCACTACGGTACCAACCTGGGTTCTGTATATGTGATCGAGAGGTGGCTACAGCCATCTCGGTTCCCTGATGGCGCTGAAGGGTCGAGTGAGCTTGCAGCGGTCGTAGCATGGGTCGATAGAGAAGGCATAGATTGCGCTAGACGGAAGTTCGAACAACACTGGTCCAGCATCGTGACGGATGCAGCAATCGGGTGGTTGGTCAATGAGGCGAAGTGCACAACCATTCGTCTGCCCATCGGCTACTACGACTTGCCCGGTCCTGAGTTCACTCGGGGAACACCGTTTGAACCCTACGCTCAAGTGTATTGTGGAGCATGGAACAGTATCCGCAGTCTCATTTACCGCCTACGCGAGCGCTCGATCGGTGTTATGCTCGATCTTCATGCACTTCCTGGTGGTGCAAATGCACAAGAACACTCTGGTACAAACAGTGGCCGCGCAGAGTTCTGGCATTCAGACTTCAACCGTGCTTTGGGCATACGTTGCGCTCAATTTATCGCCCACGAAGCTAGATCTGGACTCGGTATAGCTGGCATCCAGCTCGTCAACGAAGCCGAATGGGAGTCTCATCGAATGTATGAATGGTATGACGAGGCCGTCGCCGCTGTATCCGCCATTGATCCGAGTATTCCTGTTGTTATCTCCGACGGATGGAATCTCGACAAAGCGGTTGAGTATTCGCTTCGGACGAATTCAGTCTACGCTGAACATCCAAAGACTCCGGTCGTTGTCGACACGCACTTCTACTGGGCATTCACGGACGCCGATAAACAGAAGTCGCCTCAACAGATCATCCAAGAGGTTGGCACCAAGTTGGGTCAGCTTGATGGCAAGGAGGGCTCAGTCATCGATCGTGGCGCTATCCAGACCATTGTCGGAGAGTACTCCTGCGTTTTGACCGAGGATTCTTGGGCAAAAGGTGGTGGAGTGCCAAAAGAAGAGCTTGTGAAAAAATTTGGTGAAGCGCAGAGCAGGCGATACCAGCAGCGTGCCGGTGGAAGTTACTTCTGGACTTGGAAGATGGACTGGATGCCTGGCGGAGAATGGGGTTTCAAAGCTCAGACTGATGCGAAAAACATTGTGCCTCCTCAACATGCTATCTTGGGATCAGGTGAGAAAGCGAGACGCCTAGACAGGGCGAAGTCAGAACAGGACGGACGCAAGCAACAGGCGTTCCAACAACACGTAAACTACTGGAACCAAGTTGACCCGAACGGCACGTATGAGCACGAAAAGTATGAGTACGGCTGGCATGTAGGCTACTCGGACGCAATGGCTTTCTTCGAGGGTCGCGATACGCAAGGCGACAGGATTGGTATGTTGGAGTTGTGGGTGCTCAAAAGGATTAGAGAGAGTGGGTACAGAGGCGGCTTCACGTGGTTGTTTGAACAAGGACTTCGGAAAGGTGTCAGCGACTTTTACAGCGCGATTGGCATCTGATTCTCGGCCCATTGATAAGTCATCTATGTTGCTGCTCGGGTCCATGTCCAAGACGATCAGATCAAATTCCTTGGCTGGAATGCGCCTAAAACGACCTCACCTCATACATCGCCAGTCACGAGTAAACCCTCAAAATCAACAGTCAACGTCGCCATGGCTAGACATAGGATTGCAGTGACAGATATTCGTGGATGGAATCTGCACGCCAGATGGCTGCCTCCAGCTACGCATTCGGTCTGAGTACCAGCGCGACGTGCCGCAGCACTACCTTCAAACCTGCGACCTTGTTGCAGATCGCGTGCAGTCTGCCTGGTAGTTGATGGATCGCTCACAACGTAGATATTGTCGATGCAGTCTTCGCTGCTAGAGTGGCTACAGCGATGACGTTTGGCGTGACAGACAACGGATCCGCCATCGCACATCGTGATTGTTTTTGCGCGGACAAGGCTGTGGTTCGAGTGGGAGGAGGGATCAGGCTGATATTAGATATTCTACGTCGACACGGCTCGTCATCGCATAAGCCGTGTAGGAATATGCTCCGAAACCCTATAGAGCACCGCCACGGCGGGGTATTCATACACTTCAGCCTTTCTGGTCAAGCCACATGGACGATCAGCTTGAGTGTCCTATCACATTCCTGTCTGACCATAGGCGCATCTGTGACACCTTCACAGATATTCTTCGTTCACTTAAGGAGTTCCCCAGAATCTCGCCCAGCGATGAGGCTCTCAATTGGTGAATACCACACTGCACTTCGTGCCACAACCCCTGCTCACTGCCCCATTGTATGACAGAAAGACCATTGGCAACTTGGGCCTCTTGCAGAACCCAGAGCCGCTCGAACCATGGGCGAAGTAACAGTACGCGAACCGCTCCTCGTGTCTTGACATCATGTTTGGCTTCGAACTTTGTCAAAGGTACGCGCGCTCTCTTCTCCACTGCGTCTGGTGCGGGTAGCAGAAGTCCTGTCTTGGTAGCCTCGACTGCATTTCCTAGACAGAAGCGTACGCAGAGCTCGATCTGAACCAGCAGAATTCGGTCCAAGCCAAATAACGACGCGCGGAGCTTGATTGATTGATTTAACATCCTATCTGAGTCTAAGACTATAAAAGACGAGGGGAGCAATAGCAGAGCTTGAATGTAGATAGTATCCATATGACTGACCCAGTGGCTTCTTTCAGTGATGTCCTCTTGGTTGATACAAATGGCGTCTATCCAAAGGATGCGTGGTCGTTTCCTGAGCCGGAGATATCGAAGAGCCTCGTACAGATTCCGCTGAACAGGAAGCAGTATGTAGTTGGTAAGGCTGCAACTGCGTGTTCATGTTAGTCATCCATGAGCGATCTCACCATCCATAGCCTAAGGATACTCAGAACCCCGTGTAACGGCATCAAGTCCCTGTCGCACCGTGGCAACTCGACGTCTGGTTGACAGCGCTGCGGACCGCGCAGCGTGAAGATCAAAACAATGCTGTGGTGGGGCGACTTCGCGTCTCCATCCCCACAATTTACCACACCTGGACGAATAAAGAATTGCCGCGTGCTCATGCAGCGTGCTGACTCGAATCACCGTCGTGAAGAGCTTCTGAATTCAATCAAGTTGCGAGGCATTGCTGCCGGACGCTGCGGCTATAAGCTCGTGAAGGGGGTTGCCTGACGCGTGACGTGTTGTTTTGGCGTCTCGAGTGGACGAACACGACCCCGCTGCTGTGCGAGTCTCCACGAATGTTGTGCGAGTCTCCATCAGTTCGAATGAAAAGGGAGGGAAATGCAGCGAATGAGGTGCGCTGTTTGATCAAAGTCAGGGTGCTACGAGATGACTGGCCCTGGTGCATGGGGGATGACGCTGGATGCATGGCGGCCCGCACTTGCGCTAAGAGAGGGCACGGACAAAAGTAAACAACGTGACGCCGAGGAAAGAGCAACTCGCACCACAAAATCTGTATCCATGCCTGACCCTGTTCTAAACACAGTGCAACGTCTGATCACACTGCAATTGCTTTTTATTGGGTTCTGACAGTCGTTGCTTGTACGGTTGCACCCACATATCCGGACTCAGCCCCACCGCTCCCTCTCACCGCAAGGCACGTCCGCTGATGCTCTGCTGCCAACGCACCTCCACACTCTCACACACCGCCGAGCGCTCTGAGTGACATCAGATCTGCCCACCTCGATCGACCTCCCCGCAGAACGCCTGTCGTAACCCTCGTCTTCGCCCTCACGGGCACACACCGTCATGGACGGCCCTCCTCCACCGCCGCCGAAACATGGCGAGAACCCCAAGACGACAGGAGGTAGCCATGCTCCCCCCGGCAGTGGAAGTGGCCTACCTCCAGGAAACTACGACATCTTCATCATACCACCTCACTCCTCAGGAGGCGGGTTTGTGTACCTTCCCAGCCTGCAGGTGCAGCGGAACAGTTTCATAGCGGGCATAGCCAGCACGCTTGCCAGCATTGCCGTATGGAAGATCATCGAGCCTCAAGTCAAGCAGTACTGCCAGATGGTTACCCAGGGTGTGTCATCAGGCGGAAACGGCGTTATCCTGCTGGTGGTGCTTGTTGGTATCGCTGGTTGGGTCTTCGGTCAGACACAAGGCGGAGGCAAGTTCGGTGCTTTTGGATCAGGCAGTGGACCTCAGAATGGGACAGGTGCTGGGACAGGTGCTGGAGCAGGAAGCGGTACATCGGGTGCAGGTGCTGGCTACCAGCGGGCTCCACCACCGCCGAACGGAGGTTTCTCTGGTGCTGGCGGTCCTCCACCGCAGGGTGCCCAGGGGGGGTGGGGAGGATATCAACAATATGGTGCGTCATCGCCACCTCCAGACGACGCCGAGTCAACGTTTAAAAAAGAACAGGCCAAAGCTGAGGAGGAGCGCAAGCGCGCTGAGGAGGAGCAGAGGAAGAAGGCTGAGGCGAAACGGAAAGAAGACGAAGCGAAGCGCGCGAAGGAAGAGGCAGAACGCAAGCGAGCAGAAGAGGAGAAGCGGAAGCGAGACGAAGAGGAGAAACGGAAGCGGGACGAAGAGGAGAAACGGAAACGGGACGAAGAGGAGCGCAGGCAAGCAGAGGCGCATCGTAAACAGGCCGAGGAGGCAAAGCGAAAGCGTGAAGAAGAGGCACGGAGACTTGCTGAGGAGGCAAAGAAGATAGCAGACGAAGTGGCCCGGAAGGCAGCTTGGGAGGAGCTCAAGAAAGCTGAGGAAGCAAGAAAGAAGCGTGAAGAAGATGAGAAAGCTAAAGAGGAAGCAGCGAAGCAAGCCCGCGCTAAGGCAGAGAAAGAGAAGTGGGAAAAGATGAGGCAGCGCGAACGAGAACAGCGCGAGCGTGAAGCACGCGAAAGGCTTGCAAAGGAGAAAGCGAAAAAGCTGCAGGAGCAACGAGAGAAAGAAGACGCCGAACGTGAGGCTCGTGAAGCTGCAGCGAGAGCAGCCATCGAGAAGGAGATTAGAGAGAAGCTCGAGGCTGAACAGAAAGCCAAGGCAGCCGAGGAAGCAGCGAAGAAGGCTGAAGACGAGAAGGCCGCCGCAGAGGCTGCTGCAGCAAAGGAGAAAGCTGCTGCTGAAGCTGCTGCCCTCAAGGCGAAGGCCGACGCCGAACGAGCCGAGCGGCTCAAGGCCGCACGAGAGCGAGCCCAGCGCGACCGAGAAGCCCGACTCAAAGCAGAGGCCGAGAAGATCAAAGCAGAAGCTGCTGCTGCGACACCAGATCTCAGCGCAGGTCGGAGGTCCACAACATACGGTGGTATTGGTGGCGGCGAGCGACTCGACCCATATGCAGGTGCTCGGAGCCCGCCCATTCCGTCACCCTCTGTCACTTCCACACATTCTTCGCCCATCAAGGCTACTGTATCGCCCAAGAAGAACTATGAGAAGGCCACCGCCAAGTCGTACTTCGGCACTGAGGCACGATCAAGCGCATCACGCTCACATGTGTCATCTGCATACTCAGAGTCCTCCTACGCTGAATCGATTTCGACTTCGCGAACGACGCCTCCGCCATCTCAACGAGGACCGTACTCCACAGCTGACCCGAACAAGATTGTCATCAAAGCTGTATATCTGTTCAATGATCTCTTCCCAAAGCCAGTGGCGCAGCTGGTTGCCAGTGTTGGCAAGGTGACCGATGGGTTGATACTGAAGATCCAGTCCGAGGGTCTCTTCATTGATGATGACGTACGCAACATACCGCAGCGCGAATGGGATGTAAAGGCTTGGACGCTGAAGTTGGTTGAGGTAAGTGTCCTTCTTCCTCTCGGGTTCTGTTTTCCGTGCGTATCACTTACTGACCATTCCGCAGACCGGCACTCAACCTTCGAAAGGTCTACATATCCTCCGCGCATCGGTCCGCGACGCCGATGGCAAGAAGTATGTATTCCTCATCGATGACTCCGAGAGCTGGAAGCTTGCGCTCGGCCTGCAACGATTGCGCAAAGGCAGCCAGGTTCGCAGCTTGCAAAACAGCCAGATGGCACCGAATGATGTGGCAAGGGTATTGAACGCTGTTCCTCCCCTTACATGAGCGAGTGGTATAGTTGGCAGGTGATGAACAAGAAACAAAAAAAACACAAAGAAGAGTCACAGTCCGCAATGTTGTCGTGGATGCGGAATGTACATGACCCTCGGTAGTGGGTGCATTCCTAATGTGCATCAGTGCGATGTTCTTTCTACGAAGCGAGCGAGCAAGCGATTTGATGAGATATACCCTCTTTTCTCAAAAGCCTTATCTGCATCAGCATAAGCGGCGGAGTTTTGCATAGTACTTTCGTTTTGAGTAGACGATGGCTTTGGGATTTGGCGTTGCTCGTGCGCTGTTTCAGTGGAGTTACATATTTGTAGATATTGAGCGCAAAGCATTCTTCATATCCACAGCCTATATTTGACATATTCCCTCCAACGTCCGGTTCTGAACTATGTGTCTTGCGAGCATCGTCGCCACGGCGAAATATACCATCAAACTGAATGCCATCTCGCAGACATCAGGGCCGGCATCTTCTTCCGTAGCATCGGCATCGCCTTCTCCCTTCGCGACAGTGACCGTGATACGGGCTTGAGCAATCTGGGTGTTGAAGCGGACCAGATCGAACTCCACTCCGATGGAACCATGAACTTACGCTGCGACTGCTTGGTGAGGCACCTTGACAGTCTTGGTGAACTGAGGAAGGTCGTCGTCAAGAACTTGTTGCTCCACGTAAGTGCGGTACGCCTTTGCAACATCTGAATTCGATTTACTCTGGATCTTCCGGAGTATATGAGCGGCTATGCCAGCGAACTGCTCGTTCCCAGAGTTTGCATATCCTCCCTGACCGGCCAGGCATTGTTAGGGTCATCGTCTGATATCCAAGTCTCTGGCTTCCCGTCCTTCAGGAGCTCGAGTGAGATTGGACGCTTCACGCTCACGCCTGTTGTCTTTTGAAGTCGACAGTATTTGACATAGGGCACAATGACAAAGGTGCTAAGAAGGAAGTCCCGAAAGACGCCGGTGTCCTTGAAGCCGCAGTATCCAGCTACTCGAGCCTTATTGTCGGTGTCTGAAAAGAAGGTCTTAAGTTTGTCCAGGTTGCAGGTAGTAGAGGATAGGAATAATGGAGGCCAACACCGAAGGGTTGTTCATATTGTGCCGAGGCGCTAACAAGTCTCGCTGAGATGGGAAGAATCACACCTGGCTGAGTTTCGCTCATATTAGCTACTAATATGTAAAATTTGCTCAGCATCATCGACCGCCCTAACTAGCTAACTCGCCACGAGCGTGCTGCAAATGAGAATCAGCTTGAAGTCTTTAGGCTAACCGTTGTTCAGCAAGAAAGCGGCAAATATGCTTCGAATGCCCCCCGTCTTTGGGACGTCGTGTTATTGCGACCAGCTTTTCCGGCAGTGCGAGTTCAGATCTAGGTACCGCCTTGAATCTTGTTTCTGTTTGACGACGAGCTGGGTTTCTGCATGCTTTAGGGAAGGCGCGGTGACGATAGGGCTGTGGCCCTGAGGGCTCACCATGTCACTGAATCGCGTGGCCAGACTGGCCATGATTACGGCGATGGCAATCTCTTGCATCGCGAAAGACCAACTATTCCCGTTCCAGATGGCATCGCGGATTGTCGGTAGCCCAAGTCATCGAATTGGCAGTGCGCCCATCGGGCTCCGGGGTACCAGAGGCTCTCAGCTGATGAACCCGTTTTGTTCGAGCTTTTCGATAAAACCACGACTGCGTGACGACCGTACTGCACTGAAGACATAAGCTCCGAAACATAGAACAAGAAATTTACGCAGAAGGCGTACGCCATAGCAGACTGTCTTAAAGCGCAAGACGTCCTTCTCGTCTGCCTCACGTCTCACTATATATGACATCACGATGCAGGTCCGGACGTCTTGTGCTGTAGGTCGGGTAGTGATGCTAGATTGGCTCTCAGACGTACATACCGATCGACAAGCCCTTCCTGCCCTCACTCCTGATGTAGCATCTCAGTACGAAAATTGTATAATTGCTGACCTCAGTTCTTCGAACGCCGCTTGACAGCCCCGCTATCGTAAAAGGCACGGTCTCCGACCATATCGTGAAACAAAACATCTTCGTCGCCAAATGCGCGCATGCTGTCGGGGGATCCACGCTCATGGCGTGTTTGGTAGCTAATTCCGTTCATGGTGGTATATCGATGTAACAGAGACCTACAGGCAAGTTCGCGTACTGCATCGTGTTGTGCTGAGGAGGATGATAGCTAGCTAGCTTGTGACTGAAGTGTCGGCGTGACTGCCTCTTATGTTCTCATGATGTAGGAAAAGCGAAATGTAAGTACACCCATCTCCCCGAGATTTTGGGAGGCACTCAGAGTAGTCTTGTAGAGCGATCGTCATCTGAACGGTGTTCAAAAGCATACAAGTCGTCGGATGTGAATCAAACTGTCGTCTGAGTACAACTCAAGACCTCTACGTACCGTTAACATGTGGCTACGCTGGAACTCGCACTGCGATCCAGTGTATGAGTTGGCAGAAGATCTCCAGATTGTGCTGGCTTGAATGTGCTCCCCAGTGGTCGGAACGAAGCTTGGTAGGTAGAGACTACAAGCTTTCGGCACAGCTTCCACCGAATGTGGAGGCCTAGCAACAGGACTCGGTTTTGCTTATCGGATAATGCCAGACAATTAAGAGAAGCCGGGTGAGGGGGCGTGAACGGGTATTCTGAGGGGCAGTGGGCCAGGAACGAATTCGTGGTGAGTGCATGCACGTAGTCACACATGCATGAGTGTGTTCCGCTATCGCTCTGTGGCACAACCCGTGGGATGTGATAAAGACCTCCAGGCTGTACCATGAGCCTCGAGAATTCATCGTTCTCACCTATGTCCTTGTATCAAGCGCAAAGGGTAGGCTCACTCAAGCCATGTCTTGCCACTGTGCCGCATTATAGGTATGTCCACGACACAATCTTCGCCTCTCTACAGGTATGTGTATGTCGGGTTTCGGTGGGCAATTTGCTGGTTGGGTGACGACCAAGAGCATGAAGGGCGACTGCGAGGACGAAGTGCGGTGATCAGTATAGTTAGGTAGACAGGTGACGACTCGGTCCCCATTGTTCTGACTGCACGTTGAAGACAGTCTTCAACCGGACGAGTTCGGCTATCTGAAGACTTCCACGCTTTGCAGATGTCAGCATTGGCAGTGCTGTTCGTCGAGATTCTTAGACGGTTCGCAGTTCTGACGGGTCTGGTTATACAACACACAAGGTGTGCGAGCGTCGCAACGACTGGCAAAGCTCCAACGGTGCGTCGGAAACAGTACGCAATGGACTCGTATCTTACGGTGGTCAAAGGCATCGTGGCAAGTGGCGTGTGTGGTATACGATGGCAACACGTAGTGGTCGGTTCGTCGAGGTGGGAGCATAGTGAAGCTCGCAACACACGCTTCTTCGATAGCAAAGGCGGTGACTCTTGAGTCCGGACACTTGAGACTAGTCGTTGTAGTAGTCATTCATTCAAGCCTAGCCCGAGGGACAGTTTCGAGAATAGCATTTGGTATCGTGTGACTTGAGGGGCAGCGGTACATGAAACCAGGCTTGCGTCGAACAAAAGGGCGGTGCTTACCTCTCCTCCCAGAGCGCGGCCGCAATCAGCGCTTGGTGAGTCAAAGACCTGCCTTCACCAAGACAGCGCATGGCAACAATGGGGCGAGAAGCATTAGTGGAGGAGGAATTGTACACGGTGTACAAGTTCTGGGTGGTGAATTGCGATGGCAACAAAGCGGAGCACATGCAGAGGTGGAGCTATGATGTTAGTTACTTTGGGTACCCCGCCATCTGCCAAAAAGTTTTGTGCTTTCAAGATCAGGATACTGAGCTCTCAGAGGCTTGAATTGTGATGTTGTGATCAAACAAATTGCTTCACGGATGACTGTGAGAGTCGCAGCCCCTGCAGGCTGCGACTCATAGTCACGGTGAAGTTGTCAGAGGCTTTGTTGCTGCATTTGATCGTGCGCTGTCCCACAATCGCGTGAGGAAGCTGCGGCTGTGGCGAGTCTAAGTGCAGGCGGCAACGCAAGGCAGATCGGCAGCGACCAATCACCGCATGAGATTTTGCCTTTGCGCGTGTTCCAGGTGAGAGAGGGGCCCTGCAAGGCTTTGGGCGTTGTTGTGGAAAATTTGCGTCGCCCGACGTAGCGACGTAGTTTTCTTGGCAGCACTGCCCCTCATAAATACCCGTTCACACCCTCACCCGGCTTCTCTCAACTGTCTGACATTACCGACAAGCAAGCCTCGTCAACTGTACGCCCGTCTCCCATCGACCCTTTACTTCTTCTCGCTAACACCTTCCAAGGTCAAATTAAACTTTCCCCTCAACTTTTAACTTACAACACACAACCGCCACTATGGGGTAAGCACCAGCCTCTACCTACGATCCACTCAACACAGCATGCTAACAACTCCCACAGTAAGGAGAAGACTCACATCAACGTCGTCGTTATCGGCCACGTCGACTCCGGCAAGTCGACTACCACCGGTCGTAAGCATCTCCCTCCGAACGAACGCGGTGTACAACAGCTCACAATGGGACAGACTTGATCTACAAGTGCGGTGGTATTGACAAGCGTACCATCGAGAAGTTCGAGAAGGTACGGCACACTTTCCTTTCAGTGGTAACACCGCATGCATCTGCTGTCTTTGTGCGAGCCAGCTCTTTTGGGGCTTATCTCTCATAGAGGGGCATTTTTGGTGGGGTTGTGCGAGCTTTTCGCCCACTTGCGCTAGCCCGTTTCGGGTGCTCGCCAACCTCAACACCATGCCCCACACTGCATTTTGCATCGCGAGTTCTTTAACTTTGGTTAAAGGCCGCAACACCCTTCGCCATCCATTAGTCTTCACGATGCTAACAATCCTAATAGGAAGCCGCCGAACTCGGCAAGGGTTCCTTCAAGTACGCATGGGTCCTTGACAAGCTCAAGGCCGAGCGTGAGCGTGGTATCACCATCGATATCGCTCTCTGGAAGTTCGAGACCCCCAAGTACTACGTCACTGTTATTGATGCTCCCGGTCACCGTGATTTCATCAAGAACATGATCACTGGTACTTCCCAGGCCGATTGCGCTATTCTCATCATTGCCGCTGGTACTGGTGAGTTCGAGGCTGGTATCTCCAAGGATGGCCAGACTCGTGAGCACGCTCTCCTCGCCTACACCCTCGGTGTCAAGCAGCTCATCGTTGCCATCAACAAGATGGACACCACCAAGTGGTCCGAGGCCCGTTTCTCCGAGATCATCAAGGAGACTTCCAACTTCATCAAGAAGGTCGGCTACAACCCCAAGCACGTCCCCTTCGTGCCCATCTCCGGTTTCAACGGTGACAACATGATTGAGGCCTCCAGCAACTGCCCCTGGTACAAGGGTTGGGAGAAGGAGACCAAGGCCAAGGCCACCGGTAAGACCCTCCTCGAGGCCATCGACGCCATCGACGCTCCTACACGTCCCACCGACAAGCCCCTCCGCCTTCCTCTCCAGGATGTCTACAAGATTGGCGGTATTGGCACGGTCCCTGTCGGTCGTGTTGAGACCGGTATCATCAAGGCCGGTATGGTCGTCACCTTCGCCCCCGCTGGTGTCACCACTGAGGTCAAGTCCGTCGAGATGCACCACGAGCAGCTTACTGAGGGTGTTCCCGGTGACAACGTCGGCTTCAACGTCAAGAACGTCTCCGTCAAGGAGATCCGTCGTGGCAACGTTGCCGGTGACTCCAAGCAGGACCCCCCCAAGGGTGCTGAGTCCTTCAACGCCCAGGTCATCGTCCTGAACCACCCTGGTCAGGTTGGTGCTGGTTACGCCCCAGTTCTCGATTGCCACACTGCCCACATTGCTTGCAAGTTCTCCGAGCTCCTCGAGAAGATTGACCGCCGTACCGGAAAGTCTGTTGAGAACAGCCCCAAGTTCATCAAGTCTGGTGACGCTGCCATCGTCAAGATGGTTCCCTCCAAGCCCATGTGCGTTGAGGCTTTCACTGACTACCCCCCTCTCGGTCGTTTCGCCGTCCGTGATATGCGTCAGACCGTCGCCGTTGGTGTCATCAAGTCCGTTGTCAAGGCCGACAAGGCCGGCAAGGTCACCAAGGCTGCCCAGAAGGCCTCCAAGAAATAAGCGATCACTTCTTCGGTCGTTTGTTTCTTTCTCATATTCTCTAGATACCTGGTTCTGGGGATGCGGGGTGGCTTCGGAAAAGCTATGATGACTTTCATGCATTACGGTTTAGTGGAATGAAGGCGAGTCCTACCGTAGATCTCATAATGATTGAATGAAATATGGATGGACAAATAACAACCTTGTGCCCTTTGTGATGCTGTGATGTGCGTTCTTGCTTGGTTCCGTGGTGTTGTTCTGATCTGCTTGCTGTTCTGACCTGTTATTGTCCTGAGCTACCGTTCTGCTGTCACCAGCTTTCTCGACTGGCAATGCTTCCTGCATGCACATGTCTTTATGCGACACCATGAGCGTATTGAATGCAACCAAACTGGGATCCTGCCTGGTGTTGCATTATTGCACGTCGCTCGATATGGACCGCGCTGCTATTGGGGCTGGAAGCTCGTGTCGGTGCTGCAGATACGAACCAGAGCTAGGAAGACAGCTTTGCGCAACGTGTCCTACGACAGCAGATACCTGCAATGATCGCTCTGTTCATTGATGCGCAGGATGATCAAGTCACCGAGTGTGTGAGCATGTTCGACCTAGTGTGGCGGATCATTCGGGCCTAGTACGGTGGCAACTTCTCTGACCGACACCTGCATCACTCCTCAATCGCACCTCCGACTTTCAACTAGCAATGTCCGCGGATCTCTTCGCAGAGTTTAGCACAGACTCGAACACCAACCAGACTCATCAGCCAAGTGCTCCTACTAACCCGCAGGCTGCGTCTACATTCAACTTTTTCAATGACTTGAACAGCCAGGCGGCAGCCACGGTTGCTCAATCACAGCCGTCTGCATTCACACAAACCTTCGGGCACACCACTTCCTTCTCAGCACAAACCGCAACAGAAGACAATGCTGACGATTGGGGTGACTTTGAGGGCGGATCAAGCTCTGCAAATCCCGCTCCACCTGCTCAACACGACCCATTCGCATTTGTATCGAACCAGCAAACATGGACAAGTCGGTCACCAGCACATGATCCATTCAGTTTCCAGCCGATACACCCGCCACAAACATCACAGGAATCGTGGATAAAGGCCCCGATTATCAAGGCGAAGAAGCCAGCGGATTCGAGCGTACTTTTCGATGCTGAAGAAGATCTCGTCGATGACGACGACTTTGGCGATTTCGAAGACTCGCAGTCGAAACCCGTTGCACCAGCGCCATCAGCACCCCCACCACCACCACCAGGAGGCTCTTCAGCTCTAGTCGACCTGTTAGGAGACTTGGAAGTTTCACAACCTGCGCCTTCCACGCAAAGCAAAGCGATCAAGGACGTAAATGCGAGACCTAAACTAACGACAAGGAAGAGCCCCGTCGGAGGGTTTGGTGTTGCTTCCAAGGCCAAACCGCCAAAAGCTGCGCCTGTGCCAACATCACAATCTGAGGACGATAGCTGGGACATATTCGATGACTGGGAGGCTTCGATACCCACCCCAGCTCCGAAGAAGTCTGAAGCGCCTAAGAGCACGCCAACCCCAACCAGCTCAGCGCCTGCACCTATTCTATCTCCCACCATCGGCAATATAGCTCCTGAAGAACAACCACCCACCAACGTTCCACCACCCGGTGTCTTACTTTCGTTATTTCCATCGTTCTTCGCAGGTGCCCAGGAAAAGCTGTTCAAGCCCATGGCTGCACAGACCCTTCCAATGAGGAACAAGCTTCTTGCTGAGCCGGGTACGATTGCCTACCTCCAAGGGTATCTCATGTTGGCGTCTGTTGCAGCACACATTATCGCAGGTCGAAAACTGCGCTGGAAGCGAGACCAGCATCTCTCCCAAGGCATGAGGATTGGACCAGCGTCATCTCGAGCTACATCCGGGATGAAGCTCACAGGCATCGATAAGGGCGAGAACCTGAAAGAAGAGAGGGAAGCTTCAGATGTTGTGAGAGTATGGAAGGATCAGGTCGGGAGACTACGACATGTGATATCTGGTGTCAATCAGATCAAGGCTGGTACTTTGGGTACAGCACCCGACTTGCAGGAAACCATGCCTGTCAGAACGCTGAAACAATCTGAAGGTGGTGTACCAGCGCGACAGCCGTGCATGATGTGTGGCTTGAAGAGAGACGAGAGGGTCACTGCAGTCGACATGGCGGTTGAGGACAGCTTTGGGGAGTGGTGGATTGAGCAAGTGAACATGCATCGAGGTACGTTTTCTCTCCAGACACTTCGAAGCAACATGACTGACTCAATTTACAGGGTGCAGAAACTTTTGGAACGAACACAAGGACAAGCTTAGACAATGATGACATACTAGACTGTGCATCAGCACACCATCCCAGCATTTATGGAGTTCAGCACGTGGGAGATTGCCAGGATAAACATCGGTAACGGGAGCCTTGACCAACGACAAAATTCTGGTTCGCGAAATGAACGCGTGCTCTCTAGTATGGAGACCCTGTGTTGAAGAGGTAATGTCTCCATTCACTCTCGCAACCGCTGGCAACGGCATCCTTGAGACGCGCTCCGAGAAACGCCGATGGGCCGTTTTTGTGCATCGCAGGCGTCGGGCAAATTCACGGGCGGCATGTGCTCAGTGCTCACATCAACACTTGAAAGCGAGGGACCTTCATCCATGACGACCAAAGCATTCCATGACAAGTACAAGGATACAGCAATGCAGTGACATGACCATTATTTCTTTACACACCGACAGCCACTAGCTGTTGGTGTGCATGTTTGTGTCATGTCGGCGTGCTGGCCTAAGGATGTGTCGATGCAGATGGTTTAGTTTCAAAGGTAGCGTGAGCCTCTCTGCCACGGGACTAGAGTACCAATGCAAATAGATACTCCGCATCGAGTCGCATTCTACTTGTACCACCCTCGAATGCTATCATCATACTCCCGTTGTACAGTCGACACTCAGCGCCGCCGTAGAACTGCCATTGCGCAGACAGCCACGCGTTACAGCCGCAGCCACCGTCACGCAGCCCTCGCAGCCTGTCTCGACCTTCAGATCTGAGCACTCGTCCCCCGCATTCGCATGTCCCACCACACGTCGAGTGCCCTGACCCGAGTACCACTACCGCCGCAACGCACCTTCCCTGTGTACGGCGAGCATTGTCTGTTCGGATAACAGCCATCATCCTGCCTGTTGTAGTGATTTGCAGTGCCCGCGTTAACCGATGAGCAGGCCACAGGATGGTAAGTGAGACCACCCGGCTGCGCCCATACTGTCATACATCACCACATGCAGCTATCTTACGGTTGGCGCGGCGGGCAGCATGTGGACAGCTTGACCGCCCTCCGCCGCGAGAATTGGTGTTTGGAGCTACTGCACCCACTGCATTTATTGGATTCCACTGCCCGCTGCTCGTTTACTTGACGATCCTGTTTCTCGCTCATTGCTTCGCTGCTGCTGTCCATTCTGCACCTGCCGTACGCCTACATGTGCTCGATAGCTAACTATGCGACCCCTTCAGGCTCTCTACCAGAAGAACCCCACTTCGATGCCCTTCCCACCCACCGCAACGCGACCGACCATGCCTTGCTCGTCAAGAACAAGAGCATGTCGAATCTGCTCTCACACACCATCTCCGCCCCACCGGTAATAGACACCGCAAAGCGCATGAGCTTCGATGCAGGGCAACTCGACCGTATGACAAGGTCGCCCATTGTCCCCGAGCACGAGCATGGCTTGGGAGCATCTGGTCTCCGCCGCATTCGCCAGCCGCCACCCAGGCAACTGCCCACCACCCAGCGCAGCACCTCGCTGAACATCCGTACGTCGCCTGTGTCGCGGCATCCCTCTGACGCCGCACCCTCCGCGCCAGGATCCCCTACCTTTGCATTTGGCGAAGATCTCACACGGTTCCCCTCCGAATCCCTACATTCGTTCTCGTTTGCGACACAATCAGAGGAGTTTATACACAACCGGCAGAATGTCTTAAAGCGCTCGATAGACTTCATGCGAGACAGGTTGGGATGGGCAGCGACCAACCCAGGCATTGCGAACGCGCAGGCGAAGCTCAGCGGGGATCTGGAGGTGCAGAGCATGATGGAGCTGTTGCAAAGGGCGAATCTAATTGGACAGGATGGCACTGGAGCACATGGACTTGGAGCACTTGGCCCTGTTACAGGACCCGCAGACATGTCTGGCGAGAACCTGTTCGACAAGAGCTTCGAGGTCAAGCGGTCTGAGAGCCCCGAAAGCATGCTCGAGTCCTCGAGGCCGCCGGTGCATCGAGCCACAACCGACGTCACAGAGACCACCAGGAGAAACGGTCAAGAAGTACTCAGCAGCTCGACATCCGACCTAAACTCCGGCGCGCTCAGCCCTACGATCACAAATACCTCCCTCTCTCCGCAACGGCCCACACGTGCTGCTCTGAAGCGTACATTCACTGATGTTGCGCCGCTCACCATACAAAGTCAGCTTCACGATGCCTTGGCTAAGCCCTATCTCGTGGGAGACCAAGTTCAAAGTAACTCAGTCATATCATCAACATCCATTCCCTCTGTGCCGCCGAGCTTCCACAGCGTACAAGGGCCCCTGTCTGCAGGCTCTGCACCCCACGGTCACAGCACTCGACATGCGGCAGCTGCGCAGGCTATCTTTACAACCGAAGCACAAGCACCATGGACAATCACATCAGCGAACGATCTGGCATGCTTGGTGTTTGGCGTGACAAGAGCTGAGGTCCGTAAACTGGGTATCCTGGAAGTCGTTCGAGAGGATCGACGGTCATGGCTGGAGAGCAAGCTCAAGAATCCAGATGTAGGCTCCAAAGCGCAGGCAGCGCTGGCGCCAACAACCAATATCAAGGTTGGCAGTGGGCTAACGGCGAGACTGTTGAGCAAACCTTCATCACGGTTGACAGCTGCGAGAAAGGCAAAGACAGATGATGGCAGTGGATCGTCGTACTACAACGCCAAGAAGACAGGGAAGCTCAACCATGAGTCGAAAGGGTCAAGAGGTGTATTGCTTTGCGGTGATGTGATCCCAATCCAGAAGCGTAACGGCGCAACTGGTGCAGCAAGCTTGTGGGTAAAAGAAAAGCGAGGTGGCTTGATCTGGGTACTTGAAGAGACAGCTGAGGATGTCGTGTATATCAACGTTGACGAAGTAGGTTGCGTTTCCAAGGGCTGGGGCGCGATAGACGCCGTCTTTGGTAGCGACCGACTACGCAGAGGCATGGACCTTACACGCTTAATACCTGGCATACCACGCCTCAAGGGCACGAACACTGGCGTTCTAGATTACGACGAGATTGCAAGTGTGCGTAGTTACACAGCGCGCACGTCGAACAGCATCAACATCCCGGTCACGGTCGAAGCATTGCCTAACGAGCCCACCTTCCGCGTCTCCAGCTTCCCACACATTGCTGGTATCATTGTGCTCTCTTCATCCGATCTCACAGTCACAAGCTCGAACTCCGTCTTCTCAGAAGCATTGTTCGGACAGCCGCGGCCCGAGAGTCTGCATGTAAGCAAATTGATACCTGCTTTCGACAAGATCTTGCACGTCATGACCGACGAAGATGAGATTGAACTGGTTGACGGCATCGTTATTCCAGAGCACAGCTTCCGCCGTGCACGAGCTCTGCTTGCCATGCGCGAGGGCAACGCAGACGCAGCAGCTATCTTCTTGAGGCCTAGCGGTCTGCCAGCTCTGCACCGCGATGGGTCCGAGATCATGGTCGATGTGCAAATGAGGGTTGTAAAGAGCGATAGAACACCTCGTTTCGACGAGCACGTGATTGAAGAGGAGGGTGACTCAAATGTTCACCGGAACAGACCAGAGCTGGTGTACGCTCTGTGGGTTACCTATTCTAGGCAACTGCATGCTGCGAACCATGGAATCGGTCCAGTCACACCACTCATATCGCGTCCAGGCACACCGCCCCATCAACCATCGCCCGGCCAAACTAATCTGATTATTCCAGAGGAAACTGAGTCCGACCAGTCGAAAGCAAGCACACCACCCGTTTCGCTACTAACGCAGCAACTGCAAGGAGCCGCAAAACCCTTGCCTCCACAGGAAACACCAGCCCACGCCATGGCGCCACCCCCTGCACCAATCAAAGAGGAACCAGCTCACAAGAAGACGATCAACGACTTCATCGTCCTCGAAGAGATGGGTCAAGGCGCGTACGGGCAAGTTAAGCTCTGCCGGTACAAGAAGGACAGCAGCAAGAAGGTGGTCATCAAATACGTCACAAAGCGGCGCATTCTTGTCGACACATGGACTCGGGATCGCAGACTCGGAACTGTACCTCTGGAGATCCACGTCCTAGACTTTCTACGAAGAGACGGCTTCCAACACCCAAACATCGTTGAGATGGCCGACTTCTTCGAAGACGACGTCAACTACTACATCGAGATGGTACCACACGGTCTCCCCGGTATGGATCTCTTCGATTACATCGAGCTCCGCGTCAACATGGAGGAGAAAGAGTGCCGCAAGATCTTCGTCCAGGTCGCCGAGGCAGTGCATTTCCTGCACAACAAAGCCAAAGTCGTGCATCGCGACATAAAGGACGAGAACGTGGTCTTGGACGGTGAGGGCAACATCAAGCTCATTGACTTCGGAAGCGCGGCGTACATCAAGAGCGGGCCTTTCGACGTCTTCGTTGGCACTATTGGTACGTCACATGCTCTTCCTTCCAGACTCAGGACCAGGCTAACACCTCACAGACTACGCCGCCCCTGAGGTACTCGCTGGTCGTCCGTACCGTGGCAAAGAGCAAGATGTGTGGGCGCTCGGCATCTTGCTTTACACCATTATCTACAAGGAAAATCCATTTTACTCCATCGACGAAATCACGGACCACGATTTGCGCGTCCCGTGGGTCATGAGCGAGGAGAGTATCGATTTGGTGAGGTTGATGCTGGATCGCGATGTCGAGAAGAGGATCACGATTAGTCAGGTGCTGGAGCATCCGTGGTGTGCGGGTGGGAACGGGGATGCGGATGGGAGCTTGAGGTGAATAACGTTAGGTGAGAGGTGAACTGACAAGGAAGAGCAAGAGCCGGGATTGGCACAGAAGAAGGCGCTTGATGCCAACCTCGAGGCTCCGTGTGGACGCCGCCTGGCGTTTGACACGGTACGATGAACGGCTTGGATGAGTGGGAATCTGCATATAGAGCGACGTGATGATGGGGGAAGTATGTTTGGCAGGATTGTTTTGCATGAGCAACATGTTTATTGCTCCTCGGCACATTGTTTCCCTTGAGCAGCGTTGACTTGCGCATGCTATTCTTTCGTTACAAGCGTATATCACGGACATATTAGGCAGGAAGCGGGACGGCAAGACGGAGGTGTGGATAAAATGAATACCCAACATATTTGTATCTTGATGGCTTTGAAGCATATTCTGGTCGTCTCAAGCCTCAAGCAGCTCAGATGATCAATTTGTGTCGCCGACAAGAACCTTGAGCAGAGTGCCGGTTACTTGGATGCTGGGGTCGGGGTTGCCGTGCATGTCGATCACGGGAGTGCCGGTGAGGGAGCCGGAGATGCGGTAGCCTGGGATGCGTCCTGATGGTCATGTGAGCATGTTTCCGAGTGGTTGGGAATGGATGGTCGCTAGTGATTGATTGATTGATTGATTGATTGGTTGATTGGTTGATTGGTTGATTGGTCGATTGGTTGATTGGTTGATTGGTTGATTGGTTGATTGGTCGCTGGAGAGTATGTAGTGTAAAGTGCATGTCTGCTTCGAAAACGGCTTCTAGATATACCCTACCATCGGTCATGATCGAACTTAGTAGCACTGTTCAATTGCAGTCTGAATGCTGTATTCTTCGGTTGCGTATCGCAAAGTGCTGAGGGTGGAAGATGCAACATCGAAATGGCGTCACTGCTTGGCGACCCTGACGATCACTCCTTCCAAAGCTGGTACGCGCTCGAGTCCGACTCCATCAACGCGCACGACAGAGGAACCCCATGCCACCCCACGGGCCCTAGTCTACTCTCTGCTCCAATGCACCCGGCCGTAACTCGTATCGCCGAAAATGTCGCCAAGCACCGCCTGCTGCTCGCTCCGCTGCTATTCACCGTCCTGGGAGCGGTCGCGAGCGTCAACAGCCCCGTCCAGCACTCGCTGCTCGTGACATCGGCGTCGTGGGCGATACTCTGGATACCGCTCGTGTTCCGTGTGGGACTGTACTCGAACAGTGGAGGGAGGAAGAAGAGCACGAGCTGGCTTGCCGGCGCATTGCTGGCCCTGGCCCACATCTGCGACAGGGCTGCTTGCGATAAGGATGGCATAAGGGCGACGAAGGTAGCGGTGTCAATTGCTGGGGAAGAGCCATGACTGACGCCAAACAGTGGCTGCTTCCGCTGTTTGCAGTTCTCATCTCGGAAAATGAGCTGCTCTCGAGACACCTTGTCTTGCCTACGCACGCCCGCAGTGACTTGGCCGAATCGAACAGCTCTCCCGAGAAGGCTTCGAGCAAGCGATCCTCTGACCTACTGGTGACGCTCACGATCGCCGCCAGTGCCGCTCTGGGCGTTTATGTCACCTCCACGACCTCGGCGCTTGGGATAAGCAGCGCTATCTTCGCAGCATCAGGCCTGGTCTTGTTCGAGGTCGCAGTGCGAGGCACAAAGGACGACAATGAGGGCGGCACGCGAGGGCTCATGTCCGCAGACGGGTCTTTCTCGCGGCGCGGCTCAGTGAGCAACAACCGCAAAGCCCAGGAGCTTGTGGTCCTGCGAGACGTTGCGGCTGCCATAACCGTCATATGTGGCATCGCGGTCTTTATGGTTGAGCCATCGGTTGCTCCAGGCGCCGCGACATGGGAGCCTTTGTACCGAGAGTTCGATCGCGACTGGAAGACTGTGCATGACTTCAGGACTGTGCGCCAGGTATTCTTCATGGTCATCGTTAATGCTGCTTTGAATCTCTTCATGTTTCTTATTGTAAGCGCACCCTCATCCCAAACTCACGCCACGACGAATACACGGTAGTTGGCTCTACGTACCGCCGTACAAACCCGTGACACTATCGAGGCCTGCATAGCCTTTTCCTGAGCGTATTAGGTATCTGCTGACCGTCCGAGTAGCTTCTACGAGAAGACGCCGTTCATGTTTCTCTATGGGCCTTGTTCTCTTGCATCTGCGCGCAACTGAAGTTTGCGACCACCTTTTCAGGCATATGGTTTACGATCATCTACGGGGTCTCTGCCCTTTTGTATCTGTACGGCGCATCGTCTTCGAACACCTTCGTCGATATCCGGAGTTCTATACGCATTAGACGCATTTTGTTTGGGCTTACGGCGTCCTCGGTCTGCGTGCTGCTGGTTCGACATGCGTCTGAAGCGCAGTATTACAAGTTCACACCCAAAGCCCCCTCCACCTTTCGGGTCCAGCCGTCAGCGACACCCCTTGGTTCGGTCCCGGTCGACCTGGATCGTGGGCATCCAGCGGCCCAGCTGATCAACGCTGCCGAAACGGAGTTTCAACGAACGCTCCAGAGGCAGTCCAAGTCTCTGGACCAGGCCATCCGTGAGTACAGGCGCAGGAACGGCATAGCACCTCCTCCTCACTTCGACAAGTGGTTCGAATTCGCGCAGCGTCGTAATGTTGTATTGATTGACGAGTTCGACATGATCAACCAGATGCTGCTGCCTTTCTGGGCGCTCAAGCCGGAAACAATACGATCGCGCATCAGAAACGCGATAGGCCACGAAGATAGTGCTTTGATCGCTGTAGCCATACGAAACGGCGAAGTGGTATCCATAGGCAATGGCGATGAGTGGCAACAGCAAGCCACGACCGGCATGATGAAGGACTTCGTTGCATATCTTCCAGATATGGACCTGGGCTTCAACATCCACGACGAGCCTCGTGTTGTCGTGCCGAATGACCTGCTGTCTTCGATGATCGCCAAAGTTCAAGATCAAGTTCTGCCTCGCGCTGCGAAGACTACCTCACCCCGCAACGACTTCTCGAAACGGCCGAAAGATCTGAATGACGGCAAGCGCTTCGACGAAGTCAGCACAACGAAATTCAATCGCTTCGCCCATCAACAGACGTGGACGCACTCTCGCCTCTCGTGCCCCGCCAGCAGCCAAGCGCAGACATTCGAGGACTTTGCCGCCGATAACCTGACTTCGTACGCCGCAGGCCCGCTAAATCATGTCTATAATGCGACGGCCTTCTCAGATATCTGCAACTCGCCATCATTCTCGTCAACCTTCGGCTTCTTCGAGCGTCCCAACGCGTTCAGCATTATCCACGAGCTCACGCCCGTCTTCTCGCAGTCCAAGATCTCCAGCTTCCAAGACATCCTCTACCCCAGCCCCTGGTACTGGTTCGGCAAAGTAGGCTACGACAGAAGCCACGACACAATTTGGGAAAACAAGACGAACAGCCTCTATTGGCGCGGCTCCACAACTGGCGGCTTCAGTCGCAACGGCGGCTGGCGCCGCCAACACCGCCAACACATCGTCCAGCGCCTCAATGCCCCTGACAAGGCACAGATTCTCATCACCCCCGAGACCTCGCCCGAGCCAATCTACTCCGTTCAAGACATCGACCGCAAAGCCCTGCACCACCTTGTCGACGTCAAGTTTAGCCATGTAGGCCAGTGCGACCCAGGCGACTGCGACGCACAGAAGGAGTTCTTCAAGGTCGTCGAACGCGTTGATGGCCAGGATGCGTGGTACCACAAGCACCTGCTCGACATGGACGGGAACGCGTTCTCAGGCCGCTTCTACAGCTTCCTCAAGAGCCGCAGTCTGACGTACAAGATGTCTGTGTTTCGCGAGTGGCACGCTGAGTGGCTCAAGCCGTGGGTGCATTACATACCCATGAGTTTGAGGGGCGATGAGCATCTCGATCTGGTTAGATGGTTTAGTGGGGATAAGACTGATGTTAGTGAGGCTGGTGGGAGGGGGAAAGAGAAGAGCGCTGATAAGGGGGGCAATGGGGAGAGTTTGGGCGAGAGGAAGGCGAGGGAGATTGCGGAGAGGAGTACCGAGTGGCATGATAAAGTGTTAAGGAATGCGGATTTCGAGACGTGGTTCTTCAGGTTGTTGCTAGAGTAAGTTTGTCCAAGTGGAATTGTGTACATTGAGCTAACAAGATACAGATACGGCAGAGTTGTGGATGATAATCGCGAGGAGATAGGATACCCAGGGCCATGATAGACATTTAAGGGCGCTAAAATCAAGAAGTATTCATTAAATTGGAGCGTGCCTTATGCTAAGCGTTATGTGCTGTAATAGACCTTTCAGGCTGACGATGTGAAACTTACTCGTCAGCGAGACAAAGTGAATGTGGCGGTGCGATCGCTGAGCATTCTGATTGGTCGCACCTTCCATTTTGACCGTACGCCACGCGCAGACCCACGCCTTTATACTATCACCAACGCCCTTTCCACAACTACATCAGCACCTGACTCATCTCGACTTACTTCACTGGATTCCCTGAACCAAACTCCGACTTTATAAACACACACCTGATTCTCTACGTCCATAGGTCCCCACCAACAAAATTTCTCGCCTATTCGCTAGAGCACTAAAAGAGATGGCACGAGGCGGCCGCGGCGGCGGCTCTCGCAATCCTGCAAACCAACCTCGCGAAGTCCAGGTTTCCCGAAAGGTCAGCTGGCTGCTGCGCCATGGCGCGAGTTCAGAAGGCCTGAAGCTAGGCAAAGGCGGCTACGTCAGCGTGGCCGACGCACTCAATACGCGAGCCCTGAAGAGTCTGAAGATCACATTCGAGGAATTGAAAGAAGTGGTTGCCAAAAACGATAAGCAGCGGTTCTCCATGATCCTTGCTTCTTCGCAGGATAAGATTGAATCGGCGGACGGCGCGAACCCAGCACAAGAAGCCGAAGCCCAGGAAGCAGCGAAGGGGAGTGATGATCCAAACGACTACCTCATCCGCGCAAACCAAGGCCATTCAATCAAAGTCGACACCGAAGGTCTGCTTACGCCCATCACGCTTGCGGCTAACAACGTGCCTGCCACAGTCGTCCACGGCACCGATGAGCGCGCTTGGGATTTGATTCTGAAAGGTGGCGGCTTGAGACGGATGACCAGAAACCACATTCACTTCGCATCGGGCTTGCCTGCAGGATTCAAGCCCCTTTCATCATCGGTCGAATCCGCAGATGGTCAAGAGAAGGATGCCGCACCTGTGATCTCGGGAATGCGCATGTCCTCTACGATTCTGGTTTACATCGACATCAACGCCGCGCTGGAAGCGGGTATCAAGTTCTTCGTCTCTGAGAACGGCGTCATTCTCACAGAGGGCAATGAGCAGGGCGTGCTACCGTCTGAGTTTTTCTCAAGAGTTGAGAGCCGCAAGAAGGATGGTGGCGTGTTGATGAGCGGTGGCAAGCTGCCTGAAGGCGTGGTCGTTGATGTCGAAGAGTGGGAGAAGGAGATGCGCAATATTGGCGGGAAACGGGGCGGGAGAGGGGGAAGGGGTGGACGAGGCGGTGGGAGAGGTGGTGGGAAGGCAAGGGCGAATGATGATTCGAGGGATCTGATAGCTGATGTGGAGTAGACAGCAAAATCAGGCACTTTCAAAGCACAATACGATACAGCATAAGGTACACTCGAGATATACATGGGTAGATTTATGGATGACACAAGGGTGTATGGATTGCTGTGGGTTCGACACTACTTGTTCACATGGTGTCTATGAGGCCATCAGCTCTACAGAAGTCTTTTGGAACTTTTCCAACCGGCGGACATGTCTATGAAATACCTCAACCTTCGATATTTCAGCCTTGGTTGCCGTCCTGATTGTTCGAGGAGTAAAAGGAGTAAAGGTAAGGTCTGCTATCATTTCAAGCAAGCCCAAAGACGCAGTCCTCTCCCGTCACACAGGCGATGGAGCATTTTCGACCTAGATCGATCGATCGGAAAGGAGGTATCTCTCGTGATGACGCTCGAAAGCAAGCTTTTGATTTGATCGTGAATCTTGCTTTCATCACTGGTCTATGGAGCTTCCGTTGACACAATTACATACCACGTTGCGCAACCGTATCTGACAAGGTGATTTGGATACCCTCCGCCAAAATCCTCCTCCCCCTTCATCCGTCCACCCGTGCAAACCGCAGATCACTCACCGTATCTGTCGTCGTATCTGTCGTCACATCTGTTTCCCCACATGCATCATGATCGTCGACCATTGCAACGACCTCATCATCATCACGTACCACGAACATCAGAACGACACATCCGCCCAACGCACAAGAACTGACTTCATCTCTCTGCTCGCCCACCCTACCTTCCCGTACTCCATCTCACTTATCACACCCTTCCACCGAATCCTCAGATCCGAGACGTTCACCCCCACACGCTTCCAACGACCCGCGCCCCGTGCGTTACACCGACGATCTCAATCTCTCTTCGCAACCACACATCTCCATGACGTGTGTTGTCAGCCTCGAAACACCAACGCGTCCCGCGGTCAAGGGTAGGGGGTTTGAGAACAGATGGAAGGTGATAGGGCGAGTCGTACGTCGTGAGGTTGGGGCCTACCCGATCGGTAGACATCGGCGATAATCTGGCGATCTTCGCCTTTAGCGTTCGGGGAAGGGGTTCGTACACCTTAGCACCCCAAGGAATGGGTTGCGGCGTGGAGCGTTTAAGAAGAGGTCGTTATCCGCTCATGCTTGGCTTCCGCCGTACCTGTTCCCTCTTCTCGACCTTACTTTGAAGCCCAAACTCTGTCTGCATGCGGTTGCTGGTAGCCGCCGTTGAGGAATATATTCGCTTGGGAGCATCAATGGTTGAAGAGAAGTAAGGTAAGGTGCGGCTGGTTATGGTACGTGAGTATGATGTACCAGGTACGTCGTTATCGCGATGTGAGGTCAACACCAGATCAGCTAGACGATATCCGGGCCTTTTCTGGGAAGCTAGTTGGCGGGGAGAGTAAGTCGATTCGAGTCATTCACTTCGATTTCCATCTTAAGGAAACGGTTCCTCTCATCTCTCATTTCTCATCTCTCTTCTGCTCCTTCTCATCCCCTACTCCCTCATCCCCTACTCCCTCATCCCCTACTCCCTCATCCCCTACTCCCTCATCCCCTACTCCCTCATCCTTCTGGCGCTTTACCAGAGCAAGACTTGAGAGATGTATGCATCACGGATCATGGTGAAGAGATGGTGGTTCGGATGAAGCAATAGCATTCAACCTATTTCCTACACTCATATCCTATCCTGCATACACCACGCATCCTCTTAGCCAGATATACAAGAGGTGGCCCATCGACCCAAAAGGTAGTGCAAGCCTGCACACCCGCTCCAAGCCAAGCGTCCCTGTGTCAGAAGATGTATTGATGTTATATCAGTTTATGGGATAAGTATGATTCAATATGAAGAAAGAGATATGGGAATAAATGTCGAAAGGTGGAAAAAGATGAAAGACTCCGGATGTGCTAGGCTCTCAACGCAAGACGCAAAAACGCGAGGTGTATCTGACTGGATCTGAGCTAGGTGGGATCCGCAGCTTTAACCTCAAGAGCTCGACACCGTTACCTTGGAGTAAGGCATGGGGACGTCCCTCTCATCGGTGCTGCGGAAACAACCGCGGCGGCCAGGCAGAACGTCTGCGGAGACAGATCGCTAAATGGCTAATATCGTTGTGGTACAGGCCGGGAACAGGAATGATGGATAACAATGGGTGGGATGATGAGAGGTGGAAGGAACAGCCAAGGCGCAACGAACGGTTACTCCTCCATCCTACCGAAGAAGGCATCGTCGTCTTCGTCTGCGCGGCCGCGGCTGCGAGAGTTCGACTGGCGGTAGTCCTCCTCATCGGCGAAGTGATCGTCATCCATGTCGATGTCCTTGCTCTCGTGGTAGCGGTAGCTGTTGCGCATGCTGCTCTGCTGCGGCGTTACCGTTGTGTTACCAGAGAGGGACTGCGCGCTGTGGAAGTCCATGAACTTCGCAGGCAGCGGCGGCACGGGCGGGACGTCCGGCGGCAGGTTCACGGCACCCGACTTCGGTGTGCCGTACGAGCAGCTCAGCAGACCGACAGCGGCAGCCATGTCCTGGTCGGTGTTGCCATCGTCAGGGTACGAGCCTGCAACCGAGGTGCCGGAGGTGGTGGGTCGGTCAGACACGTTGCTCCAGTGGCGGTAGTGGCCGTTGCTGTTATCAGAGAAGATGGTGGACTGGTACGACTGGCTGTAAGCAGAGCTGTTGGCCGAGTAGCGCTTGATGGAGCGCTGGCCAAAGTGCGAGTGCGAGGAATAGGAGCCCACGGCGTGGTCGTCCATGTGCGGGGGCGGGGTAGTTTCAGTGGAGCTCAGCTCGTCACGCAGATCGGACGAGCCGGAGGCCGGGGGCGAGGCCGAGTTGTCGCTGTCGTCACTCTCCTTGTTCATGGCGACAAGGACAGAGGCGGCCTCGAGCAGCTGGACCTGCTGGTGCTTGGAGATGAGCAGCTTGGACGTGTATTGCCATTCCGGAGTGTGTTCCCAACTAAATCAAAAGTCAACGCTATTCAAGAAACAAGCAGTGCAGACGGCCGGCGGGTGTGTATTTGTAGGATGTGTGCGTGCAGGGCATTCGTCTTGAGCGGTGAAAGTATGTGGGTGGACGGTGGAAGGCTACGGGGTACTGACAGGTGCTTGGTCAGACAGCTGCTGTGTTTGTATCCTTTCCCACATTTTTCACATCTCAATTCGCTACCACTTGTGCGCTTGCCCTCGCCCTTGGCCAGACGGGAGCCCTCGCTCGCGCGGCGCATGCGCGACTTGGAGTTGCCCTGCTCGCTCTCTGGGAGCGACGCCAGCGCAGGCCCGTCGGTGACAGCTTCGCTCTTGGCGGCGCTGTAGCTGAAGGGCGAGCCATTGTGCGATATGCTGGCAGCCATGGACTGCGAGTGCACCAGGCCGGGCCCGCGGAACTGCATCGCTGGCTTCGAGGGCCTGCGTGCTGGGTTGTGGTGCGACTGCTCGACCAGCGGCGCGCCCGCAATGCCCTTCGCAACGGCAGCCATGGCGGACACATTGCTACCTGCGGTCGTGCTCATGCTCTTGCGGCGGGTGACGCGGTGGGCCGGGTTGATGCTGCCCACGGACTGCGAGTGCGAGTGCGAGTGCGGGCGCGACTTGGGGAGGGAGCCGGCCACGGTGCTCGAGTGGCGGTGCTGCGACGCTGGGCGGTGGACGTTGATGGGTTCCTGGTAGGCGGGCGGAGTCAGCGCGGGGAAGGGGACAGGGTGGTGTCACCGGTGTGAAGCCCTGGATTGCTGGGTGTCTGCGTACCTTGAGGACGGCCATGGTGTCAAACTCTCCAAACTTTTTGGCGAGCTGGCCTCTGTTCTATGAATGCGTCAGGAGCGTTGCACAGCCCCGACAGGTCCGAGGTCAGATGCGCGATGCGGGCTCCGGGCAACAATGTACAGTGCTATGCAGGGCAGCGCAGGGGCAGGAAGGGAGGGAGGCAGGTGTCGTGTATATGGACAGGTGCAAGGCACGGCGGCTGTTCCAAAATAAAAAAATGTTGGCGGGTGCCAGTGCTCGCTGGCTGTGTGGACAGGCTGGAATGGACCCCACTGCCCGTGATAGCTATGGCGTTACACGCCGGCTGGGGTTGTCTTGTGCGGTGGCAGATGCGGAATCGGGCGCCCGTTTCAGTCAGTCTCCACTCGCGATGTCACTGTGCAATCAACACAATATCAGTAACGGTGAGGAGATGTTGGACAGAGCAAATTGAATAAGACAAAACAACGGACCGAGATTATTCAGACTGCAACCTTCAACTTTTATCGTTCATGCTGGCACGCGGCCCTGGGTCAGCCGGCCCTTGACGCAGCCTGCCAACGTGATCAAGACAGGCATCGGGCGCCGAACTTACCAACTAAGCTGTGTCCCCTCTTCCCTCGTAACAGGTACCCGGCTCAAGCGTGGCAGCGAGCTGTCCTGAGGCACCACGCGCTTCTCTCGTCTTCTCTGGTACGTACACTGGATCAGGCGCCCCGTCTGATAGCAGGCAGTGCAATTGCCCAGTGACATTGCGTCTTCGGCGCATGCTCGAGCACAGGCACTGGGGTGCATCGCCAGTCTCACAGCTGCACATCTCTCGCTGGAATAAATTGGATATTTCAGGCACCTTTGTGCCGTTCCTGGCGCCGTTCCACGCAGGTATCTCAGGGCCATCTTAGCGCAGCAGCCCAGGAGTCCCTGTGTTGCATGCTGATTCGAGCATCGCACCCAAGCCCAGCGCCGCTTTGGGACTGCTGGGAACGCCGATCGCAGCAGCATGCATGGGCCAGCCTCGGGCGGATCAAGCCATGGAGAACCGAGCAAGCGCCAGGTCTGAAGAACTGTGGCTAAGCCTGCGATCGACTGAACAGCTACACACGATCATGGAATCGAGGTTTTTGGGTGAAACTGTCAACAGTCCACACAGCGGAATACCGAAACAGATCGTTGGTGTCATCGTCATCGTCATCGCGCGGAACACGTCTGTGCAGTCCTGGCTGGCTGCTCGCCTTCGCCATACCGCGCCATACCGCACGCACCATACCGGAATCCCACCGCCCAATACGCTACGTTCACCGCGCAAGCCACCTCCTCACCTCACCATTGGCAGCGCGCGCAACTTGTGGGGTTGTCTCTTATGATGTGGCACCCAGAGCGCACCTGACGGGCCAGCAAGCCAACAGCATGTCGCGAGTGCTAAGTGGAAGGAAAAGTTGAAGCCGGTGAATAGCCGCCCACGCCGCTCCCTGTTGCAAGTCATGTCTGGAACGCGCTGCCGGGCGTTCGACTCGGGATCAGCAGATCGAGATCGCGGGCCGCTCGAGCTTCGAACACCTCCGAAGTGCGCAGCGCTAAATCCAACCATCAAACTGAGCGAGCTCTTACACAAATACCACGAGGTCCACTTGACAGCTGCAAACCACGGTGCTGAACTGTCAGACCGACTTTACCAAAATTCTCACTACGTCATCGTGTCGGTTTAAAGCGCACTCGGTTTCTTCAAAGTGTGGGGTAGCGCACCCAGCTTATCCGCCAACGGGCACCTCGGACATGTTCTGCTGCCGCGATCATCATGCCGGCGCTGAGGGGTTGTTCGCAGCTTCCACTTCTGGAAATCCGTCTGCGTCCAGGCCCTTGTGGGATTGTGGCGCTCTATCAAGTAATCAGATGCCAAGATGTCAGAGTCTGTTCACAATCTGTTCTCTTTCCAAAGTTCGAAATGCCGCAGTCGCCGCAATCACTGCGATATCGATAACATGAAGACGCCTACTTGAGGCCACTTCATCTCTCTCCGAGAACTCGCAACTCATTCCAACCAATCATATCCTCTCATCTCCAACTCCGCTTTGCACGTGCGACTAATCCCAGCACATCTAGACCACTTCCACGTTGTGGAACCACCGCACCAGAACCTTGCGGCCAACTTTTTTCTGAAACGAACACCTGCTGGCCGAGGCGGTTTCGAGACTCGGTATGACATCACCGTCGGCGGTACAGGAGTGGCCCATTTGGTATCCGGTGAACTGACCAGACTTCGGTGATATGATGGCGAAACTACCATGGATATTTGAGAATTGCGGTCCTTTTTGTAGATATAGATGTAATGCGAAAAAGCTAGTGCTACGTTCTTGTACCAATTCTTTCTCACACATCACCCTCTCACCAAGTCAGAAACCCTGCCAAACGTCCGCTACTCACATAAATCCAACTCAACAACATCCATGCCCGCTCGTCGATTGTACGGTATCTGAACCTCCTCCGATCCTCCTCATCACCCTCTTCAGTAGCGTGCTTCTCCACACTCTTTATCTCCGGCTCCTCCATAAGAATACAGTTGTGACACAGGCCGCCCTCCCTTCTTCAGTCTACCTCCACACCACCGCACATTTCTGCCACAAGACGCGAATTCACCAGCAAAACTCGATATAACCATGCTACAGTTAGATTGTTGTGATGCGGGTCTGTGTGCACATTGCCAGTGCTTTCGCGGTGATTGGGTGTGAGACACACTGCGTTCCGAGCATGGGACGTGAGATTGCTGCCGACCGCGCCAGCGGGCGTCTGTTGAAGGACTTATCTTGAGCATCATGAGCGAGGCTGGAAAAACTGTGGTGGAGAATAGCGGACTGAGGTGGTTGCTCTTGGTATGCAAGCCATCTGTACACCCGCTGAACCATCACAAGCGATGAAGCACTGCCTGAGGCAATGTGCCGCGCTTTTCCACAGTGCTGCGGAGTGCGTACGCGGATCCTCCCGCCTCCTCTCTCCACGCTGAACTTTGACCGGTGGAAGGTTTGCTGGTACCCCCCTGCTGCATATGTTCACGCCTTGCAAGTGCCACTGTGGCAAGACTCGCATCCTGCGCGCCACGTTTGAGCAGGATGATGTAGATGCAACGACAGACGGTGCTGTGAGGATGTGAGCTTGACATCTGATTGTTTGTGGGAGTAATTTCGATAACGCGAAGGGTAGGCTTCTGGATCGTAGGTAAGTCGTCCAAGAAGACGCTATGAGATGGATCGGTGAGATGGATCGGTAAGATGGCTTGTCAAGATGGGAGCGGTAGAAATGACTTTATCAAATGAAGAAGATTTGGTATTGTCTGGCCGGAGATGTGGGCGTGGTGCATTACTGTTACATTGTCGGGCATATTCAAGATGAAGTTGGAGTTGTCGATCTTATTCCACATGTTTTGAGGCTAAGAATGTGCTTCTACTGTTTGTGCTGCACGAGTATTTGCCCGCTGGCTGACGTTAATGGGAAAAGTGAAGTTGTGCATAGCCGGCTTGTATGGTCCATGGCCAGCTGTCCCTACGGAGTCGTCTCTCGAGGACCAATTGCTGATAGTTGATCGTTCTGGCATGTACGGTTTTGTGCCGACAGCGTTCCATGTAAACCCGTTGCCGAATGGTGAACACGCAGCATTAGTACTTATGGCCTGGCACCAAAAGTCCACGGTCATCATTCAAAGGTGGTCAATTGTCGGAAGCCCGAAAAGGTGTCGATCTTGTTCGTGTCGTTCGCGGTGCATGGAGTGAAGCTGCGGCGAGGCTGTCAGACCAATAGAGCTTGGTCCAAGCTTGGCAGTGACGAACGCTCTAATCCCTGGAGGTGCCATGAGGTTGCCATCAACTGCGAGACATTTACTTACACCACGACCTTCATTCTCTGTCACATACTACGCCATCGTGGACAACTACCGTAAAGTTACAGTAGCACCTGATCCATATACTCTCCTGTAAATCGCGACCCGTACACATACCTCAACACATAATGGCGGACGCATCCGCGCAACCAAAACCCAGCAGCAGCGTCAAGCTGGTGCTGCTCGGCGAGGCTGCCGTCGGAAAGGTGCGATACTATGACGGTCACCAGTGTGAACGTGCAGTATTAATTAATCTCAGTCCTCGCTGGTCATGCGCTTCGTCAACAACGACTTCCAAGAAAACAAGGAGCCGACGATAGGAGGTGTGCAGCTCTCGTCCCCCAAGCGCGCAAGCATATACCGTATCTAACATAAGTATAGCTGCCTTCCTCACACAGAAATGCAACCTACCCACCCGCACAATCAAGTTTGAGATCTGGGATACCGCCGGCCAGGAACGCTTCGCCTCGCTCGCGCCCATGTACTACCGCAACGCCCAAGCCGCCCTCGTTGTCTACGACATCACGAAGCCCTCGTCGCTCACCAAGGCACAGCACTGGGTCGCTGAGCTACACCGCCAAGCATCGCCCGGCATCGTCATCGCGCTCGTGGGGAACAAGGCCGATCTGGCTACCGAAGGCGGCGAGGAGAGCTCAGAGGACGCAGACGCGGCGCCAGCTGCCGAGGGCGAGGACGCCGAAGAGGAGGACGGCACCGACGCGCGGAGAGTTCCCATCAAGACGGCGAAGGCCTATGCAGACGAGGAGAGCCTGCTATTCTTCGAGACGAGTGCGAAGACGGGGCAGAACGTCGCAGAGGTCTTCACAGCAATCGCGAACGCCATTCCAGAGACAAGCCTCAAGGGCCCACGTGGAGTCGGCGGCCAGACGAACCTGGGCAGGCAAGAGGATGCGCGTGTGAACCTGGGGAGTGCTAGGACTGAGGGCGCCAAGGAGGGTTGCGCGTGCTGAGGTATACCAGACTGGATACTGTAGTAATGCAAGCAGAGCCTTTTTTTGCTTTTGCATCTTTCATAGGTCTATGGTGTTGACTGTGTATAGTGCTTCATTCTTCCCAGCAATACTATGCTGATTTCTGCACCGACTCTGATTCCACACTACTTGGATATTCACTACACGACTAACAATACTAATTGGGCCTCAGCCATGTACCACCTCACGTGCCCCAGCGAGTCTGCCTACCACTCCTCACCTAACCGTACACCGACATGGGTATGCGCCACATCTCGGCACCCATCCATTACCGGCACGTTATCCGGATAAAACCCCAGAAACCCGTCGAGTACCTGCTTTGCCTGCAGAAACGCAGTTTTGAGACCCTGGATTGAGGGAGCACGCCTTATGCGCGTATACAGCGTGACTAGCATAGTGCACGTCATGGCTGTGGTCTGGGTAGGTATACTTGCTTGACCGTGGTTAGTTAATGCAGGTCAGGCCTCACCGGCAGTAGGGCTTGGAAGGCTTGTGAGGGAGGAAGTGCATATGCTTGAGGCTTATGGACGTAGGGTGGATACAAAGGAATACTGGTCTGTAATACTCAACGACTCCCTTGCTCGACTCCTTGAAGCGCTCTCAATACGCATTCTCCTATTGGAACGTCAAGATGGTATATCTGCGGCCACGCTCTTCCAACAGCAGTACGCTCCTCGACACCTCACCATCTTTTTAGGATAGGATCGCTAACACCACTAGCTTCCAACCGATGCTTCAACACCTACTCGAACCTCCCTGCAATCCAACAATGCCAGGAAGCAGGAGATACACCCTACTGATGGCCACCCAACGGAACACGAATGTGCCTCGGTTTCATCAAAGCGATTCCCTTCTACTGGCCGTCGACATACTACAATCAAAATGCCTTCTTCTACGTTGACTTCGGCGACCAACACAGCCAAGGACCAAACCAACCGGGTAGGATCCGCGTCACGGAAGGCAACATTGACTTGACCGGGTTCGAGAGCTATGCGGAATGTATTACTAGTGGCAGCTGGAGTAATGAGAAAGCCTTGAGCATTACGATCCGCGAGTGGTTCCCTTACACCGATGGTTACCAAGAGGTTGTCCATCAGGGCCCGACACTCATCTTGGTCACTCCGGAGCAGACAGCGACAGCAACGCCGAGTGCAACAGCGGAAAGCGCCAACCCAGAACTCACTGCGGACAAAATCGCTGGCATATCCTTCGGCGCCATCATCGGCGCCATCCTACTCGACTTGCTTTACTTCTCATGTTGCATGAGCTGCTACTTGTCATACTACGGATTCCAAGAGAAGAGCGAGATAAAGAGGGTAAAGCGGCAAGAGGCTCGGCGTATACAGGAAGAGAGGGCTTACGTACAGCCAGACGTGGATACGATAAAGGCTAGCGTAGCACGCGGAGAGATATGGACGGGTCCGGTGCGTCCAGGAGGCATGTGGGCAGCGCGTTGTGACTGGCCGGCAGCCCCAAGGCGAGCATCGAGGGACGATGATGAGATAAGAGTGGTGGAAGAAAGGAGGATGGAAGAGCAGAGGGTGAAGGAGCAGAGGATCGAGCAAAGGAGGCAGGAGGTTGCGAGAGCGGAAGAGATTGAGCCGCCAGCTTATGAGGCACCGCCGCCAAAGTACATGCCGTAAGATGGTTTCGCAAAATTTGACGAGGCTGTGGCCGGTGACTGCTGCTTCACCTCAGGGTGCGCCTTCCTGACCCTGCGAAGGTGACTAAGCGGTGTCAACAAAATGCACCGGCGGCTGCTTCACCTCATACTCACCTCACCTCTCTTGTCGACCTTCCAATATCTACACCATCATCACCTTCAGCTATGGTTCAGCGCTGCGACTCCAGATTACCGGAGGGCATAGCCTCCTCGGTCAATCATTTCATCGAACCAGCAGCCCTTCAAGCTCTGTATGCAGCTTCAGGCCCAGCCAGTAATGCACCTTCAGTGTTGTGCAGAAGCCAGCGGGCAGGCTGCCGACAGCGCAACATTTGCCTCGATCTTCATTGTACGGAAAATTCGGCAGGTCAACTTCTCACGCGCAATTAGTTCCCATTCCTCAAGCTACAACGGAAATAAGGAACCACATCTATCACTACCTCCGCCATCGCATCTACGTACGATCTCAAACGTTAACACTCGATCTGGAGCCATATATGGCCGCTTTAATGACCCTACCCCAAAGGACCGCGATGCAGATTACCTGATGAACTGTGCGGAAGATCGAAACCTCGCGACACATACACCAATGGCGCCTGGTTTACCTCAGTGGATGCTTTTGAGTATTGTTTGTACCAGTTTCGGTTGCGAGCTCGCTTCTTCCACGTAAACGACCTCTGCCATCCTCTCCCACAGAGCACTCGTATGCCACCGAAACTGGCTCTGAGTCAAGCTCGCATTGTGGAACTCAGCAGACCTACAAACCTTTACCTGGATGCATGACAAGAACTGAACAATGATAGCACCAACCATGGGTGTTCGGTTTGGATACACAGTCTGAGACCCATACACGGCAGTTCATCCATCACCTGGCACATCCATGTTCGAGCCTGCAGATCTTCCAGGCACGCTTCTGCTTCCCTTATATACCAGACGGCAAGCTCGATGCTACCACCAAAGGAATCCAATCGTGCATCGGATTCTTCGACGAGCTTCCGAAAGGATTAGGTTACGTCGCGTTTCTCATGACTGACAGGAGATTCGATTTTCCGAACTTACCCAACTTTCAGATTGCGAGAGAAGCAATGAAGGAAGAGCTCAGACATGTCGTCATGTTGCCTGTAGATAGTGCAGATCAGATCATCCAAGATGACATGGTATGCTGGGATCACAACATCGAATCACAAGACTCACTCTGTCCAAGTTCTGGGGATTAGCGTCTTCGGGTAACTTCAGTGGATTACAGATATAGGGTGGGAAAGGAGTTATAGGACAACGGCAAGATACCAGAGCTATGGAGATAGCATATGGGTTTCCTCTTCTCGACAGGTGAGCTGCTATCATACACAAGCTTGACCAGAACTTTACAATGGTTGCTGAAATATAGAGACTCCCCTGAACTTGGTTCACTACTGCGACAGATTTATGTTATGTAAGAATGAAGACTTCTAAGTGGCAGTTTCTATCTTGGTTGACAGAATTGACAATCTGGTACATGTCCTGCAGGGCAACAACGTGGTGAACGGCCACTCACAAGGCTGTCCGCCTTCATGAACCACGGTACGTACCTACTGTACGCATCACTGTACCAAGGTCAGGGGGGTCTGCACATTTTTGCAAGCACCGATATTGCAGAGTTAGACGATATATCAAATTCTGCGATGTCTGTCTACCTTACAGGTCAGCAATAGCGGTTCCACCCCCTAGTCAAAAAATCTCGGACACTTTTGCTGATGTAATTGACCCCCACCAAATGTCACTTTGTTAGCACTCGCCATACAGAATTGCATTGCGCAGCAGCCACATACATCAGATTGAACTGAAATTGATTCTTGAGGCTATTGAGATACTATGCAATCCTATCACGATCGAATTATGTGGTGTTGCAGCTCTACCAGAGCGCAGTTTTGCACCAAACACTGGGGTGCTGAAACACCTGCCTACACCGATAGGGTATCTCATTGATACGCTCTTGCACCATTTCTTGACCAACCTGCTTCCACTCGTGTTGTAGTGCTGCCTTAAGCTCTGTGATGGTGTTGATAGTATATAGTTGACGTTTGACGCGTTCCTTGATGATGTTCCAGATGCCTTCAATAGGGTTGAGGTCGGGTGAATTAGCTGGATGTGAGAGCACCTTGACACCATGTTCGTGCCGATATACTGCTGGCAGAGAGTTGCAGTTGCGTGTGCCATGGCTTGGGTCGTTATCTTCTTGCAGATACCAAGTATATCGTTGTTGTACAGGTACCTCAGCCCGGAGTACATCAGACTGAGCGACTAGATGACTGTATGCAGCGCAGTATACTGGTAGCATCTTCTCCACATAGTATGACGCTCTCATAGAGTTTCCGGGTTTCAGTACCACTGGTATGCGTGCCTTTGAGGCCTCCCACTCTCTCACACGTGCTTCGTAGTCTCCAGGTTGGTCTGTAGCAGGTCGCCTTTGAGGCTTTGGTGGAGGCTTTGCAGGCTTATGATCATCGTACTTGTCGTTGTAGAACAGCAGCTTGTCGGCCATAGTGTAGTAGTTGATCCAGGCAGCAAAGTGCACCACATTGGCAGTCCTTTCTGGATGATTGACAATGTTATATGACGCTGCACGCTCACCTAATACACGGAGTATCCAGTCAACAGGAAAATCGTGAAGTGACATGTGAGCCTCGTCGGTATATTGTACACCATCCCAGTACCCTATAACAGGCTGGTGTTGGTTGTTTGCTGCATAGTTCTGCCGTTGAGAGGCCTGTGGTTTGGTGATATCCTTCTGTGTTGACGCTCTAAACATACCAGCATTCATGCGGGTGTGTAGGGATCGTTGTAGCGTGCGTCGGCTCGCATCAATATGAGCTTCTGATAACTGTATTTGCAGTGGTTTTTGGCGGCTTGATTGCTCTGCATTGAGTAATTGATGTAGCTGCAGATTTGTGATCTTGTAAGGCCGGCCAGAGCCTTGAGAACCTCGTAAAAGTTGCTTTTGAACTCTCCCATCATGACGACGGGCTGCAATATCACCTATATCTTGCCTCTCACAAAGCCAATCGTATGCAGTGGAGCTAGGGATGCTGAGTTGTTGGAAGAGGTGTTGCGATGGCACATGCGTAAAGTCGTCCTTGTGGTCAAACGCGTGATAAAACCGTGCACGAGTGAGACTGTTGCAATGAGGCTTGACAGGATTGAAGGGCGTTACTTCGCGATTACGGAGACGCATTATTTGTCAGAAAATATGAAGATTTGGTAGAGTTATAGCTGCTGCAAGTTGAGTATAGGCTCAGTGTTGATGCGGGGTGGATTCCGGGTTACCTCAGCAAAGTGTCCGAGATTTTTTGACTAGGAGGTGGTTCTCTGGTTAATGTGCGAAGATGCTGCCGCTGTTAGTGATACCGTACAAGTATTCACCAGTCCTTGATCGAGCTACGCCACTTTTCCTGAACCCTAGCCACGACAGCTTTTGGGTCGCTTACCTGGTGAGCACAAGCCTCTTCATCTCATTATCAGCACATCAAGCCACCTGAACCACCTCAGCTCTCGGGTTACTGAAGCGAGTCTCTTCCCCTCGACACCATAACACACTCAAAGTGCAACGTTTCGGTACATTCATAGTTATGCGAACATATGGTTGCAATGGAGCGTCCCGACTATCGATTCCATCTGCCTAAACAGAGCGCCTCATCGACGGAATATCTCCTCTATCCGGCTGCACTGCAGATACTAGTCAGAAATCAAATCCGAATCGATACGCAACAATCAAGACACCCTTCGCCAAAGTCAGCGATCCGGGCGTGGCCAACGCAATCTGCACCTCCCTCTTCACTACGACGAGGTATCTTTGGCACACCTCAGCGGTAGTAAAAAGTTCCCGTTCTTCATGTTGCCTCTGGAGATAAGGTGTATGATCTATCCTTACCTTCTCGCCCGGATCCTCATACGATTCGATCATCTGAACATGAAATTCAGCGCCATAGGCGGCACGCATGGCTCACCAAGGATGGCACATTCATGCCGTCTGCACTCCAATTTCTCTCTTTGGATACTCTTGAGCAAACAGTTTCTACGTGAGGGACTGGATCACTTCCGAGCGAGGGCTATCTTTTACCACAATCATCACTTTGCATACCAACATACTTGTCCCTCGACCGGGTACGGACGGTGCACTTTACAAGATAGAGTGCTATCTGGCTCTCTACATGACGGAACAGGACGAGAGTGGCAGATACTACAGTTTCGGCGAAGACCAGGAGACGGAGGCAATCACCCTGTAGGCAATTTTCCATCTATGCAATCCGACTACAGACATCCAACGATTGAAAATCGACTTCTTACACAACAATGGCACCGCACTCTGCCTGTTCCAACTTTCCATCTAAGACTTTCGCCCCGCAATTTTGTACCTCTAAATGCTGCCCAAGAGCTTACAGCAAGTCACGTTCAGGTTGGATCTCGAATTTCACCTACCCACCTGGGCAAGGAAACCAGGTATTGAGCGTGTGAACCGTGCGATCAGAAACGAGCTTAGGCGTGTGGATACGACTGGGTCGCATTTCGAGGAGGAATTAGTATGCGGCAGACACGGAATCACATCAGGAGAATGCGGCACTGATTGCGTGGCCGCGTGGCAGGTGCGAGTGAGTTCGGTAGCTTGGCCGGCATTCGGTGGATAAAAAAAAACAGGGTACAAACACTGAAAGCGTATGTTGTAGTTCGGTCTGCCGAGCTTCTTCACAGTCAAGTTCGTGTATCGACATAACACAACCACAGTACTGAATCACGAATTCTCGGGCGAGTAAAATGATTCACATGCTTTACCACACGCTCTACTAGACGTTCCCAGAGCAGGCAAGATAGATGATACACTATATACTACGTGTATAGTTCCATCTGCATTCAAATTCTACTTCGCTTTACGTTGCATAGTGTGTTGTACCCATCTTCCACAAGATCGAACACACAGTGTTTCCATAAGCAATCATTCACATACAGTGTTTCATTTTGTGCGGTCACGCTGTTCATCTTTACTGGCACTATCGTCACATAATGCAGAACATCGAAGGTCTACGAAAGGAAACTTCAGAATCTTCGCTCTTCTTCTCTTTCACCAGATCCACAAAACAGATAGACACAGTCGCGAAGCTGTGCAATGGTAAGTGCCATCACACTGACATATCCCTACAAATATAGTTTAGAAGCGCCGCACGTACCCACCAACCAAGACAACCACAGAGCAAACACCCTTAGACATAGACATAGTCATCGTCCAGATTAGCAAACATGGGCTGTGCATCTTCCCGCCCAGCCAGCCACACCTCGCACCCCCCGATCGGCGGCCACCACTCTTCACACAGACACATACATGCAGATATGTCCTCGTTTGACACCTACCGGGGCACATCTTACACCCCCAAACCGCCTCCACCCGTCGCACGAGGCCACTCTCCACACCACCACAGCCCCTACAAACCCTTTGATTTCTACATCTCACACAACCATCATGGCGAATACGGTAAGTCCACCAGTATTCACTACCCTCAAACACACACCTGCTACGCCCGCGACATCAGCCCGCCGCGGCACCGCAACGAGATGCCGCGCCGCCATGCGAACCACCGGTATCGCGATGTGAGTCCACTGGGCTCGTCGCGGTTTGAGCAGCTGTTTGGGCGGGCGTATATTGGGAACGGGAGGATTGGGGTGACGGCGGGGTGTAATTTTAGAGGTGGAGGGATTGGGGGGTGGGAGAATTGGTGAGCATGCGAGCGGTATAGAGAGCAGCCGAGACAGCGAAGTAGAAATGGATTTGAATACCTACAATACTAAAACTTCTCCCAAGCAATCTCCGAAGCATTCAATGAAACATGAAATGACAGTGCAATCGCCCTGGGATACTTTGCAAGCACCTCTTAAAAGGGGAGGTAATTTCTCCTTAGTTGCCTTCCATATGTCGCTCAAAAGATAAGATGCTTTCTAGGATCGTGCCTCACGAATTTGCGACCCATACTCAGAGAACACTGTGCACTTGGCCATGTGCGTCGAGTGACCATTTGCTTCGTTAAAGACGTTGCAACCATATACTGCCGCATTGGGTGGTGTGTACACTGTTGGTCGTCAGTCAGCATGTACTGATCCGTTACTTATGGACTTACAGTGCAGTGAGACAGCGTAGTTTTGCTTATCTGGGTTGGAAATGCGGTGGAGTCCGAGCTTGTCAGACATATATGTGACTTGGTCGGCCTGGTATGTCTTCTCGGAGATGACCTGCATGTGGCGATCCTCCGAGTTATTGAGGTCGATGGTGGGCCATGCGTAGCGTGTCTCGGTGAGACTGCCCTTGAGAATCTTCATGATGCAATGGGCGTTGGCATGGCTATGATCTGTCAGAAGAGCCCATTTTGAGATTAAGTTTCAAGTGGAAGTAGACAGAACATGGTAAGTACCATGCTGGCCCAAGAATGGATCGCGCAATATATCGAAAATAGTGTCCTTACCGGCTGTCTCCTGCGCTATGGACGCATTCGATCTCATGATCGGCGAGCAAAGTCGCTTCGTCAGTCAGGAGTACAGAGCCTTTGTTTGCAAAGTGCATTGGAAGGCCGGGTCACATTGATAATCTGTTGTCAATAGAAATAAAACAAAGAAAAGCCGAGCTTACTCATGAATGGGACTTGCCCTACCAGGTGCCCATACTAGTAGAAGCTGTTAATATCAGTAAAGTCCACGACTGGAAATATGGATCAGATAGGTACCAGATTGCTTTTGCCGTTGCCCTTGTCGACGAGATTCCGTGTGTACGCTGTATTGGGTTGTGCCATCGAATATTTCTCCCATTCCGACTCATCTGAGACATAGTCTTCCATCAGCTGCTGAAGCTCTTTCTCGTCCACATCATCACTATCGATGCCGCTACATGGGCCAAGCCTGTCACTCAAGGCCTGAATGAGTGTCTGGAAGCGATCTGTGCGTTCTGCTGTACGGCCAGGCATGATGATATGACAACGATGGTATTTTATGACGATACTGATGTTGTTGTAGTAGCAGTAAGATGTAACGAAGAGGAAGAGCGTTTGGAAATCGATTTCGAGGTCCAAACACTATGATAAGAAGCTACGGATTATCGAGAGCGATAAGCCGAGCAGGCGTCAGGTTTTATCAGGAAAGAGCGGACGATACAGCGTGACACGTGAGTCTTTGAGGCGCAAAATTATGTAACAACTAGCTCCGGCGATGTCTCCCAGCTAGGTCAGGTGCACCAACCGTCGCACCGCATACGCATGCCAACACAATCCGTGAGTATCAGAACGCGGTCGGCGACGAGCAAAATAGCGGCTTCTATCGGTCGTTGCCTTCGTATCATGCAAGAGCATCCAAAGGGAGTTGCAGGGACGAGGCTGAATATAGCTAGCGTGACCGGCGAAAAGTATAGCCGGTACCCCTCATCCGGCAAGCGTGAGCAAAGGGCGTCATCGCCGCCTCGGACATCAAATTTCTGTATCAGCGCATTCGCGACTGCACAACGTCTTGAAACGCTTCAGACGACGTGATAGCCAACATGTCGACAACAGTGGATAAGGTGAATACTACCATTCTGCAAAATGTGGGACCTATCTCATACTGACTGAATGTGCGCAGATTAAAGAGGTCGAGGCCGAAGTAAGACCCCTCCAGATCGCAAACGTATATTGATGACTTACGCCATGTAGATGGCCCGTACCCAGAAGAACAAGGCGACCTCGTACCATTTGGGACAACTGAAGGCCAAGCTAGCGAAGCTTAAGAGGGAATTACTCGAGCCCAGCGGTGGCGGCGGTGGTGGAGGTGTTGGTTTCGATGTCGCAAGAACTGGTGTTGCCAGTGTTGGCTTCATTGGTTTCCCTTCCGTGGGAAAGAGTACGCTCATGAGCAGATTAACTGGCCAACACTCCGAAGCTGCCGCATACGAATTCACGACGCTCACGACTGTCCCCGGTCAGGTTATGTACAACGGCGCCAAAATCCAGATTCTCGATCTTCCCGGTATCATTCAGGGCGCCAAGGACGGAAAGGGTCGTGGTCGACAGGTCATTGCGGTCGCGAAGACCTGTCATTTGATCTTCATTGTGCTGGACGTCAACAAGCCCTTAACCGACAAGCGCGTTATCGAGAACGAATTGGAAGGCTTTGGTATTCGAATCAACAAGAGCCCACCGAACATTGTGCTCAAGAAGAAGGATAAGGGTGGTATCAACATTACCTCCACGGTCCCATTGACACACATCGACCACGACGAGATCAAGGCTGTTATGAGCGAGTACCGCATGGCGAACGCCGACATTGCCATTCGATGCGACGCGACCGTTGACGACCTTATCGACGTTATCGAAGCGAAGAGCCGAAGTTACATTCCTGTCATCTATGCGCTCAACAAGATTGACGCCATTTCGATTGAAGAGCTGGATCTCATCTACCGAATTCCCAACGCTTGTCCCATCAGTTCTGAGCACGGCTGGAACATCGACGAACTATTGGAGCAAATGTGGGAAAAGCTCAATTTGTGCCGTGTCTACACCAAGCCCAAGGGCAGGATGCCTGATTATACTGCTCCGGTCGTTCTGAGGGCCACTGCTTGCACAGTCGAAGACTTCGTATGTGCTCTATATTTATACACCACAACGCTAGCTAATAAAGGTCCAGTGTCACTCCATCCACAAGACTATCGTAGAACAGTTTAAGCACGCCATCGTATACGGAAAATCTGTCAAGCATCAACCTCAGCGTGTGGGATTGTCCCATGAGCTTGCCGACGAAGACATCGGTGAGTTGAACGGCGTTATCAGATCTTAGTGTATTTTTCGTGCTAACCTTGCAACCAGTTACCATTGTCAAGAAGTAAAAGATAGATTGCGATACATACCCCGGCCTTCAGGCCGTCTACCCCTCGCAGTAGAGAGGGATTGGAGTGGTGAGTGGCTTGTGGACGGCTCGATGTCTCACCACAGTGCCACAATTAGGCCTGGACATGAAGGATGACGAGCAGATTGAGGCTTTAAGCCGACTTCACACTCTGGATTGGCCGAAGTTGCCGTCCCAATAGCTCCGCGCCGGCATCAGCACATTCGCTTAACTGAGACAAAGAGCTTGCGGAGCGGATCATACCTGCCATTCGCCAGGACACCAGGGACTTGAACGGACCGTAGCCGTCCGCAACTATCAATAAGGTTTCTCCTGCCGAAGAGGCGCACCAAAGTACGTACACATCTCAAGGAAGCCTCGTGGAGAGAGGGGCGCCGGCGTTTAAACAGTCTCAGCATATTAGTTTTCCCATAAGGATACTTTCGGAACTTCAGCAAATACGATCAGTGTTGTCTGGCCCAGTTTTTCAAGTATCGGCTTCCTTCATTGGTGTTCTGACGGATACAGTTGTCGATTCGGAGACTTCCAGCAGGGGTGCTGTCCGTGCCGACGACTCACAGAGCTCGTTGTTATTCGGGCGCTAAATCATTATCGCTCCCGTTCCTGAGTGGCTGTTTTGCAAAACCTTATGTGTCTTTTGTGGCTCCATTTCTCGTGGGCGCGATTATCGCCATCCCAAAGCGTCACAGCCCGTCTGCGCAATTCAGATTCTGTTTATGCACCGCCGATGGTTGACACCTTCGTTCGACCGCGGGTATCGCTACTTCTCGTACCTGATTGAACTGTCGAGTTTCAGTTGCGGTTGCGCGCCACGAGCGTACGATATCGATGAACACTGCGCATGGCGCACGAAACGATACCATTACGCGGTGCTCACTCAGGCCATGTCTGCGTTGGGGAATCAGAATAACCGGTCGCAACGATGTGTGAGCACGGTGCGATGGTCTCTGTGGGATGATCGTACCAGACCGCCTTGACATCCCATTTGCCGCAGCATAGACATTGTGTGGGGCCGTGCACTGGGGGTGTCTCGACAAGCTTGAGCCAGGCGGCCGCATATTTCTAGCCCGCGTCAACCCTAAAGGGCGCATCCCCGACAAGACCCGCACATGCACTAAACCCAACGTTGCTGTCGCGTTGCGGCGTCGCCTGGCTTGATGGCGGCAAGGATGTACGGTGCACAAGCCAACTTGAGCCAGCAAGCTTGGGCTGGAAACAAACAGGCCCTCTCCCGCACTGCTGCAACAGCCCGCGTCTGCATCGCACACATCGGGGCTTGTACCAGCGTCCCCAGACCTTCTTTCATGTACGCGCTGCGGGCCCGTCGTGCCAGGCCTTACCCTGCAGCTTCTGCTTTCCTCTGAGCTCATTCCTCTGCCGCACCTCTTTATACAATCCAGTTTAGAGCTTGTCATACGACTGCGCAGTTTTGTCAGCCAAATCCTCGCTCTGCTGCAGTACATCCTCGTCGATACTGTTTCGCTTTAGGAACCTGAACCAACATCTCATGCATGCATGCACGCCTCTGTCTTGAAGTCACCCACACCGACCAGTAACAGCAACTTTGACCTGCAAATGCCCGCCGAACCACTTGATCGCCATAGCATTTGACGGACACTTGCTTCCACATTCGCACGACTACAACAGTCGACGCCGCACCAACCTCGCCCAACATGAGCCAGCTCCAGATGGACCACGAACACCATCACCAAGAACCATTTGAAGACCATACAGGATGGCATGAGAATGGCCCATATCCGCATCACTCGTCGCCGGTGCAAGATTTCAATGGCTTCCACGCCTATACACCGATGCCAATGGAGCCCATCTATGGGAATGGCATGCACCCACCACACCCTTCACATCCACCACCTAGATCTACACATCAACAACTTCAGCCCTTGATCATGCCTCAGTGGCCCAGCATGTTGACCAGCCAGTCAACATACCAGCCCTCGATCTTCCCTTCTGCGCCCGTACCAATTACACCGGCATCAGCGACTCCCGTCTCGGCAACATCGACACATTCGAGGACATCATCAACACCCCGAAAGACCTTGACTGACCAGGATCGTCGCCGGATGTGTCAGTACCACGAGGACAACCCTACTGTCAAGCAGACCGAAATTGGAGGTACGCCAACATCTCTCTTTGGTCGAAATATAGTCCTGTACTAACGCTTTTGCAGCAATGTTTGGCGTCGAGCGAAGGTACTATTGAGTGAGCCATCTACCTACCTATCACTGTGCTGACAAGCTTGTAGTACCGTCTCGAAAGTGTTGCGACAGAAAGAGAAGTACCTTTACCAGGACGATGGCAGCCGTTCACCCATCAGGAAGTCGAAGGGGAAGCTCCCTGACATTGAGCGAGCACTCTCCAACTGGGCCAGGAATCATCAGAGGCAAGGCTACCAGCTTACCGACTCAATCATTCGGGACAAGGCACGCTTCTTCGCACAGACTGTGGGAAATTCCGAAAGCCATCTGAAGGCAAACAGCACCAGTTGGCTAGAGAAGTTCAAGCAGAAGAACCATCTAATGGGCGCAAAGTCACGCAAAGGCTCGATAGCAGAAGAGTCGGAAGGCACATCGAATCCTCCTTCTAATGCGCAAACACCTGGAGCTCTTTCACCCATATCCCCTGATGACGATTCTCCTATTCCGAATCTGGCGGTCAAGAAGAGCGAGGACAGCTTGAAGACTGAAAGCCCTGACACTTACGACTTCTCGGGTCGACGACCTTACAACTCTCAAAGCAGCACCTCTTTGTCTACTGTCTTCACTGAACAAGGACCCACAAGCCCTACTTCGCTGGCATCGCCGTTCTTTACGCCGGACTCAGCATGCGGGCCTAATTCATTCATTGGCAACCGTCAGGCTTCCAATGGGCAGCCAGGGAGCAACGGCTTCCAGCGGCCACGGAGTCAGACGTTCCCCCTGTTGGTAGGTGTCGAACAATACGCATCACCGCCAGCGTCGTCAGATGCGATGACTCCAAAGTACATCAGCAGCACTGCGCTCGATTCGCCCCTGGCAGAGATGAGCGATCCGTTAGCCACAATCGACGAGGCGATGTCCATATCACCTACCCAGGTTTCCAACTCGATGCAGCCCCCACCTCTACCAACTACCTCACCTGGAGGTATTAGGGGAACAGGTTCGCCGGTCTCACCTTCCCAGGAGGAGGCTGCACGCGCTTTGGAACTGGTCATGAGCTTCTTCAAATCACAGTCGGGTGACTTTGCGGTTGCGCCTGAAGAGTACATGACGATTGGCAAGCTAATGGAGAAGCTGCGAATCAAGAACCGATCAGAGAGCATGCCATCGGGCCTTCGACGCGCGTCAGAGCCTGATTACACCGTCACCAAGCTAGAAACTGTCGACGTTTTACACTAGCCAACAGCGTCGCTGAAGACGATACTCGTTGCATCGCACTGAGCGGCACAACACACGAAAACAATGCACAGCCACAAGACTACTATTAATACGTTGGAAAGACGACACTACACTATTTTATTTTCATCACGGACCAAAAGAAGGAAAATTGGGCATATCATAGGAACGCACGTACAGTGCCGGTATTTCAGTTCTCTCATGTCTCATTTTCGCATCAGCATCTCTAGCATCTTTGCTTTACCTTTCCTTCTGGCGCTCGTTACACTGCTCGAAACCTGCTTCCACGTTATACCCTCAGCATGCACAATACCCCAACATGCATGGCCACATACATTCTTCTTACATACATGAAAGACTGTACCCGCTCACGCGGACCATTAGCTATTGTACACCTCTTCTTCTCAGCTTCTTGGCGGCCCCTTCTGTTTGGTGTACTGTCTGAAACGACGGAATAGGCTCGTACACTTCTGTTACCTATATTTGGACTCATATAGCTTTTGTAGTCTGAAACACAGGTCGAGCTCGACTATTGAGTCAATCCACTCCTTGGTATTCAGTACCTGTCTTGGACGACACAGTCCCCCTGATCCAAGCCAGCGATTGCCTGTCTCGACCTGCTGTGACCCGCTGTCACTTAGGCTGGCTGCTGCCTGCCTGCACAGCATAGCACGAACACAAAGTTTGAGTTTATGCAATGCAAACTTTGCATCCGAAATCATCACGATATCTCAGGCCAAGGCCCAACTTTGGTTCTACAATTCACTACGGCAATCCAATGGCCTGGTTAGTTTCGCGTTCGCTATGAGACATGGGCGCTCGTGGCAGGCAACCGAGCCTCCTTACACCTCAACAACCCTCCCTACAGCGTTGATGCCTGCCGCCAGCCACAACGAGATGAGCGAGATTAAGCAGCTACAGTTTAGATGCGCTCCCGGCTCCCCGACACTCACTGTTTCCGGCCATTCGTCTCGGATGTCATCTCACCAGGTTTTCTGCCGCGGGCAGTTGCTTGTGGCCATGGATTGACAGAGGGTGAGCAGTGAGCACGGCTAGTGAGCTAGTGAGCTAGTGCGGGGATGAGCCGAGCACGGTTGTAGACTTGCGAGCTCGTGGGACTGCGCATCCAAACCTGGGTGCGAGCGTTTGTAATAGGTAAGATGAGCACTTCGCTTTCCTTGCTTTTCTTCGTGCTGCAAACGCAAAAGAGATGAAATGCTGCAACAAGATGCTCTAGAATTCACGTTCATTGATAGCGGTCCGGCCCGTAGCCGTGAAGCTTTGCTGGCCGCAGGACCCTTCAGCAGCTCCTCAGCTTCGGACGCTGCCGAATCAGAATTGCGAAGTTGGACACATCGATCACAGGTACGCGGGTACAACGCAGCTGTCAAGTCCGCTCCTCATACCTGCGCAACGATCAAATTTCCCCTCGTCTTCCGCAATACACGATTTGTACACGATCAATCACTCCTCCCATACCTTGAGGACCTTGAATCCAGTAGTAGTGTCGCACGGCATGTCACGCCCCAACTCGCGAAAGTTATTACCGACACACTTGCGTTAGTGACAGACAATTGCGACCACTGAGATGCTGATACGACGCACATTAATGTGTTATTTGTACAGATGTAGTGGTGGCTGCGTTGGCAGACGCTGGCGGATGCTAGCGTTCACTAGTGTCGGGCCTTTGGCTGTTGGGCTGACGTGCCACGAAAAGGCGTCCTGCCGTTGTAGTTGGCTGGCGTGCCTGCGCTAGCGGGTCAGGTGATTGCAAGTGCATGTGGTGCAACGATGCACGCGGTTTGGTGTGGGTGGGACCGGGTGGCAGGATTTCCGGGTGGTGTGGTGGTTGTCGCGAGTGAGTCAAGGGTTGGTGGTGGAGAGTTGCCCGAGATTCCTTCCATCTAGACTTGAGGTCTGTCGAAACAAGACGTCAATTTTACTATAAACTTTTACCCAGTATATTAAAGATTTAACTACAAATTTTCTCATCAATCACATGATAAATTGGTCGCTTAGCTCAGTTGGTTAGAGCGTGGTGCTAATAGCTTTCATCCTTGATACGCCAAGGTCGCGAGTTCGACCCTCGTAGTGACCATCTTTTTGCGCTTGTGGAGTCTGTGGGAACCGCAGCTGTTTTTGCTCTGGCGGTTAGACTTTGGGGCATCTTGTGAGTTGGACTCGCTTGAGAAATTTACTCGGCTCTTCTCTGAGCTCGCATAATGTTACGCGTCACGCGCACTTCTTTTTGCACGCGCACTTCTTTTTGACTTTGATGAGCCTGCGGCCTAGGTTTTGAGTTTTCGAGCACTGGGCAGTGGTTTGCAGCACGAAGACACCTACTGTCGACGGCCCCTTCCGCCTATGCACCCTGTCAAGGCACGAAGCCGTCGCTTCATGTTGATCGTCAGTTGCTAGAAACGGGATCTTGCAGTACAACGAAGCTCTGTAAGTATCATGTGGATGGCATTGAGACCGGGACGTTGACACTGGAGCACGAAGACCGGCATTTGAACTGACGTGCTTATCGCAATGCCGTTGCTCGCAACGTGTCAAGCGCCTTCTCCTTCAAGAGCGATACTCCTGACGCTGTGTTACATGTTGATAAAGGCACCCCCCAACCGTGCCCAGCCCTGTGGGCCGTCAATATGACCCATTGACGTCAGCCTCATTTTGCGACATGGAGTTGACATGGAGTCGTGCCTGCTTTGGGCTGCAATTCACAAGCGTCGGAGGAAGAGGCCTGCGCGCGGTGCTCAAAACTATCCACCGCGGGATGTCTTGCATCTCGAATTGTGTCCCCTCTTCCCGGAGGCCCACGGTCATTGCGCTGCTGGAGCTTGAGGTTTGATGCTCGCGACCCCTGAACATCACCCGGACAGCGGAGAATGTCATGTATCTCTAATCACATTATAGTCGCTGGGGTACCGGGTTCTGATTTGCAGTTCATGAAGAGGCGGTGTCTGGCCAAGACCCTTACAAGGCGAAGGATTCGAGGTTCAACGGTCAACGGGGATGTCGAGTCAGGCTAATGACTATCGAATGAGGAAGTTAGCGACGTGAGGATTTCGAGGTTCACGGTACTCGCTGTCGTGTCGATAAGCGCCGTCGAGACTGCAGTATGCGACAGTGTTGCGCCGCAAGTAAGCTGACATCAGTATCTCGCAATTGTTTGCAGGGTAGGACGATATGGCGGCACGGGCAATTCAGGTACGCGAGCCCTACGATAAGATGATGTGGAATTAGCTGTGGCGTGCGGGGGAACCTCAACATAATGTCGCTTCTGAAAGACTATTGACAGGGTGTGGCCAAGATATTCAAGGCTCTTTTCGAAACTGGAACGTATGTTGAACTCGTAGGATGCGGGTTGCTTGTAGCGCCAAATTGAACGGCAAGTCTTTGCGCGTTCAGGGAAGCCCCGGTTCAGTCGACGCTGCATCACGGTCGTTGTCAGCCGGCAGCGGGACGTCGCGTGGCCTTCAACAGTTCAAACTTTCGACGCCCGGAACGCTACACGGCATGAAGGTAGCTTAACCTCACGACCTCTCTCCTGCTTTGCAGCCCTTCTGCATCCGTTGTCTGTCAGGTACCCACAATGATATCAACAACGGAGATGCGCACATGGCTCGCTCGTATTCGACTGTAGATACCATCATTGGCTGGAAACGTCGTGCTTAGGCTGCAATAAATGTTGGTGTAGCCGACTATTCGTGCCCTAGCATATATCGCGGTCCGTCGCGCTCTCCGAACGAAATTCTATCCTTCCAGGTGCATGCATCGAGGCGTCCACTTTCCTGATTGAAGCAACGACGAAGTCCACCGCCAGGTTGCCTCGATCATCGTACGACAAGTCGACAAGCGGGTTCGGAACTGAAGCGTTGACCCGTAGGCTGAACGATAACGCGAACAGTGGGGTTCATTGTACCTTACGTTGCTTTTTCGCTTCATTTTCTCTCCCCAGCTTTCCTTCAAGGAGTCAGGTGCTCGTTTCTGTATGCACTTGCGGTCCTACGGGAAGTCTGGACTTACATATCTCTCAACAATTCGTGCCGTTCAATTTTATGATTGGTCGATTACCCCTCATTTCGGGTACCTTTTCACAACGACGTAGGATGAGCTGTTTGTACATGGAGATACATCATGTATATGAGAACCTAAACTGTTTGGAGATTGACAATGGAGGACAAAGTTCAGATCTTTGGTGGGGATGGTATTGCCGACGTTTACAGTGCACACCACGATCGATAGCGAAGTCTTATTGTGATCGGATGCAGAGAAACGTCCATAGTCAACATGACGGGGAACCTCTGCAGTTGGTCAGTGATCACAGAGCTGAAATACCGAGAAGAAACTGCGGTAGTGGGTGGCTGTCATCAACCGAAAGTGAATTTGAAGTGCGCAATGTGCGCATCTATTCTAATACGAGTTACCCGGTGCGCTCTTCCATAAGGTCTCGAATCCCTTGATGCTCCAGCTCGGGCGCTAATCTTAGTACGATCAGTTCGAGTATCTGGAAGATGAGATGCTTGTTCAAGTACGCGTCTTCGAGACACTCGAGAATCTCCTCGACCTGCTGATGTTGTGTGACTTTGTTGTCACTTGCAAGGAAAGCGATTGCCACTTTCGGTGGTAGCAAGCCGAGCAGCGAGGCGGCACAACGGCGCTTGATCTCCTTTGTCTCATCCTCAGTTGGTATCTGTCGTGGGGGACCCATGCCGTTGTTCGGAAACAACGTAGCGCGCACTGTACGAAGTACTACTGGAAGTAGAGCGGGGTTCAAGATGCGCGTGTGGATAATGTGCGAGAGGAACCTAACAAATTGCGTTAGCGTATTGGACTTTGGTATAAAGCGTCGTCTTGATTGGCGTGTAATATGCAATTAGCATGCAATGCGTCCGAGTGGACCATCCCGCGGGATCCAGTCAGCCAATACTACAAAGCGCCAGGTTCTTCGATCGGAGTACCCCAAAGTGGTACCGCAGAGCGATATTCCTAAAGAGAACGTGACCGTAGGATCTTCAGGCCGCAAAGTGAGGCAACATGGACATATGCAGCGGTTCGTTGAGTCGATAAGCCATAGGGTCGGTTTGAGACCGTCTGTAACAAGCCCTGATATGTCGATTTCGTCTGCAGGCGTATCTGTAACGAACCGGATCAGTCGTGAAGTCCCGCACCAGTCGACGATGGCCCTGTACCCGGTAACGTGTAACATGTAGTAGCGATATCGCACTTCTGCAGAAGGGTCGTAAGGTGAGGCGCAACCGTCTTGGTCGTATAGTCCGGGTCTGCGACAGCCACCAATGTTGTGCTTGTACATAAGGAACGGCCAGTCCCGAGCTTAACGGACGGCTGATGATATAGGTAGATCACCGGGTCCGTAAGCGGGCTGCCTACGATGGCTAAATTCGCGATAAGACAGCTTAGTGCTCAATTTTCGTACTGCAGAGCCTACAACACCGTAGGTCGCATTGCAAGCTGTCGGAACGGAATCGTAATCCACGATCGGTCCATTCAGATTGCCAGTGTCGGGTGCCGTTTTGAACGGTGATGAGGGGAACATCCTTGCCAAGGCCTAGGCTTGGGGCGTCGAATTGCCGTCCGGGACGGGTGCAAGGGCCTGCATATATCGGCACACCCCCAAACCGGGGTGTGACCATGTGAGGGTCTGCGGGCCGTCGCATTCGCTGAGGTGAAGTCAAGTGACCAGAATTGTATGCGGTCCTTCTGCACCTCGTGTTGCACTGGGCTTGGATTCAGATGTTGCTGGCCAACCATGGAATCAAGAAGAAAATTGTCGCAACTCACCTGTCCAATACACCGTCGGTGTCACCCACCCTTCCTGGGCCGAACAACGCTCCACAATGCAGCATTGAGATGAAGCCCGTCAGCCAAGGCATGCGGATGTCCAACTCGACAACCTGCGCTGCGCAACTCCACAACTTCATGCTTACGATAGGCCGTTTGACTGCCAGTAAACGCGTTGAGGCCTGAGACTCCACTTCTGGTAGGTGTGATTGGCGACTTTCTTCTATCGGTATCGGTCCGCCTGCTAACGACCTTGAAGGCAGAGATGATGCGGTGGCTATAGTTAGAACGACCGCGCGCAGCGCTGTATACGCCAAAAATGCGTATTGGATGACCATCCAGAACAAGCTCGAAGCCGACATGCTTGTGGGCTCATGACGACTTTTATCAGCGACTGGCAAACTGGTCGAACCACTTTCCTCTTCGACCTGTGATGGCAATAGCCCAAAGCGTTCCAGGCGGCTTAGTTCCATATCCGCGGCTCCGTCGTCTGACGAAGGGTCCTCCTCTTGAACATGGTCGGTCTGGAGAATGTCTGCGATCCTCCCAATAGCTTCCCATAACAACCAGCCTTCACAAGCTTTCCCGCTGATGCCGTTGCCCAATATCATCTCGGCGAAAATCTCAGCCACTAGGGATCGTAGACATCCGTTCTTCAGGTCATCGGTGGGAAGTAATACAGCTAAGACTCCCTGGATGATAAGTTGGCGCCAGGCAGACTCGCTCTCTCGTTGCTCAACATATGTCGACGGGACGGCAGCGATCGGGACAGGAGACAAGGCAGGGTGCGGGTAAAGCGTGTGGTAAATGAGACGTGGATCTGACACTAGTGATTGTGGAGACGAGGCTTGTTGCTTCGCGAGGCGGAATGCTTCAGAATGTGTGATTAGACATGCTTCCCGCGGGCTCAACAGGGGCTAGAAGCACCTACTGATCAAATGCTCTTCCAAGAGCCCCGGAAACTCATCGAGCAATAGGCCTTCCAAATCGACATTCCGTAGACGCTGTTCGAGTGCCCTTGTGCAGTGTGCAATGACCTGAATGACCTCGTTGACAAAGACATGGTCAGGCGTGATCTTCGAGTACCATGTCTGCACAAACTCCTTGATGATCACTGAGATGATACCATATAGCTGGAGATCGACCTCGTTTGAGCTTGTCAATGGTGGAAGAAGCTCGTCGATTGAGCGAGGCGTAGTTCCCCCTTTCTCGCCATTCCCAAGCAAAACATCATGAGAGCAAAGGGTTCGTCGAATGAAAGCAGCCGTAGCTTTGTCTGATGTTGTATCAGTCTCCTGCTTTTGGGATTCGACTGCACGTTTGTCTCCGCTTGCTCGAGTCTGATTTGGCGCAGTGTTTCCAGTGGGTACCGAGCTTGTTGATGTTGAGGGCTGGTGAGTGCGCGGCTGTAAACGAGAAGTATCCAGCCCCTGTTGCATACTCTCCGTCATGACCACCGTATGCTCATCACCATCTTCTGATGGCGAACTCTGTACCAGCACGTAGCGGCGCCTTCAAATGCGCTGTGCGTTCAAATATTGCAGTTTGTTCAGGTTGTTGACGAGGGTAAAAGGCGGTGACGCAAGAGGTGCACGGTGTTCTTTCTCGCCGACGTCTTGGCGCGTTTGACGTCCTGGAAGCGAACGCGACTGCTTCATCTCCAATGTCACAATAAACCACAATTTTAAATATTCAAAATGGGCGCAGCAGACAATGACGGTACGCTGTTAATGACTTTGACCACAGATCGTACTCTAATAGAAACCAATAGCGATCGCTGCAGTCGAGCGGCAGCTCAAAGACATTGTGCAGACGCTATACAACCTTATAGTGCAGGCTTACGATCATCATGGTGGCAAGACGCAAGAAGCTATGAAGCGCGAGGTGTAGGTATCTTGTAGGCTGTGAACGGTCTGTTGATGCTGACACAAAATCTAGCCAGTCACTCATTCAAAACCTCGTGAAGCTGTCACAGACGGCCCCATCTGTTCACATCGACATACCTCCAGAGGTCACAAACTACGTGGAGAGCTCTCGAAACCCCGACATCTACACTCGAGAGTTTGTCGAGCTTGTGCAACGCACGAATCAGATGCTGAAAGGTCGCGAAGAAGCTTACCGTCTACTGCAAGAACAAATTGCATGGCAGCTGTCCAATGCCGTACCAGAGCTGAAAGATGACGTTGTCAAGGTAGTCGAAGCTACGGGTGGTAAAGTCCCGACCTGATCTCGTAAGGTCGAGTACTCAGAACCACATCGCGGCCCCCCCCCCCCCCCCCCCCCCGGACGGCGCACCAAGCCACGATCACCACTACTGATCATTCGCCAAAGGGACTTTCGCCATATTCTGTATGCTTCGCATCATCCTCAATAGGATTTCAACATCTGCGTTGCTACACCGACTGTTCAAGCTGCTTGCACATGCGATGCCTGGGAGGGACAGGTCTGACACCCTCGAACTGCATATTGCGCATTCACCGACAGCATCACTACAAAGAACAGTCTGCGTCTTCACTCGGTCTGCACAATACTTGCCTGCAGGAAATTCCAGCCGCTCACGATTACTTGGACCGTTCTTTCACTATGCCAGCGCACACGGTATCGTGGTGCTCAAACGGGTCGTGTTCATGGATTGAAGATCGTCAACGGTAGAGACACATTGACCGTCACCGATCGTCATATCTCGTCTTTACAGCACCACTACTGTGATCAGCATGTGCGGTCGTCACGATCATGCGTGGGGATATTCACTGTGTAGCAAACGTTAAATGCTCAGTATTGTGTTTTCATAAGGAGCCTCCAGGCTCGATTCACATAGCGTATTCTTCTGTACACCATCACCTTATTCAACTCCTACGTTTTCCATTTTCCGTTTTCCGTTCCTTCCACTCATCCACCAGTACACACAATTTTCTCCCTCATCCTACACACTCTCCGAAAGCGATTGTACCATGCTCAAGATTCACCGCATAGCTACTACCAGCTTTCTCACTTGGGGTCCTGACATCACAGAGCCCGAGTCCAGACCGACGTCACCCACAAGCCTGACCCCCGAACAAGGCTTCAAGGGTGCAGATTCATGGGTTGACATTGATGAAGAGCATACGACAATACCTGCATCTGATTGCTCCATTACAAAGTTTGCATGTTCTGGTGACTCGAAGCACATCCTGCGTGCTGATTCGCGATGCAACACACCTACAACGGATCCTGCGCTGAGCGGCACAACGCTTACCACTGATTCGCATACCCTAGATATGGTTACTTTCCCGTCGCACGCTACACACCTTCTTCCCTCAGAGCCGAATGGTACGTGGCGCACACAAGTCAGCTATACGCTTAAGAATCCAAGCGAGCCTGCTTCGACGTTTCGAGAGGCCCTGGAACAACATGCTCACGAGCTCGACGTACCCAGCTTCCTCCACAAGCTGGAGCAGGTTGCGGAAGAGCGTAAAGATGAGTTCAGTGAATGGCTGAATCAAACACTCGCAAACTACGATTTGGTTGAGATGCACAATCGGGTTCGACGCCTTGTGCCCGTCATCTCTATGCCCAACATGCGGCAACTTGATTACGCTGTGGATACAGTGACTGAGATTGCGCAGTCATTGCGGAAGCGCCGCTCAGAGTCAGATCTTCTTCAATGCCACCAAGATGACAAGTACATATTTGCACAGATCATTGGCGAAAAAGCACACCGTGCTCTAATCGAACAGGGAATATGCGAGAAATGGCAGTTCTTGGATGGAGGACATTCAAAGATGCAGCAGATCATGCAATCAACTCTGATGCACACCTTCACACGCATACGTCAGTTATATGAAAATGTCCCACTGTTCCGGGCAAAGCCTTGTTGGACGGCTAATCGGGAGAAGAAGGTTTGGCGCCTGGAGCTTGATGTTGGAGTCGTGGGTGTCGAGGTCGGACCAGTAGCAGATACATCCTTGGTAGAGCTCGGCTTCATTGACACCAGCTTCGAGCTTCCAGAGTCTTACGCATGTGTTTCTATCGCGGATATCGAGCGCCAGGTCGAGGACGCTGAAGATGAGTGGCAATTGCTTGAAGCCTAGAGTATCTGAAGTCCTTTTCTTTTACGTATTAACGTCTCCTCTGTTTGTCTTCCTAGGTCTCTTCTAGACATCATTTCTTCTTTTCTGAAGCGACCATTCACTGTTATGTCTACCTTGTGATGCTTCCGGCACGCTGGCGCACAGCACCGCGGCTTCGACTATCCCTTGACCTTGCACGACTCAAATCGTAACCATCGCCTTGTTCAACATCACCCGCAGCTCGCTCGCCGTAAGCGCATCAAGAGCTGAGTAGTCGTGCTCAGTGAACCATTTTAGCATGAGGAATGTACGCAGTGATATGAGGGCGATGATCAAGATTGGAAAACCTATGGCGGCGATGGTCTGCGAGATGGCAACGGTGCAAGCAACGCCGAGAGCTTGAAGGTCGATGTACTGCCAGATCGTCCTACGTGGAACGGCGTTGAGCGGGTTCTTTGGGTCGACGAAGCGCTTTTCTGAGTTGAGGTACCAGAACTTCGCGAGGATACCGTTGCTTTTGATAGAGCCCCACTGTGATGTCGTTAGTACAGTCTTTTGATGAACAGACATGATGTTCACTTACCCCAACCACGAAGAACACGCCAGCGAACACAGCTGCAGGCATGGTACTCAGGACGGTGAGGAGTGGTCCTGTTATAGTTCCCCAGTTGGAAAGACGAACGAGTAGTCAGCGAGAATACCACTGGTCCAAGGCTTCCAGACCGAGCTGTCACCGATTTTCCCTAGGCCATAGACGGAGACGAAGAAGAGCATGGCGATTACGATGGACAGATAACCACTTTCAAAGTCTGAGACTTCGAACAGGTAGACAAGTTCTTCTACTCCCTTGACCGTACAGCTTTGTCAGCCATGGGTAGATCACTTATAGCTGATCTTACATACCACAATAGATGACACCTACGTATATGCCGAACCACTTGCTAGAGAAGTTCGTAACATATGCCCTGTAATCGCAGTAATTGCCAAAGCTAACAATGCAGTGGAAGATCGCTGCCCAGATACCAACCCATGCTGTGAAAGCCGGGTAGATGGAAGGGTCGTACATCTCGATAATGTCGTATATGGTGTAGTTGAAAAGGGCTATTAGACCAGTGACTCCAATAATGGTGAGCGGTTGGCAGGAGAGGAGAGGAAATACCATAGCAGCTAGTGCAGATGCAAGTAGTGCTTCGTTTATTCCGAAGGGCTCGCCGTTTCGACGATACATGTCTAATGTAAAAGCGATGGCTGGTAAAACGCTGATGTAGTCAGTATGCGTTAATACTAATTTTGATAGGCTTGACCTACTTGATGAAGTACATGCGGACCGTGCTAGCAAATACCCGATAGATAAAGGTGTCCGTAATGTCGCTCCAGTAGTACGGTACTCGACGTTTGACATAGTGATACATACCACGACCTAGTCGTAGTATGCGCCATCTTCGCCAGCCTTTCTGATTTTGAAATGTGTACGACTATGTGGTAGAGGCCTTCTTCAGCTTGTTCTCCATATCCATCGTCGCTGGCCAGTCCATGCTGCAAGGCTACCGCAGTGAATGCAGAAGTGCGCTTGAATGCAACGCAACAAGGGTGAACAAATAAAGCCCAAAACAATGAGGTAACAATCAGATGAGATGATGATGGCTTATAAGCTAAGAAGTCTTGACCGCTGACATAGTTGCGCCAATACTAGACCTTGAGGCGTTTGGCATCTTCATACCAACACAAGAGCTGCCAGGCATAGGAGAAGTCCCCGCGGGTTGGTAAGGAACGGCGTGCACGCGCAACTTGACAAGTGTGACACTGTGGGTCCTAATCATACATTGATGCACACGGACTCTGGAGATGTAAAGGATACTGCTCGCTTCCAGCTCCATAAACAAAGGTGCGCAGGGCCTTCCGAAACCGGTCGTCCTCATCTCACCCATATGGGTGATAGTGTTTCTGTTTCTGTCCATAAAGTTCCTCTTTCGAAGGCATTATGAGTGGGCAGATGAACTGTTGCTGATACCTTCTGATGTTTTCGGGGAAAAGATGACGTTTGCCAGAGTGATCTGGTGGTACTGGCGGCGGGAGCAGTTTGCGGTTAGGCTATTTTGGTCTTGACGCCCGCCCGAAATTGTTCAGATTTCTTCTGCACAGGCAGCCCGGTCTGACTTCGGAAAACAACAGACATTAGTCGGCGGTAACTGAAAGGTCTCTTTGAAGGTAACGACGAGATGGACAGTAAATGCATATATCCCATCAAATGCTTCGGTGATACTTCTGTATTCCACTAGCTGTCTTGTACGTTTCAGTATGAAGCTGCTAATGATGGTTGTTCTTTGATGAAGACCCTGCGTGGTGAAATTGCTCACATGGCGATCCTCAGCCCTATCGAGGAAAGCGCGCAAGTCTAGAATTGTCGAGCCGAGAACCATCATAAACGTCAAGATCGCCGGCGCGCAACGGCGGGGAGCAGCTTGGCTATTAACTGACGAAGCGCGAAACAACCCAAAGCTCGATCAAATAGCAGCCTTCCAGTATTGAAAAGCGACCGGATTGACATCGAAGTCTTCTGTTTGGCGCCTTTCGTCTACTCTGTTCCACCAATCCGGGGGATCCTACGATTCCGACTATCTATTTTGTGTGCTTTGATGCGTTCAAACCGCCTGCCCGAGCATCATTTGCAAGTCTGTTTGTGCGAGAGCTACCCCACGCCTGAGGCTGAATGTTTCATTCTGCTCGTCGATCTCCCGTTCACCTGCTAGAACCAGTAAGGAGACACAGGCGAAAGAAGTATAGCTCAAACCGCAACACCATGGCTACGCTCAACGATGTCGAAGGGCTCTCAGAGGTCATTGGTCGAGCAATTCAGGAGCACCTAGAAAGATCTAACATTAATGTTGCTTGGCCACAAATAGACGGCTTAGTCCGTCCTATCCTCCGAGTCGAAGCCTTCCTGGAGGATGCAGGCCCTGGTAGTCCTTCTTCTCAACGCTCAGAGAGGGTGGCATCGGTGAGTAACCCTTCCATATCTTGTAATATCTTCATCCTTTGTCGTGCACGCGGACGGCCAAAGGGATTCCTAAGCGCACTCGCAGACTCGAGAAGCGCTCCTCAACACTCTGTAGTCGGACTGAACGATCGCAGCGACTGACTCAATGCAGAGAACACTAGAGCTGACAGGAATGATGACCCCGGGGCCTTCGAGAAGCCCAACAGTACCCCGCCAGGACCAAGATACGATGTCGCCGAGCTTCAAGACGCAGTCACACAACTCAGATGCCACAGAAGAGGTTGTTAATGGATCTGATTCCCGTCGAAAAGGTACTGGAGGTCTGAGGATATCGCAAAACCAGACCATCCAGGAGGATCACAGTGAGCATCAGCGGCAGATGCAGGTCGATACGAGGAACTTCCCCAAGCGGAAGAAGGTGACATCGGAGAAGTTTGTCTTCCAACCTTCCTCACTTGACAAGTTGATCATCGGCATCTGGGAGCAGCTCCATGGCTCCATCAACCTCGACCCGAAGGCCATCTTCGAGCAGTTCAAGATTGCCCCCGCGGGATCTTCTGACGTCGTCCACCACAACACGGCGGACGTGACGGCCATGGACATGCTCAGTACGACGACCGACGGTACCCACGATTCGTTCAGCCAGATGAATATGTTCTGCCGCAAGGTCACGCAGGCAAGTCGTGTCTGCCGGTCCATCGAGATGATCGTGCAGGCACGATGGACGGAGCTCTTCGAGGAGCAGATCCAGTTTCGAACCGCTGATGTACCTGAGCTTTCAGCCACCAAACACAGGAAGGCCGTCTTCATGGAGGCGTGTCAGGACTTTGGTTGGTCCGAGAAAGAGCTGCGAAATAAGATGGCCATCTGGCGAGGTTACAAGGAGGTCAAAGATGCGGCAGGGTGGGCAGCGCTCGTGTTCGCCGGCATGGGCATTTACCGGTTCTGCAAATACCGCGTTGGTTTCGACAAAGACACGATGAGGCGACTGCGAAATCTGCGAAAGAGACTCGAGGTAGCTGCAGACACTTTGCACCCTCACTGGCGGCAATTATTGACGATTGTTGGCGAGCCCCAGACGCTGCAATACCCGGGCCACCCACACGAGTGGGTAGTTTTCGAAGATGGCACAGACCCAGTTCCGCTACGGCAAACCTACCAGGACCAGGAACGCTACTTTGCTTTCGAGCACATTGATGAGTCGATTATTGATGAGTCGGTCTGGGGATGTGAAGATCCGCGATGGATGCCACAACCCAACCCCGTAGCCCGAATCAATGGCCAGTACATTTGCGCGTCGTGTGGGGAGCAGCAATCGGACGACCCAAAGGCCAATGCCTGCTTCTGCTTTCCGTCGCTGTTTGGCTGTGTGAAGCGTAAACCTCCACCTATTCAGGTGTTCCGCACGCCAGATGGGAAGAACAATGGTCTGGTAGCTCTGACATCGTTCGAAAGAGGAGCAGCGATTGGAGAGCTCGTTGGTCTGATAACAAGAGGCATGAGCGGTCTTGATGTGATGGACAGCTCCACCCCACTATCAAATTACCAGATCTGGCAAGGTAGGATAGGCAACTACACTCGCTTCGCAAACCACAGCTGCAAGCCAAACGCACAGTCGTCCAACTTCACTTGGCTGGACACACAACGAGTTCTCATCGTCAGCAAAGGAATCGAGGCGGGTGCGGAAATAACGCTGGATTACGGTGATAAGTACTGGGCTGGTTTGGACAAGGCGTGTCTTTGTGGTGAAGCGTGTTGTAGGTATAGAACTAGAGACCGTTAGCGGCCCTGCAGATAGACAAAGGATGGTTTTGACAACATTACCTTGTAACAGAGGATTCAATTGAAGATGGAGAGTGGACATCGGAAGGATCGAAGCGGAGTCCGTGCGTATCGATAGCACTAGTGTCCCTCACAAAATTTCAAGATGCACGCCGAGGCAGGAACGTTTTGCCGCTCACAACACCAATTTTGTCTGTCCTTACTCATCCAAAACTACTTCAAAGACGTCCAGGATGGCACGAGACGACTCAGAATTTAGTTCGTCTGACGAAGAGATCTTGGAGCATCAAGTGGGCTCGAGGAAGAGGAGAAAGCTGTCACCCAGCGCCGAGGACTCTGATCAATCCTCTGAGGACCGCCAGGCTGCAGCACCAGCTCCAGTGTTGCTATTATCGAACATTTCGAGAATCAAGACAATACCACAAACGGCCCGGAATGGAGTCAAGACTACTACGCCATTGCAATCTTCAGTACCACCCACGAAGGAAAAGTTGAGCTTCGCTTCTATCGATGTAGCACCCTGGCTTGTAGCGTCTCTGGCATCTATGGAGATCAAGAAGCCAACTGGTATCCAGGCCGCATGTATTCCGGAGATCTTGAAGGGAAGGGACTGTATCGGAGGAAGTCGAACTGGTACAGGTAAAACTGTAGCCTTTTCCGTACCTATCATGCAGAAGTGGGCAGAGGATCCTGTGGGCATCTTCGGACTGATCATCACACCGACAAGAGAGTTGGCCATCCAGATTTTCGAACAGGTCAAGGCGATCTCAGCACCTCAATCGATGAAGCCGATCTTGATCACTGGTGGAGCAGATCAACGCGAGCAGGCCATCAACCTAGCTTCAAGGCCGCACATCGTTGTTGCTACTCCAGGGCGTTTGGCTGAACACATCAAGACCTCTGGTGAAGATACCATCTGCGGTCTGCGTCGTGTCAAGTTCGTTGTTTTCGACGAAGCTGACCGATTGCTTACACCAGGAAAGGGCAGCATGCTTCCGGATCTTGAAACCTGTCTGTCCGTCGTACCGCCACCAACACAACGTCAAACACTTCTCTTCACAGCCACAGTAACACCAGAAGTCCTCGCACTAAAAGAGCAACCACGCCCTGGCCGACCCCCGATCTTCGTTTGCGAAGTCGACACAGAAGACCTCGCTATTCCACCCAAGCTGCAGCAGAAGTACATCCAAACGCCTGTCACCCATAAAGAATGTTATTTGCACGTCGCACTGGAGACACCAGAAAACCTCAAGAAGTCCGTCATCATCTTCTGCAACCGCACCAAGACAGCCACATTGCTAGAATACATGCTTCGCCTCCTGGACCACCGCGTAACAGCCTTGCATTCCGGCCTTAAGCAGTCCGACCGTGTCAACAACCTCGCGCGCTTCCGTGCACAAGCCGCACGTATCCTGGTCGCAACCGATGTTGCAGCTCGAGGTCTCGATATTCCGGAGGTTGCGCTCGTTATCAACTACGATGTGCCTCGCGACCCAGATGACTACATTCACCGTGTTGGTCGTACGGCTCGTGCTGGACGTGTGGGTACGAGCATCACACTGATTGGCCAGCGAGACGTTGAGTTGATTCTTGCAATTGAGAAGCGTGTTGGCAAGAAGATGGAGGAATACGAGGAGGAGGGTGTTAGTATTGAAGGCAGAGTTGTGCGCGATGCATTGAAGCCTGTCACAGAGAAGAAGCGCGAGGCCATGTTGCAAATCGAGGAGGGTCGCGACGTTCTGGGTAAGAGGAAGACCGGCATGCAGAAACGCAGGGCGAACTAGACATTCGTGTGCAATTTGGGTAGAGACGGTACATCCTACTGTATAATGGAACTTCTACCAAGCATCACTTCTCAATCACCTCAAAAGCATGTGCCCTCGCTTTACCAGTCTCCTTAACCCTCCACTCCTCAATATACCCCTCCACCTCACCACACCCATTCTCCTTCCCCGGTACCGGCTCGCCCCACGTCCCCCAATACGGCACCACACCCGTCCACGTGTTCTTCACCAGCTCCTTATCCTTCAAGTCCGCTCTGTCTTCACTCGGCCCGCCCTCTCTGATCTTCGCGCTCGCTGACGCAATCTTGACCTTCAAGATCGACGTTGAGTTCAGCTCAGCCTTGGTTGGTGGATTCCTGCTCTTCGCCCAGCGATCCGGGAGCAAATTATCAGTGATGAGCTCCATCGCATACAGAGCTTCAGCTTCGTCGGTCACAAGGGTGGCGTATCCATATGCGATCGCTGAGCGGTAGTTGCAGGAGTTGTGGAAGGGCGCTAGCGCAAGTACCAGTCCGTCAAGAAATGTCGCTACGACTGTGATTGGCAATCCTTCATCATTGCTCTCTTTACCGTGCTTGAAAATGCGACCGGAAACGTAGCCGTGAATGTACAGATCTTGCTCTGTGGTGTTTGGGTCCGCATCGCGGCTTGAGAAGTTTCCGGTGCAGCCTAGCATGGGTAGGACGACCGGGAATGGGTGCTTTGAATCATTGAAGGAGACGTGGAGAACGGGACATGTATTGATGAGAGTGTGGATTGTTGCGTAGTCGTATACACCTAACAAACCATCAGCAAAAGTTCCGTGAAGTAGTAAAGCTGGGCAACAGTACCTCGATTTGCTAATCGACCGAACTTGTTGACTGCCGTTTTGGGATACCTTGGTGACGCCATTGCCGTATTTTCCTTCTTTTCTGATGTCTTCAAACTGAATGTCAGTCTTGAACCCGCATACGATGTCTACAATACCAGGTCTACCAACTGCCACTTATACCTGCTGTCATAACCTAGAATCTTATCATGACTCTTTGGTATGTGGACCACACCTTTGAAATCATGGCAATACTTTGCGAGGACGTTTCTATCCTCTGCTCGTCGAAGGTAGCGTCATCGGTACCACTTGCGGCCTCAAGGTGCGGAGGTGGTAATCGCGGGGCGCTGATTGGTTGCATGAAGCTGTTTAGGGTTCACGACAAGCGTATGGAGCGTTTAAGATGAGACGATGGTCGATGTTTGTGCGGAATATCGCCGGGTATTCACGGATGATTGCGTGTGAGAGAAGGTGTCTTCATCGATGTGACACTTATTGCTATCTGGACGCTTGAACGCTTCAATGACTATGTAAACGGAAACGACCTCGACTCTAGTACTCCGCCTTCGCGACCCGGGGCCTAAACCGCGTATTGAAATTCTTCTGCGTAACAAACCACGCATTATGCGTCTTCCACTCGGCACCCGGGTACTCAAGCTCAACCTCGAACCTCCTCAAAAAGCTAGGAACTAGTTTGTAGATCTCGAGTAGACTGATGTTCTTCCCGATACAGGTCCTGGCTCCCGCACCAAATTGCAGCATACTCCCCTTCATCTCCTTCAGCTTCTCCGGGCTCGCATCGAGCCACCGCTCAGGCCTGAACGTATCGACGTCGGATCCAAAAACCTCAGGGCGCCGGTGGATCACCCAGGCATTGCAGCCAACGATGGTCCCACCGGGGACAAATGTGTCGAGGATCTGCATGCCCTGCTTTGGAACGACGCGTTCGAGGATAAGGCCAGGGGCGGGGTGGAGGCGGAAGGATTCTTGGATGACGGCGTCGAGGTAGGGCAGTTTTTGGGCTTCGGGCCAGGACACGGTTTTATCGGCGCGCTCCTCGATGATACCGGACGCTGCGGCGTCATCGAGTTCACACATCAGTTTAGCGTATACTTGCGGGTGCTTGACGAGGAAATAGAAGACGGCGGACAGCGAGATGGCGGTCGTTTCCGAGCCGGCGAAGACCATTGATGTGCATGTTGAGAGGATGCGGCTGTCGTCCATGAACGGGTGGTCGTGGGAAGCTTGAGCAAATTTAGAGAGCAGGTCGATGCCGCGGGGGTTGGCGCGCTCGTCGTCTGAGAGGCCGAATTTCTTGATTTTGGAGACTTGTTGCGCGCGCTCGTTGGAGCGAGAGAGGGCGAAGAGAGTCACGGGGTGCACGCGCTTGTCAAGACCGATGCGTTGGGCGAATAGACTGATGGGGTTCTTCCAGAGGATGCGGTCGAGGCTGGGCATTTGACCGACCTGAACGAATGTGAGTATGAGCATTGATGCTGTAGAGAGTCGGGTATTCTTACGGGCGCGACGTAATCGAAGAACTTGCCCAAGAACTCGATGATGTTGTCGACGTCCTTGTTGCCCTCCACAAAGCCGAGGCGTTTGCTCCAGGTCAAGTCTCCAATAACATCGAAAGCGAAGAACTGCAGCCATTGACTGAAGTTGCAGCTCCTACCAGTGTTGGCGAACATTGCTTCCGTCTTGTCGAGCCAGTAGGTGAGCGTGGAGTTGACCAGCGGCTCGTAGTTGACCAGTGAGCTCATAGCGAAAGCGTTGTTCACACAACGACGGTACTTGGCGTGGAAGTCTTCATCGGTGGTTGAGAACAAGGAGAGCAGAGGCTTGCCGTTCGCTACAGCACCCTGGACTGGGTAGAAGTCCGACTACGCAAGATCAGCGTCCATATAAACAGGGAATCGTCAACGAATGTACCTTGTACACACCCTTGTTCAGCCCATAGATAGCTTTGATTGCTCTTGGATTTGCGAAGGAGAGAACATTCGGTCCCAGCCTCACAACATCGCCATGTTCGCGATGTAAGGCGAGTGTCGTCCAGTGATGGTTCTTCTTCGACACGTCTCTTAGTCTCCACCAGTTGCTGTATCCTGCTAATGTTGGGCCAGGGTATTTATTCAGTCCTTTCCAATACTTGTTGCTGACAAGGTGGCCTGCGACGAGGGAGACGAGCACAATGGGCCAGTACCGTACGAGAAGCGGTAGTATTTCGTTGAGGAGCATCGTGTGTAGTTGTCTCGGCTCGACAGTCAAGGGAAGCTGAAAGTCAGGTTTTACGGGAGATACACTGCTTTCGGATCAAGTTGGGGCAAGGGATGATGTTATTTGAGGCCACCGATCAGGCGAGATCTGATATCCAGTGTTATACCTGCTTCGGACTACATTCGGCAATGTGTTGGGCTACGTAAGGCTGAAGTGTGTCGGCAGTTGTGAAATGAACCTGAAGTTATTCGTTCGATGATGCTATGGAGCCGTGGCTGCCCCTTGCGGGCTTGGAACGTGGGGATGGCTCCGGGGCGCGGGGTAATTGGGTGAATCTCAACAGCTTGAAAGTTCATTCTACATTCTTATCGTGGCTTCAAATTGCGCAGTCTTAAGAACATGTTGCCTCCTCTTGTCCTTTCATGCTGCATCTTTGGGGCTTTTGCGACAATCGACGTACAGTGCACACATTGTAGGCATACTTATCACCTCCACACCCCGATGTATGAGGCCGCAACAATACCTCCGTATCTTCCGTGTTGCTTCTATTATGAACTGCCGACGATGTTGGTTTCGGTAGTGAAGTCTTGTGTCACGAAAGTGAGCCATCGGCAGTTGTGACTTGCTCGGCAGATGCGTTGTTGTCTTTCAGGCTGCTGATTAAGATCCGGATTACCCGAGACGGTTACTGATCATGTGACCTTGTCCGAGGCTATCATCGGTACATCAAAGAAGTCAGTGTAGGTTCTTTACAAAAAGCGTTGGTGGGCATTCTTGTTTTCGAGTATATGCTTAAGTCTACAGTCATGTCGTTCCATGTATCACTTCAATCGAGTGCTGCAGCGCGATCAAGACAATCAGTGAGCCATTGAATCCTTGCATAAAGCATACGTGGTACAGCAAGGCGTGGCGTATGTGGGCGACGAAAGCAGTCCTTACACTCCCAGATACCGTAGAGACATCTCGAGCACGACAAGTGCAGATGGGGCGACCATCGATAAGCGCAATACTCGAGAATCTTTTCAGTGCATTAGTACACTACAGGGACAAACATACAACGCGAAAGGCTTTCAATGTCAAACCTGGAATGTCACCCATATAGCTCGAAGTCTTCGAGCAAGGACGTTGGGTCTGCTCGCCCAAGGCAAAAGCAATGTTATTTGTAGTCCTGTGTTTTGAATCAGCGCTATAGGATTGCGTATGCATAGTGCTGAGTTATGCAGTCGGTCCTTGATACTGTTGAAGTGGGGTCCAGTGTTGTCGACATTCTCCTTTCAATATTGTCTTTGTGTCTGTTGCATGCTTCCGTCATGCTTCGTTGGCTGGTAGAGTGACCCAAGAGAGATATCACAGACGTGTGCTATGAACAGCAGCACAGCCCGCAAGCGACGCGGCATCGGTCGATGCACAGCGAAGGATCAAGAGGATTCGGACGGTTGTTGCATGCGATACCATGATCCTTGGTGCAGGTGGGTGTCAAACAGTGGCATGTTTTGCGAAGCGCCGACGTCGAACATTGATGGAGTGTATCGCTGAGCACCGTACGGCAGCAACCTGGTCCATGGAAACATGGCACAGTAATGCTTGCTTGATGTTGTCGACCTCTGCAAGCCCCATCAACAGCTCTGTGCCTGTGTCTGCCGTCGCCAAGTATAGGGAGGTTCGCAGAAGGTGACCGAACAATTTCATCTCCCGAGCTCCCCGATCGCTTAGCTTTCACACCTTCATCTGAATCATCGTTCGAAGCGAGTGCCTCATGCGAGTGATTGCAAATATCGATCCCAAGGTTGTGGGCTTCCGTCATCCCCGGACGCCCAGCCCTGCCATTCAAGGATCCATATGGCGGCAGTATTGACACACCACCATCTCTTTTGGGGTGGCCAGACCAGATCTTAGCCCTCAGTCTCGGAGTAGTCTTACCACAACCACACTCACCCGGACTTGGACCCCTGGCCCCGCTGATTCTCAACAACTTCCCGATTCTGTTTGAGATGCATCCATATTACTGAATGGTGACGACTGCTGCTAGGACATTCGTTGAAGACTGGTGAATGAGAGACGGCGGGGAGCATTAATGTGTCTGCCGTCCACACGAACTGAAACATATACGGATGAGTATGGCTCCGTGTCTGTGAACGGTGTGTTCTGCATGTGAGCAGGTACTCCCTTCACACACGTGCCGTTCCGCGGGTCGAGAACGAGCAATGAGGCTTGCAGCAGCTTGCGCGACTTTCGCGAGCGAACCGTCTCCACACTGTGTAACCTCTGTAGAGACGCCTTGCAGCCACACAGTGTTGTCGAGCGTGCATGTGAAGAAATGTGCCTGTCCTTGCTTGCTGCAAGTGTTGAACGTAGATGTTGTCGACAGTGGATGAATTTTAGAGCAGGTGCAGCGATAGGAAAGGTGACAGGTTCATCCTTGCACGAGCGGACAGTGCGAATCGTGGACAAAGGAAACGAAGCGTGCATGACTGCGCTGGAAAATCCTGAAGGTCGGTCGACGGGATAACTCATCCTCTAAGACGTGCTGACGGCTGGGTGAGTCACCAAGCTCCACGTCGGTGTGCATGCCGCATGCGCTTACAACAACGCGCCGGCAGCTTTTGAAACGGCGCAGAAGAATCTGCAGAAGCGGGCAGATACTGGCGATAGCGATGCGGTCGCGCAAGGCCAGACGTCACTTCAAAGATCTGGGAGTGAGGATGAAGCCTGCAACGAGAGTCGAAGATGTGGAGACAGGCGACGCCGCTTGAAGCCGGCTCTAGCGCGAGTCCTGACCCCTGTCAAGCTGAGGACATCTCGAAGCAGCAAAGAGCAACTCCAAATTCATGCTCTCCATGCACAACCCCTTCGCAACAGTGCGCTCATCAGAGTGCCAGCGAAGCAGCATCGTCAGTCCGCCACAACCGGCCCGGTAGTGTTGCGTGCTGCCCCGCAATACTCATTTACTGTGAGGCGCAGACGCTGCAGATCCAGCGTGCAGGTCTTTGCAGCTCTTTGCAGGTTTTGAAACATGGCAGATGTATAATGCTATCGATAAGAAGGAAACAACCATGCAGACGGGTCTTTCGACAGGTCCATCTGGGGTTGCTAGCACTTGCGTAATCGCCTCGGAGTGCTTCCGTTGGAGAGAGTCTGTGAGGGTCTGTTCCAATGGCAGACCAAAGCTGAGGACAGCAAACGTCTCCTGAAACAGATTCTCACTTTGGCATGCTCTACTGCAGGGGCATTTCATCATGCCCGTTTATGATCAGCAGTAACATTGGCCGGGTGGTACTGGAAGGACAATACCGAAGCCTTGAAGTCGGCGCGTCCGAGATCTGCCCTCCGCTGCCAGCACAGCCTCCTCGGCTATTCATTCAGGTGGCGCATGACCGCCAGGCTCCTCCGCGTGAGCAGCATCCCACTATTATGCGGGTTGAAGTTGCTCGAGCAGGTTGCTGTTGCACAAGACTTGTTGCGTCAGTACGCGCTCAGAGGTACTCGACGATGGCCACCTGAGGTATTTCGGAGCGTTGCGATCACATGAGAAGCGGCTTTGTTAGAGCATTTCGGAGCGGATATGATCCCTGCTCTGATCCCTGCTTTGATCCCTGATTGGGCTGAACTGCTTGCGCCCATCGCTAGCTCCAAGTACTGTCGTCCTGTAGGTGAGCCAAGCACTGCTCAACGACACCCACCTTCGTCAAACCCTTAGAGACACCACGAGCAGCCGGTCTGTCTGCAGTCGTCGTCCCTTGATCTGGTCGTGCCCAAAGGGGCAGCAAAGCCGCTGCAGTGCGCGCTCCCTCTGGACGCTGAGGGCAAGCTTCTGGAATCCGCGCCATGTCGCCAGACGCCGATGCTCGAGGCCCAGCAGTAAGCGCAGTACAGGCACCCTCCTCGCGCAAATCGCGTGTAGAGGCGCCTGCCTGATGCCGGCGGTGGGCTGCCGGTGGGCTCCTGCTGGGCTCTGCGGGCATCAAGCAGGTTCTCGAGGGCGTTTCGAATGCACAGGCACAGCGAGCGTCTGCTCAGCTGTCATGGTCAGGACCACGCATAACTGCATCATCGCTCAATTATTATGCTTTTCGCTATCTCACAAAAGTAAAGTAATGGAGCGATCGAGCACCGTTTCGGTCGTCATCTCCGCCTGCATGGCCTAGAGGGGCATTTCGCGTACAGAAGACTCGCCTGGTGAGCCATGAGGGCATCGAAATCTCCCGTACGCAGGCATCCGCCTATCCACGCATGCGCAACGCGGTGCCTCCGTTCAGGTCAGCTTAGATCCGACTAAACCTGCAGCTGCAGGCTCTCGCCGTATGCACGTTAAGCAAGCTAGATGCGCAGTGCAGCAAAACGGGGCAGTGTGCATGCACCTCTGCCGGGATGCTGTGGCCACGCCGGGCGGCCCATGGATCGACGCTTGTAAGCTCTTAAGAAAGATCCCACCCTCACCGCTAGCCTTCCCTACCCTCCACCTCCCATTTCGCCTTCCCCTCTCCTCATTCGCCCGCCCTCTTGTCTCCTCCTCCTTCACGGCGAGCCTTGAAAAAACTATATCCGCCTGAGACAACGGTTTTTTTTTCATTTTTTTTACTTTCGTTTGTTCCCTTCGTTTTGTTGATTCTTTCGTCCCATCTAATATCGCCCGTCTCGCACCACAACGCACCGACCATCACCATGCCGATCCAGCTACTACCCGCCTCGGCTGCTGCTTTTGCGCCCCGGTCAACTGTCAACGTTGTCTTGAACTCGAAGGCCGAGCCATGGTTAACACAGACCCTGAAGCGCATCAACCGAGTAAAGCGCCCATTGAACAGCGTGCAGCAACACACACGATGCCTCACAGAAATCCTGTCCGGAAAGAACGCCATCTGGTCACTGAGCTCCATCATGGTCCCTAAGGCCCCGGACTCGGAACTGCGCAGGGACTCCAACCCGCTGGTCGAAGCGCTGTTCAACTACCAGCTCATCCACATCGAGGCTTATGTCGTACACGTCGACATGGTGTCACAACATGAGGTTGCATTCAAGCTTACACAGGAGACCATTGATGCGCTTATCGAGTACCACAAGGACATCTACTCGGTCGATGTTGCTGCCAGCACCTGGGACTGGGCCGAGAAGGAGCAGCAGGTCAAGAAGCTCCAGGACGGATTCGTGCAGGCCGTCAATCGCTACGTCTTCCGCACTGGCGCACGAGCGCTCGAGGGTATGGAGGAGGAAGGCGCCGGAGAACTACTTGAGGGCCGAGGTGAGGACGTCAAGGCTGCCATTATGGGCTTGTTCCTGCCGCTCCTACCTCCTCCTCCCAGGATCGTTGACGTGGTTCGTCCTGCTCCTCTGCTTCCCAGCACACCCGGTGCCGCCAACTGGTGGCAGCCGACACAGTACCTGTCGCCGCCCCAGATGGACTCGTGGAGAGTCCTCCCCTCGACACCCAGCCCGACCATCACCACCTGCAGTGAGCACTCACCCACTTACTGGACCACCATGGGGACCCAGAGTATGGAGCCCTTCCAGCTGCCGTCGCCCACACCGTCGTTTAGCCAGCCATGCTACAACTCGACGAGTGCGTACTACAGTCCGCCTCAGGCAGTCGCACCGATACCCTGCCTTCCTCTGCCGAGCGTGCTAGCCCAGCAATGCGGGTCAAGCGCAGCGCACAGTGGATTCGGAGGGTTTGGGTGGGACACAGGGTTCGCAACACAGTACGCAGCGTTCACATAAGCAGAACACGTCAGTCTGTGATACCCTGTCCCTCGGTCGATGCCTGGAAGCGCGGACCTGGCCAGTCCTCTGAGCGCACCAACTCCTTCGACACCCCCGGTTCGAGACATCAGCGAGATTCACCACATGTTGTCACTGCACAACATCCAAGGCATGGGACGGCGTTGCATCAACATTAGCGAGCGTTTGCTTTTATTTTCTCTCCTCTCTTCCCGTACATCTCTCTTGATACCTGTTTGATTTTTAGCGAGCGTTCTTTTGTCGTCATCTACGCCTCCCCAGTCGGACGGCTTCTTTCTTTGTTGCATCTCTGGGAGGTCTGTATTTGCTTTGCATTATCACGGAAGACACGGATACAGACAGCCTCACGGCTTCCTCGAGTCGGGCACTCGAGCTCTCTTCTTCGGGTTGTTTTTGTTTAATGTCGTCATGACCGGAACGTTCTGGGTGCGAGTTCTTCATTGAGTCTGGCAAGACCAGCCTTATGAGTCCACGCATCATGTTTACGTTCCTACCCGCTCGGTCTGGTATACATTACCAGCTGGAAGGCGCTGAGATGAGGGTGTCGACATGAAAAGTTATACACGCATCTTGACGATGCCACTGTAATAGCTCGTCTCCGCTGCGACGGCATCGAGGTTGATGGAAGAAGCACCGTGCAGGGTCGTGACAAGAGCACGCCAGTCGTGGTCTTGGCTGAAGAGTGGTCCTCTGCTTGCGGAGCAAACACACTATCGCCTTGCGCGCTACTGCTTTGGCCGACTCGAGATGTCAGAACAGCAGAGACACCAAGCCCCGGGCCCAGGCGGTCCTGGCCACTCCACGGGTGGAGTGTACAATACCACAAACACAGAAGCTAGCTTCTATACATTAAGCAGTCTAAATCTAATTGAAAAAAGACTACCGCCTTGAAACAAATAAAAAGAAATGACACTTGGTTCTTTGCATCTCCGTGAAAATGCGTGACTGTGGTTGTGATTGTGGTTGTGGTAGTGGTAGTGGTAGTGGTAGTGGTTGTGGTTGTGATTGTGGTTGTGATTGTGGTTGTGATTGTGATTGTGATCGTGGATGCAAATTCGACCCCACGGCGTTCGCCGCCGAGCACATTGACCAGAGCGCTGGGCTGTTGAATCTGGGGAAGCACGAGCGGGGCTGCGCCGCAAAAATAGACGTCTTGCATCTGCTCACCCGAAGGGACGCAAGCACGCGAGCAAGAGGGAACGATGATGATGAGCATGGACGACCAGGCTGCGGGACTGTCGTGTGCCTTTGTTTCGCCGACTGTCCCAAGGTTCGGGCCTTGAGGTTCGAAACGCTGCCGCAGCACAAGCTTGCGACATGTGCTTGCCTCCTCCCAGCACTCCAGCACTCCAGCACTCCAGCGCTCCAGCACGCTTACCACACACGCCAGCGCGCCTCGTGCCTTCCACCACACCCATGACGCTTGCCTGGCTCCAGTGAAGATCTGCCGACCTCGGAGAGGAAGCGCAACGAGGACGATGCCGCCTGCGAACAGTCCGGTGAGGCACCCATCGCCCGGCGGCTCTAGCCCTCTGTCCGGGGACTGACGTAGCGCTGCACAGAACCGCGAGCCCACGCCGTCCAGCTTCGTATCGGCGCTGCGTGGCCTCGAGAGCGCCGTGGACGAAGACGTGCTCAATCTCGCTGCCACGCTGACGACGCAGAGCGACGACGGCAGCCCAATGAACGAAGCGCGCGCCGGCCTGCGCTACCTGCGGACCGCGCAAGAGCACGACCAGCAGCGGCTTGAGCAGTCGCGCGAGAGACTGCGCCAGCTCGAGAGGACGCGCGACGACCTGGACCAGCGCGACCGCCTGCGACGCAGCATGGACCGCCTCGACCGCCTGCATGAGGCGTCGGCCGCCTCGCCGTTCAATCCCACCGCGTCGACGTCACAGTACGGCGAGCGCGTGCCGTCGCAGAACAGCCTCTACGACTGGTCCCCGCTGCCGAACGCTGAGCGGGACGACGATGACGAGCGCAGTCTGAGGGCGCTGCAGTCGCGGCTGCACATGGCCTCGAACCCCGCGACGGGCGCCGCCGCTGCAGACTCGCTGCGCTCAACCGCTATACTGCAGGCGGTGCGACGACACCCACGCTTCTCTGCCCGCACAAGAGAGTACCTGCAGCGCCACAACCACGACCGCGACCGCGACCGCGACCGCGAGACGATGCGAGACGCCGCACGAGAAGGCGCCCAGCAAGCTGCCCGAGACGCTGCCCGAGACGCTGCCCGAGACACTGCCAGCCTGCGTCGAAGCCCCCAGGACCCTTGGGCCGGCGCCCGCGAGCGCTACCAGGCCAGTCGCAACGCGCACTCGCAGTCACTGCCCCAGCCGCCGGCCGTTGCGCCCATGCTCGAGCACACAGTCAAGTACCTCGCGCGCATACGGCACGCCAGCACCGTCGACGAGATCCTCAACTGCGCCCTCGAGGCCGGCTTCCTCAGCAAAGACTACTTCTGCATACAGTACGCCGACTTCCTCACCAACACCTCCAGCATACCCCCGCCCCAAGACACCTCCTGGCTCGCTCCCGGCGCCGTCCTGTCAGGCTGTCAGCACGCCACCACCTCCACATCCGCACCAAACCTCGCCACAAGCCAACTACCGCCCCCGCCTCGACCCTGGCTCAGCACCACCTACTCGACGCCCCGAAGCCGAAGCCCAAGCCGAAGCCGAAGCCGAAGCTCCTTCCTCTCACCCAGCGCGCCAGCACAGATCGATCCCCCGCAGCCCCCGCCCCACCAGGACCGCTGGCCCGTCAAAGTCACCATCCACGCCGTAGACTGGTCGGAGATGTCCCTCTCGGCCACGATGGAAGCCTACAACGTGCCCTCGCACCCGCACCAGCACTCTCTCAACGCCCCCAGCCCAGCACAGTACACACGCACAAGCAGCATAACCACGTACCTCGAAGGCGAGATCCTGGATTTCCATACGCATACGCTACTGACGGAGAGTTTCAAGAGCAGCGCGGCGAACGACGCGCTGTACTGGAGGAAGTTGCCGCCGTTCAGGGATATGGAGGACGAGGACGTGGTGAGGGCGTTGACGAGTAGGCGGTGGTGGGAAGGTCTAAATAGGGAGTGGGTGCTCATGCGCTGGAAGGAGAGGTGTTTTGTCAAATCCCTGCGCCCGAGCAGCAAACTCTCGAGCCAGTCCCCGACACCTGGGCCTCCCAGCGACGGCTTCTTCGCTGCCACCACTACCACCGACACCGTCGACGCTGAGAGAGAATACTACGTCTACGACTCGCACACCTTTGCACGGCACTCCGTCCCCCCACCATCCTCCTCGCCCCTAGAGCATGAACCAGGCCCGCAGTTCGTCGATGCCGAGCACGCCGCGTTCGATGATAGCGGGTGCGGTCTTACGATATCGGGCTTCTACTATGTTTGTCTCAGGAGGAGTGATGGGCGGGTCGAGGGGTTGTATTATGATCCTATGAGTAGCCCGTATCAGTGCTTGAAGCTGGAGAGTGAGGGGAGGGGGAGGTTTGGGAGGTGGGAGTTTGCTTAGGATATGTGCTGTTCGGGTCAAGGCTTGGAGTTGGACGTGCAAGGGGTGAGGAGGGGGATATGCATGGACGGCGTTTTAGATTTGGGGTTGAGTGGGCGTTTGGGTTTGGATAACACAGCCCGCTGTGGCTTGGATTTTACCGTTGTTCACTCACGACTATGGGATCACATCACGTATGTTGCATAGACGCAACATCCCTACCACACTCTCTCACACGCTACCACGCACTACACGCGCCGCTCAAAGACCGCCACACCAAGCTGCCTTTCCCTTCCTAAATCTATCGCACCGCAATATGTCGTGTAGGCGATCCTCTCCTTTTCCGGAAAGTGTTGCCCCGTATTCATGCCAGTGATGTTGAGGAGCGTTGGAAGTTATGGACTCACCATTCCCTGCGGATCGACACCTTGTCCAGCGTGCAGGTTCCCGGGCTTGGGAGGCCATTCTTCGTAAGGTGGAATCCGGGCTTGACCATGCCTTCGGCAGCCAGAAGATCGTTCTCCATGCGCCTCGGCGAGTGACAGGCCTTACCGCTGTTCTCGAAGAGGGTTCTGATCAAGCAACATCTGGCACTCTGTGCCTTCAGACCTCGTGTAGGATACAGGTGGCTTGAATCATGGTGATCGATTGCGCTCAGCTGCGAGGGTCAGTGATTGGAAGCTTGGGCTGCGCCGTACGCATTCGCGTGGCATGAATTGTGGCTGCCCCATTCGTCGGGTTTCACAATGGCCATGGCAGTGAGAGGAGAGATGCAAATCGCCGTGAGATCCCACTCCGGACCGTCGAACCGTCACACTGGAAGCATTGTAGCCCCAGGAACTGCTGTGCCGCAGAGAAGAGAGGTGCGCGGAGCTCGATCTCATAGTTGGGGTCAAATGCAGTCGGACTTTTTAAGATCTACCTTTCGTCGCTCTCATCGCTCCGACACTCACCAACATGTCAGCCCCTGCTCCTAAGGATATCTCAGTTCTTAGCCCAGAAGCTATTGCCTATACCAATGGTCCGGTACTTCTTGCACGAACCGGCCCAATTTATGCAGTGGCACTGTTGACAGTGCTACTTCGAAGCTACTCTCGATGGTTCATCGTCAAGTCCTTTGGCAAGGACCACTCGACCATGATGGTAAGAGATATCGTAAAGTAAGCCAGAAATCGCTTGCAAACACTTGGAGAGCAGGCCTTTGCCACTGTATGCTTCGCATCCTACGCATACCAAGTATCACTAGGCGTTGGCAAGTACGTTCCTGTGGTACAGGTCGACGAGGAGAAATATCGACAGATCCCCAAGGCTCGATAGATGCACATGATCGCGGTGGTGATGGGAAATTCATTGGCAAAGATCTCGTTAGCTTTCTTCTTGCTGCGTCTCACGATCAGGAGACTGTATTCGTGCTTCCTTTGGCGTGTCGTTATCTTCTTGGCCGCCTTCACGATTGCCTGCACTCGCGATAAGTCATGTTTGTTTCGAAAGCTCTAGATACGGTACTGATGGCGTCCCAGGCTTTCCAATGTATACCAGTACAGGCTGCATGGCACATCCGACTATAACCTCCTCCATTCGGAAGTGGCGCTGCAAAGTGCTTCAGCGGCGAAACGTTCGGTCAGATAGGGCTCTTCAATGGCAGTACGTATCATTCAGAGACGCTATTATTGTAGTCACTGACATGTGCAGATGTAAATATCCTATCCGAGTGAGACCGAGGGGTTCGACATGGCGCCGTACAAGGCAGAGCATTCGGTAAGAATCAGTGCTCACCCCAAGGGAGTTGCGAGTAAGGATTCGTAGGATAATAAGAGGGCAAGCAGCAGTGAGGACAGCATTTTGCCCAGGTCTGAGTGTGCGGGCAAGGGTGGGATCATGGTCACGCCGCGCGTTGAAGTAAACAAGGATTAAAAGTTTTTCATTTGTACTGTAGCATAGAACGGAAAGATGACAAGTTGATTATCCTCATGTATCTACCTCCGAGACTTCAGAGACAAACAGCAAACACTGGTAAATTGCAGCCAACAGAGGGGATCTTTCAAGCTCAGAATGCGCGTCACCTGATTCGGAGCCAGGGTAGTGTGGAAAGCCATTATCTGCCTATACATGTCTCCTGTCATCACCATCGTCCTCCAGACCCTTCCTCTGATAGTCTCTCCTTTGAAATCCCAGTTGACTGGACACAGATACATGCCACGAAATTCGCCGCAAGATCAACGCACACCTCGAAAGACCCGGTGCCACCCAAGCCCAAGTCCTCCGCAACATCGCCGCCTTGTACCACCTGGCGCCCCCGCAAGATCCAATCTGCGCAACTGTCCGCCTTCCGTTCCAAGAAAGGCGCGTATGTATACTTTTGGAAAATGAGGATTGCGGTGAAGAAGCCGAAGAGCAAGAAGAGGGAGGAGATGGAAGATATTCATTGTATCCGTGGCGGTATGGGAACGAAGCATAGACACCAGATGTTTCTGGTTTGGGCGGAGAAGAATCCTTATGTCGATGCGTATGGAAGGGTTTTTGTGGACTGAGCGATTTGACCAGGCTAGTGTTGATGTGGCCGTGACGTTTGGGTGGTCTCTGTTCATTGTGCGTGGCTGGCTGGCTGCCTCTCTGTCATTGGTGGCTGTCTGATCATTTCATCCATACTACGTCCGACCTTGTAGGGGACGAAGATACTTGCTGGTATTTCTTGTAGTTGTTTTGTTGTATATACTAGTGCTGCTTGTTTGGTGTCCCTTCAAGCGCTGAATCATGTGTTGTTACGCCTCGAACGCCAGTGCTTCCAGTCCAGTTCATCTCGATGTATTATAATGTTGCTGCTGCCTCGATCGCTCCTGCTGCCTTAAACGCTGTCTTGTTTGTGATGACGACCTCGACAGGGTACTTCCATTCCATAAACTTTGCCCAGCCTGAATTGGATCAGCCACTGTTCATTTCATGTCTGTTTGTGCATGACGTACCGTAGTATGCGAACTTCCGCCCAAAGTATTTCCCGATGTAAGGTACCATGATCATTGTCAACAGCAGCTCCATTTGCTGCAGCGACTCCCTCCACTCTCTTTCTGCGTCCGACACATATTCGTCTTCATCGACCGAGGAGCTCGTGGAAGAGGATGGGAGGGAGTCAATGTCGGCCTCGGAGGAGCTCACATGCGGCTCGATGAAGCTGTGGTTGCTCAGGGACATAGTGGCGGTGGTGTATATCAGATCGAATGAGGAGGTATGGGGTCGGCGACGGTAGCGAGCTACCGTAACTGCATGGATGAAGCTGAGGTCTGTTTGTATGTAGTGATGCTGCGGGTATATCCCGGCGCGCGTGTGGTGATGTGAAGCTGCGCGGAAGGAGCCAATGAGCAAAGGTGGGGCTTAGCGTGTTGTGGCTGAGATATCTTGGCAAGAGTCACAGCATTGCGGCAAAAAGAACACTCAAGGTCAAGCTCCGTCTCCACGACTCCACACCCACTTCTCGAACCTCTCACTACCGAGTCCCGACAACAGACTGCCCAAGAGCACGTCTTGACATTTTACAGAAACAAAAACGAGCACAACCGCAACCATGGCTGACACTGTACGTCATCTGAAGCCCCGCGTCCGCGTTCGAAATGCATTGTTCCCTCGACAAACATCACCACGACCGCAAAACTCCCCTACCTACTCGCCGCCAGCCGAACTACTACAGACACATCTCTGACATGACCGAACAGGAAGCCGCCGAGCGCAAGCCCCGCAAGTCCGTCGCATTCTCCGAGGGCACCACAATCGTCGACAGCGATGGCCAGGTCACCGAGTCGAAAGAGACCAACGGCGGTAAGCCTTCCGCCGAGAGCCATAGCACCGGTTCCCCTGCGCTTGCAGGTAGTGCCCCTGGCAGACAAACATACATCGAACGTTGAGCTGACATGTGAAGTAACAGGCGACGACAAGGACGTCGAGGAAGTCACCGAGATGTTCGCCGACCTAGCCAAGAAGGTGCGAACGCCTTCCTACCAACCGGGCATGGACCACCGCTGACAAACAACAGAAGAAGAAGAAGTCGAGCAAGAAGAAGGAGGGCGAGGAGGGCGAGGACGCTGCCGAGGGCGACTTCGCTGCGCTCAAGAAGAAGAAGAAGTCCAGCAAGAAGAAGGTTGAGGACGACTTCGAGGCCAAGCTCGCTGCCGCCGGTGGCGACGCTGCTGAGGAGGAGGCACCCGCTGCCGAAGAGGAGGAGGTCCAGGAGGGCGATATGATGAAGGGTACGGGCATCTGGTCGCATGAGAACACAACACCCATCAAGTACGACATGCTCCTGAACCGATTTTTCACCCTCCTCCACTCGCAACATCCCGATCTCGCCGGCAACAGCGTCAAGAGCTACAAGATCCCGCCGCCGCAGTGTCTCCGTGAAGGAAACAAGAAGACCATCTTCGCCAACATCGCCGAGATTTGCAAGAGGATGAAGCGTACCGACGAGCACGTTACTCAGTTCTTGTTCGCCGAATTGGGTACCAGCGGTTCCGTGGACGGTTCCCGCCGTCTGGTCATCAAGGGTCGTTTCCAGCAGAAGCAGATTGAGAACGTTCTCAGGCGGTACATTGTCGAATACGTCTCCTGCAAGACCTGCCGTTCCCCAGACACAGAGTACGTCGATCGCAGTTCTCTTTGTTACGTGTAAGCTAACATTCTTGTAGTCTCTCCAAGGGCGAGAACCGTCTCAGCTTTGTGACTTGCAACAGCTGCGGATCCAGGCGTTCGGTACAGGCCATCAAGACCGGTTTCTCCGCGCAGATCGGAAAGAGAAGGAGGATGATCAAGACCTGATGAGTTCACGTTTGCGCTTTACGAGTATCGAGATGCATTTGCTTGGCTGGGTTGGCGGGCGCTACGGATGTCATGGCGGTTCGCTCGTTCGGATAACGACATGGCAATGGGGTGGTATACGAACGGCCTGGTGTATAAGACTACATAGGAGCGGCTCATGTGTATTCGCATCACGACACAATCAAAAGTTCACCTGTTCGGTGTTTCTCATCCATGACTCGGATCAGACAGAGACCAAAACCTCATAGAGCATACAAAGACAACAGATATCCTTTCGGATCTTCCAAGCATCCTGAGAGGATCGAACCAAGCAAACTATACTATCTGTAGGCGCCAGCAAATCACATCCAGACTTCTAGTGCAGGAGGCGAGTGGGCGCTTGCATGTGGGACGCCAACGCTGACATGGACCCTGATCCCAGCCTTGAACTCCTGAAGCTTCCAAAGCTTCCTAAACAAAAACTTCCACCACGATGCGGCCTCCTCGAAATGACCTTTGTATTCTAATGGCTTAAAATAGCAACCAGACATCTGCGATCAGCATCATCATTTCGTGCAACCCTAGTAAGCTGCAGCGAGGTCAAGGGAACAATGGGGGGCCATCCCATTCGGCGGCTGCATACCCCGCTAGCCAACAGCTATGGATGATTGAGGCTGAGCTTGACACGAACAGGTAACGAGGGGCGCGGCGCGCGGTTATATGTGCTGACCATGCGCCTGCCTTCTGTTCATTTTGGATTTCCCGCTTTCCTTTCCTCTCAGGTTTCTCCAGTACCTTTACGTGGATTGTACACGCGCTGGCCGCCCTAATACACAGCAGCTATAAGCCGGGTCAAGCTTCAGTAAGACACAATGTCAGGATTCGGAGGAAACCCACCACCGGGTGGTGATTTCTATCCTCGTGAGCTCCATGTATAGTCTTTGTGTCGACATAAGCTGACTGGCTGCAGCACCACCAGAGAAAGGCGGTTATGGTACGCCATCTTCACATTGACAGCCGCCAAACATCACACTGATACACGACAGACCAGCAACACGGTCAACAGCAGTACTTTGCGCCTCCGCCAGGCGGTCAATCGTACCCACCACCTCCCTCGTCTCCCCCTGCGCAACAACAGCAACAGCAACCACAACACTACCCTCCACCGCCAGGTGGACAGCAGCAACACTATGCGCCGTCTCCCGACCACTCGCAGCAGCAGCAACAGCAACACTTCCCACCGCCTGGTAGCGCACCTCCTCAGCACCAACCGCAACAGCAGCAGCAGCAGCAGCAGCCTCCGCAGCAGCTCTTCCCCGAAAAAGGGCCCTTGAGCACCTATGGCACACCGGCACCCACCCAGAGCCCTCTCCAGCATCCAGGTATGCTCCCGCAGCAGATTAGCCAGCAGCAGATACAGCCTCAGCAACAGATTCAGGCCTCTCAACCCCAGTTCGCAGGCGCAGGAAGCACACAAGCCGATGACGTCGGTACCTTCAACGGCGGCAGCTACCGCGTGAGCCACAGAGACACAAACACAATTCTCACGGTGCAGTTGGCGATTGGATGTCCCTTCACCGCAAAGCCCGGTACGTCTCAGCCCAGCCATCCCCCACTCCGCACCTTGAACAAAAGCTAACAAACCCAGGCGCAATGATAGCAATGTCTCCCACTATAACCCTAAAAGGCACCATAAAATTCTCCCTCAAGAAAGCGCTCATCGGGGGCGATATGTCCAAATCGCAATACACCGGGCCAGGCGAGCTGTTACTCGCGCCCGCCTCCATCGGCGACATCACCATCATCAAGCTCGGGGGCCACGAGCAGTGGAGCGTGGGCAAGGATGCGTTTCTGGCGTGCACACAGGGCATTGTGACCGAGCATAAGAGCCAGGGCGTTGCGAAGGCGATGTTTTCGGGCGAGGGGTTGTTTGTGTATAAGATTTCCGGGCAGGGGATTCTGTGGTGTACGAGTTTTGGAGCGATTATTAGGAAGGATGTAAGTTTCAACCCATATCGTTATGGAATGAAAGGTGACTGACGACTGCACAGCTGCAAAAAGACGAAAAGTACATCATCGACAACGGCCACCTCGTTGCCTGGAACTGCAAGTACGTCCTCGAGCGCGTCGCATCCGGCGGTATCGTGTCGAACATGATGGCTGGCGAAGGTCTGGTCTGCAAGTTCACGGGACCAGGCACGATCTTTATGCAGACAAGGAACGCGCAGGCCTTTGCGGCATGGCTGGGCGCCAACTCTGCGAATGCGGCGATGTAGGGAGAGGTATTCAAATGCCATGCAGTTGTTCATTAGGCAATACACTACAGTTTTATTGTACAGGATGGTTCATACATTATCGTATCCCCCAGGCTGTCGTACCATATACAGTACCCCCTATCGTACAGACTGACCCATGCTTCAGAGTATAACACAGTCGCGTCGTTGCGATGGCCCGTCAATGCGTCCAAAGGCAATGGAAGCAACCTGTCTAGAGGCCCTCAGTTCCTGCTCTTTCCCAGCTCGCTCTGAGCCTGCGACGTAGGACCACCCTTGACCCTCTCGCCACCAGTAATCTTCTTCTCGCCTTCAGTAATATCATGCAGCACCTCGCTGGTAATAGGCTCCTTGGCATGCTGCTGCGCCTTCGCGGTCGGCCCACCCTTCACAGGTCGCTCCTGCCCCGTGATATCCTTCTCGGCCTCAGTGATCTTGTGCAGTGTCGCGCTGTCAAGAGTGCCAGTGTGCTGTTCGGAGCCACCAGGACCATTGCTCGATGTTTGATTGGAGTTTGTGTTCGACGTGATCGGTGCATCATTGTTGTTGCTGGAAGTGTTCGTGCCAGCGCCGCCCTCCTTCGTCAAGATACTTTGGGCGACGGCTGTTGGGCCGCCCTTGGTGGGACGCTCGAAGCCGGTGATCTCCTTCTCGGCGTCGGTGATATCGTGGATGACTTGCGCGGTGAGCTGCTGGCCGACATGCTTCTGTGCGCGAGCGGTGGGGCCGTTGGGGATGGGACCGTCCTTGTCGGTTAAAGTCTTCTCCGCGGCGGTGATCTGGGAGAGGAGGTTGGAGTCGATGGTGACGGACATCTTGAGTGTTGTGCTGAAGGCTCGCTGCGAGATGGGTGTGGTGAAGCGTGCAATTGTTGGTGCTGTGAAGCGGGTTGATGTACGGAGGAAGAAAGACATTCTGGCTGGGTGGGCTTTTCGTAACAAAGGTAGCAGGGGCTGTTGCTTCTTAGATGAATGTGAGGAAAGAGCAGATGGAATGTGGTGTGATCACGTTGGGTACTTGCAATTGAATGGGAAAGAAGCAGTGGAGATGGAGTGGAGATGAAAAGGAAGCAGCGACGACATGGTGATGTTATTTGATTCCGATGGCTCTGACACGCAGGTACAAGCGCCGATGCATATGTCACTTCGCGATGCGGCTCGTGGGTTGTCGATGATGAGATGATTTTTGGTAGAGCTGATGATGTCAGAACCCTGGAAAACGCGCTAGAGACGCGTTGGATGAACCGCAACCTCGACATAGGACGTTCATCCGTTACACTCTACACTCGAGCGCGCACTTTCCGCCAAAACATCAAACGGCAACACTTCGGCTCGGTTCACCAAAAGTATCCTCAAGTCTCGCACGCTCCGCTATGGCAGTTCCCCTTACCGCAATGGTCTGAACTATCACCACAATACCCGCTGCGCTCAGATGTTAGCCAATGCAATTGCCAACAATGTTGTTATAAGAAGAGATTGCACTTACTAGTTGCTGCAGCGTTTTCCAAACTACGTTCTAGCGTACACATTGTCGCCTGGTCAGTCGGGACCACAAGAGCCATCCGTGCTAGGCCCGCCGGTGCTCTGGTCGCAGTCTCCGCTATAGCAGTTTCCAGGGGTGCAGTGCCCCTCATTGTCACCACACCAACCATATATACTACAACACTTACCGAAGCCAGCATTTCCGCATATTCAGTCGTGGTTGGCTGGACCGCATGATTCATCCGGTGTCTCTGCCCCCAAACCCGGTAGCTGGGGTTCTAATGCTTTAGGAACCTTTGCAACGCAAGCCGAGGTCTTCGCCCACAGGTTCATGCAGTCCTTGGTCAGATACGTGTTGTATTCGAACAACTGGCCGAGCGTGATACCATAGATGAGTTTGTTCGAATTTCCCTCCATACCCACTCTCTTTGGGAAAGGCCCAACCTGTAGTGGTATTGATTTCACACTAGAACCGGCACTTGAGACAGAACAGACGATGGCGGTGGAGCAAACAGATTACATCGTTGCATGCTCGGCCTGCTCAAGCCGCAAAGCGGCGAGAGACTTATCCAAGGGACAAGAGCTCGCCCGACAGCAAGACTACATGACTGGATCAATCATTGGTCATGGTACTCTTGCTATAATCCAGAACCCGCAGTTCTCTTTCTTGTGCTGCTGCTCTCGCTGTCAAACTCTTCAGCATAGTGCATTCAAGGTTGTCTTTTCTGGAGACCTTTGCGGTTCTTCTTACATTCTTTACAATTTTTGGCAATACTTTGGTCACGAGAAATGTAACGTTCACTCCTCAACGCCATGGTTCCGAGTTGTACAAGCCACTGTTTACCCCACCGTCAAACTCGACGCCGCGCTTCTTAAATAAAACCAAGAAGGAAACAACCCCCCTGGTGGAAGCTGCTGTAGCTTTGACCTCGGATGGCCAATCTTTCAATCTTCGGTAAGCTCACTCCCTGTGTTATCCAAGTTGTGCTGATTTTAACGATATTGACTGTAGACGTCTGGACCGCCTGCGACGACAAGCTGATGGCGGCCAACCGGAAGGCACTTGTGGCCTTGGCATGCTGTGTAAGAATGGAGTGTGTTGTCGCAACGATGGCCTTTGCGAGTATTGTGATGAATGTCTGTCCAACTGAGATGCGCAAGCGGAGTGCGGGCATTGTGCCTGCAGGCAAAGGAACTTGCCCATTGAAAGTTTGCTGCAGCAGATTCGGGTTCTGCGGCACAACATCAGGCTTCTGTGAAGCTCAGGGACAAGGTAGTAGCTTGAAGACGCCTTCAGGGATTTGCGGCTCTGCCCCTGAACATTCGACTCAATCTCAAGGTAGCTCGAATGCCAATCCTCCATCAGAGTTTAAAGTTCTTGTGCGGATAGTATTGGCCGTTGCATGATGCATACACGCTACGGGACCCAACGTTAAATTGGTATATTTGCGCCGCCTTGGCAAGCATGAGGCCCCTTGATTCGAACAGTATGTATACAAAAGTACCGTAATCCACTTTCGCATCCGGAGCGTTATGCGTCTTTCACCTCATTACTTACCATGTCTTTTGACGTTGCGCTTGCATAACACAATCGTCGCGCGTGCCGTCGCCCAACTTCCTGCAAGTCTCCAACCCACCCGGAATTGGCTCACTGCATATAATGTCAATGCATCAAACCCTGGCCCCGACTTCGAACTTACAGAGCCGCTCAAGAAACTCTTATCTGGTATTGACATTGTCAAGCCCCGCGGTCATGCGCGCCGCATAGCCTTCACGCCGTTCCTGGTTGGCGTTTCCAGCCCTTCAGAGACGGCGCCTTATACATAGGAAATATTCGATGGATATGGACAGTTTGTTCGGTTGTACAGGAACAATGGAGAAGATCTAGGTGGTCTCGTCATGTATCTTGATGATCACACTGCGGCCTTCCTGGAGACAAGCGAAGATGAACCGGCCGAGGTTGGCTATTGCCCCTTCGAGGGCTCCCATACCGTGTCCATGCACACGATGCGCGCGTTCACACGATGCGAGGGGTAACCCATTACGCGTCAAACTTCATTACTACACAACACTGCGCCTATGGCTCCAATCAACGATGCGCTTGATGAACTAGATGCTTTGAAGCCTGAAAAAAAAAAACTCTGTTATACAACAATAGCCAAAAATCATGGTGTTGTGCGCCCAACTTTGACGCGGAGGCATCAAGCTGTCACCAAGCCCCACGCAATCAAGTCATTCGTCTCAAGCCACGTTGTTTGAGAATCAAACAACAAGGCTTTTTGACGCACCTTTGACTTTCTTTCATGTCTATTCTTAGTCTCTAGCGGCAGGTATATAGGCCTGCCTCGTCCCTAGTTATAAGCATCATCACATCAGTTCAACAGAGACGGTTGCCGGGCAGATGGACCTCAGAGCCCATCCAGTTGCCCGCCGTGGGCATGGAAACCTTGATCTTCGACAGATCCCTTACACGGTCAAGAATAGGCTGTGATCCTTCACTGAACCAGATCCAGTTTGTTGCAAGAGCATCGTAGTCGAGTCGCTGCTTAACCAGTTTCGGGCTTTCCGTATTGGTGCGGAACGACAATGTTGTTGTACCAGTGCTTCTGGAAGCCAGAGTGCCATAGTCCGCCTTGTCAAACCACGTCGCCATACTTGTCGCTAAGGGCTTTGTATGGAACAATCGCGCTGAGATGGGGAGGTTGCTGTATCGCTGCCCAGTAGCGGGCCATGCCGTAGTAGCTGATGCCGCAAGTACGAGCTCATCTCAGTGGTCGCTGTAACCACTCCATATATCATGGTGGAGATGATCACATAAGACAGGACGAGAAAGAATGGATTGCCCATCCTCAAAGCCTGACCAGACCCAACGAAGAGGCCAGTACCAATGGTACCTCCAATGGCGATCATTTGTGCATGGCGGCTCTTCAGGGTACGCTTGGTACCTGCTTCGTGCAGATCTCCCACATAACCGACCGGGTTGGCGGTACTGACAGGATGCACGTCAGGCATACCCATGGTGGTCTCGTATGCACCCTTCTCCTCGATGCCGGCCATTATGAAAAGATTGTGACAAAAGTGTTCTGCAGACAGAGAAGTTGATGCGCTCGGTTTTCTCAGGACAAGACCATGAGATCCCCGCTGCCCTCCAAAGTTAGCCATTCTCACTACATTATATAATCTCTCAAAACACCAAGCCCTGGGCATCAATTCACTCATTCACTACATCGCGGACTTCGGACCACTCAGGAACTGGCATCGCAGCTCTTAACACTTCAGCGTAAGGTCTGCATATCAGCCACGCGGGCTTCCCCCAGGGTTTCTCGCGAGCAGCGTGTACGCTACTCCGCACATGACCGACAGCTATCGCTCGGCAGATATCATACTGTCACCAGGTTGGTCATCGAGATGGAGGCGTCACGAAAAGCTAATTGTGCATCGTAGACGTAATGGTTCCAGAAAGATAGAAAGGAGTGAGTTGCCGAAAGCGGCAGGCTCTTTCGACGCACGGATCGACTGCTCTTTCCGAGCGCTAAGGCCGTTATCCCCACGCTCACACTAAGTGATACGGTAATTGTACATGGATCATCATCGCTTTGGATGCAATCGCTCGTCTCGAAGAGTACAGTTCCGAGCTTGGTGCCACCTTGATGATCAGGTTGGGACCGACGTCGCAATAGTAGATTGATACCCCGCCAGACAATTGTAAGCTGCGGAAAGCTCTCTGCCCCGCCTGACATCTCTCCTGATTTCAGATAATAGTTGTCTTCGCAGCATAGAAGTCAGATTTGCACAAGTCCTTTCTTTCTCACGATACCCACGAACATAGCCGAAGAGTTGCAAAGATGGCACCCCAGCCTATCACCTTGAAAGCGCCCAATGGCAAGGAGTGGGAGCAGCCCACCGGTTTGTTCATCAACAACGAGTTCGTTGACTCGACTAAGCCTGAGAACACAATCTCCTCAATTGACCCTGCAACGGAGAAGGAGATTGCTGCTGTTCAAGCTGCGACACCAGACGACATCGACCGTGCTGTGAATGCTGCAAAGAAGGCGCTGAAGAGCCCAGAATGGAAGCTGTTGCCCAACACCGACCGCGGGCGACTGATGGTCAAGCTTGCGGATTTGATGGAGCAGAACCACGAGCTTCTGGCAACAATAGATGCGTGGGACAACGGTGAGTGCATTCGTCTTTTGTAGCGCTACTCAAGCTGATTCATCTAGGCAAGCCGTATAGCGTAGCTTACAACGATGATCTCCCCGAAGCATTCAACACCATCCGCTACTACGGAGGATGGGCAGACAAGATCTCCGGTCAGACAATAGGCACAACGCCACAGAAGTTCGCCTACACCGTACGACAACCTATTGGCGTTGTTGCGCAAATCATTCCCTGGAACTACCCTCTCTCGATGGCCTGCTGGAAGCTCGGCCCTGCCCTGGCTTGCGGCAATACCATTGTGCTGAAGCCAGCGGAGCAGACACCTCTGTCGATTCTCGTATTCGCGAAGCTCATTAAGGAGGCCGGCTTTCCTCCTGGTGTTGTCAACATTGTCAACGGTCTCGGACGTGAGGCTGGTTCTGCGCTGGTCCAGCATCCGCTGGTCGATAAGGTCGCGTTTACAGGTTCCACAGCTACGGCGACACAGATCATGAAGATGGCTGCAGTTGGGTTGAAGAACATCACGCTTGAGACGGGAGGAAAGTCACCACTGCTTGTTTTCGATGATGCCGATATGGAGCAGGCAGTCAAGTGGTCACACTTCGGCATCATGTCGAACCAGGGTCAGATCTGCACAGCGACATCTCGCATTCTGGTCCAGGAGTCCATCTTCGACACTTTCGTTGAGAAGTTCCGCAAGCAAATCTCAGAGGTCTCGGTCATTGGCGACCAGTGGAGCGAGGACACTTTCCAGGGTCCCCAGGTCACCAAGCAGCAGTATGAGCGCATCTTGTCATACGTCGACATCGGCAAGGAGGAAGGTGCCAAGCTTGTCGAGGGTGGAGAGGCCCGCAGCGGCGGCGGATACTACATCAAGCCCACAGTCTTCACCGGCGTATCGTCCAACATGCGGATCTACCGCGAAGAGGTGTTTGGGCCTTTCGTCGTCATTGCTACTTTCAAGAGCGAAGATGAGGCTATTGAAATGGCGAACGACACAATCTACGGTCTCGGTGCTGCTGTCTTCACTAAGGATCTAGAGAGGGCGCACAGGGTAGCGTCAGAAATTGACTCGGGTATGGTCTGGGTGAACAGCAGTCAGGACTGCGACTACAGAGTGCCGTTCGGTGGTGTGAAGCAGTCAGGTATTGGACGGGAGCTGGGTGAAGCGGGTCTGGAGGCGTATTCTCAGGTTAAGGCGGTACACATCAACATGGGCAACAAGCTATAGGGATGCTCGTACAGGATGAGTCAAGGTCAATGAAAAGTTAATAATCATCGAATAAGTACATTTGATGTGCCAGTGTGGATCATTTGCGTTCAGATATGGCTGCTTACGCTTGAAGATCGAGCATCGTCATAAAGCTCAATCAGAAATTCTTCCTACGTTCTGTTGCTTTATTAACTGTTACGCTCCAAGATAAAAATACAGCAAGTCATACAATCGCGAGAATTCCAATTGAGACAGGCCCAAGGTGAAAAAGATCATAGACAAATGGAACATCTCCTTTCTTTCATATACCACATGTCTACCGATCGCTCACATAGATATACATAGCGGTGGAAACATCCGCACTGAAGCACTAGTTCAAGTTTCTTTCATAATATTCTTATGGCTCATCAAATGCATTAATCTAAACTTTTCTTATCACCTAAGCGCTGTTCGACAACCACTTAGCCTTCTGGACCTGGCTCCCCGAAGCCTTAATAATCTGCGCAAACTCATCTGTCTCCTTCTGTCCCAGCAGCTTGAACGGCTTCCTCAGACCACCAGTCTCCCACCCTCGCAGCTCCATACCCGTCTTAACCGCTGACGGGTAGTTGTACGACTCAAGGAACTTGCAGACTGGGTAGATCTTCCTCCACAGCTCTCGGCCCTTCTTGAGATCTCCCTCGACGGCAACTGCGTTCCACAGCTCGATGGACAGCTCGGGGATGACGTTGGTAGCGCCCCATACGGAGCCCTTTGCGCCGGCGGCCAGGCCGTAGAAGGTGAGAGTGTCCCAGCCGTTGAAGGCGGTGATTTGGTCGTCGAGCTCGAAGAGCATCTCGGTAAGTGCTGGCGCGTTGCCGGATGTGTCCTTCAAATAGTGTACGCCAACATCTTTCAGGGATGCGAGCTCGGTGGGTGATAGTGTTAAGCCGCTTGCTGAGGGGATGTTGTAGTAGACGATGGGAATCTTAGACTCCTCATAGACCTCCTTGCACAGTTCGCGGAGTTGCTCATAGTTGATTGGGTCGTAGAAGGGAGGCACAATCATGGTGGCAGCCGCACCTGCCTTAGCCGCGTGCACGGCAAGCTCGATGACATCCTTGGTAGAAAGGGCACCTGCGCCAGCAACGACGGGTACACGGCCTGCTGCATACTTGATGCAGAGCTCTGTGATCTGTTTTCTCTCCTCGAGTGTCGAAGCTGTGAACTCTCCAGTTGTTCCGCCGGGAACGAGACCGTGTACGCCCGCATCGATCATGCGGTTGATGTGGGCTTCAAGGCGCCCCTCATGGACCTTGGTACCATCGTCTGTGAAGGGAGTGACGAGGGCAACGAGGATGCCTTTCAGCTCTTGAGGTGCCATTGTGAATGAAGATACGTAAAGGTTTGAAGTATCAGAAGAATCGTCGTGCGACAAAGTACTGAATTGGCAGAAGAATGAAGTCTGATGCCTTTGTCCAGCACGGTGAAGCTCTTTTGTGTTTGGAGGGGTTCGTAGAGACCCATGGATCACTCCGAGGACGGTTGATCGGTGTAGGAGACTCCTTCCCAATCGGGTAAGCGTGGGGTAGGATGATTAGATCGCGCATACGCAACGGCTTCGGACACCCTTCTTTTGGTGTCACAAGTTGCGGGGAGAGGAGCCGTTAAGAATACCACACTTGAACCAGTATGCTTCTCCGCGATAGAATATCTCATCGTTCCGTGATCAGGTCACGCTGCCAGTTGCAGTCTCCACCATGTATAGATTACCAAATCGGTCGAGCCGACCCCGATTGCCAGCAGACCATAGCGGAGCGGACTGAAACCTTAAGTCTTTCGGCTCCTGGAAGCATTCTGGTCTTCACCTTCGCACTTTCATTCGAAAAATATAGTCTTCCAAGTACCTGCGAAAAGCATCCTGCCGTCTGAACCGAAGAATGGCCAATCGTCCACCAGCACTTGATTCCCTGGTATTCTCGATTCGAGATCTTGAGCATTATGGATCAGAAAACCTCTCTGACGGCTTCCGGGAGTATTACAATGGTGGTGCTATGGACATGATAACGTGAGTATGGGAGTGGTGGCGAGCATGTGCGGCGGCTGATTGTGTATCTCCAGGCTTCGAGAGAACGTGACAGCATACGACAGATACAAGATCCGTCCTCGCATCCTACGAAATGTTTCCAACGTAGACACAAGCGCCGAGATTTTTGGCAGGAAGATCACGTTCCCTTGCGGGTTCAGCCCTAGTGCGATGCACTGCCTGGCGCACAAAGATGGAGAACTTGCCACATCGAGAGCGGCAGCGAAGATGGGCATACCGATGGCTTTGTCTTCGTACTCCACAAAATCGTTGGAAGATGTCATTGCGCAGGGCACCGGGAACCCCTACATGATGCAGATGTGCATCGTGAAAGACAGGAATATAACCATACAATTGCTAAGGAGAGCAGAGGGTAGGTGGTCCAAATTGAGATGCGAGTCTTCGTAGTAGTGCTGATATGTTTCTAGGTGCCGGATATCGGGCGCTTTTCCTTTCGGTTGATGTGCCCGTCCTTGGTCGCCGGTTGGGCGAAATGCGCTCGAACTTCACGTTGCCCAAGGGCATGTCGTTTCCCAACTTATTGTCAGAAGGTCAGGATGAGTTCGGCGCACCAAATGACAAAAACAACGGGCCTCAGGCTTTCGATGACACCCTTGAGTGGGAAGAAATAATTCCTTGGCTGAAGGCCAACACCAAGATGCAGATCTGGCTCAAGGGAATCTCGTCGCCGGAAGACGTTGAGCAGGCGATAGCGGCAGGCGTACACGGCGTTGTCATCTCGAACCATGGCGGACGCCAGCTAGACGGGGTTCCAGCTACTCTCGACGCTCTGCGGCAGTGCGCACCAATCGCAAAGGGCCATGTTCAGATTGCGGTAGACGGAGGGATTCGAAGAGGTTCGGACATCTTTAAAGCAATCGCGCTTGGTGCTGATTTCTGCTTCCTTGGAAGAATTGCTATTTGGGGCCTCGCCGTAAGTGAAATGACCCTCGTGTGCCATAGACCACGTACTAACCTTGCTCAGTACAAAGGACAGGAGGGCGTGGAGCTTGCTATTCGGATTTTGCTCGAAGAGTTCAAGTCGACAATGGCATTGGCTGGGTGCCGATCGGTAGCGGAGATTACCCGCAATCATTTGAGCGTCCTAGAGAACAACGGCATTCTAGCCAAGTTGTAAAATATGGTGTATGTAGTATCGAACACATCACAAGTTGTTCCGTTCTCGGTGCTAAAGTATGTAGTGAAACCAGCGCCAGTCCAATAATATGCTGCCAACCTTGAATATCTCTGCCGCTCGTAGATGCTTTCGACACCCATGTTAGTATAGCATGAGCCAGAAGTTGCCCTCTCGTAACACGTCAACCCAGGAGTAGACGTCTTTCCTCTTCTTGTAAGATGCCCGCTGCTCAGGCGGACTGTTTGGGTCTTTCTCGAAATTCTTGTCGACCCTGTCGCGATGGTCCCACACTTCGCGCATGACTTGCTGAGAAGTGGTGAAGCCATTACACGCAGATTGCATCGCGCCTTTCTGCATCCAGCTCATCAGCCAATCTCGCGCTGTCACCGACATGGCCTCAGAACCAGCAATGAAAGCTGGCCATGGAGTTCCAGGCGACTCGATGTCGCAAACATCGTGGGCAAGGTCGAAATCCTTCAAGGCTGCAATAACGTCGTTGACGTGAGCTTGTAAGATAAATGGGTGAACTTTGCGAATTCTCCGGTAGAACAGTATGACCAGGGCCGAAGTCATTGCGCGCATCATGGCTCGACTCGCCATCGTTGGCCTTGGAGGCATAGATCCACTCTGGTTGTCACGCGGGGGCGACAACTCTCCCGGACTGCTGTACTGTGCGGAAAGAGAGCAAATGCGATTTTCGAGCTGTGTGGTCTTTCTCTGCAGACATTCCTGGAATGTTTTGGTCGGTTGTACCGAAGTCTCGTCAAGATAATCCATGATATTGGCTACCCTCGTAGTCTGTGAGACGTAACTGAGCCAAATTTCTGGAATACCATATATGTCCATGTAGAGAGTGTTGGACCAAGGACGAGCGTCTTCCAGATGGATGTCGCGGAGTCCAGTCTCGTTGTCCTTGTGTGCCTCGCTGTCATCCTCGCTGTCCGTACCGTGGGACTGTATCCGAAGGAAGTCGTCTAACTGCGAATGTTCATGCGATGTGTTGGCATCTTGATTGGTCCCACATGAACCGATGACAGGAGCAGGAGCATGATTTCGGAATGTTCTTTCGATCTTGCCCTGTAGCAGAGCATTCTTGTGGTCGTGCAGAACGAACGTGCTCTCTCCTATGATGCGGTGCCAAGTGTATACATGGTGCAGGAGCCGGGCTCTGCGAGAAGCTTTGTGCTTCGTGATCCCCCGTAGTCTTACGAGGCGCTCGGCATCGATCAAGTAGCATCTCGCGTCCGCTGCATTTCCAGTCTCGGTCTGACTACGGTTAGCTCTATTGACGCGTGCAGTACAAATTTACTTTGACTTACAGCCAGGACTATGAGACTGAAGATGGCCATCAACTGGTCCTTGTACTTTGCCTTGCCGTCACCAGCAGTCTCAAGCTTCAAGGATTCCTGCATATGTCTCTTGGCTCGCTTGGAAGCGTACTCGAGGATCTGCATACCTCTAATCGGGTCCAAATCGCTTGACGAAGGTGATGCCTTAGCAACCATATGAGCAGAGCAACCCAAAAGCGCGAATAGATTCGCTTTGTTGGCATGCTTGACATTTGAGCTCTGAAGCCATGTCAACTCGGCGTGAGTCTGTACGGCATTGCTCCAATTGAGCGTCTCCCAGGGCGACTTGCAGGTCATGGGTAATGGGCCAAACTGGGGGATGACATTGTCTCGAAAGTGTCGGAGTAGGTACTGGGCGTCATGCAGTACCTGTGCTTCGTCGAGCTCTATCGGAGCGTACGGTGGAGGCTGTGAATCAAAGAGCATATTCGTCGCACCTATATTCTGCTTTTCATAGAACTGGTTTGGAGTGAAAGGGTAGTCGAATGTCTGGTTCGCATGATCATGGCTTTGAGGCTGATTCGCAACGTGCGCGAGAAGGCTTAATGGATCGCCATAAGGCTGATCGTGAAGCTGGTCATGAATAAGAGGCATGGACATGTCGAAAGTAGTGTCGAACAAGTCGTTCCAGATCAGTCCGTTAGAAGACTCAAACAGCGACTCGAGATCTGACATAGAGCCAACCGAAGAGTGGTTGAACACGTCTGGTTCTTGGGGCAATAGCGACGCATTGTCTTGAACCGTCGCGGTCGTTGACATGCTGTTGTTCCCAAGATCAAGCGAACTCGAGCCAAAGGGCATGTCTTCGACCACAATGTTGCTGGCCTCATCTTGTTGAATGGGGTTTGGGCTGTTGGTGGATTGTGCTATCTCAGGCACAGATAGATGTTGTTTCTTAGTAGGACGCTGTTCAGCTTCGTGACTTTCAGCGGCTTCTGCACTCATATCAGCGTACACTCCACACCAAGTCAGGTTCTGGATACGTACGTTTGCCTGGCTGCGATGAAGGCCTATTGTCTTCAGATAGTTCAGACGGCCTTGACGGCCCGTAGGACATGGACGCCCATCGAATCTGCGAGGGATAACCGCCACAGTCGAGCCCTGCCTTGCGACATGTGGCGCAGGTAGGTCGAGCATGATCGCATTTGACATGTCGGCGTCGACACGTTGAGCATCCTCCAAGGTTGTGTGTGCGTTTCTTAGTTGATCCTCGGTTCTTGCTGGCCGGCATGGTTTCAGTGGTGGCCCAAGCGCTTTGACGTCATCGAAGGGCGTGCTGTTCGGCAAGGAAATGACGATAAAGGAATCGAATGCACGACTCGGGCACGCGACCGTCCCATTTCATCTCCAATGTGTAGAGATATCACGAAATTTTTGTCAAGTCATTGTTCGTTGGTGAACTCTGGGCCCTGCGGGGCAATCTAAGCCGTATTCAGTAGGAGACTCCGGGCTCTCTAGGTGACACGCCCTTTCGACATTTGTGATTTATCATCTAGCAACCAACATCAAGCTTACAAACCACTGCCTGAGCGAAGTACATAGCAGTCAATTAACCACAAAGACAGGCAGATAACAGCAGGCGCATTGACTAAGTTTCATTCACCACTGACCAAGCACCTCGACCACAGGAATCACTATCTCACCATGGCTAAAATCTTGCTCACCGGAGCTACTGGGTACAACGTACGCCTGACCTTTACGGTTCTCGCTAATGAGTGACAGCTTCATTGGCGGAGAGATCCTTCACACTCTAGCATGCGCTGGACACTCAGGCCTACACATAACCTCGCTTGTGCGAGACGCCAGCAAGGCACAGCAAGTGCAATTGGCCTACCCAGAGGTCAAGACCGTCTTGGGAGATCTGGATGATACCGACTTGATAAAAGAACAGTCCAAAGCCGCAGATGTCGTTCTGAGTACGTATGACCTCTTGTGGGCCTCTTCAACGCTGACTTGGTGTCAAGACTTCGCTGCCACTGGACATGCAGCGAGCGCAAAGGCTATTGCGGAGGGCCTACAGGCACGACAGAAAGAGACGCAAAAGCCCGGTTACTGGATCCAGATTTCAGGAGCGACAATCTACGCAGCGGACGAGATTGGCTCGGGCCGTTATGGTAATGCGACTGACGATACCTACGATGACCTCAAGGACCAGAAGAAGATCCTATCAGCCATCCAGAAGAATCCCAAACGAGTGGTCGAGAACCTTGTCATATCGCAGAACCCTTCATCAGTCAAGACAGCACTGATTGTAGGACCCCTCATCTACGGTGTAGGCCAAGGTCCGGTCAACCAGAGGAGCGTCCAGGCACCAGAAATTGCGAAAGCGACTTTGAAGCTCGGCCATGGTTTCAAGTTGAACGAGGGCAAGAACATTTGGAGCAACATTCACGTTCACGATTTGGCTAGTTTGGTCTCCCTACTAGTCGGAGCTGCCAAAGATGGTAAGGATGGCTTCTGGAATGAGGATGGCGTGTTCAACGTCGAGAACGGCGAGCTGGTGAGTGTTCGTACCAGCACTGTGAAATTTTGTACTAATAGAACAGGCTTTCGGCGACTTGAGTGCTTTGATCACAAAAGAGGCACACAAGCAAGGCTTCATCAAATCTGGCGATCACCTCGAGACCATCGACGCAGCGAAAGCTGACACCCTGAGTGGTCATGCATCAGTCTTGTGGGGCACGAATGCTCGTACACGATCGTCGAACGCTCAGAAGAACCTTGGATGGAAGCCAACCGGAGCTTCGCTTGAGAGGACGATTGCCGACTTGGTCAGTAGCGAAGGAAAGGCATTTGACAGTAAGATATCATTGAAGAATGAACTCTGAGCACTAGCTGATTGCAGGTCCTAGGTAAGAAGAGTGAATTGTAAGGAGTTCTATCAAAGTTGTCGAACTAGTTGAGCAACAACAACACACAACCAATCAACGCAACCTTCCTCTACAATTCGAACGCTGTTTCCTTGTACGACCTGGCGTTTCACGCTCGACCCTCAAAACATACGGAACAAGCCTTGCGGCCCGTGGTGCCCCACACTCTTACGCGTCCGCATCGCCGTCCTGTCACTCTGAATCTGAATGACGCTTCAAACATCAACACATCCATTGGTCTTCTGTAAATGACAAGCTATACAAGCATTCTGAGGGAAAGGATTGTTTATAGGCTTCTAACATCTGGTAGCCGCAATCTGAATGTAGCGCTGGATGATCCCTAACAGACATGCGCGTACACTGTTGTCCGCGGCATATCGTCACAATGAAAATAGTATGCCAAAAGCATGCCGACGACTTGCGCAGGCTTTGTATAAGAGGGCTGTGATGATGTAGACTGATTGACATTCACACTCCAAGATCTCCGGCTCTCGCCATACGCGCCGATACTATACTGGTCACTCTTGCCCTAGCCCTTGTCGCCATCGCGCATCAGCATCACCAGCTATCTGCTCGTGAGGTTGCTGAACATCAGTCAATCTCCAAGCGATGCGCTGCATCAGCTGGCGCTTTCACCGTAGCGCGCAAGCAGCGCTCTCTAGCCAAGCACAATGCTCTTGTTACTAAAGACACCAACGTTACCATTCACACCTCATTTCCTTTCTACGACACGATCCAGAACGACACATGCATTCTCATTCCCGAGGTTACTGCTGGACCATACGTCTGGCCTCAGTCCGATACACTTCGTCAAGATATGAGTGAGGGTCAAGCCGATGTCCCGATCTACCTCAACATCGGTGTTCTCAACACGAACACTTGTGAGCCTGCACCTAACGTATTGATTGATCTGTGGCACTGTAAGTCTCTCATCGTCTCTTCTCTCACTAAGCTGATTGCAAGCAGGCAATGCCACTGGTAGCTACTCGTCCTTCGAGGCCCTCTCCCCCAACAGCCCCTTCGAACAGCCTTTTGAGCAACTCAACGTAACTATCGGCGCCGGCACACTCGACCTCCACCGGCAAAAGTACCTTCCTACGCGGAATGTGACCCACCGACGACAACAGTGTGATGGAGATGAAGACTGTCTTCCCGGGTTTCTACATCGAGCGCACGATTCACGTTCACGTCCGTTCGCACACAAACTGGACCGTCCGCGGCAACGGCACTATCGTGTCTAGCAACATCGTCTCCACGGGACAGCTGTTCTTCGAGGAGGACTTGAGTGCGCAGATCATGGGTATGGAGCCATATGCTAGCCACACATAGATCAACCGCATGCTGTCGACAGCATCTGCTCTAGCGAGATGACGACTGAATGGAGCCCGAACTGTGCTTGACGGTGTTGATGTGGCGAATGGTATGGTTGGGTATATCACACTGGGTGTCGATCTTACGGCTACGAGCTCTGAGGGAAGTGCTGCTCCCTCTGGCACGATGACCTCGGGTGCCACGCCTTCTGGTACTTCTGCTTAGGTCGAATGCCTCCGAAGGAAGAGTTATATGATTGGGTGCTGTTTTGATAGCGTAACGTTCAGAAGTGTGTAGACAAACGCAGTACATCACGTATGTGTGGACATTGACGGTTTTGAATAAATCGTGGCGGCGTGGGCCGCTGTAGTATACTGATAGCTACGGTAAACGATAACGTAGGACTATCAGGGCGATGGAAGGCTGCGCTGAGTTGCCATCTAGCTAGGAGAAGACGATTATATACTGACCCTGTAACGTGCTAGGCCATAACAGTCTAAGCAAGGGTACCGGTAAGACTGGCTCATAAACGTTTTGCGTAGCCTGATTGGGAAGGAGCTGGGGTTTTTTCATACCAGCTTTCCTTGACATTTGTCAGCAAAAGTCCCTAGGTAATATCAAAATCATCTCATCCCCAAGTATTTGTCCACTTCTGCTCCCAAATAACTAATGCTGGAGGCTGCGCAAATGTGTAGACCTCTGCTGGAGACCTGCCAAAAGGCCGTGTAGTTTGTTGACGCTGGTGTATTCTAATTGATTGGCAATTGAGGAAAAATGAGACAGTATTGGAAGAGCAAGGATATCAAGGAGCACAATCATGGAAGGGTCATTGGTACCAGAAAATGAAGCCCCTGAACTCACACATTACCTCTGTGTCCTGCCTGTGATGCCTTGACATCTTTTTCAAGTCCAGGATGGTTAGAAGTAAACCTCAGCACCCATCAGAACACTGGTGGCATAGTCCATGATGAAAGAAGCAGCTCTGGCTTGAGCATATTCTGCAGCCAAAGTCAGCACGCTGGCTTGCTCACACACGGGAAAGGAAGCTTGCTGTGCTTCAGTACCTAGAGAATATGCTAAACTGGATACCAATTGACATTTTTAACCCACCAAAGAGTGGTTTTAAGACACAGAAAGGCCAAGAAATTGACTAGGAGAGGAGGATCCAACCACCAACCGGGCTGGAGAGCAATGCACACTGGAAGTTGAAGCCAAAAACAACACAAGCCTGGTAGGCAGAGCGAGCTGGAATATGGGAGAGTGCTGCCAAATCATACAAAAGCGTCAGAGCAAGTCAAGAGAAATGGTCACTACTTGAAGAGCAGATGTATGACTTGTTCTTGCAAGCTTGGAAGAATGCAGAGAGAGTGACAAGGCACTGGTTTAGGCGGTTTGCCATCAAGCATTTTCGCAAAATCTACCCACAAGAAGCTGCCAAGCTTGGTATTGAAGTCTTCCCATTCACAAATGGCTGGTTCTGGGGCTTCTTGTCATCCTGACATGGCTTACAGCCAACAACAATCCTCTTGTTCCCCAAGGCTCCGGGCTTGCCTGTGAGGTAATCCTGTAGAGCATCTAACTGCAATTGACGCAACAATGGTGGCGGGCCGAGCCTGACAGTAGGTGGAGGATAGCACACTCCCCAGTACTCCAAGCTCAGCCGCAGCTTTGCCATAGCCTTGCCGTGTACTCCAGTCGATTGCCACGCCTCAGTGTTGTTTTCTCCGGCTGCTATATGATCGGTGATCATTTGTTGAACGTGTGGTTGAAGGCGGCGGCCGGTGTTGACCATAGTGGCGAATTGCATCGTCAACAACACCAAGAAATGTCGTGACAATTGAGAACAAGCCTCAGAAAACACCTCCCAAGAGACTCAGAGGTATAAACAACACCTTGTAGCATCAAATTGTATAGAGAAATAGCCTATAAGTGATGACGCGGAGCTTCTTATTACCCCTCGCACTAAATCACGTGTGTCGAAGGTATTATGAAACCGTTATACAAGATTTGCGGCTAGCGATTGAGGTCAAACTAGGCATGTCAGAGCTGTAAAAGAATGGAGGATGCTTTGGAAACTTACCTTGATATCACTTCCTACATCCAGGACCAACCCCTCTTTACCAAATGCGATGAACGTATTGCTAGTATGGACCCAATTACTCAGCTCCCCCATAAATTCTTTCTGCACCTTCCGTACCGCAGTCATAGACTCGCTGTCCTTAATGTAGATCTTGTAAGCCAAAAGGTACTCTGGCCTGTTCTTGCCGCCAAAGTAGGCGCGAATGTCGAATTGGGATGATGGTATACCAATGTTCGCCTGCAAACCATACACCTCATTTGCCGCGTGTGCCTGCAATGCGTCCACCAAATCTGGTGAGAAGATCTGCTCAAGTTGCGTAGCCGGTGGGGTTTACCGTTGATACTGCTCTGGTGTATAAGATGACTGCACGTTGACTTTGCTGCTCGTATCACATCACCAACTTCCAACCCCTGCTGTTACTATGTTTTTCCCTCACCTGAGAGAGTTTCAGACTGTGCCTCTCGTCAATAGACCGAGGAAACCATCCGAGGTGGCTAAAAACGTTTCAAGAACATTTATATCCCGACTAGAGACGGTTCTGAGCTTTGCTGCAATGTCTATCTGCCAACGAATGCGGACGCTCAAAAGTTTCCTGTACATTCGACTATAGGCCCATATGAAAGGACGTCCACTTTGTCGAGTTCGGAAAGCCGGAGACCGAGATGTATGCGAACATGGCGAAGGTGATTACTCCACTTGGGCCAGATGCGTGTTTCGAAACTTGAGATCTAATTGTCTGGGTAAGTGCTGAGATCGACTGTACGACGCTTGGACTGACTGATCTGCCTGTATTGCAAGGACCATGGGTATGCCGTTGTTAGAGTCGATGTTCGGGGTTCTCGAGGCAGCCCTTGATCCTTTCGGTATCGGGCGAACAGCTCTGACTAGGGAGGATTCCGAGGGAAACGGTACGCTTTTTCCACCTCAGAGGAAGATTTCAACGCCCTGATTTATTCTATATAGACTGTTACAATGTCGTAGAATGGGCTGGCACCCAAAAATGGTCGTCCGGTAAGGTCGCTATATGCCTGTGAGGGGTTGCAGCATGTCGTAATTCGGCAACCGCTTCTTCTCCCCTAGCATGGCGTTTGCTCTTGGCTGGTAAGTGCGCTTCATCATCTTTACGAGCCGGCCTTTGGACACAGTCGAGGCGAGGTTCTCGGGCCCGTGTGCAACGATATAGCTGCTCAGATAGACTCGACAAATTGACCGTGACCTCTCCTGCTAGTGTACAGCATTTTCGAATTCAATTACATGTTCTATTCGATCCAGAAGCTCGGTGGTATCATTAGTGCAGATGTCATGCCGGTGCCATGCCATGGTGGACAGCTTAAGGGTAAGCAGACAGAAGGTCATGAGAGAATGACACGTCAACATTGTATACAGACACAATACATAAACTTACAAAGGGCTATACAGACACCATCTATGCCGCCTGGTCGAAGTTGCGGATAGGAGGCATCATACCCAGCCCCTTACCCTCCGTCTCCTTCGCCTCGCCCTCCGTATCCGTAACACCACCCGCACTCCTCTCCTTAACATGGCGCCTCAGCAGCGACAAAATCTCGCTGCCCTTCCACCTAGATGGCACAGGCCTGTACGCCGGCTTGAAAGTACCAACGGTCTGCGCCCACTCGCCGCTAGCAGGCGAGCGCTTCCACTCGTCCTTGGGTTGCATGTCCTTGCCCTGCGCGTTTGTTGTGGCGAGGTTGTCGTGGCCGCCTTCGGCGGTCTCATGGGACGTGGGTGTGGGCTCCTGCGTAGCCCAATAGTAGATGTCCCAGTCGTTCTCGTCGAGGAAGAGGTCGTACTGCTGGAGCAGCTGGGGCGACATGGTGCCGAGTTTGGCGTCGGCGAAGGTGCTAAGGAGGAGATCACTTTCGAGGGTTCCCCTCTTGCGGCTCTGGTCTGGTAGTTGTCAGCATCCATTGTACGGAGGGCTAGTCCGTCTGGCGTAAATTTCTTGGCAGGGAAAGGCAACGCAGGGGCAGTGGAACGGACATAGTAATCGTGCACGCATGGTATTCGGATCCTCTCCCGTCCGTCTTAACGGCTCAACCTTGAACCTGACAAAGGTACAAAGTGAGCATGTATCCTAGCTTGACTACCCAAATACAAGATGCTGCTTACTTGGCGCCCTCCAATTCTCCCACACCAAGCTCAGCGTTCTTTCCATTGACTTCCGAGCCCTCGCTGCTTTGCGTTCCACCAGTCATGCGGTGTGTGTTCTCCGGGACAGAGTCCTTGGGGATGAAGTTGGGGTCCACCTGGGAGATGAACTCGGGCGGAGGTGCATCCTTGCCGACTGAGGGCATCTCGTTCGCGATGGTAGAGGCCGTGTTGGTCATGTGAGGGTTGAGATTCTTCTCCATCTGGAACTTGCGATACTGCTCGGAGGTGTCATTGGTGCGCTTGTTGAGTGCTTCGAACTGGTTGTTGCGAGCAGCCGAGATGCTGAAGGAGCGGTAGGTCGAGCGCTGGGCAGCGACGAACGCGCGCGACGAGCGCATAGCAAGTCTTGAAGAAGCCATTGTGGTGTTCGAGGTTCGAGAGGGTCCAATTGGGCGATGGGGTGTTGATAGGGAAGAATTGGTACAGCCGAGGGATCGAGAACGTCATAGCTCGCCGCTGACTAACGACCAATGCGTCCCCTGCGACCGGTCGTGCAAGTCGATTACCTTTCAATCATCGACATCAATCAAAGCAATTTTCAACCAGCATCCCAGAGGCACAATCGACAATTCACAACGATACGGAATATTTTCATCGTCTTCACTACCATTTGATTGCGCGGCATACTAAGATTCACGCCCACACAACCCTGGTGTACTCAATACCACCTCGAGAACGCAACATCAAACACCATCGTGCGCATGTAATGAAGTCTTTCGCCCGCTGTCTAAGACTGCCCGTTTTCGATGTACAGCCCATGCACTTTGCGGGCATGGTCCATCATCTTATCTTTCCTAGGAAATGGTCTGCCGCGATCACACTGAGTTGAGGGACACCAGATTTCTTTCTTCTCAACGGCGTGCGCTCCGTCGTAGTGCCTCAGAAAATCTGGCCATCGAGTATAGCGACCACCACACTCTGGGAATTGACATGCGAATGCCTTGGTGTCCGTGTCGTTCAGGCGAGATACCATGCAGATGGCATCCTCGCTGCGATGGTCAGCAAGGCCCATTCCTGGTATCGGTCCAGCATATGAAAAGTTTATGTGCTCCGACGCCACGGGTTGATCAAGTGTGCTTGCGCTTCGTACTGTTGGGCTGGTTCTGCGTGCGATGTCAGTCGAAATGCGCAATGCTATTGAGCATGGCCATCAATTGGAACGTACTGCGCGATAGGATCGATTACGAAGGCGGAATCGTTGAACGTCTCACATACTGACGTTCCATGCCACTGAGCTGACTCATTCAACGACGTGACCACATCAGGTCTTGGTGGCCTAGTTTTCACGTGGGCTTGGGCATGCTGGGTTAGGTCGTTGTTTACAGCCGCAGTGTGGGCTTGGTCGAGGACTGATCAATATGTCAGGTACGTCCCGATCCAAACCAGATCCATCGTACGTACAGTCGTTGTCCACCACCGTTTGTCCGTACTGATCATAGTCTGGCACAAAATTCTGGGTCCAGATATCATTGGTGTAATTCATGTTGACGAAGAGATGTACGAAGAGGTTGAAGGGCTTGGCACGAATGAGTAGAATGATTTGTATAGTCGCTGTGGACGACAAGTAGTACCTTTAAATGCTCGTAAGATTGACGAGCCACCAGCTGAATACCAAGTGCAGTTGCCCTTCCATCGATTTATCAACTGAAGGGGCCTCGCAAGGTCCGTCTCGATTTATCATGTCGCACGGGTATGCACCTGCACGCCTCTGCAGGCTGAGTGGTCAAGGCGCGCACATCGAACGTTCCCACGATCATCGCGTGGCGCATGCTCCGCATCGCGGCTCCGGCTCCCATGCCGTCCGCAGAAGAGCTCGCTCAGACCGTCTATTGCGCACTCACTGCTACGTGGAATCTATATGGGAGCGGGATTCCGTCCAGTATGGCGCTTTGAGCTTTTTCGAAGACCAGATTATCAAACTTGTCGATTGAATCATGCAACATTCGCTATTCTCGATGTCGTTGTGTACCTGACTCAAGCCCTTCACTTCGTCAGGCCTCAATGCGCCCCGAGATGGGTGCATAGTGGCGTCTGCAACGCTGGCAGCAGCAGGGGAGTTCTCACAATCACCAGAGCATAAACCAAACGGGTCGACCAGAAAGGGCAGCGAATCAGGCGTGGAATTTGGCGGCGAACACGCTCAGGGAAGTTGGATGTCACTCACCGAGGATGCAGAAGCGCGATGACTTTGTACGCGCACGGCGCCACCTGCCCCGCGATTGGAGTACCGCTCATGTGCTAGCTGATAGCCTTGTCGTCACCCTTGTCCGGTGGCCTCGAGCATTCGTCTTCCGTACGTTCTCTTTTCGACGGTCTAAATCTGCCGAGTTGCATATCCTTCGAATTACGTCCCCTTCAAGCAGAGCCCCATGCCAATTTGTTACGGTGAGCCCTGCCCACCGAGTTAGGCTCTCATCACAACTACACGGTTAATCTTCAATGTCCTATATTTCCGGATTGCAATCCTTGTTCTAGAAGGAGTATATTCTTTCCGTGCATCTACGCCTGTGCGGTAAGCTCAATACACAAGTCTGCATTTGCGCTGGGAAGGCCTACTTCTAGGTCAACTCCACAGCAACTCTTATCTGCGACATCGAGAAACGCCAACAACCGCAGCTTCATACCGGTGATTGCAACGGCTGTAGACCTGAAAAATTCATGCATAACAAGCCTTGGGCGTGAGCGATTCAAAGGCGTGTGCAGCTGAGGTGCTTCGCGCAAGGCTCATACATGTTCTTGCTAGATACTAACAGGCATGTAGGCAGGTGTGAAGGTTCCTCACGCAGCAAGGAGGAGAAGAAGAAGATAGTCTCTTTTAATCTCTTATAGTTGTAGCTGATAGGGATATAACGGGCTACGGACAATTTTGTCTCTAACGGACTACTCTTTGATTGCTATTGAAGACAGTCAGGCTTCACTATGAGACCAAAGGTTAGTGACTATTGTGTATGAACTCTTCTGTGACATGAGAGCTCAGTCCCCAGAAGATCGAACCTGCACCACATTGCATGTCCGTCACGCTATGCAACAACGCAGAAAACCTCAGATAACCTCACACCCTGTGGACCTTGTTCATATGATCATTTCTCCTATCCTTTCTACGAAACGGTCGGCCACATTCAGCCTCACTGCGCTCGCAGCCAAGAACGAGACACCAGAACAGGATAGGGTTGACTGCATGAATGCCATTGTAGTGTCTGTCGAGCTCATACCGGCGACCGAAAGTTTTGCCTTCACAGTTGGGGTGCTCATACATGTATGTCTGGTTGTTTGGATTTTGAATGTTGACAGGACTCGAGATAGCAGGAGGTTGCGTCACCATAGGTTCCCCCGTTGCTGGCAAGTCCTGAGTAGATCCTCCGGGGTAGCTCGAGTGATGCAGCGTCCAGTTCTCAATCCATTGATCCTCGCCAGTGGGAGAACTGTTGATTTGTTGGACGAAATAGTGTGTTGGACCCAACCTGTATGATCGGTATGATCTCATGCTGTTATTCTGTGATCACATATTGCTACTGTGTTGAGCATCGTTAGCACTGAATCAAGGTACATAGTCTTGATGACCGTACATTGAAACGAGATATCGCTCTTCTCCCCAGGCAGAATCATCTAGCCAATCAATGGAAACCCCTTGATCATGTCGCGGTGTGTATTGCGGAGAATAAGATGGCTGCGAAGGTCGATCCTGTTGAAGACAAAAAGACAAACCAGTAGTCGAAGTGATGGCAGCGTTCGAGTTCGAGATGTACATATTGATAGGAGCTAGTGTCGTATTAGTTGCGAGTACTAGAGACTAGTGGAGAGAATATAGTGCTAAGCACTCACCTTGACATTGGCTAAAGACGTATCGGTCCATCTCTGCAAGACAGACGTCACACAGACAGCCACGCTCCCAGGCACAAGCGCGATGACTGCATGCCATGTCAGCCTTAGAGGCCCATAATAGCCTTGCGACTCTTTGGTGAAATGGAAGGTAAGGGAATGATTGGGAGGTAGTTTTGCGTGTGGGAAGTGTTCACACTTATCTACAAGACAATCTGAATGCCACATTTGCCCTTCCATTCACCGGACTATTTGCGTCTCGTTGCACTTTTTTGCCAAATCTAAGCTTCATCATCGAGATGTTCGTTCTTGCAGCACCGACCGTGATCCTATTGGACGATGCGCAGCCTAGTGGATGCGGCACTTGACTGTAGCCATACACACAAGTGGGTTTCTGAGGGATCGTTCCATTCTGACCACCGGAAGGGCTCCAATTTGCAGGGATACGGTAGTTCGAGACGTGAAGGTGAGACGGAGCGGTAGCGGGCGAATCGATAGCGTGGTTCAAGATCGCTCAGATCTCACCAATCTTGCTTCATCATTCCACTTTACATACTTGCTTCCTTACCATGCCGCAAAAGCGTGTTAGTTCTCGATACCAAGTTATCATCATACGATCCATCGCTTCCACTCAAGTTCGAAGCCCGCCCGCCGCTCTTCTGATGCCACCTTTTTCTAAGTCTTGGTGCTGTCATTGCCCAGTTCTGCCCTCACTACGTCTATGCTTCTCTGTCTTGCGCTAGTGACCATTCTTGATGCACGTATCCATCAACTTAGACAATACACATTGTCTGCCAGCCGTGGTCATCTCAGGTTGTAGGTATCTTTGCACGATGATTGATCGCTCTGAAGCCACTGAAAATTGTTGAATAACATGATCCAGACCCACAGGTAGGTGTGGCTTGGGTATCTTGATCCAGCTGGGCTCTGTCCGGGACAACTGGTGGAATATATTCACCCATGGCATCTCCGCTTACTGTAGACTCTATCTACAGCGATCCCATGCACCTTGTATGTATGCTACATCATCTTGTCCTTTCTTGGGAACGGATCATCACCATGCTCCTCACTCCGTGTGCAGGTCGATTCAGGACACCAATACGCGAGGGCGGCGTCAAAGAAGAAGCCATCGTTTATGTAACTCATGTTGTTGAATCGATATGATTTCGTGGAGTTCTGTGATCTGCGGGTCTGATCTCCTTGAAAATATGCTTACGCAGCATCTTTGTACTTGTAAATGGCAAGCTCCTTGAGCATCAACTTACTCTTCGAAAGTACGTGCTCACTATAACTATACTTGATGGTTGCTTCGCAGCCCAGCTGCTCATATTGATGCTGAGCGGCATGTGTGGTTTAGTCTTCATTCGCGATTCATACGTGTACCGGATTGGTTGAATTGTGGTCATTAGCGTCGAATGTGTGCGTTGTTCTGGAATGTCTCGCCTGTGCGGCATTGGTGTCGAGGTTGGGTCTAGTTGCCATTGGACGCGAGCTTCCAGTCGAGGTTCGTCTACCTAAATATATCCTTCGAAGCGAGCCAAGTAACTGAGCTTATACTCAAAGTCACTCTGGCGCAAGATACATATAAGCAAATCAGCTAAGACCTCAGTGCCCTTCGCAGCTTCTCACCCGATCCTTCTGCGATCACCTCAAGATGGCTTGTGGCGCAAGAAATTACCATCGTCCTTTATGTACGGAGCTTACCGTGGAGCGCTGCACGTGTCTAGTGTGTCAACATGGTTAGACGACTGTATTCCCAAGGGACCTGCCCTAGATTTTGCATGTCGCACGAGCCGAAGCTGCCTCGGAGGATGATAACCCGAGCACCGTGATGCACGACTTGGTAACAGTACAAAATGCTCGCGCCCTAATCGCCCGAGCGGACATGCTGCTCGGCAAGATAGAGATCGAAGCGGACCCTGCATTAAAGCGGGGTGGCGTCGTAGATCCGGAAGCGATTAGTGTGGGGTGAACTAGATGGACAGTGTTTGTTCACTTGGCGTCGATTAGATACATGTGATGGATGTTGTATCATTTCATTCATAAAAACTCCGCAAAACGCTATGCTTACTTCAAAGACCAGACACCGTTCTCCTCAATGATCTCGATAGGTCGGTTCTCGTCCAGCGATCTCCGCCCAGCCTCGAGGATGGCAGTTGTGGCGATGGTGTTCTTCAGTGTGGGGAGCGGGCGCGCATCGAGCTGTTCGAGTGTGACCTTGCCGTCGTTGAGCAGGTTGACGGCGTCGATGAATTTCTCGAAGGAGATGTATCCATAACCGATCTGGCCAGCGAAGTTGCCCTCCTCGTCAGGAGCGTACTTCATGTAGAAGCTATAGGAAGTTAGCATTTGAGGATAAGCTATTTTAGAGAAAATACGTACGGGTTGTACCAGAGCAGACCGGTCTCGTCGTCAGTGACGTCGTAGCCGCGCTTCGCCTGGTTGACACGGATCTCTCCAGATGAAGACATGTAGTGGAAGTACTGGTTTGAGTGGACACCGGCCTTCTGTGGTGCTGCCCAACCAGCTGTGTAGACACCTGTCGCGCGCTTGCTGGGGTCGTCCTTCTTTACCCAGTCGGTGAGAAGTGTGATTGTGTCCTCAGTAACAGGGTCGCAGCCAAGAGTGGTCGCAATACCCTTCGCCGCGCTTCCCATAACGCGAACGGGCTTGTAATCAGGGACCATAGACTCATTAATGTCGATGTGGTGGGAGTTGAGGTAGTACGAGATGTCGCTATCCTTGCCGGCCCAAGCCTTGAAGGTCTCGAGCTGGCTCTTCGGCTGGCTCATGTAGGAATAGAAGTAGTTGAAGTCACCGAGCTTCTGGGCCCTGAATCGTGCATCGGCGTAGGCAGGATCGTAGCGCTTGTGGTGCTCAATGTAAACAAAGACATTGTGCTCCTTGGCCTTGGCGAGAAGCTCCTGGTGGTGCTCAAGCAGCTTGACTGCTGGCTTCGTGATCAGGACGTGGATGCCGCGCTCAATGGCGTATAGAGCAATTGGATAGTGGGTGGTGTCTGGGGTAAAGATTGTGACTTTGCCATGTCAGCTGACATCAACAATTTGCTCAGCGATTCAACTTACTGGCGCTGCCCTTGGGAAGAGCGTCAATTGCTGTCTTGTACGCATCTGGATCAGTCTTGCCCTCCTTGGGGAACTCATCGAAAGAAACGTCAAGGCCGTTGTATGCCTCTGAGATATTCTTTCGGAGATGCTCGCCTGTCACATGTTAGCAGTTGAGCATTCCTGTATTTTCGGGAGCATTGACTTACGAATGGCAGGGAATTTGCCTCCAGAAACACCGACCATGGACAAATCACCGACCTTGCCGCGTCTTCGCAGGTCGAAGAGGGTCAATCCCACAACACCGACCTTCTTGTCTGACTTGGAGGCACCACCGCCAACAAAACCGGTTGTGTACTCTCCGGTACCAACCTATGCAGCTGATTAGCTAGCTGCTCGTTTCCTGCTTCTTCTCGAGGAACCGGAATCTCCAGTCTAGAGTTTTACTTCTTGCAACTGCTCACAGCAAGTTCAGACCTTCCAAGTGCCGTGTGAAGCTGCAGAGAGGCCGTTGCGCTAATGAGGGGTAACTTACCATCAAAACCGCAGGAGGAGCCATGGTGCTGCTGTTTTCTGCCGTTCTTTGGGTATAGGAAGATCAATTGGGACTCTCTTCAGCTTCAGTCGAAGTTTCAAAGTAGAGGAAGGTAAGATGAGGCAGTTTCCTGGGGAAGGCTCCCAGGCAATGCATAACAACGCGTCGGCTTCGTCGGCGTTTGAACGGAATAATTTTGCCATCTCTTAGCACGATCCAGTGCATGGAGGGGCACGAGGGGCTTGTTGGACGGCTGACAGACGCGCAGCATTTTGCCGTTTCCCGCGGCCGGCATGACGTTTGACTGGACCATGGTGTGGTAGCGGGGCGCATCTGGTCATCGTGGTGGTTCCAGGAAGCTTGTCGAAGCGGGAAAAGCTATCATTTCGCTATTCAACGCGTCAAATGCTCTCAACAGCGCGTCGAGTGTCCTGCGAACGTGCTGCTGTGACACGCGGAAGTTTACATGCTCATCGTGTTTTGAGGATGACGCCAACGCTCTTCCCCAGGCCAAGAGAAATGGGAAGTCGCGCATGATGCACCCCACGCGAGCAGTTTCGCTCTCATTGGTGGAGAAACCACAAAAGTTTCTCCGGACTCCGAGTCTCGAGGAAACACCCCCCGTGCTGGGCCACTTCGTTCACCATCCAGAACCCTGCCATAGGCGGTAGCGCTTCCACACGACAGGCGACAATTTAGTCACCCCACAGTGAATGGTCCCGCATTTCGCGCAGATGTCGCCCGAAATCGTCAGGCGGTCCAGATTCGGCACGCGATTCGCTCTGGTCTCTGCAGTCTTCATAGTATTGGTCTGCTTAGCGAATGAACGGCCTGCATTTGACGAGACGTTGACTTTCTTAGAGCAGTGGAGAGGCGCGACTCAAGGTGGGATGTTTTTGGGCTCTGCCGGGCTACTTCCGCCGACCATTTCGCTGATATATTAATGCTGACCGAGCCCATATATATCTACTGATATTGATTCTCCTCTTCCTCTACACCATTGATCATCTGTGTCACCTACGTCAATACCCCTCATACCCATCAATCATGTCCTCAAACGGCAATGGCGTCAAGAAGGAGCGCACGCCTCTGCGTGCAGGTGTTTACTCTCCCACCATGACCTTCTTCGATCCCGAGACAGAGGAGCTTGATGTGCCCACAATCAAGAAACACGCTGTCCGCCTCGCCGAGGCCGGCCTCGTTGGTCTGGTCACCATGGGATCCAACGGTGAAGCTGTCCACCTTTCCCGTGCAGAGAAGCAGACTGTCACACGAGCAACCCGCGAAGCTCTGGACGAAGCCGGCTACAAGGACGTTCCTGTCATTGTCGGTGCCTCAGAACACGGCATCAAGCTCACCATCGAACTCGCCAAGGAGGCGGAGGCAGCTGGCGGTGAATACATCCTCACTGTTCCCCCTTCTTACTACCGCTACGCCATCGACGAGGAAGCGATTGAGGAGTACTTTACTAAGGTCGCTGACGCATCGCCTCTGCCCATCATCATCTACAACTACCCTGGCGCCGTTTCTGGAATCGACATTGACTCCGACCTGCTCATTAAGCTTGGCAAGCACCCCAACATCGTCGGCACAAAGTTCACCTGCGGCAGCACAGGAAAGCTGACCCGTGTTGCGTACGCCCTCGATGCTGTTTCCACCAAGAGCACAGGCAGCGGCTACATGGCACTTGGCGGTATTGCAGACTTTACAGCACAGACAGCAGCATCTGGCGGCTCTGGTATCATTGCTGGTGGCGCCAACGTCATCCCTAAGACATGCGTCAAGGTCTGGAACCTGTGCGCAGAGGGCAAGCTCGAGGAGGCGTTCGAGCTGCAGAAGAAGCTCAGCAAAGGTGACTGGGTACTCACCAAGGCTGCCATCCCGGGCACCAAGTCAGCGATTCAGAGCTACTTTGGCTACGGTGGATACCCCAGGAGGCCACTGAAGAGGCTGTCCAAGGAGAAGACACAGGCTGTTGCAGACGGCATCAAGGAGATCATAGAAATCGAGAACAGCCTGTAAGTACGAGGAACCGAGCCTTGAGGGTTGGGTGGCCAAAAACGTTGTCATGCATTTACGAAGTTCATCATGTATATAGTCATCCAATAACGAAAGCTACTTCATGAAACTTGGAGGCTTCGGCTGGTCAGCAAGAGCTAGAGATTGGAGGTGATTGTGTTGCACGAATCCTTGAATAGATTGCTGACGTATGGATGATATGTTCGTACCACAACCTGCCTTATCAGGTTCTGTATTGTGAGTATTTTATTAATCTACGATTCTAAGTTCACGTGTTTGAGCTTACCATGAAGTTGTAGGTGGTGACAGTCCTAGCGCTGACGAGATCGCCAGACGTAATCAGCTCTCGACACCAAGACCTACGTTGCTTGAACAGACGGCACGACACGACTAAATTATTACTCGCCGAAAACATTATACATCTGAAGCAAGTCTATGTGAGCAAGATGCCATCCTCGAGCACATACTCGCTACCAAGGTAACATGCATCTCTACGACAGCACCGTCCCCTCCGGCAACGCCTACAAAGTGCCCCTCCTTTCCCGACTAGACCATCCATACTCAGTCACAAGTTTACACATCCCTCGACAACGGAACAACCCTCACAGAATCAAACGCCATACTTTTCTACCTTGCAGGAGGCACGCCATATTTGCCAGGTGGTAGGGCAGAGTGCGCGCAAGTGCTGCAATGGATGTTCTTTGAGCAGTTTTCGCATGAGCCGTTTATGGTACACTGGTCATCAAGGGATACTGATCACGCCATAGTAGTGGAACGCTGACATAGTGTGCTGCAGGTGAAATGGAAGTTCAGAACCAACCGCAGATACAGCAGATGCGGGACGCCGGACAGGCTGCTATCGGTGTCATGGAGACGCACCTAAATCAAGAAGGAGGGGAATGGTTCGTTGGTGAGAGGCACAGTATCGCGGACATTGCGCTGTTTGCGTATACGCAACATGCAGAAATCTTGGGATTCGAAATTGGTGAGAATGTGAAGAGGTGGTTGAAGAGGGTGCAGGGTGCGACGGGATGAGTGAGAATTGAGAAAGATCCTACTGGGAAGAACCCTTTCTGATGGTATGTATGGATCGCCTGCTGCGATATTTATGAGGTCTAGGATGTATATTGATTAGACTAAGTGGTTCTTTGTCATAGATTTGTCAGAGTACTCTAAAACATTCTCGCTTACACGCCCCACATTTGTCGTTGTTCTTCCCGTCATACTTCCCGTGCAACTCTTCCCGTATTATTCTATCCGTTTCCGTACCGTCCGCTTCCGTCCAGCGCTCTTGTCCCCACATATATTTGATTAAAGCAATCCCTGAAACCAAGCTGATTAGAATCTGTGTTGTCAGTGTCACAGAGGCCGAGGTGTATCATTCAGGCGGTTCTAGAAGCCACTTTCGGAAGCAAGCAAGCGGTCACAGTACGAACCAGGGATTTGTATTCGAAGGTATGTGTCTTGCCTCCTAAAGGAGGCTATCAAAGTGGTATCATTTACGTGCCGCTTGTCCTTTCCAGACTCCCTTTTCAAACTTCGTATCTCAAACATGAAAATTTTGCTCATTCAGCCATTCAGTTGCCGGCGCAGTTGAGTTGCGTTGCTCGTAAGTTGTGTATGCATATCGTCATCGGATCGTACACACCCGCTCTTTTCTCGCTTACGGTACCCGAGCTCAGATTGCAAGACCATTGCCTAGGCTGGTCCACCGGTACAGCGAAAGTACTTCTCGGCGTTTCGCAGGTGTCATCTCTCGTGCATGGCCGTGGCCCTTGATCTGTGCTAGTGTCGAGATCATGACCTTTCGAAAATTTCTCTGAAACTCGAGTCAATCTCGCGTCGCGGTGGATGAGCGGGCCGATTGACTTACCTGATACTCTGTGTTGAGTGTGACTACTGCGGCCTCATGTGCTCGAACAATGATCTCGCAAGCTCGGATCACTCCATCGTTGGTCTCGGTTGATAACTTGTCTGCCAACAGTAGAAGGATCAGACTGCCTTGCAACAAGTACTGTAAAACTGTCAGCGAGAGAACCTGATGCACGGGAGTATAATCTTACCATGCCAAAAAGATATGGCATAAATGAAAGATCGGGATCAAGATCCAGTATCTCCTCCACTGCGTGCGCAGCGGATATAGCATTCGATGTAGCAGCAAGAAAAGATGGCGAGCAGATCCACATGTTGTCGTCTTCAAGTAGTGCTACAGGATCCCATTTTCCGTGCAACAGGATGTGCAGAACATGCATGATGTGCGTGGCGTAAGCGGCAATCTTCCGTGTCTGATGGATCCATTCCATGCGTACGGCGTCAGGTGTACCATTTGTTTGGTTTACATCGTCGTTCTGTCCACAGCCATGTTGGGCCTTGAAATCTTCGATGCTATATGCGTAGTTTTCGAGTTGTTGTGTGATTTCTGCTTCGTGAAGCTCCCAGGATGTCCGCTGCCCAAACCTCGGGTGGTTCTTTTGCGCATTGAGGTCCACGATATCGCCCAGGATCGTCATAAGCGGCAAGAAGAAGCCAAAGACGTCATGCGAAGTGCATTGAAAGTTAAGGCCCTTCTTTCTCGGTCCTGAGTGACCAGTATAGAATTCGCCGGCTTGCCACACTGTATCTGGAACAGGTTGGAAAAGATCCTCGCACTCATTGTCTAGCATGGCCAAAGGTCGGTTGTAGCAGAGTCCCAGATGGCGATCGATCATGTAGAGTAGCCACCACAGCCTTCGTCTTTCCTCCTTCATCTCTTCCACAAGAGCTGCAGCCGGTGTGCCCACATCTATATCGCCGTTCTCATTTGTGTGTCCACTGCGCTCTTTCGCGGGATCCGTTGGCAATTCTCTTCCCAATTTGAGCTCTCGTGTCAGTGACCATGCAGCGTTCCACCATCGAAGCGACGCTGCCTTGTACTCGCTTGCTGAAGTCACCACTCCCAAGTTGAGGTATGTCGCTACGTCGTCAAGATTACTGGTAGGTGGCATGGCGCCATCCATTCGTCCATCGTATCGTCCTATCGTTCGTTCCACGTTGAATGAGTCATGTGCTGCTGAGGTGACTCCGCCACGACCAGGAGCAAAACCATGTGAGGAAGTTGAATGAACTAAGGGCTTGAGTAGATCGACCGTCAGCTTCCACAGCTTCTGACATATAATAGCTCTTGCTGATGGCGAAGAAGTCAGATAAGTAGCCTCGCTCGTCTGTGCAGAGACCCAGAGCATGCTGGCAAGTAAAGCAGGACTGCACTTCCTTGGTTTGTGCTGACGCAAGAAAGATCGTTTTCTGAAGACGGTCCCTAGAATGTATGGTGACACTGGCTCCATGAAGACTGACGATGAGCTTTGGAAGTAGTATTCAAGAAGGTCGCAGGCAGTCGAGACGCTCATGATGGCACCCAGGTGTGGAAAGAGAGGCTTCAAGACCGGATACCTGCACACTATTGCACCAGCTTGTGATGAGTTGACGCTGACTCCGGACTGCGGCGATCCAGTGTCTGCTGAGCCATAACTGTGCGGTGGTGATGATGGTCGAGGTGCTTGGAACGGAATCGGATACCCTACATTTGCATACTCTGCTGGCATTGATGCCAATCCATTCATGGCGTACATAAGCTCTTCGTTGCGTGGCATTTCGGCTTGCATGGAGCCTAGCAATAATGGATCGATCATCATGTGTGTTACTGGTGGATTGAAGGGTGCGCCTGTTCATACCATCAGTATCGTTTTCGAGGGCTTGTCTAAGTCTCAATTACCAGTATTGAAGCTTTGCCATTCTCCAGGAGGAGGGTTGTGCAGGTTGCCCTTGCCGTCAGAGACGAAATGTTGCGTCACTGGCGTTGGTTCTGATCGTGACCAGCCTTCATCCTCGATCTCAGTCACGACACCAGGCCTCTCGAAGAGACCATTTGACACGACTTGAAGTTCGTTTGGTGTCTGTGGACTGCGTGATGCAGCTACCTCTGCTTCTCTTTGTTTCTGGATGTGTCTTGGTACCTGAGTCAGTCAGTACCGCGAGTCAACACCAAATGTCGAACATGCCAACCTTTCCACGCCGTTTCTTTTCTCTGTTGTACTGGCAAACATATTCAAGCTCTACATGCTGTCAGCCTGGCTCTAAAAGGAAGATGATCCAAAACGTACCTATACACCTGGAGCATGGCGCCTGTCCTACAACGAGCGATACAGTCAGCGCCTGTCTTTCATGCAGATGTGACACTGTTACCATTACAACGAGTACGCATGCGGTGGCAATGATCGCACGCCCTGCTAACCCTTCTCTTAACAGCCGCGGAGCTTCTACGTTCCATCTTGGACATCTCAAGTGCCGTGGGCTCCATCGTAGCTATGTCAACCGGTGGAACGTGGATTCGATCAGAGGTAAGGGAACAGAGTCTGGGGAAGATCGGTCATGCGATGGTAGAAAGCATATGTGGGCCTCCGATCAGAGCTCTGCCGAGGAGCATCTCCGAATATGGACACTAGTCGGGAAGCAGGCCGTGCTTTCAAGGCCAGTGTCACCTGCGCTCTGACAGTTCCATGCGTTCGAGAAGCGAGGTCAGCCTACGCGCAAAAACGCAGCAGGCGTAACCACTAATTCCAGGAGTGTTTCCACAGGATGTGGCTCGTCGATCCTGGGGCATTCGCTGTCGGCACAAGTTAGGATGCAATTCATCCGGCCAGTTTAGCCTAAAGTGAAGAGCCCCGCAAGACAGAACACGTTCGGCTAGCGCCATATCCCGTCGTCGCTTGTCGCTTCCACATCAACTTGCCACCATGTGCCTGGCTTTACCCCAGAGTGTGGCTTCACCACCATCATCATCATCATTATTGCAACAATCTTAACATCTGCCATGTCCTTCCTTTGACCCGGAGTCTTGGTCACAAACCTGGCGGTGAGTTGCGCTGGGTTGTGCAGTCGGCCCCTGAAATCGCTCTTTCCTGTTTTTAGATCGCAGAAACGCTCACGTACCGAAGTGGCAGACGTCAGGGCGTTAAAGCAATGCGGCCATGAAACAGAACTCACCAAACGATCGTTCCCGCACTGTCACCATACACTGTCACCGTATACTGGATACCCACGTCTCCAACCAATCGCTTCTGCGACACGCAGCCCTGACGTTCGAGAATGATGAAGTATTTCCGTCCTCTGGAGCACCTCTACATCGGCAGCTAAACCTCGAGGATTAGTCTACGAGGATGCACCTGTTGAACTCTATCGCATTTCACTGCCGTCGCTGCCACGCAGGAGGTGCGCTAAAAGCTTAGGTGCTCTACCGGTCTGCAATGCTTACTCTAACTCCAACATGTACTCGCCCTGGCGCCAACGCTCGAGTGTTGCGACCGATTCGAAGACAAGCGCCAGGATGCGCAAGTTGATCGTCCTTGATTGCTGAGGAGTGACTTCAAGTTCACCATCTGCATGACTGCCACCTCTTAAGGGATGCTTTTCAATAATACATCGTTCTATACCCAGCTGTGCCAGCCTGCGACCTAACCATGAGTAGTGGAAAGCATACATCCGTATCCTTGAATCCTGTGAGGCCTCTTCCTCAGGTTTGAGCCGCAGCTGAGCGGTTCTCCGTCAAGAACCCAGGTGAAACGTTCCGTAGCAGGGGCATGCATCCTTCACTCCATCTTCTGATCGGCGCGCCACTCTTCGAAGTTCGAATTGCATCTCATCAACATAATCTTAAGACGTCGCATATATGCAATCAAAAGCGCACTGACTGCGCCGGCGGGCCGTGAACGGGTTTGTGCTAAGCTGTCCTCACACCTGGAACATGCGGTATGTGGATCTTGAGGGGCGAAGATGGATCTGCTGTACAGTTTCTGCAAGGCTCGAGCACGAGGACATGCACGCTAGCATGCATACCGACAGAAGCCTCCACGTTTCTGCTTGCAGCGTTGATGCATGTTAGATGCAGGAGATGCGGCCCGGAGCTCTTGCATTGGTCGGCTTGCTACGCCTCCCTAGAAATGGCACAGCGGCAGCTTGAGGTCGGTCTGTGTCATCACACGGATCCAGGAGAACGTTGTACTTTAAGACAAGCGAGCGCGGACATTCGACTACATATGGTTAGACCAATGTATACTGTTCGCTTTAGCGTGCAAAAGCTCCCCACCGCTAATCCATCATCCCCACAAACGCTAAAATGTGGCTCTCTCAGTCAGCTCATCACCACCAAAGTCCATCACGTTCTCTTCCATACTGTGGGGCTGACGCTGCCCTAACCACCTGCATTGCCTGCCTCATGGGATCTCCGCAGCTTGCAGTATTCGTATGACGCTCTTTTATTGATTTGTACGTTCAGCAGATCATGATGCGAAGCGCATCTTCCAGCCACCAACTTACTGGCCCGCCCGAGGCTTCGCAGCGCGTAACTCAGCTCTCGGTGGCAGCGAGATTGCACCTGCATTTGTGCCTGATGCCTGGCGACCCACAGGCTGCAATCACTGTGAGGCGACTTATGATCGTGACTTTGCAATCAAGGTACGCAAAAGGAAGGAACATCCACGTCGGTCACCTCAGCAACTATAACGCCTGAACGTTCTGGGATAAGACAACTATGCCTGATAGGTCGATTCGGCTCAGCGGATGTATCCCAGACTGTACTCGTGTCCACTCGACGCTTCACATCTTACATCGATCTGTTATACCCTACACCCGTGTAGGGAAGACCATGTACTCGCCCAGTGTAGAGGAGGTCAACATTGAGCTTCTTGCGACTAGTGCGACCGCGAACCGCTTCTTCACTCGGCATTGTAACTCTAAGTTCTCTTCAATGGCTGACGGCTAGACGCTTCGACGCGAAAGCTAGACGAGCCGAAATGTCGCAATCGTAACGGTAGACGCCGTTGTTGGCTAGCTGAGATCATGCACTCCAGTTTTCATCGTATATTTTCAGGGAAGAGGGCTATAATGTCAATGTTAAGGCTCATGTGATACTCTGAAAAGTTCAGATATTGATGAAGGACATCTCCACAAAGGCATGAAGAGATGTCTGATCAGTACTGACTATGCATTAGATCCCACTAGCCACAAGTTGCAGATGAATTGGACCCACAGTACCTGGCTCGACATTCACACAGCAATGTCCACGCAGTCACTGGCGACCACAACAAGAACACCGATGTCTCAAGCAGGATCCAAGCCAAGGTTCCGAGTGGGACTATGGAACGACAGTACGCCACCCAAAGACCAGTGATGTGCTTCAAGGTTCATCACGTTGTGACCATGAGCGAATCTGACAGGGCTTGACACTGTGGCTGCAGTCAACCTCCAACAACCCGTATTGGTCGCACATTTATACTCCGAAACTTGAGGTTTCTCGAATGTCTCAGGTAGATGGGAAGCAAGCACGCCGTGTCGGAGTAAGTACCGGCAGCACCTAGCTGGACATGTGTTTCATTACCTTATTGTATCACGAAACGAGCTTCTAGTCACACACCAAACCACATGGTCGGATTCTGGAATGAATCGTGGAACACAGGTTCGACTATAGTCAACATTAGACTCTCGACTCCAAAGATCAGGAACTGGTTTTCGCTATTCCCGACCGCGCGATGCCTCCACTGGGGCAAATCTGCATTGCATACCAAATGATACAGATACGGCACGGATCGCAGTCTCCGTACGATCAGTGCTCAAAGCGCTAGTCAACCGTTGTCAATTCGGATTCGGATTCAGAGAGTCTACAGTCTAGTAGGACAAAATGGTCAGCGAGGACGACTACTCCATCGACCAAGTTTATCCCATCATCACGCCCTCAACAACTGCGCACAGGCACTCGGTAGCCACAACCTCCTATCAGCACTCTCAAGAATGTCTCCATCGAGCCCAGAATCACGATCGCAGCTCCACGCCCCATCGAAACTATCAGATCCTGAAACATAGTACTTACTTGCCAGACTTCTCGGCATCTGCCTTCATGCCAGCCTGCACCCATTTGCGAGACTCTGCGGCCTGCTGCTCCATCTTGGCTTTGTCCTTGAGCAGTTCCTTAATTTTGTGCGGATCAGGCACGTGGCGTCCTTTCTCGACCCCGGATCGCTCAGCCATGCGCTCCTCCCACGCCTTGAGGTTCGGAAAGTCCTCGATCTCGACACCTGCCCAGCCTGCTGCTGCGACCCAGCCCCAGTGCGCGATATCTGAGAAGTGTAAGTGTGGAGCCAGGAGAAAGTGTGGCAAGGTGACAGTGACGGCTAGGAGCGGCATGCATAGAGCTCAGGAACAGTCAAGGGTAGGGGTGCTTACCAGCAATAGTGCATTTGTCGCCCACAAGGTACGGTCGCTTATCAGATGCAAGATGCTTGTCGAGCACAGAGTAGAGGCGGCGTGTCTCGTTCGTGTATCGGTTAACTCCGTACTCGATGTGCTCGGGGGCGTAGCGAGAGAAATGATCTAGATTGCGGTCAGTTCCACCTATTCAAGCTGTGTGACTGTGTGAATGTGGCAAGTCTTTCCAGACTCAGATCCACTGTCGCATTAGTGAACTCTGTTAAGGCTGTATCCACTCAGGTGAGAAAGAGCGAGGACTTCGAGCAATGCGCCGGAAAAGACATGGCCCGGATATTCGACGCCAGAAGGAGTCAAAAGTCGGCGAAGCCGAACCTTCTCGACGAACGCCTCTTGTCTCCCCTACGTTCTTCCCTCGCAGCTCTTTCCTTGAAGCCACCTCCCGAGTGATCACAAATAACTAAAAGGTACTCACTAGCTTGACCTTGCATAGGTCCTACACCAGCGTTCTGGTAGAACAGCCAGTTGTTCGTCTCATACCACTCACGGCTAGCCTTAGGGTACGAGATCTTGTGCTCAGTGTCGTAGCGCTCGACCAGGTACTGCATGATGCTTCCGGACTCGAACAGGTTGATTGTCTGGCCGTCGGTGAATCGGTCGGTCAATGCTGGGATACGGCCATTGGGATTGATGGCGAGAAACCAGTCCTCCTTTTGCGTGTTCTTGTTGATTTCAATTTTCTCTACTTTGTAGGGAAGACTGTGATTGTTAGCAACGCGTACTCCAAGGTAGATATATACGTATGTCACTCACCCAAGCTCTTCCAGAGTAATGGAGATCTTGATGCCATTGGGCGTCTGTGTTGTGTAGAGAACGATGTCTGATCCTTGAGCCGACATGATGGAAAAAGTTGGATTATTAGTTCACAATGTAAGTAGGCAAGAGTACTCTGGGTGATTCGGATGCTTTGTATTGAGATGAAGTGGGTGGGGTTCGAAGAGGGGCTATGACGAACTTAGAGCTTGCTTAGAAATTGTGGCCCTACAGCATACTGTGCTTGCCACGCACCAATACTCGTGATACTGACTAAGCAGGCACAACTTGCTCATTAAAAATTTAATATGTTAAGAGAAGTGGCATCTAGCATTGCTTAAATCAGGTCGCACGTTACCTGGGCCACTTACGACCGGCTAACCTAGACTTGCTAACGCATAAAATACGTCCTAGCTGGGTTCATCTGAAAGGCCACGCTCTTCTCTAAAGAGCCTAATGGAAAGCCGAACAGAATGTTGCGCATCCTGCCTGCAGGGCGGCCTTTGTAAGTCCGAGGGCTCATACAATCGCCGAGTCAGGTAATCATGATACTGTTGTGATGGACCCAATATGGAGGGCCAAGCCGACGAAAGGGTGTACTTCACTCCAGATACCCAGAATGGAGTTCAAGAATGAACAGCCATTGCGACGGGTAGATATATTAACACGTGACGCCAAGCGCTAGACCGAGCTCAACTTTACTTTGCCGTGCCGCAACACTTTCGCGCAACCACCCCCCATCAACACCGAACACCTGTCAGCAAATATGTCGTGGCGCAACCAGGGCATCACCGGCTCGAACAATATTCCGCTCGGCACGCGCCGACGTTTTGGTGGCGATGATGATGCTGGAGGTTACAACCCTTCTGCGCCGGCGGAAGGTTTGTCTGAGCTGAAGCGTGGGCGCAGCCCTGAGCGAGGTAAGTTAACAACGATGACACAATCATGAATATCTACTAACAGCTTCGAACAGCTCCCGATGGTCCTAGACAGCGCAAGAAGCGCAATCGATGGGGAGATGCCAGCGAGAACAAGGCTGCTGGTTTGATGGGCTTGCCCACAGCCATCTACTCAGCCATGACTACTGAGCAGCTTGACGCCTACACCCTGCACTTGCGCATTGAAGAGATTACGCAGAAGCTGAAGATCAACGATGTGGTGCCAGCAGATGGCGACAGGTATGTACCAAGATTCTCAGCCGTCTACTATCACCATACTAATCGTTACAGGTCTCCATCCCCACCCCCTCAGTACGACAACTTCGGTCGCCGTGTCAACACGCGCGAGTTCCGTTACCGCAAGCGCCTCGAAGATGAGCGCCACAAGCTCGTCGAGAAGGCTATGAAGACGCTTCCTAACTACCACCCGCCTGCCGACTATAGGAGGCCTACTAAGACACAGGAGAAGGTCTATGTGCCAGTCAATGACTACCCGGAGATTAACTTCAGTACGGAACTAACCCCTCTAACTTTCCTTTCTCAGTCCCCTACAACCCTAGCCTTTGTCTTGACCAGCGTGCTCAGACTGCTTGGTGCTTATGCGCATCTGGCGAAGCCTGCAGTACAGCTTTGTCACTAACCCTACCTACCCTTTGCTCACACACATTTTTGATCATACACTAACCACAGCTTTTTGCACTAACAGTTGGATTACTCATTGGACCTCGTGGAAATACCCTCAAGAAGATGGAGTCTGAGTCCGGCGCAAAGATTGCGATTCGTGGCAAGGGCTCCGTTAAGGAGGGTAAAGGGCGATCTGACGCAGCTCACACCAGCAACCAGGAGGAGGACCTGCACTGCTTGATCATGGCGGATACCGAGGAGAAGGTCAACAAGGCCAAGAAGCTCATCCACAACGTCATTGAGACTGTAAGTTTTCCCAAATCCCGCTGCAGTCTTGATACTAACAATCTGCAGGCTGCCTCCATCCCCGAAGGCCAGAACGAACTCAAGCGCAACCAGCTCCGTGAGCTCGCCGCCCTCAACGGTACCCTCCGTGACGACGAGAACCAAGCTTGCCAGAACTGTGGTGAAATCGGTCACCGCAAGTACGACTGCCCCCAAAAGCAGAACTTCACTGCGAGCATCATTTGCCGTGTCTGTGGACAAGCTGGTCACATGGCTCGTGATTGTCCTGATCGCAAGGTTGGACAGCCGTGGCGCAATGACAACCGCTTCGGCGGCGACCGCCCTCAAGGCCGCATCGGAGGTGCTCCGGAGAACGAACTGGACGCTTTCTTGTCCGAGATGGGCGGCGGTGGTGGGCAGCCTCGTGGAGCTATCGAGTACAATGGCGGGGGTGCTGGCGGCGACAGCTATGGAGGCGGCGAGCGCAACCTCAAGCCCTGGGAGCGTGGCCCAACTGGCGGTGCTGCACCCTGGGCGCACAGCGACAGCCGTGGCGACCGTGGCGACAGCAACTCAGCTGCTCCTCCGCCCTGGGCTGGAGCTGGTGGAGCTGGTGCCGGCGCTGGTGGCTCCTACGACCAGAGCGGCGGCTACGGCAACAGCGGCGCCGCACCGTGGGCCTCTGCTGCTCCAGCTGCTGGAGCTTCGTACGGCTACGGAAACTACGGAGCTGGCTACGACCAGAGTGCTGCCGCGACGGGCTACGGTGCCCCTGGCTACGGCGCTCCTGGCTACGGCGCTCCTGCGGCTGCTGCCGGCCCTCCTCCTGGTCTGGGTCCTCTGTTTCAAAACTACGGATCAGCTGGAAGCCCGCCTCCTCCTCCGCCACCGTCTGGCTCAGTGCCTCCACCACCTCCTCCGGGTGACGTTCCTCCTCCGCCTCCGCCTGGCGATGTCCCTCCTCCACCTCCTCCCCCAGCCTAAACGTTGCGCGAGCTTTAGTCTAAATGTAGTAGTACTTGAGGTTTAGGCGGTTGGTTTCTTGGTATAAAAGCAATACTTACAGTCTAACTTTCAGAGAGTAGTTCTTCATAGTGCGCAGGCCGGCAGCGAACTATGGTATTGCAAAGTCTTTCTTTGTGACTGTAGGTAAGCTTCTCTTGAATAAGATTGGAGAACAGGAGATTCTCCTTCAGCAAATGCACTGTGTAGCCTCTAAGCTTTGCGTCGTGACGGTGGGCCTCTCATAGCCTATCAATACAATCTGCTTCTTCATTTCAAATTTCTCGAGCATACCAGGCATCCACTGGAACCTGACATGACCGCGATCGAAGATTTGAAGCTTTGAACCCAGTGACGTTATGTTGTAAATGCCAAGCGACCGCTTTGCGCATGAACGCCAGGCACATGCAGACGCTCCCCCACAACCCCCAACATGCCGACCTTCACACTAAACTGCTGACGATCCTTGCGCTCTAGACTCTTTCGCTTCCCATACCACATTCGTAATCTTGTAATATCTTCAAGACTGGAGTTTCGAAGAGCTTGCTTAAACCCCACCTTCGCAGGCAGTCGCTCTGACGACTGTGACACGCGAGCTTGCCGACAATGGAGAGGATACGCGTTAGTAAGGTGCGTGAACAAGTCTACATATAACATATATATATGGCTAATACAAGTCAGGTAGAAGATGTCTATCTTTTGCGCAGAGGCACGCGCTTCGACGGCACCCTCCACCTTATGCCCCACCACATCGTCTTCAGCTACCTCCCAAGCAAACCCGCCGACGCTCCGCCAGACGTAAGGCCGCCCCGACAGAAAGAAGTATGGATCACGTATCCCATGATCAACTACTGTTGTTTGAAATCATGTCCGCCCGTCATGCGCCAGCAGCCGTCGATCCGCATACGATGCCGCGACTTCACCTTCTTTGCATTCTTCTTCCCCGACGAGAAGAAGGCTCGCGAGGTCTATGACAGCATCCGCGCGCTGTCTTGCAAGATAGGCCGCCTTGATAAGCTTTTAGCGTTTAGCTACCAACCGAAGCCTCCGGAGGATCGGTTTAATAGTTGGGACATATACGATGCGCGTCGAGAGTTTAAGCGCCTGGGGATCAGCCCCAAAGATACGGAAAAGGGTTGGCGGATATCTGAGATCAATGTCGAATACAAAGTAAGCAGCTCCAGTAGCAGCGAAACGGGAGGACAGAGCATTCTAATGAGTAGCGCAGTACTCGAAGACATACCCCGCTCTCATCGCAGTACCTTCGAAGGTCTCAGACAGTGTGCTTAGATACGCCGGCGCATACCGCTCGAGACAACGTATACCTGCGCTCGTCTACCGTCATCCACTGAACAACTGCTCGATAACGCGAAGTTCGCAACCAACACCCGGCATCACAGGGAACCGCAACCCTCAGGATGAGAGACTCGTTGCAGCCATATGGGCTACCAACCGTGGGTGGAATCCTGCACCAACCCCGGACGCTGCTCGTTCTACTGCGGACCTGGCCATCGAGAATGGATCCAGTGCTGACAGTTCCTTCGTGGGTGTAGTGGACGCCGAGGCTGTCAACTCCGGGAGAATCATCGCGGACGATCTTAGTGTATCTACCGAGTCTGACGATAACGCACCCAAGATCTATGGCGCACAGCAACGAAATCTCATTGTCGATGCCAGGCCGACCGTAAACGCATACGCAATGCAGGCTGTTGGACTGGGATCAGAGAAGATGGACCACTACCCTGGCGCCGAGAAAGCATACCTCGGAATCGACAATATCCACGTTATGCGAAAGTCGTTGAACACGGTCATTGACGCACTGAAGGAGTCGGACCTCACATCTTTTCCACCCAATCAGCAGCTGCTGGCGAAGAGTGGCTGGGTCAAACACACCGCGAATATTCTTGACGGCGTCGCACTGATAGCCCGCAGGGTGGGCATCATGCACTCACATGCTCTGATTCACTGTTCAGATGGATGGGATCGCACGAGTCAGCTGAGCGCGCTGAGCCAGATCTTGCTTGACCCATACTACCGAACCATGGAAGGTTTCATAGTGCTTGTTGAAAAGGATTGGCTTTCCTTCGGCCACATGTTTCGACACAGGACCGGTTTTCTCAGCCACGAGAAGTGGTTTTCGATCGAGAATGAACGCATAGAACGCAAGGTTGATGGCCAAAGCGGCGGCAACGCCTTTGAGAACGCTTTGCGTGGAGCAAAGGGCTTTTTCAACCGGCAAAACGAATCTAATGAATCGTTGAATCAACTACCGGAGACGAACAGCACGGAGAATGTGGGAGATGTATCAGATGCTGCGGCCACGAAACCTTCCAGCAAGATTGGTGCTGCTGAAGAACACCGGATCACCAAGATCAACGAGCTATCACCCGTCTTCCACCAATTCCTCGACTGCGTATACCAACTCCAGTACCAACACCCCACACGGTTCGAATTCAGCGAACGGTTCCTACGACGCCTTCTATACCACCTCTACTCGTGTCAGTATGGTACTTTTCTCTTCGACAATGAGAAAGAGCGCATGGAAGCTAGGGCGAAGGAGCGTACAAGAAGCGTTTGGGATTATTTCCTCTGCCGTAAACAAGAGTTTCTGAACCCGAAGTATGACCCTGAGGTCGATGACTCAGTACGGGGCAAAGAACGTATGATCTTCCCACGCAAAGGCGAAGCCAGATGGTGGGCTGAGTGCTTTGGGCGTACAGATGATGAGATGAACTTGTACGGCCCTCAACTACCGCCAAGCCTGACACCGCAGACAAGCAACGTGTCGAATGGCAGGAGTGGAGCGAACACACCACTACGACAAGAGTCTATTGTTACTGGGACCGAGACAGCCGAGGGTGCAACAGGTGCAGGCACGACCGCTGATCTGCCGCCCACACACGCCGTTGGTGAGCGCACGAGTAGCGTCTCGGCTGCGTCGCCAACACCCTTCGATGCTGCGGCAGCGCTAGGACAAGACCTGAAGCAAGGTCTTGTGGCGGGCATGGGGAAGTTAAAAATTGGCGGCGTTAGTCCTCGACCCAGTACGGACTCGAGCAGATCGCCGCCAAGGCTGAGTACCGATACAAGCTCACAGAATGGGAAAGAGCGAAGTCGAAGTAGAAGTGAAGACACTAGGGGAGAGCTGGAAGTGGAGATGCGATAGTTTATCGGCACTCCGTGCCCGCTGATCTGTAATAGCGAGTCCAGCGTTGTATGTATGACAAACCTACACAACCACATTAGCTTGAATGATAATGAAATGATGATACCCACGTAGAGCGTCAAGCAGAACCTCTTCCAGCTTCAAGATTTGCCCAGAGAATTGCAGTCTATGCCGACCCATGTCATGTATAGGACTTTCGTAGAGCACTTACCAATTCTAGGTGCCCAGAGCTCAGACAGGCTCGACGTGTAGAGCACTTGCAAGCTTCAACCGCGTCATAACGGCCAATTCGCGATCGCTCCTTATTACAGAGTGGGTTGTTGCAAAAGTTGCGCATGCTGTGGGTGGGTGAATTGTGACGATTAGGCTGGAAGAAGTGAGGAAGCGTGGCAGCGGAGTCGCAGCTGAGCGGAGCCTTGAACACGGCCAACGGCTAACACGATTATAAGCAAAGGAGACTCTGACTTGTCCATCCAATACTTAAAGCTGTTCGAAATTGTATTGACCGCATACAGGCGGACATCAAATGGCCCAGGTCTCATGTCTTAGATAGTTGCCAGCAGCCTTCAACCAAGTCACAGTATCACAAGTTTACATGATGGCCTTCCGGCGAAGGGTAATGTGGCGTGCAGGGTTCAACAATGACTTGCGTCTCTCAGAGTATCTTCGTCTTCTGATAAAACTCGCAAAGCCCTTCATCTTGTTTGTTCTTAAATCGCCAAGAACTAAGCACACGATAGCACCATTGCAAGCAGACAAAAGCCGACAGGAACATGACAAATTATGCTTACCATTGGCAGCAAGGCTGCATATCTTGCGATTGTCAGTCCAAGCCTAATCAATTCAGTCGTGGTTTCAGCACGGGTTCGGCCTACCGTCTTTGTGTAGTATTGGACCCTGGGCCCTTCTAACCACGTCCCAGGGTATTTGCTTGACCCAGATTGGCCAGTGGCTCTAACTACTGCGCTAGGAGAGCTTTGTCAGTCCCCTCCGTCAGCCCTATGAGGTGATTGGGATCTGCTACTAGGCCAAATGCGTCCTTGTCCTCTCACAGTGGTTTTCCTCACACAAACCGTAGCTGAATTAGTCACACATACATCACAATTCTCTCCACTTGTGTCCATTGACAAGCTTGACACACCTGCTTGGCTTGACGTGAAATCGTCAGTCGTGGTCAGCATGGCAATACTCAGGCTTTCTGTGACCAAGGTCTAGTACTGGATCAATCAGCGTTCGGATACGCTACCTACGGATGGGACCCACACCAACGAGGTTGGCATGGGAAATTATACCAGTGGGCTCTTTCAAAGCATGCCGCCTGCAGGCTTGACGGAACAAACTGCTGGTCCCATGCAAGACTATGCGTCAAGCACGTTCGATGCAAATCCGGCACAGATACCACTGACCGCAACTTGCGGACCAGGTCTTCTTCGGGATGCTCCTCTGGTGGGCCAGAGTATGCAAGCCGCAGATCGATTTTCCATGTCGAGCAGTACCCCAACACCGACTGCAGACAGGGAGAATCTGCCCGATACAGTATGCACTGTACATGTTTCTCAGGCGTCCGGCAAGATGTCCTTTCAGTGCCCTCTTCCTGGCTGTGGAAGTGCTAGCTTCGCGCGCTGGGCAGACCTTTCTCGACATTACAAAGGAGTTCACCATCCGAACCCGCCGCAGTACTGGTGCCCAGTCGATTCTAGCGACCGGAGTGAAGCCGTCGGAGATTACTGGTTCCCGAGGAGTGATAAGGAGGATGATCATGTGCGCAATATGCATCCATCTTAAGCTGTTCAAGTCGGCGTTAGGGGGTTGTTTGGAGGATGAAAGAACAGTGTTTATTTAGAGCGTCCACGGTTTGGATTACTTAGCGTCGGTTTTAGTAAGCTAGTACAGCCCCAGTTCTCATCATCGTCCCCTTCCTTCCGACACTTCTCCTGAATTTCGTTTCTTCACACAAGTGAATCGTGCTTATGCATGCTTTCAACCCTCTCTTACTCTTGTTGTATACCCCAGCCCAGTCAACTTGATCCGTTGAACTGACCATGACGTCTCACGGTGGCAGGCGCGCACGAGGTCGCGTAACAATCAACACCATTAACCATAAACACCATACATGACGTCGACGCTAGAAGGAGTTAATGCACGACTCGAATTCCAGAACGTTGTATTCATGCACTTGCGGCTCGCAATAATCATGCAAACACCGCCAGAACGCATGACCAGTGCACCGCAATGGAGCACTGCCACACTGACTTCGCTTGATGATGTCGCGAAAGCCATAAGCGTGCCTTGCCGGGAAAGGTCTTGGACCCCACCATGCAACACCCATCGTGCACGGTGATGACCTGAGGCGCAGCTCAGGAACTGCAGCACAATTTGACCGCTTCTTCGCCAATACGAGCCAATGGTGGACACCAGCCATTGTCTTCGACATGGGCGTTCACTGTGCCAGCGGGAACAGCCACACCACCCGCTGCCCTCATGGGGCGCATTGCGGCGCGTAGTGATCACAGTTGTTAGATATGTAACTATGGCAGCTCCTTGGAAGTTGCGCTGCATTGTAGCGTTCAGCACTCGACATTTCCAATAAACTCTGATATTAACAACCCATTGATCGACATCTCGGCCCCACTCGAGCTCGAACACGATGCTGTCGCCCAACAGCATTCCGTCCAAGAGGACCGGTCGAGCTTCGAGCACCTGGTCCATCGACTCCGGGTATGGCTCCGGCATCCACGAGGACGTAAAGCTTGGCTTCATTGTGAGTGCGGTTCATCAAAGACTATTGTCCGTTACATCAACTGAACGCTGTCAGCTCGACACACGTGACATCACATCCGGCAGCGTGATACAACATCCACATCAGCAACCCATCGGTCTTGGAATCGACGAACTGACAGAGCTACAACTCAGAGATGACATCGTGATCAAAAATGAGGACCACAGTTTCGAGCCCAGCACGCCACGACTGAGAGTGTGCACCGCGATCTCGAACCCTTCCACGCCAGACCCCATTTCGCCCGCCTCGCCTTCCGAAGTCAGACGTTCGCATGCAAGAAAATCCACCAGCAAGCTTCCTTCGCAGGCTGTAGGTCGTCTTAACGCTTGGCTCGATGCAAACCGACATCACCCATACCCAAACGCCAACACGAAGCAAGCACTAGCGGAAGCATGTAGTATCACTATCAAGCAAGTCACCACATGGTTCACCAATACCCGACAAAGGCAGCTCAAGTCACAAGAGAATGGCACGGGAGGAGTCGGTAGTGAACATAGTCACACCCCAACTCAAGCTTCGAGGAAGGGGAAGAAGAAGGATTACGGTCGCAGCAACGGCGCATCGCCAATCGAAGGGTTTCTGTCTCCACCACGACTCTCACCTTGCGCCTCGATGTCAGAGAACTCGTCTGGTGAAGGGGACAATTGGCAGTGTACATTCTGCAGGGTCCCTCTCACAGCGAAGTCCTGGCGTCGCCATGAGGAGACACAACACCATCCCAAGCACCAATGGACATGCCTCGCTACCGGGCCAAGCATCCAGCTCCCATCTTGTTCCTCGTCAATCTGCGCCTTCTGTGAGCTCCAAAACCCCGATGAGGACCATTTCCGATTCTTCCATCGTATCGGAGACTGCTTATGTAAAGATGCCAACGAACGAACTTTTGGTCGACCGGATCACCTACAGCAACACGCAAGGAACTTCCACAAATGTACACACTCACTAACTGAGCTGGTTCGAGACACATGGCGTAGAGACGGACCCGGCATGCTTGACAACAAGAGTTGGACCTGTGGATTCTGTCATGAAATTCTGCATACTTGGGATGCAAGAGCGACGCACATTTCCGGACACTTCAAAGCTGGCCTGACAATGGCACAGTGGCGCGAGAGTCGTGTGTCCCAGTCGACGCTGCCACGAGAACCTATCAACTCTGAAGAACCAGCAGCTCTGGACGCTCTTGCCAGTATGGGTACGACGATTCCAGGACCCTCGACGTACCAACAACCTCCGACCAACTATGGTCACAATGGACCTGCGCACGCCCTGGCACCGTTCGCACCGGTCACCACCGGTCCTTCAGATCTCAACTTCGACCCCTTTGTTATGTACGGCAACGAGATTGATACGTTCACTCCTCCGACCACCGGTCCATTGACATCCTTTTCCTTATCCACCACGATGCCCACCATAGCTCACAGCAATGAAACTCCCTTCATGGACCTCAGTTGCATGGAGTTTGACGAGTATGGCAATCCTGTATGGGATCACGGTGTTTTGAACTCCTGGTAGGAAATGCAAGTTACTTTTTGGCGTTCGATATACCCTGGGCATAGACGTTTGTAGATGGGCATGGCTGGCATAGAACGGATAGATTAGCGTTCATTTACATGCACATCTCATAGCAGGCCTACTTTATCCAATGAATCATTCAACCAGTTGTTTTAGCTCTGCGATGATGAAATAAGAACACTTGGTGGCGGACTGCAGGCCCAATGTCAATCACTGCCATACAGATACACGCTCCCTTAAAGATGTATACCTCGATGCGAGCTCCACCTCATAGCAACAACTTCGGAACCCACCGCCAGCACCTTTCCGCTCTTAGCAAAGTTATCTTGGACGACAGCCGCAGCCGTGCCTTATCCGCTAGCGCCAGTAGCGAAAGCACGCTACTCGCCTATAGTAAGCGGTACATGCATCGGAACGGCACTTCATTCTACCAGCGTTGCAGTTTGACTATACATCATTCAGTAGCCTAAAGGTCTGGTATATTCGCTATGGCCTGTCTACAGTGTGTTTGCGCAACGTAAGCGATACATACAGAGTTGACGTTGTGTAAGAAGCGGCAGGAAGTTGCAAGCATGAGTGGGTGTGACTTCTCCGGGTGAGTATTCCTGCTGCACTAAGCCTCCTGTAAGCGAGGACGGTGTGTAAGCGTTTCTGGTTGAGAAGTGAGGCTCGATAAGCAGGGCGTCGGAAGACGCACTTGACGTGAGTGTGATTCGAGTTTTAGACTGCGGAATGTGGGGCGCGCGACTCGTATCGCGGAAGAGTTGACAGCATCAGAATTAGGCCAAGAGCAAGCTCGACGGAGAAGCAGCAAGATTACAGATGAGAAAGACAAGTGCTTCGTTGAAGAGATGCTATGTGGTCATGGTATCGTAGCGCATGCAATATGCTGAGTAGGTAAGGAAACCGAATGTTGTGATCCTGTGCCATCATACCTTCAACATATCCTCATCAACCTCCCAGCCGTCCCAGGTAGGCTTGTCGTAACCGTTTGGTCTTGAGCTGCGCACAAATCCATTCCAGTAGCCTTCGATATCGACGACAGGCTTGATCGTCTTGACCTCAGCGCCGAACCCCTTGCTGAAGCATGCCTGCATATGTCGTGGTTCGAACAGCTCAGGGTGTGTTCTCCTCATCGTCTTGAGCGCTCTCTTGCCGACCTCGTCGACCGAGTCGTGGTGTCTCAGGGCGAAAAACTCGTCGTCGTGCTCTTTCCGCAGCTCAGCCATCATATCATCGTCGTACAGACCGAGCTGTAGTAGGTAGATGTCGTACTGGACAAGGGACGTAGTACCGACATAGCTACCACCGGATTTCGCTCGCCTGTACAAACCAACAAGTGCAGCAATCGTGCCCATACATCCTGTGCCGTAGTCGCTCATGGGGAAGGGTGGCACAACAGGCTCTTGCAGACCCATAGCGTGACCTTGAGCCCAGGCAACACCTGTTACGCAATCCGCAATCTGTTGCCACCCAGGTCGCGAGGACCATGGACCAACTTGCCCGAAGCAGTTCTCGGCAACATATACAAGTCCCCGTCCACGCTGCTTAGCGATCTCTTGTAGTTGCTCAGGGCCGTAGCCGAGGCGGTTGAGACTGCCAGGTCGGTAGCCGTCCAGAACAACATCTGCAGACTGAAGCAATTTCTCGAATATCTCACGGTCTTTCGCTTCCTTGAGGTTCAAGTCTGTGGTGTGCTTGCCAATGTTCGCGTCGACTTGAAAGAAAGGAACGTCCGAGAGATGGGGCGCTGTGACCTTGATCACCTCAGCACCATACTCAGCAAGTCCACGACCCATGGCTGGACCCGCGATGATTCTGCACAGCTCAAGGACTCGGATACCAGCGAGGACTTGGGGCTTCGGTGCGGATGAAGACTTGAAAGGGAATGGAGTAGGTGGCGTCTCGGTCTCCAGTGTGTCAACCTTCCATGGCGGTTGCTGCAGTAGTGTCTGTCCGTGCTCTGTTGCTTTGAAGTCGTCCCACTTCAGGCAAGTGACGCCAGCTTGCTTGATCTGCGCGTTCATTTCTTCGAGTTGCTCGACAGTGAACTGCTTAACGTGGTTTTCGATGACCTTGATGCACTCATGGTAGTCGGTGAGGTCAGGGCGATGTCCTTCTAGACCAACCATGTTGAGTGCCTTGGAAGCCTCTAGAGAGCCGTGGAGATGGAAGTATTCGCCAGGGTTCTTGGTCTCATACAAATTGGCCGAGAGTCTACGGTACTGTATAGACTGTGCTTGCAGTAAATCGGTATCTGCAAGACTTAGCTGGTTGCAGTGAAAATACGTACTGAACATAACCCTACCCTTCAGGAGTTTCTTCACCTTTGGGTGCGCCTTGTCCATACCGCCAACAGTGGCAAGGTATGTTGAGAACAGGAACGCTGTGGCCCTCTCCAGATCGACATCGATGCTGCGTGTCTTGGGTCCACCTTGAAGATCAGCTATCGCAGACGCTACGCCTGCCTCGACCGCTTTCAGTGCTGTGATAGCCTCTGTTTGCTTGAGTGGACTGGGGAAGTATGGACTGCCAGTGTTCGCTGTGGAGAAGTGTATTCTTGAGATGTGAGGCAAGGCTTCTTGTGGAAGATTGTCCTTTGCCTTTGCTAGCAATTGCTCAAGAGCTGTCTTCGTGCCATCAAGGAGATTGTAGATGTCAGAAGTTCCGTTGGTGTCGGTAGTCTCGGATCCAATATAGGGTGTCATGTTGTTAGCCAGTACATGCGAAAGAGGCGCACAAAGTCGAGTTAAGAAAAAACAAAAGCTTGCGACGACTCGAAGAAAGGGCCGGAAGTCGATTTGACGTGCGGGAAGCCGTTGCGAGCTTTCCGACACTTCTGCTTAGTGACATGATCAACGTGCATTTTATGACGAGGCATTTCGGATGCTGGTCGTACCCTGCGTGCAGCGGCTGTACACAAGCGTCCGGTCAGGCTCTTTCTGTGATGAGGTGAGGCGATGGTTCTGGATCAGCGCTACCCGACCTCGGCAGGATTGTGGGCACGTGCACGCAACCCAGCAACACAGCTGCCCAGGATGTGGTTCACAACCACAAAGACGCCTTCCTGCCTTTGTCTCTGGCATCGACGATTCGCCGGACGCAGTAAGCTCGGTCAGGGTTGCAGCACCCCTCAATCGTCATCCTTGAGGGGAAGTGCGAGTTACGGGGCAGTTTGTGCTGTCTTTGTGCCCAACTCAATTCGTCATCCCTCATCCGACACTCACTTCATCCATCCGAAGCAACTTCCAGCAGGAAATGATTCACGTGATGGTCGCGTAATGTCCATAGCCGCGGACCATGACGCGCCCGAAGGTACCTCCTGGTTAGTCTGCGCGTCTTCGGTGAAATTGCTAGATGAGTACTGATATGGCCGTTTGCAGAACAGCGGCAGCGCACTGCTCAGGCATGCGAGAGCTGCAAGAGGAGGAAGCAGAAGGCGAGTAGCACCACCACCACCACTGCAGTGCAACCACACCACACGATCGCATATGTTCGCGACTGGCTGAACTCTATTTCGTCAATTGGAACATGAATCGCTATCCTTGCTAATAAAGGTCTTCAACAGCAAAATGTGTTTGCTGTTGAGTGCACCGATCCTCGTGTCAAATGTTGCTGAAGAGTGGGTCCTGAGCTAACACTACAACAAGTGCAACGGCCTTTGCCCGTGTAACACATGTGAAAAGGTACGTATCTTTCATGTTGCCGACACCACTGGGTCTCATCCGTTTTGAAGATCTCCATGTAGTCTCATAGCTACTGGGTGGTGGCACTTCGTTGCAATCCCCTGGCTCAGCCTAACAGTCACACGTTCCATATCTTCAAGACTGATGCTTACGATGATAGCGAAACTTCAGCTGCATATACGCTGATCGCGAGCCTGGTTCTCCTGGCGACGGCGGTCCACCCGCCAAGAGGCAAGCTGTTCAGGATGGTGAAACTGAAAGTCCATATGCGGACGACAACTCGACTTCAAATACACCCAGCAACAGCAACCATTATGCTTCACCCCTGGCACCAGCCAGAAGAAGATCTTCAGCTGCCAACCGTCCGGCTCCAAAGGTTCAGGAGCCACGTCCACATCCGCTGAAGCAAGAAACACTATTCAAATCGTCCGGTGCTAGACCAAGCGTAGAGGCAATCACTGGATTTCAACAACTGCCGACCAGCAATGCGAACGGAGAGCAGCTTCCTGCCCGATCGCGTGGAACTACTGTCGGTAGCGGTCCTGATGAAGAAGCCATCATCTACAGTCAAAGCCGGATGCTACAGGATCCAACCGGTCGTGTTCTCTATATCGGAGACTCGGCAACCTTGTCATTCCTTCAACTGCTACGAACGATGGTCGAGACCGTTGCAGGAGGCTCACCGTTCACCAATGATCCGCGACGACATAAGATAGTCGAAGGCCAATACTCGCTTCCCTCGGGGTACAGACACACTCATCTGCTTCCTGATGTGCAGACTGCTCGTGTGCTTGCAGATGCTTTCTTCATCAACACCCACGGGCTGCTTCAAGTGTTCGAAAGGGACCGCTTCCTGGAAGAGATGGAAGCATGTTACTCTGACCCATTCCAAGTACAGCCACCGTGGCTTTGTCTCTTGAACATGGTGTTCGCCATTGGACTGACTATGGCCACACCTCTTTCAGGCAGTCCGGAAGCGCTTATCATCGACAAACTTCGCAGTGAGCACCTTAACAGAGCAGAGGTGTTCTATCTGAATGCTAAATCGATGAACGATCCTATGAACGGTCTAGAAGACCAGGACTTTTGGTCTGTGCAAGCTCTGTTGCTCATGTCTGTGTACATGCTTGCCAAGTCAAAGCGAAACACTGCGTTCGCTCTACTTGGCATGGCAGCTCGATCTGCGCACGCACTTGGTCTGCACAGAGAGGAAACTATGGTAATCTTCAGCCACGAAGAGCAGACACAGCGCAAGAACCTCTGGAGATCGATCTTTGTTATCGATAGGTTACTGTCCTGTTCACTCGGTCGACCTACCGCCATTTCAGAAGACGATTGTTCTGGAGATACACTTCACCCATCTGAACCGTCACTTGAGCAGCCGTTCATGCTTAACCCAGCGCCCGACTTCAACGAGACCGGACCATGTGCGTTGGAGGCTGCCGTACGCAGCTGCTCCGTCATAGGCGTCATTTTGCGGAAAGTTTATCAGCAGCGCAAGATCAGCACACGCTTGGCGCAAGAAATCGCCAACATCTGCAAGTCATGGCCACGCGCACTTCCTTCGATTCTACACTGGCGACAAGCAGCGAATGCGTCACCGAGTCAAGGTGTAGCAATTCTACATGTCAACTTGTTCTACTGCCATTCGATCATTTTGCTGACCAGGCCATTCTTTCTGTACATACTGAACCTGGAGACACAACGGCATGTCAACCAAAATCAGCCTGGAATCAGAGGGCCAAGACCATACCTACGCATGGAAAAGTTCAGCGAAGCGTGCGTCATCGCATCAACACACACGATTCTACTGGTACAAAATGCATTTGACGCTGGCTACTTGTCAAGACGGAATCCTGCAGTCATTTACTTCCTCTTCGCCGCCACACTAGTCATACTCGCCAACGAGTTCGCTGGTCTCTACCGGGTAGATGCTTCAGACACTTGCATCCTCAACGCAGTCAACATCATGAACTACTGCGCCGAGAGCGATCAGCAAGCCAGCCGTCTCGTCTACATCCTCAGTACCTTCCGCGACGTCGTGGCCCAGCAACGCATGCGGCGCAAGCAAAGCCAACCCGACAACACCAACCTTCCCAGCATATCTTCGCAACTCTACGGCGTCGCAGCGCCAGCACAGCAACACGCCCAACACCCCGATGCAGGTCTAGCGAACTCGACAGACCCCATGAACGCAACATCCCGGCTTCATCAAGTCCCCATACACATCTACCCCGGCATGCAAACCGCGCCCCTCGACGCCACACCACCAGCCTTCCAACCATCACACCTTATACATGCAAATTCGCTTCCGAACCAGAACATCAACCAGCTCTCACCCCCGCAAACAGACTTCTCTGTGCACCTCTCGCCAATCCAGGACCTATCCAACAGCGCGCCCGGCTCGGAGTCGTACAACCTCAGTGCCTCCGCGCTGAACACGCCATCTAAGCCACTGAGTTTGAACACGATGCTGGACTTGAGTGCCCTGGACAATACGAGGGTGCCGAGTCTGCATAGTGACGAGAGTGGGCTGGATGAACATATCGATTTTGATGCGCTGTGGGCGTGGTCGAGCAATACGCCGGCGATGGGGAGTCCAAGGCCGGGTGGAGAGGGTGCGAATGCAGGTGGAGGACAGGGTATCGGAGGTGCAGGGGAAGGGGCGCCGGTGCCACTTTTTGGTATTAGCCATGAGGGGCTTGAGAGGGGGGAGTAGGTCGTTCCGTCCGATTTATGGTTGAGCGTTGTTATGGAAGATATGGCCACGGCAACTGGATAGGAATTGCTATGGCGTCGGTTTAGCTGGTCTGGACAGGGAGGTAACACACATGATCGATAAAGATGTACTGGAGGCGTAAACGCAGGGGTTGGTATTGTAAGAGTAAGACAACCGGGGTATTTCCAAATCAAATGCAGTGTTTCTGCTCCGAAAACTCCTTGTATGCAAGTTCCTTCCTCCATGTGGCCTACTCGCGCCACTCCTTGGCGCACTTTGTGCACTTGTAGAACGCAGTCATCGGCTCGTCCGCACTGCGAATCTGCAGCTGGTACCAGTACGCTTGGTCGTTGCGGCACTTTTCATTGGGGCATTGCACTGTTCTCCGTCAGCTCTTGTCCACTCGGCTTACAACCATCTCTCCAAAACATGCCACCAAGTCACCGGCTTCTCCCTCTCCTCCTCTCCCAAGCAAAAAAAAGTAATCCGAAAGCAGGGGAAAACGTATGCATAACGTACCTTCCGTCTTATCCACATTATCCCACGCGCCCTTCCCGCCCAGAATATCCTCGACTTCCTTCTTCTTCAGGTACTTGCGCTCGTAGTAGCGCTTGTTTATCACGAAGTGGTACGGACAGGTTAGGCACTCGAAGCGGTTTTGGCCCACGTATTGCTCGATTGTCGGGTCTCCTGGGGGGACGCGTGAGACGCGCAGCATGTTGCTGCATGTTGGGCAGACTGGGAGTGTTAGTGAGGGCTGGGGAGAGTACGTGTGGGGCGAGGGGAGGTAGTAGTGGGTTTGGAGGGAGTTGCAGAGAGGTGAGGGGGCTTACAGAGCAACATGGTGGGTGTGAAGGTGTGGATGTAAGTTGTCTATCGGCGATGGAGGGTGTGACGGCTATGAGAAAGTTACAGTGGACTCTTAGGCTAGGCCGGAAGGGGGAGCGCGGGGGCAATGGCGGAGTTTGGACGACCAGCGCACGCGTCTGAAACACTCTAGGTTGTTCTCACCGCATGCACAAGCTCTCCCCACAACAGCCTCAATCTGCAAGTCTACTCCTCGCAAGCCCTCTGGAGTGACTCGCTTCCCTCTGCCCTCTCTGCATTGGGAGTGACGATCGATTCACCGCTGCGTACCCCGCCAAGCACCAACAACTGCACCCGCAGCTCAACATGGCGGACGAAGATGTACAGACTCGACATGCATTGATGTGCATGCAACGGCGCTAACACATGTAGGGCGCGTCTCCCCGCGAGCTCATCCTCGAAGCGTGCCGCCGCAACAACACCGGCCTCCTCGAAGAAACAATCGCCGACCTCGCATCCTCCGCGTCGAAGAACGGCAAGCAGCCCGCGGAATACGTTGCGCAGGTGCTGAACGAAGCGAGAGATGGTTTGGGGAACGGGTGTCTGCATGTCGCTGCTACGTACGGGAGCTGTACGTCCTCACGCTCCCTGAGCCCACCAATAACGGAGTTGGTCACCAGGATGGGAAGATGCTAATATAGTGGTTTGTTGGTTCTAGATGAGATCCTCGACGTCCTTCTCGACCAAGAAGGCCTCGAAATCGAGCTCACCGACCGGATCGAAGGCGACCTGCCCCTCCACAAAGCCGTGCGCTACGTCAACTCGCTATCCAAAGCCGACTGGCCCGCCGGCTCGCCCATAGTCGAAATCCTGCTCGACGCCGGCTGCGACCCGAGGATACGGAACAAGGCGAAGCTGAGGCCCGTGGAGCTGGTGGATCCGAGGAATACTGAGCTGAGGGAGGTGCTCAGGAAGGGCGAGTTCGCGATGATGATGGGGGGTGACGTCGTTGAGGATGATGAGGGGCCGGCGGGGAGTGCGAGTGATAGCGAGTGATAGCGAGTGGTAGCGAGTGGTAGCGAGTGGTAGCGAGTGGTAGCGAGTGAGGGGAGAAGAAATCCGGGGGATGTGGGTTCTGTCTTATAGAGCGGATGCATAGCTATACACGAACTGTAGACCCGTCCTTCCTTGCACGCTTGGCGTTATATTCAGCAATGCATACTTCAGTCATTCACGCCACTCGGCTCTCTCCAAGCAGGCTCTCACTTTGTAGCGACCACGAACCCAAGTGACCAAGGTCTGTTCTGTGTCGCCCTCCTTCCTGTCCTTTCTGCCCGCGCTGGTCCATCGCGGCGTCCGCTGGTGGGTATTGTCGTCTCCATAGCCTAACCATCCTACAGATTCTTTGAAACTTCTCAAGTTTCCCGAGTGCCTCAGTCCTGGTTCTGTGCCTGATCAGCCGATATCCCTCTCCCCATTCCTCCTCAAAGTTCACTCACCGCAGGCGGCGGTCCAACCGGCCTCACCATTCTCTCCAGCAGCTGCACCCTCGTCTTCTCCCTCGGCTGTCCCAGCCCAATACTCATGTACTGCAGCAGCGGCGGGTGGCCAACATACGAGGAAAGCGAGTCGCGCGCGATGTTCGATGTCCATTCGTGTTTTGTCGTGTCTGCGGACCCGATGCCGATGTAGCGCGCTTGCAGCGCTTCGAGTTGTTGCTGTGCACGGAGTTTGTCGGCCATGGTGTGAGAGGCGTGGGGATGTGTGGGGGGTTTGGTCGGTGTTGTGGACGTTGAGATTGGGTGACGGGGAGAGGGAGAGGTAGAGGGAAAGGCGGAAAGTTGCATGTGCATGTGAGTTTATCGATAAGGAAACCGCGAACCCAGGCCAATGCGACCACGCAATGGTCGTGTCGTAACACTCACACACCACCTATCACCAAAGTCCACTGTATCCAGACCTCTGGATCAACGTCGCATTATCCGCAACTACCACACGACCACAACAATGGCCGCCACAGACACATTCAGCCGCCCCAGACTACCAACACCAGGCCTCTCCTCCTCACCCACCTCCCCTGTAATCGACTACTCCCCACACACGGTCCCCTACAACGAGGACTTCGAAAACGACGTGATGAACACCGTCCTCCACGGCCCCTCGAATCCCTCACCGCGGCGTCGAACCGAAGAAACACCAATGATCTCCGCCTCCGACCTCCCCATCCCACTAGCCTCACATCTGCGCACGCACCCCTCCCCAATCCCGGGATTATTCCTGACGCACGTGAACGGGTACCATACTGGTGGGATCGGGCCGAGCGCGCACATCGTGGGTGAGTTTGCAGAGCGGTTTGTGAGGGAGAGGGGGCTTGGGAGTGGGGATGTGGAGGGGCTGGAGAGCGCGGTGAGAGAGGAGGTCGGAGGGAGGATGGAGGAGGTGAGGTGTAGGATGAGGAGGAGGAAGGAGGCAGTTAAGGAGAATGAGAGGGTTAAAAGGGAGTTGGAGGATTTAGCGTTGCAGAGGCAGGCGGAGTTGAGAGTGTTGGAGAGGATGAAGGGGAAGCGTTGAAGAGAGGTGGTTCGCAGTGGAGACACGTTTTTAAAGAGGAAGACTGTGGATTATGGGCCGCGGAGAATCTGACGGTCTGCACAAGTCTGAAGCTCGGAAGGCAGGATAGAGGCATGGAGGGCACACGCAGACACACGACGCTCGAGAGGACATGTTCAAGAGCTGAACTAGATCCCAGACGGCGACACATCTAGATCTTTCAAGCACGAGGAAGATACGGCTGGCATACGTTGCGTTCAAAGAATGATCGATTGCCCGACACTCAATAGCGATCAAAGGATTTCAATCAGATGATCTCACTATCACGAAAAGGCGCAATATGCTTTCGCTTTGTATCTCACAGAGAAAGAGACACGATCTGTTCATGTTGGTCAATTTGACCGTTCAACAACATCAAGCCGAGGGATGAGCTGCAGCTCGAAAGCTATGGCCAATAACGTCATAACTCAATGATCACCACTGATTGTGACCTTTGACACGCAACACTGCGCCAACAATAGACGCAAGGGAAAACCATAGCTGCATTTGAGGCCCATCGTCTTGCCAGATAGCAATGGCGGCCGCCCAACCATCGTGGCTGCCTCCTTGAGCATTGTTTGCTGGCCGCGACTGCCGTATCTTGAGGACCCACACCGCGACTTTCACACGACCTGCAAATTCCAATCCACGACCACAACACAGCAGGTCACATGCCAGCAGCTACTAACAATGCCTCCTTCGCCTGCTCTCACGACTCAGAAGTCAGGTTCCAAGTTTACAGGCTTCGCTTGGTACATCTTCAAACTTAGCTTTGGACTTTTTAGCCTTGCGACTACCTGGGCTACCGTCGCGTGGAAGAATGGCGTCTTTCAGCCAAAGGACACAGATGAAGAGAAGCAGGAGCTCGAGGCTGGTAGGCTCAATCTCCACGCGCGATTGATTTAACTACTGACAAATGTAGCTCAGCAAAAGTACTGGAGTCTCGACCACGAGCCACTCCCAGGCTTCAGACATGCTTTCTTCAGCACCTCGACCGGTGTCAATATCCACTATGTCGTCAATTCGAACGCCGACGCCCCTCCATTGCGCAATTTAGCTTTCTTTGTACACGGTTTCCCAGACTCGTACTTGCTATGGCGACACATCCTGCAAACCCCAGTGTTGCAGCAATCACATACACTCGTCGCCGTCGATCTACCTGGATATGGTGGTAGCGATAGTCTGCCCAACTATGGGCCGTATGAGATGCTCGAAGCAATGACGGAGTTTATAATCGGTGTGAGGAAGCAGTTCCTGCAGGAAGATAGGAAGTGTGTGGTGGTCAGCCACGACTGGGGAGCACTTGTCTGCGCCAGACTTGCATCTGAGGCGGGTGAGTTGGCTGATCGCTGGATCATTACGAGTGGAATCATCGTAAGTCATCAGCATATTCATGTCACAGCATAACCATCATTCTAACAACTGAAAGCCTCACGTGACCGCCAACAATACGTTCTCACAATGGACATTAGCGCGTCAAATGCTGCGCACATGGACCAGCCATCCCTTCAACACTGCCCTGCTCAAGAACGCTCTCCGAGCGCTCAAGCCAGTGCTTTCGCAGTTCAGCCGCTCCTTCTATATCTTCTGCTTCCACCTACCTGCGCCTCTCGACTCTTTCTTCACCTCCTTCGGCAACTACTGGTTCCTGCGCGTCATGCACAGTCTCGGTCTCGGCCCACATGAGAAGGGTGACAATCTGCTTACCAGACTGGATCCCAAGGCTGCCGCAGAGTCAATGTGCATGTCCACAGGTCCGGCGTTACCCCAATTGCTAGACCAACCAGTCGGTGGCCCTACAGGCCGGTACGGCGAGTCAGTACGACGCAGGATCAAGGACCGCGGAATGTCGGAGAAGATCAGGATCTACCGCGAGGGTCTCTTCATTGGGCGGTGGGAGAAATCTCTCGAGACCACCGCTGCCCTATTCGAGCTTCGCTCTGGTAACGATCGAGCTTCTGGCGCTGCTCCTAGAGGCTCACTGAAAGCACCGACTACACTAGTGCTTGGGGAGCGCGATCCGGCTTTCGACTTGAAGCTGGCGCTTGACAATGTGAGGGACTATTTAGTGAAGGGGAGTCAGGTACTGGTTGTTAAGGACGCAGGGCATTGGATGCCTACTGAGCCTACGGCTAGAGTGGTGTTGGAGCAATTGGTCCTGTGGGCTTTGAGCGAGGAGTCTGGCGTGGGGAAGGCGACGCCGTTTGCTGGGATGCTCAACGTCAAGGTCATCGAGGAGCTCTGAAAGCCTCGAGTCATTGTTTCTACTCGGAGATTTCGTTGCCAGGAGCAGTGATGTTCGCAGCTACGAAGAAGTTCCCGAATCGGACCTGGGAGCTGGTGATTGCAAACCTTCGAGCATCAACGCCCTTCCACGACACTTCGGCCTATCGTCGATCATTTTCTTTTACTCAAGTCATCTCAGTCATTCACGTTCGACGATAAGGCATCCAATGGAAAGCTAGTATCTGGTAAACGGCGGTTAATTGAGGTGTCGTTCATCAAGGTCCCACTCGTATCAACACATAACAAATCAGAGAGGACACCGCACACAGCTCCCGTGCCTGCATGAGGGCGAGACAGGAATTGACGGAAATACCGAGTGGGATGATCATGCAGCTTGACGTTCAGGTACTTCGTACCCCTCACTGCCCCACCATCACCAATACTCATACATGCAGATGAGTGATTTGTTGAACCGAGCTCGGCGGTACCAAGAGGTAGGTATAAAAAAAAGTATCTTCGCCTTTTGCAACGAAATCTCAGGCTTCACAACCAAATTGACCGATTTTTATCTTATCACTTTACGACAGCACCACAACATCCACCGGTACGATGCCGTGAAGGAAGCACATGGGGCACAATGCCCTTTCTCCTCTTCGGAGGGGTTATCACGGTCAAGCAACGTCGACATGACATCGACAGGTATTTGCTCAAATCTGAAGCATGCATGGCGGGTGTCCAAGCTCGTCTCCAATCCTTCGTATCTGTCTGGGGACCTCAACATTCCCCTCACAGGCATGATGTCTTGACAGACACGATGGGTTGAAGACGGGCCTGTTCTGAGATTATACCGTTTAAACTTGATCTGGATAATTCCAGCGAAAGGACTAGCTGCTTCTTGATCCCCCTCCCTACGCCTCTGGCGTACTGACTTTCCCAGCTTTACGTGAGATTAAGCCAGCATGTCTACTGACAAGATTACCTTTTTGACCAACTGGTCTGTCCATAACACCAGACCATCATGGATGAGACAGGACTGATGGAAAATAGGCACGCCACCCCGTACCACGCGCCCCTCTACCTCGCCCAAGCGAAGGGCTACTTCAAAGACGAAGGCGTCAAAGTCGCGCTCCTCGAGCCCAACGATCCCAGCGTACATCCCCTCCCTCTCCTATCTCTCTACATCACTGACTGGAGTAGGATGTTACCGAGATCATCGGCTCCGGCAAAGTCGACCTCGGCTTCAAAGCCATGATCCACACGCTCGCCGCCTCCGCGCGCGGCTTCCCCGTGACATCGATCGGCTCTCTGCTCAATGAGCCGTTCACGGGCGTCGTGTACCTGATGTCCTCGGGTATCACGCCGGACTTCACCACCCTGAAGGGAAAGAGGATCGGATATGTGGGCGAGTTTGGCAAGATCCAACTCGACGAGCTCACCGCGCATTACAGCATGCAGCCATCTGACTACAGCGCTGTGCGCGTGGGCATGAATGTGACTAAGAGCATTATCAACGGGGATATTGACGCCGGTATTGGTCTGGAAAACGTGCAGATGGTGGAGCTGGAGGAGTGGCTCGTCTCCCAGGGTCGTTCGCGCGAGGAAGTCAAGATGCTGCGTATCGACGAACTGGCTCAGTTGGGATGCTGTTGCTTTTGCAGCATCCTGTACATCGGCAATGATTCCTTCATCACCGCCAACCCAGACCAAGTCCGCGCGTTCCTGCGCGCATGCAAGCGCGCAACCGATTTCGTCCTCGCCTCCCCCGATCAGGCGTGGAAGGAGTTCGTCGATTTCAAGAGCAGCATCGACACCCCCACGAACCGCAAGATCTTCGAGCGCAGCTTCGCCTACTTTAGCCCAGATATGCAGAATGTGCAGCGCGACTGGGAGAAAGTGACGCGCTACGGCAAGCGCCTCGGCGTCCTCGATGAGTCCTTCGCCCCGAACTACACCAACGAGTATCTGCAGTGGGGACTTGAGGCTGACAGCACTGACCCCACGGGCGACCAGAAGAGGATGGTTGTGCTGCAGCAGGGAGTCAAGGAGGATGGCGGTTTTAAGCGCCTTGAGAGTGTTGCGGTCAAGACGATTGTTGGTGCTGCTGCGCCTGCTGAGGCTTAGACGGTGTGTTCTGATGCCGATTAGGAGGTTGAGATAGAATCAATAAACTAGTCACTCGTTTACATGTTCGATTAGTGCGCAACTGCTATGCTCCGGCTGTGATGAGATGGCGTATGGTATGATATTGACATATGAGGCCGATTGCGAGGAGGTCAGGACCGCTCTTTGGAGCAACCGGATTGTCGAGAAGGTGATTTCGACAATCAATCCAGAATTGGGCGATGACGCCAGTCTGCTGAAATGCGCGCAATCATCGCAGTTCTGGCATCGATTATCCAGAACAAGAACAAAGACATCACTGCTGTGCAACGACCGCGCAGCAGTGCGGAGGAGGCCAACATTGAACAATATACCCGGTGCGCAGCGTACAGATGATGGAGAACCAAATGACGGCTAGAGCGGTGCACAGAAGTCTACTGAAGACGAGGAGGACGACCTCACTCAAGAGGGACACGGTCGATCAGCCTGTTAAGTCGGGTTGTAATGCCAAGGTCTCCTTCAACACCCAAATTGGCTGAGGGCGACGAACAGCGTCTTGACGGATGTCTACGGCAGTCACGATGTCAGCATATAATCTGCAAGCCTCGCTCCCCAACAACAATCTTCTCTCTTCGTGTGATGTTCTGCTCAACTGACAGCCCAGTGCTCAGAGAAACTGAACTTCCTCATTATTGCCTGCGGCCCTCGAAACAATGGGAGGCATTCGATGCTAGTCTGCAGCTTTGTCATGACTAAACAAAGTATACGAGGATTACAACCATATCTGCAACTACTGAGCAGAACCTGTAGGCGCGCTGAGAGCCTCCAGCAGTCCTTTCCGCAGCTCACCGCATTCGCTCGCAAAGACCATGACAGCGCTTTGCTGTTTTGCAACAATAGCAGACGGGTCCTGGTCATATGTGTCCAGTGCCAGCAGCTCTGATCTGCGAGGTAGACTTGCTACCCGTTGCTTTGCGAGCTCACTGGGCATTGCTGGCATCCTCGCCCCATTGTGCGTATTCAGTGTTGATGGGAAATCCTCGGAGGATTGTCGGTCGTTGTAGGAGTGGTGGGAGTTGGAATGGGCAGAGTAGGCTGCCAATATAATCCCGTAAAGCATGTTGGAGGACATGTTAGAGGTCAGCTCGCAAATCTGCAAGTAGACGAAGGACTGCCAAATACTTCACTCAAAAGACTCGATTGTCAAAACATCTACTAAAGACCTACAGGCTTAGCTGTACATCGCTGAGACTGGTGAGTGCTGCGTCCTCGTGATACCATCTCTTGACATCCAGTTAGAGACCTCCTTGATACTCCTCCATATCAGGCAGGAAGGGCCTGCTTCTCCAATGCGTTGTCGTGGATTCTGTGGCCATTCAAGCCTGCTCGCTCATCCTGTGACCTATGATAAGTCATTGCGTTGCAAGGTGAACGTGTGACTTGATTAGCACAGGAGAAGTTCTTTTCGAAGCCGTGCTCAAAACGCCGGGAGTACACCGGAACCGGTCCAGCCTTCAAACGTCTCTCAAGGACCGAGCCGCTGACGAGTGGGAACGCAACCCGACCTCGCTGTCAACGCTATGGCCCAGCTACCGAAGCCTAGGTTCGTGTACATCGGGTATGGCTATAGAAAATGAAGCTTAACGTGACGGTTTTGCAGGGATGCACAGAGCAGTGAGTGTACAAGACGTAGTGTGACAATCAAAAACGATGGCCAGGGTGCCACGAGCAGCTGCGCTGGAAGCATGTTGTTCTTGTAGTGACAGTCTGAATGGAGATAGCTCTGTCTCGTGAATGGAGGTAGCTCTGTCTCGTACTTGCCGCACTCAAGACTGCAATGGCCGTTAGCCTACGGCACTGTTTGCTTGCTTCTTCATTCTTTCCACTGCAACGCTGTTCACGCTCTGGCCGCAGGGAGTGATGATCGTGCCCTTTTCGCCGTGGTGCATGCGCAGGGCTGCCTCCCGAAATTAAGCAGGGTATCTCTGAGCCAAGCACGAATCACAGCGCTCCAGGCCCTCGAGCTGCCTCCCCTTCTCACCCGCAAAACAACTCCTTCGCGTCGACAGCTCGCAGGACTCACGAGGCAAACTCAGCTACTGGACGCTGGGCAGAGTGCGCTGCAGAGTCGTTCGGTCGTTACCAGTCACTTGTGTCTCTTTGTTTTCGCAGTTTGCTTTTTCTAATTCGCGCGCGCAGCAGCTGCAGGGAACTGGCTTGTGTCCCGGCCTCGTGCATGCAACCCTCCCCCTCCTCATAATCCTCCACGCGCCTCCTCACTTGCTGGACCCTCTATCTATCCACTCTTCTTCACAACGGCTTCGGTCGACGTCCTCGAGGGTCTCTCCCGTTCCCGCGGCTGTCGCCAACACAAAAACGTTTCTTACCACGATCATTCCAGACAAGCGCCTCGTCTCTTCCCTGTACTCGAAACATTTCACAACGTCGTCATCGCAACCAATACCTGACTCGCTCGCCCACCAAACACTACTTCTTCGCTCTCAAGAGCTGAGACCGCGTCTCTGTTTTGCCTGACTGCAGCCAGCAGCACGTCCTATGGCTGCCCTTGCGTCGTCTCGTCAGCCTGCGCCAGTCCAACAGTTAACACCGCCCAGCAGCTCGCACGGCGCAGGAGGATCGTGGGAGTTCGCTGTGCCACTGGACGGTTCGGTGCGTTTGCCCTTTTCTTCTCCTCCTTTTGTGTCACCGTGGCACAGAATTTTGGGTCAGGGATCGCCGCTACTGGCACTACTGTGGTGGTCAGCGATGCACGACAGTAGCGCGAACTCAACTTATGGCTCCCCAAAACCCAAGAGCTCCACGCTTCCCCTCACACCAAACAAAATGAGACGCTGCTGACAACGTTTTCCAGAGGCAGTCCTACGATCAAGAAGCCTTCATGTCCGGCAGTTCAGTGCCCGCGTACGCCAACCGCCAACCGCATACCTCGCAAGCCAATGGCTTCGCAAAGCCCGTTCGCTCGACAACCTGGGAGTCGCAAGGCCAGTATGAGGACGACAGGGTGATGCAAGCGTCGGGACGTGCAAGCTCACTGCACAAGAAGCCAAGTCGAGACATTATTGCCAGCGGCGAACAAGACGGCGCACATGGCAAGAGCAACACCAAAGGCAAAATGGGGCCTCCAGCATCGGTCAGGGGCCGCGGTGCGAACAAGTCTGCCGCTGGAAGCCCTATCGATCCGGAAGCAGACCAGAGCAACTGGATCCACCGAGACAAGCTGAAGGAGATCGAGATCAGGGAAATGGAGGAGGCTGGTTTCAGAGTTGGGCGCACAAGCAGATCGAACAGCCGGTCGCGGAGGACACGAGACCGCACCAACTCTGAGCTTGCTGAGGGGCTGCAGAATGGCGATGACCGCTACGAAAGACGCGTGGTGTCTCGTATACCTGCCGAAGACGAGGAAACTCTACACGAACAGCAGTATCATGCATGGAGTCCAGCAAGTAGCGAGGGCCCAGCACCAGAGATGCAGCCACCGTCGTCGCGAACAAACCACAACGTGAGGCCTAGTACGTCTCGCATTCCTCTACCGAAAACGAGCGGCATACCTGTACCGGCAGCAGTTGCAGATCGGGAGGCACCGCTGCCGAGATCACGAACGAGCAGCGCCAACTGGAATGGAGACATTGCTGCTGCTGGTGCGCGAGTACGCAGCGGAAGCATGGGAAGCCAGGTACTTCTCGACGACATTACAGACGACAGGAAGCATGGCCACACCCGCAACAACTCCTCTTCAGCTAGCGCGTCGTCGATGAAGCAACCTCCCAGATCGCCGGTCAAGGCGAAGACGCCAGGTAAGCCAGCGGCTGCTGCGGGCGCCAGGAAGACTAGCACCACAACAAAGACTACGTCCAAGACGAGACAGGTTTCGGGTACAAACAAACGGCCTGGCACGAGTGGAAATGCTGTCTCTCGTCCGACCACCGGCCACCGACCTGAAGGAGAAGCGCCTTGGATTGCGACCATGTACAAGCCGGACCCACGTCTTCCGCCAGACCAGCAGATCATCCCCACACACGCAAAGCGAATGCAACAAGAGCAATGGGAGAACGAGGGCCGAGTCGGGTCCATGTATGACACAGACTTCCGGTTGCTCAACACCGAAGAGATGGGAACTCAGCGTCTGTCTCAGATCGACCCTGTTGCGCTCGAGAAGGAGAGGGAGAGCGGCCAGTGGCCTCTTCCAAGCCCAGAGAAGCAGCCTTCACCGTCAGACGAGAAGCATGAGCCCATGGCCGACAAATCTCCGGCAGTTGAGCAGCCTCAGTTCAAGCTCACGCCAACGATCCCGCAAAGCCCTCTCGTGCCCTCGCCGAAGCCCGCGTCAGTCAAGCGAGTGCCTAGCGAGAAGCCCAGAACCACCCGAGTTCCGGAGCCGAGCGAAGAGACCCCCGAGAAGAAGGGCAAATGCTGCATCGTCATGTAGCATCCGTTCCTGCATATACCCATTTCCTTCCCATCTCCACAATATACTGCCGACCAAATCGTTTCTTTCATGTACATGGCGTTCGAGCGCGGGGTGGCTATACCTTTTGCCTTCTTCCCCCACCTCTGTATTACTGGGTTCATAGCGTACAGCGTCCCACTTAGTTTCTTTTCGAGTTATTATTCCAGATCATCGTACCCTCTACATCCGGTGGTGGACCGGTGTTTGCATTTCTAGATATAGCACCGCCTCAAGATCCACGCATCCAACGACTTCGCTGTCGATGAGCACACGCGCTCCGCTGTTTTGTCTGTAGACACAGGCTGAAGCGAATGGGAGCAAATCTTTCTATCTACGTAGGAGCCCTGAGGCGAACGGAGCAGTAGCTTTAGGCGAACGGAGCAGTAGCTTTAGGCGAACGGAGCAGTAGCTTTAAACGAGGCACGGGCGAAAGAGACAGCCGAGGCTGGCCCAGAGCTGTATCGAGACAAGCTGCGTTGAGTGTGGCAGAATGTATAGACACTCAACGAACCACATCTTCGAAGCGTTGCCCGCTTGTTTCCTTCACACGGAGTGGTTTCTTTTTGCCCGCTTGTGTCCGTCACATGGAGTGATTTCTTTCGTGCTCAACGACGGCTTCAAGACTCGCTGGTTGACACGCAGGTCGTGCATGTGAATGTGGCTTAGTCAGGTCTGTCAACAGACCCTCGTGCTCGATTCTTTTCCGGCGGGACGTCACGTCGCTCCAAACATTTTGCCGATCAGAGCAATTCGCAAGCTTACGACCCCCACTCACCGCCAAACAGCTCCTCTGTACCCGCTTCCATACGTCACCTGCGATCGCGTGAACAGCCCTGCTTCGCTTGCGGGACTGGCACTCGCTAACCCATTCACCGTGGCGTCGATCAACACCCTCCTCGACGACGTGAAGAAGTCGTTGCACTTCTTCAAGAATCATCCCGCGCTTTCCACCACGGTCCCTCCTGTTCACGTGGACGAAGAGAATACGGACACGGTCAGCAAAATCATCCACACTCTGCGCGTCGCCGAGATCGCAGACTTTGTCACGAACCCGCGGTTCGACGACCGTTCGTACCTCACCACCCTTGCTATCGGACTAGCTGCTGTCTTCGTTGCCATGTCGTGGTTCTCTCGCGCCGGCGGCAGCTGGGGCGGACGCTTTTCACCCTTCGGCCGCCCAGGCGCATCGCCCAACTCCGGCGTTGTGAACGACTCGGACTTTTCCTACATCACAAACGAAGACTTGCGGAAGAACAACGGGACCGCGCCGGAGATCGTTGACTGGGACGACAAGAACCCAGAGCGCGAGACGGACGTGGTGGTATTCAAGGAGAAGAGGACGCATTACCCGACCCACTTCCCTGCCCACAGCATACGCGATGGAGATCTGAAGATCGGCACCGTCAGGCAAGCAGCTGCAAAGAAGCTCGGCATCGACGATGCCCGCCGGATACGCATGTTTCACAAGGGCCGCAATCTGAAGTTCGACGAGCGGACTGCGCGCGAAGAAGGGCTCCGCGGCGACGGCACAGGCAGCGAGATTCTCGTCACAGTCGGCGAAGCGCCCGCCGGCGGCCTCGCCCCAGGGGCAGACGAGACCGCACCCCAATGGAGCGACAACGAGGGCTCCGACTCGGACGACGTCGACTCAGGCGCAAACGGCTCCGGCAAGAAGAAGTCGAGAAAACGCGGCGGCAGGAAGAGTAAGAAGAAGGGCCCAGCGCCCGCCTCTGGCTCCTCAACACCAGGCTACTCCTCCGCCGCCCCCGCTGGCGCCGAGTACCTCCCCATCCCCTCGCACATCGGCGGCCCGCGCCCATCCTCCACGCCCCCACAGCCAAAACCCGCGGCGACCCCGCTGACAGTAGCTGGCAAGCTCGATGCTATTGCCAGCAAGTTCCACACCGAGTTCGTCCCGCTGTGCGTGCAGTTCATGAGCAATCCCCCAGAAGAGAAGAGCAAGAGGGACTTTGAGTACAAGAAGCTGAGCGAGACCATCTTGACGCAGATCATCTTCAAGCTGGATGGTGTGGAGACAGAGGGCGACCCGGATGCGAGGGCGCAGAGGAAGGCATTGGTCAAGGAGGTGCAGGGTATGCTGAGCAAGCTGGATGAAGCGGCTAAGCAGTCGAATATGTAAATTGGGTGTATACAAGAGGTCAAGGCAGACCATGTTGTGTGGCGCCGCTGTCTCGATGCCTGTAGATCTCGGCATCGATAGAATGTAGGAGCTACTGTTGACAACAACGAGACGCGTTCTCTCCACTCTGTTACCCGAAAAGTGCTCTTCAGTTCTGCGTTTGCGATGCGTTTGCTCATAGCCGCCAGATTGTGTGCTTGCCAGACAGAGCAGGCACGCTAAGACCTTGCCTTACAGCAAGCTCACCCTCATTCCACTTCTCCTTTTCTACCCACGTTGTACCCAACACACCCACAGGACGGTCACACTACTACAACAGGTGACATTCCTCGCCATTCTGAAACCCTCCCAACTGCGCCGTCCTCGCTCTCTGTTTTCCAAAAGTGCTTTTCAGACACGCACCTCACAGTGTGACAGGTACACGCTTATGGCTGCAGTCTGTGAGTCTAGACGCGGTTGTGATCGGGAGCTTCAGGAAGAACGAAGGAAGTGGGGAAGACGATTCGACACCTACCGCACTGAGACACTGCACCCAGAGTGAGACAGGAAAAACTCTTTTCAATCGATCTGCACGGCTGACCCGGTTTTGGCATTTTCGTCAAGCCGAAAGGAGAGGCCATCCAGAGCTTCATAGCGAAGCGGTGCATCATGCAGTCTGAGCTTGACGAGGATTTCGATGATGGCGAAGGGAGAGGCGCTGTGCGCACCAGCGAGGTTGCGAGGTTCCAACGGGCTGTGCGGTCGTTTGCGCGAGTACCTCACGCTTCGCTACGATGGCTTCGAATCAACGGGAGTTGAGGGGCCGAGCATTCACGGCACGGTCAATAAGCTCCAGCGGCGTGGGGTGACGGTCAAGGGTTGAAGCGTCGATGCAACATTGGATGCCGCTCTTGGGCGGAAGTGTTCGAAAAGCCGTTTTTTTTTTTGAATCGGAAGTAAAAATTCGCCACTGTCCCTCTAGACAAACGGTCATATCAAAGTCAGATGTATATTCGGAAATCATGACAAATCCGATGCGTATCGGTATCGTCTTCACCACCCAAACGTCTCATCATACCAATACACATCATGCCCCTTCTTCACATACACCTCCACACTCCTCTTCAAATCCTCCGTCAACCTCTTCGGCCCGCAACAAATCACCGCCGTCCTGATTCCCCGGCTAAACACCTCATCCACAATCCCGCCCATTTTCGGTTGTCCACTCTTGACAGTCATGCCCTTCCGCGGCCGCTCCATCTGCTCCTCCATACTCAACAACTGCTCATTCTCCTGCATCTCGAACTGCTCGCCCTCGTCGTCGTCGTCCACAGCGAAGATGGGACTTGTCGATGGAGCAGTGTTGTGGGAGCCGCCGGAGGGACGGGTGACGTAGACCTCGACCGTACTCGCTTTATTCAACAACCCATTCCCCACCGCCTCTTCTCTCGCCTCATCCCTTTCATCCTCACCTTCAGTCTGAGTGTCGGGGAACGCCCACTGCGTGTCGGCGAGTTTCTGCACCGCCCAGACAAACCGGACTTGTGTTGCGCCGGGCGTGGTATCGTGGTACTCCGCAATAGCGCGGTACAGCGGCATTACAAACGTCGCGCCCACGCCTCCAGCCACCAGCAGCACTTTATCAAAATCACTCAGGTCCGGGAGCCGGTTCGATGCACCGTATGGGCCCTCGAGCGCAATGGGTAAGATCGGTATGTCTCCTGTTGCGGTGGGTAACATTGGGAGCCCGCTACCTCCCTGCGCGAGTTTCTGCGCGAGCGCGCCGAGGTGCTTGGTATTCCCGTTGAGTGTGCGCGCGACGAGGAGGAGTTCCCGGTCCACGGCGGGAAGCGAGGCGATGGTGAAGGGGTTGGATTTGTTCACCATCAACCATTGCTGATAGTAACTCGGCGCCTTCGCGCTGCCCCAGGGGCGCGTGAGGTAGACGTGCTGACCCGGGTGCCAGTCCAGGGCTGCGTGGTTGTCGGGGAGCGGAATGCGGATCTGGACTAGGTTGGTGCCGGGCAGGAGGCGCAGAGTGCCTTGGTACATCTTCAGCCGTATGGCACGGAAGATTAGGTGTAAGCATTCTACTATGATGATTTGGTAGACGTAGAGCCGGATATGCGAAACGTGGAGGTACATGGGCACGATGATGAAGTTTGCGATGGCGATGTGCGAGATGTAGAAGACGCGATAATTCCTTCGGCGCACGAAGCCGAGTGCTGTTGTGCTGATGGCGGCGAAGAGGGTCAGAGAGAAGATGCCGAAGATGACATCCCAGTCTTTGATGCGTTTGGCGAGGAAGCCGGACATGGCGAAGAAGACGAAGTAGAAGACTGCGTGCAGGATGAAGAGCAGGTAAACGATGCGGCCGAGGATTTGATGGGCGGCTTTGAGCTGCTCGTGCGAGAGACGCGTGATCCACTGGACTGGCGAGTATGGTGTTCGCATAGCGAGAAGGTAGTGCAGAGGAAGCTGTGAGGCTCCAATCTGGCCGAAGCGCTTGGTCAGATGAAGATAATCTACGACGGTCAGGAAATCGATGCTGTTTGTTCAACACTCGTTCCGCTTACCAGGCGAAGTGTTGACAAAACACAGATAGAGTAGCCACGCGGTCCATAGTGTTCCGCCAATCCACTCTCCTCTTGTCCCCCAATCCCCTCTCTGAACTACATCTTTCTGCATCCACCACGTCGTCCTCGCATAGCGACTATGCAGACTCTTTAGCCACCCCAGGGTCTTCTCTCTGCCCTTGTTGAACGAAGGTGACTTTGGCTGCTCATAGCGCATGCCTTTGGTGACGATCCACCTGATGCCGAATGACATCTGGAACAGTACGAAGATGATCAGAACAGACCATTGCGCCGCGAAACCGTAATAGTCGAGATTCTCGCGGCGCTGGTGCTTCTGCTCGTCATTCAAAGGCTCGAACGAATACCCAAGGGCCCAGTATGACTTCGAGTCCACCTCTTGATGCCCTTCGTGTCGCCGAAAGAGATCCATCACGAGGTAACTGAGATGTGGCAAATGGAAGAGGTGCAATGTGGCACCTACCACATGTCACAGACGCCCGAGGCCCTGAGTACCACAAAAGACAGGTGGCCGACGATGTCGATAACTGTAGGAGAGAAGCGCAGCTGTTGGTGAGATGGCGTAACGTGCATGAAGCTGACAGAAGTAGCTTGCGTGCTCGGACTGAACGGACACTTGATAGCGCCGGGATCTGTCAAAACTTGCTCACTGCCCGGCGAGGATGCATGGCACGATGTCAGACTGCCTCCACCGAGTCGTGTGCAGTTATTCGGAACAGTACATGTTGTGAGAGGGAGTGTAGATGCATAACCAACAGTGGTGCGCCAATTGAAGGTCTCCAATTCCGCGTTCGTCAGCTAGCGGCGGCCCTCATGACCCCTGCCCGCAACCTGGGAACCGCCGCCAAACGTGGCTGGACCCTGCATCCGCATCATCCGTGGGACAGCGGCCTCAAGACAGGCTCATATATGAGATCACAGCATACGACTGCTCGCCATGTCATCGAGAATTCCGCTCTGGCTCGACTGTGTCCGTACTCGCTCGCGACTCTAGCAGCACCCGTATTGACGAGTTCCAGGACACGGGTCACGATGTAGGAGCAGTCCGCTGCCATGAATTGCTATCGCTCACTATCGCTCACTATCGCTCACTGTGTACTTCAGGATGCATATGCCCTCCTCCTCAGCGCTCACGATCCGCGCGCCGAACTCCTAGGCGTCAGCACCGTGCACGGCAACGCCGCCCTCGATCAGACCACCTTCAACACACGGGCCATACTGGAGGCATTAGGAAGACGCGACGTGAAGGTCTACCCTGGCGCTGCGAAGCCAATCGTGCGCGATGCAGTCCATGCAGCCGACATCCACGGCGAGAGCGGCCTGGACGGAGTGACACTGCTGCCGCAGCCCGTCGAGCCGGCCGTCGCCGATGTCGACTACCTCGAGGCCATGCATCGAGCGCTCATTGCGACACCACCCAACACTGCATGGCTGGTGTCCACTGGCACCTTGACCAACATCGGGCTGTTGTTCCAGAAGCACCCAGACGTGGCTCGCCATATCAAGGGCCTAAGCATCATGGGTGGTGCCGTAGGGAACCGGTTCACAGATGCCCCGATGGGCAAGGTCAAGGGCGAGGGCGAGCGCTTCGGCAACTGGACCGCCTATGCTGAGTTCAATGCGAGTAGCTGGCAAGAACACCATCGCAGGGCTCAGGGCTAATGGACACAGATCTATTGCGATCCCGAAGCATCGCGTTTCATCTTCTCGCACCCCGTTCTCCGGCCAAAGACGACCTTGATCCCTCTGGACCTCAGCCATCAGGTGCTTGGCACACAGGCGGTCCGCCGCTCCTTGTTGTACGGACAGAGGGCTGAGTTCGATGTGGATACAACACGGCTCCCGTCTGCTCTACGAGCCTTGTTCGCCCAGATCATGGCGTTCTTCGCAGGAACTTATGCAGAGGTCTTCTCAATCACCGAAGGCCCACCCTTGCACGACCCTCTCGCCGTCGCCGCAGCCCTCTATCCCGACATCTTCGACGACAGGGATGGCGAGCGCTTCCGCGTCGACATCGTTACAGAAGGCGTGCACTCCCTCCACCAGTCTGAAGTCGGAGAGCTCGGTAGGACAAAGGTCTCAGCACTTCAGCCAGGCGAGGGCGGCTGCAGGATTCCGCGAGGCGTTGACCGCGACAAGTTTTGGGGCCTCGCAGAAGATGCTCTAAAGCGTGCAGATGCTGTCAGTCCGATGCCGCAGCTCTCTCGCGAAGACTTGGAAAAAGATGGCGTCTTTGTTGGGATCGATTGAAAGAGCAGGTCGCTTCCATGGCGCCTTCCCCACCACTGCCTCCTTCCCATTTCTCTACCTCATCATAGACGTCAAGAAAGACAGCCACATGCACCCGCCATCCTCGCTTGCGATCTTAGCCATGTAGAAGAGCCGCAGTTCCCACAACTCTTGCAATTAGCCTTTTACCCTGTTAGCGCATCCCGAGTCGTTCACAACACCGATGTTTCGCTCTCCACCCGCCGAACGATCATCCTAAGAGTCGCTAACCTCCGCGCGGAGTGACGGAGACTTGCGGGGTACAGCCGTTGCCGCTCCTCTATAGCCGAATGCTCGTCATGCTTGTTCATCGCATCGTCCTCTTCATACTGAAGAGAAAGCGAAACCACACGCGTATGCGCTCTGAGATACATTTCTGCACCATCGAGACACAAGATTGCTATCACATAGATAGCTGTCCAAACCCTTTCATAAAGCACCACGTGTTTTGTTTTGCAACCCGGCTATATTCAGTGAGCTTATATTGAAGCCAGGAACAACCGCGCCTGGCTTACTACAATCGGTATCGACTAATGCATACCCTGGTCACTTCCCAGCCTAGCGCTTCTGTACCTTGCTTCAACGGTAGTGTTCTCCTGTTCGTAGCCATGAGATCCACGGCCTGGCCTGGTCCTTGGGTAGCTTCCACGTTCAATTAACCGGATGAATTGCTTGTCGTGCAGAAGGATGCATTGCCGGGACTTGGGCATTGCTTGTCGTGACCAAGCATGCATCTTGTGGCACATAAGAGTATATATATATATATATATATATATATATCGACAGCCTTCCCGACGATCAAAGAATCAGCTCTTCATCACAGCTCCTTCCGCTTCTCAAGTAGTCGTCTGGTCCTACAGCCAACATGAAGGTCACCCTCGCCCTCTCCCTCCTTCCTCTGGCTATCGCCTCGCCAACGTACCCAGCCTCTCAGAAGCCCAAGCCAGCTCCAGGTCTTGCCGACCTCGCGAAGAAGGCAGGCCTGAAGTACTTCGGCACAGCGATCGACAACGTCGTCCTCGACAACAAACAATACACCGACATTGCCTTCAACAAGTCCGAGTTCAACCAGGTCACCCCCGCCAACGGCCAGAAATGGGTCAACATCGAGCCATCCCGCAATGTCTTCAACTACACTCTCGGCGACCAAATCGTCGTGCCCAGCAAGAAAGCAGGCCAGCTGCGCCGCTGCCACAACTTCGTCTGGCATCAGCAGCTCCCCACGTGGCTCACATCCCAAAAGTGGAGCAAGCAGGAGCTCATCGACATCCTCGAGAACCACATCAAGAACGAAGCCCGCCACTACTACAACGACTGCTACGCCTGGGACGTGGTCAACGAAGCCTTCAACGACAACGGCACGTACCGCTCCGACATTTGGCTCGACACCATCGGGCCGTCTTACATCGAGTACGCGTTCAAATTCGCGCGCAAGTACACCGCGCCGGGCACGAAGCTGTACTATAACGATTACAACATGGAGACTGTGAACAACAAGACCCTCGCTGTGCAGGCCCTGGTCAAGGACTTCCAGAAGCGGCGCGTCCCTATTGATGGAATCGGTCTGCAAGCGCACTTCGTCACCGGCAGCTCGCCGAGCTACGACCAGATCCGCGCGGCGCAGCAACTCTACACGTCGCTCGGTCTTGAAACCGCGCTCACGGAGTTGGATGTGCGCACCGCGTTGCCCGACGACGCGACCAAACAGGCCACCCAGGCGAAGAACTATGCTGACTCGGTTAAGGCATGTGTGGATGAGGAGCGCTGCGTCGGAGTCACAGTTTGGGATTTCTGGGACCCCGTGTCGTGGGTGCCGTCCACCTTTCCGGGGCAGGGGAATGCGACGCTGTACAACACTGATTTCAGCCGCAAGCCGGCGTACTATGCTGTTGCGGATGTGCTGAAGGCTGCTGCGAAGTAGAGGGTGTGTTGGAAGGGGATTTGTAAAGTAGCAAGTTTGAAGAGAGTACGTTGCTTCTGTGGCGTGGTTTCATGTTCTCGTGATGAGAGTGAAGTCGTTTCTCACTTCGCTCCGGCACCTGTGACTCCCTCCCGGGCTTCATACAAGATTCTCGATCTCTCAAGATTTGGACTTGCGGCACTCACGGTGGGATTCTCGAGGAGACACACAAGATGTCCAAAATCATCGAAAAGATGTCAATGTGCTATCATTTCGAACTTCTCTTGTAGAAACATCAATCTCTCTGTCAAACGACCCTCGGTAAGAGGATGAAACAGTGAAGAAAACGTCACCGCTGAAGACAAACGAAAAGGCCGCGATCCTGCTAACCACAGTAAAAGAAAGCGACTAGGAACCGACTAAAGGACAACAAACCAAGGAAAAGGAAGCCCGGTTTGCGCAATCTGCGGTGAACAGACCAGAAGATGGTGTATTTCCACACCTTTCAAACAGCCACAAGAGCGCTCGCCAGCACTCCCTTCAGCCGCACCAACTGCTCGAGGAGCTATTATCCACGACTGATGAGGTCTTGAAACGGGAAGATCGCGTAGCTCCCTAAGACGAAGCCCCTCGATCATGCCTGCTCGATGTTGGATGTACGCGCGGAGTCGAGGAGCGCCACGATGCAGCGTCCAACAACGGGTTGCGCAGCACAATAGAACCCCAGAAATGAGTGGAATTGGGCTCCACAGAGCTCGGCGCTTCCGACCGTGCGACTCTGCTAGTGGGTGTTGTCAAGACTCTGTCGAACACCAACGACACTGCAGACCCATCAACACGAAAAGTGTCTTCGACCAGCTCAGCCTAACCACATGGCACTGAGTCCGCGATTATTGAGCTCGTTGCGACTCTGGATGGTGCAGAAACCAATGTACAACTAACACAAATTATGAACACGAGTCTCAGCGAGCTACTCGAAGACGAATTGACTCTTCTGAATGACCCAACAGCACTCAAAGCGATGATATCTGACCAAATTGTGGACTATTTTGCTCAGGTCAACATCGTACGTCTGACTGGATGCGTGGTTCCTGACAAAGAGGAGCCGCTGCAGCATATGCAGATGCTCTCGGACAACGAAATGCTATGGTCCATCGATGGACATTGTCTGTGTCCAACATCCTCTCCTTTCACATCGTATATGCTTGAAGTAGCCACACCCTCCGAACGCGGCAATCGTTAACCTACAATGCCATATGGCTTCCAAAGAGTAAGTTACAAGCTTCCACCGTCATCGTGGCTTTGTAGAATCACGATACTTCGAACGGAGTCCTTGATCTTGGTGTTCTGGATCAGGCTGGTGCACAGTGGAGTTTCCTGGGGTATCAAATAAAGTTTCACAGCTGCGAGTTGCTGTTGTTCAGATCGCTGGTGATGCCAAAATCAGGTTCCACGGCAGGAGATATTGCCGACATCCGAAAAATGGCATTCAATGATGTCGTGTCAGGCGGACAGAACTGAGGTGATGTTTTGAGGAAATGTTAGCAGCATTCATTATTACGATTACCATGAGCTCAATTGTTAATGATGAGAAGCGGTCGTATGTGCACGCCCGCAATCTCGGTTCTACGTTTGGAACATGTTGGACTCGTTCGGTGCCCGCGCATCACAATCGAGGGGTGAGGTCGTGTTCACGCACGCCTTGTTGCTGCTTGTGTTGTTGACGCTTGGCAGAGTTCTGCTCTTCCCGGTCGAGTCTTGGAAGATGCGGAGAATGCGGGACAAGAGACTAGAAATCGGACACATTGCAACACAAGCACCAAGGCGTCCGCGCTCTTGGGGTTTATCGGTTAAGCCCTCATACACAAGGCCTCCGTCTTCGCATTCGGGTTGTGGCGGTGCGTCTGCAGTATGTAGCCGAACATTCTGTAATCCAAGCCGGCCCTCAATGCCGTTTGCGAGAATATAGCAATGTTGATCTGTGGTATTTGACGAATTCTGATATCCAAGCATGGCTGACGAAAATGCAGTGGTTCCAGGGGCGCTTGACGGAGTCCAATGTTCGAAGTTCGGACGTGCCAAGGTATGACTTCATACTGCTCCCCACTATCTCCTCCAGCTCGTGTGAGTGGTGCCCTGAGATGCCAAAGCAGCACGAGAAGGAGAAGTGTGGTGTTAGCCGCACATGCGCCACGTGCAGAGTGGTGTGGCGTACATAATACGGTTACACGATAGTGGTGTCGCTATTGGAACTTGCCCTGCAGTAGGCGATATTTTATTCAGCGGCTGTTTGAGTAGTGAGCGATCTGCCCAGTAAGGATGAACGACCCGTCGAAGTTCAATATAGCAGGGAAAAAACCAAGTCGAAGTCGCGTCACCAGAGTGACATCTGACATGATATCAAACTGGAGATGCGACAATGTGCACTGCACCCTGACAGACCTTGGGAATAGAGTTAGCTCGCATTTCTTTTCGTCCGTTAATTATTCGTGGTTGCAAGCAGATAAATGCTGGTTTGGCCCATATATTGACATGTCGTAACTCATGAAAGCGAGCGAATGGAAAGATGGAAACCGGCCATGCGGATTCCCCTGGATTTGCACAGCCTGGATGACCAAAATTCGCTCAGGTCTTGGCTGGAGACGACAAGAAACCAGGAGTCTGGGCACTTGGCACTTTGCGGAGAAAGTGGCCAAGACGAGCGGGATCACGGCGCTGGCAGTTGTGCTCGGGGTCGTCATGCTCCCTTTGATGGATCCACCAAATCGAAGTGGATGATGGTGGTCGATTTGAATGAGGCAGAATTGCAGGCGTTTATCGTCATCAGGGCTGCGCAGCCTCTCTTGCTCCTGTTCAGCCATCAGCTGATCATGAAAATAGCTGACTGCCTCCTCGGTCGGCTACGCGAAACAGGAACAGCGGATGTCATTGGCGGCATCTGGCGGTGCGTTTGACTGAGGAGAGTGCGAGGTGGGCAGAAGAAAGCAACCGGGCAGAAAGGGGTACTCTGAAGGCAGTCAGTGTTCAGTTGAAAGAAACGACCACCTCCCTCTTCTGGAACGGGCGAGGATCGTTCTCGAATTGATTGAACAGCCTCGCTGATTGCGACACGGCCTGCGTCGTTTGGAAGGCGCGACGCTCAACGTGTCGGCGACAAGACTTCCGCCCGGCCAAGAGAGTGACCAAGACGATGAACGACCAAGAAATTCCGCTCGAAATAACATCCCAATATCGCTGCACGCCCTGACCAGTTCTTTGTCTGCAAGTTTGTGGCACTCGCAGACGGCTGCTGAACCTTGGAAACGTGCGCATCACACGCATCGAATAGGCATTCAACGGGAAGCGGGCGGTGCGGCCAAAGGGCCGGACTCAGATTGAGTGCTGTCGCAGTGCTGCAAAGGGCATGGTGAGCCAAGTAGGCTAAGAATTAGCGCCCTTGGCGCAGCATCTGTGATTCGCTATCTGGGCGCCGCGCAGGATTTTCTTGGATTCCGCTGCGGACGCTCTTTCTCATAATCTGCCGTGGCCCCCGTCCTCATGCTCAAAGCTCGGCGCCTTCTCCTCCTCTTATTACTGTAACCCAAGGACTCGCTCCCCACCCCAAGTTTCACTCCTGTAAAATCACTCCTTCTTTTGCGCTGAACGAGATACGTTCGCGCCATCAACCATCGTGTCTTCATTACAGAGCCAAATAGCATCTCTGCTGCCAAGCATGAGCAGTGTAGAACAACAAGCACCCGTGCCGGCTGCGGCCACAACACCACAGCAGCAGCCTTTGGGCACTCCCACCCAACAGAACGCCCCTACTCCTGCGTCTGTTGTGAACTCAGGCGGCGACCAGCTCGTCTGTCAGTGGCAATCTTGCGGCGAGCGTCTGCCTTCTGCTGAACAGCTTTACGTAAGTTCAGACACGCCTTTACTCGATCGTTACACACTTACTAAACATCAACCAGGACCACGTTTGCGAGCGCCATGTTGGTCGCAAGAGCACCAACAACCTGAACTTGACCTGCCAGTGGGGTAACTGCCGTACTACGACTGTAAAGCGTGACCACATCACGTCTCACATTCGTGTTCACGTCCCATTGAAGCCGCACAAGTGCGACTTCTGCGGCAAGGCCTTCAAGCGTCCTCAGGATTTGAAGAAGCACGTCAAGACGCACGCCGACGACTCTGTCTTGCTTCGCTCACCCGAGCCTAACCGTGGCGGCCCTCACGGTGCGGGAGGCTACCCAGGTCAGAGCGGTAAACGTAAGTAAACTAATCTCGAATGTCTCTCTTTCTGTATCTAACCAGTGTCATAGTCGTTGCTGACTTGCAGGCGCTTGCCGCTACAGCGAGTGGATACCAGTATCCTGATGGTGCCCTTGGACCCAACGGAGCTTATGGCCAGCAACACCCTGGAGGCGCTCCTGCCGGATTCTACGGAGGCCCACCCCAGAACTCCGCCTATGGCCCCGTCTACTATGCTGTCAACCAGACACAGCAGCTGACTAACGACTACGAAATCCGTAAGCGTGCAGCATACGATGCTCTGAACGAATTCTTCGGCGATGCCAAGCGCCGTGCCATTGACCCCTCTACCTACTACGACGTTGGCCAGCGCCTGATGGGTCTCCAGGGTGTCCAGCTCCCCGTTCTGGGTGGTTACCAGTCTCCTGGCATGTCTGAGTATGGCCACGGTGGCACCATGGTTGCCCAGGCCTCGCACCCCCCCATGCACCACCCCTACTCGCTCCCTCTGCCTAACCTGAGGACCAAGAGCGATCTCTTAAACATTGACCAGTTTTTGGAGCAGCTCCAGAGCACTGTCTACGAGAACCCCAACCACGCCGCAGCTGCTGGTGTTCAGCAGGCCGGAGCTCACTACGTCCACACTGGTGCCGGTTACCGCTCAAGTCACTCACCCCCTGGCCTGTCGAGCAGTCACTCCCAGTCTTCTCACGCCACCGCTGCTCCCAACGATACTCCAGCCCTGACACCCGCTTCAAGCGTCCTGTCCTACAGCTCCCAGCACTCTCCTGGTGCCACTCACTCTTCCAGCGGTGTCTCTCCTACTTCAAGGTCGTCAATTGGCAGCATGTACCCCACTCTCCCATCTGTCAGCGCCATGTCTGACATGTCCGCTGCGGCTCCTTCGTCGGGTCTTGCGCCTGCTTTTGATGCTGATGGCCGCCGGAGGTTCTCTGGTAACCTGCTCCAGAAGGCTGCTCCTGACCGAAGTGAGGGTGACGAGATGGATACCGGCTCTGACGGTTCGTCAAAGTCCCGTCGCAACTCTGAGCAAGACAACCTGCACCACGATGTCAACCAGCTGGCTATTCACTCTCCTAGAGTTGACCCTGCTCTTCGCTCACCCAGTGTGGTGTCCGATGCGCCTACAGAAACACCGAACGACTCTCAAAGTTGGGTCGAGAACATCCGCGTGATTGAGAGGCTTAGGGGTTGGCTCAAGGAGCGTCTTGACACTCGTGATTACATCGACGAGGAGGAGAATGAGGCCAAGGAGGAGCACCGCACCATTGAGGACGACGATGAGCACAACCTTTACCCTGTTCTTCGCGCTGTGCAAGAAGGCCGGGAGTAAGTTAACCCAATTGGGAGGTTCAAGTGTTGTCGGAGTTCAAATGGCGTTGCGGTGTACTACCACAAGGTACCTGATTGGCATATCGGGGTGGCAAGGGTTTCGTTGTCACACTGGCATTGTGTGATTTGTTGCTTCTTGTCTTTAACGGTCTCTACAAGGGATATACCATGAACGGCCTGTTCATTATTTATGTTTATCTTCGACATGCTATAGTAGTGCTCGAATTGAAAGATTTCCCATTGTTCAACATTACTTCGCATGTCTTCGGTAATCTTCTGCGTTTCTTTGACCGGAGGTGCTTATCTTCTGCCAAGTCTTTTGACCAATTTAGATGATTCCAAACCCCACATTCTTGACACGAACTCCGTGGGCCGAACGTCTAGACAAGCCTTCCCCACGTTGCTATCACGTCCGATCCCTCGGGTGCTCATTCCATAAAGATGTAAGCCCCACCTGGAGCCGCAGTTATACCTGCTTTCCACAACCATCGAGAGTTACTTCAAACACCACATCACTCGCGGAAATCAGTTCCTGATGTTTGATCTCGGCTCACCCATGCTGCGATATCACTCTTGACTACAAAGCACGGTCGCAACATGTACGGTCGCGGCGGAGCAGGTAACATTGCGCAGGCGGCCGCAACGAGCAAGAAAGCCGCAGAGGTACGCGATCTCAATTACATGTGCATCTAACATGTATCTGACAACCATCAGGACATCGAAGCCGCTAACCCGCCCTCCGCAACCCCCTCCGCACCATCCCAGACCTCCTCCACCGCCTCGCAAGACTATGCACACATGGGCCGCGGCGGCGCAGGAAACTGGTTCCAGCCCAAGACGCTCCAAGAGGAAGGCACATTCTCGCAACAAACACCCGGCGAGTCAACCGCACCCCCTACAAACGCCACTCCGAACGTGAGCAAGCCGTGGACGCCGGAGGGACAGGAGTTACCGGTTGCGAGACAGGGGAGGGGCGGCGCAGGGAATATGGTGTGGAAGAGTGAGGAGATGTGGAGGAAGGAGAAGGAGGATGAGCAGAGGAGGAGGGAGGAGATAGGGAGGAATGCAGAGGAGGCCGCGGATGGGTTACAGAGTCCTGGGAAGGCGGTGTTTGGGACGCAGAAGGGTGGGAGAGGATGGTGAGAGGGGCTGTATGTGAGAGTTCACGGGGTGACTGTTGAGAATTCAGGTGATACCCATGTTCATTCCTGGACATGCAATCGCGTTTGAAGCTAGGTATTTGGGCATACGCAGATCTGCTGCGTGACCGTTCGAGCACCTGGTTTGTAACGCGGCTATTGAAGTAATAGAAAAACGATTTATACATGTGCTTGAACGTAAGGTGCGCTCATATCTCTGCCTTCTCTGGCGAGCATTCGGCTTCGCACGACAGGCGGCATCAGCTGCGAGATTACGTCGAGAAGCAGCGGGAGCAGCTCGACACATGACAGCTGCTTGACTGCTGTGTTTACAATCACAACATCTGCGAAACCGTTGATGCCCGTCAGCGGCCTCACGCAACACTTTGCAGAGACCCATCCAATGACGCACCGTTTTGCGTAGTGCAGCCCCAGTCGTGCACGGACTGTTTACATCGGCTAGCCGCCTTGCGTCCTCGCCATATAACCTTCCTTGACCCACACAGGACTACCTAAATCCGCCGTAGTTCTACACTGGCACGACTCGTATCTTGCAGTTACTACTGTTCACCATGGCGCGCCGATCAGCGAGGCTTCAGAAGGTATGTACACGCGTTTGTCGCTCTCATCTCATGTAAACAAACATCTGCTGACCTCGAATACAGCCTGCGCCTACACCTGATAGGACTGTACGGGCCGGATCAAATGACAGCTGGGAGACCGCTCAATCTGAGCAAGAGCAGTTGCAGCTTCTTGAGCTTCCTTCAGTGCGTGAGCTTCCAGAGCCTGCTGTGAGGACCCCGCAGAAGCCCGCTGCAGACGCGCCCAAGTCTACATCGAAGCTGCCCGCAGCGAAGACCGCTGGAGCGCAGACGCCTTTGAGCAAGAGTACATCCTCGAAGCTACTGGCCGCAGCCTCCTCAGTGCGCACGCCCACAAACCGGACCCCCATCAAGCCGGCTGGTGTTGAAATGCACCCCGCGCTGCATCACGCGAGTACAGCGAAGCCTCTCGACGAAGCCCGCTGGCTCGGTTTCCAATCGCTCGGAGCTCATACTGCACCACCCAAGGCAGCTGGTCATGGTCCAGGCACCCCCTCCAAAACTCCTGCGCCGGCATCCACAAGCAATGCGGGAGCATTGGGCTCATCGCCAAGCAGCTTCCGCTTCCAATTCAAGTCACCCTTCTCCAAGGCCACCGAGACGACCGAGACGTCCAAGCGCGGCGACCTCAGCCCGACTACACGCAACATTCTGAAGGAGCCTACTATCGGTGCGACTCCAGGTCGTGCAATCTTCGATGCCAATGAGTTCACCTCTAAGGCAGACGTTACACCAGCCCGGCCGAAGGCAGAGCCCAAGGGCAAGATGGCGCGGTTCAGTGACATCCACATGGCCCAGTTCAAGAAGATGGACTCAGTTGCCAATCACCCTTCAGCTTGGCGCCTCAAGAAGTCGCCCTCGAAGCCTGACCTGCCCAGGCCGGAGACTAACAAGCTCAAGCGCACACAGTCAAAGATGGATCTGGCAGAGTCAAGCACAAAGCCTGCTGCCACGCTGAAGCGTACACAGTCGAAGATGGACCTCGCAGAACCTAGCACTAAAGGGCCCGCGGTGCAGCGCCCTCAGCCTAAGACAAACGCAGCGGAGTCGTCCAGCAAGGTTCCGCCAACACCACTAAAGCGCACTCAGTCCAAGGCCGACCTCATTGGCTCCAGCTTGCCACGTTCACAGTCCACCGTCCGTCTGGTTGCTGCTCAGGAGGGCTCGAACGATCCAGCGCCAAAGCGTGTCAAGCGTACCGAGGTGGACGATGCAGCTACCACACGACCAGCGTCTCGGGACAGTAACATCGAAGCATCTTCATCTAAGCTTCCTGTTCCACCACGCAAGATCACATCACAGACCGCACTTCCCCGCCTTGCGGCCAGGCTCATGACACCCACCAAGTCTTCGATCGCCCGTGCACAGTCACAGACCGTCAAGGCTACAAAGTCCACCTCCATGATCCCACAATCTCCTTCTGCGAGGAACCTGTTCTCTCCAACCCACATCAGCCGTTCTCTGCGCGACGGCGCGCGAGAGAGCATGCAGCAGGCGAAGCGGAACCTGCAACAAGTCCGCTCCATCCTCCGCACCCCCAGCCGCAAGTTTTCCGATGATCCCACCAAGATTGCTGCAGGCACGCACATGTCCCCGCCACCAGAGTCGGCTTGGGGCAAGGCTCTTCCCGCGATCCCAGCTACCGCGCCCGCCAAGAAGCACGTGAACTTCAGCAATAGTACGCTGGCTCGGGCAGCTCCCAACGACCTGACCAAGTCGCCCTCGCCCATGAAGTTCCGAGCTGGCAGTGAGGTCCCTTCCGGAGCAGTCGTTCATCCAAGCCTCGAATTTGATGTCGAGTACCCAAAGCTCCCTCAAGGCGACGCATCTCCTACAGCGTCTCCTTCTCGTCGTCTCACATTCGGTGGAGAATCTGCAAACCACCCACGCAGCTTCTCCTTCGAGTCAGGTAAGCCTGTGAACTTCGGTAAATTCTTTCCATTCCTTGCTGTCTACCTTCTTCTGACATTGATCCCTAGGTCCAACTACGACTGGCACCATCCGTATGGTCCGCAAGAGCGATGCTCCTTCCATCATCGAGAGCACGAAACGCAAGCTCGAGACTCTCCAGGAGACGTCAGATAAGGAGAACGACGAGCGCCTCGAGAACCCTCGCTCCGCCAAGAAAATGAAGCCGACTCCCACTCCTGCAACGCCTGCAAAGGTTCCTGCGAGCGCAAGCAAAGTGCCTCGCCGTACTCCCGGAAGTGCCATGAGCAAGTCTAGGCTTGCTTTCCTGGCTACTCCTAAGCGCAACAAGGCTTAAGTAAGCAGCATGAAGCACATCCTGCTAGGCCTGATCTTGACTGTTGGATATAATCTGGTTCTCTCAGAACCGTCTCCACTCCAGAAACGCACCCCAAGAAACGATTTCCTTTTTCATATCCTCATTCGCATCACGGTGCATGTCGGCGTTTCGGAAAGATCAGAACGATCTATGACCATGATCAACGACATTTCCTCTTGTTTGCGTGCGATTTCCTTCAACGGTTTGGTGGTAATGGTTGGCGAAAAGGGTACGATTTGATGTCAAAACTGGGCTGTGTGTAGCAATGGTGTCCGTTGGACTTTGCATATCATGACACGATTCCCACGATCTGCTGTGTATAACACGATGAAAGAATGAACCCTAGAAAATGATCTCAACCCAATAGTGATGTCTCGTGCTAGATGGATGATGTGATGCATGACTAGCGCCGAGTCAGGCCGACACCTCAGTACTCGAAGCTCAATCTGATAACTATCACGTTCCACAACCTACACATCTTACAGTGGTATAGTGTCGCAGTGAGATTCAGTGATCGTTGAGTCCTCAAACACATTGATCAAATAAGACCCAAAGACGAGGAGGTCCGAATATCGGCGATTTACGCAAAGAGCAGGAAGGAGGGGCACATCCAAGATCTGAAGCATTTACGCCGGAGCATTCATCACACACACGCACCCGGATTAAAGTTTCGAACGCTTCAAACAAATACGAGGAGACGGATAGAAAGAGCAAGGACGAAAAGAGACCCCGCTTGTTGGCACACCTCACCGTCCCATCATTCGCGCTTCAGGCTGCTGCATGGCAGTAGAAGTATCCAACTCGACCTACTTTACGCGTAGCACAACACCACCAAATATGTCCGGATCAGAAGACGTCAAACCTACACTCCTCGCCTTCCACGGCTCAGGCAGCAACGCAACGATTCACACCGTACAACTCGCGCGTCTGAACCGCATTCTGAAAGACCATTATAATGTTGAGAGTCTTGAAGGTAAGCCCTCCTTTTGCCACCACCAAAACATATACCCCTCGATCAATAGCAAGATAAGGAGGTCATACGGTTCTTGATTACGGAGCTGATAAAGTTAATAGCGCCCTTCCCCTCCCCCCCCGGCCCGGGCATCCTCCCCTTCTTCGACGGATGCGGCCCGTTCGCGCGCTGGCTTCCCCCGTCCGAGAAGGTCACTATCGAAATCATGAAGTCCGGCACTTCGACTGACCAGATGAGTAAGGAGGTCGAGCACTTGGTGCGCGACACTGTGAACCGCATCAACACGAACGGTGGAAAAGTGGTTGGATTGATTGGCTTTTCGCAGGGCACCAAAATCGTCGCGGGATTACTGCGCGGGAGCCAGATTCGGCGCGAGTTGGGAAGCAGGGGTGAGGAATGGCTCTCATCCTTTCATTTTGCGTTGAGTGTATGTGGGAGCTACCCACCTCCTCTGCTGCCGCCGAGTGTGTTGAAGCTTCCCGAGTTCGCGTCGAAAGCCGAAGAGGATAAGAACAAGCTGCTCACTGAGAAGATCGGGGCCCCGGTCTTGCACGTCCAGGGCGAGCAGGATGAGTGGAAGTGGGCCGGCGATGGCTTAATAGAAGGCAACTACGAAGTTGGTGAGGGCAAGAGTGTAGTTGGACGGTGGGATATGGGGCATCACTACCCCCAGAAGCCTGAAGAGTCTCAACAGATGAGCGATTGGCTGATTGAGCAGTTGCGCAGTCTTGATGGGGCGAAGGAGGCGGCGCCGTAGAGTGTTTCCTCCGCGTAGGATTTCTGTTCTCATAGAGGGCTAGATTTGGGTGCCCTAGACGCGTCTCCCAGCGGTTGTTGAATTGATACTCGATCGTACATTGCTTTCTCCTCGAAGCAATCATGTCCGTTCCTCGTAAGTATCGATTTTCCTGACAGCAATTGTTGTAGCCTCTACTTATCCTCACAACATTATGGAAATGGGTTTTCATTGACCGGAGCCTCGTTGCTGCATATTTTTGCAAATGCAACTGGTACTCACTTGAAAGCTCGCAGTCCTTGACCTTTGTCTTTCACAAGCCAAACGCAAGGTCCATCTCCACCTGTGTTTCGAGACTGCTCTCCCGACGTCGTCCCGTCGTACATAAACACGATACTGTAGACCCCAAAAGATGCCTCTTTTGAACTTTGCCATCTTCAAGCCTCGCAACAAACACCAAATCGAGCACTAGCCTGACGTAGCGGCCAGAGTTCTGGCCATTCAGGGTCCAGGATCATGGTTGTGAGGAAGGCGTACCCCGCGATGCAGGGATGACGTCTCAAACGATCACGTATTCGCGCATGCGCAACCCTGTGTGTATGATGGCCTTGTAGCTCAGGACAAGCTCTCCTTGTTTTCCTAAGTCCTTTTTTTGGTACTTACACCTTTGTTTCTGTTGATCTACATCGATACCCATTTGCTTTTCTCTGTGTTTATTGTGACTTCATCGCTCGTCACCACACTCGCCGAACACTATCGGCCTCACCACTACGGATACATCAGAAAACGAGAGCAACCAATCGAGCGCGCCTAAACACACTGTCGTCATAGTCTGAGATTGTATACCTTTCAAAATCCCATCAAATCTACCAAAAGTGTATATCCCAAGATCCTCAGCATGGCCGAGCTGCACAAGGCGCTAGAGTGCCTCAGGCCCAAGGAGTTTAGCGACGTGCCAACCGACAACCTGAAGAGCTTCCTGCCCAAGATTCTCTCCAACGCTGAACTCATCGCGAACTCGGTTCCTCCACCACCGAATGGCACAGCCTACGAGTCGGCACAGCGCACGCGCACCTCCTCACAACCCGCAACGAATGCCGCAGATCTCACGAAGTCAGAAGTCCGGCGGCCACCGCCAGCGAAGGACCATGAAACGCTGCAGAAGTCATGGGGGAAGCCGGTGAAGCTGGCAGCCAAGGAGGCAGCGATGGGCATGAGCGTGTACAAAATGGCAGGGCACGACAGACATGGCGCGTGGTTTGCGCGGTCGAGTGTGCATGAGGGCCTTGGGTTCTCCAAGTGGAAGCGCATGATGCAGAGGGAATTCCCTGAGAGCTTAGAGGTGCAAGGCGGGCCTGGAGAGGGCAACATCAGAGGCATTGGTGGAGATCGGAGATTGGAAGATATGACCGTGGACGGCATTGGCAATCTGCAAGGTAAGAAGCATGCTACATTGAGGACATGAGGATCAGTACTGACAACGAGCAGTCTACCAGCTATCCGCGCAATTCCCCGGTCCAACTTCACCACGAGAGTTCATCACACTGCTCATCACCTCCGAAAGCGCCCTCAGTGGAGCCTCCAAGATTGAATCGACAACACCACGACACTGGATGGTCGTCTCGATACCTGTATCACATCCTGAGGCACCGCCTCGCGATGGCATGGTCCGCGGCTTCTACGAGTCCATCGAGATGATCCGGGAGATACCGCTGAAGGGCAACGGGGACGCTGAGACCAATCCAGTGGAATGGATAATGGTCACGCGCAGTGATCCTGGAGGCGGCATACCGCGCTTCATGGTAGAGAGGAATGTACCGGGCAGCATCGTAAATGACGCAGTCAAGTTCTTGGATTGGGCATGCGCGAGGGATGATGTTGAGTCAGACGAGGCACTGAAGGTTGGTCAAGACGCTACGAACGATACTCCGCAGCAGACTCACGATGCACAACCGCGGTATTCGATGGAGAACTCGAACGGCATAGGTGCAGGGGTCGGGACCAGTATAGCGGACATACCCTCATCGATGCGCCGAAGGGCTTCACAACGAGCGGTCGAGAAGGCAGACCCTGCACAAGAAGGCTACCTGGACCAACTAAAGGACGCAGTCGGTAGCCTCGGTGCATACGTTGCAGACGCTGTAAACCCTATGCCGCAACTCCAGCGCACTAGCTCCAGTAGTTCATCCTCCACCGCCTCGTCAGTCGACTCCTTCGCCTCAGCCGAGCAATTCACCTCCGCGCCCCAAGGTCTGCCCGTCGACAACTCAATACCCACACCCTCAACAGCATCCGAGGTATCTGTCCCTGTCGACGACGACAGCCACCACGCACGCGAATTGAATAAAATCGAAGCTAAAAAGTTCCAATTACGCGAGAGACTCGATGCAGACCGCGAAAAGCGCAACGCAACCGTTGCAAACGAGTCGCAAAAGAGCCAGAAGGAGGTCGAGAAAGCCGCCGAGAGACACGCAAAAGAGAAGAAGAAACAGGAAGAAAAATACGCGAAAGAAATAAGGAAGCTAGAAGAGCGTCGCGAGAAGGAGACTCGGAAACTCCTTGCGCGTCAGCAGAAGGAGGCCGATAAGAGCAAGCTCACAACTGCGCAGAGAGAAAGAGACGAGTATAAGAGGGAGAAGGAGCTCACAGAAGAGGAAAATAGGCTGCTTAAGGAGCAGGTTGCTGAGTTGCAGAGGGAGAACACGGCACTGGTGGCCAAACTGGGCAAGTCAGATGTTGGAAGGGATATTTTGGCTGCAGTGAGGAGCGAGGGAGGGAGGACGAGAGCGAGTAGTAGGGCGAGTGGGAGTTCGGGGAAGAGCGGGTTGGCGAGGAGTGGGACTGCGCCAGTGTCTTGATTTCTTTATTGACACTTCTTTCCTTTTTGTGCTTTCCTCGCTCTCATCCCGTCTTATCTTTACCGAGCGTTCAGATCCAGAGCTCACCAATTTAGCCAGGCATAACACGGTCTATTGCAAGCACCTGTCCGATGAACCACTTTCATAGGTGGAAAGTGAATCCAGCGTTCGCGGTAGACATAGAATTCAAGTATACCACATCCGAGTCTATATGGAGAGGCCTTCATATGCATCGGCAAGTTGACCAACTTTCCCGATATGGTCATTATCTAACAGGTGTGTTCGTGTCATTACTCTTCCCCATCAGTGTCGCTCTCCAGGCGCCTTTCATGGTTTGCACCACTTTCGGATGCAACGCAATTTCCGTCCTCGGTGACGGTTGCACCACTGACTTCGACTTCCGACATATACTCAGCTGAGACTTTGCCAGCGTCAGAACTGGTCGCTTCCCTGGCAGGCTCATTGTCACTTCGCGTCCATCCGTGCGGCTTGGACTGGTCAACCTCGCCGACGCATTTGCCATTTTCCTGGAGTGCCTCACGCCACACATCCCAGTGATCGTATCCCCAAGCTCGATAAGCAGCAGCATACCCAAAGCTATCGCGATATAGTTCGTCCGCACCTGATTCGACCAGAGCACTGATCATCTGCTTACTGACACTGTGGCCATGAGAAGCTGTCGGGGAGCGTGGACAGTACGCATGTGGGAAGAATTGAAGGATTGAACTGAGGTTGTATTGGGTGAAGCTACGAACAGTATGTATAGGTGAGTAGCTGTAAACAACGCTAGTGTGACGGGGCAGTCACCCTCATGGCAGGTGAGGTACGGCAGGCAGGAACACCCTAACCGTGACAGAAGCTGAGATGCATTCCTTGAACAGAGTGGACTCCATAAGCCCCCTAACAGAGACTTTCCAAAAAGTACCGAGTTGGGGGTTGCTCCCATCTCTAGTAAGAACCGTACGACATCTGGGGCCATCTCCAGCTACGACTCCAAATCTTCTGGCGATTCTAACTTTCGCGCATGTAGGCCGATGTCGTCGTTGATCGTGTACAGTCTTTGTAAGCAGGTGCTTATGAACGACCAATTCCTGACAGTCCGGTTGTGACTGAATCTCAGACTCAACATGACCATGTCTTCTGTATGCCGGATCAGCGCAGGTGCTGAGGATAGCGTCCAATTCTTCAGAGCTAGGCTCAGCCAGCCCTTTGAGAACCGCTATGGAATATCCTGCACAGACAGTAGAGCTCTGTCTGCATGCCATGAGACACATGTGTCGCTTGAGGAAGGACGGGGCTCACTGAAAAGTGGAGTACGAAGCTCCTTGGGAGTCTAGATAAACGAGTATATCTCCAAATCCGCCTCCGGCAACATGAATAGCCTAGCAAGGCGCTTCGGCTCGCTGCACTCAATAACCACCGTTTTCGCGTCGAGAAGCGCGTCGCCGAGGACAGTGTAAAGTTCTGTCCATGTGAAAATACTACAACTGCAGTCTTCAAAACCCTGGTTGACCTCTTCTGAATTTACAGAGATTGCATTCTACGATATTCCAGAGACTGACCCGCGTTCCGAGGTGCTGACTTCCTCCAGCCTTATTGGTAGGTGATGTGACGTTGAGAACAGGGTTCCCTCAGAAATGTGGTACTGCACTACGTTTGCCTGGCTGAATTCTTACCCTTCAATCGCGTTGAGGCTCCGATCACCTCCCGGGTTTAGATTCTTGCAGTGAACCATGAGGTCGCAATTTGCTGTTGCGGCCAGCGGGCGCTTGTGTCGTAGTGGGGGCAGCCGCAGACGGGCGTGAACGGGAAGCCATCCGCGGTGGAGCGTCAGCGCTTCATGAGACAGGAGGAGACGATCGCCAAGATAAGGAAAGATGGGGTGCGGCATGCATGCCAAGTGCTCAACTGAGAGCGCATGCCTGGATCTGAATGCAGGGTCAACTTGCAGAGAGCTTCTTTTGGCATCACGGAGGGGGCTGAGGACTTGGAGCATCGAATGAAGCCCGGACAATGAGCGCAGCGATGACCGCAGAGTTGCTAGGGGGGTGTCCAACGTCAGCCATCGTGAAAGCCTGCTGCAAGGCATGTACGCTTTCAGACAGCTTCAAGGTTGGATGCGCGTGTACAGGTCAGGGTCTTAGAGTGTATCACACAACGCACACGCTAAATCGCGGGACCGAGGACGAAGCTGACGACCTTGAGATCGATTCGGCACGTTAGGGATTCTTGATCATCAGAAGGATTCCCACGGCTTGTTGTGCCGGCGATGGATTCAAGTGCTGGCGATGGACTCAAGTGCTGGCGATGGACTCAAGTGCTGAGCGACGTCAGAAGATGCCGTCGGCGGCTGACTCTAGATACGGCGACCGAGCGCAGTCGCATCGTGTGGGCAAGGACAAGCCAGCACGTCACGTTGGGCCCTCGAATGAGAAATGCGTACGTTGCAAATAAGTGTTGAAACAAGGTTCTCAGCCAGTCGTCTCACAGGCGGGCAATCTCAGCGCTTGTAGAGAAGTTAGTCAACGAGCGTCTTCCCGTGCTGGACGTCTTGGTGGGGCTTGACAACGCCGCATGCTTTCCTGCAGCTGTTCACACTCCTGCTGCCCTCGTCCCTACTCCCCACGCTCGCTATCAGCTGTCTTTTGACTGCCTTTCTCGTGCCTGCCTGTCAATCGTTAGCTCACGCGAGCATCTGTAGTCGCTGTCACAGGGCCCTGGTACCACTGTTTGCTCGAGTGCCTTTTGCCCTTCTCGGCAAGCCTCGTTCAGCACGCGCCGGCCGGCTCACCTCTCCACAGCTGCTGTGAGCCCCTCAGACGGTCCAGCATTCTGACACAGCCCGCGAGCCACGCTTTTGACTGCGGATAGCAGCGCCCTTTGCATTTTCCTGGTCAGCCAGGCCTGCCAGCTACACCAACATCTCGCAGCCTTACCCGCCCCGAGTTGCGCCTGCCGCCTACGAGCCGCACCTGCCTACGACTCGTGGCCCGCCAACGTCACTCGCTGCCCAGTCCTCCAAGCCACTCTCCACCACAGCTCTTCCTCCCACCTAAGACCTTTCCCTTCTTCGCCTTGCAAGAGTCGGTCAGCATTCCTCGGCTGACGGCGGCGAACCGCTCTGCTGGAACCCACACTACCCCCCGTGCAACCCTCAACCCTCCTCAGACTCTCCTCGTTCTTGAGGAATCTGGGACGACTTCGGGGTCCTAGCATACCTGGCTGACTCGCCGTCCGCTGTGCCCCTCGCACGGCAGGCACGCCCTCTGTAGTAGCACCTGCTGCAACGAGAGTGTTGGAAGTCGTGCCTGTAATCGCAAGAGTGCTCTCGTGGACAGACAACTATAGATGCTGCCCGGCTTCTCTGCGAACGGGACTTCGAGTCCCCAGCCCAACATGGCGTCACCCGTACCCCTTCTTCGAGCGCCTGTCCCCGGTGGCCGTGGACCTCGCAAACCCGCCCTCGGCCTCTCGATTCCCGCATCACCGAACGCTCGACCCGTCGTGAATGGCACAAGCGATGGGCAGCCCAGTATGGGTCGTCCAATGCCCCCCCGCCTACAACTCGCAACGCCCATGGGCTCGAATACCACCCCTCAAGAAGGCGGTCGCCCACGGTTACAGCTCGCAACGCCCATGGGTTCAAGTCGGACTCCACAAGGACTGCCTCCACTACAAATTTCGACAGGACTTTCTGCAAACTCGAGCGATGCAAGCGCAAACTCAAGATCTGGTAGCTTTGGCGAGATGCAGGCGAACGGGTCTGCATCGTCATATCAGAATGGCTCAGGATTCTCGTCAACCTCGCTAGAACCCGGTCAGGCCACAGATCCCATTTCAGCGATATCACAGGGCGGCAGTGAGGGAGGGTCCGCTATGCAGAGGGGAGCAAGCAGCCAACCAATGCCAGACCTCGAGTCTTTGTCGCTGGAAAAGGGTCGCCCCTTGGATGTTGAGGACCTCGACGACATGGGTTGGAGGGCAGCCAGCAACAAAGGCCTGATCGAAGAGCTTGGCAGCCTTGGAGAGGGTGCTGGTGGCGCTGTAACCAGATGCAAGCTCAAGGGCGGAAAGACTGTCTTTGCCCTGAAGGCAAGTACGCTGTCTCGCTCACGATGCGTTTGCTAACTATCTTTACTAGATTATCACCACAAATCCCGACCCAGACGTCAAGAAGCAGATTGTACGAGAGCTGTCGTTCAACAAGAATTGCGCCAGTGACCACATCTGTCGGTACTGGGGCGCCTTCGTGGACGATAGCTCTGGCACCATCAGCATCGCCATGGAGTTCTGCGAAGGTGGATCTCTAGATGCAGTATACCGTGAGGTCAAAAAGCTGGGTGGTCGTACCGGCGAGAAGGTCCTCGGAAAGGTCGCAGAAGGTGTCTTGAACGGCCTGACTTACCTACACTCTCACCGCATTATTCATCGAGATATCAAGCCAAGCAACATCCTGCTCTGCAGAAACGGGCAGGTCAAGCTGTGCGATTTCGGTGTGTCCGGTGAGTTCGGGACAAAAGGGGACGCCAATACTTTCATTGGCACATCGTACTACATGGCGCCCGAACGAATCACTGGACAGAGCTACACCATCACAAGCGACGTGTGGAGCTTAGGTGTGACGCTTCTCGAAGTCGCACAGCATCGCTTCCCGTTCCCCGCAGACGGCACAGAGATGAATCCCCGCGCAGGTCTGATCGATCTTCTGACCTACATCGTTCGACAACCCATCCCCACGCTGAAGGATGAGCCAGAAGCTGGCATCAAGTGGTCGGAGAACTTCAAGTACTTCATTGAATGCTGGTAAGTATACCTGTCTTCCAGCTAAGATAACTCGCTGACCTTGGATAGCCTCGAGAAGGAATGCCCGCGTAGAGCCACACCTTGGCGCATGCTCGAGCACCCTTGGATGGTCGAGATGAAGTCCAAGAAGGTCAACATGGCCCACTTCCTGAAGCAGGTATGGGACTGGAAGGACTAAGATCTCAGCCGCCACCCTTCAACAAAACTATATTCTTTTCTTTTTGGATATATGCTTAGGTCATGTGCTGGACATAGGCCAAGGGCTGGCGAGGTCATGGTTGCCGTGGTACGCATTGGAGCGGAAAATTGGCATCTATCCTCATCGAAATGCATGAAACTGCGGCATGAGCTCACGACGATCTGGACAACGATGTATTGCAACTTGACGGTCAGGTTGCGCAGAGCAGCACGGAGCGGAGGACAACCGGCATTGATGGCGTTGGAGCTACACATTCATTGTGGCTTACAGCCACTTGACCCTGGATACCACCACACAATATGAAACAATATGATCATCACCTCAGCCTCTATTCAGCCTTACCTGACCATCTGCAAGTGCTGTCTTGCATGTGAAGTGGGATGAGCAGCCAGCCGATTTCGGACTAGACTGAAGCTCGAGCCCCGCGACGTGCAGCCCGCTATGGGAACAACTTCGAAGTTCGAGCTTGGAGTCATCGAAATAATTACTTGGCAGCTTTGACGCCACAACAGTTGTCAACGAACACATTGACGACGCACAGGAGCTTCTTCAGATTCTGGACTACATCCCGCTCCAAGTTCGTAGCCGGTAATACACCACGACGCGCTCGTCGCACGCGACAGCCCCGCCAACTACCCCACCATCTTTCCACGAAACGACATTTGAAGCCTACAATATCTCAAAATGCCTACCATCGCGGTCGACAAGGCGGCGCTCTTCAAAGAGCTTGGTCGCGACTACACTACCGAAGAGTTCGATGAGCTATGTTTCGAATTTGGCATCGAATTGGACGAGGACACAAGTCAGAGCACCAAGCCGGAAGACCAAGCGCAACCACCGCAGCTGAAGATTGAGATTCCGGCGAATCGCTATGACATGCTCTGCTTCGAGGGCATTGCCCTGAACCTTAAGGTCTTCCTGGAGAAGGAGAAGCTGCCCAAGTGGCAAGTCACGCCGCCCAAGGATGGACAGCTACAGGAACTGCATATCAAGCCAGAGGTAGGTTGCGTCTAGCCCAGAAGGGGCAGCAATTTTCTGACCAAGACAGACCGCTCAAGTTCGCGAACTCTGCTCTGGCGTCATTCTGCGAGGCATCAAGTTCACACAAGCACGATACGACTCTTTCATTGCGCTGCAGGACAAGCTGCACCAGAACCTGGCTCGCCAGCGTACATTGGTCTCCATTGGAACACACGATCTCGATAGTGGGTGGCACAAGACATAGTTATACTATGGTCATTGCGACATGACTAATGAATGGCAGCGGTCAAGGGTCCCTTCACATACGAGGCTCTCAAGCCGGAGGAGATTGAATTCATTCCGCTCAACCAAACGAAGAAGATGAACGGCAAGCAGCTTATGGAGTTCTACGAGGTGGGTTCCATGGAAGATATGGAGGAGGGGTGTGTAGCTGACGTCCTTGCAGAAAGACAAGCACCTCGGTCGCTACCTGCACATCATCAGGGACTCGCCTCTCTACCCTGTTATCTACGACGCGAACCGAACCGTCATGTCGCTGCCGCCCATCATTAACGGCGACCACAGCAAGATCACACTCGATACGAAGAACGTCTTCATCGAGATTACAGCAACCGACAAGACAAAGGTCGAGATCGTGAACCACATGCTCATTGCCATGTTCGCAGGATACGCCGAGTCAATAGAGGCGATCAAGATCATCTCTCCCCACAACAACGAATCAAGAGAATCGCCCGACCTCTCACCGCGCAAATGGAAGGCCGAAGTCGACTACCTCAACAATGTTACAGGTCTCGACCTCTCCCCAGAAGAGATCTCGAAACTCCTCGCCAAGATGGGCCACGATGTATCCCCCTCGAAAACGGACAAGAACATCCTCGACGTCTCCGTGCCCATCACAAGAGCTGACATTCTCCACCAAGCCGACATCATGGAAGACTACTCCATTGCCTACGGCTTCAACAAGCTCCCTCGCGTCTACCCGAACAAAACTGCCGCCGTATCCGCCCCGCTCCCCATCAATAAACTCGCCGACATCGTACGCCTCGAATCCGCATCCGCCGGCTGGACAGAAGTCATGCCGCTCATTCTGTGCTCGCACGAGGAGAACTTCGAGTGGCTCAACCGCGTCGACGACGGCAAGACAGCCATCAAGCTCGCAAACCCCAAGACCGCGGAGTACCAGCTCGTTCGCACATCACTCCTGCCCGGTCTGTTGAAGACGATCAACTCGAATAAGCACCACTCCGTGCCGATGAAGATCTTCGAGGTCAGCGACGTCGGGTTCAAGGATGAGAGTAAGGAGCGCAAGAGCAGGAATGAAAGACATTTTGCTGCGGCTATCATGGGCAAGACTTCTGGATTCGAGCAAGTACACGGTCTTCTGGATCGCTTGATGCTTATGCTGCGATCGAAGTTCATGACAAGGGAAGACGGGCTGAAGAATGCTGCGCTAGAGGGGTACTGGATTGAAGAAGTTGAGGGTAAGCCTTGCGTGTCCCGAGCCTGCGAGGATCCTGAACTTGCGATTGTCTTTGATGAAGAAGCATTGCTGACACCTAACAGACAAGACCTTCCTCCCCGGCCACGCGGCATCTGTCAAGATCAACCTCGCCGGCAAGAACCACACCATCGGCGTCTTCGGTATCTTGCATCCCAGCGTGCTGCACAAGTTCGAGCTGCCGTACCCCGTCAGCACGGTCGAGTTCAACCTCGAGGTGTTTTTGTAGACGCACTGTGTCCAGAATGAAGCACTGTCATGAAGAAGAGACTAGGACTCGAGTCGCATAACCTATCGGCCATCTAGAACAAAATGCATAGACGAACAATACCATGAAAATGACATGGCGTGAGAGATTCGCATTGGTGTGATGTGAGGTTCTCACAGCGTGGTGCTGAAGAAGTGTACGCACAAAATCCGGAACTCAGACTCTAAGATATTGCGGAAGCTTGCAAACGGCTCTTGGATGGTCGACACTCCCTCTCTCGATTCCGTGGATTGTCCACAACGCTGTTGCGCTGCTATGAATTTACACGCGGCCTTGCTTCGTTATCGAAAAGATGGAACCCCGCTCGCCTTAACACCAACTTGCACCCCACAGATCCCCTTCAAGAAACGCAATCAAAGTATCTGTTGAGTTCCGAATACCATCCTCATGTAGACACTCGTTCTAGCTACTCTTCCTACTCCACGCACTCCCAGACATATCCAATACCTCGTCTCTATCTGTCGCAATACCATCTCATCTCACCGACGACCCAAATCCCAACCGCCCTGCTGAACTCGAGCTCTATGATTACGCCCTACTACATACTCCTTCACCCGTTAGCCACCTCAGAAAGTGTCGAAATCCTTTGCATCACTAGACCGCGCATTCTAGTGCTATCCAGTATAGGTCATAATTCGGAACACGCATGAACCACACGAGCAGGTTTTGTGGCCTGAATCGCAAAGACGCATCATCGATATTAGAAAGTGGGCATGTGCCAGTCTTCAGCGAGTGGGCTGTGTCGTGCGAAGCATGGCGGCCGGGCCTGGAAAACTTGGGTTTAAGGCGCGGCCATGGTAATGTGAGATGTGCTGACGGATGTGTAGGGTTTGTAAGGCGTATCGGAAAGTGGTCGTGAATGCTATGATAGAAAGTGCTTATTCGGGCGGAGTGCTGGCTGGCGCAGTGGGTCTGTGATCTGGAGTTCGCTATGTTGACATTCCGTGCGCTGTCCGGTCGATGGAGTGTCGAGCGGGAGCACATGAGATACTGAGCGGTCGTTGCGTATCGTAGGGTGGTTGTGGCGCATTAGTATGCTTCGCGTCGGTACGGAATTACGAAACGGTGGAAAGGTCGTCTGTGGTCGGGCTGTTGAGACTAGGCTACGAGTGATTATGAAATGGAATGAGCTTTGTCAAACTCACGACCAATGCGTTATTTGCATGTAGATCACCAATGCAAAGAGGGACAGGGTCGACTGAACAAGGACCAAGGACGTATGGGTTGATGCGGTAGTGAGCTACTGTGTGAGCAGTCCGAGGGGTTGAGCGACCAGGTCTCAAGAATTTGACAGTCCGGGAAGTGTGTGAGGAAAAGGGCCCTTGAGCGATTCGAGGATGGAGCGTCCACAGATATTCGTACCGGCCGGGCGCTGTAGGATGATCTTTGTCTGTCACTTGCAGGTTGGGAACGTTTATACTGATGTGCTGCGAGCGAGAAGCAGGTGGTGGCGAGCTTTGTATGTTATGGGTATGGGTGGTGCGCCGGTGTGCTTGGAGTGGGTTGGTATTGATAAAGGACACCAGGAGGGATCTGCGTTCGGTGTGAATAGTCGGGCTGCTCATCGCATGAGAAGGGTAGGGATTGTGCTATGGGAAGTTGCCGAGAAGGATTCGGAGGGGAGAACGTTATCATCTGGATTGACATGATTTATTGGAAAAGTAAGTGGTCGGAGGATCCGGAAATAGTGATGAAGTGTCATATGAGCACAGCGAGGTAAGTGGCAAAGCGAACATTGGCTCATGTGGTATGCGGCGATGCTATGTGTAAGTCATGGTACAGAGCCGAACAGGAGGATCCCAGGAAGTGGAAGTGGAAGTGGAAGATGTCCATAGTACAGTTCGAGCGTGGAGTATCCGAAGGTATTCGCAGGCCAGGCCCCTGAAAAAGTGACATCGAATGCAGGTGTTCAGACGCAAAGGACAGCGTTGTAGAAATGCGAGAAGACTGAAGAGAAGTAGTGGAACGCAAGTGAAGTTGGGACACCACTTCGCGGCAAGGGAGTCCTAAGCAGCTGTTCGAACGATATCGATGTTATCCTCGGTAGGTCATGTATACAGAAAGCGATCCATGAGGGGCATCTGGAGCCAGGCGCAGGGCAATGTAGAGGAACAGAATGTCGGGCTTGGTTATGGCCACCGTAAGACAGACGAAAAGACGAGAGACAGGACTTGGAAAGATACAGTGCGAGTGAGACAACAAGAGAAGGGCAGCAAGCAAGACCAAGGTGGGATGGAAGTGACTATCACTGTTTGTTGTCCCTCCTGTATTGGTCTCGACTCGTGGTTAATTGGAAATCGAGGCGGACACCACCGTGATGAGTCGTTGTCGCGCGACGAGTGGATACCAATATCAATGCTTTGGGCAATCCCATTTCGCTTCTGCACCAAGCTTTTAAGGCGTTCTATTCTCAGCCTAATTCCGTGAACCGTTGGCAAGGTGCAACACAGATCGACGCGGGCGGCATCTGGTACGATTGGAGGAGAGTTATGGACAGTATTGACATTGCATTGCGTTCCGCGGTGACGCCCGGATGAATGCAGGATTTCGGCACGTGCAAATTGCACCCCCTAAAGATGCGAGGCGGTCAGCGTGTGTTGTCCACCTGGAGCGTGCATGGCCGTTGCCACGCTGTATGGGTCATCCACAACAGCTGAAACACGAATGGGGGTCCGCGATGAGAGGAGTAAAAAACCCGATGACGGCATTGTAACAGTAAATTGTGTGGGACCAAACTCAGGCAAGGACAGCGAAAGGCTGATGCCGAAATGAAGGTCGACCGATGGGCGTGGAGAACAAGAAAGCACTAACGGAATCACATGACAACGCTTGCCGAAGATAGATCTGTCCATGCTTCATCTCCACAATTCACCGCAGCACTAACTCTCTCATGTTTATCGAGCCGGGGGCCAGAGCGCCTAGCATAATCAATTTAGCACTTTTGCGCACAAGCAATCGACAATTCAGCACGCGATAGTAGTGACGTTGATCGCGCGTGCGACCGAGGACAACAAGCAATGATGTTGTTGTGGTGGTATGTTTCATTCCCTCGAGTGCGGCTGAAAAGTTTCGAAACGGGCAATGAGTGCTGATCAGCCCGCAGATTCTGCGACACCGACACACGCAGAGACCCTCTGTTCTGCTCTATCAGGTGAAAGATCTTCAGAGAGCCCCCATGTCTTGTTCTGTCCGTGGAGGCCCTGCGGTTCAACGGGCCAGCAAGATAAGGCGGCCCCTGAGCACACATTCCGCTCTGGTCCGTTTCGGGCAATGCGAGCAAATGCGCCCCAGCTGGCTCTACCGCCCAGCCTTGCTGTACGACAAGTTCCTCCTTTTGCTGGCGCCCGCGATACGCAAATCAAGCAATACCCGCCGTGCTTACTCGCAGCTGATGCGCCCATGTCCATCACCACAGAGCCTCGACTCAGCATGCAGCGCCGCACCTCGGACGGCCATTCATTTCTGCAACACGAGAAACCAAAGCAGCCCATTCACAATCAACCTTCCGATCCGAGCTTAGCATCAGGCACGCACGGCCTCTGAATGGCCCAGCGGTCGGCAGGATCGCTTGGTTCCTGCATTAGCCCTAACACCCGTCTGGCCACTCGCAGCGCCTAGACGGACACTACCCCTGCTGCCAGCGCTGGCGCCCCTTTCACTGGCCGGCCCGCGCTACCACGCTCGTAATCTCCCAGCATACATAAACCTCAGCATGCTCGCAGTGTCTTTTTTCTCCACTTCACAGCCAATCTTCAGCTTCAAGTCCAACTTGACTTCGGTCGTCCATTCACTTACCAACTAATACTATCATTAATAATACCCAACCGCCAACCACCCTCAACCACCTCAACTTTCCCAAGTTCTATACCCTAAACAGCCAAAATGCGTTACACCATTGCTGCTTTCGCGCTCGCCGCTACCGCTGCCGCCGTCCCCCAGTACGGATACGGTGCTCAGGAGAGCTCTGCTGCCGCCTACCCTGAGTACACTCCTGCTCCCTCTTCCACTCCCGCTGCCGAGTACCCCGCCTACCCGGTCAGCACTCCCGCCGCGTCTGAGGAGTACCCTGCTTACCCAGTGAGCTCCTCCGCTCCTGCGTACCCGGTCGTCTCTGTCTCCTCCAAGGCCCCTGAGTACCCGGTCGCCTCTTCCAAGGCCTCTGAGTACCCAGTTGCTTCTTCCAAGGCTCCCGAGTACCCAGTTGCTTCTTCCAAGGCTTCCGAGTACCCAGTTGCTTCTTCCAAGGCTCCCGAGTACCCAGTCGCCTCTTCCAAGGCCCCCGAGTACCCTGCGTCCTCTGGTAAGCCTTCCAAGCCCTCGTCGACTGCCTCGTGCATCAGCTCAACAACCATCACTGTCACAGTCCCCTACCCCACTGGTTCCGCTTCGGTCCCCAAGCCCTCCGCTTCCGGTGCCTACCCCTCTGGCCCGGCCCCATACCCCAGCGGCAAGCCCTCCGGCTCTGCCCCCTACCCCATCGCCTCCGGCACTGGCTCCAAGCCTTCCGTCCCTGCCGGCACTGGCTACCCCACCTCGACTGGGTAAGTTTCTCCACGATGATCACGTAAACTGTCTGCTAACAAGTCCTAGTGGCTACACCAAGCCCAGCTCCCCTGCTCAGTTCACTGGCGCTGCGTCTGCTCTCAACGCTGCTGGCTTCGTTGCCGGTGTTGGTGCTTTCGCCGCTTTCTTCTTGTAAATGTCATCTTTCAATTGAGCTTGCCCGCGGGTAGGCTATGACTTTACATGATGCATATATTCTTCTGGTAGATATCCTTGGTTTCCGGAAAGGGTAGTTGTAATTAGTGGGACGGTGTTGGCTGAGAATTGAGAACTGAAAACTACGCTTTTGCCTTTGCTTGTGATGATCGAATGTTGTGTTTTCGTTGCCCACGCCTTTGCACTGGATCTTGATCTTCTTCCAGCTGCAGTTGTCACGATCGTTCTGCTGAAATATCAGATCCTACGAACAGTTGCTCGAGGCGCCATCACATCAAGCTTGAGACGAACCTGCACTCTGTTCACGAGAATGTTCGCGAATATCGGCTCGAATGATTTGCCAAAGATGAGAGTGCTTGCCGAGACGTGTTGTTGACCGCTGTTCTGCAAGTCGCTCCTTCCTCTCAAACCTGCGCCGGTCACGACATTTCTGCTCAGCCCAACACCACATGCTTCTAACCTCACACCTACAACGCCCTTACGTTCACCCCGCGATATCAACGACGTTGGAACAACCTTAGATTGACCGATCGCCGCTATCCGTGCATGCCTTGCGTGTCGGTACGCAGCCGTCGCAAGGAAATGAGGTGTGCGACCGACACGCGTCCACCCATGGCTATCCAACAGGGCTGGTCTGGGGTCCCACAACTATATCTCAACTGCATCGCTACATCTAATACCAGTAGGTATCCTTTGCTAATAGCCTGTAGTGCGTAATGACGAAGCCCTCATAGATGGTCTGATGAAGTGTATTGCGAACGCTGGTAGCCGCCTGTACAACAAATTATATCTGCAAGCCCTCTCAACAGCATGATGTAAGGTTCTGGCGCGAATGATATCGCAAATGTTGTGCGAACGTCGAAGCAAGCTTTGTGTATTGTCTCAGTAACACATGGTCAGCACCTGGGCAAAAAGCGTTCGGTCTTGAAACAATGACGTCTTGTCAGTCGCAGCAACTGCGTGAGGGAGCCTGAGGCGCAACAACAAAGCCGTTGTATAATTCCCGCCCCTCGCATGGCCCAGCGTGGCGGATACGGTTAACACAACGAATCTCACGTGTCAGCAGTGTCGAGTCTAGATGCAAGCAGATACTTTTGTGGATAGAGTTTGGACGCGAAAATGAGGAGAACGGCGGGTTTCAAGCAAACGCCAGTGGCTGCCAAGGAAAGCCACACGGAGAATCACAGGGCTTGTTTTGCTCTGAAAGGTGCCTCTGACAAAGTCGCAGCGATCCAAGAGCTGTTGCGCGCTCTGGATGATGTTCGATATGTGACAGCTGTCAGAACATCTCGTTTAGGTGATCGACATCTGTACACGAGATGCGACAGCAACAGGTGGGGAAAGCACACAACGACACTCCGCCTTTGAGTCAGAAATCAGGTAGCGATTCTTCGATGCATTATTGGTGTTTCGTCAACGATGACTCCGCCTCCAACAAATCTCGACGTTGCTTGATACCATCACGCAATGCAGCAAGTTCATCCATCGATAACCATATCGCCTTAGCCTCCTCAACTGCGTTCGAAACAGCTTGTTCGGCATCGGATTTGTTGCGGTGTCAATTGGTCCGTACGAGACCCGATTACCCTTGGTTAGACTGTTCTTGACTAGCACGTTCCAGGACCAGTATATAATCGTCTTCTCATAACTAGATAGCAATCCAGCGGAGTATTTCATCCGACCCGATCGTCCTACGTTATCGTTTACCGTAGCTATCAGTGTACTACAGCGGCCCACGCCGCCACAGAATCCCTTTTCCTGGCCAACAACGCAATCACCATGCCCATGAATGTGCCCTGGGGCAGCTTGCGCACACGACAAATAGTCTCCAATTGGGACGGTTCAAACTCGAGGTAACGATACTTGTCTTCGGGCATGGTGTAGGAGATGTTCGCGAAGTGCAGTCTTTGGGGGTCTTAAGGGAAGTTGTTTGTACGTGGAGCAGCTGATGTCTTTTACTAGGCTTGTCCCGCGAGATTCCAGGCAGTTGAAAAAACCCACCGCCGTCTACCTCCCGGTACGTACGTTTGGTGTTGGTTGGGTGACCACTTAGTTACCACTCTTCTCAGCCCGATTTTCATTCGACGTGATCCTGTTGACAGCCATTTTGCTTGCGACCAAGAACAGTGTGCCAGCAAGCATGCTCAGTCCAGTCCATATCTGCACATACAGGTAATGTCCATCGTTAGCCTGCACCAAAGCCCCTCCAAGGGGCGTTCCTGTCAGACATGCAAACCCAGCAACTGCAAACCCGATCCCCATTCTTGTCCCTCTTTTCTGCGGATCTGGTGTGAGAGTGGCCAAACTTGCGGGGAACAGACTTTGTATGCCAGCACTGAAGAATCCGAAAAACGCTGCAAAGATCCAGAGACCCATTTCTGAGCGTACTGCTGCCCAGGAGAAGACTATGATGGCGCCGTTGAACGATGACAACGCCATGATATTGACGGAGCCAAGACACCGATCGGCAATGATGTTAGGCAAGAGACGGCCAGGTACGCCGACGCCGTTCATGACGAGCAGGAGCGAGATTGACGTTCTATAGTCTGTGTGGAGGATGTCACGGGCATACAAGCCAATCTGTATTATGTCAGTGAACAGTTTACTTAGGAGATTTGGGTACTAACATAATAAAAAGGAAAGTACGCCCCCCAAAAAGCAAAGAACACCCCCACACAGAATAACCCGAACGGCAACTCTGCAAATGCAGACCAGTCCATCAGCGGCCCAGAGTTTCTCGGTGGCACCCTAGTCCGCAGTCCTATTGCAGCCGCCAGACCCAACACCGTCATCATGAGGCCTAAACATCTGACTGTCCAAGCAAAGCCAATGACAGGGAGGAGCTGCTGCACTATGACCGGCATGACAATACTACCCACTGTCGTTCCCGTAGCAGCTATACCCATAGCCAATGCTCTCCTCTTATCAAAATAAGTACTCAGCACACTCAACGTGCTAACAAATTGGCAGCCACCTCCAACACCCAGACACACTCCCTGCGTAAGCAATATCTGCCAATAAGCCCTAGTCAGACTCAACATAAAGACGCCGAGCAATTGCACAAGCAGTCCGAACCCGAAGACATGGTGAAAGTACCCAGCGTCCGTTGCGCGGCCAGCAAAGATGCCCAGGCTGAAGACAAGGAAGACTTGGATGCTGCCGATCCAGGACATTGTTGATGGGGTGGCGGAGAGCGTGGTAGCGTAGTAGGTTTGAAAGACGCCGAAGGATTGGATGAAGCCCCAGGAGTTGAAGAGGACGAAGAGTGCAAGGATTGAAGTGAGCCAGGCTTGGGTGCCGCCGTCTGGGGGCGGAGATGGAGGGCTAGGGGTGCAGTGGGCTTTTGATGTGAAGCGCTGTTTCGAGGTTTGAGTGACATCATCCGTGATCTCGTGTTGGTATGTTCCTGTGGTGAGCACTTGTTCGTGTTTATTCGCTCGTGGTCCTTCTACCAGGCCCTCGTACATTGCCATATGTACCATGGTGGTGGTTTGGAGATGTTACAGGGTTCAAGAATGCCGAACTTCCCTCATCTTTAAAGACAGACATCTTGTCTGCCGTATGCACCTTCCATCTGTACCCAACATTATGTGAGTGGTGGCGGCTGTGGTAATTCTCGGTGGGTTTTCGGTAGTTTTGTAAAAGATTGTCTGTTTACGGCGTATACATGATATGCCTCGCGAAATCGTCCGCTGAGCCTACTGCCAATACTCTTCTCAGATGACAGATCTATTGACGAGGTTGAATGAGAATCTTTAGTCGTTGGCGATGGTGTTGGCAGAGTCAAAGTCTGAACTTCGTCGTGGAAACCTTCCGAATACAGAGCGAAAAACGGTTCCGACGGAAAGAGCGTATTTCCGAGATCGTCCTTCGACCATCTCCTCTCACACGGCGCTGCACATCCCCCACAAAATGCATCCAAGGTCGTCAATATGTTTACCGAGCCAGACAATGCAAAGAGACGGAGCGCGTGCGACGAGTGTCGTGAGTCTCAAATCGCATTCGCAAAGCTGCCCTTAGCTGACGGGATGCAGGATTGCGAAAAGTGAAGTGTTCTGGTGTTTCCCCGTGCGATAACTGCCAGAACGATAATGTTGTTTGTACCTTCTCATGTCCACGTCCGGTTGGGAGACCTCGAAAGCGACCACGAGCGACCCTCATCAATGATGAAGACCTTGCTGCACAAAGACCGAGCGCGTCCGTAGTGACACCGGCTCTTACAGACGACTCTTTCGACCTCAGCGATGTCTTTCCTCAGGAGCAATCCTTGGACAGTCACAAATTCTTGTTGGCAGAAACGCCGGGTCAATGCTTATCCCATCACATATGCTAACGTGCTCTTTCCTGACAATTTGGCAGCATCGAATGTAGCAGACGCATCTACCATCAGGGACGCAACAATGAACACCTCCACCACACCTTGTTCATGTCTCTCGCTGGCGTATTTGGCCACATCGCAACTCCAGTGTTCTGTTGCAGGCAATGACCTACCTACAGCAATGGCAGATCTCAAAGCTGCACTTGCGTCGGCGAATGCAATCCTGAAGTGCCTACAATGCCCAAAGCAGATGGTTACGGCCATGCAAAACCTCCTCCAGGTTGGCAGTCTTTTGCTAACTCTTGTGGGCCGCATGCAAACTTTGCTTGCCCAAGTCGATGCTGGAGTCGACATCAATGTTGGAACACTGCAGGACCCTTCCGTCGTCATGAACGAACATCAATTCCGACTCTTCTTCCGTAAGACCTTGAAAGAGACGATTCTGGGCTCGCATATAGATACAGGCGACTCGACGCTTCTTGGCGTTATGCATCAATTCGAAGAGAGACAGCAAGACTGGCATGCAGATCCACAAATGTACGAACGCCAGGCGAAACTCTTTGGAAAACGGACAGCAACAAATTTTGCCCACGAATGTCAATCCAGGGTCTGCGGAAGGCTGATTGAGTTGCTCAAGGCATCCATCTCGTCCTTGGAGTTGTGAGACGAAGCTGAGTTGCCCCACGAATCGAGCCGATCCGAACATCGCACAACTACGGAAACTTTCGTCACCATGCCAAGTGCACCCCGTGGATCCCGAGTTTCGTGTTTACCCTCGACAATGTTCAAAAGCCGCTGATCCCATATCCGCTGCTTGGTTAGTTCCGTTTTCCACGTAAAGCGTTCACTTGTAGCACGGATACAGCCTTGCCGGCAACCGGAGAGGCTCTTGCTTGGTAACATGGTATCCAAGTTCGATCAAAGGGCGGCTACTGTGTCTACGGACCAATACCTTTCCACACGCGTGGACCATGTTGTCGTGGCCACACCGTCGACGTACCTACATTGATGGCCATAAGCCACGAAATGCACAAGAGCAACACATCCGTCCGTCAAAGTAAGACTGTAGTCGGAAGCTTCAGACGCTGCTTCTCGCAGGTGGCTGTCACTGTATATATATATGTGCAGGCCACGGACTTGACACAATGTTTACAGAACACACACGTATACTCGATTTCGGGCTTCTCACAATTCATTTCGACCATGCCAGGATTGCAGAGCAGCCAGGTGAAAAGAGAGCCAGCACGGACATTTCAATGCTCGTAGTGGGAGCTGGAATCGGAGGACTCACCTTCGCCATCGATACCTCTCGCAAGGGTCATGATGTGCGTGTAATCGAATGTTCACCCGAGGGACAATACTCTGGTCAGTAAATCAGCACGGAACCTTGCGCGCAATACTGACCATCTTTGTAGGAGAGATCATTATGATCATGAATCCAGCTCTTCATACTTCCAAGAAGTGGCCTGGCGTCATGGAGCGCGCCAGAGCAGCAGCATACTCTTCCATATTCGAATTGCGCAAATTCGATGGCACGCCCATCGAAACCCACGCACCCGGTGACGCAAAGAACCCATCTTTGGGCATCTACCGAAGGAAAACGGCACAACCTTCTTTACACCTACGCCAAGGATCTCGGCATACCCATCACCTTCGGAGCTCGAGCAACAGAATTCTTCGAGACCCCTGATCTCGGTGGCGTGACCCTCGAAAATGGGGACCAGCTCACGACAGACGTCGTTGCAGCTGACAGGGTCGGCTCAAAGTCACGTGCCATCATTGATGGCAACAGTGACGCACCGATCAGTCCAGGCTTCATCATGTACCGCGTTTCATTTTCAAGACTATAGACAGGTGTTGGGTTACAGGCGGCTTTTGATTATTTTGTAATAAAATACCGATATTGGATCAGAAGACCAAGAACCTCAACCAGCTCAAGGTCAGCTTCTCAATTAACTGAGGTTTGCTGTCACTCTGTCGTTACCTGCGTTAGCGCGAGAGCAATCCTTGTCCTAGTGTACCACTGGTCGTAAACAACAGTATACTCTGTACTACTCGTTGTTACCAGTTGCCACAGCCTCTGGCTAGACAACTATTACCTCAACTATTATGAAGGCTATTATTGCCTTGCCCAGATAGTCTACCCCTGACCACCCCAAGCTTTGCTTAGGTGACTGTCAACCCCTATAGACTCCCTGTACCTCTGCTCATCCCCGAGAACCAATCAAATAGTGTCTACGAGCTTTGCTTAAGGCACGACTTCAACACCCGCAACGCTGCAAATAAAGCACAGCAAGATCAGGCAACCAAGCGCAAGGCCCCAAAGAAGCCTCTTGTAAAAAAGCCTGCTCAAAAAGCACGTTTGGATGGTGCTGGAGGTGGTGTTGTTGATAGGTCACCCTCCCCAGTACTTCCCAGCACAAAGCTGTGCACTTGCGCACCACCAAGCTGAATAAAAAATGGCAGCAGCAGTAGTTTTGCATGACTTAGCAGGCTATTGCAGCCAATTCTTGTCAAGACTCAGGTCCGGCCCACTGAGCCAAGCAAGCCAAAAGGTATCACGGCTCACTCTAATGGTGAGCTCTAGCCGGAACAGTACTATATCATCAGCCAGGCCTGACAGTTGCCACAGCGTGTTCTCCAACACCTCTACCAAAGCTCAACTCACACGGCCGCGCAATTAGGAAACCACGCAAGTTTCAGTGACAGAATTGTTCAGCTATATCAATAAAGTACTCCACCAACAAATCTTGCGATAGCCACTTTTACATGTGGCTCTACAGCCTCATTTGTATGTGGTGTTGTGAAGAAGATTGCGTGCATTGACCGATCGCGTGCAGCCCGTGCACGGTCGCTGTAAGAAATCACCGACCTCATCTAGCGGCACTCGCATCAACGCCACACAGCATCCCATTGACAAGCCAGATCGAACGTCGAAGTCCCCCCTCTCGAGCGGCAAAAAAAGCCGGCTACAACGTCTAGAAACAGCCCCCAAAACACAAGCCTGTGGAGGTATCCAGGGGTTGAACAGCGCGTTGTAAATTGAGTGCAAGATATCTTGTAGACTTTTGAGAGCCTATGCGGCCAGAGTTACCTGCAAATACTGCTCAACTTACCCCCATAAATCTGGATGTCCTCGATTTTCCTGAGCCTCCATCATGGCCGAGCAGCTTCCTAGTGTGGCTCGAGCAGACGATGATGGTAACGGCCCAGCCAAGCGGACACGGCGGCCTGCCCTGTCTTGCGTCGAGTGCCGCATGCGCAAGGTCAAATGTGATCGCAAAGAGCCTTGTGGAGCATGCATCAAAATTAAATCAGAGAAATGCACTTACAGACCTGCTCGGGCTGGTATCAGAAAGAGCACGAAAAAGTCGCCCAGCAATGACCGAAGCTCGGCTCGGCCTTCACTGCAGCCATCTTGTGCGCCCAACGAATTTGATTTGATGGTCAATCGATACATTGCGCCAGGCATACTGGGCGAGCATGGACGACCGAAACTCAAGCCGTTGCCAGAGAAGAATTCGACGCTGGACGTAAATTCGCACGGAGATACCGGGGCATCATCGCTTGTAGCCATTCTGCTGAAAGAGAACGAACGCCTTCGGACAACCGTTAATAAGGGTGTAGCCCATGAAAGCATGACACGGACGATTTCAGACATAATCACTGACGTTCCTGGCACTTTTCAAAAGTCAAAATTCTTTGGTCAAAGCCACTGGATGAATGCTATGGAGCCTGTCAGTACCTCAGCTCGTGTCAAGGGTCGTAATTGAGTGAAGAGCTGACATCGAAATAGTACGAGGCTTTAGGAAACGCGAATACAATCGTGAACCCAGCTACAGACCGTGTGGAGGTCAACAAATCAACGGAGCTATATAAAACCGTCAATGAACTTAAGACCATAGGACGCATATTAAAGACAGCTCGTATGCTGCTACCGACCATCTCACCAGAAGCCCTGAACTCTCTCCCTTCCAAGGCTACCTGTGATTTGCTTGTCGAGGGATATCTTCGTACCTTTGAAGGTGTTTTTCGAGCGCTGCACGTTCCGTCTTTCCGCAAAGAGTACGAGGACTACTGGTCAGGCAGAGCACAAGGCAAACCATCTATCTTGCTTAAGATCATGCTTGTGTGTGCGATAGGGGTACCCTTCTACACTGGTGTTGACCAACCACGACTGAGAGGCACCTGCACCAAATGGATACAGGCGGCAGAGGCTTGGCTTGCTGCACCACACGCGAAATCGCGACTCAACATGGCTGGTCTCCAGATTCAAATCCTAGTCCTGCTTGCAAAACAAGTTTGTAACAGCGAAGGCGACCACATCTGGATTCCTGCCGGCTCGCTCCTGAGGACTGCCATGTACCTTGGACTACACAGAGATCCATCATACTTCGGCAAGATCAACACATTCCATGCGGAGATGCGCAGGAGACTATGGGCAACGGTTTTGGAACTCACGGTACAGAGTAGCATGGACATGGGCATGTCGCCTCTGGTGTCTGTACAGGACTATGACACAAAACCACCTTCCAACGTCAATGACGACGACCTCCACGAGCAGGACGACTCGCCAATCAACGTCAGACCACTTGATGAATACACCGACTGCAGCATACAGATTGCTTTTGCAGAGTCAATACCCATACGCCTAGAGATCATCCGCCTCATCAATAACCTACGCTTCGACCTATCGTATCCTGAATGCGTCCGGCTCGGCAAAGAGCTCACACAGCTCTGCCACTCAAAAACTCACTTCCTCAAAGAAGCCCTCAAGAACGGCGCCAGCATCACGCCTTTCCAGATCAAACTTCTCGACTCGCTCGTCCGGCGCTTCATTCTCGGCCTCCACCGCCCGTACTTCGTCAAAGCGAAGGACAACCCCGAGTACCATTTCTCTCGCAAAATCTGTCTGGACGCCTCCTTGGCTATTTTCGCACCCGCAACTGCGCCGGTCGCGGGTAGGAACGATGACTGGACACTAGTGACCTACCGCGCAGTCGGCTTCTTTAAAGCGCTCATCCTCTACGCCACGTCGACGATCTACTACGAGCTCAACACGCAGATCGAGGAGCATCGCGATACGCTCGCTCAAACCGCCCCGCTCGTCTCGAGTACCTCTACGGTCCGGACATTCGCACTACCCCCGCAGTCGCAAACCCTGTACAATGCTTTGATCTCTGCTTACCGCATAGCGGTGTCGCGCATACGCAATGGCGAAACCAACGCCAAAGGGGTTATCTTCTTTGCCTGTGCGACAGCACGTATCGATGCGCTCGTCGCTGGCACCGACCCTGAGGCTGCAGTGCTCGAAGCTGCTAAGACGGGTATCGCAGAGATGCGCCGGATCATGGCAGAGGTCTACGAGCAGGAGCACGGCGAGCCTATCGACCTGACTACCTCCAGGCAGTCGGTTCCGGATAAGAACCACGGTAGAGGCGAGGGTGCAGATGATGTCACGGGGCAGGGGATACCTACGGGCACGGGAGCGAATACGGAGGCAATCTTTGGCGGTTTGGGGTCACATAGTGGAGTGGACGTCAACACAGCATTCAGCAGCGGCTTTGATGCCGGTGGTATGGACGCGCAGCCGATTCTGCAGAGCGATACGATGGACTTTGACTACACGTTTCTCGCAGACCCGGAATGGTTCTTCGATTCCAGTCGGGCGGGCATGAGTAGTAGCATGGACTTTGGCCGCTTCTGAAAGCTTGTGACTACCTCCCGGATGACACTTTCAACATTACGCTGGAACTGCAGTTCTTGACAAGATGTCTCAGCCGTACAAGTCATGTGCATCATTTAGAGAGGAAAAAACCCCCTTGCCCTGTCTAAATATCTACTGTGACATGTTAGAGAGGTGACTGGGACAGTTTCCGAGTTTTGGCGCAACTGACGTAGCAGCAGAATGGCATGCATACAAGACCTAAGTCTATAGGGGTAGCCAACATGATCAATCATCCTCGGGCCGAGCTTGGGCCCGCAATCACAGCCCGTACTCGAATGTCATCTTTTCGTCTCCCTCTCTTCCGCCCAAAGTGGCTTCGTCAAGCCAGTCTGCCAGTGCTTTGAAGCGCCCGCTTTTCTTGATTATAGCGGTCAAGTTCTTGACCCACGGATGAGCCTGCGCGAGCGGCCCCGTGCCCTCGTTCTTCTCGTTTTCGCGCTCCTCGTGGTCCCACTCATGAACAACCACTCTCCTTCTCGCGTTCTCGGCGCTTAGATTCCAGAGGAACAAAACGTAGCCAAGAGCCGCAAGTGCGACAGACACGAGTGTCCAGAAGAACGGCACTATGTACCCGCTCTCCGCATACTCTGGCTTGAACAGGAACGCGGAAAGCACGCCGGCGAGATTGCCCCACCCGTTGATCCCCAGCATCAGCGCTCTCTTCCCCGGACTCGGCGTGTTCCCGCTGATCCACGCCACGGTAAGCGGAGATGCTATGTACGCGCCACTGATCAGCACGTTGAGAGAGATGTACCGCGGTATCGCCCAGCTCGTTGGCAGGACGACGACGAGACTCAGGCCCGCCACCATGATCGCCAACCCGAGCAGTATCGGCCGCAAGCGCGTGCGGTGCCGGTCGCTGTACGAAGCAAACAGGTAGAGTGTAATTGCGCCGCAGAGGTGCGGGGGCGCGGAAAGCAGGTTGACGAGCGAGGGGGAGGCTTTGTTGCCAGCCAGGGGCGCGAGCACGAGCGGGAGGAAGACGGAGAAGGCGTAGACGGGGATGGCGGAGAGGATGTTGCAGGCGAGCAGATGCCAGATGAGCGGCGATGAGAGCGCGGAGAGGATGTCGCGAGGTGTGAGGCCACGGTCGTCGAGGGTTGCGCGCCTTGAGCTGGGAGAGGCGGGCGTGGGGTTTAGCAGGCCGCGGGATTCTTCGTCGACGGTGGAGGTTGGGGAGAACGAGTTGGAGTGGCGGTGTTTGGTGGACGTGGTCGAGCGTTCTTGTGCGGCGCGGTCTTTGACTACGCGTGCAGAAGCGTACTGCCGCTCTCTGGGGGTGAGGAACCATGCTGTCTCGACGCTGTGAGGGAGCCAGGCGTATCCCACCAGCGCGACTACGACTGTCAGGCTGCCCTCGAGCAGGAACAGGGCCTGCCAGGAATGCCATCGGCCCTGGACGTCTGGATTATCGCCATGCCGGTCGGGAAAGCGGCTGAAGACGAAGTAGCTGATGATGCCGCCGAGCGCGCCGCCGACCGCTGCTTGGCCGTAGAAGAGTGACAGCCGGCGGCCGAACTCAAAGCGTGTGTAGAAGAGGGAGAGGTAGGATACGGTAACAGGGTAGAAGCCGGCTCTTCAGTGTCAGCACCCAAAGGAAAGGAACGGCACGGCACGGCACGGCAAGCAGACATACCTTCCAAACACCCAATGACAATCCTCAGCGTATACAACTGCCACTTCTCCTTCACCCACACATGCAGCATAGTGCTCAGTCCCCACAGCAGCATGCACGTCGGCACCCAGGCGACCATGCCATACTTGCGTCCCAGCGCGGCGCCGGCCGGCTGGAGGGTAACGAAGAAGGCGAAGAAGAGAGCTACGGCGGTGTTGAGGTCGCCCTTCTGGAGCCCAATGTCGGTGGTGAAGTGTGCCGACTCTGCATTGCCTATCTGCATCTTGCATCGGCATGGTTGAGCGAGGTTGAGAGAGAAGCGGAGCTTACATTGGACTTATCCAGCGAGTTGAAAAGGAACAACAGCGCAAGGAAGGGCAGGAGGAGGGTGTCGATCTTCAACAGCGTTCTCTTGTGCAGGCGTGAAGTCGTGGCAGGGTGCCCATCGTCGTCGTTGTCCAGCATGGTGCGCGCTGGAGCTCGAGTTGCGGAGCTGCGGGAGAGCTCGTGTTGCTCGACCATGGCGGAGGAATGCGCCAAGACCAGTCAGTTTCGGTGGGGTGCATCACAGGGCAAGCGATAGCGCATGACCTTCCCTTCGAACATCAATCGTGAGAAGCATGGCGCGCTTTGATGTTAGTGAACTACGCGTACGTGATCTCGGTTGTCAGACTGGTTGTGCAGCTGGACCCCGGTGTTTTGGACCCTGCAACGGCCGAATGACGTGATTGGCGCAGGGTGCCGGTAGAGGCTCTCTCTCATGTTGCAGGAAAAGCAGAAGTCTACAGACCATAACTTCGTCATAGGCCGTTCAAAGCACATCTGCTTGTTGCCCGTGAGCTAGTAGGTCAGAAGAGGACTGCAATGTATTTTGCATCTGTGAGACAATACCCTGAGATGATCTGTTAAGACCTCCTGCTCTATGGTGAGAGTCGACAACGGTAGCTGCTGCGTCCGGCCTTTCTTCAACATGAGAGAGCTAGTGGTTCAGTCAACACCACTCGACACTCTAAAAATGTATGGATCACAGTAATGAATTAACGGAAGAGGAACAAAGCGAGGATCGGTTCAGGCAATGGCTTGAAAGGCATTCATTCTGTGCTTCTCCGGACAGCTCTTTACCCATCTTTTAAGTCTTCGTGACTAAGTACTACCGATCTATATGGAGACAATCTTATCTATCAATGTACGATAGTATGATAGACGCTACTGCTATTACGTAGCACGTAGCCTGGCCAACGTTCTCTCCATGTGATGATTCTAACATTGATGCTCTCCCCGCGTCTCGGCTATCTGCAGTGGTTGTAGAAGTACACCACTTGTTCACTCCCGACTTGCTCGTCGGTGCTTCGGACCGAGGGACGAGCTTGATCGACTCATTCAGGACGTGTCTGGTGTGCTAGAGATACACGCCAAGTCTGCAGAACGAATAGTCATTGCGATAGCGGGCGTTCCTAGAGTATGCAATGGCTTGCAAATCATTGCTGGTGATGGCATCTGATCCTTGGAGCGTCGTCGCGGTGATGGAAGCAGGTTTGTGCTATTTATTGGGTGTTTCGTTGAAAATCTCCCTTGCGCAACAAGGTCATGTCGCGATGCCGGACTCGGGGGCGGGCGTGATAACAATTCTTGGATAGTTGGAACGTGGGAAGCTGGTCCGACGAGGAGAGAATTGCTGGTCATAGCTCTTCTCTTCGATGTTCAGAAGCATCGAGAGCAGGCTCATTATGCCCATGCCAGGGACCAGGCTTGGTGAAGAGAAGCGTTGCTCGAGAGGGTCGACCGGTTGAGTCTGGGTGTTGATGCGGAGACGGCGGTTGGGGTGAGGCATGGTGTCGACGTGAACGCGGAGAATTGTAGTTGTGTTGATCGTTGGTGGTAAAGTGGAATTAGGTGTTGTGTATTATGTAGGATACTGCTTCGTACGAGTCTCGCTGCTGTCGTCGAAACCCGGCGATACCGAGGGGGTCGTCCTCAGTATATACCTCATCCCACACTCCTCGGTACTCGCGATGGGCCGCCAGATTGTTAGGGTACGATATGCGTTATACGACTAGCTGGTCGGGTGTGATCGTGGGTTCGCATGATGCTCCTGCACGCTTCCCCCTTGCGCAGCGTGCGCGGTCTGACCAATGAGAATGCTCGCCGAAGATGAAGCGCGCACGGGCCGGCGGACAAAAAAGTCACTAGCGCTCCCGTTCAGGGTTGGTTTAGGGCTGGCTCGGATGACGGTCGGAACAAGAGAAATGAAGAGAGAGGCACGGACGGAGTGTCGGTGAGGATGATGGATTTAGGAGGGCGATCGGTCAGCGGGGTTTGGTCATCCGGACCAGAATGTGGAAGAAAAGTGAGAAGAAAGTTTTGGTGGTGCCGGGCAGATCCGCCCGGGCTCAGGGGTCTGCGAGTCGGTAGTTCGTGAGCATCAAGTTGAAACCCTCTCGATCATTTTGTGTGATGTTTGTGCTGTGCTGAAACACACGGGTGTAGCTTGTGCTGACCTGCCTGATAGGGCAAGATTGTATGTGGGGCTCTTGATTGCAGTGGATGCCCAAGCTGAAGCTCCATACAAGCGAGGCGCATTCACGATGAGCATCCACAGCCCGGCTTGGCATGATGCTTGAGGTCATGGTAAGCATTCGCAACGATCGTCTCGACCGACTCAGGCATGAGTTCGAGGAGCTCGTTACTGCTGCGCAGTTCGAACGGCTCGGTAGCACCCAGCTGCTCATCGTACAGAATGCTGCGTTCCAGCAGGAACATGCCAGAGTCAAGGTAGCTGCGCTGAATGCGTGTTTCACCTTCTTTGATACAGTCTTCAACGTCGTAGTTGCCGACCGTGAACTCTCGCTGGGTGGTCTTTTCGGCGCTTCGCAGGATCTCGTTACAGATGTAAGGACGCCTGCTGCGTAGATGTACTGGTTCTTGACTTGTTCCCAATGGGCGATTACGCGCGCAACGACTTGTCCAACCCGCTGTAGACTCGAAGCGGCGAAAGTTTCGGTGCCAATGCCGTGGATGGTCGCGCTGTGCCATTCCATGTCGAGGCCCAGGTTGCCGCTGATGAGACCAGTATCGAGAGTGTATCCTGTCGCAACACCGACCCACTCAAAGTCTGCACTACTCGAGGAGGCTGTTCACAGATGTTCAATGACCTTGGCGCGGCCTGCAGACTTCAAGATGCGTTTCGATATCCCCTTTTGGAGCGTATCGTGACCAAACTCGTGGGGCATGAAGCGCCGCGCACCTGCCGCGATCGCCGCATCTATGATCCTGATCTGCTGGTCTGAGTCTCCTCCAGCTGTGGTGCTGATGACCAAGTCTTGCCCGGTGATTGCAGATTTGAGTGAAGCTGGCGAGAAGTCAGACTTCCGGTGCTTGACTGCATTGGCGGGTAGATGTGGTGGCAAACGCAGCCATTGCGAAGGATTTGTGAGGACTGACATCTGTAGGTTTGGATGAGATCGGCTCCCGTCAGGAGGTATAAGAGCGTTGATGATGCTCAGACATAGCTCCCAGTTCTGCGCATGTTAGCCGTCTCTTCACTCCAGACCATGGTTCCACCTTACACCAATGATCATAACCTTCTCGATCGCCATGCTGTAACAGTCAGTCTAAGTATTTGTTGCTGGTGTTCCGTGTGTACTGAGACGACCTTATATAGAGCTTGCCTGTCGTCCGGCGGCTTACAGGAAAGCTAGGACGTGTTGCAGTCAATGTGAGAGTGAGGGGTTAGTCGTTGATCAAAACAGCTGCAATTTGCAGAGAAGTCTATGCACTTTGCGTGATGCGTCTATACCGTACTGGCACTTCTTGCACCATCATATCTTGTTGTAGCTCGCTTGCTATTACTGTGTGAAGGCTGTGTGAAGGCTGTGTGAAGGCTGGTAGCCACAGATAGAGTTAGAGTGGCAGGCCAAGTCGCAGAGCAGTGGGGATGTGAAACAGTATCACCAGTGATATCAAACTTAGTATCTGGACATATTGTTGTGCATGATCCTGTGGTGGTGTCGAGGTGTGGGGAGTTGGGGTTTGGCGGCGATATCAACGCCAAGCGCACGTGACGGCGCGGGCGGCTCTTTCCGTATCGATGGCAGCTCAGCAAGAGCTTTTGGCTCACCACCACCGTCGACCTCCACCCGCAACCCCATCACCGCGCATCTCCCCGGGCCGCATACATTCCTCCAGTGCGTCAATTCCGCTCCCGCAGGCTCGTCCGCAGCAATTGGCCCCTCCGCGCCCGCGCACCGCTGACCGCAGACTCGCAGACCGCCCACGATGAACACTACTCGCTTCCTCCGCCCCTTCGCCAGGGCCGCCTTCCGCGCGCCCACTGCCGTCCGCCCTGCTGTCATGGCCCGCCCCGCGCTTGCCAGCCAGCAGCAGAAGAAGACCCCCGAGGTCGGTGCCCAGCAGATGGTACACAATGAGCACCCAGGAAGGAGCGACCGGCGACTGACAACAAGCAGACCATCCTCAAGTCGGCCATGCCCCAGCTGATCCCCTTCTTCTTCGTCAACGAGACCACCGTGGCGTTCGTCCTGCTCCCCACCCTCATCTACATCTTCTCCAAGTACATCCTGCCCCAGCGCGTTCGCCTGTTCGCCGCCCGTCTGTTCATTAGCAAGTTGTAAGCGGGTATCGAAACGAAGTAAAGATAGCGAGGAGGAGATGTGTACAAATAGTCGACATGTGCTCATAGACAATCGAATGGCATGAGGCCTTACACGGAGAACAATGTCTTGGCAGCGATTGCGGCAGAACACGCATCTATGGGGCTGTCATCAGATCTATCTCATGTGCTAATCACGGGTAGAAAAACATCGAATTGATCACCAAAGTTCCACAAGCGCTTCCCTAGGCTCTACCAAGCACCGCCGGTAAATGACGCCCACCGTCGATCGACCACCAAGGACACCTAGGGCGCCATCGAACAGCCACCACTGTGATTAAACTATCACAGACTTGTAACAGCGGATATTGGCTAACGGGCACCGACCAAGTTGAATGTGGGAAGGAAGCTGCCTGGCGACGTATCAGTCGAGAATTTGCCATCGCCCGTTGACACCGAACGATTTCCCTGTGTATCGAGCGGACCTTCAGCACTCTGCAATTCCTAAGTCTCAGCAACACCAGCCATCGCGTAACTAGTCGACATATTGTTAGGAAACCATTCCTCCCAGGCCTCCTGATCGCCTCCCTCGCATGACACGCCTCTTCAATCTGACTAACAACTGCATTTACCTCCCTGCCAACGAAGGAGTGCGCAGTCCTTGAACTCGTAAGCCTACTTCGGTACATCGGCTGCCGGCTGAGCTTGCACGAGCCTCAACAGTCTCTTGACCAGCGCTATACGCTCTTCTCCATCTGCGAGCCACCTGTAATCGTCCAGCCAGTTGTGGAGGTAGTCCATGCTGACTTCGAGTGTGTCCAGATTGTCGGATGTCTCGATCTCGAGATTGTCTTTGTGGATGTGGCTGAGGGAGATGGGAACTGTATGGCTTTCTTCACGCGGGCGTTGAGAGGTGGATGCTCTGGGTAGTCCCAGGCTGACCTCTTTTAGGGAAGGCTGGAAATCGTCAGGTTACCCACGTCGGCATTAACGTCGTTGACTTCGTGGGTACCGGAGGTGGACTTGTGGGCCGCCGTGGAGGTAATCGCGACACTGGAGGTGGGGATGGGTGTAACGATGGCAAGCGCGGCGAGGGCGCCAGCGACCTCCAGATGCGCAGAGAGAGGTGCGGAGGTTGTTGAACATGTGTCGACAGCAGTGCTGTCGACAGCGTTGGGGGTGCCGTTGTTGGGAGAGGCGCTCCCATTGTGATGGCTGCCATGGCAGCAGTGAGGAAGAAGGTGAGGAGCCTCATGGTGTATCATGTGTGATGATGTGATAGTAGTTTTACGAAGTTGGTGAAGGAACACTGAGCCTGTAGGTAGTCGAGATGCGTACTGACCCTCGAGGCCGTTTGTTGGTAGGATACATTCTGCATGTTCATGCGGATTGAAAAACCAAGATACTGGGCTGTGGAGACATTCACTCATTTACGTCGATGCCTTCGAGGTACCATTGCAAGAACGCACAGCCACGCATGTTAAAAAGGGGACAATCCGAACCTTCAAGATCGAGCACGCGCTGCGCAGTCGGAGCGTGAACTGAAGGGCTGACGTCCGAACTTGAAGGTATCCGCACGACCGTAAGTTGACTGCTCAAATCTTCGGAACCACGGACGGTTCTTCGCGTATGTGACGACTTTCTGAAGCTTCACTATGGAGCTGTCAGTCTATCACATAGGGAGTGCATGCAATATTCAAGCACCTGAGCGATTGGTCAGCTTGGAGAAAAGAGTGTCGGGCTGCTGATAGTGTTCCCTGATACGGCCCAATTTAAGTTTGGTCGGCCCAGCCAAGTGAACATCCATTCTCAAAATGTTCACCGCCGCTTGCAGATGTTCGTGGCTTTGGCGGCGACGGTGCAGTCGAGGTCGCTCGTCCATCGTGCGCTGACGATGGCTGGTGTGAAGATGGCAGGAAGATCATCGTGAGTTTCATGGTAATTGTGGTTGTGGCGTTTTGGTGATGGGAGATGCTTCTGGGGCGCGCTCAGCTTTTACTGTGCCTTGGTATGTCAATAATAAAGGCCGACCTTACTATGTGGTGCGCAGCTATGCGCTGAGTGATTGTGAACGCGCGGCTTTCACTGTACAAATATTGTTTGCTAGATACTGAATTTCCACCGCGTCATTAAAAGGATTCTCGAATCATACTTCCTCTACCTCACCCTACAGACATCAACTTCGACTTTCGACTTCGACCTTGCGACCGAATTTTAGAATTGTTCAACCTTCCATCCAACATGAACTCCTGCACATCACTTCATTCATGGCTACTGCAGCTCTCCTAGCAAATCCAGCTCTTGCATGGGGTGTTCCTTTCACCGACAACTTAGTCAACGTCGAGTTCCAGTACTGCTATAAACAGATTGTGACTTGTTAAGCGTTTCCGCACTAGTGAAGAGAAGCGCTGGATGATTCAGCTGCAACCGTGGGCCCAATTCTCCTGCACTTAACAGCTCATTTACTTGTTTTTACCTGCTCCTTTAGACTTAATAGTATTACAAGAATAGTGTACTGGGACAGAAAGACAAATGTGATGCCCTTGTCAAAGATTGGGGCTATTTGCGTTATTTGGCTTAATAGGAACTAGGAGCGAACAATAGTCAAGCACCTTACATGTTAAATAAAAATCAAAATACGACCCTCTGTGTACGAAGGGCTGCCATGGTACGAAGTCACAGACTTGAGGTACTGTGTTACTTATGAAGACATCGAAGGTAGGTAGATGAATTCGAGAAGCTACTTGGGCACGGCTATGTGTAGAATTAAGCTATGCCAGGTGCGGCTTGTATCACTCATCAAGAGGTGCTGGCTCCTATCACAAGCCGATGTCAAGTCTGGGCCTTGAGTGAGTGTGTTGTTACACATTCTGTCCCTACTTTCATTAATCGCTTGTCGCTCAAGTCTCGACGTGAATGTAACAAGGTAAGATCGCTCCCCCATACGCGGACTGCCATTCGAACCAACATGCCGGTACATGCAAGAGTATGTCACACGTGGCGTTTCAGAGCATCTGATTCGTGTCAAGTGTCAGACGTCGGCTGTGGACTCTGTAGTAGGTCCGGTCGCAAGGCTGAGGCCGAGGCTGAAGCGTGGGCCAACTCAAGTTTCGAAGTCGAGGTTTACCGGCTGCATCGTACCGAAGATGGTGACCGAGTTGAGAGTCACGCAGAGTTTGTTGGTGTGTTGAGTTGTTTTGAGTTGTTTGTAATATGTGCGGGGATATCTATCTTGACAGGGAATCTACGTAAAGTGGTCCGGTCTTGGCAATAAAGTCGAACAGCCTTGGTGGTGTGTCATCAATCGTAAGCCCATGCCGAACGTGAAGTATGCAACGAAAATGGAGAGAGACGTGAAAGAACGCTGGAACGCTACAGTATTCAATGCAACAAAGCATTGTGGTGGGATGAAAGGCCGCCTGGAATGGGATGCAGTACAGTGCGGTGCACCTGATTCCTGACTCTAGTTGAACTCCTGAGATGATGAGAGAATGCTACAATACCACATGAAAACCTCAAGCAGGACCAAGGATGGATTTGCATGATGCAACCAGAGGTCTTAGTTAGGTCTTATTGGTCAGGCTTAGGCAGCTCGGTACGACAAGCGAGGTCGAGGGTGCCTCAAATCATGCTTGCTATGGAGTTGAGACTCGCAGCCGTCGCCCTGATGCCCACAAAATCTGGTTCACTGACTTGGTGTGCAAGGCTCATGGTTGATGCTGCTGAGTATGGCGTGGAGAAGTTGGGAAAGCCTTGCAGAGGAGTGGGGAACATGTCCATGACGCTTTCATCTTTAGTCGTCGCTGAGTCGTGGCGGAATTCAGGGAAGGCTGCCGCTGTTGGCGTGTGTAGCGCATGTAATGAAGTCGTTGTGGTTGGGGTTTGCGGTGGGTACATTGAGGATGTCGCTGCTGCTGGAGTCGGATAAGACGTACTGCTCCCGTATGATGTTGTACTCAGTGATGGTGTCGCAGTAGGGTTTGAGATCGGCATGCCGAACGTGTGCAGCGCAGAACTGCCCGATATCGGTGTTGGTGTCGAATGACGGTGTGAAGCTGTGCTGGCAGGCGTCGACTCCTGCTTGACCGGATGCGACGACGACGATGCCGATGCCGAGGATACAGCACGAGCACGACCTGCCTGCGTTTCACGACGCCGCTTGGGTCCGTCTTTGACTTTTGGGTGGGTGTGACACTGTGGTGGTATTGTTAGCAAGCGAGTCTGTGCAACGTTGCAGACGAACACGAACGAACGAGGACGAGCATGGGTTGAGGAATGCAGGGCAAAACACAAACCTTGTAAGCATGCCTGAACCATGTCGTCCCTTTCTTTTTACTGCTGACCAAAGCGATCCACTCGCCACAACTTCCACAAAGGCCTTCCCACACATCGAGGTTCCCTTCCGTGCGACGGGTGTCTTGAGGACCTTGGAATGCTGCGCCGGTCGCTGCGCTGACGCCGTGCGTAAAAGACTTGTCATACCAGAATGCACTGTTCTTCAGGACAAGCCAACGTCCAGGTTTGCAGAGACCGCACCAGCCTTCGCGCTTGTTGCCGTGCCCACGTACCCATCTTGGAGTGTATAAATCACCGTTGAAGCGAAGGTCCTGCTCGTGTGGCACAAGATCCGGGTCTGATGGGTTCATGTCTGATTCAGGCGGGTTAGATGGCTCTTCATGAAGAGAAGAATACAGATCGGGTGGATCCGAAAGATCTGCGAAGTGTGAGGAACAGCCTCCATGTCTGTCTACGTTACTTTGAAGCAGACGAAAGAGACCTTGCGAAGGAAGAGGTCGAGGCACCTCGAGGTGGAATGGTTGGTCGCGGGTCGCAAAAAGAGAGGGGCCGTTGGACTGAAGCTGATGGTTCTGCGAGAACAACACATTCTGCGCAGGTAAACCAAAATTTGCCATCGCACTGGGCGGATATGCTGGCATCGAGTGGTGCGGGTTTGGGCGCGGACCATAGGGAGCAAATTGGTCAGGAATATGAGCTACTGCGTGTGAGTTGGCAGGCGTCGAAGTCGGCGCTTGTCCGGTGGACCATCGTTTGAATCGTGTGCTTTCAAGTGTATATGGCGAGGACCGAACGTTGCTGTGCGGCGCTGGGGACATACGAGCTCGACTCCCAGTACGAGCGACAGTGTCGTACTGTGACTTCCTTGGTGAAGCAAGCGGAGACATCAGATGACCACCAGTAGGTTCTACCGTATTCCACACATCGCATTCAGACGCGTACGAAACTGCCTCAGATGATCCCATCTCTTCACAGGATGACACATCAGGGAACATTCCTCCGCCTGTACTGGACATTGAGAAGGATGACTCGGACATACGACGAGTTCCTTGCCGATTGAATTGTGCCAGGTTGTCGGTCTCTTGCTGCCCCATACCCTGGAACTGTCGTAAATCAATGATGGGTGTGTTTTCATCTTGACCCATCAGCCCGTGGCTGAAGTCTGTCGTATCTGCGTCTAAAGAGGGGAATGACTCAAGCTCTTCGCACACCTTCGCGCCCCAAGAACCTTTGGTCGTCAGTAAATATCTCCAAGAGTATACCGAAGAAAACATACTTGTCTCGATGACCTTGGGAAAGTAGTCCGCTGATGTTGCCATGCCATTGCCAAAAGCTGCGCTGCTGAACGCAGACACTTGAGTAGTGCTGATGTTTGATCGTGGAAGAAATTGTGTATGATCATTTCTGGTTATCACCATAGGGCCTTGAGGTCCAGCATAGTATGAATTGTGGGATTGTGGTAAAGCCCACGCGGATCGAGGTGGCGAGGATGCCGACATCTGTTGCAATACTGGCGGTGGTTGTTGCCTTCGGAAGGGATAGTTGCTGTATGTATATATCTGTGCTGCCGAAGTAGGTGAAGATTGATCTAAGGCATTCGATTTGCTCGACGATGGCCGATATCTACACGCACTATCAGTATGTGCGTGCAAGCTAGACGCCAAACTGGGTCATTCGAAAGCGCCTTACTGTTGAAGTGCATTGAATTCCATCTTTAGATCCTCGTCCTCTATACAGACTGGTCTCGGCGTATATATCTGAGCAAACGTTAATGCCGAATTCGGTCTACTACATCTTTGCGCAGAAATTAGATCGACAACCTGCAGAACTAGCAGCGCCGCGTCACCGGGTACACTGCTCGCCAAGCAAGGGAGGGAGAGGATTATGAGACTCACGGCTGTAACGAAAGAAGCTACTGGCGGTCAAAAAGAATGTGTCTAGGCGATAACGCTGTACCACCACAGCTGAATGGGTTGTAGTGATGTGACTAAGAACCGTAAGGCTAGACAAATGAGTGTACGGAGAACAAAACGTTCCCAAATGCAGCCAACGCGGATAGGAGCCCGCTCCAGGGAAGAATGAACGTAGATGTAAATGGGCTGGAATTTCTAAAGAATGACGGAGCCGGGTAGAATGAGAGAGGCTCAAGGTCAGTTGTAGTATATGTCGAAAACACGGGATCGAGGGTTCCGAGAGCACCAAACAAGGTAAAATGATCTTTACGAACTTGACGCAACAGAACCACTCAGACGCGGTTTGAAAGCAGTGTCGCGAGGCGCCTTGGCTGGAGAGGATCTGGAACAGCGACAGTAGAAGCGTTCACCCAAAGGAGCCTCTGGTGGAGACGTGTAATGGAGGGTGGGCCAGGCGGCAGGGCTGCTGGGATGTTGAAAGGCGATTAGAGACGTCTGGGATAGCCGCACTAGCTCATATTCGCATCCTCCTGTCGGCTTAGACGGACGAAGACTTTGTTGAAGAGCAACAGGCGATTCCCTGCGGCTGAACCATCAACACCACCATGGTTGAGACGCTTCAAGAGGAGTTAGTATGGCCGTGAACAAGGAAGCTGCTGGGCAGCGACACCAATATTGTGAGAGACGGTAGCATCCTCTTTGGCTGAAGCTGAGTTTCAGCACTCAATTGGGAGACCGAGCATCGTTCAGGAAAGAATGAAGTGGTGAGAGGGCGGTCGGTGCTATACGCAACTCCGACGTATCAACCGCTACCGCGCTTCTGCAGCCGAATGCCATAAACGTCGTCTCATAATGCCGAATACGGCAAGATACTAGCTGATGTGGGTATGCAACACGCAGTGAACGAAGCAAGAGTGGATGGAACGGAGAAATTTGGAACGGAGCTAGCGTTACGTAAGCCTCGCTTAGCGCGCTCGCCCAAACAACGCGCCTTCCTCTACCGACGCGACAAGCCCGAAACGCTCCTCAAACGTCAGGGGGCTGCCAACCCACCATCCTCGCAACAGCCCCCGCACCACCACCAGTATTTGTGAAGTCGAGCGAACTGATTCGCCGGCAGTCGCGCTCGGTCTCGTTGCACAGCGGAGCAGGGACCGACGTTTCTGGTTTGCTCTTTCTACTGGCCCGCATGGACAATTATTGAGACTGCCGCAATGGAAGCGTCAACTGCTTCGCCTGGAGAGCGACCACTGTCATCATAGTCTGCAAGCTCGACTAGATTCTGTGTAGCACCGAGTCAGGCTGACATTTGACAGCTGCGGAATGCTGCGCCCTGCCATTTACTTGGGGGTGTGACATATGTCGACTTCGCTGCCAGACAACAACTGCAATTACGATTGTTCGTCAGCTTCAGTCAAAAATGCCTCAGGAAGGACTATCTTGCCACTCATCCTTCTGCTACCACCATCTTGCCGGGTACTCAGCTCCGCTCCTGTGCGACCACCGAAGAGGAGGCTCCATCCGGATGAACTCCTTCCGCTATCGATCTTCGGACCGCGTGCGTTGCCGTGCAGACGCTGAGCCTCTAAGAATCTTGTAGCAAATCTTGTGCACTGTGTAGTTGCATATTGACATGCTCGTTGATATATTGGCGCCAGAATCGAGGAATATCTCCGTCCCGAGTATCCCCGTATCAACGACCGTTGTGTTATGCGAACGTCCAAGTGGTCAAATCTGCAGACTTGAAAACGATCTCTCCCTTGCTTCGCGCATGCAGGTAGCGCTTGATTAGGCAAAATGGTCTTTTCACCACACACTACAACCGCGCGTGCCGTTGTCTGGCTTTTTTCGCCATCTCAGGTCCACGTGTTCTGTCGTACAAAAACGTCCTTCCAATCTAGGGCATCTGCAGAAGGCCTCAAATTGGGTATGGTGGGATTCAATTACCGATGTGTTTGCCAACTGCAGACACACCCCACGCTTGGCTTCTTGCGAATAGATCCTGTAGTCATGGACCGAGGCTTACAGCTCCCGGAATCCAGTCAGATCAGGGTCGTCGTCCAGGTCTAGCTAGGTGATGAACTACGATTCAATATTATACTGACCGTAGATCACTAGTGACGTTAATTGCATGTCGGCGACCTCGATTGGACACACGCAGGTACCCTTACGTCTCGACACACCAGACACAGACAGCCACTGCAATCCCTCCGTAACCACAGCAGCCGAAGTCAGCCCTACGCCACACCATATTGTCTCGCACTCAGAGTCATGCCAGCAATGACGTCGATCTTAACGCCGGCCACGCATGTTCCAGGACGCTGGACTTGACAGGCACATCGTTGGCGGACCGGAGCGCGCGGACGTTGGCAACAGTCGAGTTGGACTTCCGCTCCAAGGTCGCCAACAGCCCAACTGTAACGTGCGGCAATGATTGTGGCAGGCATATTGCGTGGGGTACAAGTCAAGCTTTGTCAAGCATATATGTCGCACGTTATGAGCCGCAGGCATATGTCGAATATAGTTGTCACATGGCCAACTACCGGTGAACGATAAGTGCAGACTCGAACGTTTGATTCAAGTCCACCGGCTAGTGCCGGTTGAGCGGTTCTGTCGGAAGTTTGGCACTCTCGACGTGCAGCGAACCACCGATGCTCGAGTATGTTCTACCAGCTCAAGCTGGGCCATGGATACAACAAGGCATACCTGTTCCACATTGGCAAAGTAGACCACCCATTCTGCAGCTGTGGAACCAAGCAGACCCCAGAACACCCTCCTACTGAGCTGCCAGTGACTCAAGCAAGGCCGGAAAATCCTCCATGACAATCTGGGGAAAGTGCAGCTCACACTGCCTCTGCTTCTCCACACCAAAGAAGGCATCAAGGCTACTCTGGCCTTTATCAGCAGGACCAAGGTGGACACATGCAGATGGCATCTTGGAAAACACACAGAAGACCTGGCATAGGCATGGCCTAGCACTGCACCAGTGCATACTCTTTCTCTGTTCATTTTCTAGCAACTCTGCTTAGGGCAAAAGCCCTCTCCATCCCTTGTACTTTCATAGAACGCAACCTCCTGTAACTAAACCCCTGTATTACCAGAGGAGCAGTAGCTCCTCTCGTCTTCATAGTCTCAGACTCACATAGGACGTTAAACAAAAAAAAAAGCTCGAGTATGAATTCTAAAGCCTCGGTCATCATATCGTAAGCTTATTTTAACGGCTTTCCCGAGCAACTTGACCCGCTCAGTGAATCTCACAGCCAACAGTTCATGCCTTGCGCTCGACTGCGCCCGCTGTACCGCACATTTGGTTGTCGTACTAATGGAAGCTGTAATCTCTCATATCAATGCGTCTCTATCTTTCCGATCTTGATGTCACAGCCTCCGCTAACAGTATCAAACACCATCCTACTCCCTCCATCCCCCTTCTTTGCTTCAACATGATTCTTCCCTGGCGTATCATTCTCATTCAACAATTCCAACTCCTTGCCTTGTAGATGCAACTCTCCACTCAGACTTGTGCCATCAATATGGCCCTGCCACTCCTTCGGATATATCAACCCCACACCACCAGACACGCTCTTATGCGTACTCGTCAATCCCATCATAGGCACTCCTTTCGCCTTGTACGGCGCTCGCAAGGTGACATTCATTTGTCCAGAATGCGTACTTGTATCTAGTGTCGAAGCAAAAGCGCCAGACTTGGATGGCATAATATCCGCAGTCACTGAGCCGGCTACCGAATTGATCTCAGTCTTTGAGCCATGGATGAACGTCCCGTCGACAGACCCTACAGTCGTGTTGAGATACATCTGGAAGTCTCGCTCAGGAATATGCTTGCGCTCGAAGTCAATGCGCATGCTTCCTGAATGCGAGTTCGCTCTGAACACAGCGGACGAGGAGCTGCCGGCTTCTGCCGCCTGCGGCGCGACATCAATATTGACCGACCCAGTCTTCGTGTCGATGGCCAGAAGATCTGAAAGTGCGTATTTGCCACTGATGGAGCCTGATGTCGTTTTGAGGTAGGTCTCACGCGAGTTCAACATTGACGCGTCGAGTGTCCCTGAGGTGAGCGAGATGGACGTCATGTTTGTAACAGAGAAGTCGACACCACCATGGATCTGCATACCGAGGTGCGTGGCTTCCACATTCAAGGTCTCGAGTGTCGCGCCCGGTGCCATGTACAGCACAATCGACATGCCCAGACACGCTGAACCGGCTGGAACCCTTTCAAGGCCTGGAGACAGGGAAGAATCCCCAATCGTTAGACTGCTCGGTGTTGAAGCGTACTTGATGCTATCTACGTCGATTGATGGCGAAACAGCATATGACATCCTCGCTTGTACTGTCCCAGCAGCTTGGTCGGCTGGCGCTTTTGTGACGTGTATCCAACCCTGGATGCGCTTGTACGGTCCATTGAGCTGATGCATGGCTTCTCTGATGTCGACCTCGCTCGAAAGGCCGAAATCGTACTCCTCGGTTTTGACATTGTACTTCTTCCCACATTGTGCTGGCCACCGGATGGGGAAAATTTGCTTCGATTGCGACGTTGATGATGGTGTCGCTGTTGCTGCGCTCTGCGAAGGCCATGGAACTGCAACGACATCTGGCGCGATCATGCCTTCCGGTTCTTTTGGTCGTGCTTGCTGCGTTGACGTCGGTGATGTCGCGGCAGCTTGATCTGAAGGCTCGATCACAGGTATCACTGAAGCCTATGACTGTCAGGTTGATGCATCTGCCGTCGTTAAGGTACAAACCTGTCTATCCTTGCGTGCCGATGTTGTAAATGCGATGCTGGCCGCGAACACAAAGATGAGAAGCATCAGTACTCCCAACCACTTCGTCCATCTCGTCCGCAACGATCGTCTGCAGCTTCGTCCGCTGTATGTATCTTCTTTGTATCCTTGCTCTTCGCGGTTCAGCAAGGTCGCACCTTCATCACCACTTGGTCGCCCATAGTATAGTCCTGGCGTTGTGGCTTCAAGGTATGTAGGCGGCGCATCGCGAGAGTCGAGCGGTTCCTCCCGCAAAGGAGTTAGCGATTCTCTGTAGGGGGCCGCAAATTGTGTGGAGGTGACGACTTGAGGCTGTCGTGACCGGCAATTTGCAGCTGCTGTGTCAATGAACATTATGACTATCGAAGCATCAAGACGGTCCTAAGGTAGGATGATGGCTTGATTGTTCGGAAGGCCGAAAAACGGGTCAGGCAGCGAGGCTAATCAACTTCTATCCTGCACCTCGAAGCTGAAGCAAGTCGTAGCCGAGGCTGGGGGTAAGTAGTTCTGTAACATGTTCGTTTCGGTTGAAAACATGGCTCGTTTTGGATGTGTACCCAACCCCTTGGCTGCGTACGGCCAGAAGAAACTTGATATTTCCCGTTGTTTTCGAGTACTGACCTGACTTGCTGTTCCTGGTCCCAATAACCGCACTCTTAATTATGGTGTCTCTCGGCTCGAACTTGGCTATTAGTTGCCTTGAACAGCCATTGTGTCTCTTTGAAGGTTTTTGTCTACAGTCTAGTTGCAAGCGCCGTTTGGAGACAGCGGAGTTGGCTTGGCGGCTTTCGTGGCGGTCATCTCACGTGATGAGAACATCAATCGTTATCGTTAGCCATGCAACAATTGTGACATACGATGACGGGTATTTTGGAAATGCGCCATGCTGTGCGAAAGGATAAACCCTGGCACTCATGCGGTGTGCAGGTGAGGTCGAGAAACTTCGTGCACGAGGATGATGATGGGACACGGATCTCAGTCCGCTCAACGGCAGCCGCAGGCCGCAGGCGGCACTTCCCTCCCAATTCCTCACCCAATATGACATCCCATCGTCGTTGACGTACAGCCTCACGTCTGTGCTACGTGTGCAAACATTGACTATAGCTGTCTCCAGCAGTTCTTAGCTGTCTGGCGATATTGTCTCTTTTCTTTGTTTGCGAGAGTGGTGTGGCAGGAGACGACGGCAGGCGTACAGTGTCTGTGCGCGTGATGCGCACCTTCGCGTGATGCGCACCTCAACCACTTTTCTGAGTATAGCAAAATGAGGCTGTACAGCCACCCATAAAAGCGATTGTTGTGAGAAAAGTTGGTAGAGTAATGTATTAATGTATATGAAAGTATTCTGTGAAGGATTAATTATATAGAGTTGCAGTGCGGCCGCTGCGGGTGGTGTGGGTGCAAGGTGTGGGTGCAGGCAGCGGTGCACCACCTGCACTTTGCGCACCTGCAACACGACGCTTCTTTGTTGCAGTTGCTGGAGGAGCTTTTGAAGCTTTGCGCTTGCCTTTATTAGGCAACTGGGAGGCTTTTTGAGCATCGCAAGCTTCTTTATCCTTGCATCTTTGCTCTTTGCGAGCATTGATTGCAGCACGCTCCTCAGTACGTTGTCGGTCATGCTCTTCCTTCTCCACTGCACGATGTGCCTGCTTTGCATCATCTTCCTGCTGTTTCAGTATACGGAGGTGCTCTTTGTGCTGCTTTTTAGCTGCTTTTTCTGCGTCCTGTTGTTGTTGTTGTTGTTGTTGTTGATACTTCTCAAAAGCTTTCTCACGAGCGTCAGTGTTACGATCAAGGAGCAACTCGCACAACAACACTGAACGAACAGGACTACGCAACGATACGAGAGGAGCCGAGGAACTGTATTATCGATCGACCCGAGCAGTGAGGCCGCGTCGGCAATACTCAGTATGATCATCAATCTCAGTACGCTCGGCATGAGCAGCATACTCAGAATGCTCAGTATACTCGGCATGATCAGTATACTTGGTACGAGCAGTATACTCAGAACGCTCAGTATACTCGGTACCGAGCGATCTGAGCAATCCTCCTGCTCAAGTATATAGCAAGTAGACAAGCTGCCCTTATGGCATCGTGTTCAACCTCGTCAATCAACTTTGTTATTGTAATCTCACACGCTCTCGAGCAAGGCAGTATACTCTATACTACTTGTTGCTACCAGTTGCCACGGCCTCTGGCTAGACGACTATTTACCTCGACTATTACGAAGGCTATTATCGCCTCGCCCGGATAGTCTACCCCTGACCACCCCGAGCCGTATTAGCTAAGGTCAAGCTATGCCTTGGACGCTTTGTTAGCTGACGCATTGCTCTTGAGCTCTCCAGGTATGAGAATATGCAACTATTCGCACTGTAAGTCTATGCTAGCGTTTAGATCATCCGCAAAGCCAATATCCAGCTTGCGATTAGCAGTGGAGCCTTGCAGAGGCTAACAGGGCTGTGCCAGTGGTCGCCGCCGAACTCTAGGTGGTGGTTGATACTTATCTGCAAGGTCCAGTAGCTGGTTTATAAACAGGACAAACCAGCTTAGAACGTCTTTTTCCTTTGCCTCTTTAGGCCAACGTGTGGATAGACAGAGGTGTTTGTTGCAAGGATGAGGTAGGGCGGGACGGAGGCGTTGATTCGATGACGGCATTATAGACTGTATCCCAGACGCATTCATTGGGCTGGAAGTTTGAGGATCGCATCGAATAGAGGTCGTATTCGTTCGGCGTCGAAATCGTCAGAATTGACCGCTGCATTGAGCCGCAAGAGGTCGTGGAAGAGGGTTTTGCTTCCATTCCGGGAATGTAGGAGTCGAGCAGCAGGGAGGGCTTGCAAGGCAGATATAAGTGTAATCAGCAAATCTTGGGTTTCTGAGATGGCATTAGAATCGCGCAGTAGAGATAGTCAGCCTGTACTCCCTTCATAGCCCACCTGATCAAGCGCTTGCGAAAGCCATCTAGGCCTTCACCGATTGCTTTAGACTGTATGATCTGCAATCGCGATTGCGATTTCGTTGACATCTTTCCAAAGGCATATGAGCTGCGTATGATTTGTCACAGCGACGCCACGCATGCAACCGAGCGCAGTCCTATGTGATTCGCAAGTCTTAAGGTAATTAAGAGTAGAGACGACGAACAAAGCCGAGGGAAGTAAGTAGTGATGGTTGGAGAAGGTAGCGACCAGCGCGCGACAACCGCGAGAATAAAAAGGCTCGGCACAACGGTACCTACCTTGGGCTTACGGAACCATAGGCCAAAACCGCACATTTTAACGAACGATATCTGTCCCACATGTTTGAACGATATTGCTTATAATGTATCTTTCGCAATGCGTAGGCGATGTGAGAATTGATCGCGTTCTATCTCAAATATATTTGATTACTGTTTCGTCATGTAAGGCTGGCTTTTTATCGTTAGATCATCTAATTTAGTCTACATAACTGCCATTCATATCAGTTAGACACGCCCTCCTCTCTCACCTCGTATCACGGGCATAGCACTATGTTAGGGTGCGAACACTAGGGAGGCAGCATAGCGCGCTCGATGCCAATTGAGTGATCCAAAATCCCTCAGAGAGCATTCAGGAGTTTGGTCTTATCACCCTCTTCTCTTTACTATATCAATCTTCTTATGCGTTCACATTGGTAGTAGTGGTGTGCAGGACTCGATATGAAGGGCAGATATGCACAGTAAGCCTTCTGTTGCAGTGAAAAGTGGTCCAAGTTCGTCTCAAGCGATCTGCCTGGCGATGACGTATTATGGTGTTTATCGCTCCAGCAAGCTCGAACAGGTACGCTTGGAATTAGTCGAATGAGCGGAGGCTAAATCACAGTACTGTGAGTGGAGATAGAGAATGCAATGTATTAGAGAAGACAAACATCTCTTGGATGCCTAGAATTGCCATACCAGAGCTAAGCATAGAAGGCATACGATAGGTTGTGTTCGTTTGTCGGATATGAGAAGGCGCACCCCCGACTGTTTGCATATTTTGCTTGCCTATGTTGCTCAATCCCATGGGAAGCAGTGAGTAGGAGCATGGCGATTATGCGCAAGCGGTGAGGAATGCTATATCAATGGACCCTGGCGTGAGAATACCCTTGAGTTATCCTAATCACACCGCACAGGACACAAGGCATCGATGATCATGACACTGGGCAGGAGCTAAACGTTAGACTAACTAGCACTCCTCCGACCGGCACGGATTCTGGTCAAGTCCTTCACAGAACTAGATCAGCCTCGTCCAACAGCCAACATGATACAGACACGCAGGTCCTGAAAAATGTTGCGAAGGTTCACGGAGGGGTGCCTCGAAGCCTCCTGGCGTAACAGGTTATTTTAGCCTTTGCTAGGCTACAATAGTGCGCTGACGCTGTATCATACAGTACTAGCACGTTGATGTTACCTCGGACATGTTCTAAAAATAAGCCTGGCTTCCCATGATGACGTGTCCGCTACTGGATCTTGCCTGAAGGTTGCCTTTCCATCATTTCTGTCTCAGCATCACTACTTCAGCCGCACAACTGGCACAAAATAAAAGATTGATTAGCGACTAATGGCTTCAGCGTCAAGAAGCTCGATGATGGAGACAGATGGAGAAAAAGGTGAGCTTCTTATCTAGAGTCAGAGTTGATAAGATACTTTGTAGCATACACCAGACATCGTGACCCTCCATGAAATGCCCGGATGTCTCGTTACGCGACGTGCGGGCTCTATGGTCTTCAAGCAAGGCAGGCGAGTCAATATTGATGAACAACCAGCACTGGAGCTTGCCGCACAGTATGGCCTCCCTGTTCCACGCGTTTACGATGCGGGCGAGTCTAATGGAGAGACTTTCATTCAAATGGACTTCATCGAGGGTGACAGGCTTGACCTGGTTTGGCCCAAAATTACTGTAGAAGAGAGAAGCAGTAGATGCCGACAACTGCGAGAAGTCCTCACGACAATGCGATCTATACCTCCCCAGAGTGGGCTTATTGGATCTTGCTCTGGCGGAAAAGCGCGAGACGACCGCCAATACAGCCATTACAGCGGCGGACCATACACAGACGAGGCCGCTTTCAATTCTTCATTCTATTTTGACCTTGTGGAATCCACACCAAGCCCGATTCGTACCGCACTATACCAGCAGATCCGTAGTGATCACCGTATTATCTTCTCACATGGCGACGTTGCACAGCACAACATCTTGGTTAAAGATGGTCGGATTACAGGACTACTAGATTGGGAGAACGCAGGGTGGTATCCAGAGCATTGGGACTACATCAAATTCTTCGAGCGACCGTGCGAGCACAGGAGTTGGAAAGATTGTGCGAAAGATATATTTCCTGAAATTTATGACGATGAACTCGCGCATTACCAAGCCATGGTGCGATGGCAAAACCCTTGAGAACTATTCTGGCTCTTCCTTCGCTTCCATTGTTGCCTCCACCATCCTATCGACACCGTCATCACAGTCATTCTGGGTTATATATCCAGCCGTCGCCAGTCTCTGGAGAGCATCTCCTACCCAGGTCTGGCAGTTGAATTCGCGGCTTGAGTTATCGATGGGCGTTTGGTAGATGAGGACACCAACTGGGTTTTCGCCATTGGTGTCTTAAGCGTTCCAGCCGAGACCTCTTTGGCAAAGTTGCGACTCGTGCTCGGGTCGTAGTCATCTCGTTTGAAACACATATGACATATTCGGTCCAACAATGTGAATAATCATGGATGTCCCTCCATTGTTAGGCCGGAGACAAAGAGCAGTATATCGATACTTTTGGTAATCCAGCGGCTCCCCAACATGTACAACAATACTAAGGTCGATTGTTAGTAGAGAGGATGCAATGCTCGGAGCAAGTTGGCTGGCAGCGGGTAGACTAGCAACGTTCCTAGCCCAACAGTTAGAAGTGAAGTCGATAGCATAGAGACAATACCTTTGGGATGCATAGAATCCTGGTGGAAATTGATCATTAGACCGATTCAGACGGTAATAAACTCCGTGAGATGTCTGCTGCGCAGTATAGTAGTATGCCAAATTAGCATCACCAATCTGGTTTGGTAGGTATTGGGGCATGGTCGGGATGTCGTAGACTTTGATAGATATTGTGCTTTAGATGATCGTGATGTAGATGTCCAGCTCTACATGCATTTTGCTGTCACAGCATAAGGTCGCCTCCCTCCATAACTTGCATGCATGACTTTCAATGCTTTACCGCATCAAGAGTATCAAACAATCAGCTTTCAACATTAAGCGCTCGGGAAATATCTATTCATAAATCAACAAATGGTACTGATGAGGGCATTGTCGTGTTGTTGTATTGGTACTATCAGAGCGGGCGGATATCTACAGTACGCTACCGTGTCCGTGCGCGTAATGCGCGGATTCGCGTAATGCACCGAACCACCAAAATAGGTCCACCAAAAATGAGGCTGTAGAGCCACACACAATGGTTATTATCATGAGATTTTCTGGTGGAGTAGTCTATAGACCTATATGAACAAGTTCCTCACTCAAACTTTTGTGGCACTCTGATTGGGCGGCCGCGGCTGTTGTATTTTGC